CGTTGGCAGCGGGAGCAGCGGACAATGTCGAAATTCATGGAGCCGGGCGCTGCGCCTGTCGGGGATGTGACCCCCTTGGTGGCGCCGGAAGGTTGCGGTTGCACTTGCACCGAGGATGAACTCATCTTCTCCTGTCCGCTCCGAATGAGGGTTCCGAAGGAGATGAGTGTTGAGAGGGCCAGTGAGGTTGAAGCAGTCTCGATAGTCGAAGTTTCAGAAGATTGAAAGGTGTGGTGTGGTGGTGGTGGTGGTGGTGGTAGAATGGGGGTCGGGTGGGCGATTATTTAGGGTCGTTCACTTCGGTGGCGGAGTCGATAGATTGTCCTGGAAAACGCGGAAATACAGAGGCGATAGCGTTGTATTGGTCTGGCAGTGCCCCGATGGTTAGGCAGGCAGCAGAGATTGACCACGTGTGAAAGGGACCAAAAGGAGGCAGCGTCAAGTCCCGTTGGCCGTAGGAGTGAATCAGGATAATAGGCAGACGAGTAAAAGGAGTGACCAGAGAATCGAGCTGGGCTGGAAAGTCGTGACTGGAAGGTATCTATACTACCAGAGCCCAGCGCCAAGCGAAGTGCTCAGGGTCAGATCGATCCACTTTTTTCCGCGCCTGTTTTGCACCGGCCTGAGCTAGTTGGGTAAAATAATGGTCATTTATATTATTCTGACGAGGCACAGGAGAAAGGAGGAGGCCGCGTTGGGGAAAATGGAAAAAAAAAAAAGAAAATTCACTGTCGAAAAAATAAAAAATAAAAATAAACTATAGAAAAAAAATAATCTCGACCAAGACAGGGGATGGTCGAGCTTCACAGCAACTAATAATAAGAATGAGGCTAGCAATCAATACCAATTGAGGGATAAGGCAGCCGATAGTTCTGAGAGAAAAGCTGCTGCACGGGGAATGTGGATGCCAGTTTCAGAGTTGATGCTGAGATTCTGAGAGAGACGAAGGCAAAGGGCAGACAGGGCAGGCTGTCCTTCATGTAAGTCAGTCGGTATGTCGGATCCCTTTGTGATGGAATGACGATTTGCATCGTCTGGTGTCAGGGTCTTGTACTATGGGCACGACGACATGCCATGGCATGAGAGGCGGGCGATTCTTATGACTCTTATCCTGCTTGGCCTGGTTTGTCTCACAGGCAGCCGTAATTTCAGTTTCGGGTGGTCTTGGGGGTACCAGGGCGCTGGTGAAGTTACCAGACGGATACGGCCACCATCCAGTGGTGTGGTTGATTCCTGGCCCTCCCCCGGTCGCATTACGATTCATCTGGGACCAGTAGGCTTGGATGAGAGGCCGATCGATAATAATGATGCTATCTTAATTCATTGTCTTTGACTTTCCCCGTCCTGTCGTTCCCTCCCTTCTGTATGGATTACACCTACCACTTACGTATGTAGTGCTAGGTTTTTCTGTTCGGATCGCAACTGCAGCTGCCACCGTCCCTCCAGAGTACTGTGTAGATAGATACTGCCTACTAGCCTGCCTACCTCACATGCAGTCCAGCGAGGCTTGGTCTTGCTGCGTCAACCCCCCTTCCCCCCCTCCCTGTCGGCGTCGGCGTCGTCCGCCCATCGCTGCGTTTCCCTTCGCTTGTTGGTGCTTCGCTCCCAAGGCCGAGGGTCGTGTCGTCATGACTGATCCTGGTGGATGGAGTCGTCCGGGGCGATCGCTGGGACTGTTGGGTTTGGGCTTCGATCTGCCTGCCATTCTTCTCTCCTCAGGAACACTCGTGGCCTGGCTGTACTTGTGGTTCGACAAATGAGAGCCCGAATTGCCGGTAATCGGCGTATCGGCTCGCTCTCGCTGGTCACCTTGACCCTCTCCACCGTTCCGTACCCACTGGGTTTTACACCTTAGTCATGTTCCAGTGACCCCCTCCCCATCGCCCAGCGCCGACGATGGGTCTACTATTGGGAACATGGAAAAAAAAAGGAAAAAGGAAAAAGAAAAAGGAAAAAAATTATGGCTCATTAGCCGGACGGAGCATGGGGTACCTTGCTGCCCTGGTACCTTTCAGTGGCTGCCTGTCACTCAGTCACTGCTTAACTCAGCTCACCCCCCGTTGACAAGTTAGTCCCAGGTTGCTGCTGAGTGGATGAATCATCCTCGGGCCTCTCAGGCTCCCAGGCTGTCGAAAGTACGGAGCTCCCATGGTCAGGTTCCCGGAGCGTAGCCTCAGCTGTTGCGCGATTGGCAGCCCATGGATCGCAGCTATCATCATCATGATCTCTCCATGACAGCCGAACGATCCGTTGATTAATCATCCTCATCCTTCACAAAAGTCCCCATCATCCATCTACAAAGGTCGGGCATGAGCCTTCAACCCAAGACTCGCCAATATTACCTCAGCCTCGTGGTGCAAAGGCCTCGCGGCTGTGTTGACGGTTGACGGTTGCGTGCCCGTGACTCGTGAGGCGGTTACGAGCTCCACCCTGGGCGTTTCAGAATTGTCTGTCAGACATGAAGGACTCTCCCGGTCGCTCATGTCCGCCATGTCCATCATTTGCTCGCAAGTTCCATCGGCTATTCGGACCATGGCCTGTTGGGGAATCTGGTCAACACCAGTCCATACTCATGACGATGCTATGTGGGTGTAGGCCTATAGACAGGAATGCCCACCGGCCCGGCCCTTTCCTACTAGATGCCTAACTATAGCATCACCCAATTGCTCATCCGAGCCCAGTGTACATTCCTTGATCGCCCGTCATCGGCTTGCGACGGAACCCGTTTCCGTGTCCTCTGCGCCGTCGTTGTCGCTGCTGCACCCCGGGGGTTAGCGGATGGTCTGATCCGAGGCTTTTTTCCCTCCCTGAGCGACCACGCTGGGTGCGAAATCCAAAAATACCTGCTGGACTTCGTATCTTGAGGGCGCTTGGGAACCCATCCAAAGCCGGTTGCCTTGGTAAGTGTGGCTAGCGAGCTAGCTGCAGTCATTCCTCTCTTCCTTCGCAGTGGGGAAACCCATCAAGCCGAAAACCCGAATGCCTACTTTACCCTGCCATGCACTTGGGGACCGAGTGGGTTAGCCGGGCTGGGATCCATGCCTGCGATCCTAGACACCGCAGACGCGACTTCACGGTTGACCCCTTTCCTTTGCGCGTCTGTCTCCAGGGCCGTGAGATCCTTGAGGCATTTTCTGCTTATGTACGGGGTATGATCCTGCTGCTATTTTGGTTGATCTCCCCTTCGTAGTGCCCGGTAATTCGCCGACCCGTCGAATGGCCCTGCAACTAGATGTCTTTCCCAGCCGAGCATCACGTCGGATTGCCAAGAAGGGGAATATTAGCTGCTCGAGGGTTGGGTCTGATCCCCATTTAGTCACCCCAACCACCGCCCTGGAGATCTTGCTAATCGCCATCCCAAACCATTCCTTCAGCCCCCTCTGTTCCCCCACATCAAACCAATGGATGCAGGGAAGCTCCCTCTCGCTGGCCGCTGCTCCATGCGCAGCGAGGTTCATTAGCGACCGCCTACATACAGCGATAGTTCTCTGCATACGCGACAGGAAGACAAGTTGTCTGGCGCAGTGCTAAGGCTGCACGACAGCTCCGTGTCACCTGATATGCCTTGCCCATGCGCCCTTCTGTCAAACCGAAAAATCCACGAGTCATGGCCTGTCGAAGGTGACGGCCTCTCGGATTGGGGCCACGGCCGAGGGAAGCAAGTAGGTACATACGCCATACGCCCCTTCTGTAAATCCCCCCGGGAACCATGCAAGTCGATACGATCTGTCGTATGAGGTGATACACCGAAGCTATGCTACGGGAGTTGCGGAATTCAGGCGCATACCTTATTCGACACCCGTCCGTATGGGTTGGGAGTTGGGGACCAAGCCATGGTGGTCACTTCCGCCCCTCCCACTCCTCTTCAGGCTCGTACCGGTATAGGGCCATCGTGCCGTCGTCCTGCATCGATGCATTGATACCGCTAGTTTAGGACAGTCACCGGGTGCCAGCAGTATTGCCTTACGGAGAAATGAGCGCTGGCCTGTCTGGCATCTGCAGGATGGTGTAATCGCGCGTGAGCGTCCGGTCCGCATGTCGTGGGCGGTAATGCACGAGGACCAAAACGTCAGTGCCTGCCACTGGTGGTGTTGAGACGCCGAGGTCCGTGACCGCCAATCAGGCCGTCGTAGTCAGTTGAAGCTTCCACTTATCAACGGAGGAGTCAGAATGATTCAGTGGAAAATCGTAGTGATGATGATGATCCCGGGAGGGGCCTGAGAGACGTGCCGGTGACATCATCTCACATGCCGCCAGCATCTCCATCGTTCCCCTCGACAAGGAACGGGGGCAGGAAGCACTGGGAATAAAACAAGGAAAAAGGCCAATGTGAGGGTTCTCAATGCGATTGATCAATCCCGGGACGAAAGCATGAGAACATAAGATGAAAGAGCGAACCTCGCCGAATCTCCGAGTTCGAGGGTCCAGACATGGCTTCCTCTTATCGTGAGGGGATCCTCTTTGATCTGGCTCGCAAACTCCGTTGGTTATGGCAACCACCACGACGTCATGGCTGGTTTCCGGTACGACCTCTGGATAGGTCTCCAGTACTCTGTACCTCAGGCTCCTTTACTTGCTATCGATTTAGCTAGTGTCGACTGACCCCCAACAGCGTAACTAAATGATTCATCCCAGCCATGGAAGGAACCACTAGTGCCTTCCGGTAAAAGATTGGGTTCCCCCCCTTCCCAGGACCGCCATGTTATCCTGCTCCCGGGGAATCCTAAGTACTATCATCATGATGCTGTCAGAAGTCAGAAACCCATCGTTGTGTGTTGACGGCGCAGGAACGTGAGCCCGTTGCGCCCGGGTTGTGATTCGCTTTCGGCAGGTACGGAGCCCAGTTGAACGGCGCTCTTCTGCCCCGCCACACCCCGCCTGAAGCTGTTGACCGAAAACCACCTTCGATAATACTCTCCCTCCCCCTTCTCATTATTCTGCCCATTCTTCATTTTTCACCCCTTCTCCGATCTCACCCGTGTCTTCACTAGCCGTAAATCATGGCCGGATCAGCTCCCAACCTTTACAGTTTCCTCAGCGCCGACGCTCTGGCCCAGCAATTGAGGCCCTACGTCCTGCGGTGTCAGAACTCGGCCCTCAGTCGTCACAGTACATTCCGCGTCGCAGTTTCTGGTGGCTCTCTCCCCAAGGTCCTGGCTCAGGCTCTTCTGGCCCCTGGAGATGGTTCCCCCGAAGACACCGCTCAATTCTCCAAATGGGACATCTTCTTCGCCGATGAGCGCGCCGTGCCCCTCGATCACGAAGACAGCAACTACCGACTGCTGAAGGAAGAACTACTCAACAAGATCCCGTCGGAGCTGGGTGCTCCGACCGTGCATACTATCGATGCCGATCACGTCAACGATGAGGACCCCCAAGAGTTGGCCGATTTGTACCAGGAAGAGCTGATGCGCTCCTTTGCCGCCAAGGATAGCGTCAAGCTGCCCGTGTTCGATCTCATCCTCCTGGGTTGCGGTCCCGACGGTCACACTTGCAGTCTCTTCCCCGGACACGAGCTGCTGCGGGAGAAGGATGCTTGGGTGGCCGCCATCAGCGACTCTCCTAAGCCACCCCCGAAGCGCATTACCCTGACTTTGCCCGTGGTGACGCACGCCCTTAACATCGCTTTTATTGCTACCGGCGGGGGAAAGAAGGATATTATGAAACAAATCTTCGATGCCGAAGAAGGAAGAAGCCTGCCATCGTCTCTTGTCAACCAGGGTGCGGGCGACAAGGTGAGCTGGTTCACCGACAATGCAGCCATCGAGGGCGTTACGTTCCCCCGACGTGGAAGCCTGTGATTGATGGGCGCATGTGGTACGAAGTTGCTTTCAGGGGGGGACTGGAGCGGAGGATAGGCGCCAGCGTAATCGCGAGGCTACGAAAGGATTCTATCATAATTTGAAAGGATGCCCTGGGCGTGGATATTCGTCCACATGGAATTGCAAAAGCAAGGGTTCTAGCGCAGGAACCAGCGTGTCTCCAGACTGGATGAACAGTTCATGTCTCTTATCTTTTTAGCCTTTGGAGGTTCTTCTTAGACTTGCAAAAGTTTGTGTTATCGGTACGTGGTGGATATCACAGACGCATTCTAATTGAAAGGGGGAATTAAGTGATCCTGCTGCACCTGCGAGTCTCACGTCGTATCCAGCGTAGTAGTGAAGCCGTCGCTGACGCGGTGCCAAGCTTTCCCTTGGGGGGATGCGGAACCTCACCGCAAGACGGAAACCACAGTCCACGGACCTGCCGCTCTCAGCTGAGCTCAGGCCTCGTCTATTTACAACGACGGTGTCCGGGCAATCCATCCCGTGTGAGGCCCCATCTGGGACTTACCTGATCGCAATCTATCGAGCTCCAACACATGATTTGATCTCCAGCCATCATGCCAATCCCAACCCGCTCGCTTTCGCTTCGTGAGCCCCGCAAGCAGGTTAGTGTTGCATCTGTCAGTGGCCCATTCCCCCCCCTAGCGCCTCCTGTCAACGACCACCATCATCCCTAGCATGCCTCTGTTTCAGCAATGCTGACGTCTGTCCTCCCAGTCTTCCACCGCAGGCCGCGCAACAGCGGGCAAGCCAGCACCCACGACCTCCACGGCTGCGACCGGCACCACTTCGACTGCTGCGACCGGCAACGAGAACTTACCTCGGGGCAAGAGCCTCCTACCAATACGTGATGATGCCCGCGTGACAAGGTCCTCCCGACCGCAACAACAGCCAGAGAATCGAACCTCCCAAAGGGCAAGCAAGCCCTCGGAAAAAGGACAGCAGTCCGCGCAGGAGACTACCGGTATAGCCCGTCGCCAAAGCCTGATCCGACCGAGCCCTCTGAAACCATCGGTCCCCCTGAAGCCTACGATCAGCTCAACAGTATCTCGACGAACCAATGTTGCGCCCGGTCCATCATCTCCGGTCAAACAAGAGATAGCATCCAAACAATATGGACGGCCTTTATCTCCGAAGAAAACAGATATGCCTCCCCCACCGCGAATGGTCCGGTCGGCCTCTCTGAGACAGCTTGCCGCTTCGAGCTCGAGCACTCCGTCCGTGACTAGAGGTCACACGCGCCACCGCAGCCAGGGGATCACACTAGCACCGAGTCAAACTTCGAGAAAGGTCGAGCCTCCCTCACCATCGCCCACCGCCACCCCACGGTCAAGGGCTCAGTTTACGACCTACCAACAAGCCTTTTCGCCAAAAAAGAGCGCCAAACCGGCAACGGCAGCCCCCTTGACAGATGCTTCTGCGGTGGATACAGATTCCTCGTTGATTCCGTCATCTTGGCCAGAGGTTGCGGCGCTGCAAACCGAACTCTTACAGCTGAGCCTCGTTCATTTGTCTTCCTCCCAGCAGCATGTCGAATGGGAGGGTAACGCTGAGGCACAACTACGGATCGAGTATGATTCAGTGGCAAGCGACTACCGAGCGGCCTTGAGCGAAGAGAAGGGATACCAAACCCAACTCAACGGGCAGGCGTTGCATTACTGGCTTGAAAACTCCCGGGAGCGCAATGGACAGCAAAGCTTTACGGAGCAGGTCCGGGTGCTTTCTCAGGTGGCGGAGGAAGTCTACGACCTATCGGATAGTTTGGGAGGACGGTATGCAGTGATCGTCCAGGAATTCGAAGCCTGGTTTCAAGGGGTCGAAGATATACGGACCCAGCGTCTCCGCCCAGATCGAGCGTTGGATGAGGTGGTCTTTATTGATCCCTTGAACCAGACCTGGAGGAACGAGGCATCTGCTTTGGTCATGAAGCTGGAACTGTGCTTAAGACAGCTGCAAAGCCTGGACATCCTTGGATATGGAGAAGCAGGAGACCTTGGCGGCTCTGCGCTGTTCCGGACAGCAACACGACTGGAAGAGATGGCCAACATGATGATCGAGGAACTGAACACGATCCGTAAGATTGAAAGCGACGTTGTAAAGTCCGAGAGAGTGTGGGTTAGTCAGCTGGCTCGGCAGTTGACTGCAGTGTCGGCACATGACCAGAGACGTCCAAGAGTTGGGATGTGGAAACAGTCATTGTTGCACTCATGAATCTCTCTTGGCACATGTGAGCGCACCGGAATGACCGACGAACTACAGCGCAGACGACCGCCAGTGTTCCGTTAAGCAACCTCAAGCCAAACCCTATCCTTCCCAGGGGTAACCTGCAAGCTACTGGTTCTGCCGGATCTACTAGCGTAAGCGAAATTGAACCATGGGAGCGATTTGCAGGCACTGTATGCATAGCCGGGCATGCATGTGTCATCCAAGAGACAAAAAAAACCGGTTCTTGCAGAGTCCAGTTCTCAACGAGCGAGTAGGTTATTCGCCCACAAACCTGCGCTAGCCTTCTTAGCCGACTTTGGGCCAACGATCGGACTCCGTTCGGGGCCCTGATCGTACTTTACGGCCGGTTGTCAAGGTCTTTTGAGATTCTAGAAGCTCGGCCTTGCACATCTATCCCTGATTTTTGGGTACGTCCGGAGCCAACTTGTTCACCTGACCACCAGCTTCCCTCGGAGATGCGTCAAGAAGGAGAAGATGGAGGGAGCCCGAAGGTCTCGATGAAGATCCTTTTGTCGTCTCGGAGCGTCCGCTTCCTGCATGTTCCCTAAGAGTCTAAGATGTTCTTCCTAACTGACAATGGATCTGCGCTGCTTGTAAACCTGTGCTACCGATAGCCATGTTTCATTGCGGAAGGTCTACGGCAATGCAGCCTTCGGCTTATTACACCCAGCTTCTCCGGTGGATGGATGACACTAGACCAGCGAACTGGAAGGGTGAGTCAACCCAACGGCGGTTTGGTTGCCTGGCTCCATCAAAGCTCGGTGGGTTATCCCGCAGTTGCTGTGCGCACCAGTGCAAGCAGGTTGGGAAGGGGGCGCCACCTCGATATTTGATGATGAGACGTGTGTATCATGGAGATGGGTAGGAAACCGGTTCTTCTCACTTCATTTTCCTGACTGCATTCCTCAGGTCTTGATCGGAGACCAAGAGTAGGCGCACCGATCCCGTAGGCACTATCCTGGTAGTAGTGAATGGCATCTCGGCTGTTCGCCGAGGGGCCAGGTAGACGACGATCCACGTCCCAAGAAGTATGCTGGTTTCGGCCGGGCTTGCCCTGCTTGTTGGGATGAGGTTTATATAGCCCAGCGGAACACCGGTCCGTGACTAAGCAGCGTGGGAACTTTGTCATCACCGTTGGCTTTTCCCAGCATCCATGGAACATGCCGACGGGCAGTCAACTCAACCATCCGTCATGACTAGTGAGACACCGGGGGGTTTTTTGGTGTCAAGCTTAATCTTGACCTAACAGTACGCAGTAAACTGTCCCCTCCACCGGTCTTACAGTCGGCTGGCTCCACCTCGGCGGTGTAACTTCTCTAGTCGACGACGCCTACACCCTACACCAGGAGCCCAACGACTACTGTGGGATCTAATGCACCTCCGGTTCCCCTCCCCCCTTTGATTGACCCAATTCACGGCGTCTTCCTTGGGAAGACGATCGGTGGCTGTCCCAAAAGGGTAAGCCTCAGTGTGCGCGACGGCCGGGGCGAGAATCCTGAGGCCAGCTGGGTTGGTGGCTACCTGGACGGTTGACATCCTACCGGGTTGTCGTCGGCATCAAGGCATATATATAAGTATGGGCTACGATCCTGCACCACCCGGAATCCTTCCCCTCCTCAAACCCTGGAGACGGAGTCTTGATGTGGTGGTGAACCCGATCAACAGTAAACCTGGGCCCGGTGGAGCTCTGGTTCCTTTCCTCCTTACCCCCCCTCTTCCCTCCTGCATCCCCCGGCTGGGCCATCCATCATCCCGCCTCGTCGCTCTGTCTGTCCTCTTCGATCTCGTTCCCTCCCTCCACAATCCACTCTCAGAGATACTGCAGACGGACTTTCCCCCACCCGCAACTCTGGTCTGGTTCCATCCCCCTCTTTCTCTGTCCTGATAGGTCTCTTCAGACAGGTCATTCCCAGACTCCTCCCCTGAGCTACACGGTGTGTTTGTTTGGGTTGCTTTCCCAGTTCCGGTCCCGAGACATCTGGACCGCTCGCCATTCGGCTCCCGTCACCTTGCCTCTTCCCTCTCCTTTTCCCTCACTTTCATTTTACCCTTGGACCCCAATCTCTCCCATCGCCTATCTCCCTCGCCCATTTGGCGCTACAACCTCCATCCCCTCCCCACCTCTTATGTCTACCCTATCTTCCACCGGTGATCGTCAGCTGTGAGCTTCGCGCCGACGCATTCTGCGCGCATCTAAGTCTGACGTCATTGAAGCAGCAATACGAACTGTCGCTGCGCGCAATGCTCCGATCTCGAGTCGCTTGACCCTCAACCATCTGTCGCCTCTTCATCGACACAGCCATGAAGGAATCGCTGTATGATCGCATCTGGCGCCGGGAATCCGGGGAGGTGTCGCGCTTCGCCAGCATTCACGGCATCTACGGATCAAAGGAATGGGTTGAAAATTTGGATATCGTGAATGAACTCGGTGGACACTCGGGCTGCGTCAACGCTCTGAGGTATGTTGTGCTGATCTGCCCTCTTCTCGCGGTGATGGCGATGGAAATCCATCAGCGTAAGCACCGCTTCTAACGCTGCGCAGTTGGTCGCGGTCTGGCCAGCTTTTGGCATCGGGTTCCGACGATCAGCACCTGAACATCTATTCCTACCAGCCTGACTACTCCGCCGCCCCTTTCTCGCTGAATACAACCATCGCTACGGGCCATGGCGCAAACATCTTCTCCGTCAAATTCATGCCACACTCCAACGATCGGACTTTGGTGACATGCGCCGGGGATTCGCAGGTCCGCATCTTCGACATCGAATACTCCAGCACTAACAATAGCGTGGACGCCACTTCGGCTTTTTCCGCGTCTGCACGGAGCCGAAGGTTTAACAACTTCTTCAACAATGCACGTTATTTGAATGCGGGAAATACCAACGTCAGAGTCTATCGCAGTCATGCCGATCGGGTCAAGCGGATCGTCACTGAATCGTCGCCGTATCTCTTTTTGACTTGCTCGGAAGATGGCGAGGTTCGTCAGTGGGATCTGCGCCAACCATCATCCGCATACCCCAAGCCACGAGGCGGTCAAGGATACATGGCTTTCCGGTCAGGACAGGAACACGATGATTCAAATGTACCGCCTCCGTTGATCTCGTACAAGAAGCATCGTCTCGACCTCAATACCATCTCATGCTCTCCGAGCCAACCCCATTACATCGCTTTGGGCGGGGCACACCTTCATTGCTTCCTTCATGACAGGCGCATGCTAGGCCGCGATTTGCTCACGGAGAGGGGCGATCCTGGGGCCTCGCCCGGCAGTAGTAGTCACAGCGAGGAGCTGATGGATCAGGCGACGCGGTGTGTGCGGCGGTTTGCCCCGAACGGCCAGCAACGAATGAAATCGCGCGATGACGGCCATATCACCGCCTGTAAGATTAGCGACGCCAACCCGAACGAGATGGTTGTCAGCTGGTCCGGCGATCACATCTATAGCTTCGATTTGATTCGAAGCCCGCATGCAAGGGAGGAGTCAAAGCGTCAACCGTCCGTCCAGGAGACTCCGGTTCCGCGTCGGCGCCGAGGCTCCAAGACCAGGAAGCGTAAGCGGCAGAATGGAACCTCAATGTCATCGCAGTCCAGTGGCAATCAGTCTCGACCTCGACGTCGGCCCCGAGAGCGTCGTGAGGAAGGCGAGTTGGCATTCCGAGTCCGCTACGGGAATGGAGAATCGGAAGACATTCCCCTCCCGTCTCTCTCGGAACAACGCGGTGACATCCCGGAGAGTTTGATCGAGCAGTCGCGCTTATCTGTGCTCAATGATGCGCAGAGGCTCAGCATGCGCATCGCTAAAGACATGGTCAAGCTCCGTAAAGCCGTCTTCTCGCTGGAGACATCGTTACGTGAAGAGTACGAGTCTTCTAATCAAGCCGACCTGGCGCCATTCACCGAGTCATTTTCCACGGCACTAACGCAAGCCTCCATCTGTCTCCCCCAGATGGATGAGATTATGCGCACCTGGCGATACCCCGTCAATCCTAGCCCAGATGTTGTGCGCCTTCAGCAAACTCTTCGTCGCAATCGACAGTCTGCTTGGCGGTTCATTCAGGCTGCGGGAACATTGGCACGAGTTCTAGGGGGTGAGATTCAGACTACGCCTGGAGATGTAGACCGTGACATGGAATTATTCCAACAAATATACTCGCCTGGACTCGAGCGTGCAGTCGATCGCAAGGAACAGTTTGGCTACGATTTTATCAAGGCTATACTCTTGTTTGTTGAAGGTGGCCGGGCGGCCCTTCTGTCGGGCTTCAAGCAAGATTCGGCATCTCGAGGTAACCGGGCCAGATTCCCGATAGATGCATATGCGGGTGACGATGCGATTGAGTCGGTTTTGATCCCTTACCTGCAGCGACTTGCAGGTGACGTTCCTGTTGTGAACGTGGACGCTTCGCGTTTCGAACATGATGAAGCTCGTATCCTGTTTTTCAATCAGCACCACGCAGTGGTCGCCTTTGCAAATGCTGTCAAACATCCAGTTGAAGACCCCGTGGATACGACCGTCACAATGCACAATGATGCTCACGACCTTTTCCAGGTGACGCAATTCTGGGTGTTCAAGGTGGCCCGTGGAATTCTCCTGGAAACCGGGACTGGAGTGGATTATGCTTTCGTAAACAGGGCGTTTGGTGGCTTGCGTACCAGGGTGGAGGGTGATCCAGAATTTGGCGTGGAACCTGAGCGATCCCAGAATGATCTCGAAACTACTCTCGAGGAAGAACCCATACGAGACATCAACCTGAAGATTCTCCGGCGGTCGCGTTCTGCTCGACAGCACCCAGAAGCAGGGGCCGGCGAAGCAACAGGGATACAGACCCCGCTATCCAGTGATCATGAGGAAGGTATCTCTGATTTGCCGGAAACCGATGATGATGATAGCGAGAACGAGCTCGGCTTCACTGTCGAAGAGGACGAGGACGAGGACGAGGAGGATGACGAGGATGATGATGATGAGGATGAAGATGAGCTAGATCCGAGCAGTTCCGTCGACGACAGCGATGACTCCGAAGCTGCGGATCGCATGTTCAGAGAGTATGGACTGCAGCCCCGAGAAAGAGAGTACGTGGAGGCGGACGTTCCCTGTTCCCCACACACGCGAGTCTATAGCGGGCACTGCAACATCAAGACGGTCAAGGATGTCAATTTTTTCGGATTGGACGACGAGTACGTAGTGAGCGGCAGCGACTCTGGCCATATCTTTATCTGGGACCGGAAAAGCTGCAAGCTAGTCAACATTCTCGAGGGCGATAGTGAGGTGGTCAATGTGGTGCAAGGTGAGAACCCACCCCGGGCAGAGTTGCATGCCAAAGTCTTTAAGCCAACTGTCCCTCGCAGGTCACCCCTACGAGCCTACCATTGCGGCCTCGGGAATCGACAACACCATCAAGATCTTCTCGCCCGACCGGCGTGCCCAGGAAGACGCGCGCCGTGGAATCAACATCTTAGATCCTGACAACCCGGCCAACAAGCTTGGTTTTGGGCCAACCGTCAGCGCCATCGGTGGTCTTGGAAGTCGCAAACGCTTGCACGATAGTTATCGGATCATGAGCCAGAACGATGTGGACCGACAGGGCGGTATGAACGAGGCGTATATCACTGTAGGTTTCCGGAGATTTGCTCCCAGTCGTTATGGCATAGGACATGATTTAACCAGAAGACAGAGGCACATGCTGGCCCGCCTTGCGGCAACCCTGAGGGACCAACGACATGGGGTGACCGTGGGTGAAGGAGGCGAACATGCTACCCTTGTCCTGGACGATAACAGCTGCCATGTAAGTTTCCATCTTGACCTACCCTATGGCTCGGATCCCACTAATTGGAGTTGCAGGTGATGTGACCACCTTGACCGAACTGATGGAAGGTGGTGTCTCGGCCAGCCTGCTGCGGACTGGACCCTTTGATAGGATTCGTATTTTCTTCTCTTCCTCTGACCTCCAACTTTGCCTTCATCGATGTTGTTATTAATAGATTCTAGCCCTACGCCATCTTCCTTGTCTGTCTTCGGTCTCTTCCCAGCAGCCTGGGTCCCCCGTGCATCTCGGCTTGGAGCAAAGGTCCAATGTTCTTGAGAGAAAAAGCATTTGAATCCAATGACAGATTTCAAGCAACGCGTGTAGCAGCCGAGCCAATGTAGGCATATAGCCCGCCCGCCCGATTGTAGATCCCCGAGAGGGCCCCAGGCCATCTATCGCCACGTGACCCTTATCACTCCCCCGCATTTGGGGTCCCTCATTTTTCTTTTTTTCCGTCGCCTTCGCCTGTCTTTCCCATCGGCTTCAGCCCATTTCCACTGCCATTGCAATTGAGGATGTCCGCCCTTCAGGACCGAGTCGACGTCACCGCTCGTCTCTATGCAGACCCCCACAATCCCCACCTCTACTACGAACGAGGCCTGGTCCACCAACAGCTAGGCTTTCCAGATCTCGCCTCCGCAGACGCATACCGCGCACTCTCCTTGCTCGACTCGGTCGTTGACCCCGATTGCTGCGAATTCCATGCCACGCGGAAAGCTGAGGAAACCTCTACTGCGCCTGCTACAACTGAGGATGATGATGAGGAGGAGGAGGAGGAGGAGGACTTCATTCCCATCACCCAAGAGGAGTACGACTCGATGATCGGGGACGTTTACGCTCTGCTCGTACGAAGCCTAGTCAACTGCGGCTGCTTTCGCGATGCCTTCGAATTCTGCGTGCGCGGACTCGGGCTCCTAGAGAACATGCCACAGGACGACCGGAATACCTCCGCGCACAATGTGCTCAAAGACCAGCTGGCAATCATTAGGAAAACATACCAAGCCCGTCAAGGAACCACTGCCACCCAAGACACCGACATCAATTCTAGCGCTCTGAACGCCCAAGGCTCCGCGCGACGAGTCCTCTACCCCTGGAACGAGCACGAACCGGACCGCAAATCCCCTGAAACCCTCCAACTGCTGAACGAGCGCCTCAAGGACGTTGCTCCCAAATGCGAGGTCCGCGCCGTTGCCCTGCCCGCTTTACACGGCACCGATGACAACGACAATGACGTCTCCATCCAACTTGGCCTCTTCGCCAAGGAAGACATCGCCCCCAACGAGATCATTCTCCGCGAATCCTCCCTCCTCACCGCAACCAACCGCCTGCACGACGACCTCTGTGACGCCTGCAACGCCCCGCTTCCTGATCTCGCCTCCGACAACCCCCCGGTCGCCTGCGATGGCTGCGCAGACACCGTCTTCTGCTCGCAGTCCTGCCACGATGACGCTCAACGCATCTATCACGGCGCCGTCTGCGGCCTCATGGAGAACCTCGAATCCATCGGCAAAGACATCCCCGACCCCAAAGACAAAGCCGATTACCTCTACCTCCTCCTCCTGGGCCGCACCCTCGCCATGGCCGCCACCCAGGACGTACACCCACTAGACCTCCCGGAGGTGAAATACATCTGGGGCGACTTCCACGATCTCGACATCACCAACCCCGTCACCGCATCCGATGACCCCACCGCAACCCTCCCCTTCTCCTTCCAGCTCAACATCCTCCAACCGATGCGTCTCCTCGAAGAAATGGAACTCGACCCCTACGCCTCCCTCCCCCGCTTCGACACCTGGGTCCTGAACACCCTCTACGCGAAATTCCGAGGCACCGCCTCCGGCCGACTCTCCACCTGGGACGGCGGCCCAGAACTCTGTGCCGTCCACCCACTCTGGTGTCTTGCCAACCACTCCTGCGATCCGAGCGTAAGATGGGAATGGGGCGGCGAGATCACCTTCCGGGCCCGCACCGCGGACGAACGCGCCATTTGGAAGAAACTAAATGGTACGGATCCCAGTGCCCCTCCGGCCCGGAGACAAGGCGAGGGAATCAAGAAGGATGAAGAGATCCTTAACCATTACTGTGACATCGGGTTGAATGTCAAGGAGAGACGGGAATGGGCGAGGGGCGCGTTGGGCGGTTATTGTCAATGTGAGCGATGTGTGTGGGAGGCGGGGGAGAATTGATTCTTCCTTTTTTTTCCCCTCTTTGGGGGTGGAATAGAATGTGCATGTGATAGAGAGAGGAGGATAGAGACAGATATAGAAAATGGTAGATACCCAGAAGGAAGTGGAAGAAGAGGGGAGTTGATGAACTATGCCCATTCATGAAAACAAATTGATAGACGACTCAACGTTAGTACTACATGTATACTCATCTCATACTCCGTAGTATATATATATACTTACGACTAAGGGCACATATAATACCACTAGGGCACAGGTTCTTTCATATTTTGGTCTCCCTCTCTCTGTCTGTATGTGTTCTGTTTAAGACATAACTAATGCGAGAAGTAAGTAGTAGGATCGATACAATCCGTTAAGAAAAAAACAATCCCTGAAGTAATCACTCTCATGAATATCAATCAATTCAACTTATGCCAAGCTTTAGACAAATCCTGCTATTATCGGTCTACCGGTGCCATCTCATTTGGTATTACTTTCGACATCCTAATTTTCAGTCTTGAGGGTTAGTCGCGTGCGCGACGGGGAGGAGTCCGGGATGGAGATCGGCGCCGTCGAGGTGGCGGAGATCGAGAGGGTGAGCGGGACTCGGAGTATTTGCGGCCCCGGCCAGAGCGCGGTGGAGTGGGAGAGCGGGAGGCGGAAGCGTCGCGGGCACGACGGCTGGCGGGGGCACGCCGTGGGGAGCGAGACCGGCTGGGAGACCGAGACCCGGAGACGCTCCGCTCAACCCGCCGGCGGGGAGGAGGCGACCGGGACTCCGAGTAGCGTCCGCTGCGTGCGGGTGCGGTCCGGCGTGGGGGAGGAGTGATTGATCGGGATGGAGATCGGGAGTAGCTTCGGTCTCGTCGGGCGTGCGTGTCGCGCTTGCGAGGAGGGGTGACGGACCGGGACAGCGAGCGCCTGGGGCTCACGCTGCGACGAGGGGAGCGCGAGTCGTAGGAGCGATCCCGTGTCCGGCGAGGAGGGGTTCGAGACACGGATGACCTTCTGCGGTTGACCGGGGAGCGGGACCGACTGTAGGAGACGGAGCGCTGGCGGGTCTTGGAGACGGGAGACCTAGACCGCGAAGGAGTGTAGCTGTAGCTGCGGCGCGAGGATCCGGACAGGGACCGGGTGTAGGATCGGCCCCGGCTGGTGGAGCGTCTGCGGCCACGGCCGGGAGAGGGAGAACGGGAGTAGGAGTAAGAGCGGGAGCGGGAACGAGAGCGAGGAGTGCAGGTCGAGCAGCTGGTGGGGTGCGATATCACGGACTCGGCGTCGGACTCGTCGCCGCCGTCGCGTGGAGGCAGAGCAGGGATCGTGGGCTTGGGGAGGTTCTTCAGGTGCTCGCGCATGTCCTCCGTCAGGATACCCATACCGATACTGGTGAAGTAGTTGATCGAGAAACGCGTGTTGCGAGGGTTGTCCAGGGGGAAGAGACCTTCGAAGCTGGGGCGCAGAATCTCGTCTCTCATGCGCTCCTGCAGCTTTGGCAGGCCCATGTGCTCTCCAAGGTCCTGGAAGAGGATCTTGATGAAGATACGGCTGCTAGAAGTGGTCTCCTCCTCGTTCATGTGGATGATCGACATGACATGCCATCCAATGGCATCGTTGCTGATCATATGGCCGAAGAAACGCGCAATGTTGCGGAGTCGGTTGGTTTCGTAGCGATGGATCGTGTCGTAGTACTTAGCAAATGCGGCCTCAAAGAGGTCCGACCAGAGGCGGTTGATCTTTGCAAATCGCTCTCCGATCAAGCCGTAAAACTTCGAGTACGTGCGCTCCTGAGAGCAACACTCGATGATCATCGAGGGAAGCTCAGGCTCGAGGCCAGGAGGCAGCGAGATCTTCATCAACTTGTGACAACACTCTTCGAAATCGATACTCGACATGATGGTCAGGTAGATCGTCCGGCGCAGGTTCACCAGGTCTGTGTTGGTCTGGTCCTTAATGTCCATCTTCCGCTCTTCCTCCGACTCTTCGTCAGAACTCTCATCCGACTCGTCTTCGTCCTCTTCGTCATCGCTGCCCTCTCCTAAAATCTCCGCCTTCAACTTCTTGTAGGCCTCTTCGTGCTGCTCCCACTCCGCGTCGTACTTGAAGATGTTGAGGGAATCCTGTGTCTCAATCTCATCATCAAGGCCGATCTGGTGCGTTATTTGGTCTTCCTCCTCGATCAGATCCAGCTCTTCCTTGACCGCCGGATTGTCCTTGTACCGATCCTTGCGGACCTGGAACAGCACCTCGATCATGTATTGGACTCGCTTATCGATGTCGGCTTCGTGAAGGATATTCCGGAATTGGTCAAACACCGCCAGGGCAATCGGACCGCTCATTTCCTCCAGATGCTGACCAACTTCTCTGGTGAGGCCCACAGCAATTTCAACACTATCATCCGTGGGCTTGTGAAGGAGCAATAGAAGGATCTGAGCCGCCAGCATCTCATGCGCAACCTGCTGGTTGCACAAATGGGCGATGAATGTCGTGGAGGATATGCAGACCGCCTTGTCATTGCGCTTGAATGCCTTTCGGAACTGAACAATGAGACGGTTGAGAAGTAACTCGCCGACTTGTGGCAATTTGGTATTAACGATAGCTGCCATTGCAGCGTAGATAGGTGTGAAGGGTAAACTGGCGGCTTGGGCCTTCATGATGCTCCGGCAGAACAGACCGCGACCGCGCACCAAGTTCTCTCCGAAAAGCTCCGGAACGATGTACTTGATGTTGGAAACGTTGACCTTGTTGATGAGACCATTGATCGACTTTTTGAGGGCCTCCCATGCCATACGCTGGTACTCCTTGCTGGTCTTGTCCGTAATCTGCGCCTGCAGCGCCCGTAGTCGCGCAGGAGGGATGTAAGTACCTCCCGACCGCATGTTCAGAAGCTTCTCATATTCTGCTTTAGCCGCGGCCTGCTTTTCCTCCTCGGTCATCGGCTTGCGTGAAGTCTCCTGCTTCTCATGCTGGCGAAGGCGCTCCGCGAGCTGTCGCTCTCTTTCGATCGCGCGTTCGGGATCGATGCGCGGCGCATTCGCACCGTCTTTCAGCGAGTCACCCGGAGGCGAGCGACGACGATTCGGCGAAGGAGAACGAGAGGGAGGTGAGCGTTTCCGGGATCCGGAGGCCTGAGGGGAGTACGAGGTGCCTGGGGGAGGAGTAGGCACTCGCACCGCCGACTGCAAGACAACAGGGTCCGTCATGATCCTTCGCAGTCCGCCGAGCAAGAGCTGTGAGTCGTGATGTCCGTAGAGAACACGACGTTGAACTGAGCTCCATGATGAGGCGTGAGGCGGCGAAGAAAGGTCTTAGCGCGCCGCCGGTCACGTGGGAGCTTAGTCGCCAGCCTGGCCGCGCCCGGCCGCTATTCTTTACGAGTTGCTATGGGATCAGGGAGACCAGACCAAGCAACTTGCCTCCACTGTCACTTACAGACCTCTACCAGTAGCGCATCTTCATTATGGTATGATATTCCCCCTACAGCACTGACAATGTTCGGAGACGCTGACTCGAATTGCGCCGTAGCTGGGCCCAATCGTCGGATCCGCCATGCTCCTGGTCGCTACCGCGATCTTTCTCTACTACACGACCTGGACTCTGTTGATGGTATGTCTTAGCGCCGGGCTTCTCTATGTCATAATCGGCCATTAACCTTCTCCTAGCCCTTCGTCGACCCGGGTCACCCTCTCCACGATCTCTTCCCTCCCCGTGTCTGGGCCATCCGCATCCCCGTCTTCCTTACTCTGCTCGGTTCCGCCGTGGTTGGCACGTTCATAGGCATCGTGATGATCAACAGCAACAAGAAGAAGGCAGCTAAGGCCAAGGCGGCCGCGGCAAAGAAGAAGACTTAAGCTTGCTCTGATCGCAGACGTGGCGTTGGGTGGATGGGTTGGGTGTGAACATGGCGACTTGGAACAGGTGGCATCATCTTATTAACAGTGTAACATTACTTTTTCCTTCTTCCCAACAGTTGCCCTTGATTGGGTTGTTCAGTCAGCAGAGCGTTCAATTACACCATCCGCATTCCTCGCAGTCTGCAAGCTTGCCGCGTGGGTAGGTAGGAAGGGGGGGCGACGGGGAGGGTGCGATGACGAGCGCCGACGACATGCCCGGATGCCGCCCAGACCTCAGGCGAAGCGTTCCTGGTTTCCCTTCCTTCTTTACCCTCAATAGCCACCGCGTAATATTTTGGTCACGGCCCGGGTCTCAACCGATGACGATTGAGGGGGACCTTACAGACGATGGCAGTGCTGGCCCTGCAGCCCCGTGACTCCCCTACGGCAACCAGCCACATCTGGCGCCAGGCCAACGGCATTCCAGGCCTGGAACTATGTGATTGGTCTGACTCTATTGGCGGCCAGGCCCTTGGGGGACCCATCCAGGGAAAGGCAAGCCATGAAGAAAGGTCGGGCCCAATTGATTCCGTTTCAGTTCCAGCTGCCCTGGGAGCCTGGGACACATGTCCTGGCGCTGGTGGCTGTTTGGCTGCATTGCCCAGGGCCTTCACGTGATTGCCGTGACCCGTGTTTAGGCGTGGCCGGTTTGCAGTGTTTGTGAAGGTTACCCCTCATGGGGGGCCCGGGCAGAACCAATGGGGAAAGCCGCCCATGGCGTGTGTATTGTTCTCCGCCTTACGGGGTACCGCCCGTACGGTATGGTAAGCGCAGATCATCGGATGCCTCCTAATTCCAGGTCCCAGCCCACCTGCCTGGATGGGGGGCAACAGGCTGGGGATGGGGGTGAACCAGGCAGACGATGGAGAACAGGCCCACGACTAGTCGCCCGTAGTGCTATGTATAATGTAGGAACCTTACCCGTCTGCGTCAGGTTATGACGGTCATGGCTGTCCGTATCCCACTAGTAGCCAATGATCACTCGGGCCCCGTCATGTGGTGGCCCTGGAACCTTAAGGGAAGGAACGACGGGGGGTGGAGGGACGATGGGACTGATAGGAGATAAGTCCGGCGTCGTAGTCAGCCTACCATGGAGATGTCATCCATGCTCCTGACCTGATCCGCTTCCCCTCCCCCTCTCCTTCCCTCCGGTCTTCTTATTCACTTCTTGCTCCTGCACCGTTGCCTACTGCATAATCCTCATACGCGTTTGTTAAACCATTCCTGGCCTTATCTGCCCTGTCTACTGCGACTCGGGCAGCCGGTACAAGCTGTGCTTCCGACCTGTTCTGTGTACAGATCTACCGGCGTATCGACGGGTCACCGCTCCAGATACGCTGTTGTCTCCGTTTCTCCGGCACGGCCGTTGTAGCTGAACCTCTTTTGACTCCCATCCTCCCCAGCATTTCACCCACTGGAAATCGTGGTGAGTCCCTTCTGGCCCATCATCCGTCGTTCGATGACTCATGCTGATAAGCGTTGCTGGATCACAGCAAACACGTTCACGGGATTTCACCGGCAGTGAATCCATACTGCCATTTGCGCGTGTCGTTGCCGGTCGACTACACCTTCAGACCCCCCGTTCTCGGACCTGACCAAGGGTCCTGAGAGCGGTTGCCCTAGCTTAGACCACATTGCCTCCGAGAGGCAATCCCTCCACTTGGATGCCACCGGCAGCCTCGGACGATTTGTTTCGCCAACAGAGCCGGTCCCTAGGTGACAATAACATACTTTCTGAAGATCCCAGTCCAGTGACTTTGGAGCATGATCTCGGTGGAAAAACCAAGAAAAAGGGGAAAACCGGATCCAAGGCGAAGGCTAAAGCCGCTAAAGCAGCCTTGAAATCCCCACCTGACGACCTGTAAGTCTGAACCCTGCACATAACTGATAGGAAGCGCGTCTTCAGATGGTTTTCGACCTGGGTTGACGCGTCATAAACAGGCTAGAAGCATCACCGCCCCTGCAGGCCGAACCGTCATCTTGCCCCAACCCGACACTAGAGCTGCCTCCTGGTGACAACATCGTGTCACCGGTACTCGATGCCCTTGGCACTCTAGGGGACACCCCGGAAAACGACATCGCCTACCGCACCGATAGTTGGACAAAGTCCATTCCCTTTGGGAAAAGCCCGCCGATTGATGTTGTTGATGGCGAATTCGACAGCGGGTCCCCATTTGGTTTTCTCACCAGCCAGGACAAAGGCGGGTTCAGTCATTCCTCTTCGTCCCCTCCTCCCAGGGCAAGGCCCTTGAGTTATGGGCATGGATACGCCAACAGCAGTGTATCTCGACAGCAGTCTGCAGATCGACAAAAGAGCCAATCACTTAGCAGCCCTTTCAACAACCAAGTGCCCCTGCCACATCTGCCACAGGCCCATTTCTATGGAGCGCCTGAGATCGACTTACCTTCGCTTTCTGGTCAGAACGGATCAGCAACGGATGGTAGCTATTCGTTCCGTGCTTTTGACACAATTGTCAGCCCGTCATCCAAAGCCTCGAGGATGGGGAGTAGTGTTATGCTGGCTGGCACGGATGGCGGCTTGGATATCCTTGCCATCGAAGATCGCAAAACGCGTCCTATAGGAAAATTGGCTGGCCTAAATGGCCGCGTCATTGAAGCAAAGTTGCTGAGCAGTTCTTCAACGGATGATCCATTTTTATCATCCAGACCCCATGTCGCCGTCATCGTCCACGGCCCCTCTTCTCAGCCCGATGATGAGGGCCAGGCATCTTCCGATAATTCAGAAGCCAACGAAATTCCTGCTGGCAGACAGTCCGCCGCTGGAGGGCGTACTACTAAAGAGGAGACTAGGTATTACCAGACACGGGTCGAGGTCTATTCACTGAGAACGGGAGAGCACATAACAACGCTTTTGTCGACCCCACCCAGCCCGTGCTTTGGTAACCTACCCGGCCTCCCTGCCTTGGCTCCGTCACCAGCTGGGAACTTAAAGCTATTTGTCAGCGGCAGCTACGTTGTAGTGGCGTCTGGCTCTAGCGGTGAGGTATATATGTATGGCATGAGCAAGTATCAATGTCTAGGGAAGACGTGGACCAGTATCAAGTCGAAGGAATCTCGGCGATACTCTACATCCTCGAGCTCCACCGATCCAGATGGATCTCAGTCTGATTCTCCTCATGGATCTCTCAACTCCGATAACCCGATTGTCACGTTGAAGGGGAGATGGCTAGCTATAGTCCCACCGTCGGCCACTTATAGGGCTACTCTCCACGGGACAGTCCCGACATCCTTGTTGCAAGGCAAGGCTTACGGACTCGAGACTCGAAGCCCACCGTCGCGGCCAACAGTAAACTGCGCTACAGACGTCGGCGAGGGCGAAAGCTTCTTCGGCAAGGTAGCCCGGGGTGTCACCCAAGAGCTCATGCGAGGCGCACGCTGGATGGGTGACCAGGGACTACAGGCATGGAACAGCTACTGGAATAAGGAGCAGTCACAGAGCATGCCAGCACGCCGACCTTCTAATCTGATGGACTTTTCTCCACAGGGTTACAATCTCTTCCCCCCCACACATGCCCAAGAAACGCAAGCTGTGTCGGCTACTGAGCCTGATCTGGTATCGATCTTTGACCTGCGGAGGCTTGACGAAGGCGGGGAAGCCAAAAGTGCCTTATTCAACCCGGTGGCCACTTTCCAGGTGCCAAATGGCTGCAGCTTCCTTTCTTTCTCTCCTAACGGCCTCATGCTGTTTACGGCGAGCAAGAAGGGAGATGTTCAGTATGTGTGGGATCTTATGCAGGCCAAATACTGCCGGGCAGGTGCTTTCATGTCTGATGACCCAGCCGCTGCTCAGCCGAGCGTGCGACAGATTGCCCGGTACCCGCGGTTGACTACGTCCCACATCGTTGACGTGGTTTGGTGCCCTCCTTCCGGGGACAAGCTAGCAGTGATCACGGGAAAGCCGACGGTACATGTGTTTGACCTGCCACGAAGCGCCTTCCAATGGCCTCCGTTCCGTCGGTCTCGGCCACAGCCCAAAGCCCACACCCCCGATGTCCCTGCTGAAGAGCTCCCGGATCGGGTGGCGGCCGCAAATCCCCTGTCAGCAGCCTTCAAGATGGTCGGCGGTAAGACGCAGCCAATCCTTGCTGCAGTCAGGAGCCGTACGCCATCCACCGGGACTGCTTTCCCCTCCGTCGGTGGCTTTGCCATACCAGCTGCCGCTGGCGTGAGTGGTAAGGCAGTCGCTGCTGGCCTTAGCAAGTCCATGGGAGCCGCTGCCACCGGCACTGTCAAGACGGTCAACACCTTCCGACACGGTGGCGAGCACCGTCTGCACCTGTCCAATCTCTCCCGGGATCCTGTTGCCTCTCGTGTGACGTGGATCACCCACAAAGGTATGCCGTTCTTGGGCTTGATCGATGGGGGGTATTTCCGTCTGTATAGAGTCAAACGCTCTACCTCCGCCAGCAAGAATCGACAGGTGCAGTCGGTGATTGGGAACAAAGAACTTGAGTTCCGCTTGCCTCCTCAGATGCAGACCCCTTGCGGCTCCATGACCGTGGGTACCTCCGGCCCAGAACCAACCGTGTCTGCAACGTTGGCTCTGCCGTCCTCGAATCTGCGACTGCCGCCGGCATCGAAGCTGAAATGCCAGCCGCTTTCCCAGGCAGAGATTGAGACAAACACACCGTACCAGCCCTTCCATACTGATCAGAGGGTAAACCTCTTCGTGTTTTCCGAGGCGGATGACACCGTGACCTCGGTCCCGACCGGTCAGTGGGCGTTTGGCGGTCCTATGTCGACCACGAAGCTTCATGTCCGTCCTTTCAGTGCCAGCAGTGAAGAGGATGACGATGATATGGTGCATGAACAGCACGCGGGCTTTGGGGCTGAGATGGAGAATCTGATCAGCATGGGAAATAGTACGGGCAATGTGGAAGAGGTGGTTATCACCACGCGCAGGAAGAAGAAGCCATCCTCGGCACTATCCATGGGGGGTGTTGATGATGGCTTCTTCGAGGACGACTGTGAAGTGTTGGACTTTGCGCGGGACCGAGTCTAGTTGCGACATGCACGTATCATGTCGCTGGCGGGGTCTACTGAAACTGAACTAATATGCCATATTTTAGACTTACATTGGTACCGGCGTTGGTGTGTTTGGAATCTACGTGCACTCCTTTCTGCTCTTGCCTCGTGCATCAGGATCGACCGCGTTGCGCGTGCAGGGAGCTCAACGCCATGGCGGGCTCATGGGTTACTGCCACTATTGCATGCACTGCATCGGACCTTGCCATTCGCTTATGCATTGTGTTTTGTGCCTCGCACGACTGTATCTTCAGGCCTGATGTCGTGACTTTTCCGATGTTACATTCTATGTTACATACCCAGTACTGTACTGTGAATCAATAGATGAATTATATGGGAATTGGTCGTAGCGTTCATCTGGTAGACGAGGCATGGTCGACACTGTCAGACCGGGATCTGCAGGGGAACCTTGTCCTGACTTTCGACACAAGCCTTCTGCCATCTCCTCTCGCCATAAATGGATTAGTGTGGAGGTAGTCCCAGTCCAATTCATCCATTGATCCTTGCAATAGTTCGGGCCGAATAGCAATAGATACCTCGCGATCGACATCCTATCTTCCGCATCAGAATCATACGTCAGGTCCGCCTGTCCTGTCTCCTCGGTGGGAACTCTGCTCGGTCGAGCCCGAACCCTCCTCCACCCGTTCATTCCATCTCAGCAGTCAGCACGGAGGATCTGCAGCTCTGATCGACTGGGTCCGAGAGTGAGACAGGCCCGACCCAGGCCCAGCTGTGACCCACTGAGGGGCGTCTTAAGTACTACTATGTATGTAAATATGTTGAGATGTCGGTGGGTATGTCTCATACTATTCTTCCAAGTTGTCCACTGGGTTATGGGGATTGATCAAGATAAGTTGGTAGGGGAGTGGATGTCACGTGGTCCTATCGAGTGAGTTGAGTACATTGGTAGGTAGGTTGGTAGGGAGGTAGGTAGTATTAATGGTATTACGCACCGCATGTCACTAGTTTAGTTATTGGTATTGTTGTGACAAGGTATGGTATGGTATTGAGAAGGGAGTTGAGTGAAGAATATGATAGGATAGATGAATACAGAACCAGAACGGAAGGAAGACGGGTAGTGTTTTAATCCCATGATCAAACTGAAGTATGTAAAGCAAGTAGTAAAGCAAGTAAAGTATGAAGTTAACGCATCGACATAATTATTAACTATTTGGGGTCCCGTGACTTCAATAATCAAATTCCTTCATATTAACACAGTGGTGCCGGAGATTCTGGTATTTGTAGGTAGGGTAGGGTAGGGTAGGGTTCGTTTGGTTTGGCTTGGTTAGCTCATTTACAGAGCCCAAGCAGCCAGAACGAATCCAATGACGCCCGCGGCCGAAACGCCCAGCTTGAGCTGCGTGATGGCAGCGGCGTTTTCGGTCGAGCTGGCGTGGGAGCCTGTCGCGGTGCTGGTGCCACTTCCCGAGGAGCCGGACTTGGAGTTGGAGCCTATTTGGTTGGGGGAGTTAGTATGTTGGGCAGAGTGGGGTGATGGGAAGGAAAGGGGAAGAGGAAGGGGAGGCACGTACTCGATCCAGTGGAAGAGGAGCTGCCACTCTTGGTGGTGCTGGCGTCGTTGGAACTGGCCGTGGTGGCGGACGAACCGGACGAACCAGTGGCGCTGGCCGGGAAGAAGTAGCTGCTGTAGCAGCTGCTCTGGCAGCTCGCGTAGGACTTTTGGTCACTGGGAGAGCCGGAGCCCTGAGGGCAGGCGGCAACGCAGCTGGTGGTGTCGTTGGCCTGAGCGTTGTTGGGGCAGGGGACTTCGTAGCACTGAGCGATGCAGCAGATGTCGGTGTCGGCGCCTGGGTTGGTTAGTTGGGTTTGAGAGGATGATTGTGGTTGGTGGGATGGAGTAGGGATATGCAGGCCGTTGGATTATGCAGACGAAATTGCAATCGACCCAGGATAATGGGAGATGATGTGCACGGGGATAGGGGACAGAAGCAAGTACTTACACTTGGTCGCGCAGGAGGCCTGGGGAGACAAGCTGGCGGTGGTGGTTGCGCTGCTGGAGGTGGAGGAGGCGTCCTGGGCGACAGCCAGAGCCAGCAGGGAGGACAGAGCGAGGGCGCTGTTGAACTTCATTGTGCTGGGGTGGAGATAGAGAGATCAATCGATCAATGAGTCGATGAGGAAACGACAGACAGTAGATGGAGGTGAAGATCCCGCGAGAAGTAGCGAACGAGCGCAAGAGGTGGGACAAACGAAAGACTGTGCTGTGAGGTGAGGAGAGAAGAGAAGAGGAGGAAGAGGAGAGGCGAAGAAAGTGAAAGGCGAGGCGGGCGTAAATAACCAGACAATGAGCCGGGGGTAGCGGCCGGCGTATCAGGCGATGCGCGATTCTCCCGCTGCCATTCATTAGTGGGGTTTCAGCGACTGGACGAGCGTCACACAGGCTAGTCGCGGTCCTGGGGGTCTGACTGGCCCGGAGCTAGTCCGCACACCCTTACTTGAGTGGCAATTCATCACTCAATACCGCGGGAGGAGGCATCTATCTACTATCTTCTACAAGGCCAGGCCCGATCCGGGGGAAATTGCGCAGGAGCCTAAAGAGGGCCCCCCCCCCCACCCCTCCCCCCAGCACAGTCCAGGTTGGAGATCGGGACTGGCAAATTCCTCGCGAGCACTCAGCCCAGAAGTGAGAAGTCGACAGACCCTGAAAATCTGGGGACTGCGCAGGATCGGCTAAAAATAACCCTAGTCAGAAACCAAGCCAGCAACCAAGGCACTACTCAGACACTAAGGGGCCAGGCTACCAGCACTAGTGAACCGTCACTGTCCACCCGTCGGTCTTATCGCTGGATGGGGTCGGGCCAGCGCATCCAACGCGACGGGGCGTGGCCATTGGTGGGCGGATCTGTCAGAAACTGTCATGAGGTCGAACTGGAATGTGGTCGAGAGGAACTGTGAAGATCCTGTGAAGTGGTCAGCACGGGGACAGCCTGTCGACCCCCGAAGAATAGGGGCAATGCATCGACACTGCGCCTGCTTTCTCGGGTTAGCGTGCCTCGGGCGGTTCCGACGTGGGTTGAGCCAATCCCCGACTCGAGGCATCCTCGACTTCTGCTAGAACCATCTATTCCAAGAGCAATGCATTACGTCTCTACCAACGAGGGTTGTGGCTTTTCTTGCCCATCACACGTCTCCAGTGATCTGCCAGTGCTTCAGATGAACACCATTACTGCTGTTAAAGAGCGTGCTGATGTTGTTCATATGCCAACATCATTCATTTACATTCCGTCAAACCGCTCGCAAGGAGTTGCTAACAGGAGAACAAAAACATCAGGGCCAGAGCATGCACATTACAGTGTGGCCTGAAGGAGAGCAGATCGTCTGAACCAAAACCTCTCTGAAACATATCGGTAGCACTTCCAAAGCTCGCAGGATATGACTTACCGGAAGATCCTTACCAAAGCATAAGCAATCATAATGCTTGTTGACTGTCAAAGATTGGAATAGAATAATGACATGAAAGTTCATGATAGATTAGTGTGATATTCCCCATTGCCACCCACTGAGAGCTTTCCCCTTGATAGCTTTTCGCAGCCCTTTCGCAGCAGAGGAAAGTAATGTTTTAAGGTATACTGGGCTATTTTGATACAATGAAGATGCTTAGAATTCTTGAATTATCATTGAGGTGTCTTTTACCACTAATTCTTGACATATCAGTTATTTAGGATATGATACTAGAGGGATACTTGGATTTTGCTTGTATAAATATACGCGGTAGGTACGCCAGTTACATCGGGCTGCGGAAAGGGCAATTGGAGATGAACTGATGGTTTGATGGTTTGATTGGCCGAGACCCACTTCTTCAACGCATCAGAGTGAAGATACGATCTGTACGCGGAGCGAATCATAGGAGATTGTTGGGTTTGGGGCCGTCAGTCAGAGTATCAGCAATGGTACTTAGTTCTATAATCTTTGGTAGATAGTCATCATGTCGTGGCTTGGGAGGTGAACGTGTTCCCGAGACTGTATCAAGACTGTACACAGTATGGATCACCATGACGCACCCCATTTGTCGATTCCGTGATCTTTTATTCACTGCTCCACTCATCCCCGGTACAGGTGCCGAACCAATCACCACCGGTTGGAATATATATCGCTGAATGCCCGCCCCTGTCTCCCATGTACAATTTCATCCATCCTTGCGTTCTGGCTCATAATGTCCTACGAATACGCCTTTCTTCCGCATCCCCAAAGATGAGGATATGATCACGACATCAGCCCAGAAATACAAACAACTGCGTCTCCATGCTCTATCCGTCGCTCCAGCTTCCTTCTCCTCGACGTACGAGATTGAATCCGCCCTCCCGGAGGAAGGTTGGGTCACTCGTCTGACTGCAGGGGGGAAAGAGACCTTTATATGTGCTGCAACATCGATCAATAACCATGCGTCAAGCCCAGAAAGCACATGAATAGGTCAGTTGACGTTATGTGGTCCGCAGAACCGAGAAGATTTTATTTTTGCCTGAAGAATCCGGTCAGAAGACCCCTTCCGAAGACCAGGAGCTCTGGCAGATGCTCAGCTTGTTCACGCTTCCTGATCACCGTGGTCAGGGGCTCGGGAAGAAGCTGTGTCGAGAGGCGCTGGATTACTTAGTCTCGCACCGAGAGGCTGAGAGGGAGGTCTGCGTGCGCTTGATGGTGAAGCCGGAGAACCATGCCACAGTAAGACTGTATCAAGGGCTAGGGTTTGTGGAGGCTGGAAAGTGTACTCTTGCTGAGGCATTTATTGCGACTGGGGATCGGGAGCTGCCTCCGAAGGATATCAGTGGAGAGAAGTACAGTTCGCGGACTGGGTTGATCATGATGCTGGAGATTCGTCGCTGGTGATGGTCCCGTCGTCGTTCCGTCTGCGGCGGAAGGGCAAGGAAAGATGGGAATATTCGGATAAACCGAGTGTTTTTTCACCTTTCAAAAAATACCTTGAACGTACCGCCCTGGTTCAGGAACGAAGGTCGGTTCATCAAATATTGCGAGGCCAAATGCCGCTTCAACGTCCCGGCGGCGGAAGCCCGGGGCACCACCCAGACACACCCCCCTCGAAAGAAGCTCTGCTCAAGACATTCAGTATCCCTACAATCACAGTGCAATCCCAGAGGAATAAACGAAGACCAACCTTGAAGAAAATGATCCACATGGAAGATCTTGACACCTTGCCGAATATTCCACTCTACCGAGCTAGAAGGTAGAAAACGCAAGTCCGACAGGTACATGAATGACTGGGCGCCTCCAATAACAAGCCCGTTCTCTTCGAGCCAGCCCTCAATGTCCCGCGGATCGAACCATGGGTCTTCGTCAGCCACTGATAGTGTACTCCATTCGAGAACGGGGCCTATCAGCGGTTCCTTATAGTGAGTACCTGCGCCGCCCAGCCGATAGACATATGCGGTCTGGTAATCAGCATTGGTCCGTAGTAAGTTGTCAAAGGTTGAGGCCATCGTGTTGGCATCTGAATACAGGAATGAATACTGGAAGACGCGGGCGACTTCGGCCCTGTCGGCTGATGGGCTGGTGAGTAGAAAGTAAGCGCGCTTGATGCAATTAAGATATAGTCTCTGCGAGAAATTTCTCGGGGGCGGGGCTTGTCCTTCGAAGGTCGTAGAGAGATAATCTAAAGCTGGCGCGGGAGTAGGCAGCGGGTCTTCGATAGATACAGCTGGTACAGGCGATTTGGGAGCGCAGGAGGCGCGGATATTGGACGAGATGCCTGGAGACAACGAGGGGGAATCATTGCTTGAGTCGTTCTGGTTAAAATGTCCTCCCCGTAGTAACTCGCTGGCATGTTCGATTTGGGATGCAGATAAGAAGTCGCGGGTGATGGTCTGGAGTTGGTGCGCCAAGTCTGGCTGGCTCTGAATTGTAGCTGGCTCCGTGATGCAGGATATCAAGTCAACAAAAGACTGTCTCATCCGGTGGATGCGGTTTTCCAGATCCGCAATGCGGTTGATGCGCCGAGCAGCTTCCTCCTCTTTCCGGTTTCTATAGGCCTGCTGTGCTTTTCGGACCTGATTACGGCGTCGCTACGACCAGTTAAACATCATGACCACTAGAGAGGGGAAGAAAAATCCAGACATACTTCCACCAGACCTCTTTGCGTGGGGTCGATCGGGGGTCGGCCTCGCTTTCCCGTACGCAATCGGCGAAGGTTATCCTTAACATAATCATCTTTCGTGTTCTCACCCAACCTTCGATCCTGATCACTGAGATCAGTGTCAGGAACAGACGAACTAGAAGAAGACATTGTCGTCGTGACTACGTAGACGGATCAAATGAGGCTGTCGTGTCGAGTTCGATGTAAGATATGGCAGACCGCCACCCGGAGCTTCCCACGTGCCATGCATGGGCCTGGGAATCTGTCCGGTCTTTCGGTGGAAAGTCGGACCGCCCTCTAATTATGTTGCTTGGCTTTCTTTCCCTATGATAATACCTCTCACACAATGAAGCCTTGATGGTGCCACGCATCGAGGCTAGATGCGAGCTGAACCTGCCAGTTTCAAGTTTCAATCGTGCCTGCCTTGGAGGTAAGGACTGGGGTGCAGTCAGTGCCCTTTCGCTTCTTGGCTTTTCGACTTTCTGTGTATAAGAGAGCTCCCTTTCAAAGCCTACGTCGAGATGAAGAATACTATATACATCCAGTCCACCACTTTGCGACACCTCCCCACCAACCCCGAGGCCCAGCTCCACTAGACCTGGACGGAGGGTTCTCATCCATGAAATGAGCCTCCACCCCGCTGGCAGATGGTTTCGGGAGGCACCCAAGTGGTACACCGCTGTCAACAAGCTCGTGCTTGGAAAACCTTCGAAGCAGACGGCGGGATATCGGGTCGACTCCTAGCATTCTAGACTTCGGATCATAGAGTCCCAGTCCAACAGAGTAGTCGAAATGGGGATCCGCGCCGCAGCTCAGAAAACATTCCACCGTCCGAAGAACGCGAAGTCGGGTCCGACGTGACATGCTGACTGGGAGATTGTCCACGAAGTGGCCCCAGATTGTGCATCCTTTATAACAAATGTTAACATTGGGACATTTCGAAATCATGGCATCAATGAGATCACAGAGAAGAAACGGGAAATCGTCGGAATCCCCCCGCTGCTCCCAGTTGGCCTTCTGCATGACGAGAAACTCCGCCCAAGCTGTTCCTGGTCCGCGATCACTGTGGACGGTCGCACCATGGTTCAAGAGCTGCTGCATGACTTGGAGAAGAGTCACACGAGTCGCTGGCTCGATGGTCTGCCACGACTGTGCGACGGAGTTTAGGAAGCGGATCCATACGGTAGTGTCTTTCCCTCCCAGCTTCCAGTCTGGATCAGCCCCCCTATCGAGGAGAAGATGGACCATGTCTGGGTTGGGGACCTCGAAATATCCCACCACTGGCTCTTGTGTGGTGCATGGGAATAAAGCACAAAGCAACAGTGCGCTCAGATACTCCCGTGTCTTTAGTCTGGGTTCGTCGTCGAGTCTTTCGCGGACATAAAGAAGGAGGTCTCTTCTAACGCATATGGCCGTAAAACTACCACCCAGGGCCTGGGTTAGATGACGGATGGGGCCGAATGTATCTGGCTCCAGGAACGAGTTCAGCAGGTTGGCGCCAAACTTGGAATATAGAACTGTAATGACACGCTCCAACTCATCCAACAGGTCCGTCTGAGGACCAGAGCTCTGCGCACCATCTTCGGACTCATGAGCGAAACTGGTGGCATGTTCTACCAGTGTTACAAAAAGCGGGCGAATACTCGTCAGGCTCAGTCCCGGGGGCAGGGATTTGACTTGATGCAGGAATGATGCGCACAGCCAGCGAAGCGAATTGAATGGAGTTGGCAACCGGCTTGAGAACATTTCCCGCATTTCATCTGCTTCGAGAAAGTCCCGCACCGTCCGGTGCAGGAAATCAACGCGGTACAGCTGGAATTCCTCAGGGGCTGGGAACCTGTTATTGGCACTCCTAGGGAGAGGCGTACGCCTACAAGAGCTCTGTAACAAGGCCTCTCGAGCAGTGGAAGGTGCAGAGGTTTGCGTGACAGTTGTTATCTCCAGGAGATCCTGACACCTGGCATTCAAACGCTTGCTCATAACCCGGCATCGAGATCTCAGCTCACTCGCCGTAAGAGGCTTTATTGGTGAAGCAAGAGCGAGCCTGACGGGGTCGTCTTCATCCAGGAAAGAATATGTCAGTAAGCTCAAAGCCCTCTTTGACTGCAAGGCAATGTCGAAGCATTTCGCTGCTTCTACTCTATATGCCGAGTCGACGTTATTGAGCATGTGGCGAAAGTAGTCCTCTAAATCCGTTGGAAGCATCCGAAGTCTTCGTTGCAACTCCGGAAGTCGATCCTCGTTCTCAAGCCCACGTTGCAGGGAGCGTACCACGAGATAGACCCAGAGGAAGACACCATTAGCCTTGCTAACAACCTCGTGGACTAGGTCACACCCGTCGGGGTTTTCTTCGCGGATAAACCTTCGATAGGTGACATGCCCTCCTAGTTTGGTTTGCACATAGAGAAGAATGTCGCTCCTCGTGAGATCTTCCAGGAGTAGATATGGGTAATCCTTCTCGCTAAATGCATATTGAAACACATTCCATGGGCGACTGGATAGACAAAGCTTGACATTTTTATTGCCTTCGACAAGATTGCACAAGAGGTCTATCAGCTCTGCATGATCACCGTGGTACTCATCAAGCCCATCAATAAAGAAACAGAACTTTGACGAGATAGTGTCCTGTCTCGCCAATCGATAACACGCGTCGATCAACTGGGGCCTTGACCATAGGCCGGGAGATGTGCTGTTCGTCCATTTGTCGATATCTCCATGCCACTCCGAGGGAAATACCTCCTCGATAAGGTTGGGATGCTTCTGTAGGACTTCATGCAATATCGATCGGAGCAGACCTTCCTGGGACTTCTGAAGCGTGGTGCCCGCATTCCAAAAGAAAAAACGGGCCGTGATCAACCGATCGTCACCAGCCCAAGAACGTAGTGCGGCACGACTGAGCTTGTGGTTGCAAAGGAACTTCATCAATGTTGACTTCCCTGATCCAGCTTTGCCAGAGACCCAGTATATCCCGCTCCCATCCTTTAGCCACTCATGCAATAGGCACTGAGCCGATGAGCTTGATGACTGTTGTGTACTAAATACCCATTCGAAGGTTTTCGCATGCGATTCTCTAATTTGAGATTGCCTCTCGCGAATGGAGCGGTACGAGAGACTATCTAATAGTCTTGTTTGAATGGCAAGTTTCTCGCTGGCCTTGAGCCATCGAGAAAGGTTTGATATGGTCTCATTGAATTCGCCCGTTTTGGAGTCCTGAAGTCGAAACCACGTTGCGAGACCTTCATTCGCGGCTAAGTGATCTCGCATGCTGGCGACAGCCTCATTGAGGCTATTAAGATGCTTGCGATACATGTCGTTTGTCTCCTTCAGCATCTGGGTATTTGCCGCAGAGACGATCTGTGACTGGCGGTTAATCCCATAGAATTCCTGCAAGGACTTCCATGTGGCAGAGCTTTGATCGCAGAAGATCATCATCAGACACGTGCTCAACTGCTGGCCATAGCTGTCCAGCTTTCTCGCAATCTTATCGATTTCCCCCGACTTTCTCATGCGCCGCAGGGCGATACGGAAGGCCTCCCATTTTCGGTGCAGTGAATAGTCTGCCTTAGCCCGGGCTTGGCCATCGGTCGGCGCATGCAAAGATGTGATATTCTCTGCGGCGGCCGATGTCTTCAGAGGGCGTAAAAGATCATCCAAGTCTTTCGCCAGCTTTTTACATCCCTCGGAGATCTCAAGCAAGAGCTTCTCCCCGCGTGAATATTCATGTCCCGGTAGCGAGGAGGGAAGAAGGCGGGCATTGTCGGCCAGCTCAAGAAGCCGCCCGGCGGCCGATTGTAGTTCAACATCCTCAACAAAAGCCCCTGTGGCCGACTTGTAGATCTCGCGACTCTTCGAAAATAACTTACATCCGACTTCAACAAACTGAACGACGTTCCCCACGAGTGACAAACAGGACAACGGATCCAGAACCATCCTGGCAGGTGTCGGGCAACCTTGCCAAGACCTACCCTGGCGTGCGGTGGACTAGAATTCCCAGGTCTTTGCAAAAAGGTGATCGCTCGATATTTATTCTTCCATGAATCTATGTCAGCGAAGTGTTCGTGGTGGGCTGTGCTCCAGCTGTGCGTGCAAGGCTACGGCCTCCTGCTGGTTGGGTAGAAGGATAGCACTGCCTCCGCAAGGCTGGCCACGGACATGGGGTGCATCTTTCAATCATGATATCTTATCAAACCTCCCAGAGGATGATTGGCTTTCGAAGAGGGCAGTGTTCAGTCATCGCTTCGTGCATACGAGAAAATCAAGTTGCCTCTTCACCCCTGCCAGACCCTGGCCGATCACAGCCCTTTACGAGGTGACGGGGCCATGCCCACCCGCATACATGCGGGGTGAGTGACACGGTGCGACAAGATACTGCCGCGGGTGGCTGTAACCCCTGTGTAATCTCAGCGGACATCACAGGGATGTCCTCAACACGCGGGTTATGCGTGAAGCCATAGGTATGCCAGATGACGATATCTTCGTTTCGGACCGAGTCACGACATTCATTGACCCATGATTTAATTCCCGTGCCCCCAAGGGATTGATTGGTGTAGCCTCCGGCAAAGAAGAGCTGCCGGTCCTTGTATTTGGTCACCCATATAGGGCTCTCGCAGAACTCTGAACGGCGCCAGTGCCAGGATCCAGGGCGAGCGAGAAGCATCTACCAGTCATTAGATACATACAATCAGAAAGGAGTCTCCAATCAAGCGTACCTGGGATCGATGAGGCACAAGCTTGTACCCAATTGGCGTCTGGGACACTGGATTTTTAACATTCTCGTTTAAAATATTGAAGACTCTGCCCTTGGAGATATCATCCTCCACAGTAACTGCCCGATCCATAATATGTTGCTGTGTGATAAACCTGGTGCCAAGGGGGTTCAGATTATCGTCCCATGGGATGAAAACGGAGTCTGTGGACGCAAAATTGTTTTTATGGCCACCAACGGCAGGGTCAATACGCAAGTTGAAAAGATGCTGATGGTATGGTGCCATGACGCCATCTGCAACACAAGTACCCCAGGGTACCTTGGCATCTTCGTTAATCGGCTGAGTGGATAGAATGCCCGTAGCACGGGTTTCGAAAGTGAGTTCGCCAGACTGATCGAAGTACCACATAAAAATATACTCGTGGTTTGTCACGGTGATGATTGTTTGCAAGACGAGCTGACGCTTTCTCACCACTGTTGCCTTTCCGGTTCGGTGGTTCGGGGCAAGCGAAAGGGACTTCAGTACAGCGCTAGTATCCCAAGGACATATTGACGTGGTTAAACATCCCCTTGAATTGCTCATGCCCAATGATCCCATAGGCTTAGCCGGTAGATGGAAGTTCAATCACGAGCAAATCGATTCTGGTGTGGCTCGCTCGCGCAAAGTATATGCGTAGACTGGATCCTAAGAGACAAAGAAGCAGGGTCTCCTGGTTTCTCTGCAAAATAGTTCAGAGCATCCAACTCTTCTTCCTCGGTATTCGCTCTGTACTGGACTGGATGTTGGTTTCCGTCCTCTGCAACAGTTGGGAGTCCCTTGTTTCTTTGTTCGTGATCCGCCGATCGCCTGGCTATATAAGGACCTGGTGATCTGTAGTCCTCTAGGCAGCAGAGCTGGTTCATTTATCTCTCTCGTCTGCCTCTCATTTTCTGTTTCCCTCAGAAGTGAGCACCTCAAAAGTTTCGCCTACACCCGTCTCGTCCTAGGGTATGCTGCCCCTTCTGAGGAAAATCCCAATCACAGCCCAGCTAATTCTAAACTGCCCGCAGTGCTCGTGCCATGGGACCTATTTGTCTCAGCAGCCCTCATCATCGCCTGGATCGCCGTCTTACTGGCACAATGCGCGTACATTCCATTGGATCTATACCCTCAGGTCTCAGCGGTGGTGCTGTCATTGCTCACGCTAGCATTACACCGAACCTCTGACAGCCGACCTCTCGACCAAAAGGACTAGTCTCTTGCCAGGTATCCTATGTTAGGAGTACCTGGCAACCCTCGACTCCATGATGGCATGAATTGAGGAGCGTGGTCATCCACTAGCCGACTGGTTTCTGATCAGCTTTGTACTTATTTGAGAGGGTGTATGGTTGAGGACTATCAATGCGACACGTAAATTGCACTCAGTCTATTAGTTCAGAGCTGTTCTAGGTGAAGTTGGATGACCTCTCGATGTAAATGTTTACTCATTTCTTACATAAGCCACCTTATCTTATCGGGGCATGTGATTGCTATCGGACGCGTCGTCGCGTGTTGGCCGCTCGGTTTGCGGAGCTCATTCTACGAACCACCTCGGGTTCGACATGTCCGGCCTTGATGGTGGCTCGTCCGACTACTTCGATGATGACCTGGCCGACTTTGTCGTCGACCGCCCCTCGGATGCGGCAGGCTCTCCAACCGATCCTGATACCCCTCCACCAGCCAAGCGCCGTCGCCTGAGAGCTGAGGGAAATGCTTCAGAGGGCCTACAATCACATCAGAAACACCGGACGGGTAATAGCGATGGTTTTGAAAGTGGTCCAAGCTCCGACTTGTTTGTCGACCAGAACGATGACGAACTGCCATCGCCTCAGCAAGAGTCATATTACTTCCAGGATGATCAGGACCGAGACGCACGGTCCAAATACAAGGTCTTCGCGCCGAAGAACAGAAACCTTCAGGAGAACATCTTTGTGACTCAGCTAACGCAGCCCCCTTCGCCTCCTGAGATGCTTCGTGGCCCGCGCTGGAAGAAGCCCGATCGGGGCTTGCCTCCTCGAACTACAACCGCGCTGCCGGTAAACCAAAGGAGAGGAAGCGGGGCTGGTGCTGGCAATGAGAATGACGAGTATGACGATGATGAAGAGCTGAAGGCGGCAATTGAGGCTTCCATTCAATCGTTCGAGGAAGAGAGTTCCAGACCGGCACCCTCACTGCCTGTACATCCATCACCTCGCCCTGCTGTTCCCGCCGCCAGGCAGCCGAGCACTGCCACCGATACCTCCAATGACCTTTTTGATGATATCCCCGACGATGCCTTTGATTCAGATCTATCTTTGTCTCCGCCGCCTGTCACCCAGTCTCGCCCGGCAGCTCGGTCTTTTACACAGTCTACAAACCGCCCGTTGGGCATTCGCCAAACCACGCTGTTTGATCTGGCTGCCCGAAACCCGGAGAATCAGCCACCGCGCGGGGAACAGGTATACGCGCCGCCTGAGAAGAGCGAACCACCTACGCAGCACAAATTGAACCAAGACGCCCTGGGTACATGGGTCTATCCTACGAATTTGGGCAAGACTCGAGACTATCAATTCAACATTGCGCAGAAGGGCCTTTTCCACAACCTGCTAGTGGCACTACCCACTGGTCTTGGAAAAACGTTCATTGCGGCAACAATTATGCTCAACTGGTTCCGGTGGACCCAAGATGCTCAGATTGTCTTTGTTGCGCCCACCAAGCCGCTAGTTTCTCAGCAGATTTCTGCGTGTTTTGGAATCGCGGGAATCCCCCGATCCCAGACAACCATGCTTACCGGGGAGGCGGCCCCGGGAATACGGGCTGAAGAATGGAAGGCCAAACGCGTATTTTTCATGACACCCCAAACTCTGGTCAACGATCTCAAAACTGGAATTGCTGACCCCAAGCGGATTGTTCTGGTCGTTGTCGATGAAGCCCATCGCGCAACTGGTGGTTATGCGTACGTAGAAGTTGTCAAGTTCCTCCGGCGGTATAATCAGAGCTTCCGTGTTTTGGCCTTGACAGCCACGCCTGGCTCGACAGTGGAGTCTGTACAAGCTGTCATTGATGGACTGGATATCTCGAGGGTCGAGATCAGAACGGAGAATTCACTAGATATCAGGGAGTATGTCCACTCCAAAAACACGGATGTGCAAACGTTTCAGAACTCGGAAGAGATGGTCCTTTGCATGGATCTTATGTCAAGAGCCCTGCAACCGCTTCTTGATCAGCTGCGAAGTACAAATGCCTACTGGGGCCGAGATCCCATGGGACTTACTGCGTATGGTCTCACCAAAGCCAGACAGCAGTGGCTGCTGTCGGATTCTGGCAGGAATGCCCATTTCGGTGTGAAGGCCAAGATGAATGCCATTTTTACCGTTCTGGCAAGCTTGGCTCATGGGATTGATCTTCTCAAGTACCATGGAATCACACCTTTCTACCGTCATCTGGCGCATTTCCAGTCCAACACGGACGGGCAAAAGGGTGGCAAGTACCAACGACAGATTGTGCAAGATGACAACTTTAAAAAGCTTATGAGTCACTTGCAGCCGTGGGTCAAAAACCCAGAGTTTATTGGCCATCCGAAGCTGGAGTATTTGAAACAGGTTGTGTTGAATCATTTCATGGATTCTGGTGAAGGCTCCGGTGCAGGCGAAAATCAGGATCAATCGGCCACCCGCGTGATGATTTTCGTACACTTCCGTGATAGCGCGGAAGAGGTGACGCGAGTACTCAAAAGATACGAGCCCATGATTCGGCCCCATGTCTTTGTCGGGCAGAGCAGCGCCAAGGGCTCGGAAGGAATGGGCCAGAAAACACAGCTGGACATTGTGCAGAAGTTCAAGAAGGGGACGTACAACACCATTGTTGCGACTTCAATCGGTGAGGAGGGGCTGGATATTGGTGAAGTAGACCTCATTGTGTGTTACGACTCCTCTGCATCCCCTATTCGCATGCTGCAGCGTATGGGACGTACTGGCCGGAAGAGGTCTGGAAATATCACCCTTCTTCTCATGCAGGGCAAGGAAGAAGAGTCATACATCAAGGCCAAAGATAATTACGAAAAGATGCAGCAGATGATAGCCAGTGGCACCCGGTTCACCTTTCATGACGACATGTCTCCGCGCATCCTTCCTCCGGGCGTGCGGCCTGTTGCTGATAAACGAGCAATCGAGATTCCCGAGGAGAATGCTGCGGGGGATTTGCCAGAGCCAAAACGGCGAGGACGGGCGCCCAAAAGGCCGCCGAAGAAGTTCCATATGCCAGATAATGTCGAGACTGGGTTCACCACCGCGTCCTCTCTGGCGGGGGCAACCAAGCGCAAAACGCAAAGCAAACGTAAGACTCGCACGCCGACTCCAGAACCCGTGGAACTGCCGGCGCTTGAAGAGGTCTTGCTTACCCCAGCGCAGCAGAACGAACTTGAATCCCTCTATAGCAATGCCGGGCCTAGTGAGGAGTTGCTGGTCTGCTATCCTAGAAGCGACGCCTTTCCACGCCTTCAACTCGCCCCAAGACCTACAAAGACAGTTAAACACGGGTCATTGACCCGTCGCATGGTCAAGACTTTGCAGAAGATGGACCAAGTGAGCTCGGACTGTGAGCATCGGTACAAAGAGGTTTTGGCCCGAGAGTCGGCCTCCCGAACGGAGGCTTCGGCAATGTCACCCAGATCCAACGGCCGTAAGGCCAAACCTAGTGCCACCGCTAAGACAATACCACCCAAAGAAAAAGATCCTAATCAAGATCCGGTCGAGGTCCGGCGAACACCGCCAAGAAAGCACTCAATGCCGACGACCACCCCGGCGTTTGAACCATTCTACTGCTCCCAGAGGACCCAAGACGAAGATACGGAGGATGACTTTGACCCTCTGGATGTCGACACTCTCTTGAATAGTAGCGTTGATAAGCGGCCTCAGAAACGAGGCCTGTTTGTTCTGGATAATAGCGATGGTTGAATCGGCATGACCTTGGATAGCATATTGCATTAGTACACTTTCGGTTACACATACCCTGGAGCAAGAACTTCCTTCTACGAAATTACCGACGGGTCTCCTCCTTCTATCCTCCAGGTCCATGGATCGAGATATGGCGTATGGTATTTCAGATCATGGGAATAGTTGGGTAGCTCTGCGGTCAATGCTATTGGAAATATGAAAGCACCTTGAACTTGCTCTCGTGGTGTCGAAGGTGTTTGGCAGAGGAGCTCCTACTTGCCTGACTTTTCTTTTCCCGGTCAGCAGTAATCGCTTTCAGTCTCGATTCACCGAGAACACCCCCCTCCCCCGTGGTTGCCTTTCCTCGCGGATAGATGCTAACGAGGCGTCTTGAATACTGCCCAAATAGGGACTTGCGTAGTGGAGAACCTCCCATGTTTCCACGCACCGAACAGCCCGTGAAATCGTCTCATTCGTACATTTTGCCATCCCGTACCCTAGAAATCAATATCTATGTAAAACGCCCGCTAGCCATAGCGCAAGGAAATGAATAACGTCTAACCTGGAAGTCGAACCGGACCAGAAGTTGCTGCCATCACATGCCCCAGCGACCTTTCATGAATACTCATTCTTCTGTTGTCTGGTCATCTCTAGGATGTTCGCCTTACTTTGCATTGTTCGCTACTTTCTTGATCAAGTGCTCGTTTGGCACCGTGCATAATCACGCCATTCATATCATCTGGCGGGGATGAGTTCGGATGGGAGGGAGCGACTAGCTCAGTCACGATCCGGTCAGTGAATGTAGCGTAAGGCGCGAATGGAAGCTTCTTATGCCGAATATTAGGCCATTTGGTATACTCGGTGGCATTTGTCGGGTTTCGGAGATCTTCCAGGAGCCTGGCAGATATTTCTACCTCGTAAAGATGGATGTATTCCTTATCGAGTGCGTTGGTGACAAGCAGCCGCGACTGTGCAGCAATTTAGTCGGGTGATTGCATTATACAGCCAGCCCTACCAGCAGCCCAATTGAGGAAGAAAGCATACCGTATAAATTATTGGTTTTGGCGAGTCCAACTTACGCTCTTGAAGTTGTGCCAGAGCTAGCATGACGCACACATAATAGGGATCTTCAGTCCAGTCCTTTGGGGTTATCTGGGCTACTCGCTTGTTGCGAATGCTCGCCCCAATGAAGTTAAGCCTGCCACTTGGGTCAGGACAGGGCTCGAATTCGTTGAGTCGGTCGCCCGTGACGTCTGTGTAATGCAGGTAGCCGATTAACGGGGGAGAGCCTTTACGGGCAAGGTCATTGGGTTGCCCATGGCGACGGAACACAGTGTAGTGTGGTCGATGAACAGGCCGGCCTGCAAAGAAGAAGGGAGACCCTTTGCTGTCCGGTGAAGAAAGAGGTCAGTCCCTCAGGGTTTGGCCCCCCAAATCGGAATTGAGTGTTTCGTCTCCTACCGAGATTTTGCAAATGCGTGACCCTCGCCTACTAGTATGCTGACGAGGCATCGATACTTTACACCAAGGATCAGGTTGGTCGCCAGTGACTCAACATCGCTGAAGTTTCGATCACCGCCGGTCCCACAGTCGGACGCCTGGGTCGGTTCGTCGTTGGCGGTGTCGACGTCTTCGAATCGACAGCCAACCAAGTCAAGATGGCGAGAAGTCCAGAAGAGTGGATTGACAAAAAGATCGCGGTGATGACGCAGGAGAACACGGAACGGCTTTGGGCCTGGACCGGCCGCCATGGTGAGAACGAGAGGTATCAGGCAATGGGAACTGAGGCATAATGCCAGACACTCTTTCACCGCCTTTCCCCTGCATATCTGGGGTAAATCGTGGCGGATACGTAATACAGCGTTACAAATTACGGGTAATACCGCCAGGAACCATACTCTGTAGTGGGACTGTATGGTTACAAAGTTACAACTAGAATATGAGGACCTGAGAAATCGATGCCGAAAATAACTAAATATAATTATTATAGTAGAACTAAAATTAAGAAATAGTTGACTTACAGGCTAGATAGAGCCTTTTTAAATAGAAAAAGAAAGATATAAAAGGACTAGAGAGTAAAAAAAAATAAAAAAGTAATTCCTATATGATAACTACCTGAGTATTCTGACGGACGGCAAGCGGGGCACCAGAAACAGCTCTCATTGAACCGTTGTTCTACTCGCTGCTACCACCTGTCACATGCGGGAATAACACTGCCCCTTACAGTCTAGTATAGTCTGTTTTAAAGTATTATGCCTACTTCTCACCACTTTTACGCCAGTGCCTGCCGCCTCATGCCTCCCGCACGATCTATATAAGCCCGGAAAGAGGGGAAGCGCACAGCGCCATACCTTAGAAGGTAAATGTTCGGGTAACACGGCAACTCTGGGAGGGGCAGTGCTCTGGCTGAGGCAGAAGACAAAGGAGAAAGGGGAAGAGAAAGTGCGTCGTCTTTCAAGCAAGAGGTGCCGGGCTTATATAGATCGTGCAGGAGGCATGAAGCGGCAGGCACTGGTGCAAAAGTGGTAAGAAATAGGCGTGATACTCAAAATAGACTATACTAGGTAACTAGACTGTAAGGGGCAGTGTTATTCCCGCATGTGACAGGTGGTAGCAGCGAGTAGAACAACGGTTCAATGAGAGCTGTTTCTGGTGCCCCGCTTGCCGTCCGTCAGAATACTTTAATTATAATTACTACTTTTTAAATTTAATATTAACTGCTTTAATATTATAATTATATTGTTATTTATATCCTATATTCTTCTGGTGGATAATCAGGATATTATTATATTAATTAAGAATCCAGAATACTATCTTCAAACTAAATATATTAATATCAAATTCCATTTTATACAGGAATGTGATAGAACGGTCCGGATTGAGGTCTTATCTTATCGGCATCGGCCCGACCGATGTTCTGGTCCTGTAGTAGTCCAGCTAGTGCGATCCGGGTCCTTGGGGTGACGTGCTGGGATGGTCATGGAAGTCGTGAGGTCATCGGTGACGGTTCGGGATCTCCTCATCTTCTATAAGGCAACGCTCCTCAGTGTTAGACTACTAATCCTACAAGGATCAGTCTATCTCGTGGATATAGGCTACCTTTGTCATTACCAGTGGAATCCTACACGTTCGGTGGCTAGTTCCTTACCTAGTCGACAGGCCTTCTACCCTGACAAGTAGATCCTATCACACTAATCAAACCGCCAATCAGTCATCTCCGCAGGAATCGGCCATCTCCGCGCCGATGATGATAGTATATTATATTAGGTAACTAAGCTAAGAGCGGTAAAACTAATTATAATAGGAAATTCACAGGTCCCAGAATTATAAATGTCACTGACCCCACAGTCACAAGTCCCTTGGTAGCAGTCACTTGCAATCATAGTGAGTAGGTAGACCTGTGACAGTCGCCATGGGGGGATGCACGAGGAAAGATTGGGCCATGTGGTGGGACTGGTTGGGCAGCAATCGCAACTGACCTCATCACAAAGGAACTTGAAGATGGTTGCCCGCACTCTGCCCATATTGGCCTTTCTGCCAATGTGTGCAAATGGCGCCTACTCCTTACTTCAGCAGGGTCACTTCCGAGTCAGCCTTCAGGGCTCGGTTCGAAGCTGAGAATGGAAGAAACTTTTCGGACCTACCTCACGTGGCAGCCAGTTCCTGGGGCCGATCTCACCTGCTCGCATGCCGTGTAGTACGGCGGGAGCCACTCCGCAGCATTCTCCCGATTCTATCGCCGTATATTGTCCCGTCGGACTGGCAGCCATCATCGTCGAACGAGATCGATGCGTTCTTGCAAGGCCCTGATTCGACCCTCATGGCCCAGAGTGAGCACTATCTGGTGAGAGGGTCTCATTGTGGGCCCTCCCTGGGTCAAGTCTGGGCGGCAATGGCCATGTTCAAAGGGAGCCAGGGCCGACGCAGGCAGGGCATATCCGACCTCCAAATGGAAGGCGAAGGTGGCGATGATAGTGATAGCGACAGCGATAGCGACACCGAAATAAGATCAAAGCGACCTAGACGGGGTACCTACCAAGGGGAGTTCGTCGACTCCAGTACAATCCAAGTCGGCTCTAGCAGTCCAGTACATGACAGCTCCCAGGGATCATCCTCCGTGGGTTACACTGACCCCGAATCTCATACTTTCGGTGTAGCTCCAGAGGATGAAACCCTACGACTTGCATCGTGTGTTATTCGACATATCTTGTATTTTGCACCGCCTCAGGATTCGGTATTGGAGCCGACTGTTGTTGAGTTTCGAGATGCCAAAGTGAGACTCGCAGCCTTAACCTCATTGAAAAAAACGGCAGATGATAGCCATTGACGATGGTGGCCTCTGTTTGCGGCGGCAGGAGCCAGGTAAAGGCTTTCTGGTTGTGAAAGACCATGTCGCACTTTTGGAAGCGAAGACTCAATTTCAATGTCTAAAGAACGGCCGACCAATTATCTCGGACAAGTGCTTTGCACAGATGGTTTGCGAAGCACTGGTGGTCAGGGTGGCTGGGAACTCGAATCCAAGGTAATATTCAGCCTACCTGAGTATCTGGCGAATCTACATATCCGATGTGACTTGGGCTTCCTTATGAGTGTATATGAGGAGAATGTCTAACAATTTGATGCCGTATCATCGTGATCAACGCTACGCAACACTACATGTGCTTTCTGCAGTTTGACATTAGTGGAGAATACGTTGAGGAGTTTGAGAAGAGCACACGTACACATTTCTTGCACGTCAGCTGTACACCTTGGTTTGATCTCAGTCAAAGAAGCGGAAGAGAGCACGTCGTGGCCAATATATGTGGCATAGTGCGCCGCGCGACGTCCTAACTGTGGCTGGAATGAAGGTGCAACATACACATACTTCAATGAAGGCCTAGTACACACCGCTATACAGCATGTCTGCAAAACCCTTGAACTACTGTGGTTTGATTTGGTGTTCCTCCCTGCGCATTGGATAGCCTGGGGCATAGAATACGCAAAAGGATGTTCATGTAGGGGCAATACTGAAGTGGACCAAGAGTGAATCTAATGATGGTCTTTTAGCAAAGTTGAAATCCCACTTGAATAAAGAAGAGAACCCGGGACCAGTAGATCGATTGTGGCAAGCGGAACTCACACACACTTACCTTCCCATGGGGCTCTATAATCAGCTTCCTTCCGGTAAGGACAGTGCTGGTACAAAATATCCCAACCATCTGCAATGCGAGTAACTTAACCATTAAAGAGCAACCATAAATAGCCCCTTCAACTGCAAAAAGGCCCCAGGAAAATAAACTAAGCCAAACGGACCTTTATACCATGATCACCTCAAAAAATCAAGATAACACCGCCCTTACTTCCCCACATAGTCAAACTTCTTCGTCGAGTGATTATACACATAAGCATACTGCGCCACATCAAACCCCCAGTCCCCAGCAACATTGGTAGTCGATTTGCACAGGTCACCCTTCTTCTTGTTATCATTGAAAGCCTTGCAGTATGGCCTGGTTTCAACCCGATCAGCTTAATAGTCCATCTACAGGGGCCTTGGCAAGGGGGAGAGGAACCACATACCCAATACTCGCCGTCTTCCCCGCCTTCACCTTAAACCCCGTAATCTCAAACCAAGTCCCATCCGACTTCTTCGTCTTGGCATCATACGACTTGATCTTGTTCGTTTGATAGAAGCTCCTCAAGGATGTCTTTTGCTCGTTTTGAGCGTCGAGTGTTACCCCTACCAGAATCGCACTTCACATGAAAACATTGATATTTATATCAGTCCCGTATAGTAGCTTCATCAGTAATGGGGATACGTACTCTCTGCCCCCCTCCATGGTAGACGCAAACGGGAATTCCTCCGCCGACACCCACCCTTTATTATTCCCCCATGCGTTTGTCGCCGGCAACGCCTTAATTCCGTACTTGCTTGGATCCTTGAATGGTTGTTTGTTGGCTGCGCTGCCGCTATCCACTTGCCGGTTTTTGTCGGCCGCGTCGGTGTCGACTTTTTGCCTGGGTTTGGTTGGTATACATCTAGGGTAGGGTTGTGCAGGAAGGGGGAGGAGGGAGGGAGAGGAGAGGGAGGGGGCATACATCACTGGGGATTTGCCCTTGCATAGCATGGCCCAGCAATCTACGTCGTAGGTTAGGGCATCGGAGCCTCGGATCTCGATTTGGCCTTTGATGGGGTTGGATCTGCTGTCGCCGGGGTTGGAGCGGGGGGTGAGGGTGGTGAGGTCGGTGGTTGTTGGGAAGGCGAGGGTTTGGGGGAGGGTTGAGAGGGAGATGAGGGTGGTGAGGAGGGTGGATGGGAATTTCATTTTGACAGGCTTTTATTGGGGGGTTGGTGGACTGGAAATACTGTGCTTGATGTTCTGTGTCCATTGCGGTGGTTTGTGTAGTATATATAGATTGTCTTTCAGGGATGCAATCTGGGTGCTTTCATTTGGGAGATTGGCGTCTACTAAGCGTGAGGGCCAAGTATGTTTGGGATATCTAGCAGACGCATTGAGGCTGCTGACTTCAGAGTATGATACATGGATATAACCTGGGAAGAGGAAAGAGAGAAAGACGGGGGTTATTGGCAGGCTCATTGCTGGGAGGTGAAACAGTGCTCGAGTAATGACCTGCTCTGGACCAGAAGACGATTGGAATCAGCTTATTGAAAGATAGACAAATGGTATGTTGGGTCAGAGTGTTAAGTGCCTGCATATGAGGGTAAAGACGAGACTGCTTTTGAATACAAAACAGTATTGCATGAAATCACAGCCTGAACTGCTTGAAATCTCCATGTCAATTCCGGTCATCAATGCCCGGTTTGATGCAGGTAAAGACATCGATATTCATGAAAGACCATTCTCCCTTAGAGACAGATGAACTGAGCACCCAGGCTCTTGCCGTAGTATATGAGCAGAGCACTTTGCGTTAGATGAGGCGAGAGTGTAAGAAAGTGTAATGAATGATCGTCACGAGGCCACAATATCAATGCAGTCCGATATTGGTCATGTCGCCTTAAAGTCATACAACATACAGACCGAACATGGGTACACCGACATATGCACAATGTGCTCGTTGATTCTGCCGGTGACTCAGTCCCCGCTTGCACAAAACACCAACCACCGACCGGGACAGGAAGGCTCCAGACGGATTGTAAGCTGCGCCGGAGCAACGCAACAGGAGGCTTAGATCATCACTGCAGGTAAAGAAGCAGTCAGGCTCGCTGGAAACTGGCAAGGCTCTCTCACAGTCAGCTGAGTAAGTAAGCAGGCACCCGGCTTACAAGAATGTATCATCCCACAGATGAGACAGCGCAGAACTAACAATGAGTCGCTCCGTACGGAGTAGGCTGTGTTTGAATAGCACCGTGAATCTATTATAGTTCCGGGTATTATTCGGTGGCCCCCGCGAAGAATGATATAAGCTACGGGATTAATTTATTAGACAAGTCAGCCGACCCTTGCGAGACTCTGAAGTATAACATCCACCCAACTGTGAAAGGTTACTCACTTTCCCTTTCGATTGTACAGCTAGCTCAACATATTCGTGATTGCCATTCCACTCCTACTTCCTACGACCATGACGAGCATCTTCCTATTTTGCACCTCCGATGTGCCAGCAAGCGTACGGCAGATCATAAGCGCGCGAAAACATGGCTAACTTTCTTGGCTACTAGACAATCAATCAATTCATGACCGCGTTCTCTCATGCTAGCGAGGACCCAAATATCTTCTGTTTAGTCCGCACCCCAGATCAGGAAGAGTTCGACGAATGGGGCACCGAACCACCCGTCCACGACTTCACCACAGGCTTCAGAGATGCTACGGACACTGATCTCCGTCTTTACACCCAGAATCGGATCGACGAGCTCAAGCATACAGATAAAGCGGGTGGATTATCTCCCGTATGGGTGGCCAAGCTCGATGAGCGGTCCCCACAGGACTCAACCGTGGTCTTACAGTACCGCAAAAATAGATCCAGCTGGACACAGGCGCTGGAAGACGCCGAAGAAGAGTTTGGGATCCCCGACCAGGCGGATGTCGACGACCAACATATCTGGTGGAAGTGGCGAGTGTCGTTTGCGGATTCGTTCCAGTTATTCAATAGTATGGATGACGGTCAGCCCGATATAATTCGATTGTACACTCGACCGGAATTTTTGGACCCAGAGGGAGTGCTTCATGTGGATGTTCCACGTAAGATCATCAAGGGGGAAATTCCGGACCCTATCACGGAGAGTGTTAGCTGAGGTTCTTGGCTCGGTGTTTGACTGCCTAATTCGTATCTCATCAGTTTGACTTGCCTTTTCACCCGCTCACGAATTAAAGCCCACACTGATTCTAGTAATTAGAGGTCAACAGTAATTGTACATTTAAAATGGTCATGACATAGGAAGTGTTCACGAACACATCATCGTCATCTGATACGGGACTCCACTTCGAAGCTAGGATGTCAACTTGCTGCTGGAATAGACCCCACGCACGCCAGCAATACGGCCTGCCTTGATATCTCTGGGCTTTATGTTGCCAATATAAATGCTCAATTGAAGTTTTCTGACGACAGAGCAGCCACCAAGGCGGTGATCAATCTGCCAGCGATATGATCACCCCTTTCCTGGATAGGCAGGCGGGGAAAGCGGCATCGTGTGGCAGGAGGAACGCGGTGTGGCGGTAGCCCCACCACCTGCTTGATCGGGAAATAACCTAGGGGGCGGCGGATCAGCCCTCGGGGAGGTTGACGGCACCGTGCCTAAACAGTAGACAACCAGAATTAGACAAATCCCAGGATATCATCACCATGGCCGACGCTCAATTCGACAGTGCGCTGTAAGTTTTCTCGTCTCGATCTTCCCCCGGAACAATCCACCCTGCATCCCCTGGAAGCAAACCGATCCACGCCGTCAACCCCGCTTGCGGCCTCCCGCTGACCCTCCATCTGCTCTCCAGTGACCTTCTTCGGCGCCTCAACCCCCGCGATACGAAGAAAAACCTTCAGGCGATCACCTCCATCGTCCCCGATCTGACCGAGGACCTCTTGTCCTCCGTTGACCAGCCCCTGGAAATCCGCAAGTGCCCCAAGACGAACCGCGACTACCTCCTTTGTGACTACAACCGGGACGGAGACAGCTACCGCTCACCCTGGAGCAACGAATTCGACCCCCCGTTGGAAGATGGAACGGTTCCCAGTGAGAGAGTGAGGAAGCTGGAGGTGGCCGCCAACGAGGCGTTTGATGTTTACCGGGAGCTGTACTACGAGGGCGGAGTAGGCAGTGTGTACTTTTGGGATTTGGATGATGGGTTTGCGGGTGTCATACTGTTGAAAAAGGGTGGGTTTACTATGCTCCCTTCGCCCGACTGAGTTAGAACTGTGTGCTGATGTTCCGTGAAGGAGTCACACCCGGTGCGAAGAGCTCAGGAGAGTGGGACAGCATCCACGTCTTCGAGGCTACCGACAGGGCGCGTATGTCCCACTACAAGCTGACCAGCACCGTTATCCTTCACTTGGCCAACGAATCCGAGGCCCTGGGTGAGATGGACCTGAGCGGTAACATGACCCGTCAGGTGGAAGTGGACTTGCCCGTCGAGTCGGATGCGAGCCACGTCGCCAACGTCGGTCGACTAGTGGAGGACATGGAGCTGAAGATGAGGAACTTGCTGCGTAGGTTTTCTTTTATTCCGTGGCACAAACATTTGCATTTCGTCTATGGCCTGGCTTGATTGCTAACCGGGCTATTCTTACAGAGGAGGTATACTTCGGCAAGGCTAAGGATGTGGTGGGCGAACTTCGCAGTAAGTACAAGTTCAGTCAATTTATCGAGTGCAACACTAATGTTCAAAGGCCTCCCCTCGTTGTCCGAGTCGAACAGAGACCGGGCTACCCACCTGGAGATGATTCGGTCCATGCACAGCTAGTCTACTGTCATCACTTTAGGAATCCAGTGTAGCGTCGCCTGTTGCGTTTTAGAGGATGTTGTTCATTTACCGTTCTATTGTTGATGTAGTTTGAGCTAAGGTTCCTGGGAATTCGAATAGCATTCGTACACGATGAACCACAAATGCTAATTATGCCTGTATTGTAAGCGGACATGCTTGATGGCATAGCTAACCACTCGGGGGCGACGCGCTCCTTCGATATAGATGACTGGTCCCATTTTGCCCTTGTAAGGGATATTTGTGGCTTGTTGCTTCAATCTTCCGGATGTAGTCATTACTAGTTACCCAAGCCGGGTTAATTTGAGCGAAGGTCGGTGTGCATCTTCAAGATTGTGTACGTTCGTATTCAGAAATGTGTGTAATTTGGGTATCATAAACAGACTGTTCGCTCTGTTCCTAGTCAAGACAAAGCACAAGACCCCAACCAAGAAAGCAATTTGTATAGAACTTCGGCGGTGCATTCAATCACCATGTTCACAATTTGCAGATCATGCCATGCCGCGCTGTTCCATCTCCGTCATAAATCATCCAATGCCAAGGTGACTAGTCAACCTCCATCTTCTCTTGATCATTTTCTGCCTTTGTGGCCGAGCCTGTAGACGCCGGATTGCTGATCCGCTCCACAAATTCCCTCGCAGCAGCCCATAACTCCGCCTCCTTATCCTTGCCCACGGTATCCTTCCTACTGTTGAGCCAACTAACATCGAGGGGGTTCGACGCGCCCGCTGCTGCCCCGCCCGCACCAGGAAGATCCCCCGCCCGCGAAGCTGTCTCCGGTGCCAGGATCGAAGCTTCCTCTAGAGCATACACCTGACGACGAAGTCGAACATCAATAGACGATAGCAGCGCGAAATACTGTGACGTAGCCTCCTTGAAGCGGGCTTGGTGGGATTCAAGCGAGCTGTCGACGGGTGACTCGCCCGACCGGGCATTGGTGAGGGCTTGAATTGCAAGCCCCGCGGAGTGAATTAGCTTGGCCACATCCTGTGATTGCGGAGATTAGTAATGACGGAGTTTGGAGTAGGACAGTGCAAAAGTTGAGGTTGCTGTCATGGTTGTGCATCGTCGCCGCGCGGGGAAGATCTTCCCCTGCTTCTCCGATCTATTCTATCTCTTACCTTGTCTATTTCGTTCAATTGTCGGATTCGACCCGCGGAAGTGAAAGTATGGTCTGTTTTGCGGGATTCTTTGATCTCTGTCATTGTGTTTTTCCAGGCTGCTCAGCAGGACACCGGAGGAAGGAGATATATAGTAGTGAGTGGTCCAGGAGGAGACGAGAGATGGATCTGGGCCTGCGAAGAACAAGCTCCGTCACGTGCAAGCAACCCGGGGAACGCTGCTTACCTCAGCCGGGGCCCGACGCGCTAGGCCCGAAGCGCGATAGGGTGATATCCGAACTTCAAAACCTCGGCGAGTACTCGATGAGTCCCGCCGTCTGTCACCCTGCTGGCATCCCGGCCTCGCTTTCTCGCCTCTCTCGCGCGCTCTCCTCACTTGCCACGTAAGACGTGAAGCTGATCTGATTCTGCACGTCAAGCGCGATGTCTGCGCCAGGTGGGGCCCCCAGCCCTGCTCCCCGAAGTGGAAGTATGGGGCCCGGTGCTGGTGGTGGTATGTCTATGCCTCCTCAGCAACCCATGACGAACGCCGGGCCTGTCACGCCGGGGCCTCCTGCGCCGCCGCCGCCGCCGCCCGGAGGCCCAATGTCGCAGCAGAACCTGAATCAGATAGTAAGTAATTTGATTGCTATCACGGTTCTGGCGTTGCTTTGCGCTGTACTACATGTTCCATTGCGTCATGTCCCTGCTGTTCTGTCCGGGCCTGATAGGCCGATGTGTTACTGTTCACCTTTCTATCCCGTATCTTTTTACGCACAGAGCTTCGGAAAATTAATCTGGGTTGACTCCGATGCAATTGTTCTCGACCGGAGCTCCGGGAAAGCCTACTTCTGCCTGCTGGTCTTCTCTTTGTCCTTTGCGCTTACTATCAGTCATGCTGGCCGCGTCCTGCTGCACTATGCACCATGCCATCAGATAGGCACCTCATGGCCGTTGCTAATCTATGACAGGTCATTGATTATCTTGCGAAGAAGGGCTATAGTCGTACGGAGGCTATGCTTCGTATCGAGTCGGCGCATCAAGAGATCGACGGCCGTCCCCCTATGCCCCCTCTTGGCGAAGATGCTCGACCCAAGTACAAGATGGGCTTCGGTAAGCCGCACCCGGCTTTTGTCTGCCACGACGAAGGACTAACGTAGTATCAGATCTGCTCAAAGTTTGGGTCGAGGACAACCTGGATCTGTACAAGGTAAGAAGACCGTCCATGTGTGTTGGGTGGATGCTTACTCCTAAAGCCCGAGCTGAGACGTGTTCTCTGGCCACTGTTCGTTTACACCTTCATCAACATGGTCTCATCTTTCAAGCCCCAAGAGGCCAAGCAATTCTTCGATTTCAACAAGAACCTCTTCTTGCCTGAGCATACGGAAGATGTTCGCGCATTGGAACCAATCAGCTTGCCGGAACACGTGCAGGCCAATGGAACCGCCAAGCTTTATCGCACCAACAAGTATCGTCTGGTCCTGAGCAACCCGGCGTTTTCGAACCTCATGCAATTCCTGGAGAGCAAGCAGAAAGAAGGTGGCTCGGATATGACTGCCATCTTGAGCAGTTATTGTACTATTATCACCAAAGAGCGTACCGCCGATGACAGGTTCAGCTTCGCAGCCATGCTGGGCCAAACAGATGGACAGACATTCCCAAGCGAAGATGAAGGCATCCCCGGACACCATCCTGGCTCTGCATACACCGGAGACAACCCGAACATGGCCGGAACTCTGCCCAGACTGAAGCTCGGAAAGCTTCCCCTAGAGCAGACTCTGGAGACCGATGTCAGAGGCGAGCTGGCGGATGAAGATGCGAGACACCCTCCCGGTCCTGGGCAAAACACCCTGATTCAGGAGTTTGACCAGATGATCAAGAAAGAGGAAGACGATGAAGCGCCAACGCGCGCTGATATCCCCTATCCTCCATCGACTGCCCGCGACGTGGCCATCGAGGTCCAAAAAGTGAAGGAGAACCGCGACAGGTTCAGGATTGAAGGCAGGACTGGTGGCGTGGGCCCTGCTGTCAGCGTGTGCATGTTCACCTTCCACAATACTTACGATGGGTAAGCATCCCAGTTTTCCTGGTACTAGCCCCTAGCTAACGGACAAAGCGTCAACTGCTTGGACTTTTCGGATGATCTTATGCTCGTCGCAGCTGGTATGCAAGAGTCATACATCCGAGTGTGGAGCATGGATGGCAAGAGGATCCAATCGACATACGACGCCGTGGATGATACTGCGGCTTCAAACTCCCGTCGTCTAATCGGACACTCCGGCCCGGTCTATGCGGTTGCATTTGCTCCATCAATCACCCGGGCAGAGAATGCCGTGGCACCGACCAACGCTCGCTGGCTGCTCTCATCCTCCGCAGATAAGACGATCCGTCTCTGGTCCTTAGACCTTTGGCAATGCATGGTTGTTTACAAGGGCCATGATCAGCCGGTTTGGGATCTCCAGTGGGGCCCTTACGGCCATTACTTCGCTTCTGGTGGTCACGACAAGACTGCCCGTCTGTGGGTCACGGATCACATCCGCCAGCAGCGTATCTTTGTCGGGCACGACCAAGATGTCGACTGCATCTGCTTCCACCCGAACTCAGCTTACGTCTTCACTGGTAGCTCCGATCACACAGTCCGCATGTGGGCAGTTACTACGGGCAATGCGGTCCGTATGTTCACCGGACACACTGGCAACATCACAGCCTTGGCGTGTAGCCGAGATGGAAGGCTCCTTGCTTCCGCAGATGACCATGGGTCCATCCTTCTGTGGGACCTCGCCCCTGGCAGACTTTTGAAGCGCATGCGTGGACACGGAAAGGGCGGCATCTGGTCCCTGAGCTGGAGCGTCGAATCGACGGTCCTCGTGTCCGGTGGTGCCGACGGTACTGTCCGCGTCTGGGATGTCACCGGCCCCGCACAAGACCCTTCACAGGGACGCGTCGTCGGCGAAGGCGGTGCTGGAACCAAGGTTGACGGCAGCAACCCACCAGCAGCCAGCACGCAAGCCCCGAGCGCCGTCGCCCCGGGGATGGGCAAGAAGAAGGGCAAAGACGTGGTGGTGACGCCCGACCAGATCAGCGCTTTTCCCACGAAGAAGAGCCCGGTCTACAAGGTGAAATTTACGAACATGAATTTGATCATTGCTGGGGGCGCGTATCTTCCTTGAGGGACATGTATGCACAGCGGCGCCAGATACCCGTTTCTTCTTTCTTCCATTTCAGTGTTCTCATTAAATCCGACATCCTGGCTATTCACCTGCATGATAGGTACTATAGCCGGATCTTCGGCGGCATGCGGCGTCTCGGGGCATCCAGGGTGGCATTGGTGTTGGTGGCGGCATTATGATTTCCCCGGACTAAATAGTAACCACTACTCGATATAGCTATGGCCATACCTAGCTTTTTTGCATTATAACCGTACAGTTACGGATATCATCATTGTACAAAATCCCTCTAAGCCTATCTATTCACATGCACATCCACACATGACACCTCAGACACAGTCTATCTATGGTAGCTAGTATTTACGTCACACCCTCTTGAACGGGGCCCCTAACCCCGTCCCGGCTACCCCAGTCCCGTTCTTCATGGCCGCCGAAGCCTGCATATCAGCAACCTTGGGAGGCAAAACCAACGCACTCCGATCATTTCTTCTATAAAAGTCCACCAAAATCTGGGCCGTCTTGGCCGGTTGGTCTTCCTGAATGAAGTGGCCTGCTTCGGGCAGGACTTGGAGTTGATATTTACCTGGAGGATGTGGGTTAGTTTTGATGTTACAATGCGTATACAGATCGGTTTCAGAAACCGGGAAAGTATAAGTTGGATGGACGGGGTAGAGAAAGGATGGAACTCAGGGGGAGGGAGATAATACCCTGCATCTGTCCAATCATCAACTCTTTATCTAGTCGATCTGTTCCCGCCAAGAGAAGTAACTTGCCGCCGCGAGCTTCGAGAAACTTGCGACTGAGTCCGACGAACCAGTTCTCCCAGAAGGGCTTGGTCTCGGAGAGATTGGTTCGCCAGATCCAGGGTTTGGTGGGGTCGGGTGGGTTGGGGTCCTCGTAGAGGAGGGAGGGGACGGAGACTCGTGCGGAGGTTTTGTTGCGGATTGTGCGGGAACGGGTGCTACTTCCTTATTAGTATGCCGTGGTTTGGGAAGGGTGGAGGGGATCTGGATGGGGTTCCGTACTGCCATTCGATTCCGGATGTGATGGATGGGAAGCGGGATGGGCGAGTCAACAGATATGTTTCCATACTTTGGAGGGCATCCATGGCGGACCCTGTGATTCTTTTAGCATATACCCCGATTGTATACGTAACTTGGAGAATTTTCATAGTTTTCTCCCGGAAAGGGTGTACCGTAAACTGAAGGTTGGGGGTAAACTTACCCTCAACAACATCCAAAACCGCATATGCCAAAACTTTATTCCCCAACTCACCCTTCCTTGCGACATCAGTAATTACTGCACCTCCCAAACTATGGCCTACGAGAATCAGATCGGGGAGACTCTCCCAGCCCATCCGGGTCTGGGTCTCGCGGACCACAAACACCAGGTCCCGGTTCAAAGTGTCGAGGCTCAGGTCCAGCTCAACGTGCCTGTCCTCGCCGGAGGCGGTGGTAACCGCCGTGCTGCCATGATCGCGGGCATCCACAGACAAGATGCCGGCTTTGGGGATGATCTTGCGGATCTCGTCAGCGCAGGCGGCGAAGGACAGGCCAGATGAGCCGGCGCCGTGGTGCATGACGAAGAGAGGGCTGGTGGAGTCTACGGGGGGGGTGAGGTAGACATGGTGGGTGGTTTTGATGTTGCTAGATGTGTCAATTTGTGTGAGGTAGAGTTCTTGAGTGAAGAAGTCTGTCCACGGGAGCGTTGTTGGTTGGAGGGATCTGAATTGTGTTAGTTTGATGATAGGTGAAGCGGGTGAAGGAGAAATGATTAAGAGGGTATACGCACCCTCGACCAGGCCTTGCAAATAAATGTCTGCTCGGTGAGGGGACTATCGTCCCCGCGGACGAGGCGGAGGAGGAGTCATCATCGTGACTGACCTCCTCATCGAGGGGATGCATTGACGGACCGGTTGGCGGTTGGAGTGGCAGCTTGGCCAATCGGGATTTGGCAAAGGATTTCTGCAGCTCGCTCATGAAGACTGCGCAGCTTGGCCGGATCGAGTGACCGCGGAGGTTGTGGATAGGGTTAGCTCTAGGGTTGGAGTCGTGGATGTTGACGTTGGAGAGCTGGAGTTGGCGCTGGAGCTGGCGAGTGGATCATGCGCTTGGCTGGGGTGGTTTAGTGGCGACCAGAGCCAGCGTGCGGGTGGTTAGGTCACTTTGTAGATCTGGAGGGGAGTGGTGTGCATCGGTGCTGTGATCATCCGCTGCAGATCATGCCAGGTTTCTCCTGAGTTGGATTGATGTCGATGCCTCCCAACGTAAAGCGGAGGCACGAAGTATTGATAGCGAGCAAGAAGGATTGCAGCAACCAACAAAGACTGGCAGGATCCCCGGTACGGTATCGTACCGTCGGGGGTGATACCGCGTCTCCTGGATCTCCCCGCCAATTCATAGTTTCAGGCATCGGATTTCTCCCCTGTCAGGAATGCTTTTCCGGGGAGATCCGACATCTCAGCATCCTCCGGAGGCTCTGCTACCAGGATGTCACTCCAGATTGACCTGCTGGGGTCAGTGATGAAGCCTGCGCGATGCCGCTGCAGGTCACCTGACCGGGGAAGTCACGGCGGGATCGACGAGCTAACCCAAAAGAGATAGATTGATGATGGTTCGTCTTTCATCTTTTGTTCTTCTCCTCTTCGTCTTCTGTGAGACCATCAACCCATCCATCATCATCTCAAGTTTCCCCGTCCCAGTTCAGGTCCTCACTCGCCTCTCTCATCCGTGCCCATTATTGACTTTCAGACTGCCCCAGCCGATGGCAGACACCATCGTCGCCGACGGTAACAGGCGCCCGCCATGACGTCACGGGAACACAAGCCGCGGTGCCAGTTGGCGCATTCCAGCCAGCCAGCGCCGCCATTGATGCTCTCCATCATCATGCTTTCCATTGCCATACTGTGACGTCAGTTTCATCGCCATGAACCTATCCATCGGCATCCCGACCGCTATCGCGCAGTCATTCTCCTCCTCCCCGCAGACCTTTGATAGCACCCCCAGTCGGTCTTCCTTAGTGCAGCTAGGCCTAAGGTGACACGTTCGGCACAATGGTATCCTTCAAGTTTAGAAGAGGCAACGATGGCGACAGAGACAGCGAACAGAGGGAGCGCAATGAGGAGCGACGACCCGAGGAGGCAGATGAGCGTACCCGACTCCTGCCGCGTGAACCCCCTGCCTATCTGAGCCCAGATGATCCAGCCGTGAGTTCCTACCCCCCAGACTTGCACCTCACCTGCCATGGCTAATTCGAGGCTTTTCAGGTCTCTCCCTACAACCTCTGGGGCATCCGAGCCCTGCGGGCTCTCTCCTCCATCTTCCTCGCCCTCAGCTTCATCTGGTGGACCTTCCTCCTCGTCTCCCTCTTCGTGAGCCCGCCGATGATGCATTCACGCGGGTCCGGCTTCTTTAGCTTCGCCTACACCACTCTGACGACCGGATACCTCCTCCTGGGGCTCCTCTTCTTCGCCGTCCCATCCAAGCCCATGACAGTGTCTGGCTTTGTCATTGCAGTCTTCCTCTGCGTCGATATGATTCTCACCCTGGCCGTTCCTCGTCTTCGTGTCGAAGAAGGTTGGGTCGGAATTGCATCTGTGGTCTGGGCAACCTTCATATCCTTGTACACCATCCTCCAGAGCCACTCCGTCGCATGGGGTAAGCGAGAGGAAGAGGAACGCCTGACGGGTCGTCCGGAAACCCGTCGACCCCTCCGCGAATGGGTCGCCGTCCTCATCCAGACTATCTTCCTGGTCATCTTCGCTATCATTGTCATCCTGTTTACCGCAACACTCATACTCCGCGCCCGTGACGCCTCTCTCCCAGCCCCAGGCAAGAAATTCCTCGTCAATGGCGACAGCTACCAAGTCCACCTCGCCTGCGTCGGCAACAACACCCACAACCTCCACGGGAGCACCCCCACGGTCCTCATTGAAGGCGGAGAGGGGCCCGTCGAACACACTCTCCAGCCCTTCATCGACGACGCATATCAATCCGGCCTCATCCCCCGCTACTGCTACTGGGACCGTCCTGGCTTCGGCTGGTCCGACAACGCCCCGTCACCTTTCTCCGCTGGCATGGGGGCAGATGCCCTCTCCGAGGCACTCGCTCTATCTGGCGAAGAAGGTCCCTGGGTCCTAGTGTCCTCCGGTATTGGCGGCCTCTACAGCCGCATCTTCGCCAGCCGTCACACCCTCGAAATCTCCGGAATCCTTCTCATCGACTCCCTCCACGAAGATTACCTCACCAATATCGGCTCCTCAGGCCGCGGCTTTGCCCTCTGGCTTCGCGGCGTTTTCTCCCCATTAGGCCTGGACCGTCTTGCTGGCGCGATCTTCAAGGGCCGCACGCGCGAAGACCGCGTCTATGGGCGCAGCTCCTACCAAACGGGCAAAATCATCAAGGCCAAGCTGCAGGAGAATCTAGTAGCAGAGTCGATGACCTCATCGGAAGTCCAGACCGCCCGGCACGTTCAGATGCCCGATACGCCGCTCGTGGTGGTTAGCTCGGGGGTTGAGGTCCGCAAGAGCCAGACGTGGGCAAAGAGACAGGAGGATCTGACCAAGATCACGAAGAACCTCAAGGACTGGGACATTGTCAATGGCGCACCGCATGAAGTTTGGCGGCATGCGGAGGGGAGAAGAGTCATTGAGAAGAGGCTAACTGAGTTGATCGGGAAGGAGTAGTCACTCCTCTCCCTCCATTCCTTTGCCTATCTATGTCTATTTAATCGTTTGGTCTTGTTTTCTTCTTCTCGTCCCCTTTCGAGATTTTCATATCTCGTTTCCTACCATGTTCAGCCCCCGTCTTAGGATCGACCAGCCTACGTGCATGAAATTGACAATACATGGCATAAGCCTAGTGTATGATAATGTTCAGCTTGATCATTTATTTACTCCCTTTTTTTTTACGTCACACGTGTACTAGCCACGACCTACGGTCTCGCACACAGCTCAAGGCATTCCGAAGCGCATTTTCTTACTAAAGCACACAACTCTCTCTAAATTACATGAATAATGTATGCAAGTTCTGCAAGTTATATAGAGGCACGCAGGGCCTCACGCAGGTCCTCACGCAGGGCTAGTAGCAGATACAGGGCCTCTGAAGCTATTCAGAAAAGTAAGCTAGAAGGAAAAAAAAACAACGGAGGAAAACGGCAGAACAAAAGTCACGTTATCCATGAAAAATAAAAGCCAATGAGAAGCTGAATCGGTGAAATTTTTAGACTAATGAGAAGCGAATGGGTTGGTAACAGACCTAGTAGGAGCAAACCTAGAGTTACCCAGCGCTAGCGCGCTTCGTAAATCATTACCATACGCTCGAATAGGGAATTAGTTACTACCCAAGTTCGTTTCCATTCACTCTCAGTCAGCTAAGTAATAATCTGAATTAACCCAAGCCAACCGAGTCAAAGACAACTAAAGATATACCCGTCCTCAACGAATGCACAACGTGACCTAAAATGCAGGGAAGCAAAGAATAAGAATAGCACGAGGGTTGTGTCTGGTTCTCAGACACGACGGCGTAGTACCAGATGATTGGATGAATGGGGCCTTTTGTAGGTCTCCCGAAAATGATATTGACAGTAGAGTATGTAGGGGAGTAGGTAGATAGAGGTATCATGTCATATCATAACGGGCAACAAATACGGCCGGGGGGCATTAGCAGGCTGCAGAGACTTCGATCCCGCTCCTATTCCACTTTCCTTGTTTCCCCCTCTAGGTACACGTGTGCGTTTATATATTGATGGTGGGCTTGATCGAAAAGGGCTGAGACTGAGGCTGTATTGAGACGGAGATGGAGAGAGAACACGGAAGTAGGAGATGGTGATGGAAATGGTGGGATCGGTATCGGACTAGTCCCTTTATTCTAGACTAGCTCCCTTAAACCTCTTAGCAAGATGTTCACTTTCAGATCTGGGAGACATAGGCCTGGTAAAGGGGATGGAACGTTTTCCGGGGTTGGGCACTGGGCGTGGCGGGTAAGGTTCGGCTGTGCTCAGCCAGGGGCGCTTAGGGGGCCGCTCACCACTTTCCTGAAGAATGGTAACCAGGGTGGCCCATCCGGGGGTGTTGATCAGTTGCAGCCCGTCCGCGGGGGCACGTTGCGTCGCGACGCGGCAGAGCAGTGCTTCTTCGTCCTAGGATAGGGTTAGGGTGGTCCTGAGGGCCGATGAACTGCTTCAATAAGCGGTGACGTACCTTGTTGAATGTCGACAATGAGTGAAGGAAGCACAGCAGGTGGAAGTCCGAGACAGCTCGAATCGCCTTGTCTGGGTCGCCGTGGGTCACCAACTTCCTCGCCACGTGAACGAGCTCCTGGCTCTCGCCGATGACCTCGCGGTGTTCGATGGGGAAGCTACTGTCTGTGAAGAGTGGGGAAGAGTCTGTCGGGAAACCATGTGTCAAGGTGACTAGGAGGTACTCGACTGGGAAACTGGGTTTGGCATTTTCCTGGGCGCTGATACCGTATTCGTTGATCTTGCGGTAGAAGACCTCGGGGATATACCGCGACTTGTTCTCGGTGTCATCTTCCTCCGATTGTACCAGCATCACCGAGGGTTCCGCTGACGGTTCGACGATATCTGCTCGAACCATTTCTACGGCGGCCACCGATGCCTGGTAGGCACTGACCGAAATGGCGCCTTCCTCGTCGCCGCTCAGCACGCAGGTAACAAAGTTCGAGCCGAAGCGGCCGGTTCGGCTCCATTTCGTAGCCTTGGGAGATTGCGCCTGTAGTCGCGCCGCAAAAGCAATCTCCAGCGATGACAGGTAGTAGGAATCAATGTGCCGCTTGCAGATCACCGATCCGTCGCCACGACCTGCATCCAGCAGGTCCGTGAAGATCACTCCAACCTTCTCCAGACCACAGAGCCGTGCCACCTCATCCACCTCCTTCTCGTTGGCCCATTCATGGAGCGTTACTCCATCCACTTCATCCACCTGTGGCGGCTCATAGATGGCCTGCACCACCGCCTTGACGCCAAGTGGAACCTCCTTATACTCTTCGTAGGTTCCGTACAAGAACCCTAACCGTTGAGCCCCCGACTTCCGCCAAAAGTCGAGCAACGAGTTGATAAGGTCGGGCGACGAAAACTCCACATGGTCCACCATCCGAAATTCTTGGGGCTGCAGGCTGATCGCACTCGGCTGGCACTTGGTACAGATGCCCTCCGGCCACTGGGGGTGTCCCGAGGGACAGTCTCGCCTGACCCGGTAGTAGGGTTCACTGAGCGGGGGCATGAACGAGCTCCCGGACTCGGCCTTGTTGGTCGAGGCGTTGATCTTCCGCAGGTACGAATGGAATGAGAGGTGCTTAATCTTCTTCTCCGCCAAATACTTGGGGTCGTATGGCTCAAGCGGCATGCAGTAGTCACACATGCCTTTAGGACCGTGTCGGCACATCTTATCCTGTTTCCGCTGGATTTTCCCGTCCTTCTTGTCCAACATGTTGTCCAACGGCGATTGTTGCACCACATCCCAGGGATTCTTGATCGTGGCTGTCGGGGAGCTCGGTTGGGGAGGACGGAAGGTGACTGTTTCGGGTTGGGGCACAGGGGCGCCATTCAGACGCCGCGACGACTCCCCTGCGATGGGGGTTATGTGGCCGTTGGTGGTGCCGTTCTGCTGTTCTTTATTCTCTTGGTATCCTATGAAGAGCTTATCGCCGTGTCTGGACAGGCGAGTGGAGCAGTGTTAGTAGGGTGACAAACAACCTGGACGAGCGGCAAATCTGTCCCAAGTGCGAGATGAGACTCACTTAAGACCGACTTGATCAAAAGCCACCCCATCTAAGCTGCTGAGGAGCCTCTCTTCACCACCGGTGCCGATGGGCCGGTTGGAGAGGCCGATGGATGAGGGATCGACGTCTGGAGGGAGGCGCTCTAGAATCTGAAGGAGGGTAAGCATTCATTTGATCATTCCAGCCAAATGCCTCGGCCAGAGTTTACACGCACCTGTGGTTGCAGACTCGGAAACAGATCTTGCGGGTTAGCCGTCAACCGGAACTGGCCGTTGCGGCTTTCGAACCTCAGCACGATCGGGCGGGACGTCATGGTGGGAAGAGACACCCAAGAGGGGAGGACAACTACTGGTTCACAGGGTTGGTTCACTTTTCGTGCAGCTTCAATAACTCGTCAAACTCATCAGATCATGGCCATGGGGAGGAGGGAGGGTAAAGAGGAGAGAGCGCGAGAGCTTCGGAAGCGAGCAGGAAGGCGGCAGCGGAGCTCTATCGTCATTGCGCCCCGTTACCGCCTGGTACCGCCCCGCCGCCTCTTCCCCGATGACAAATGGCGTATTTCGGGTATTTTGATTACAAGGCCGATGTGATGTAGACTTCCTACGAACCAAATGGACACAGCTCTACCGAGTTCACCAGTGCATACTATGGGTAGCATCATATGTCATGAACCATAAAAGATATTATTCTCGTGTTCTATTTAAACCAAGTCTTTGCATCGCAAACATGAAACCCAGGCCTCCGAAACAAACGCCAATCGCAAACCAACCGGTCAAAGCAAGCAGGGTACGAATAACTGCAGGGTATTATTGGGAGCAATCCGATTACATAATGACACACTTCTTAGGCAGGCCACACGGTCCCTCGTTGCTCTTCTCTGCACTCTTCGTTCCCTGGGTGCCCTGTCCGTTCTGAGCCGGCGCAGGCTGGGGCTTCGGAGTTTCGGTTGTCTGTTGCTGCGACGCAGCAGCCACGGCTGGCTGCGACTCCGACTTGGCCTGCTCGCTGCCATGCAGTCAAGCGAAGTTGACCTTGGCAAGGTGCTCGTAGAAAGCCTTACCCTGAGCCTCAGCGACGGAGATCTCAAGAGCAGTGGGCTGGCGGGAGCCGTCGGCACCCTGAAGTGGCATGAGTACGTTGTCACAGGGGTGTCAGAGTGGAATGGAGGATGCTTACAGCGAAGGTACCAGCACCCCAGGCGCTACCGCCGTGAACCTCGTCGAGGTTGGCCAGCTGTCCGAAGACGGTCTTGTAGCCGAGAGGGACGTAGATGAGACCGTGGTGAGCAAGGGTGCTCATGGCAGCCAAGCAGGTGGACTCCTGACCACCACCCTGGGTACCGGTGGAGACGAAGAGACCGGCGTACTTGCCCCAGTAGCCACCGCTGGCCCAGATCTTGCCGGTGCTGTCCCAGAAAGCCTTCCACTGGGCGGGGAAGTTACCGTAGCGAGTCGGGATACCGAAGAGGACGGCGTCGTACTCGAGGAGGGTGTCGGGAGTGACGACGGGGTAGCTGGACTTGGGCGGGGCGTGCATCTTGGTCAGGACCTCCTCGGGAAGGGTCTCGGCAACCCTATAGACAGGCTGTTTTAGTCACGGCGGTCGGTGGCGATGCTCATTGCAGCCATTGACTTACTGGTAGATGTCGGCGGTACCGCCAGCAGCCTCAATACCCTTCTTCTCCGCCTCGGCCAGCTTCAGGATGTGGCCGTACATGGAGTACTAGAGGAATTGACGATTAGTCATACTGGTCCAGACCTCTCAAACCACCGTTGAGATCGCAGTTGATGGCGGAGCACTCACGAAGACGATAGCAATCTTGGGAGCCATGGTGATGGTGGGGGGCAGGAGTAAGGCGGGGAACAAGATTCACGAGAGCGGATGCTTGAGATGATGGGAGGAAAGCAGGCTGGGTCGGGCCATGGCAGCGGGTCTTTATACTATTATCCACGAGGGAGCCCCTCCCCCTCAGCAGAGCAGCTTCACAATTGGAACTCTCAGCAACCGCTCAGCTTTGGCAAGCATCCCGTAATCGATTACTACCATTTTCTGTTCCTGGACAGACCCTGGATCCCTCCGGCGTTGATTGGCCCTTAGGTACCTGGAGCGGGGCACTCAGTCCACTTCTCGTGGCAACAGCCAATCAACGGGGCGGGTGTGGTCTTACGGATCATTGACAAATGCGCGGCCCCGTGAAACTCGAACAAGCTCGTAACGCTGAACGATCTCTTATTCACCATCTCATAATCCCGCCGGGCGTGGCCGGTAGACTGCACCGTTTTCTTTGCTCTTAGGACTTTACCCCTGTCGAGTTTAGGGAGGGCTCTCCCAATGCGACGAGTGCTACTGTCTCCTGGCAGGCAGTCGTGATGTCAATGATCTTGGCTCTGCCACCCAACCCTCCAGCATGGAGGGGTCCTCTCCGGACTGCCAATGTACTGTGCACCCGCCGGCTCCGAAGACCAAGCCATCAATCAGCCCTAGTCGAGCAGTAGGATCCATGTGCGGCGTGGCCAGGCCTTCACCGACCCTGTCGGGGGCGCCATGCTATGTCTACCCCTGTGTCGTAGTCCGGGGGCAGCTTCATCCCTCGTATCTCATTCTTCCACCTAGAACCCGGTCATGGAGTTGTGCTTGTATATGGCAATAGATTCAGAATCAAATGGAACAATCATAGGTCTAACTTCGTAAACAAGCATAGCACGCCTCTCAGCTGGGTATCTCGACGATTTTGTAAGCTCAAATCCGGAAACGAACACGCACCCCCCTGCAACAATGGCTTCTCAGTTCTAACCGCGTCCCCGGCCCCGGTACCGGCCCCGCATGAAGCCTCCGCCACGGCCACGTTCGCTCCTCCACTCGCGCTCCCGCTCTTTCTCCTTCTCCTGCTCCTCCCGGATCAAAGCCCGCTCCCGCTCCAGCTCTTCTTCCGTCTTCTCGACCCGGATCTGGGGTCGGGGAAGGTTCTCCGACCACCGGGGATGAGCATCCACGCAGCCTTTGCCTTCCGGGCAGAACCCAGCCAGGTAGTACTGGCACAGGCGTCGGCGGACATGCCGCTTGGCACATAACGGGCCCAGTTCGCAAAATCCCCGGTCGTAGTGTTCACAGGGAGGCAGTCGCGCCTGCTCCCGTACGTGCTGGTACAGACAGTCATCGCCATTAGGACAGTAGCCGGACCGCGAAAAGGACTGGCACTCTGGCATGCGGCGAAGGTTGTATTCGTGGAGATACTCGCATTTGAGTCCCTTTTTGCAGAGCCCCTTGAGGAAGTGCTTGCAAACTAGAGATCCGTGTGTTGTCGACGGGGCCAGTCCCGAGGCAGTAGTGGTCGACGTGGTGACGCGCGAGGGGGTGGGATGCCGATCAGGACAGGCCGGTCCTAGGGGACAGTGGCCTTCGCTGTATGCTTTGCACACCGGCACATCGCTGGCGAGTCCAAAGCCATAACTCTTGCGTAGGAAAGGGAGGAAGGAGAAGTCGTTGTAGCTCGGATCCCGAGAGCTGTCGGAGGAGAGCATACGTGACGCTGTGTAGCTCACGTCCGTAGTCATGATGATTGGCCTGAATTCGAAAGGAAGGTAATTGACTGGACGTGCGGATCTAGTCAAGGAAAAGAAATGGAGACACGAGCTGCTCGCCCGTCGACACGTCGGAGCAGTGAGAGGCCCTTGCTAGGGAGATAGTCCGTCAGTCAACTGCAGTTAGCTGGAGAAGAAGCCCAAGCGATGCCCGATGGTCTTGAACGGGGCCTGGCACCGTTCTGTGTTCAGCAGGTGGAAGAAGACCAGTTGGAGATTTGTTGGAGAAGAATGAAGCGGTTGCATCGGACCAGTCCAGGCGAGACCGGCAGTATATGCCAAAGTAGCAGGCGGTGTCATTTCCGCTAGTTAGTTACCGCGGGCAATGCTGAGTCAGCAGCCGCGGCGTGGAAGCCCATCGAACAAGAACTATTCACGAAGACTACCTCGCAGGGAGAATTAGAACAGGCAAGGCAACGAGAATACGGACGATATTGTGAACGGGTCAATCCTCCTCTGCGGGGGATATCCCCCACCCCTGTTTGAGCACAGTCAGCCATCCATGCTGCAGCGAGACGCACCCCGTCTTTGCTCGACGGCGGCCTGGGGAGCGCCGGGCTCCGCTGCACCGCCAGCAGGCCAATGGGTACAATTCCCATGCGGAGACGAGCCTGGCTGCCCCTGCATCAGTGCATACGAGGTTTCCTACGACTCACGGGATCACATGGTCTGTTGCTGGATGGGTCTGACGCCCGACGGTGCTGCGGTTGGAATAGGCATGTGGTACGGTGTCACTGGGTACACAGTCCTGGGGAGTCCCGGCGAGTAACCCATCCCAGGCAGCCAGCACAATTTCCCTCCTGTCTCCTTCTTCCTCTTCCCCGTAGTGAATGACTTCAGCAACCTCATGCTGTTGTTGGCACTCCGTCGCAGCTCCGGGTACTGGCCAGTGACATGCCGGAGAAAAACTGTACTGGACGCTAAGAACCCGAGGCTCGCTGGCTGTCTCGCCCCTCCTCGTCGCCCTGCCTGCCTAATGCCTATTCGCTCGGGGATCAGCTGCATGCCCGGTATGATGATGGCTGGCCTCCCACTCAGCGTCAAGGGAATGGGGATCGCAGTCCTTCATGCGGGGATGGGCGTCACTAGTCCTATAGGTTAGTCGTCCGCGGCTGCGTCTCCCCTCCCCACAGCCAACTTTTCCCTCAGACGAGGGCGCGACGAAAAAAAAAAGCAACGACGGTGGGGGAACTCTAAGTGCAGCCATAATAAAATAGTCGACAAAAATTGCATTTTGCCAACCCAGTCGATCCCCCAGTCTGATCCGGAACAACCGAGCGACTTCTCTATGGGGATTGCTGAGCGTCTCCCAAGTTGCCCAATCGCTGCCTTGCTGAGACGAGTCCTGTATTTACTCTGGGCGTGTCGCATCACCGGTCGATCGCGGAATTTGCCTCTCTTCTGCCAGATCCAGCAGCACTGTGCGACGGGTCTATAATCTCGTCATGATTCCTCCGGGCTTTGCAAAGAGGCTGGGGGGGAGGCCGCGGCCAGCGGCCTTGGGGGCAGGCACCAGCATCTCACCGGAGAGTATCAAGAGGGTAGGAGACGGCATATAAAAGAAAACCTTAGCAAGCCGCGCACTCTGCCCGGTACACCAGATGCGGAGGACGAACGTTCTGAGGCGACCAATGATCAACACGATCGCTTGATCTGGTTCTCTGACCTGGGACAGCAAAAGGCGGGGGTGACAACGTTTGGACCGTGTCTGGGGCTGGGGCTGGTCATCATCAGATGCTCCCATCGTCGGACGTGCTCTGATTGACCGGGGCAGACCAGTGCTGATGGAGGAGACCGCCCGGAATAGGCCCCTAACCTTACCTGCCTGCATAGCGACGCTGCATGAGATGTTGCCTGCAATTTGGCCGCATTGCAACCCTAGAGGCGAGAGTGTACGTTAGTAGTACGTGGTAGGGACAGGGAAGGGTCATTGTAGAGCCACCAAGTACCTGGATCGTGAAGAGTGGAATGATGTCGTAGCCACTGCGTTGGACTCGGAAGGACTGACGGGGACTCGGAGGTAGTAATGATGCATGGAAGGAAGAACAGAGTTGTTGTTGTTGTTCATGCTGGACTGGTTCCTCCTGGTTGCCTTCTTCCTTCTGGTTCTGTCAGTCCGGGTCAGTCCGTCGCAAGGACTCTCTCTTCTTCTTGTTCTTCTGTTGCTCCTGCCGCAGATCGAGGGGGTTTAAATGGCTCATGGGCTCAGAGAAAAAGAAAAACAGCACGGTCAGACTGATCGTACGATCTCTTTCTCCCAGCCCAGAGGGGAATCCCTAGGCCAGAATCCAAAAAAAAAAAAAGAAAGACACCGTCAATTCGCATCGCCAAAACCAGGCACTTCCACACGTGACGCTGGCCAGGTTGGGGCTGTCCATCTTTCTTCGCATCGCGATCTTAAGCTTATTTTTGTATTTTGACCTTGCATCCTGGTCTCCTCCGAGTCAATCCCTTTCGCCTGGGTTCTACAGTTCTCGTCCCCTCCCGCGGCCATGTTATCCGGCACGTCCATCTTCCCGCACTGGCGGCGCAAAGCAGCCGAGCGCTCCAGCAACAGCTCCTACGAAGTGCCTTTCTTCCTCAACGCAGCTTACTATCCCAATTGGAGGATCTACCGGAAGCAACCCCCGTCAGCCCTCCGATTGGGCTTCATCTCTCATATCTTCTACGCGTTTGCTTGGTACTAGTACCTTAGTCCGCACCATGCCGATGGTCCAGGCCACGCAGAGACAGTTGTTAACCAGCCTGCTTTTCTCATCACAGGGTCAAAGAAGATGGCACCGTCTATGTAACCTGTCCTCAGTCCCAATGGTGTGGTCAAATTTGGCTGACCGGACATGACCACAGCTCAGTGACGAATGGGCCGACACCAAGATGCCCGTCGACGGCACCAACGGCTGCCTGCGGGCGTTTGCACAGCTTAAACCACAGTACTCGAAGATGAAGCTCATCCTCTCTGTCGGGGGAGGGGGCAAAGGCAGCGAGAACTTTGCCCTGGTGGCCCGCAGTCAGGCCCGCACCGAGACGTTTGTTCGCAGTGCCAGAGCGCTGGTGGATCAGTTTGGTCTGGACGGCATCGACGGTAAGTCTGATTCTTGATCCGTGCCCCTTCCCCTGACGTCCGGTTGGGCGATATAAGGTGAAATTGTGTGCATGCCCTAACCAACCCTGTGTGGTCTGACAGTGGACTGGGAATACCCCTCCGACCCACAAGAAGGCTCGGATTATATCCGTCTCCTGGCGCGACTGCGCGAGGCCCTCCCAACCCCGCGTTATGTGTTGGCCTCCTGTCTGCCCGCCGGCCCGTGGGCCCTCCGTAACATCGATCTCGCCAAGGCGCAGCTCTATCTCGATCTGATCAATCTCATGGCGTATGACTTTTCCGGGCCCTGGGAGAGTCAGACGGGTCATCAGGCCCAGCTCTTCAGCAAGCACCCCTCCGCCACTTCGTGCCAAAATGCCGTATCGTATGTGTTGAGCCAGGGAGTCGATCCCAAGAAGCTTCTCTTGGGCGTTCCCGCCTATGGCCGCTCATTCTTGGGTAGCAATGGAGTCGGACAGCGGTACGTAGGCTGTGGCGGCGAGGACGGCGTCTTCGATTATAGCGAGCTGCCGCGACCGGGGGCCAAGGAGCATCACGATAGCAGCGTGGGCGCGGCGTACTGTGTGGGTGGGGATGGCGGGTTTGTCACGTATGATACCCCTCAGACGGTGCAGCAGAAGGCGAAATTCGTCACGAAGATGAAACTGGGCGGGCTATTCTATTGGCATATCGGAGGCGATGCGCGGGGCCCGCGAAGTCTGATCGAAACGGGGTATAACACTTTGCATGATATGTAGCGGCTGCTGTTGTTGCTGCTTCAGCATTAGGATGGGAAAAAGCAAAAAAAAAAAAAAAGAAGGAAAGCAAGAAACCAAGGAACAAGGGACAAGGACGGGAAAAAAAACGGAGGCACGCGTGACTTTCTGTCAGTCTGTCGATTAGCTAGCATCATTAACAATGTATTCTCCCCCGCGCAAAAGAAAGTGGGCAAGCACTGCATCTTATATGTACCAACCAGCCAACCCATCGCGCCTAAGCGCCCTCATGATAAGGCCCGGGTACCGTGGACCTGTCAGTGCCATGATAAGCTCCTCGCGTCTTATAGGGAGGACGTCACGCAAGCCTGCAGGTGGGCCAGATATGGATAGATGGACCGTCCCGGGGCCCTGCACCAGCGTCTGTGCATACGCGACGTATCGACTCCGTCTCTTTCCCCTCGATCGATCATCTATGTGCTTTTGTCTACCGTGGACTCCGGGGTGTAATTGATAACTTCGTGGCAGATTATTACACTATACTAAGACCAAAATAAGGAAGTCATTCATCACTGGCATTGGGATTCCAGCTTTATATTATCTGCAGTTTCATGTCCAAGGAATCAAACACGCAACAATGGGAATCACAATAATAGTTCATCCGGAGAGGATGAGCGTGTATAAACAACGGGAAGCGCACACGGACGGGTCGTCCGGATGGGGGGGTGGGTTTGAATTCATTAACTAATCCACCGAACACCCTACTAACCCCTTTTGATAAAAAGGAAGAAAGAAACGATGAAATGGTGAAATGATGGCTTAACCACTCAATGCCTGGGTCACGTTCAACTCGGCTCGGAGCTCGAGCTCTGCCAGGGCACCCGCGATGTAGGGGATCACTTGGTTGTTGTAGACGGTGGAGTTGCCCGTGATGTCGATGGGGAGGATGTAGTCCGGGTAGTTGCTGAGCATGCCGGCGACGGTGAGCTCGCTGACGTTGGCGGTCATGGGCACGGTGTTGTTGCCGGGTCGGAGGGTGAGGTCGTAGATGTAGGCTTGGCCGATGGCGGTGTTGTTGACCGCCAGGTTGAGGGTTAGGTTGCCCTGGGGAGGTGGTCAGCTGGTGTGGAAGGAGACAGGGCCAGGGAGACTTACCAGGGCGATGGAGATCACGGACGGGTTGGGGATATATACGTATCCATTGGCGTTGGTGCCGTCCGAGTTGTTGGTTCCGATATGCATATCGAGCAGCTCGAAGCCTTGGAGCTTATTGAAGCCTGCCGGGATGTTAAGTGGGACGCTCTTTGGTGTTCGAGGGGTTTGATCAAGGAAAGCTTACCCTTCATTGTCGCCGTGTGGTTGTAGGTGACAGGTTTCTTGGGGAGGCCACCCTGTTTCAGACCCGGCCTGCCGTACACGTTGAGCTGGAATTCCTCACTCATGATGGCGGCCCGGCAGAAATCGGCGAACGCAGTCTCGTTGGTAAGGTTCACGCGCTGATTGACTTCCACGACGACGCCATTGTGGGCGTTGAACTTGGGGATCTGGACATGCGCAAAGGCAGCTAGGCCCGCCAGACTGACGCCTCCGGAGAAGGAATAGATGGTCGGGTGGAAGGAGCTGTTGGTCCCGATGATATTCGTCTGGTTGAGGACGAAGGACGTAGGCGATGGGTCACTGAGGTCCATCATGGAGACGGTCAAGTTCGACTCGTTGACCAAGTGCTGAGCGATCTTCGGGTACGCGACATAGACTCTGGGTTATCCATGCCATGTTAGTTGGGGAATTGGGGCCTGGGGTTCTCTTCCCACGATGGGGACATACACAGGGAGCACCACCACGAGGACCACCACGATCAAGCCGATGAGATACACCCACCACCATCGCTTGAAGTGCGTACCCACGCGCGATCCAAAGCCGGGCCTGGCCGCGGCCGCACCTACTCCAGCCATCTCGGTCACTTCGGGCTTGCTGTCGCCGGCCATCTTGGTTGTAATGTAATGAGATGTGATGCGTTGTCGCTATGCCGGGTCGTACTGGACCTATATTCAGAACCAATGCCCTGATGATGTCTGTGTGACAATTGCGGGGTCTTTTACGCCCGTGCCAATGTAAACGGAGAGGGAGGACCGAGCCGAGGAATGTGGGCTGGCAAAGGAATTGTTCCTTCCAGGCTCCAAGACACGGGGCTAGGGGCTGACGGGGTCAATGGAGGCGGACTGCAACCGGGTTAGCAGCCGGCTTGACGGGACGGGGGAAGTATATATCCTGCCCCCATGATGTGACAGCAACGTAGAAACATACCCACAAAACTGGGCACCGGTCAAGTGATGGACAAGTGTTAGGCGAGAATCACGGAGATTAGAGTTGAAGAATGACCACGGAACCCCAGAGACCGAATCAAGGGAGGCAAGGGAGAACCGGCCAGGATGAGAAAAAGGAAACAATCGGACCTCCCCCTGTCCCAACGCTAGATCTATATGTCCCCGGGAGCTGGGCCCATCACATGTCCGACTACTCCGTAAAACCATCTGGATCAGCTCTGCACACCGCGGGTCGTCTTAGTGCGAAGCCCGGCTCAGACCGCGCAGAACATCGCGCTACCCATTTAGTGAGTTAATAAGTGGATGTAACGGCGTAGGAGGCGAGCCAACAAGGGCCACCATGCTGAGGCCCCAGAATGCGGAAGGGCGATCCAGATAATGAGAACAAGGTCCATCCGGCCCCGCGCAAGGACCACGGGTCCCGCTGAGATCGCGTGTAAGCTTGTAGTTGTCGCCGCGGGCTGTCCATGGCACCTGCAAGTCCAGAGCAGGAACATCTGAGCATATGAATAGATGGCCCTGATGGAGCCGAACCGAGGCAAGCGGCGAGTCATCGCATCATTCAAATGAGGGGGAATGAGAGGGATTGAGGGGGTGCACGAGGAGGCGTCTGCACTCTGCAGTCCATCTACACTGCAGGTCGGGGCAAAATTGGTAAGAAGGATTGCAGGCTAGCGATGCAACCCCCCAATTTCCCCCGGGCGATCAGGGCAGCTTGGGTGGGACAGCATGCCGGCCCCAGCCAGCCTTAGTCCCCTTTGGTCGCGAACCTCGTCAATCGCCACTATAGTGCTGCTCCTTTTGGCCAATCCTCCGGCCTCGCGCCCGGAGCCCGCCAATCGTCGCGACCAGGTTTCTTGGGACACTCCCGGGCTTTAATATCGCCTGCCAATCAACCGACTCCGTCGCGGCGGAGGGCACGGAGTTCTGGCGCAGAGAGGGAAATGGATTGATGTCCAATTTCCAGCCGAGCGCGAACGGGGGGGTTTCACCCCCGCCTCGTCCCCAACACAAGCCCTCCCGGTGGCGCCTCCGGTGTAAGAACTAACAACCATCCGTCGTCCAATCCCACCCTCTTAAGATCTCGAGAATCGCAATGGGCCCGATTTAGCCTGGACCATCCCGCGGAACCAACGTCGCTACATCCCAAGGGAAAAAAAAAAAAATATTCATGTCCAAGAATCAATCCATCGGGGATGGATGAACATCCAATTATGTAGGATCCTCGTGAGCATCATCGGGTATGATCTCTGCCAACACACACCACACGGCTATCTAAAGGAAAGGAACGAATGGTATTACACAAGTCAAAAGGAATGGATGAGGGCGCAGCGACCGAACATGGACGGGGTCCATCAGGAGAGGGGGGGGGGGAAACAACAAAGGGTGGACAAGCGAGGGAAAGAAGGTAAACGAGTAGAATCGAACATCACACAGTGATTCGAAAACGATGGGTATCCAAGAAACGAATTTCGATGCCCGCAAATTGGAACGGGCAACTAAATGAGAGCCACAGGCCCCGTTCCAAGATGTGGAGCAGCTAGCAAGGCCTGCTCAAGGAGAAAAAAAGAAAAAATTGATAATGGAAAACCGATAGTGCGAAATGGGAAGGAAAAACAACGAAAGGAAAGGGCTGCCCATGGCCAAGCCCGAACGAATGAAAAGAAAATTGAGTCCCTCAACAGGTAGCTAGACAGCTCACGTTGAGGTTGACTTGAGAAACCATGCCAAGCCCAAGGCAAGAAGCTTTTGCTTTCTTTTTGCTGAGGCTGGAAAAAAAAAAACGAGGGTCGTACAACCGCCTATGCTTCGGCTGCAACTGACTTCTTCCGGTGGAAAAGACTGCGGGTTCGGGACTTGCTGCGCTGCTTCTTCTCTGGAGTGCTGCCAGACGGACCACGACCACGTGAAGTCGAGGTGGAATCATCGTCCATGTACTTGTCCTTGTAGATCCTGTCAAAGCCGGGTTAGATTCACCCCAACCATATTCGACACGGTGGAGCAACTTACCAACTATTCCCAACCATGCTGATGCCCTTCGCCTCCGCCTGGCGATAAAATTTCGCCGCTTTCTTCAAGTCCTTCTTGCATCCAATGCCTTCTGCGTAACAGAAGCCGGCCTCCGCTAGCGCGTCGCCGTCGCCCCACTGGCCGGCTATTTCAAAGCACCGCAGGGCCAGTGACTTGTCTTGCTCAATGCCCCACCCATTCAGATGGCTCACGCCAAGCTCGTAAATGCTCAAGGCGAACTGGGCCCGATAAGCCTTCTGTAGCTCCCTCGCACGAACAGGAATGGTCGGGTTGGAATCGTCCATCAGTTCAATACCGACCGAGTCCACAGCCTTGCGCAACCACTGCACGCCCTCCCGTTGATTCGGTCGCATACCCCAACCGTGTCTGCACGCCAACGCATAAAGTAGCATTCCCGTCGGGTGATTCTGCTTAGCCGCAATGCGCAGGTGATACGTCGATTCGTTCAAAGACCCCTTCTCGTGGCACTGGATGCCCTTGGTTACATGCTCATCCGCAGTGATCACAGCCGATGTCGTATTCGTCCGTGCGGTTTGCGGGCGGACAGTGGATTCAGATCCAGCGGAGGAGGTGGCATCGGTATGATCATTCTTTGAGACCTCTGCGTCCCGCTGTTCCATGGGAGCAGCTTCACTAGGGGCAGCCTCGGTAGGCTCAGGCTCAATAGAAGCGGGCTCAGCTGGTGTAGGCTCGGGTATAGACTCAGGTGCAGGCTCGGGTGTAGGCTCGGGCTCGGTTTCGGGCTCGGGTTCGATCTCAGGCTCAGGCTCGGCAGGCGCCGTTTGGGATGGCCTCATTTCAGGAGACGGCGGGGTCGGTCGAGGCAGAGGCGGCTCCGGAGTCAACAGTTGACGGGCCGAAGAGGGAGATTCGTACATTGAGCGCGTCTTTGAGGTGAAGGAACCCTGGTGGGAAGGAGACGGAGATGGGGTCCTCACGGATTGAGGGGGCCCGGCGGTGCTGTGCCGAGTTGGACTCTCAAATAGCGGTTCCTGCCACTCGAAGTGAGGAGTGTGAAGGCTTGAAAAAACTACCGAGTCCCTCGCAACCGAGCGGCCACGAGGTAGAGAGTACCGTACGTAGGTGTACGAAGATACAGCAGAGGATGGGTCTTCGTTGGGGTTGAAAGGCACGTCCGATGGAGCTGGCACCACAATTGGGCTAGGCTTGTGACCGCGATTGATCGCGCTCTGCGGGTTGTTGGCCGAAGGCTCCGATGAGCCCGTGGGACCGGGGGCCGAGAGACTCGTACTGGACCGACTTAAAGGACGTGAAAAGTTGTAGGGTCGCTGAAGATAACCCCCGGTGTTCGAGGTCTCTGAGCTCATGGACGGCGACCGAGGATGAGAGCGAGTTACGGAAGAGGACATCGAAGAGTACGGTAGTGACACGGCACTGCTAGCGGACATTTTCCGGGGCTTTGAAAACGTCGACCCGGCATTCGAGCTGCTGTAGTCATCGTCAGAGCTCTCAAGCTGTGTCCCTCGGGAACTGCTCGATGGCCTCGACAGTGGAGAGGCCGGAGGTGCTAGTCCTCGCGGAATGTTCAGGCGAGAGGCAGAATCAGTTGAGGAGGTCCGGGAGGGCGCCATCACAGAGACACCCAGCGGAGGGGACACCCCAGCCGGCGCGAGACCGGTAGGGGAGACTGCGTAGAAACGACGAGGGCCTTCAGGCGGAGATTCGGGTGGGCTGTGAGAGGACATGGCGTCCTCTGGCGATTCGGCGCGTGGCAGGTCGAAGGCATTCACGCTCGGTTCCTTCTTCGGGGTAGTATCTGGATCCTCCTCGAAGTAGTCTTCCATTTCACTAGCCAGGTGTGACACCCCACTCAGACGAGGGTGTTCGGACTGCGGACGAAATTTTGGTTCCTCCACTTCGGGACTCAGCTTTTGCGTAGGTTGTCTCGATAGTTCGTTGCGTCCTGCTGGTCCTCTGCGTTGGGTGGATTCGCTTGAAGACGGGGATCGAAAATAGCCGGGTCGAGGTTGCGACAGGGAACGAGCCACGCTGGAAGGGGGTAACCTGCTCATGCGCCGATTCCTTCGCGCCGATTCCTCCAACTGACGGGCCAGGAGCCGACCTTGGGCGGCGAAAGCATCGAGCGGGGAGAGCGCAGGAGGAATTTCACCATCGTAGTGCTCAATGCGTGGAGACGGAGCCCCGCTGCGAAGGACGTCGTGGGAGGGGGACCGGCTTTCACCAAACTTGGGCCGGGAGGCCATGGTTGCTATCCAGTGACTGTCAATTTGTGCGGAGCGATAGGGATCTCTCTTGTCTTTCGAGAGTCGAAGCGCGAAGGGCCTGGTCGATCAATTCATTTAACTGATATTGATGGACGAGGGGTTCGAATGTTCAATCGCTTCGCATGAAGAATGTGGGACGATGGGTGGAATGGGGGGTTCGGCAGTGCTTGATGCTCTGGAACACTGGTAAGCCGTACGCGCGCCGGAACGATCTTCGAAGCACCGAACAGCTGATTGATACGGACAAAAGGAGGGGGCGGAAGACACAAAGGAATGACAGCCCCGGGGAGAGAGATGAGCGAGAAGAGTGCGGGGGGAAAGAAGCGAACGAATAGCTCTGTGAGGAGGATAGGTAGGTCAAGGTATGGAGCCAGGCTCAAGAGCAGCAGGAGGGGAATGAATAGTCAATCGGTGGTGTGATGTGATGTGATGTTCCCCGGCGGATAGTATGTAGGGGGTCAGTACCTGTGTGGAGGAGTGGTGGTCGGTTGAAACAATGGTTCGAGGGTCGTCACACAAAAGGACGAGGAACAGGCATCGCGGAGGGAGGGGAAGGGGAAGGAAAAGAGAGGAGAGGGTTTGAGAGAGAACTGGAGGGAGGAGAGACAGTGTGAGGAACGTTGGCCATGATCAGTTTCGAGGAGGGAGGTTTCGTTACGCCCTGACGATCCCCAAACAAGGACCGTCGTTCTGGGCGTCTCCACGCGGAGGGGGGGGGAGAACGGTAACGCCATTACCGACGGGCGCCATGCGGTCCTGCCCCCGGTTGGGCCCCAATCACGGTGAATCGTCGTAACAATCACCGCCTGGCCTGCAGGCCCCGGCCCCATTTCAGGGGCTGCCGTTACATACCCATACCGGACAGCTGACAGTTCCTCGGTCTTGGCAGCCGCAACTGCAGGCGGATCTTTACCGTACCCATTACGCCGCCTTTACCATCGGGAAGTCAGGGGTTGCATTATTGTTCGCTTTATCGATGATTATTGACGGACCGAGATGGGGTTCTTACTATTGACATCGGGGCAAAGCACGGGGAATCCATCTGGTCGGTGGATGGTTAGCTTCTAGAAGGCAATAGTATTCTCGACCATCGCGAGGCCTAGATGGCGTCGTCTCTACGCTCCGGAGTCTGGTTAGCGGTTCAACCTGAGTCGACGGTGGAGTCGGCACCACACCATGGCTCATGCTATTTATATTCCCTTCCCCTGCAAATTTTCGCATCCCAAACGGAAGGGTCGCTGCTGATTCGACCATCGCGTCCCATGGGTTCTCTCCCTTCCAGGTACCACAGTTGCTCCAACGACCGCCGTTCGTTTCTCTTCATCCATGGTGTCCAAGGCTAGTGGTGTTATTGTGATAGTCGCTCGTTGGTGCAAGGAGGCAGTTTTCCTATACGGAGTACGCTGCTCGTGAAGAACTCCCCCAGAGGCACATGATGGGTGCCATTCGGGGAATGTCTCATGTCAGTTACGCGATATTACTAAATCCCGGAAGTATATTCAAGCCCAAGGGGTGATCGTAAGGATCGTTTGCGACGGATAAAGTCTTGGGGAGTTGGACACCTGAGTCCTCGCTCGCTATCTAGTATCCAGAGCATGGACGCCTAAATTATTAAAGGAGGCCTACCCATCCCACCTCGCTCATGATGAGCTGTTCCTCAAACTTCAATAATGGCCCTTTTCTTTCTTTTTGATTTAACGCCCCCTCTGCGAGGACCCAACTATTCGACCCGGCGCAGGTGCTCCTTTGGTGTGGTGGTCCGAAATCAGGCACAACGTCGCGGGAACGCCAAACAGTCTAAAGGAACTGCTGGTGGGCGGTGATTGGTGCAACAATTAAGACACTGGAGCATCGGGAAATTCTGCCGCTGATTAAACCTCACATGATGAGGGTGTGAGTGCCTGAGGTATGCATGCTGCCCTAGGCCCCGACTATCTAGCAGCCTGACACCCATCTGAATCCATATTGAACCTTATGGGTTAGCGCTTCGTATCACCTACCTATCTCTGAACTCTGAAGAATAATCCGCTGCAATAATACTGATGCCCCGCTTAATCTTATCATGCGACTGGCCCCGACAATCGCTGACGGTCGTACAAGGCGCTCCCGCAGCCAATCCTATCGCTGACGCTCAGTGGCTGATGAGAGGCGCAAGGAGGGAACCGACAAACCCTTGGAATGTCTCAATCCAATGGCATGCACCAATTTAATAGGAAAATCTCTTCAACCTCACAGACCACCTCTACTACGTACTTATCGCAAGCTAAGTGAGGTACGGAGGAAGCAGCGGAGTCGACCATACTTTGCCTCGCCCAATCAAGGCGCTCGCCGTGTCGACTAAGTGACTGTTTCGGCCACGCTCCGCAGAAGCTTAGGTGCTAGCAGCATGAGTTTAATAAAGTTGGGATGATCGGTCGTTAAGGAGAAGGAATGCGAAGGGAGGGGACCCGACAGCGACAGACAGCCCACTAGCAGTCTAGTCATAAATCTCTGGTCGCGTGTCCTTGCGCCTGTTCGCCTCCATATCGAGCAGGCTCCATGTCTATCATCGCCCAGGATACCCTGAACACTCAGCCCTAACGAGTAACGACAGACAACAACCGCCAGAGTGGAGGATCCAAGCCGACCCGCCAAAATGAACAAGCTCAAGAACCGCTCCCTCTACGAACTCCTCCACGTCGATCCCTCGCTCGACAGTGCCCATGTCTACGAAACCTCCTGGCTCCTCCCTCCCCTCCCCTACGCCATCCTCCGTGGCACCATCTCCCTCTACATCTTCACCAGCATCTTCTTCATCTGGGGCTGGAGCGGCACCCATGGCGACCGCGCTGAGATCGGCGAGAGCTTCAGCTACTTCACCTGGCTCACCTACTGGGGACTAGGCTTCTACATGCTCATCGCCTCCATCCACACAGCCTGCTATGCACTCAAGGGCCGCTCCGTTCTCTTCGACCGCTGGCCCCGAGCCCTGCGCGCCCTTCACGGTCTCTACTACGCCAGCGTCACGACTTACCCATTCCTCGTGACTATCGTCTTCTGGGGCATCCTCTACTCCGGTCCATGGTACACCGTGACCTTCAGCGGCTGGCAGAACGTAAGCACCTCCCTTACCCCCCCATAAACCTCCCCCCACCCCCTCACTCATTCACCCCCTAACTTGACCACCCAGATCTCCCAACACGGCCTCAACTCCCTCTACGCCCTGCTGGAAATCATCCTCCCGACCACAAATCCCCACCCCCTCCTCAGTCTCGCCGTCCTCATCTTCATCCTCCTCCTATACGTCTCCCTCGCCTACCTCACCTACCACACCGAGGGCTTCTACACGTACTCCTTCCTGGACCCCGGCCCGCACGGTGAAAAGAGCGCCCACGTCGCGGGCTACTGTTTCGCGGTTTTGGCGATTATCGTCGTCTTTTTTATCTTCTCGTGGTGCGCGATCTGGTTGCGTCGTAGATTAACTCATGGGAAGGTGAAGCGGTCGGGGTATGATACTGGGTGCGAGAGGAGTGTTGAGGTGGAGGAGGTGGAGGCGCAGATTAAGTAGTAGTACTTATTGTTGGCTTTGGTTGGTTTAGGGATGAGGGGGGTGGGGTTTGTAATGTGATGAGGATTGTATATGGTGGGGTTAATGAGATGATGTGCTTTGGGGCTGTTAATGTGTGGTATGGGTTGGGTTCGGTTGGTATTGGGTACGGGGTGTATATATGATACGGGTACAGATTAAGTACTTATTACTTGTAATTCAGTTGGGAATGTTCCATGCAGATGATATGTGATATGATGAGAGAAAAAGAGAAGATTCATGCAATATGATCCGTTTAGGAAAAGAGGAGATATGATATCGTGACACAACCAAACGCCCAATTATTATGACCCTATTAGACCTTTTCCCAGCTTGTCTCACTACTTCCCCCACTTATACTCTCCCCTGGAGACAGGGGCCCAGTCCGCAGCCCCAGCATCCACCCCACCAGACCGGCAGGAACCCACTCGCCGATCAAGTGGTAAGACCGTGCTCCTCGACCGACGTAGATGACCGGCTTCTTGGCTACTTTTCTGCCAAAGATGTCCTTCGATGGCTGGTCCAGTGCGTCCAGGATGGCGTAGTGCAGCGTCCGGGCTGGAGAGCCGCGGATTGTGCTGGGGCCTGCGGACGCGACGGGTCGCTGTTCGATGCTGTTGAGGTACTGTGAGGCGTAGAGGGATCGCTGTTGGACACTCCAGGCAAGAACTTCCGTGCCGGTAATGTGGCTCTGCGCGCTGCGGTATTGTGGGCCCAAGTCGATGTTGCCAAGCTTTAGCTCCACGACGTCGATGTTGTTTTGTTGAAGGAGGCTAAGTTCTCTGCGCAGGGACGTTGCGAACCCTGACAGTGCGCGGGTGGTTGCGACTTCGGGGCCGGTGAAGGGAGCGGAGAGGGATGAGGAGATGGATGGGTAGGCGAGGACGATAGTACTGTTGGTGTTGCGGAGGGTGAGGAGAGGGAGGAAGAGCTGGGTTGTCAGGATGGGAGAGAGGAGGCGCGTGTTAACTGTGTCGATCCAGGAGGATGGTGGGATTGTAGCCACGGGCCCGGAGGCGTAGTTCGGCGACGGCACGAGGATGAGGCCGCTTAGCTGGCAGGTGTGCGGTGGCACACCGGGCATGGGCGACTGGGGTTGAGAAATGAGAGAGTATATCTCGTTTAGAGAGGGGTGAATTTCAGATGGAGAAGAGGTTGTCTGTAGAAGTTGATGTTGTCAGCTCGATTACAGATCCCTGCGCGATGTTTTGTTGGTCTTACAGCTGAAAGGTCCAGCCAAAGGGCCCTGATGTCTGCCCTGTTTTCCGACTGTATGATATGTTCCTCTTCTGCGGATGAGACCGTCACGTAGACGATGTATCCTCGACGTTCCAGATCGGAGGCGATCGCTCTAGTCATCGGCTCATGAGGCGACCCCGCGACGACTGTCGCAATGGTTAGATCCGGACAGGCACGTGGGGTTGAAGAACATCCATACCCACTATTTCCTTTCGGGCTCCATTTCCAGCTCTCCTTGCTCTCCGTCGCTTTCCGCTCAGCTTCTTGTTCCCGTAATACAGCACGCAACTGGTGCCTAGGAAGGCGATGAGTGCGGCGCTCCATGCTCGATTGCGCAGGGCCCAGCCATGCACGCGATCAAAGAAGCTTTGTGGTATGGGGGCGCTAGGTCGGCTTCTGGATATGGGTCGAACTGAAGTAGGTAGCCATGACTGGCTGGAGAGGGTATCTCGGAGTGCGTTGGCGGCGTGGTCCACTTGTCGGTCGATCGACTCGGCGACTTGGAGCGAGTATCTCCTTACGTCATGCGGTATCGAAGCAAGCTGAGAAGAACAAGAAGATGTCAGTGCGAAATAGGGAGGCAGAAGGTGTATCACATCCACTCACATAGTCGAAGAAAAACTGGTCGTCACTAGTCATGATGATGCTTTCTACGCTCAGGTACTTGAGTGACTGGGATGAGAGAGGGTGATAAAGATTCGCGGCAATGAAGATTCCGATCTTTATCGGCGGGCGGGTCACATGAGCAATCCCGCCCTATTGGTGTGTCTGGATCTATACTTCAGCTGCACCCTTGATGTGGGATGCTGTGCTGCATTCAACAAGCTTAGGATGAGTCGCAAGCTAGTGGCGGGCTTCATTTGGCTCACATCCTTACATGATTGCTTTGGCAACTATCTGTATTGGGCAAGTCCGAGTATATATTCATAATTTGTTGCTGTCAGATACATTGCAAAGAACCACACCCGGCACAAATGGAGATTTTTAAATCATATCTAGAGCAATTCTGGCGCGACCATCACCTTTATAGTGGATCAATGGATCGGGGCTTTCAGAAGATTTTATTCTGGAGACTTGGCTTCTCCTATGCAAAGTGGTGGTACCGGAAGGCAAGATGCAGTGCCAACACGCGTAGTACATTGAAGACAGCTTCTGATTACATGGTAGGTTTACTCGTCTGTTAAAATAGCCGATAAGACTGATTCTCAAGACTGACCCTTTCAATCCAGGCTGGCTGTTGGCTATCCCTCCCCCACACTTCGCCGTCGATGCGTTGCATAATCGAGTTTGAGGCTGGTTGGGATTCCCCCAAGAGCATACATAACAGTAAAACAATGAACACATTGGTTCCATTTGCAGACTCTGACAAACGGCAACCGTGCCTTCATCTCTGTGAGAACATCTGGGGATAGATTTGCTGGAGGTGGTCGTGTCGTGGGAGGGATTACACTGGGCCAGTATGATTGCGATTATGCATGCCACACTGGACTGACCCCAGTAAAACTGATAAGAGTGCTGTTTATAAGGTGTTGACAGCTGTATATTCTCAGCGACAAAAAATCACCCGAGAGAAAAAGTTATGACCAGACTGGGGCTCGATCCCAGGACCTTATCGGTGTTAACGATACGTGATAACCAACTACACCATCCGGCCAACTTGTTGAAAGTAGTCTGTATTATTTGTTTAATAGAGAATCATTATGATGGTGGTATTGACCTGTCGTCGAGTTCAATGTGGGAGTCAATGGGAAAGGTAGTCGGCATTTCTGCAATAGAAAGTGAGTCTGACCAGCTAATTGTTGCTGTATGTCATGTCGCAGCAGAGTTGGCATGACTACCTTTGACGGCCATTTCAAAGGATTCCCGGCGTTGTGACCAAAACTGGATATTCGGCGTATATGAGACTCAAACATAGTTGATAATGGATTCCTTCTGTTGTACAGTTCGAAGATAACGCCTGGGTATGATACATGGGAAAGTGAGAAGGTGCGTATCACAATTCGAGCTCTGCCAGTCCGAAAAGGTCAGCGACTTTCTCAGCCAACTGCATGTTAGCTGGGCAATTGTAAAGAGTGGCCCAGGCGATCATAATTTGCATACTTCATGCCCAACACACTGTTTCAGCTTACAAAGCAACGTTTCTCATCGTTCGACTCATCCAGTCAGGTTAGTGGGCACCGTTCATGCTCATGAGCCGCGACGTTTAGTTGCTAGAGTGGAGTTGCAGGGAGCACGTATTCAACAAGTATATTGATATGTGAGTCGAGGAGGTAAGAGCGAAAGACTCGGTTTCCTTTGTCGACCTGTTTGATTCTGAGAGTTAGACCAAGATAGTGAATCAAGTGGCAGGCCATGTGCAGCAACGGACCGAGAATTTCTGGCCTCCGTTTAGCGTGACAGGAGATCAAGTACTGGTCGCTATCATCCATGATCACCGCAGAAAGACAGTCTTATCTTAAAACCCCCTCGAAGATCCACAGGGAATGACTGGGAGGGAAATTACTTCCGGTTATTCAGCATAGGAGCACTATTGTCATGACTCGCAATGTGGGAATGCCAAATCAAACCGGGCCATGCTAGTGACCGTGATCAACAACGTTATATACCTCTGACTTGACCTTTCTAGAGTCTTCTACTTGTCGCACTCCCGATGAGGCATCAATATGTATCCGAAGGGGTACTGCAAGCAAGATCCTGCGATCACACATTCAAGCTTCCAGCTAACTTTGCCGGCCAGCTGTCACTATCCAAAAGTTGTCTGAACCGGCCAACAGTCACATTGTTCCCTCAAGTCATAGTCTCCCATTCTCCAGCCTTGTTAACACTACCACGTGTGAAGAAGGCATGCTCTACCTCAGGTAGTGCTGCCTAGTCCCAAAATAGCGAAAGGGGTACGCTTTGAGGATCTGCATAGGCACCGCAACCTCGTCGATGACTTCTGGCCAAGATTGAATTGACGACTGTGATACAATTTACGAGAAATGGCTGGTGTTCCTTCGCCCTTTAGAGGCGCAAAGCCGCCCACCCGCCATAACAGGATCCCGCTACACCAACACGCTTGTGCCTCTGTCGCAGGGCTCTAGCGCAGTCGAAGGTCTCAGGCTCACAGATTTACGGAGCTCCAGCCCAGGAACCAGGGAGGGTCTATCTCAGCCCCTCTTTCGTTGAGAAGGGGCTCGAACGAAAGCACTTCACCGCCGACGAAGTCAGGGGCAGACAGTTGTGTTAGCCTCCCGCGCATGGTGGTCCGCCAGTGAACGCACGTTCGGAAAGCTCCAGCCCAGGAGATCGGGAACGATCATCACGGCTGCAGCGGGGTTATCACTGGAGACGTAGCCATGGTTGCTAGCAAGCTTTGTGATCCTTCCAGTCGGGGTGCCTTCCTATTCGAAGGTTCAGAGGCAGCGCTCCAAGACTGACATGATTGAGTCAACTAGATCAAGATCAAGATTAAACGGATTCCGTCCCGTCCCGTCCTAAATAAGGATCTGTTTCCTGAAGTCAAAAGCAGTATGCATGGGAGAGTTGACCGATGTTTCGGGGGGGGCCATGGCCCAAGGACAAGGAGTGTACCATTACCACCCAAGACCGAGTCATTGCGGGGCGCCTCAGCCACTGCCGAGTCATTCAACCTAATTTAGCCGCCGCCTGTACCGGGTGAACCAATCCCCTTAAAGTTGCACATGGCCAACCAGAGAGGCTGATTCACCCACCGTGTTCTAGGTGAGCGTCTGTATGGCGAGAATACGATGGAGTACCCCTCTTGGCAACCGAGTCCCTATCTGGTTGCCCTCCACGGAGTCCAGATCTACGCCCTGCCAAGTGCAACCTTCTCTGATAGTTGGCTCGCTATCTACCGCTAACGTGGGCGTTGCAGGCCGGTGATGTCAATATCGTACTGATCATGCAACTCCCAGTTCAATGTCGACCTCCAAAAAGCCAGTACGCTGGCAGGTCAAGCTATCGAAAGCGCTGACTGGGCATCTGGTTGACCCGCATTAAGGGAGATTGAATGGTAAGAAAGAGGTTTATGCTACGTAAAGTCCACGGAAAAGGAAAACGAGTGGGAACTAGAGCGCAGAAATGGCAATACACTCGTTCCACCTCCAGATCCATGCTGGATTTATCTCCACAGTATATAAGCAAGGAACAACCCCTGATGACCAACTGGGCCGGGGCCCGTATCGGTCATTTGCCGATGCCAGGTTTCAGTCCTTCAGCTTTTGACAACACTTATAGCATATCTGTCAGTACATTTTCTCCCGTCTTCGGGCATCACAATTGGCAGTCCCTCTCGGCTGACATCACATCAGCAGTGAGCATGTTTTCACCCTCCCACCAGGGTTCCTTTCAGAAACTTGAGAAGGTTTGTATTGCCTTTGAGACGACAAATTCGGAAGGAAAAGATAGAGGGTGTTTGGGGTGCCCCAGTCGCTAACCACGGTCACTCCAGCTGGGTCAGGGGACATATGCAACGGTTGGTTAAATTTTCACCCCGTCGTGTGGTTGAGGCACAGCTGGTGGTTTCTGACCATATCAACTCTGCAAACTACAGGTTTACAAAGGACGCAACCGCGAGACGAACGAATTAGTGGCCTTGAAAGAAATTATTCTCGATGCCGAGGAAGGAGCCCCTTCGACAGCCATCCGGGAGGTGTCCTTGCTGAGGCGCCTCACGCATGAGAATATCCTGACTTTACACGATGTGGTGAATGTAGAAGACAAACTGGTGTTGGTGTTCGAGTATATGGACAGGGACCTGAAGCGCTATATCGATTCTCAAGGCAGTCCGCTCGATACCGCTACCATCAAGTCCTTCGTCTACCAGCTGCTGAATGGGGTTTCTTTCTGTCATGAGAACGGCATCCTACATCGGGACCTGAAGCCTGAAAACCTGCTGATTGATGGAAATGGACGGTTGAAGCTTGCAGATTTTGGACTGGGTCGTGCGTTTGGTATCCCCATCAGCACGTTCTCAATTGATGTGGTCACACTTTGGTACCGACCCCCGGATGTGCTGCTGGGAAGTCGCACCTACAACACCAGCATTGACATCTGGTCTGTCGGATGCATCATGGCTGAAATGTATACGGGAAGTCCCTTATTTGCGGGAACGACAAACGAAGACCAGCTTCTGAAAATCTTCCACGTCATGGGCACACCAACCGAACTCTCCTGGCCCGGAGTCAGTCAGTTACCCGAATACCGGAATAACTTTCCATCCTGCTCTCCACAGAGTCTGCAGAACCTTATACCATCTATAGATCCTCTGGGAGTTGATCTGCTGGGACGCATGTTGCAGTTGCGTCCGGATGCGCGCATCAGCGCCACCGAAGCTCTGCAGCACCCCTGGTTCCACGGCCTTCCATAGGGGGTTCCTCGGCTCAAGGACGATCTCAGGCCGTCTCCAGCTACGTTCATTGGCCATATATCTGACAAGCTCGCCGAAGCCGTCAGACTCAGTCTGGATCTCCCCGCAGCGGTTGTTATGTGAATCTGCTGTTTTGATAAGCAATCATCGATGGCCGTGTCGTATATACACTGCAAGATCATAGCGAGCCATGGCCTTCAGGGGTTCAAATTAGTAATATTAAGGCGTCTGAAGCGTATAGTAACACCACAAGTCGAGGAATAATAATCAACATCTGGCCATTGATGTGAAAAGCATACCTGGGTATAGTTGGTCAAACTGTTTTCCTCAACCAAACATCATATATACCCTGATGTGAGCATAAGTGCCATGCAACAGCACAGTACTACAAGACACCACCACGAGATCATTCTATCTACCAAACACACACTACCAACGATCCACACGAGAACCAAGCACAACTCCATAAAATCAATTCAAGCTAAACCATTCCTATCCATCCATAAACCGCACCTACCCCCAATCCCTACCTAACCTAACCGCAAAACCCCCAAATCAACCCAACCAACCCACAAAGAACCCGACCCCAGATAATCCCACCCCCCACCATATCCTCCTAAGCATGCTCTTCATCCAATCCCGCTCCATTCCCAACATTCACAGGGGACAACACCTCCTCAATCGCCTTCTTCGGATTCTTCTTCCGCGCCTTTCGAGGAGAAGGAGTCCCCGGTTCATCCGAAACACCGCGCTTCCCCTTCTTCGTGTAACTGAAGCTGATGGAGCTGCCCGACTTGCGGTATTTACCGAGTTGTTCGCTCAGAGCTTTGGCGGTGGGTTTGTCATTTTCGGTGGCTGGTGGGTTGGGCGGTGTTAGCCATGTGGTGGGTTTGGATGGATGTAGAGGGGGGAAGAAGCTTACGCCAAGCGTCGACGATCTTGTCGGGGTCGATGGTGAAGGATTGGGTTTCGAAGATCAGGCGGAGGAGCTGAGCGGGGGATTGTTAGTTTGGTTTCGTGGAGTTTGGGGTATGGGGTGGACGTACGATGGCTTTATTTTCGTCGGTCCAGCGGGTCATTTTGGTGTGTTTAGATCAGTTTGGGTTTCTTGTTGACTTTGCTGGTTTGTGAGGAGAGAAGATTGTTGGTTTGCTGAAGTAGATGTGCGTGTGTGTGCGTCCACGGAATAGAAGAGGGTAGATAGCGGGAGTTGAAGCAGGAGATAGTGAGAGCAGATGAACTTGGAAGAGGGGGGAGAGAGAAGAGAGTATGTGAGAGAATAAACAAGTGAGCTGAGAGAGAGGTTGTGTAGAGGGGGTGAAAGGAGTGACAGACTAACACTAATGAAAAGGGGTCTGTTGAGAAGCAGGTCTGTTGTTTGCTTCAATATTACTAGTGAAGTTAAATTAAATACAAGTTGGAGTGAAGTAGTCTTCAGATGGTCTTGTTGTATGACAGGATTCATTTGTCTGGTGTAGGATAGGGTCATGGTCACTGCTAGATATTGTCTGGGTTTATAGCTTCCACACTTGACCTGCTAACTTGCTCACAGTGATCTTCTAGAGTAGTAGCAGTGGGAGACGGGGCTCTTTATATTGACACAAACATGCATAGTTAGGTATTCTATGCTGTTACATTATTTAATTTTCTAGCGTGCATGGAAAGGAGTAAATGTCCTGTCAATATTTGAAGTATAGCCATTTCTCCGCTTGCATCCATATACGCCCTTCTATTACTTACACCAGGCCCAAATAAAACAGATTCCAGACCTCCGGGATACATGCCCCACCTGTAGTAGTTATATGAAGCCCAGCACCGGTCAAGTTTACTATATGGTATAGTGGCCCTTTCTCCTCTCTACCTGGATATAGCTTCATATAGGAACATCTACAGTTTGTGCAGAGAATTATTGAGCTAAGTATAAGTATATCCAAGCCTATATACGCCCGAGACTCACTATCTCTATTCTGCCATATCACTCAAGTCTGAGACACGAAGGGATCTATAGTTCCGCGCCCAAGCATTTGATTAGCCCGGAAAATCTCATGTGCCTCAGGCAGTTTATTTGCACGTGACTTCAATGCCTGGATGCCTAGCGGATTAGCAATCAGTCAGAGGCATCATTCGGTCTCTTTCTATCCAGACTATAGCTCAGCTTGGATATTTGCCCCCCGGGGTTATGTCCCTCGTCCAGTTTTGCGTGCAGTATCCGGTTGGGACGCGTTCCTCACTCTTTAACGAAGCCCCGTCATGATAGATCCCTAGCGGAGGCGGTAGCAAGCATCAATATCGGCATCAAGATCTGGACTTATACGGAATACTCCGTTCTATCATATTTTAGCCTTCTATTTCTGCCTCGCCGCCTCTCCTCATTTTTTCTTTATATTACCTCGTTTCCGTCTTTATTTCAACTTTTTCTGTAGCGAATTCTCACTTTCTCCAATATTCGCCACGATGCGCGAAATAGACCCGCTGGTCTTCGAATACCAGCATGAGAAGCACCGACCACGGGAATCAGAGGCGCTGCTGGTCCTCCGAAAAGTAGCTTCGCTAGTCAAACCGATTATGCGACGCCGGGACTGGAAAGTCGGCACGCTTTGTGAATTCTACCCACATCAGCGAAACCTGCTCGGTCTCAACGTCAATATGGGCCAAAAGATTTGTCTACGATTGCGGTATCCGTCCGATCAGAACCAGTTTCTGCCTATTGAGCAGGTGGTGGATACTATGCTCCATGAGTAAGTGGCTATATTCTGGTTTTGTAGAGCAGTGGTTGATAGCGAGGGGCACAGGCTCTGTCATATTGTGCATGGACCACATGATCAGCAGTTCCATGCGCTTTGGAACCAGCTGCGTGACGAGCATGAAGAGCTCATTATGAAAGGATATACAGGAGAAGGGTTCCTTTCAGAAGGGAAACGCTTAGGGGGCCGGAGAATGCCCCTCGACGAGGCTCGTCGAGTAGCCAGAGCAGCCGCGGAGCAGCGACGGACTCTATCTGCAGGGTCGGGGCGACGACTTGGTGGTGCGCCTGTTTTGCGCGGAACTGACATGCGCCGAGTGATTGCAGATGCCGCACAGAGACGGACCGAAGTGACGAATGGCTGCGCCTCCGGTGCCGAAAACAGCGCCGCACTGGCAGAGGAGGCTTCCAGGAATGGCTTCCGGACCAAAGCGGAGGAAGACGATGCCAATGAGCGAGCAATCATGGAAGCGTACATTGATTTGATCGAGCAGGAGGAGCGCGAGAGATACGGGCCTTCCTATATTCCCCCAAGTCACGAGAATCCCGCAGGTCCTCGGACAACGCTATCTCCTCCACCTGTTCCAGAAAATAGCAGGCCGACAGTATCCTCTCAGCCCGCAGTTCCTATCGATCTCACCTCTGACGACAGTCTATACAATCAACCATGGTCGTGCCCGACCTGTACACTTGACAACCCGGCTAACTTTCTTTGCTGTGACGCGTGTGGATCAGAGCGGCCGCGACCCTCGTCCACAAGGTCTGTTTCTGGCCCTCCGAGTGTGTCGAATCCGAAACCCGCGAACAAGAACAAGCGTTCAATCGGCCAGGTGACGAGTCAAACTGGATTCAAGAATCGGACCCGTGCCGTGGAGTCGCTAGCTGCCCTTGAACAGAACGCCAATAAGCGCCCCCTCGGGTGGTTATGTGACAGCTGTGGCTCGTTTATGGAAACCGAGTGGTGGACGTGTTCGAACTGCGGCCTGATGAAGCGTGCATCTTAACTTGTGCAGTTGAGCGTTGGCGTTTGGCGCATAATTGGGAGTGTCACCGAAACAGAAGACCCATGATTCATGGCCTTTTACGAGGTATGCGGTTTACAAAACACAGCAGTCTCATCCTCACTCAATCATCCTATAGAGGGGACCTGTAGCTAGCATCAGGCATGTGGCACTACCCGCCTTCCCCCTGTTGTCTGTGGCTTCAATTCTCCATTCATCACCTGCCGCGCTCTCCACGCCGCCCAATCACTTACGGTCCGCGCATCTTCTTCCTCTCCCTCGGCCAGTGGCGGGACCACAGCACTGCCCTTAATGCGATGCATAGTTTCAGTCCGTCGCGGTCGAACAAGATACGCCAGACTCTGTCGCGCGACGCGGGCCTGCTCGCCAGGGGCCGTGACCACCCGATGCAATGAACTGCGCAGGACTCCACCAGTCCACTCCACCAAAGTATCTCCCACATTGATCAAGGCACAACCCTGCTCCGGACGAATATACTGCCAGTTCTCAGGCACATTCTCCTTATCAGCTGGCAAAATCTGCAGGCCTCCCGAGACATGGAAGAGCAGCGTGAGAGTGCCAATATCAGTGTGTCCGCCCAGAGTGATCTGGCGATTATTTCCAATCTCTGCATCTTTGGTTTGAGGCCAACTCAGAAGCATTCGCAGAGATGTCTCAGATGGTTGATCTATTGGACTTCGACGAATCAACGTGTTGGACAGAAGGCCTAGTTGCTGGTCAAGGTTGACGCAGATAACCGAGATGGCAGCATGAGCATGCTCGAAGAACGCCCGACAGTCCGAACGCTGTTCTTCAATGGGGTCTGGGTTTTGGCGCGGAGCGCTGTTCCCGATTATATCGTCCTGGCCTAGATTGTACATCTCCATGCAGTCGAGTTTGCCGTCGTCGGTGCGGAGTTTGCCAGAGCATTTGTATCTAGATTTCCGCATTAGCTGTGGGTACTGGACGTGACGGGTCGCTTTGGGCACACCCTAGGAGATCGCGGGGAGGTTTATAGGCATATTTATCCAGGACCTGTCGGTCCAAGCTTAGAGTGGTGGTTGTGAGATCCATCATTCTTTCTGCATCTTGAAGTAATTGCTCACCTGCTTCGGAGTCGGTGAGCTTCAACAAGAAAAATCCGAACTCTTGGCAGGCACTGAATAGTTTCTCTGACTCGGTGGCGCTGTTATTCTGGAGATCGTTGAATGGCAGAATAGGGATGTTCGCGACGGGGATGTCAGACGGGAATGGTGGACATTGGTCGAAGTATTTCGGAGTAGGCATGGTGGGCTTTCACGGATATCACTAAGTCGACAGGAGGGAGGAAAGAGAGCGATGAGGAATTAAAAAACACAGTCCGGCTGACGATTCATCTTTATATACGTGAGAAGAGAGGGGAAGCGCGAGGCTGAACACTACTAATATGAATTCCCATTGGCTAGCTTGCCAAACTTGGAGCTTATGTTGGATGTCATCCTGGGGTATCAGGCCCCCACTCTTCAAATGAAGGGACGGTACTCCGTAGAAGCCTCTTACATGGTCAGCCTAAAGCTTATTCTCACGGCTGGATGACTGATTAATGCAAGCCAGGTATTGTTTGACAGTCCATCAATTAGTACGCGACACGAAAATGTATACTTCGAGATACAACTATCTCGAAGCATATATGGGTAACAGTGACCCGGCCCCATGTTCTTCTGTAGAGCAGGGTTTATAGTAAAGAACTGGCATAGAACTCAATAGATCTGATATACAAAACTGCTGCTTAACCTCATCCTACCTCATCGCCGCCGTAACAATTTCGCCGGAAAGGGGACCCCACTCATAGATATTGTAGATTTCAGGGATCTAATCAAACTAAGCAAGCCAACTACTTGCCAACTAGACTAAACCCACAGCTGGGTGATGGTCAGTCCTTGGATGTCAACAAGAGAGAGCTAGATATATATAGAGCTCTGATCGAAGTATAGGTACGAATGAACAAGACACAGAGAACATCTTATCATTCATACCCATACAGAGCCATTTCCACAATAATGTGTCAACATAATCCTTTTTGGACTTACACGGCCATGTTGGGTCTCATATTTGCTGTCCAAGCTAATTGGCAGACAACATAGTTTTTCAATTGCTCCACTTGTTAATAACACGCTAAAGGACCAAACTCAAAGGAACGAATTAATCAGCATTGATTTCCTTATTGTGATATCAAGAAGCTTGCGCCACTGCAGTTGACTTTCTTGACAATAAATTTGAATGATTTTACGGAGTACAAATGGCCTATCGTGATCAATATCACTCCAAACTGAAGAAAATGGTCAAGGCCTCTTTCGGAAAAGGACTCGTTCATGACGTTAGATTCTGGTGCATTCTCTATAAGAAGCCTCTTAATACACCTCGAATTGTTAGAGTCAGTTTTTGTTTTGACTAGTACAAGACATATTCTCGTGTCTGTGTACAGAACCTAAACTCTTCTAGAATCATGAAGCCTCAAAGCCACGGCACCCAAATCATAGCGACAACCCGCTGACTAACCCCTGACTCACCCGGCGCGAGACTTTCGCCGAAAAAAAAAAGCTCCCCATTTTCTTTTCCCACTTTCCCTCTCAAGCTTTACTTTCTCCCCAACATCAGCTTCCTTAGCGAACAAGCAAGCTGGACTCTTATGTCGAGTCTCCCCAAATAGTCACCAATCAACCCAATACATCCATCCGACGAGTTTCCTAGTTACTAACACTCAGGTAAGCACATTATCCCCCCCCCTCTCAAACCCCTCACAATCAGCCCTCCAGTCCAAACCCGAGGAAAAGAACCAACCATCCTCCAATCAAAGAATACCACACAACCACACCAATATGATGAGAACTTTTTTTCATGAACCGGTATATTAGGAAGAGCCGGAAGAGGTATGGCAGGAACCATTGTTGTTCTCTGTCGTCGATGCTTATAATGGTTCTGCTGAGTGGTGTTTCTGGTTGTGTTTGGTTTTGATTGCGTGGTGGTTAGTCTTGGCTCTTGGGTTCTGTGTGGACTGGAGTTGAGGGCTTAGATGCTGCCGTTGGTGGGTGAGTCATTTGCTGACGGTTTGATTTAGGTTGATGTAGATGTTTTTGGTTGGAGGGGATTGGTTATTGAAAGAGGAGAGGGATGAGGCTTAGTTGTAGTAATGAATCAATTGACGGATCGTTGCATAATTTGACATATCTCTATATCGATTTACATGTAGCGGTACCGATCATGAACGTAAACTCCAGGTATAAAACTTTTTGTAGCCAAACATCCAACACAAATCTCAACGCCTTCATATGCATGTATACAGTTAGATCACTTGCCAGTGCAATCAGGCAACGCTGAGGAACTGCCGCTTCTTGCCCGTGCCGGTCTGCCTCTCCTGCTCCTCGTAGGCCGTCTCATCAATGTAATCCTTCGTGTTCTGTTCCTGGATCTGCTGGCCGACGAATTGCAGAGCGGACAGGTTGAAGCCCATCTCGTCCTTCTGACGCGCCAGCACCCGACGCAGCTCGGAGCGAATACCATCCAGCATCGGCCTCATCATCTTGCTGGCGATGATTTGGCGGTGGTGCGTCTTGAGGATGAAGAAGAGCACACGGCAGGTGAGTGGGATGTTCCACTCACGGCTGGCCCAGATGTTGAGGAACGTGAAGAGAGCGGGGACCTTCGAGAAGGGCAGCACAAGCAGAGCGTCTTGGAGGGCGGCGGCGGGGATCTTCTGCACAACCTTCAGGAGGTACTGCTCTGCCGAAATGTTGTCCAGCGCCATGTACTGAGGATTGCGTGCTGGGGGCGCAGCGTTCGGCTGCCGGGCCTTCAGGGCACGCCATTCGCGCATGACTTCCAGGTCTTCCATTCCCAGATCCAATGCTTCCATGATCTTTTCACCGGCCATCAACGTTTCCGAAGTTTGTTTGCTGGCGTCAACGGCTTCAGCCTTCTCTCCGTCTTGTCCGTCCTCGTCATCTTCAAGAGAAGCCGTCAAATTGCTATCGTACATTTCTTCGAGTTCTTTCTCCCTCTCTTCTTCCAGGAACAACGGCTCATCAGTCTGCTCCCAGGTGCGGATGCTCTTGTCATGACTGGCGGTGACGATGAACTCTCCAGAGTGGCTGATAGTCAGCGCCCAGATTTCACCGTGGTGACCGGTCAACTTCTGAATGTGCTCAAACTTATCGCCGTCCCAGTACTTGATCAATCGGTCCTTGCTAGCGCTGAAGAAGTTGTGACCGTTCCCTTCCTTGTTGTTCGGAACAAAGGCAACCGCCATGACACTGTCCTCGTGGGCCAAGAAGGACTTGTGGCAGTCACCAAAGTCCAAGCCCCAAACACGTGCGGTCTTGTCAGCGGAACATGTGACAATCAGCTTGCTGTCCCAAGAGATATCCATACTGAGGACGGGAAGTTTGTGGCCATAGAGGTTAAGGAAGAGTTTGAGAGAGTCCACGAAAAAGACCTTGACCGTGTTGTCAAGAAGCGCAACAGCCAGCAACCGAGCATCGGGCGAGAAGCGAACGTTGAGGATGTCATCCGATACCTTCAGCGTCCGTGTGTGCACCAGCTTGAGTCGCGGCGTCGTCCTCTTGGTACCAGGGATTTCTTCCTGCACAACCTTGAAGTCCCAAAACTTCGCAGATTTGTCGGCACTGCCACTAACCAAAGACTTGCCATCAGGATGGACATGAAGGGACCAAACCGGGCCATCGTGCGCCTTAATCGTATCCAGAAGAGTCGACGAGGCGATGTCGAAAACCTCAAGCTGGCCATCCTTGTTTCCAACGACAACAATCTTGTCACCAGGAAGGAAAGCAGAGCACAGGGCGTAGCCACATTCGAGAGTCCGCAGACAGCTCTGGGTCCGGACGTTCCAGATCTTGAGGCTGCCATTGGAAGCAGATGCCAGCATTCGATCGTCCGAACTCAAAGCGACAGATCTGATGTCGGTGCGATGGCCGGGAATGTCAACTGCCAAGTTCCGGCTGTAGTCCGAGTCCTCCTCATCCTTGTTCTTCTTGTTGGCGGTCACGACACTGTAGGATTCGATTTGGTTGTTTGTGGTCGCAGCCAGAAGTTGTAAACTGCCAGTCGATTTTGTGCGAATCCAGTCGAAGGACCGGAGTTTACCTCCGGTACGGACGATAGTGTGCGGTACAAAGACTTCGGAGACGGGCGCAGAGGAGACATCCTCGGATTTGTCATTGTCAACCTCAGCAGCTCCATCCTTGTCAGCACGCTGTGCTTCCTTCTCCTTTCTTCTCTTGCGCTTTCTCGCCAGACTCTTTTGCACCTCAGTCTGTGAGCGGATGCGCCAGATCTCGATTGCCTTCTCAGAACCGTGGATTCCGATGTAGTCCGCTCGGGGGTGAAAGCTGATTCCAATTGTGCGGTCTTTTCCATTACGGTAAAATGTTCCTCTGTCAGTTAGGATCTTTTCTCCCTCCGAGCCAACTTTTTCTTTGGATATTTGGATCATGGCGCTCTCGTCGATCGACCAGACCTTCAATTCTCCGTCGTTTCCTGCCGTGATGCAGCCACTCTGGTCGGGTGAAAGGCCCAGGCTCCAGCACTCGCCATTGGACTGCGCCACATGCGTTTCAATACAGTGTTGCGCAGCCAAGTCCCAGACTTTGATCAGCGCATCTTTTCCGGTTGTCAATAGGAAACCCGCATGTTCGCTGAGGCCGGCGTCATTGAGCAGTTCAATGGATGGGGTGAGGAAATGGAGCGAAGTAATCTGGTCGGTGTGGCCGCGCAGCTTGAAAAGTCCGACTTCCGCGATCAAATCCCACAAGATAATGTCTGTGTCTTTCGAACCACTTGCGAGACGGACGCCGGTGCTATCGAAGGCAAGTTGGGTGATGGCCGTCTTGTGGCCATTGAACGAAATGATCACGGTCTCGGTCCGCGAATCCCAAACACGAATGGTACCATCCTCATAACTGTATCACCAACAAACATGACGTGTCAGCAGGGTAGCATGCGAGGTTGCTACAACCGCGGGAACAACTTACCCGACCGCAAAAATATCCTCATCCGTCTTGCTCTGTGTGATTACCGTCACCTGTGCCTTGCAAGATGTATCGCGCCATCTGCCAAGTAGTTCGCCCTTCTTGATATCCCAACAGAGAACCTCCTCACTTGCGCCCACAAAGGCTCGCCCGGAGCCTGTCCGACGTGCAGAACCCGCGAGTTCATCGTCCCGGGCCCAGATCGCATTCGACGAGGCGGAAGCGACGAGCCCGAAAGTCTTCGAATGCTCGAATTTTCTATGGTAGTCAGTACACAGGAGCCATGCGAGAAAGCCCACTCAATCCTTGAGCAAATCACTCACAAATATGTCTTCACCATCGTTAGGTGTTTGCGTCTGAGAAAAAATTTGGGAGCTCGGAGAACGAATGCTATCGATAGGCGCAAATGGCGGCGGCCGCTACGGAGGGCGACAGCGACCACTGCAGGCCTTCCCCACCGCCTGCCGTTCCCCAAACCCCCATCAACGTAACTCCCATCGTGGCAGTGACCCTCGTGGGATTGAAAGCCAGAAGGGAAAAAAAGGAATTCGCAGGCTGAAGAATCGAACGCTCATTGATTGCCATTACACGTGCCCGTCAGAATGCTTTTGCTAGACTACCACAACGTTCTCATCCACTCCCTCCTGACGGAGCGGTTCTCTGGGTACAGCTTCCCCCCCGCCTCCTCCGGTATACGCCAGGCTACCAGCTAACAGCTCCGTTGATGCCCCCTACAGAGCCCCGCTCGTGTCAATCGATCAGATTGTCTCCGACTTTGATGGAGTTACCTTCCATCTGTCTACACCCGAATCCAAATCCAAGATCCTCATCTCCATCAACGTGAAATGCTTCCGAGAGCTCATTCAATACGGTGCCCAGGAGGTGCTAGAAAGGGAATACGGCCCCTATATCGTTACTCCGGAGCCTGGCTATGACTTCTCGATTCTCATCGATCTGGAGAATCTTCCAGCCGAGCAAGAGGCCAGGGATGAGCTCATCATGCGCCTGGCGCTGATGAAGCGGAACGCTATGGCCGCCCCATTCGAGAAAGCTTTCGATGAGTTCGCCAAGCTATCAGAGGAAGCATCGAGATACACATCTGAGACAGCGCCCCAGGGAGTCCAGGAGGGAGGAGAGGTGATGGCGATCCACTATCGAGAGGAGGAGGCGATCTACATCAAGGCCAGCCATGATCGTGTCACGGTGATCTTCAGCACGGTCTTCCGTGAGGAGACAGATCGCATCTTTGGCAAGGTCTTCCTGCAGGAATTCGTCGATGCTCGGCGCCGTGTCCAGACCCTGCAGAACGCCCCTCAAGTGCTCTTCCGGAATGACCCTCCCCTGGAGCTGGCTGGAGTTCCAGGCCTCCAAAACGGCAATGACGGCAAGATCAGCTATGTCACCTTTGGTAATCATTCTCCGATACTTCCCTCGATTTTCGCAGCCACTAACTGCTCATAGTCTTGTTCCCTCGTCACCTGACACCCCAGCGTCGCTATGAGAGCATCTCTCACATTCAGATCTTCCGGGATTACTTCCATTACCACATCAAAGCCTCCAAGGTAGCTTTCCATGTCATTGTGAGGACTAGGCCAATTGCTCACTTACTCCCTAGGCATACATTCACACTAGAATGCGCAAGAGGACCGCGGACTTCCTCCAGGGTAAGAGTGACGCTCCGAGACGAGAGGTATCCAGTTCACTAACAGATGACAGTCCTCAACCGCGCGCGGCCCGAGAACGAGGAGCGAGAGAGAAAGACGGCCAGTGGCCGTACTTTCAGGGTCCAGGGATAGAGAGCTGGCTCAAGAATATAATCTTTGTAAATTGCAGGCGAGGGATAGCATACGTACATGCATAGGTCGATTTTCTGCTTTAGGATGTTTATGTTGTTGAGCATCGCAGTATTTTCTTTTCTTTTCTTTTTCTCTCCCTACTTACCCTACACTATTTGAAACGCATGACAGCTGCATGTGGCTAGAAGTAGTAGGACAACTTCCTTGCTTGGCTTTGAATCTACTCACCTCATTCGCACTGCCACAAGTACCTCTTGCTCTATCAACCCGCCCATCCCTGTCGATGCTGGTCCACCTTCCACAAAGCCCAAAGTACGGAATGGATGCTTTTTTGAAAGTATCCTTAATCTCCGTTCCTCTGTTTCAACGGTTCCAACAAGAATGTATTGGTCTCCTCCCCAACCCCCAACCCCCTCCACCCCCTACCTGCACGTTTAGCACACTGGCGTGGGTCTAGCGACGACGCTACTACGCTAACGCCAAGGAGGACGCACTGATTCGAGATCGAGGCTCAGGTCGGCCGAAGCAGTCCGACCTGTGGCCGTGGCGATCTTCTAGCTGCAGCCACATTCTCAGCCCGAGAAAAAAAAAGCAACCGGGTGACCAGATTTAAGCGTGTGAACCATCCGAACCGCCCTATCAATGCAGCTGATCGTCACAGATGACTCGAATCACCCGGAAGACGGCCTATAATTGGGCAAAGCATCCCAGGGGACCGGTTCGGTGTCACACATTGACTGCAAGGGAATTCTCCTGGTATTGATTGCTAGTTGAGATTTCGTGGGGGTTGTCGCTCCTTCGCCAGCCTCGATCGGAGAAACGAGGGGGGGGGGGGGGGGGAGGGGTTGTCATCTCAGCTTTGACGGTTGAGCTGATGCTCCATCCCACGAGTGTCTCCGACGTCTCCACCATTTCTGATTCGACGTGGCCCATTCACCCTGGCTGGCTGAGGGGAATCTGCGGTGACCATCCCAGCCTACTGTACTCCAGACGGTGTGCGTCGTACGGGGTACAGGTCGGATAGCCGCTTGATGCGAACTTGGTGCGATTGCCGCATAATTTCTTTTGTGATCCGACCTCAAGGATTTTGGCTGCATTGGCGTCTCCATAAAATGCGCAGTGACCAAGAAGGGGCAACTCCGACCCCGATTCATGTAATCTCTTTAGATATCAGGTCTCCTAGTCCATTCTAGGCAGTAGGCACGTACGGTGGGGAGGACATGTGTAGGACGGACTCCTCGACATCCGTTTCTGTGAAGCGGTGCAGCGGGTGTGACTTAGTACAAGATAGTTAGTTGGTCCAACTTGCCCCGACAAATCCCACGACGGTGGGCGACAGAAGCAAAAACTGAGATGCAAACGGAGTAGGCATGGATTTCTGTATGCTCGGCAGCACTCCTACCTGGCCGGTGGTGTGTTGGAAATGAGGAGTCATTCGCTGTGATCATGCCAGGCCAGCTGTCTGGCTGGTTGGGTTGATTTTCCAGTAGAGGCGCTGTTTATCTCTAGTAGGTCGTTTCCACCCGACTAAAAGCGTCAGCAATGGTTGAAGCCCGAGTAAACCCTTTTTGGTATTTTTTATTTTTCCATTTGACTTACCGCATTCCGGAGCCAACTGCTTTTGATGGCCTTTTCCGTTCTCTAATCATGGATTATTTTCTGAAGTCTCCAATATGGGTCCCTCTCGCGCCGGTGTGTTCCAATGAGGATGCGACAGCCCCCAGGCTACAGGAACAGTCGCAACGGTGAAAAGCTGCTAAAAGAATTGGGGACCCCGCCTGCAAGCTACCCCTGCGAGGCGGCGCAGCTTAGCCCTCTGGACTCGCAACCCTGCATGCTATATATCGCAGCGTCTTCATTTTCGTGCGCAAGGCATGCGTGGTCCGCCCAATCTCTGCCACGGTCCTACTCTGCCATCGATCACCGTGCTGCTGCTCTATGTCGATTTCTTGTCCATCTGCCTCCCCAGTCAACCAACATCTCCCTCAAGCACGAGTCAGTTATATAAGGATATTTGATTTCAGGCAGTAACAGCATCTGCTTCAGTCTTGACGTCGACCCGTCATCCCGAATCTGTATCACTATCAGCTTGTTGCGTCAACTCTCGTTTCCTCCCTGGGCCGGCCATGTCTCTGCGCGAAACGTAAATTATTTGCGGGGGAACGGCGTTGCGACTAGGCAGCGCTTACAAAAGGAGCGACACCTATTTACTGACGGTGGAGGATCCTCTGTAATGGTTTGAAACAATCGGCTAAACTCGACACGATGTCCGATAAGATCAGCCTACTCCCTTTGGAGCTCATCCTTCACATACTCTCCTATCTTCCCTTCGAGTCATTGCTTGCCTTTGGCGAGACGTCTCGCGCCAACTATGAGTCCCATACTCTCTGCCTCAAACGCTTACGGCTAGGGGTCTTTGAAAAGCGCATTCATTCCGTGATAGCCTTGCTCCAGGCTGGCTGGACCACGCCGGATCAGATGGCTCAGATCTCTGGTCTCGACAAACTAAAAAGCGACTATACCATATCGATTATCCAACCTGCATTGAATCCTCTAGTTAGCGACGTAACCGGCAAACATCTACCAAAAATCAAAGACTTGAAAAGACGGGGCCCTGTGATACTGGAAAAATCCCGGACACTGGAGCAGATGACACGGGAGCAGAACAAGATCTTTGCCCAAGTAGTGAATCGATACGGCCGAGGACTAAGAGAGCTAGAGTTCATGGCATATGATCTTGACAGTGAGGGCGCCATGGCCCTAGCAGCTGGATGCCAGAATATCCTGCATCATCTAGCGTTGCGCTTCGAACATCCACATATTCGAGAAGGTCCGATCAGGCCGACAACTTGGCTGAACCCTGCGCCAGGGAGCACGGCGTGGAATCTCCTGATCGGAATAGGACGGTATCGGCAACTCGGGCTTTGCGGCTTGCAGACCCTGATCCTGGAGCGGGCGGGCATTACTCCGTGGCAGTTGACGATGCTGGTGAAGAAGAATCCAAAATTAACTGTCCTCAAATTGAGGACATGTCGCGGTGCTCAGCCCGAGTTTCTGAACTGGCTGGGCGGCACTGCGCAGGACCCAGATGAACCAAGAACAGCGGGAAATGGCTTAGCTCCTGGTCATAAGCTGAAAGTACTCTGGTTGGAAAATTGCCATGCATTGTTACCACATCCTGTTGAAGATCATCTAAAGCTACCTGACCAAGTTTGCGACTTTGGTCTGGAATGGGTCAGAGGTCTGACAAGCCTAGAAGTAAGTGGAAACTCGTGTTTCTGGGTTGTCAATGGCGAACAACTAACTGATTAATTCTGACAGTCTCTCTCTTTCTGCGAGAGTTCGAGTATTTCACCTGAATACGTTGACCGGGCAAACAAGATTCTTTGGAAGATACCAGAGGTCATCCCACCATATTCTTGCCATGGGGATAAGGCTCCTATTGAAGTTGACCCGGGTCTTCTATAGCTCGCAGTCATTAATCACTCTATGTGTTGAGTTTGGGCGGTTCCTTACAGCAGTGTGCCTGCATCTGTTTCTCGTTGCCTCGCTGTGCTTATTATATAGAACGATCTATTTCGTGCATCTATCCTGATGTCTGTGCTAGAGTCGACCACTGTTAGTTGGGCCCTTGCATGTAATGATAGCCATCAGGCAGTATTAGTAGACGTGAAATATTGACTGCTTTTTGTATATCTTTTTCACCTCATCCTTACAAATTGCCTAGGCATGTACCTAGTTGCCTGGAATAACACTGTCAAAGATCACACGGTCATGGTTCGAGGAACCTTAACATAAGAGCTCAAAGAACAGACGAGATATCATTTATCACATAAGAAGGTATTAGACATGCCTCCCAGCAGTGGTACTGGGTATGATGCAAGCAGGTACTTCTTTACCAACTGTACACCCGTGAGCGCCTTCTCGTTTCCTTCACCCCAGTCTCAGATCCAACCAAGCAACACACCACCCACCTCCATGGCATTCACTCTCAACATGGCCATTCACTGCTTCCCCAATCAGTGAGTCACGGGCGTGGGCACGAGTTGGTTTACTCTGCCCATGACAGACACTGTTCTGTTTGTCTTCTCACCTTGTTATTTGTCGGCGCCCTCCCCACTCATACCAAGCTTGATACCCGCCGAGCAGCGACGTCCGGGCGATCACCTTTCAAAGTAAACAGGATGACTCCGAGTCACCGATCTGCCTCCCAGCTGTGGGCGATAGCCCGCCGCAAGCTCTTCTCCAGGCGCGGGTCCTACGACAAAGACTATGACTCCCAACACCGATCTTCTGACTCTGCAGACACCTCTTCTCTCAGTGAGCAAAACGACGGGTTCTACAAGTACTCACAGGAAGTTGTCGATAAGAGTGATACGGTCTACAGGAAGGTCGTTGAAAACATGGGAATCCGTTCTTCCGACAGCACTGGGGCGTCCTATGCGTCTGCTGTAGGTTGTTTTGCCTCTCACTTGGCTGGAAACTGACAGAAAATGATAGTCGATGGTTCCTATCGGACGGCCTCCTCTCCCCTACACCGTTGGTGACCCTGAGTGGGATACCACCAACGGTTCTGTCAAGTATTTGGACCATGCCTGCGATGATGACATCTCGGCCTATCGAACCAGCGTCCTGTCTGTGTATACCAGAGTGTACACGGTTGCCAAAGTGGTTTTCATGTCATTCCTCCATTATGGACTGGATGTGAGTAGTATTATTTCATTGCTCCTGGCACATCGAGACAGGTGCTTACTCTGTGGCGTATCTGCTCTTAGTTGGATGACATCCCTGATGGCTTGATGGCCTACATCAGAAACGCAGAGCAGGCTGTCACCTCCAACAAGATCACCGATATGGTCAATAGCGTCAATAACCTGTATCATGCTCTCTATGCGAGGCTGATTATGGAAATTGCCAATGTGGATTTGTGCTCCTGCTTCAATTTCGGGGTTGCACGTGTCTCTTCGTATAATAATTTTATACTCCCGGAGCCGCGTCACTTGTTCAACATCTTCCTGGCCTGCAAGGGGATCCTCGACAGTCCAACTGTCTGCAGTGTCTTCAATAGAGAGGTTGTCGGAGAATACCAGAGTGCGTTCATCCGTCGCTCTGTGCAGAATCTCGTTGGAACTGGAATTGTTCTTGATGATCTCATTGGGTTCCGTCGCTTCGTCCTTCGTATTGTCGAGGATCGAGAGTCTCCGTTCCGCAAGAAATGGGGTGGAAGTGGGCTGGTGTACCACATGCCGCCCGCGGAGCTTCTTGCCGTCCAAGCTGAGAGATACATGGCTTTCACTCCAAGGGAGACGCATCGCCTCATGATTCCCGACCAGGTTCTCCCCTTCGTCGAGCGGTACACCATTGACCCGGAACGTTTGGAGAGAGGATTCATCCAGGACCACCGCCAGGCCGCGCTCGCCATGCTTGAAGGCAAGACTTTAGGAGATCTTCGAAACGAGAACCCCGCGGACCAGCTGATGAAATACGTCAAAGAACGCAAGTGCATTTGTCAGTCTGCCTGCAGTTGTAGCATGATCTGCACTCGGGAGCCGGAGCGACCCTGTCCCTGTTCAGAGTGGAAGATGACTGTCATGCTTGCGCAGAGACGCTCTGGCCGGGGCCCTTTGGGTCTCCGCGACCGATGCACTGTTCTTTCGAAGGCTGTATTCCTGGAAATCGCTTCTATCCGGGACGATGTTGACACGTTCGAGGTCGCAGCGGCCCTAGACCGAGCTGTCAAACTGTTCGCTGAGGAAATTCAGAAGGAACTGCTGGCCGAGGTGTAGATAGCTCGCAATGCTTGCAAGGTCGAATTTCCACTGGTGTTGGGGGCATGGGATTGCTTGCTTTTTCTTTACTGGGATTTCGTTGGGTTTTCCCCCTTTAACGAAGTGACGATCGTATTGAGATTTGACTTTACGTGCATTGACTATGTTGGGACTGTGGGTCTGAGGAGGATATTTGGCCCATCAGCTGGCTGGTCTATCGATGGGATGCACAGTCATGGAGATACTCGTACTGTGTACATACGACATGGAAATACGGAGTATGGAATATGAATGAAATATGTCTTGCAGAGTGGGTCGATCGATCGAATACTATGTATGTAAGTCGCAGAGGGAGTGGTTGTGTTGATGTGGGGTGCATCATTGTCCGGGATCTCTACACCATGCATCGGAGGATGTATGTGGGCGATCTCTTGGTGATGTTGTACTTGGTTGAGTCGAAGAGGTGAGGTTGAGCCCGTCAGGCCATACGTCAGGTGGGGCGCAGGTGACTCGGATGGCCAACCGGTCGGCGGTGTTGAGGAGGTGGCCGTGGTTCGCAGCCGGGCAAGATTTTCTGGCTTGCCAAAAATCCAGTCTGAGTGTCTGACTCTCCAGGCCTGGGACCGGCACAGCATCTCTGGGAAACTTTTAGCGGGCATGGTGCCCAAGATCGTTGCTAGCCCGACTGGTTTAATACTCTCTACCCTCGCTCCCTCGCTCTCGCCCTGCTGCCAGCCTGTCAGGCTCAGCCCGCCGGGAATTAGACGCAGCCCACTGTGGAGCGCTCATTCCGGGGCCCCCAGGACTTGGGTGCGACGATATCGCGCCGTCTGGCCTTCCTACGGCATCACCACCCCGGTCCCGGATCCTAACCCACAGTTCCCCATCTCCCGTTCGCCCTTCTGCTTCCAGACGGGCTATGCCCTCTGCGCCAAACGACCCTCGCGCCCCTTCCCCCCACCGTTCCTGTCTCCGCCCTCCTCCTCCTTTTCCGATCCGCTGACCACGCACTACCTGAGTCAGGATAAGAGATTATCCGTCCGGGGGGATCTCGTCCGCGGCCTGAACAACGGCGACGATGCCGTTCTAGTGGCGGAGAATTACCTCGCCGTGAACGATGGGGTTGGAGCGTGGGCGACCCGGCCGCGAGGCCATGCCGCGTATGTGTTTGCCTGGTTCCGCCCTCCCGGGCCTTGTCTCCCCCCCCATGCTGACTATCTGCCGTCTCTGTCTTGTTCTAGTCTGTGGTCTAGACTCCTCCTCCATTTCTGGGCGCTAGAAGTTGAGCGAGATCCCAATGGACACTCCGAGTTAGATCCTATCGGCTATCTGCAACGAGCTTTCAAGGAAACGACCCGAGCCACGACCTCGCCAGGTGAATGGTTTGGCACCACCACGTCGGTCACAGCCCTACTACATTGGAAGCGCGACGAGACGGGGAATATACGACCGTTGCTTTATGTGACCAATCTGGGAGACTGCAAGGTCTTTGTCATCCGGCCGAGTGAGAAGGAGATCCTCTTTCGGACCCAGGAACAATGGCATTGGTTCGACTGCCCCATGCAGCTAGGCACGAACAGCGTCGACACGCCCGAGAAGGATGCAGTGCTCTCCCTGGTTGATGTGCAGGAAGGCGACCTCGTGGTGGCCGTGTCGGACGGCATTCTGGATAACCTCTGGGAGCATGAAATTCTCACTGTCATCTTGGAGAGCCTGGAGAAATGGGACCAAGGACGACATGAAAATAAGGAATTGGACTGGGCGCCTCCAGCTGTGTTGGCGGACGAGCAAATGGTATTTGTGGCCAGGGAGCTGCTCAATTCTGCTTTGGCCATTGCCCAGGATCCTTTTGCGGAGAGCCCGTATATGGAAAAGGCGGTTGATGAAGGCCTGGCCATGCAGGGTGGTAAGTTATTCACAGCGGTTAGGCGCATTAGCTAATTCTGGGCAGGGAAAATGGACGACATCAGTGTGGTGATTGGCTGTTGCAAGAAGAGGAACCATTAGACGGCGTTATCAGGCACCATCCACCGGTCACAATGACTATCATGAAAGCCAGGACCAAGGTCACTAAGTCATGCTCACGAAGTCGATTTGCATGATGGCCATTCGACATGCACCCTCAGCACGCTCGCTGGGTCACAAGGAGACCTGGGAAAGGCCGTTATGTGGAACAGGTGCCTGGATCAGCTTCGACTTGGTGTTCAGACACTCACCTGGTGGTCTTGTACGAATTCAACATATGCATGACATAGAGGATGCCCTACACTGCATGCTAATACCCTTGATCCTACGTTAAGGTCGGCTCCTCGGGAAGCAACTGCGTTTATGGGATTTGTCCTGTACTTCGATTTATATATAATTTCTAGCATAGCGAGATAGACCACTGCTTATTATAATTAATACTTTGCATCCATCCGCAACATTGACCATCTGTATGTTAATCTCGCTTGAGCACAAAAGATAATCGGGTGAAATCCACACCCAACTCCCACAACTCCCATACCTCCTCCGCTATCATTGTAAGCAAACCGTATCTCAGGCATGCATGAAGCATAAAAAAACAAAAACAAAAAGGAATTGCCCCCACACGGGATCGAACCGTGGACCTCATCATTACTAGTGATGCGCTCTACCACTGAGCCATAGGGGCTGTTGTTGTTGAAATTGTCTCCATAATTGACTCCATAAGGCAAGGCTCGGCGCCCCACGCACAGACCACATCTCGGGCTGCTCCTCCGCCCGGCAAAAAACGAGGGCCGAAGAAAAAAAGTCCAGTTGCAAGATACCTGCCCAGCGCAACATCCCATACCCTCAATTCTCCAAGACATATCTCTACACCCCCCTCACACGACCGGACAGTCAAGATGAGGGCCAAGCGTTCCAAGAAGTACCGCAAGCTCATGCACCAGTATGAGCTTACGTTCGGGTTCCGCGAGCCATATCAGGTCCTGGGTATGCGTCCATCCAGACTCACCTTCATACTACTCCGTCGGCGGTAAATGCTAACCATGTTCCTGAGCCAGTGGACTCCAACTTCCTTCGCGCCGTATACAACTTCAAAATGGAGTTGATTCCTGCATTGGAGCGCACTCTGCAGGGAAAACCCAAGCCGCGTATGTCCTCTTCCACTTCCTCAACCTATAACCGATCACCCAACTAATGAAACGAACCAAACCACAGTCCTCACCAAATGCTCCCTCGCCGCCATCATGGCCGCCCAACCCATCAACCCCCGCACCAACAACCCCTACCGTCCCGAACATCTTCCCCCGCCCACCGTCCTCCCGCTCCGCCACTGCTCCCACAACGCCGACTCCACCCCCATCGACGAAGTCGCCTGTCTGCTCTCCCTCCTCTCTCCCTCTGCCGAAACGAAAAAGAACAAGGAACATTACATCCTCGCGACGGCGGATCCCCACCCCACCGAGAAGAAGGATAAGGCTGCGGAGTCTACGGCCGCGGGACGGAAGCGCAAGCGCGATGTGGAGGATAAGGCCGAGGCTGCGTTGCGGAAGGCGAGGGATTTGCGTCGCCAGGCGCGGTCGATTCCCGGTGTGCCGATTGTGTATGTGAAGCGCTCGGTCATGGTTCTGGAGCCGATGAGTGACCCGTCGGATGCGATTCGGGAGGGCGTGGAGCAGGGCAAGTTCCGCGTTGGGTTGACTGATCAGGCGACCAAGAGAGAGCGGGCTGCTGCTGCTGCTGCTGGCGCTGCTGGCGCTGCTGGCGGTACTGCAGAGGGGGAGAAGAAAAAGAAGAAAGACTCGAAGAAGCCGAAGGGGCCGAATCCGTTGAGTATGAAGAAGCCAAAGAAGAGGGTGCAGGAGACCGGGGCGAAGACGGAAAAGCCGAAGAGGGAGAGGGAGGAAAATGAGGAGAAGCCGGCTGAGAAGGAGGTGGAGGGAGATGGGGATGGGGAGGCGGCGCCGAAAGCGAAGCGCAGACGTCGTCATCATCGCGGTGCGAAGGCGGATGGAGATGGGGAGGGTGCTGAGGCGCCGGCTGAAGCGCCGGCTGATACCATGGATGATTGATTGCTTCTTTGCTAGGGTTTTCTGTTTGATTGATTGACTCGACATGTCATGGTACGGCGTTCGGTGGGTCGAGATAAAAGTGTCCATATATGAACTGTGTATAGGTAGTTACTCTGATATTGATAGAAAGATACTCAACATTCGCACTACACCAATGACAGTAACCCCATCATAACACATCAAGCATGATATTGTACAGCCTCCCCCAATCCAAAGAGAGAGAGACACACATACAGAGTAATATATACCCCAACAAAGACAACAAAGAAGAGATCCCCCAAACGCCAATCCCACATGCACCCACCCAATCAATCAATCAATCATACATCCATATCCTACACACCTCCTACCACTTAGCAGCACCCACACCCAGCACAACCCTATTTCCCACCCGCACCCGCAGCAGCAGCAGCAGCAGCAGGCCCCGCCCCCCCCTCCTCCAAGGCCTTCTCATCTGCCCAAATGCGCTCAATCTTCTTCCGATTCTCCTTGGCCTGATCCCGGTTCCGCTTTGCGCGCAGATACCGCTCCGCCGCCAGACACTTGTTCACGTCGCGCTTGACGTCATTGCATCCGCCGAGGGCTTTGTGTAGGAAGCCTCGCGCGTGGCATTCGTCGAGGGCCGTCATGATTTCTTCGCAGTCTGATTTATCGCTTTGTTAGCAATGGTGGGAATGGATGGGTGGGAGGTTGGAGAGGGGAACGTACTTGCGTTGTAGGGGGTGTGGAGGTGGGAATGCATTTTGGGATGGTTGTTTGTTGTGTAGCTTGAGGTGAGGGGGTGGTTAATTGACTTCTAGGATCTTGAATGTTCAATTCAGATCATTTGATTACTTGACTACGGAGTACTAGTTAGTGTATTCCAGGAAGAAATCATTCCGAGCAAATACCGAAAGCGGTGAGTACCGACTTATCGGGCGGACTTGATTCTGCCGGGCGGGGAAAATCAACCACGAAAAAAAAAAGCAACCGGATTTAAGTTCAAGATTTAATATCTATCTTGTGTTCGACAGACCTAGGTGTGACGGGTTGTTGTTGATCACTCTTTTGTCTTCTTTTTTTACCATTCTCACCTGTTGAGTTTTGGATAGTGAGGAATTGTGGTTTCCTCTATCCATCCTTGATTATCGAGTGGAGGAGGTTTTTTTTCTTTACTGCCGCTTAATTTACGATTGCTTTTAACGGCTTGAATCACGATGTCTATGATTACCACTTCGGCTTGGGTGCGGCGCGGTGTCGCGGCCCAGTTCCCGACTAAATATGAGATCAATGAGGAGGAGATGGATCGCATATCGAAGATGGCGAGGATGCAGCTGGAGGAGGCGCAGGGGGATTTGAAGGCCGCGCAGGATGACGCTATGGAGGAGGTGGACGAGAAGAAGGAGGGTGGGGATGATGCGATGGAGGATGATTCCAAGGAGGAGAAGAAGGCGGATGGTGCTGCGGAGTAAGTTTGATTTGGTTTGGTTTGGCTTGTTTCGATTGAGTGGAGTGGAGTGCTGACGATGAATAAAGTGATGATGATCTGAAGGAATACGATCTGGATCATTATGATAGCGACGAGGTCGATGAGGACGGCGAGAAAATCACCATGTTCGGCAATGTCAAGTCGCTTGCGTATCACCAGCCCAACGAGGAGGATCCGTACCTGGTGATGCCGCCGGAGGAGGAGGATGAGGAGAGAGAGGAATTGCAGATCATGCCGACGGATAACTTGCTGCTGGCGGGTAAGGTCGAGGATGAGGTTGCTCATCTGGAGGTTTATGTCTATGAGGACGCCGCCGACAATCTGTATGTGCACCACGATATCATGCTGCCGGCTATTCCTTTGGCGGTGGAGTGGTTGGATATCCCCGTGGGCAAGGCCGCTGAGGGCCGTACCACGGGTAACTTTGTTGCGATCGGAACGATGGAGCCCGATATTGAGATCTGGGACCTTGACATCGTCGACTGCATGTACCCCAATGCTATCCTGGGTCAGGGCGGTGCTGATGCGGAGAACGGCCCGAAGAAGTCCAAGAAGAAGAAGGTCAAGGCCAACGATGAATACCATATTGATTCGGTTCTTGCGCTGGCTGCTAACCGCCAGCACCGCAACCTGCTGGCCTCCGGTTCTGCCGATCGCACGGTGAAGCTCTGGGATCTTCAGACTACCAAGTGCGCCAAGTCTTACGCCCACCATACCGACAAGGTGTGCGCGCTGGAGTGGCACCCGACGGAATCGACCGTCCTGCTGAGCGGTAGTTACGACCGGACCGTGGTGGCGGCAGATATGAGAGCCCCCGACTCCAAGGCTCGCTGGGGCGTGGATGCGGATGTCGAGAACGTGCGCTGGGACGTGCACGACCCTAACTACTTCTACGTGACGACGGATGCCGGTATGGTCTACCGCTACGATATCCGTAACGTCCCTGCTACGCCCAAGGAGTCCAAGCCCGTGTGGTCCCTGCAGGCCCACGACTCGTCGGTATCGTCATTCGACATCAACGCGACCGTCCCTGGCTTCCTGGTGACCGGATCGACGGATAAGTCCGTGAAGCTGTGGAACGTCGAGAACGATAAGCCTAGCATGGTTGTCTCCCGCAAGATGGAGGTCGGCAAGATCTTCTCGACCAGTTTTGCCCCGGATGCCGATGTGAGCTTCCGCCTGGCTGTGGCCGGCAGCAAGGGCGTGGTCCAGATCTGGGATACCTCCACCAACGGAGCGGTGCGCCGGGCGTTCGTGTCGCGGGTGCCGTCCCTGGAGGGTGAGGTGCAGGAGCGCCTGGTGGGCATCCAGCCCGATCAGGATGAGTCCGATGAGGAGGATGGTGCCCCGGAGGTTGGAGCCGCGCAAGGTGCCGATGGCTGGGAGTCGATGGATGAGGATTGAGGGACCGATGACGTTCGGAGAATGCAAAAAGACGATTTCGACCTGAATGACTTCATCGATGTGAAAAGTGTGACCGATCTACGGAGTTTAGTATAGATAGTTCTGTTGCTTTGCAATGAAAACGTTGATACCCATGACGAGGATGAGAACGGGCGCCGATCCCAGGCGATGAGTAAGCCGAGTCAAGATGAAGCACTAGTTATAGAGGCAAATGATCGGCCGGCAGGATGCCCAAACCAGAAATCATCTGATGCAGTCTCGAACACCAATCACATGCCCAGGCCGGAGTGCTGAAGGCGGCTTGGCACAGGATCGCACCCACCGCGGTGGACTGGTCCGGTGATGGAGATATACGGGATAGATACTATCACCATCTCGTATGTAAGGCCGAAAGTGGACAGAGATGATGGGCGATGAACCCAGAATGCATCGTGCATGGTTCGTGACGTTCACTTGAGGAAATCTGAACCAGACTCACGGCGTCCTCGGTACGGCGTATCCTGCGTATAATCCCTGTCCTCCGAACGAACAAGTAAACGAGTAGAACCTCACAGGGTTATCGCGCATCTCCGTCCCAAGTATGGGTGGAAAAAGATATCCGCCAAAGCACAGGTCAACTGGGACGACCACCCAGTTATTAAGTTGACCCACTGGTGGGGAAACCTGGGTCGTCGACCCGCCCACGGCTTTCCGTCAGTGGTAGGTACGGAGTACGCACAACTCCATTGTGCCGGGAGGGGGGGGGAAAAGAACCCCCATGGAACGGATCGCGGATTCCATCCGACAGGTGGTACCTACATACGCGAGTCTGGAGGCAGAGACGTGATGTATGTAGGTACGAGTTCCAGCTCCTGCAGAGAGTCACCCCTTTCATCAAGCATGCGCGACGTCATGCACCATGGATCCATGATCCATCACGACCGCATCCTCCAGCTGAGACGGCAGATTGTTTCATCCCCACCGCTCAGGGCACATGGCGGTTTCCAGTGGCCGCCGCGTTGCCGTTCCTGGCGCCAGACCGACACCAGTCGGAGGCCGACTTTGCCTGCCGTGACCTTTTCCTGACTAGCCTCGCTGGTGCGCCCGTTTGACGATGCCCGCCTGGGTTTAGCTTCCCCTCGTCCTCCATCTGTTTGAGTTTGATTCATTTATTGACGAGTCCATCCCGCCATACGGAGTACGGAGTAGATACCTACGGGACTCGAGGGATGACTATTCCGTCGCGGATTCAGGGACGCAGGTACTAGGAGAGGATACTAAGTATCTAGGGTGAAAAGAATTTTCCCCTGGGAATCACTCCTGATTATTTGCTTCATACTTGATCCCTGTGTTGTACGGCGTGGCCACCCGACGTAACAAATGACCGGGGGAGGTCGAGACTTGTCCGTTCCTCCATCAAATAGCAGGGCGTGACTAGCCGCGCCTGACTGTCTGTCCGTCGGGGCACCGGAGTAACGATGCAGATGCTCTAAATACTCGTGTAGATACTAAAAAGCACGCACTACCAAGGCGCCAGGCGAACCATTGAACAAATGAAGGCAAATATCTGACCGACAGGTTCTGGATCCCAACTGGTCGGCAAAGACCCTGGCGACGACGGCGCGCGATTCAGGACCACATCCAAGGGTGGGCGGTCCAGCAGCTGCACTGACTGGGTCGGTGGTTTAGGCTTTGGTCCTTTCTGGTTTTTCTCCTCCAGAGAGGAAAAAGAGAGGGGGGACACGCCTGTGGTCGAGTCCCCGGCGAGGCCCAGATTCACGCCGGGAGTGGTTCCATCCACACCTCATTCATCATCCACTCGCCTCTCTCTTCCTTAGTCTTTTCTCTTTTCCCCCTCTTCTTCCCTTCACTCCTCTTTTCCCTCCCATTCCTCCCTGGGGGATTCCGCTTATTCCTGCACCATTCCTTTTTGATCTTTCCATTCTTCGGTCCTCGATCTGTGTATCCTGGATTCTTGCCTTCCTTCATCGTTACTTACCACCCCTACCCTTTTTTATTCTCCTACTTCCCGTGGCGCGTCCTGGTTGTCCGCCCTGATTTTCCCTGTACAATATTGGCGGTGCTGCAGTATCTCGTTCCCCCCTTGAGTCGAGCAACCCACCCCATTTCCCGAGGACCACCCCTCTTCTCATCCGCCTGATTTACTTTTCTGCTGCGCAAGAAAAAGAAAGAACTACTTAGAGGAAGTTCTGCATTCATTTAGACCTTTGCTCCCGCTGGCAACAACTGGGTTTGACAGGTCGTCAACTGTATCTGATAACGGACATTCCGGTGATCGATCTTCCATTCCTTCTTTGCTCCACCCCGCGATCGTCCACCAGCATTCTTTCTCTATACCGCAAAAGGCGTCCGACACTCGCAAACGAGAAGGCGACTTCAGACCCTAAAAATAGGAAACAATAGCCATTGTACGACTACCGACCAGATTCAGCAACCCTGCATACCAGCAGATATATCTGAAGCCCGACCGGCTAGTCTACAGCTCTTATCACTCACCGTCAACTACCTACTCAACCATACCATACTGGTCCGACTGTTATCACCATGAGTTTGGCGAGAGCCTTTACGAAGCGCAACAAGCGCCCCGAGGTCTCGGCGCCGATGCCGTACCGTGAAGCACACAAGTTCTCCGGCCCGATCAACCGAGACAAGATCTCAGCCCCCGTGGAATTGTTGTCGACGACGAATATGCTGGCCTACAATGCTCCCGACATTCACTCGGCAACCTCATCGTCTACCTCGTCCCTGCAGTCACCGGATGACTCGGAGCTGTCCTTTACGCAACGCAGTTTTGGCTCGCCGCTTACGACTCCGGATGAATCTCCGATCGAGCCGAACCCTCTGCCTTCGTACTTTCCCAAGCGATCTGCGACCATTACGAGTCACCCCCGCTCTTCGACGTCGACAGCCTCCTCCACGGAAGCGCCCTTGGTTCCCAAGCGGGCCCTGTCCCACACGAAGCGGACTCATCAAGAGCTTGCTCGCCAGCGTTCCTTGTCACGACTGTCTCCACCTCCATTGAATTCCTTGCGCAACGCATCTAGCAACCGTCCAGCGCATGATAGCTACAAGGCGGAACCTCATCCTTTCAGCAAGGAGCTGGAGCAGGTGAACGAGGTGGTGGAAGAGTTTGGTGGCGCGCGTATACTCGACGATGAAGAACTTATCCTCCGAGACAAGGGATTGATGAAATTCACCGCCGATGACTATCTCGTGGAGATTGAGGACCTTTATGGCAGCATCTTCGATGACTATCTGGGTTCGATAGGTTCTGGAGCCTGGCTATGAGCCGAGTTTCCTTTCGCTTCTTCCTTTCTTTACAACCATTTATTTCCGAGGGATTTTGCCTGGAGGGCACTGGACAGGGACTGGATACTCCCTTCCTCTCATCAGGATTTGATTTGCACCATGACCCACTCATATTCACTCTTTAATGTCTTGTGATCTAATTAGTCGTTTTATTTCGTTTGGGTTAGCTAGATACCACGGGAGGATCTTGATCTATCATCTCACCTTTTCTTTTTCTCTGCTGGTTGCTGCAATGTGATTCCATGCTGTCTGGATCGATCTATCCGCTTTGCTGAACAGGATATGTGACGGTCTCTTGACATGTCTAACGAGGTTCTCAGATTTGTACTCTTCTGCCTTAGCGTCGTTATGAATGCGAAGACACCGATGGAGCTAGTTTCAAGCGCTGGTCTATACATCATAAATTCTGCGTCACATGCATGTTGAGTTCTCGTCCCGAGTAATCGTAGAATTGTATAACCCGATCGGGTAAGGCCGTCGCGGTGATCACGCGTTGGTCACGAGCTGGCAGCCTCAGGCTCCACAGCCGCCCCACCCAAAAAATTTCACGTCGAGTTGGTTTCTCCGCTTCGCTGGTTTTCTTCTTAGTTCTTACTCCAGACGGGCTTCCCTTCCAAGTGCTGGTTCTGTCTCCTTCTCACGCACTTGTGCATCGCATCTTTTAGTGTGTGTGTGTTGGACGGTCCGATGAAGGTATCCCCCACCTTCTTTGCTCCCAAGCGCGCTTGTCATCTGTAGCAACAGGAGGTGGATCTCTCGACTCGCACTGGCCGTGTCGTGTGCTCTGCTTCGTGATCTGTTTTGATTCCTTAATCCCACTCCTTGCTTGCAACCCCGAGCGTGCGACTCATGATTGGAGTCGGGATCCTGTCTCAAGCCATCCCCCGCCATTTCATTATTATAGAACCGCCGATCCTGTCATGGGCGTCCTTGCCACCGCCTCCCGCAGCACAACGTTCGCACCACGGCCGACCGATCCATCCAAGATGCTAGTTACATCATCACCTGTGTCCATTCTAAAAACGCCTAAGAGCACCCCATCCTCGACCGGGATTAAGCACAGGATGATCATGGGGGACGACTACAGTGATCTATCCCTGTCCTCGTCGTCCTCGTCCGACGTGGAAACCAGCCCGAGTCCCCGGAAGCGGACGCGGGTGAAGTTCGATAAGGAGGTCTTCATGGTACCATATCAAGAGGAGACACAATCAGAGCGGAAGCCAGAGAAGAGTGCGGCCGTCGTCCGCGAGGAGGTGCGCCGGGCCATCCAACGGCATGTGTCGGGCACCGACAGCGAGGCGTACGACCGCATCAAGGAGATCTTTGCGGTGGACCCGCGGCGCCGGGATGAGGACAACATGTTTGCCTACGATGTACCTACACACACGTCCTTGCGACACCATCTCATGGGTCTTTTGTCAAATGTTGCGTCCTTGGATCGCAGTTGCAACGGACTGGTCCATGCCGTGCTGAATAGCGTATGGCTGGGCCGGGACGAGTCGTACATCAGATTGTATATACGCTTTCTCGGTAACCTTGCTGCCGCGCAGGGAAGCTATCTGGGGTCTGTGCTCCGCATGCTGGTCAATTATCTGGGGGAGCTGCCCAAAGACACGGGCAAGGTGCCTGGCTACCCACTTGTTCATGTGCCTGAGCTCTACGCCCGGGTGCACATGGCCTTGCGCCATGTGATGCAGTTGATTCCGTCTGGTAGTGGAACGCTGTCGCCTCTCCTGTCTGGGCAGTTTCCCTTTGCTTCCGATTCGGCCAAGGCCAACATTGCGTATACGCGGAACCTCATCCGAGTCATCAGCTATGCACCAGAGCTTCAAGGTGATATCCTTGCTGTGATTACGGAAAAGCTGGTCAAGATTGACGTCCACATCCAGGTGGACCTGGAGGACATCGAGGAGGAAGTCGGCGAGGATGTCCTACAGGGTGTCTCCCCGGAATCGGTCATGATCGAGGAAGATGATACCGAGGACGACGATGACAATGACTCCGTCCTGAGCGATGATTCGGTAGATAACGACTCCAAGCGGATCAAGGCCATTCGCGATAACATCCTCAAGCTGGATGGCATGATCGACAGTTTGTTCGAATACTATGCGCCTCCATTCACGACGGGCTCCTTGGACGATAAGGAGAACGCCTTCGACCTCCTGCTGAGCCACTTCCAAAACATCATTCTCCCGACGTACCGCTCGCGCCACTCCCAGTTCCTCCTCTTCCACTTCTCTCAATCCTCTCCTATCCTTGTGGACCGCTTCGCCGCGATGTGCACGGAACTCATTTTCAACAAGGCGCAGCCGGCTATTATGCGCCAATCTGCCGCAGCCTACCTGGCCAGCTTTGTTGCTCGTGGTGCTCATATCTCCGGGGAGGTTGTGCGGGACGTGTTCGACCTGCTGGGCACATATCTCAACAGTCTCCGTCTGGATTATGAGGCCACCTGCCGGGGCCCCGATCTGCGCCGCTACGGCCCCTTCTATTCTACTGCCCAGGCCCTACTCTACATCTTCTGCTTCCGCTGGCGGGATCTGACTACCGCTGCACTTGAGGGCGACACTCCCGAGCAAGTGGACGAACTGGAGCCGGAGGACATTATGTTCCCGCCCTCGGTCAAAGAGGTGCTGCATCAGGCAATTCACTCCAAGTTGAACCCCTTGAAAGTGTGCTCGCCAGCGATCGTGTCGCAGTTCGCGCGGATGTCGCAGCACTTCAACTTGATGTATGTGTTCAGCATCCTGGAGACCAACAAGCGACTGCGCATGTCCTCCTACCGCAGCATCGGTGCGATGGCCGACCCGCGCTTCAGCCAAGTCGAGCGTGAGATCCGCGCCGGTGACGATCTCGGATACCAGCTCGACGCGTACTTCCCCTTCGATCCCTACCAGCTCCCGCGCAGTCGACGCTGGGTCGAAAGCGACTACGTCCACTGGCGCGGCATCCCAGGTCTGGACGAGGGCGACGACTCCGACAGCGACGCGGACGGAGACGAATCCGACGATGACCTTAGCGACGGGACAGAAACGGATGACGAATTGTGACGAGTCAAGACCGACAAGACCCAAAAAAGTTACCAAAAGTTCCTTCTCTGTTTCTCTCGTGCCATTGGCGAGCTCAATACCCAATCTGTTTGCAATTTTCGCATCTCCCTGCGTGCCGCAGGCCATATGTTCTCTGACAGAAAAGAAAAGTTCATCTCGAGGATCTGTTTGCAACTTAGCGCGGCGTATGGAGACTGATTGATTTGATTTGATTTGATTTGACATTATACTTGCATACATCCGTTTGATACCATACCATGCAGGTTTTTCCTGGTATGCGTTATTGTTATTGTTCTGTTGGCTTCGCGTCTCGGATCTTATTCATAATGATGGATGATGATGTAGGATGAATCTGCAGGGCAAGAATGGAATTTCACTATATTCTATCAGATTATATTGTCCTATATTATATTATACTTTGATAACATCCTTGTAAGTGAACACGACCAACTTGAAGTCGGAAGAACTAGTGATTGGTGTATACTCTTTGTCGTAGTTGTGTTTGATTTCTTCCTTCCTCTAGGAATGCTGGTGCTACTCCTGCTGCTACGTGCTAATGCAGGGGATGCAGGCGGTTCATGTGCATGGACCCGTGTTGGATCATTGGCTCATATCCATGCGTTTATAAGATGGAAATCAACACTAGCATCGGAATTGAGATCAAATAGCGAAATGAAGAAAGAAAGGTCCAATGGTTCGTACATCTCTATAATGAATGTCGTCTACTGTACATAAGGATGGATCAATAACAATAACGATGACGGTAACGGAACCCGCTGTCTAACGCCGATAACCTGGTTTTACTGTACCAAATGGGGGAACAATATCAAAGAGAATGTACAGACGAGGGGAAAGAATATACAAGAAGCAGTGAGGACCGTCCGCCTCAGGGACGCGGTAGTGGTTTTTCACTGGAGGCAAAGGGGTGGTAGGGAAGTGGGGGAGAAATCTACGCATCGAAGATGTGCTTCATGTCGGCACAGGCATCGCGGTATAGAATATCGACCCGGTCCTGGTCCCGGAACGGATTGGGCGATTTATCCCACGCATGGGGCACCTTCTCGATCATCATGGCCCGCACGTGTTTATTGATGTTCTGCAGCCGACGCACAAAGACCTGACCCTCCTTGAGGAGCATGTCCCATTCGCAGATATAGAAGAAGATATCGTGCGGGAGGGCTTCGGCGAGGACCTCGTCCGTGGCGTGTACGGGCGACGCATAGGGTGAGACGCGCTCCTCGCGGTTGGGCAGATAGGATTCGTCGAAGAGGTTGGTGAAGAAGGCGGGAAGGGTCTTATTGGGCATGAGACTCATGGCGCGGCGGTGGTCGCGCGACTCCTCGAAGTCGAGGATAGGGTACCAGCAGAAGATGGCGACGATGTTGAGCTCGCTGGTCGAGGCGGCTGCCACGAGCTGCTGGGTGGAATCGTAGGGGCCCGCATAGCTGGGGGGACTGTTCCGGTGGTCGGGGTACCGGTCGCGCTGCTCATTGAGCAGACTGCGCAGGCGGAGGGGAACGGTGATGGCGAGGTTGCCGCCGGCGGAAAAGCCCGAGAGTGAAATGCGGGAGACGTCTAGACCCAGATCGACGGCGTGAGCAGCCAGATACTGTAGCGCTCGGACACCATCGTCGACGGCGGCGGGAAACGGGTGTTCCGGGGCGCGACGGTACCCGACGCTGACCACCACGGCGCCGACCTCCCCGAGCACACACCGCGACCAGCGACTGTCGTCCGTCGGACAGCCCAGGGTGAAGCCTCCGCCATGGAAATTGACCACCACAGGCAGGCGACGACCCTCTTTGCGACTGGTGGTATAGTCGGGTGGCGTGTAGAAGTATAGGCGGATTTGACCGGAGTCGGCAGGGATGGATCGGACAAAGGACGGGCGCGGAGGTCGTGGGGGGGTGATATCGTGAATGAACATGCCAATGCGCATTAGGAAGCGCCAGAAAATGGCCTGAATGTAAAGCCACCAGCGTGATGTCGCCATATTGAAGTGGCCATGCAAGTGAGGGAGGAGTCGTGAGAGAGAGGAAGAAGGAACGAAGAGAGGGACTCGGAAGGTCGGCGAGACACGAGACCCGTCTATCAAGGGATCGGATGATGGGCCGACCAGTGAAGTGGACGAAGGAATCAGTTGATCAGTGGAGATGCAGCTAATCTACTAGATACAGTGTACTTGTCTGTACGAGGAACGGAAGTCACTTGCCGAGAAGCACAAGAAAGCCAAGCCGGGAGGGAGAGACGCTCCGTCGAGATGATCAAGAGCGAAGAGCACGAACGAGACAGGAACCGGGAATTCGCCTGGTTCTAGTAGTCCGCGTCGGTCTTGGACCACATCATCGTTACAACAGGTCCATGTCCCCACTGGACCCTGCTGAGGAATGTCGCCAAAAAAGAGAAAAAAAAAAAGAAGCGTTTCTTTGCATCATCGGGCGCCATGACATCACCGGCCACCGATGGCACCGCGCCTTTATTTCCCTCGCTCGTATCCCATCCTTTGGCTGCATCCTCGGTCGGTACTTTGCTCGGCCCTTCCTTCACGTTCTGGCCTGCCCTCGGTTTGTCAGTTCCTGGTCAGCTTCCCAAACCTTGATAGCGTTAAACTCTTCCAGTGTTGTCCCTATATAAGTGCTGACGCTGCCGCCCTTCTGCCCCTCTGCCCCTCTGCCCCTCTTCCTTGTTCTTTCACCTTCAACGGTTTGCTTATCACCAGTTTCCCCCCCTCAATTCCCCTGTCGCATGGGAGACTTCCTCCCTTCAATCCCCTCATCATGTCTATCAAGCGTGCCCTTTCCAAAATTAAACCCTCCAAGACCTTCGACGATGACTCCAGCAATTCCCCCAACTCGGCCACTTCCATGTCCCCGCGTCGCAGCATCCTCAGCGGATTTCTGCGCGATCGCGACTATGTCTCTTCTTCCGACGACGTCTCGGATGATTCGTCCTCCCCTGGCACCATGAGTAAGAACCAGCAAAAGCGCATGGCGCGCAAACAGCGCAAGGAGCATTCGAGACTCAGCGGGGAGCGCCACTCCGAGGACTCGGATGCGCGTCATAAGGAGGACGTCGTCAACGCCTCCCGCGAGGAGACCGCCGAGATGAAGGACCGCTACGGGGAATTGCCGCTGTTGCAGTCTCGCACGCGGCCACGCGAGGCTCGCACGAAATTCGACGAGATCTCCGAAGCCTTGGTGGGCAAGCAGGTCTGCTTTACGGCTCGCCTCCACATTATCCGTCGCATGAGCTCGAAGCTAGTCTTCCTAGTCTTTCGCCAGCAGCTGTTTACCTTTCAGGGCGTCCTGCACGAGGAGCAGGGCGTCAAGTCCATTGCCATGATCCATTGGGCCGAGCATCTGCGGTTGGGCTCCATTGTTCGTGTGCGGGGCACCATCAGGCAGCCCCAGGTGCCCGTTCTGGGTTGCACCATCCATAATGTGGAAGTTTCCATTGATGAGATCCACCTGGTCGTGCGTCGCGAGGAGTCCGTTCCCTTCAGTGTCTACGAGGCGGAGATTCAGACCCCTGAGGAGGAGCGCATCGAGGGCCGCCGCAGTCGCATCCCGGATCGCACCCGACTGATCAACCGTCTGCTGGACTTGCGCACTCCGACTTCCCAGTCCATCTTCCGCATCCAATCCGGAATCAGCAACCTCTTCCGGTTCGCCCTCGATGAACAGGGTTTCATTGAGATCCATACGCCCAAGCTGCAAGGGTCCGCCACCGAGTCCGGTGCCAGTGTGTTCCACGTGCAGTACTTCGGTCGAGATGCTTTCCTAGCTCAGAGCCCTCAGCTAGCCAAGCAGATGGCTATCGCCGCCGATTTTGGCCGGGTCTATGAAATCGGAGCTGTATTCCGGGCGGAAAACTCCAACACCCACCGCCATCTGACCGAGTACACCGGGTTGGATATCGAGATGGCCATTGAGGAGCATTATCATGAGATGTTGGATGTGCTGGACGGCGTCATCAAGTCCATCCTAGCTGGGGTTTACCGCCGCTACCGTCGGGAGGTGGACACAGTGAAGCACCAATTCCCCTCGGATGATGTCGTCTGGTTGGAGAAAACCCCCATCATCCGTTTCGCTGATGGTATCAAGATGCTGAATGACTCGGGCTGGCGGGATGAGGAAGGCAATTTGCTGCCTGATGACGAGGATCTGCACACCCGCGATGAGATCCGTCTGGGTGAGCTGGTCAAGGAGCAGTACGGAACCGACTACTACATCCTGGACAAGTTCCCCGCCAGTGCCCGCCCCTTCTACACGATGCCCGATCCTGACGACAACCGGTTCACCAACTCGTTCGACATCTTCATTCGGGGACAGGAGATCGTTTCGGGTGGACAACGTATTCACGACCCCCATATGCTGGAGGAGAACATGCGCCGAGTGGGCATCGACCCGGACACTATGGAGGAGTACATGGAGGGCTTCCGCTGGGGTGCGCCTCCACACGCCGGTGCCGGTGTAGGCCTCGAGCGTCTACTGATGCTACTCCTGAAGCTAGGGAACATCCGCTTGGCATCCCTCTTCCCTCGCGATCCCAAGAGCTTCCCCGCCAAGCCGCTAACCGCGCAGCTACGGCACCCCGAGTCGTCCACCATTGAACCGCCGTGGGTGCGGGACAAGAAGGGCAACCTCGCGCAGGATGTCAGTCAGCTACAGCCGCTCGAGCATCTGATTGCCAATTATGGCGATGCCACCTCCACCTCCTGGGGCGATGAGCGCTTCAAGATCTGGCGGGATATGGGCACGGGTGCCGCCATCTCCTATGTGCCTAGCAGCAGCAACTACGTCATTGTCCCGGGCAATCCCTTGTGTGATCCCCGCCAGTATCGCCAGGTGATTACCCAGTTCCTGCAGTGGCTGCGGCGCGAGACCAAGTACAAGCCGGTCTGGCTTCTGTGTTCGGCCGACGTGGAGAACATCCTGGGCGAGCGACTGGGCTGGCGAACGCTGTCCTGCATTGCCGAGGAGCGCGTGGACCCGGCCCGCAACATGGCGGCCTCGGATGGTGAGATCTCCCGCAAGATTCGGCACGCCGAGAGCGAGGGCGTCAAGCTCGTGAGCGTGAACCGGGGCGAGATGGTGTCCGATGAGATCCGCGAGAAGATCGACCAGCGCATCCAGGACTGGCTGAACAACCGCAAGGGCACTCAGGTGCACCTGTCGGAGATTCACCCCTGGCGCGACCCCGAGCACCGCTGGTACTTCTATGCGGTCGACAAGGAGGGCACCATCTGCGCTTTTGTGGCCTTGGCCACCCTCGCCCCCGTCCATGGCATGCAGATCAAGTACAGCTTCGACTTCCCGGGCTCGCCCAACGGCGTCATCGAGCACATCGTCACGCACGCGATCCAGACGGCCGCCGCCGCCGGCGTCAAATCCTTCACCTTCGGCGCGGGCGCCATGTCGTCGCTGACGCCTGGCCACAACCTGCGCGGCACCCGCGTGAAGATGCTGCAGCACACCTACGACACCATGGCCAAGCAATTCCACCTGGTGCGCAAGAGCGAATTCCGGGCGAAGCTCGGGGCGGAGGACGACCCGCTCTACATTGCCTACCCACCCCACGGCCTCGGCACCAAGGGCATGAGAGCGGTGCTCCATTTCTTCGAAGATTAATTGCCACCACTGTCTGCATAATGCCATGACGGAGTGAAACGACGTGCGAACACGCAGTTGATATGTGCACTGGACACGGCTGGATTCTTTAGATGTCTCGTTTTGGGATTGTTCGCGTTAGATATTCCCCCTTTTGTTTGGTTGCGGAGCGGTCCTTTTCCGGGGTACTATTTGTTTGTTTTGCTTGTTCGCATGTGCTCCTACTACGACGATAATAATAGACGCAGCGCCATGTAATGACAGCCATGTGTACTATGTATGATGAGAGAATTGAGCTTATTTTTGTTTCATTTCGAACTCATTCTGAAAATATATAATTACAATATGCCATGTCTATACTAACCAATATCTTCCATGAAAATTCATACATGATCCAAATGGTACCAGATCACTGCACCTTTTTCTCCTCCCCCTCCCCATCTCGCTCCCCCTCCTTCTCCCCCTCAACAGCCATATCATCCACCACCCTCTCCAACTCCCCAACCACCCACTTCCCCACCAAAACCGCCACCACGGCCACCACCACTCCATAACACGCCGTCGGCACCAACGACCTAGGGAAAACATTCCCCAGAAACGGATCGAGGATGATGTCCACCGCCACGGGCGGTACCGTCCGCATCAGCTCCGCATCCGTGGAGAAGTAGTCCGCCGTGGCCCGGATTCTCAGGAACAGCACCGAATCGGAGATGGGGCCGTTGTCGAGGGGTTTCTCGGCGGTGTTGAGGTCGATATCGAGGTCGGGGTTGGTACTGGTGGTGGTGAGGCGCGAGGAGGAGTAATTCGTTATGGAGGAGAGGAGGATAGGGTCCGAGAGGGTGTGGGTGAGCGTGTGGGTGGTTAGGGTGAAGGCTGTTGGTTGCTTGTGGTTGCGGAGTTAGTGGGTTGGTTAGATTTAGATTGTATGAGGAGACGGAGGGAGCGTACAGTTGCTAGCCAGCAGAGACGCACTTCGTATCGTCGGCCGGGGTGGAGGTTTTGGAGAAAGAACCACGACTCGGTGCCGTGGGAGTAGGGCGTTGGGAAGGAGGCGTTGAGGTAGGTGCGGAGGATAGGATGGGAGGGTGAGAGACGGGCGAGGCCGAGGTCGTCGATGGGGGGGTGAGGGGTGGGGATTGTTATCGGGGGAGGGGCGAGGAAGATGGTTTTCTCGACGTTGGCGGTGGTGAAGGTTGTGAAGAGGAGGAGAATGAGGAGGTAAGGGAGGGAGGAGAGCTGGAGGGGGCGGGGAAGAGGGAAAGGCATGGTTGATGGTTGGCGTGGTTAGCGGTTGGGGGTTGTGTGAAGGGTATATGTCGGTCTTATATGGTCATTGTTGGACGCGTAGAGGTGGTGGAGCTGAACGGGTTCTGGGAGATGTTAGAGAGGTTGATATCATGCGAGAGAGGTATGGGGATGGGAGTACTGGGAGCTCGGTGCTTGGAGAGATCTATATCTGTTTCGGGGTCGGAGAGGGTGATGATGCTTGCTGTGTAGTTTGGTGAGAGCTAAAATTGGTAAGGTAGCTTAGACTATAAGTGCCGGAGGTACTGGAGTGAAGAAGAGAACGGATTGTGCAAGAGGGGGCCCCCAATTGGCAACGGGCGCATCCGAACCTGCTGGCGATCTGAGATCATCCGGATGATGTTCGGGGATCTTTCGTCATGCCGTCACACCCTGCACGTGATCTGCTCCCTCGGCGGCCAGCTCGCTGACTCAGCTGTTGACCGCCAGGTGGTCACCGGGGGGCAACCACCAATCAGCGAGCACCCAGCCCAACGCGACCCAACGGACGGATCAACTACGGCGGCTGCGTTGGGTTGACAGCGCATGAAAGACCACAACAAATCGAGTCGACCGATTCTTGACTTGCTCCTCCATTGTCACTAACCACCAGTTCCCCAGGGTTCGTGGCCTCCCCCCCCCCCGTTTTCCCAATTTCCCACCTGTTCTCTTCCCTCGATCCCTCCTCCCCTTCCTCATTCAAAGGTCTCCTTTCCCTATCTTACCCCCTTTCGTGCCCTGTGTCGTGGTGGCCCGTTAGGTTACTAACTTTACCCCTGAAACCCCCGTACAGATCGACCTTGGGTATTTTAATTTTTCCCTCTGTCCACATTCCAACCCACTCCGTGTCCCTCACCATCTACCCGTATCTGAAACCCATCAATTCAACTCGCCAAAATGAGAGAAGTTATTAGTTTGAACGGTGTGTGCCCAATGCCTCCCCTGCCCAGTTGAGTTTTCGCGTGGTCACTAATGTTTGGTTGTTCCCCCTCACAGTTGGTCAGGCTGGTTGCCAAATCGCCAACTCTTGCTGGGAGGTATGCTGAGACCTGGGGTCATCAACCCCTCCTTTCCGAGCCAATTTACAAAGACACCATGGTGCATGCCATGAATCGTGTGAGTAGGTGGACTGACCGCGTTATGTAGCTTTACTGCCTCGAGCACGGCATCCAGGTATGTGCCACCCAGCTCCTGAGGACTCCCATCATGGAGCGGTGTCTCTCATCATCCGTGATCAATCCCACTAATCTCTCTCTTGGATGACAGGCCGACGGTTACTTGACCGAGGAGCGCAAGAAGGATGACCCCGACCACGGCTTCAGCACCTTCTTCTCCGAGACTGGTATGTTGCCACCGCTTCCCTGACATCCCGCTTCTCCTTTCCCCCGCAACCCCTAACCGGCACTGGTGGTCTAGGTCAGGGCAAGTACGTTCCTCGCACCATCTACGCGGATCTGGAGCCCAATGTCGTCGATGAGGTCCGCACCGGTACCTACCGCAGTCTTTTCCACCCCGAGAACATGATCACTGGCAAGGAGGATGCCTCGAACAACTATGCCCGTGGTCACTACACCGTGGGCAAGGAGATGATCGACCAGGTCCTCGACAAGGTTCGCCGCGTTGCCGACAACTGCGCTGGTCTCCAGGGTTTCCTTGTCTTCCACTCCTTCGGTGGTGGTACCGGTTCCGGTTTCGGTGCTCTCCTGATGGAGCGTCTCTCCGTCGACTACGGCAAGAAGTCCAAGCTGGAGTTCTGTGTCTACCCTGCTCCCCAGAACGCCACCTCCGTTGTTGAGCCTTACAACTCCATCCTGACTACCCACACCACCCTCGAGCACTCCGACTGCAGTTTCATGGTCGACAACGAGGCCATCTACGACATCTGCCGCCGCAACCTCGGCATTGAGCGCCCCAGCTACGAGAACCTGAACCGCCTGATCGCTCAGGTTGTCTCGTCCATCACCGCTTCTCTCCGTTTCGACGGTTCCCTCAACGTCGATCTCAACGAGTTCCAGACCAACCTGGTCCCCTACCCCCGTATCCACTTCCCTCTCGTTGCCTACGCCCCCGTCATCTCTGCGGCCAAGGCCTCTCACGAGTCCAACTCGGTTAGCGAGATCACCATGTCTTGCTTCGAACCCAACAACCAGATGGTCAAGTGTGACCCCCGCAACGGCAAGTACATGGCCACTTGCCTGCTCTACCGTGGTGATGTCGTCCCCAAGGAGACCCACGCCGCCGTGGCTACCCTCAAGACCAAGCGTACCATCCAGTTCGTCGACTGGTGCCCCACTGGTTTCAAGATCGGTATCTGCTACCAGCCTCCCCAGCAGGTGCCCAACGGCGACCTCGCCGAGCTCAAGCGCGCCGTGTAAGCCCCCCTGACATGCCTTGCACCGAAAACAAGAAGCTAACCCCGCTCTAGCTGCATGCTGTCCAACACCACTGCCATCTCCGAGGCCTGGTCCGCTCTCGACCACAAGTTCGATCTCATGTACTCCAAGCGTGCTTTCGTCCACTGGTATGTTGGTGAGGGTATGGAGGAAGGTGAATTCTCCGAGGCCCGTGAGGATCTTGCCGCCCTCGAGCGCGATTACGAGGAGGTTGCCAGCGACTCCCTGGAGGATGAGGTTGAGGCCGAGTACTAGATCTGACCGTGTTCTCGGCCGGAGTCCGGCGCGGGGTCCGGCAGGGCCGTCCGCGTGGATGCCATGGCTGGTCCTGATCGTTTCCGAGTTATTCTGTTGGGGACAGGCGTTGGCCAAGGTTATACCATACGAGCTGCGGGACTCTGGCTGCATGCAAATAGGAAGGAGAAGCTTGGCTCCGTAGTACAGACTATGTTTTCTTTTTGTCTGAGTATATTTCTAATATCCCTGAAGCAGCGATGAATTTACCCGCTCGTTCGAACACACATGCAGCAGTTTGGCGCCTAAGAGATTGTAATTTAAAGTTTTGCGAGTTCCAACTGAAGGTGTTTGTTTCTCTAATTGCGTTTGTTATGAAGGTTCCGTAGCGGCCACAGTGACCATGAAAGGCTGGCTGTTATTCTGTGTGGTTCGTGCGCGAGTTAGGGACAGATAGACCCTGGATTTGCGCCACCTCCACGAAAGTGGCTGCTTCTAACGACTCGCATCCTTCGGATTCTTGCCGACGGGCTGAATACATGCACCCTGCTCATGAACCGACACAGAGTAGGGGCACCCGGAGGGCTGACTGGCCAGTTGGCGGTAGCGGTGGTGGCTGACCGCCCGGGCAGCAGCGGCCGCAGGAAAGCCCCCGGGCGGACCCCAAGCGACGTGCCAGTGCCGTCCGTGGCTGTTCCCCCCCCCTCTGCCTGGCCTGCTCTGCTCTGCTCGGCTCGCTCTAGCTACTTACTGCTGGTCGCAAGTTCCCCCCCTTCTCCCTAATTTATTTCTTGATTACTATTCTCCGACCCGCCCTCATTCCTGAGCTGTCGGACCTTCCCATTCCCTCTGTTTGGGGCCATACCTCTCCTCCTGGTGGCTTTTAGTGATACCTTGCCCCCCGGTTTTCTCGTTCCCCTCAGAAGAGCTGCTGCCGCCTTGGCCATCCATGCCCGTGCTGTCTTCCACCTAAGTTGACGGCCGCCTGTTGCTTCCCTCCCCTCGCTGGATTTCCAATCAACTATTCAGCGCACAGTGTATCTACCGAAGGGAGGCCAGCTCCTCCTGAGCTATAATCATGGCTGACAACGGTGAGTTTGCCTGCCCTGGCTGGACAATGGCGCCCGCCCGAGCTCTCAGGGGACAACGGCCCAACCGGTCGATATGACGATGGTACAGCGGAACTGACGGATGCTCTCTTTCTTCCCAAGCAGCTCGCAACCCCGGCCTCAACCTGACCCCTGAGGAGAAAAGGGTCTTCTATCAACTCTTCCAGGCCGCCGATACCACCAACCTCGGCGTCATCACAGGCGAAGTCGCTGTTCCTTTCTTCGAGAAGACCCAGCTAGCCCCGGAAACCCTCGGCTTGGTATGTCGGTGCCTGCGACCTCCAGGGGAATCCTTTCTCCCGCAATCGCATCTAGGGCAGGACGGCTAACTGGATAATGGCGCTTGATATAGATATGGCAGATTGCAGACAGGGAGAATCGGGGTCTTTTGACCCCGTCTGGGTTTGGGGTCGTCATGCGACTGATTGGACACGCCCAAGCAGGTCGCGCACCGACCGAGGAACTGGCTTTTCAACGTGAGTGATCCATAGGTGCCCTTGGTTCCGATCGAGCAATGGATGGGGTTGGATCTATGCTAACGATGACCGCTTTTCTAGCTGGACCGTTGCCCAAGTTCGATGGTCTCGTTCTCGATGCCACCCCAGCTCCGCGTGAAGCGGGCACCACCAGCCCTACACCGGGTGCAGGTGCGCCTATCCGTGTTCCTCCTCTGAATCCGGACGACGTGAACAAATTCCTCTCGTTGTTCGAGAAATCGGATGTGTCCAAAAGCGGGGTACTTCCAGGTACATATGCCCCTCCAACCCCGAGGCTGATAAGATGTGGACCCTGGTAGCTGATCAAGTTGTCCTCACAGGTGAGACAGCCAAGCAGATTTTCGAGCGTGCACGGTTACCAAATGAGATCCTCGGTCGAATCTGGAACCTGGCGGATAGGAGACAACAGGGTGCTCTCGATGCCACTGAATTCGTCGTTGCGATGCATCTCCTGACGTCCTACAAGTCCGGCGCGATGAGGGGACTGCCCCAGACTCTGCCACCCGCCCTATACGATGCTGCGGCACGGAGAGGCTCTCTCCGCTCGTCGGTGGGCTCGCGCCAGGGCCTTGAAGTTCCTCCGGTACCTGCGATTCCGAAGCAATTCACGGGACCCAAGCGCACTCAGAGCCCGATCAGCAGACAACCGTTCGGCTCCCCTCTTTCCGCCCAGTCAACTGGCAGTGATTGGCTTGTCTCGCCTCAAGAGAAGGCCATGTTCGACAATATCTTTGCAACCGTTGATACGGCCAGGGCAGGATCAATTAGTGGTGACCAGGCCGTCTCGTTCTTCATGGGTGCACAGTTGCCCGAAGAAACACTGGCCCAGATCTGGGACCTCGCGGATATAGATGCCGACGGAATGTTGACGAAGGATGAATTCGCTGTGGCCATGTATCTGGTCCGCCTAACGCGCAGCGGAAAGGAATCGCTGCCTCAGACATTGCCCCCCGCCTTGATTCCTCCTAGCATGCGCCGTCCTGGATCTTCACATTTTGGCCCAGCAGCTCCCGCTCCGGTCCAAGCGCCAGCGCCGGCTCCAGCTCCAGCTCCCGCCCCATTTCCTGCTCCACGCTCGGCGGCCGATGATTTGTTTGGCCTGGATGCGCTCTCCGCGCCGGCACCGGCACCAGCACCGTTGGCTGCTCCTTCCCAGATTCCGCAGTCCACGGGGGGCTCCAATGCCGCCTTCCAGACACCTGGCTCCCCAGGGTCAAGGGCATCCCCGCAAGCTGCCTCCACGACCTTCAAGCCTTTTGTGCCAACTTCCACCTTTGGACAGAGCTTACAGCCACAGATGACTGGCGCTTCGTCTGTGGTCCCGCCGACCGTCCGGTCACCCCCACCTCCGTCCGATGATCTTCTAGGTGACAATGACCCCGAAGAGTCAAAGAAATTGACACAAGAGACCACAGAGCTTGCCAACCTGTCAAACCAGATTGGTTCATTGGCTACGGAGATGCAGAACGTTCAGACTAAGCGGGCATCTGCCGAGCACGGCCTGTCTCAAACCTCACAACAAAAGAGGGACTTCGAGGCTCGTCTCGCTCAAGCTCGCTCGATGTATGAGCAAGAAGTGAAGAACTTCAAGGCCCTTGAAGAGCGACTAAATGCTTCGAGAGCTGAAACCACCAAACTCCAGCAGGAATTTGCGTTGATCGACGGAAGCCGGCAGGATCTGCAAAACCAGTACACTCAGGTATCGGCCGCTCTCAGTGCCGACCAGCAGGAGAATGCGAGCCTGAAGGAGAAGATCCGTCAGGCTAACGCTGCGGTCGCCCAGCTCAAGCCTGCCCTAGACAAGGCACGCTCAGAGGCGCGGCAACAAAAAGGTTTGGTGGCTATTAACAAGAAGCAACTTGCAACCGTGGAGGGAGAGCGCGACAAGATCCAGCTTGAGATTGATACGCTTTCCAAGGAGCAACCTGGGGCATCCGAGGAAAGCGCCGCCGCCCCGAGCGATGCTGCCGCCATTACAAGCCCAGCTGAATCGACGACAAGCCAGAACACCAACCCGTTCTTCAAGCGCACAGCTACCGGCTCTAGTGAAACCACTGGACTGTCGCCACAGATCACTGGCGATCAACAGCGCGCCTTTGATAGCCTCTTTGGGCCCGCCTTTGCGTCGCCACCTGTGACTGCTACGCCGCCGCCGCCAGTTTCTTTCCGGGCCGAATCTCAGCCCACTTCTGGTGTGCCTACGCCTTCGGTGTCCCCTCCCCCATTCACTGCCGGGTCTGCATTGGAACCCCCCGCTCCGGCGCAGTCTAGGCAGTTGACACCAGGTGGGTTGCCCTTTGGCGAGTCCCATTCGGCAACCTCTTCGACAATGGTCTCTCCACCAGGGAGCAGGTTTGGTGGCCAAGACACGCCCAGTCTAGGAAGTGCCTCGCAAGTGGCGGTCAGTGATGCGGCGGGCCCTTCGCTTGCACAACCGGCAACCTCCCCGTTCGATGAAGTCGAGGAGCCAAATGAGCGGTTCCCCGAAATCCCCGCTATAACTGAACAACGTGCGGAAGACACTGTATCGCCTTCCGAAGAAGAGAAACCTGCCGAAAGAAAGGACCTCAGCTTCGATGAGTTGTTTGGTGGGCCTGCTCATAAGCGATCCAAGTCGCAGAAGGAAAATGATTTTGAAGAGGCGTTTGCTGTTTTGAAGCAGGGTCCTGGAGCGAACAAGACGAATGGAGCACCGGCCGTTCCCGAGTCGGAGTTCCCGCCAATCCGCGAATTTGATGATGGTGATGACAGCTCCGATAGCGAAGCGCCGATGGGCTTCGACGACAACTTTACTCCAGTCTTTCCCCCACAGAGCCAAGTCGCCGCTGCGCCCAAGCCCGATGCTATTGAGCCGTCTCAGCTGGCGGCATTCCCGACCCCTGGCACCGCGACCACCCCCAGCCAGCCTCCTGCAGCAGAGTCGCAGTCGAGCCCCCCCAATTACGACGAGACTGTGGGAAAGCAGGAGTCCGGAAGCATGCCACCCGAGTTTAATGGACTCTTGCCGACTCGAGAAGATCCGACAACTGCCCCAGATGCTCCTCACTCAGTAGAGTCAAGCACTGGGGCGCCGATCGTGGGTGGGGAGGCACAGCGCGATGGGTCGAAGGAAACCCAAGCTGCTCCTGAGGGAGCCAAGGCTGGCGCTTCTGACTTCGAGGCTGCATTTGCAGGCCTAAACCTTGCGCCGGCAAAGGAAGCCGAAGATGACGAAGATGACTTTGAAGCACCCGATAACGCAAGAAATAACATGGACTTCGATTTCTCCTTCGACAGCCCATCAGCGCAAAAGACATCGCCCAACCCAGGAGCAGATGCTGCTTCCTCGGATTTCTTCGCTTTTGACAAGAATGTGAGCTCCTCGCCTCCCGGCTCTGCCGTATCGCCCGCTGAGCCCAACGCAAAGGCGCAGACTCACGACTGGGAGGCGTTGTTTGCTCCACTTGACAACGCCTCTGCTGCAGCCAGCGGAACCAATGGGGCCGGCAGTGCAGGAGGCAGCAAGGAACCCGGCTGGGCTCTTCAGACAGGTACTGAAGACGACCAGATCCTCCAGCGGTTGACTGGCATGGGCTTCCCCAGAGAAGCATCCCTTGATGCTCTTGAGAAATTTGATTACAACATTGACAAGGTACGTTGCCACCCAGGCCTTACGAGGAGGTGCATATGCTAACTGACTCTTGCAGGCAGTAGACCACTTGACTTCGAAGCCTTGATCTGCATCCATATCCTCTTTTCTTTACCAGTGCACATATTACTCTCTCATTAGCCCTTCACTCGCTCTAGAACATTTCCTTTCCCACTAATCTCTCCCACCTCATGTCTCCTTCCTTTTTCTTTCCCTTGAATCATGTGTGATCCAGCTTGCATGTCGTTATTGCTGCAATGTATATTCCTCTTCTTTCAGCGGTGTGCGCTTCACCCACATCAAGGTAACCCTATTATGATCTACCCATATTATTATTGCCCCATGTAATCTAGGACCACCTATTGGATTAGTTATGAACGAGAACGAAGTGCTGAAGGACAACGGATTAAGAAGAAATGGGCGGCCAGAATTAAGGGCGAGTGGCCGTGGACGAATATTTGTACAGGCAGACATCCAGAGACTGTACTGTACCTCTTATACTTCATATTAAACCCCTTAGCTATCGCTTAGTCTAGTCACGATAATCCTCAATTCATATCCATATTGGTAGATCCAGGGCTCTTATACCTAAGCTACCTCATACCTAACAAAGATAATCGTGCAAATCATAAATATCACCTTCCTCCAGGAGAATATTTTAGGTTTGGTCCAAGCTTTCCACGGGTGGGTCTGTGTACCACCTGCCACCAAGGTGGGAAAATGCACGGCGTACAGTCACCAGAAACTTTAGGACAAAACTGTTCGTTTCAATCGGGTTGCTAACTGTATGTCACATATATATGGAGTCACCTGATACTCTCCCTCCTTCCCTTTCTAGCTATGAGACTTGAGTTTATCACGCCTGAGACTCTCTTTAGCGAATAAATCATCATATGTAGAATCCGTTAGAATTCGTTTAATTGAAGTTAAAGTTAAAGCACATCTATCAAGGAAGCATAACATGGACCAACACGAGGGATACTAGACGCTCTTCTATGAGCCTACTCTAGTCGTCATGTCTTCGCTATTAATCCTGCTAGAGAAAAAACATCTTGGAAAAGAAACAGGTCTGAATTTCAGTATCAAGGAAAGGGATAATTCCAATCACCAACAAACAAGGTGAAACTAGAAAATAATTCTTCTCGCAAGCACGTTTGCTGATGAAGGCAGTCACTGTGAATATACATGACCTCTATTCATGGCCCCTCTCAATTAATAGATATCTAAACAGGGTGAAAACATCCCATAGGGAACGCCACTAAACGCCACGGGTAGCCTGTCCATTCTCCATGCTAGTTAACGAACTTTTCTCATGTTGCGAAGATACGCGTTGTAGTGCGACCACTGCGAATATGTTAGTCCAATTGCACAGCCAAGAGCATAGCCGAATGGTCTCACAGAAGTCTTCCAAAGAGCGTTGCTTGTCATTACTTCTGGGGCTCTTCCCATGCATGATATTATCAAAGCTCTTGGAGCCGTGCAGCAGATGATAGATGCCACCCATTATGCAGAATACCCCAAATGAGAAAACGTAGATGCGGAGAATTGTAGGAGTCGAGGTTGGCTCACCGACAAACCAACCAAATAAGCAGAAGCACGTCGCCATGAGGTCCACGACTGCGATGGCTCCTATCAGTTTCCAGGATGGCCATGTTGATGCCCAAAAAGCGCCGTCGGAACGTGTTATGAAGATGAGCCAATTTTCAGTTAGGGAGATCTCTAGGAACAAGACCTCATCTCGCTTTCCGTAGTCTTGCATTATGCCTCCATTTTCTCCAGCAGTAAGTATTGTAGTGAGTGTGACCCATGTCCCCACGGCCAGTACAATCCCTAGGAGAATGGACATTCCCCACAGTTTAGGAAGGTTCCATTTCACGGGCGTGGAGGAGAATGGAGCCTTGTCGTAGGCGATCGCTAATGTCGCGATGTCGGCGAAGATGGCAATGAATACCACAAGCTGTAGATTGAGGCTTTCGTTCCTGGTGGCGATCCAAAACCCCAAGAATATTTCCAGATGCAGCGATAGCGCAATCCGATATACGACGTAAGCGTACATGCGGTGGAAGATCTGACGCGAGGTCTTCAAGGCATCAATGATCGCGGACAAACCGGGAGCAAGAAACACAATGTCGGCCGCTGACCGCGCAGCATCCGAGGAGCCTTCCACTGCAATTCCAGTATCGGCTTTCTTGAGGGATGGAGCGTCGTTGACGCCGTCCCCAGTCATCGCAACCAAGTATCCGCGCTGTTGTAAGATGTCCACCACGTTGTATTTATGCTCAGGGAAAACCTCTGCAAATCCATCAGCAGCTTCGACAAAGTCATAGACTTCAGAGCCAGGCATTGTTCCTCCTCCACCAAGGCCAAGCCGTTCTGCGTTGTACACATTTGTGCCCAGTCCCAGCTGACGCGAAGTCTCGCGGGCAATCCCTACTGCATCTCCTGTTAGCATTTTAATCGACAGCCCCAGGGTCTGAGCTTCATTAATGGTTTTAGCGGTATCATGTCGTGGAGGATCCGAGCATGGCATTATGCCCAGTATCTCCCACTCGCCATCGCCGCACTTTCGAGCCACTCCAAGCGAGCGGAACCCACGAGTTGCAAATTCGGCCACTTTGTTCTTATATGCCTGTTCAATGTCATCCGGTATTTGATGGTCCTGCTGAACTGTTTTAAGTACAAACAATGGAGATCCCTTGACACAGGTGATTCGTTGGCCTTGGGGAGATTGGACTACTGCCGTGACCTTCTTGGAGACCGGATCAAACGGATAGAACTGGAGCACTTTGAACTGATTGAGCATTGTTTTGGCGGTCGGATAGCAAGACAATGCCTTGAAGAATGCTTTGTCGATTGCATCCATGCCCTTTTTCTTTCGAGAAGCAGCTAAGCATGCTGTTAGCATGAGGTCTTCAGGGTCCACACCAGCCACTGTATAAGGGTCTGTCAGCGATAATTTATTCTTCGTCAACGTGCCGGTCTTATCAGAACAAAGTATTTCGACTCCCGCGAGTGATTCAATGGCAGAAAGCTTTTGAACAATGGCTCTTTTCTTTGCCAAATACGCTGCACCAACTGCCATCGTGGTTGTAACAACGGCGGGAAGGCCCACCGGAACACCTATCATAGTGATAGCCAAAGTAAACTCGAGAATAGTTGTCGTGTTGTTTGAACGGTAGAACGATGATACCCAGACAATGATCAAGGTAATTATGACGAGGACCAGGAGGACGATACTGATCCCATGAAGCACTTCGGTGAAATGACCAGTTCCGGCCGAGGCAGCATTGACCAATGCAGCCGCATGTCCTACAGAGGTGCAGTTGCCAGTTGCTGTGATGATAATCCGGGCACAGCCTCGCTTCACAGTAGATGATGCGTAGCATGTGTCCCCTTTATGCTTGTCGACTGCCAGAGACTCGCCAGTAATAGAAGACTGATCGACCTGGATAGCGGTGTTGGTCATTATTCGGCCATCCGCGGGAATTATAGTGCCCTATATACAACAATTAGGGACACTGTAGCCACTTTGCGCGCGGTAGGACGGTACCTCGTCAAGCTTCACTATATCCCCTGGGACCAGTTCAGCTGCATCGATATCAACCATAACACCGTCACGCAGCACAATCGCCTTGAGTGCTAATGTTTTCTTCAGTTCCTTCACGATGGATCCGGCCTGAAATTCCTGGACAAAGCCCACGGACGCATTGAGCAAAAGTAGACCACAGATAACTCCCAAGTCAACCCAGTCTCTGAGGTAAGCAGCTAGGACAGCGGCTGCCTTTAAGGGTACACTTCAGCGAGAAAGTCCCACGACGAGGAGCTTATGAGAGACATACCTCCATCACAAACTGAACGGGACCGACGAAGAACCCAAGGAACTTTAGCACGAGGTTCTCCTTTGCCTCCTTCATCTCATTGGAGCCAAATTTCCTGCGACGAATTGTCACCTCGTTAGCACCAAGTCCTGTATGAGAATTTGTCTGGAGCAAGTCATCCGAGACAGGGGGGAGTCGGCCGGTTTGGTGGCTCTCCTGGACGTTTAATTCGACATAGCCATCCAACGACTCCAGCTCTTCAATGAGAGTATCGATATCTTTCTCTTCCCCTTCATCCTCTTGGATGTCCGATATTGATTTCTCCTCTCCCGATTTCTTTTCGACATACACGGGCTCCTTGTTAAAGCCATTGGGATGGTCAATAGACATTGCAGGTTTAGAAGGGACCTTTTCTGGGTTTATAGTGGAGCTCAAGCTAATATGAGAAGGATGAAGCACTGTAAAGATGGATAGAAAGGGGCCCTTATTGTATACGGGTGTAGCATATAGTATCGTCCCGAAAGGTGTGAAAAGAGAAGCAGGTCTGACAAGAAACCAAGTATGTAGCATTTACCATAGTTAGATCGGGAAATCATGAAGGAAAAGACCCCGCAATCGAATTGGGGAAGGCAGAACACTCATCGTTTGTTGTGGAGGAAGGAGCTGCCGTCTGCTTTGAATACTATATATTGCAGGATACGGAGCAGCGATCTGGAGCGTTTCTGGAACTAGGCTTACTCGGTTAGCCTGGTATTCAAGGTAAATGGAGCAGCCAAGTGGCAGAGCATCTAGCCAAGAGTTAGTACCAAGCAAAAGGGAGAGGAGAGATGGTAGTCCTTCAACTGGACGACCGAAGAAGTATACAAAGGGATCTCCGCCGACGAGGCCGGACGTGATGACATAAGCAGATACCCGACGTCATGTCGGTCTCATGGCAGCTGGGGAAATTCTCCCCAGGTCGCGCGCATCCCTGATCGATTCGGTTCCTGACCCTGAATATACCCACCCGGTCTGCTCTAGAGCGAGAAAGAGGCAGACCCGTTTCTTGCTGGTGAGGAAGACGTGCGCCGTGTTTCTCTAGCCTCTTGCGCACACTATGCGCCCGACGGTCAAGTGATCTGCATCTGCACCAGCGCCCACGACTTCCAAACTAGAATGCGTCAACCTTGAGACGCGCCCCTCTATTGTTGATACACGCTCCCTGCCTTTCTGATCGCCTTCCCCCCAGAAAAATGAATAGGGAGATCCCAGGGTTCTACTATGGTAAATGACTTCGTCTATCATCTTTTCCCTGGGTAGCGATCATTGACCGCTCAATAGACCCAGAAAAGAAGAAGTACTTCAAAATCCAAGCCAACCACAAAGCCACTCCAGGGTCACAATATACTCAAGACTCCGTCAAGCGGAAGCGCGTAGACCAGGAGGTTTGTGATGAACGCTCCAAACCCCTCTGTGTCCTACTGACCTTCCGGTAGAAGCGGCAAAGGAAAATCCACCTGACGAAAAGAGTCACAAAAGAGAAGATCACGAGGGCAGCCTTTTTGTCCCACCCTCTACTGGGAGTGCAGAGAGAGATTGGATCTCAACATGTATCTACAAGCATTCGACAAGAGCAACGGAGCTTAATTTACGCAAGCCAGTTACATCGAAACAAGCTTCATCAATTCGAGCCCTGGCCCGACGAGTATAGCATCAAGCATGTGCTGCGCAACAAGCGTTCGGGAATATTGATTGCTAGTAAGTAGTAATTATACTGTGACTGATGCTCATCTAACCATGTTCAATAGGTGGTCAGCGTGGCGGTGAATCGTCTGTTTCGTAAGCTCAACCTGTCCTGCGCGGTCGTGTATCCGGCAAGCTAACCGCCATCTAAGGGTGTGCTTCCCGGATTGCGACCAAGATAAATGGACATATAATCGGACGATGGAACGTGTTCTCTTCAAAGAGCCATACAGGGTATGCCCTCCAGCCCAACCCTTAAGGACCACAGCGGACATGCATTGACGCAGTACAATTATAGCTATCCTCAGTCTCACTAAGCCACACCGGATACCTGCTGTACGATCGAAGAACATGCTCCCATCCTCTGATCGCTAGCTGACAGGATCAGGGCGACGATGGATAGTGGCCCGAATGGCGACTCTTTCCTGGCGCCCCGAATGTTGCCCGATCCCGACGAAGGTGGAAACTATCGGTGGCCCACGGCGTGTACGTAGCAAGCCCTCATTTGTTGCATACCACCATGCGAACGATGTTCAAGCTTGCTAATTCCGCTGTATCCAGTCGCACATCCGATTCGTTTGCGCACTCCGTCTTCCCTATGGTGTTCGTCTGCCTGTCCAACAGGAGACATGCCGTTTTTCGCCGTTGGAACCTCGGACGGACTATACACGTTGGAAGGGCTCGGCAGCTATTGGGCCCTATCAAAGAAATCATTCGCGAACGACGCGCTGACGGGAAAGCCGATCTTACATCGCCGCGTGGACTCCTCTCATGCTGTTGTCACTAGCGTCGAATGGCTCTCATCCGATGTGATAGCCGCCGGTCTGAAAGATTCCGCTATATTCCTCCACGACCTGCGCAGTGGAGGGAGTGCGACACGACTACAACATCCCCATGCTGTTACTAAAATTCGAAAAGTAGATCCCTACCGGATCGTCGTGGCGGGCATAAACTCGGTACGTATCTGCCATCCCGGCATATAACCTGAGACAACGACTGACATTGAAGTCAGCTCCAAATGTACGACATTCGATACCCGCCCAATGGCCTACAGCGCAACCCACAGCCCAATAAGAAATACCACACCTCCACTAAGCCGTACCTTACGTTTTCGGACTACTCGCCAGAAACCATACCTGACTTCGACATCAGCTTGGAACTTGGGCTTCTCGCTAGTGGTGCATACACCAGTATTCTATCCGTTGTGGCATTGGCTAACTTTTCACGATAGCTTCCGACGAGCGAAAAATCCAGCTTTTTTCCCTCCGCACCGGCCAACAAGTTCCGTCACCCTTGTCAGGATATCAGTACGCGGATCCTATTTCTTCAATTTGCTTCGAGTCCGGAGATGGGTCTTTACATGGCCCTCAGACACCCAGCTTATTAGTCTGCGCCAAAGCTACCGTGGATGAATGGATTTGGTCGAACTCGCCAAAGACGACATGATCGTATCAAGACGCTCTATGCAATGCACGCTCATTGGGAATATAACTATTAAGACACGAGTGAAGGCATCAATGATACCAATTTGCGGATCCGCTTTAGTCTAACCCTCCCGCCAGCCATTCACCAACCTCGACCCCGACAGTTTTGGCCAACTCTCCGATCCAATCGCCTGAGACATTGACGCACCATTTCTCACCGGCGTCGGATGTTGTGTTACCGCTACTCAACCCTCCGGACCCGAGCCCCATGCGACCGCCGCTCTCGCGACCTGCAGCAGGGACAACGAGCCGTAGCCGGCGTAATGTAGCAAGCTCGGCATATATCGCATCGGAAACTGCAGCCAAGCGAATAGGGTTGGCAGGGGGGTTGGGGTCGATGGCGTGGTAGATAGCGATCAGTCGCTCTAACGGGAACGGACGGGCTGTGAGAATCGTGGACGGGCCGGTAATACCAGCGCCGCCACCTACAGCCGAAGTCGTAGCAGAAGAAGTGGCAAAGGCAGACTCCAGGGTCGACTTCGTGATACGAGTCTTTTGCCTCTTGCCTTTCTTATTAGGGGTCGACGGGCCCTGGCTCGCCTCCCGACTATCTTCCGCTTGAGCCCGGGAGAGCAGCTTCAACCGTCGTCTATGATGTGCGCGTTTGTTCCTTGCAGACAAGGAGGATGAAGAAAACTTCGAGAAAAAGATCGTATCGAGTCGTTGAGGCGTGTGAGAGGCTACGTATGCGGAGGTCAAGATCAGGGTCGGGAAGTAAGGTAGGGAGGGAAGGGGTGAAGGGGCCGAGACGGCCAACATTGATGGTTTCGACATGGAGCCGTTTATGGGCGCGGATTCCTCAGTGACAATGTGATGTACAAGAGCGCTTTCGCCTTGGTGTCGGAATAAAGCACGATTCTTGACCAGAAGTCGCGAGAAGTCCCATTCATCGCTTCCCCCGGGTGGAATATCGCCGTTCGTAATAGGAGCAACAAACTGAGGCCAAATCTTCTCACAGATCGACCTGAATATCGGAATAGAACTCGCTGTAGGCCCAACCAACGAGTCATAGATCGCCGAGACAAAATGCGAGTATAACCTCGATGACGTCTCGTCCGCCAGACCACTCACGGCAGGAGGCCCAGCATTCAGGATAATCGTAATGGCTTCCTTGCGCGTATACGGAGGAAAACTAATATGCGGAACACCCGCCGCCTGGAGAAACAATGGCCGCGGCGTAGAGCTGAGGATGAGGACGACGCAAAGGGACGGAATCTGTTCAAGATCAACAACAATCAGCGGGCAAATCCACCAGCACCACCCAGCGAAAGCGCGGCTTCGACATAACATACCACTTCACCTAACCTCGCAAGCGCAGCCAACAACGTATGCGGCGCTTCACGCTGCTTATCTATCCCATCCAGCACCAGCACGAATTTATCGTTCCTCCTTCCCTCCGACGCCGACGCCGACGCGAGACACTCGCCCAGCAGCACAGCCAGAGAACTAACATGCTCGCATCTTCCCTTGCCGTACTTTTCCCACTCGTCGCGTTTCCCGAGCGCTTCCAAGGTCGCCCAGAGAATCTTCGTTAGGAGGTGACGGCCCGTGATGCACTCGGGGCTTCGGACAATGGCGTGCGGGACTTGCAGGGCAGCGAGGACATTGCGGACGATGGTTGATTTGCAGGTTGCGGAGATTCCGTGGACGACTAAGGTAGATGGGCTAGATACTTTGGCCTATTTGGTCGCGGGTGGGATATTAGCTGCTTGTTTGAGAAGTTGAATTAGGTACGAGGTGCTTCGGGGGGAGAAACGTACGCCGAGAAGACTGGCAAGTTGCCGAGCCTGGAGCTCTCGACAGGGCCATTGGTTGCTGAGCGATCGGCCAATCTCGGATGGAAGCATAGGGAGATGTGTTGAGTAATGTATGGGATTACAGCTTCCCCAAATATTTAAAGAAGAACTGAATGACGCAGGGAAGGGGGATGTCGACGCGCTTTCTCAACCAAGTTTTGGAAATTATGCAGAGAAGCGCGGGTATCATATGCAGTCACGTGCCGTATACATACTTGGGGTCTCTGTCGACTGCTTGATTTCAGAGGGCGAACAGAAAACTCGTGAAGGTCTTGAGATAGATTGTGAGAGGTTAAGCACTAAAAAGACATCTTAATTGCCTAAAGTATGGGTACATCTAATCTACCGGGGCTGCTGTTGGAACAGGCGGGAGAGGACGTAAATGATCAGAAACCACGAAGCTGGCCATCCCAATGTGCAACCCAAGGAGCACGAGTCGAGCACTAGTAGGGTCCAAACCCGACAAAAGCAGAGCACTCGTGCGCATGACGTGCAGCCAATTCCAACTTGACCAATCACTGCTCCATCCTGAAAGACAAGAACAGCTGCGCCAATCGGGCCATGCAGATAGGCAAAGTCTTCCCTTCATGCGATTGCCATGATAGCAATACAGTTTAGGTAGACAGAAAGTCAAGAAGAAGCAAAAAGGTAGTGGGGATAAAAGCACACTCGGGGAGAAGCGACAGCTATGAGACATCAGTCTTCGCTCCTTATCAGGCCAATAGAATGGTCGACAAAGGCGGACTTGGAAGCAAGCAAAATAAAAAAAAGACAAGGAGAAAAGAACAGGTAGAAAAAGAGGCAAAGACATTTCCAGTTATTGTCATCAAATGGGTGCTAAGCAAAGCTCCAGGGCGTTGAAAGAATACAGGAGAAAAACGAAGTGTAGCAAAGTATCTTTATCATGGTTTACATCTTCTCGTCAGATATGATTCAGATATGCAATGTGAGGAGTTGCATAGAAATAGTGATCTTGTCTTCGTAGCGGTAATTCTGGTCTTTTCAGTTTGCTGACAATTTGTTATCGGGGCCGTAAGTCATGAAGATCGTCGCGTCGTCGCACTATGAGTACAATTCAATGAAGAGAGACTGGTGATCCGAGGCACAGCATAACAGGTCAGTAGAATGCATACAACTGACTTGGAGCACCAAGATTGCCGTTTGGCTGCTGAATAGTAGAAGCGAAAATAGCCTCGCCAGGCCCGCCGGATGGAGCATTAGACCCTGTCGCAGAGCCAGGGGCGGGAACAAAGTTTTGATTTCCAAACTGGGAACCGACACTGGAAACAGGGAAAGGGTTGTGTTGGTACAGGAATGGTTTCTGTGGTCCCTGAAGAGGCCCCGGAAGCTGGGCGGAACCCATCTCGTTGGGAGTAACCTGTCCACTAGTTGCGGCACTGCCTCTTCCAGAGCCTTCTGATGCCATCATTTTGCCTGCAATGCGACGGCCATGAGGGGTCTGACGAATTGAAGGCAATATGGGACGGATGGAATCAACGATCCGGGTTCGAGTCTCAGCATCAGCAAAGTCCATGGCAGTTTGCACCACGTAGTTGGCGAAGGAGTCTCGGAGCATTTTCTCAAGTTCGGCTCCTGCAAGCATTTCATCAATCATCTGGCGTCGAATGGGGAAGTCGGCAGTGCGCAGGCACTTTTCGATGACATTTGAACTGAACTTCTGCTTGGAGAGGGCCGGAATGTTGCCTCGGAAAGTCTGGCACAAGGGCTCGGTGAAGTGAGGTTCAGCAAGGTCCAAAATATATTGAACGACGTAGTTTCCAAAAGGATCCTGGACAAGGGCAAATGCATTTGAAGTGATTTGAGCAATGAGTCGAGCTCTTTGCTCACCAGACGCATGATCAATGCAGCGCTGCAGAACGCAGCATCCATGACGGTGGGTGCCGACAACCACGCAGTTAGCGCCAACGGCATCATAGATGAACTGAGCGTCCTCAGCAGAAAGGCGGTTGAGACATTTTTGGATGACATGATTTCCATTCAGATCCTGGACCAACTCAACGACATGGTCTTCTAGAGCGTGGATCACGGTTTGGGTTTGTTCTGTAGTGGAAATAAACTCAATCATCTTCTGAAGAGCCCTAGTTCCATGTTGGTTTAGGGCAATCTTCACCAGCTGGTGGGCCGCGTTGTTGATTAAAGCCGTTCGCTGATCATCGTTGGAGTATTCGAGTAATTTCTGGCACAAGTAATTACCGAAGGGATCTGTTGCAGGACTTATTAGTAAAGTTCCGGCGGAAAGGAGTTGAAAGTGTTGAACGAACCTGTCATGAGCTCAACCACATGCAAGTGAGTTTCCTCAAAGATCATTTGAACGTGTTCTGGATTACGCTCCTCCAACTTCCTCTGCAGATACCTGCAGCCATGTTGGTCCTTACAGAGGCCATACAACTCGCCCCGATAATGCTCAAGCGGGAAGTTTGTGAAGCGAGAGAGCTGGGCTGTATCGGTCTCGCCGTTTCTGCGTGACGTAGCAGCCTTGGCGGGACCTTCAGCTAGGCGATAGTTGCCATAGGGCGCGTATCCAGTAAAGGGAGCAGTAGCATTGTAGTTCTGCAGCTGTCCGCTTACCTGCACCGGAGCCCCCATGTACGCCTGGATACCATACCCATAGAAGGGAGCTTGGAACGGAGTTAGGGTAGTCGGAGTAACCGTGCTACTGCTGCTACTGGCAGCTCCGGTGGTAAGCTGTGGACCGAAAGGTGTGGCACTGGCTTGCAGCATGGTCTGCTGAGACCGAGGCCCCTGCAACGTGGCCTCATCACGCTCAGGTGAATCCTTCTGCGGGCGGTTATTAGTAGCATTCATAGCAGGAATCCGACCCAGGTTGGCATTGTGCTGTTGGAACTGCTCAGCATGGGTCTTAGGGGGCGTGATTGCAGGATTGAAGGTTTCGCCTTTCACAGTGGGCAAGTCGTTGGTTGAATACGATGACTGCAAGGACGCAGGCCTGCTGGAAGCAGTAGCAGTTACGTTTTCATTTGCGCCCTCTGCGCTGTAAAGTAGATTCGCCTCGAGGGAATGTCTCGCAGCATGGCGAGAGGGGTTTGAGGTATGAGAGTTGCTCTCGTCCGTTGGACTGCCAAGCTGCTCAAGGCGGAACATGTTCAAAGCGTTTTGCGGCATACTCTGATGGGAGGTGCGGTGACGACTATGAGTGTTCCAGGTCTCAGGATTGGGAGTGCGCGAGTTAGCTAGATCTAAGGCATCCGAATTCGCAGAGAGCTTGTCTTCCGGTCAGCATGATGTGATCCTCGTCTATGAAAATCAACTTACCAGGCCCGTCCCGTCCCCTCGAGACAGCGTAGGAAACTTGTCGTCCGGGTCGGTCAACTTGAGGTAGCTCTTGATATCCGGGGTGGGAATTCTGTCCTCATCCTTTACAGTCGCCCGGTCGTCTTCATTATGGAAGAGATATCTGGAGGCATTGAATGTCTCCAGACCCGACGAGCTGTTGAAGCCTGACAGGTTTGGACGGATCTGCGATCCTAGGCCTGTCGACGGCATTGAATATCGATGGATGCTGAAAGATGTTATGAGTAAGAGTGATAGAATCTGAGAGATGATGTAGAAAAGACCTAGAGGAGGGATCTTGTGCTGAATAGGGGGGATAGTGAAATAGCATGCGAAGGATTGGGGGGGGGAGGGGGGGGGGGGGGAAGCAAGCGTCCTTGTACTAGGAGGCGGGGGCATGTATCCTTTATATCAGGATCCCCCGACAGCGCTGTCGTTATAACAGGGCACTGAAGTAGAACACATAGAGTTCCGGGAAAGGAAAGTGAAAGGGAGATCTAAAGAACAATAAGACAATAGACAACTTACGATGGGCCTGGACGAAAAGGGGAAGTGGGTTCTTCATTGAAGTCCTCTTTTTCTGAGTTCCTGCGAGACCCCGGAACAGAGTGAACGGAGAAACGATTGGTTGGAGTCTGAGCGGAGCTGTGATTCACCTGGCTCGGCGGAGTGGTCACCTGAGTCGGAGCAAAGACGTTGAAGAAACCAGGAGAAGAAGTAACACTAGACGTTGAGAATCGTGTAGGACGGGTAAACGCAGGAAAAGCGTTCTCGCGATACTCTGGCGGGGTGGTAGGCTCGCTAACTGGACCAGACAAGCCAGCTTTGGCTAAGTCTAGAGCGATCTGATCCATTTCTTGCCTTTCCTTCTCGTGTTGCAAGTCCAAAAGCTTCATATCCTCCTCAAATCTCCTCCTCTGCTCCCGCATGGATTCAATATGTTGACGCTTCCTCTCAAACTGGGGTGAAGTTAGAATCAGGGACAATCGAAGGCAATAAGCAAGTGAATAGGGGATTGAGCGCTCAACAACACAGAAATGGTTGCTGATAAATCACCATCAGGTGAATAGTCTCTAGTGAATGCCGAGACCAAAGTGACATGGAAATGAGCAAAGGATGAATGCTGATGGCGAGCCTAATGGCAAAGACTACAACGCAAGCGCGGTCGAAAATCCAAGCTCGACTGGGTATGCAAAACAAGAACTTATCAAGGCGCTAGGCTTACCGATGACAGAAGATCGAGGGGATCGGGACCCGGAAGCTGAGAGCTGCCTCCGGCATGATTCACATAGCTCCAGGATGAGAGTTTGCTGGAGTCAGTTGTGAACCGACGCTGGAGATTCCCACGGACTTCGCCCGAGGGTCGCGAAAACGCCGAGACGAAATTCGTGTGGCCTGGAGAAAGCGAATTATAACCAGGAAAAGGGGATTCCGAAGGAGGCGACCTTGGGGAAGGGAATCGCAGCTCGTCGAGGCGTTCACTAAGTCCGTTTTTGAATGCCATGGCGGGCAGATTGTTTGGGACGGAGAGCACTGGACTGATAGCATCAAGGGGCCAAAACGCGTCAGAAATCAGCTTATATCATGATGGGATGGACGGTGCCGGGCTTAAATTGGGGGACGGGAAGATCGTAATCCTTGGGGAGCAATTGCAAGCAGAGCGAAGGGCTGTGGTTAGAGCACAGGAACCAAGGAGTTGGGAAGAATGAGTTGGTTGGCGGTGTGCTCCTCCAGATAACGGGCCATGTACGGAGTAAGGAGTTGAGAGGGGCTGAGGGGTGATTTGGCGGAGAAGATCGCGGAAAAGAATAGCGACTTACACGCAATGAACGCCTCGAGAGTTTAAATCTCAGGAACGGAAAGAGACTTTGCTGGCCACAGTTTGTGTGTGCACGCAAGTAAGGACCGGTCGATGGGGAGTTGGGAGCCGTTCTCCCGCCTAGGGATGCGTTCCTGGCGATGCGGAGATGAAGATGGTGGTAAATCACAGGCACTGGTCGTCGGTATTGCTTGAACCCTACGCCCTCTCGATGCCGAGAGCAGCGTGGACAAGCAGATAAGAATAACGAGCGAGGTAGCTCAAGGAGAACAGCGGCAGTAATAACAATGGCGAAGGAAAAATAATTGTTGTACAGAAAGCCTGGAGTTTAAGGGGAAGAGAGAGAAGAAGGGGAGGGGGGGGGCCGACAAGAAGAGTGGGAAGCGAGAGGGGAAGAAAGACGAGGCGTGGGCGGCGGCTGGGAAAGCAAGCGGGGAGCCTGTTGTTTAGTTGCTAAACTCGACTCGTTTTGGAGGCGGGCGTGTAAAGCTGGTGAGGGAATGGGCGCGATGTTCCCTCCCGACGACGACTTGCCTAGGGACCGAGCTCCCTGACCATTTCCATTTATCTACCCTGTCCATCAATTTATTAAGCGCATGGGTGAGATCGACCCTTGGTTTAATCGGTGGTCATGGCACGATGGCTCTTTTACTATGCTTTTGAGTAGTTATTCCTATTGTCCGATTCTGATTTGTTCTGCCGCGTAGATTGCATCATCTCCCTCTCGACTGTAGTACACCCCCGGCTTCTACATCTATTCGAGCTCCAAAGAGCTGAAGATCTTCAAAGGTCAAAGAAACAACCTACAAGCTCCGTACGTACCGAGTACGTCGGGTCCGCTAGGTGTGCGTGATGAAATACGAAGCAGGTAAGAAAAAAAAAGAAATCAAAGAACCCATTCATCGCCCGTTACGATTGTTATTAATCAATCCAACCCCTCCCGAAGCTGGTGAGCTGTCTTTCCGATGACAACCAACTCTCTGGTCGATCATTTGCTTTTCGGACGGATCAAGAATGAATCGCGACTTCGTGCCCCGTGATTGGAGCTTGGATCACTGACTTAAATGCTACTGCACGACTTGTTGCGCTGGGACCAGTGACAGCCCCTGGACAAGTAGGTACTTATCCTTCCGGGAATTGGGTTTGCAGCACCTCAAAGAAGATGGATTCTTTGTCCGACGCTCTTCTTCGGGACCCAGGCTCTTGCCCGTCGTGCCCTCGAGGACCGGAGGAGGGTTTCTCCACGATCGCATCATCGCAGACTTTCATCAGACATCAACGTTTAAAGTGATTTATCGATATCCTCCCTACTGGACCACGGTGCAAGGGGGGTCCCTGCTGGGTGTGCTGGTCGAGAGCGTGGCCTCTGCGAGTGTTTCTGCATCGAGTGGGGACACCGAGTTGATTAGGAGGAACGATGTGACGGCGGATCACGCCCTAGCCACCGCACGTACCTGGGCCAGAGCATACCCTAAGACGAAGTTGGGCTCACAGACTATCTACTTACCCTCTCTGCTTCAAGTATCCGGACTCACGGGCGAGTAAGATTTCCGGGGCTAATAGCGGCTGCGGTGCAAGTCATAGTCCCAAGACTATTATTGTTACACCTTAATACCTGCTATTTTCTTCACGTATACTTTTTCTTCCCAATTAATACATGCCCCTATCTGGAAGAATCCTCCTTGGGCGATTAGATAGATGCCTTGTCCTTTAGGTCTTACTGAAGCGTGGATCTGCGACATTGATGATCGAAGGCTAACCGATTGTCCATTAGGATTACGGAGGCTCGCCGCCTCCCCCGAGTCCAACTGTCCAAGAGGAGTGCGGAGTACCGAGTACCATAACATCGATATTACGGATTGCCACGCCTTTCCCCCAATCGTACGTAACGGGCGCCGCTTGGTATCTAGGTAGTCTAGAATCATCCTTGTTCCCCCAAAGATAGCTACGATTCTCGGCTGGTCACGTTCATGGTGGGCAATTGGTTTGAACCGGGGTTCATCGCCGGATAATCCAACAATGGATCCCAAGCTTCGAGGGTGCGGTCAGCCAGATTATTCCATGGGTCAATCATTCCAGCGTATTCTACTCCGTACACCGGGTGATCTCGACCGATTCACAGTGGTGTGTGTCAGCGTATTAAAACCGGCAAATCGCAGTAGTAGCTTTGATACCCATAGATGATGAGGGACGTGACCGTCTCATCGCACAGACGGCAGCCAATCGATCCCCGCGCGTGAATCCCTCCATATCAAGCTGGACGGACCTGGGACGAATAACAGCTGCTGATTGGTGCGGCAGAGGAGAAGCGGTGTACGACCATCCAGGGAACACCAGGCGATGCTGATCCATCGCTTTCGATAGGTACCTGTCCCCTTAAGCGGGCGTTTTCGGTCGGTTGCCGTCATCTCTTCACGACTCTCGGGGGCCTGAACCACTGGGCTGCCAAACATCACCCTCACGCTGGGTACAGTCCAGCCTTAGGGCCATCTGTGGGGTATTCGACATGCTTCGCGAACCGCCGTACAAAGCACAAGACAGGTCTCAGATGGGTCCGTTACGGCATAAGAACCAGGCAAGCTACCAGCGGTGGGGTAACCATTATTGGAGTGTTGAAAGTAGATTCGATCATCGATGACTTTGCCCTGCCGAGATTCGTTCGAAATGATGGAGGTAACGGCCCCTACTTGCTACGATGATCCTCCTTCAATTGTTTAGGTACCGACCTAGTTGCTTGTTGGGTACTTACCATGAGTCATCTTGCGAGACAACTTCGGAGGCTAAATTCTAAAGTTACCACAACAGGACTAATTTCGGACTGTAAATACACCTTAATGAACCATTATGTAGTTAATAGCTGCAATAACTCTTGCAACGAAACTACCTGTCCTGGCGCATGAGAGATCAAGGCTCCCCTAGATGGCAATCTGGCTGAAGCAAACGATGAGATCCTTTTAACTAGTTAGCCTTGAATTGATGACCAATTAAGTCCCCGCGCTAGTTGGCTGACGGTCATGTTGAATGTGACTTGTTTCAGGTTCCAGTTGCCGCCACCGGGGGCAGGGATCTTGGAGTGCGGTAACTGAGGTCGACAATAGTACTCTGTATTTGGCAACAACCTGAAGCAGGGATATCGCGACCAGAGACTTTAACATAAATGTCCTCTTTCTGGTTGTGTACCATGCAATGCGCATTTTCCCTCCTCAAGAGTCAAGACGAAAAGAGTCTACGTTTTCCCTATGAGGTCATAATCAGATTCGTTTACCGAATGAGAAATAACGTAAGTAATTTTACCCCCCACCAAGGGTTGCCTCACCCCGATACACTGCACAAAGTACTGTACCTACAGAATGCCTACCAACCAATGCAAAGGTCATGGTCCCTATGCCCGATCGCTGCAGGATTCGATCCGACTGTTATGAAACAGTAATCGGGCGCATCTTCTTGGAATGACTGCACCGAGGACCGACGTCTATTAAAATGTCCTTGCGCGTGACTCTTTCTCCCTGCTCCATACTCAAGACCACTGGCAAGGTTCAATGTTATCTGGCCCTTGATCTCCCAACAGCGATAAGCCCCGACGCGATCTAGAGGCGCACGTGATAGTATGAATGGTTCGATTTACTTATAGTGGATCACTCGATCAATCTTTCGAGGCGTTTCGCCGCTCCCCGCCAGGACTTTGCCCATGTTGCCGCCCGCTATTCGTTGTGCCTGACGATTCGTCGAATGGAAATCTCTCCGATGGGGAGGTTTGACTGCCAAGTGGCAACGCCTTCTAAAATTGCGGTCAGAGGAAGCCCACCGCCTCGAATAGACTGGCTTTCAGAGTCGTCTCCCCACATGCTGAACCGATCGGTCGTTGATGCTACCCATCCTCGATGAAGGGCAGTTCTAACTGCCCAGTATATGCGCAAAACGCGCCTAAGGCCAGTAGCAACTGGTTTCCGCACACCTACTCCAGAAACATGGTGCCAAAGATCCTGGCCCCAAAGAATGGGCAAAAGAGACTTATCTCTCTATGGAATGAACAGATTGTTGCCCAACCCCGCAAGCTACGGAGGTTAGCCGGCGTTGCAGCCAAGCGTGCATAGCCTGCTTCTGGAAAAGGAGAGAGTGGTGCACAATGGGGATGCCGAAAGTTAGTGGCCGACTGCTCGCCAGTTTCATCCCTATGGTCGTCGTGAATATCCAATATCTTCTCCAGATCATAGCATCATTTTCGGCAGCGGAAGTATGTGCTAGCTGCTGCTTGTATGCCCGTCGTTTTGGGCGGCATTCCTGGCACCTAACTGATAGTAAGGTCTACCTCCAGCGCTTCCACTACTGCAGCCATCTGCCACAGTTGCTGGTCTGTCACCGTACAGCAGAGGAAGCTAGAATTTAATGACATCCATTCTAGTATTCTAGTGCACCATGCCAATGCAATCCTTCGCGGGACCTCCGGATCTTACGCGGTGTCTTCGATGGTGCTCTGTCGAGTCCAGTCCAGGGACGTCACGTATTCCCCTAATGTGTATCGACAGTTTGGGGACGGCATCTTCCTTGCAGACACTGTGAGTGAGTTGTACAAGGGCACAGACGTGTTGACACTGCCAGCCTGTTGCGTGCACTGGCTTCCTCAATTATCTGTAAAGGCGATACCCTTACTGAATGTAGTCGGTACAATTTTTCGTGGTTTCATTCTTGATAGACTAACTAGGCTTTCCGCCTTATGCAAAGGCCAGCAATGGTCAGGAGACATCAACGATCATCTGTGGGAGTGAATCCACACATATCCTCGCATGTACTCCTCAATTGAGTCGAGCAGACCTACATCTGTTAGGCACCACTGATGTAGAGTGCTAGGCTATCGCACATGCATCGCTGTCTGGGACTATTATCAACATCACCCTGATGCATCACGGCTAGTGCATGGCTCTTCTATTATGCGGCTCAATATGTTCCGGTATAGACCCGTCCCTGCCAATCAACACCACGAATTGGAGCTCTAGATGGGCTTTGGGTCTTGACCTCCAGCCCCCCGTGCAATAACTTTCGAAACTCGCCTGAAAGGCCAACCATGAGCTCGTATGACCATCTGCACCACTTATCATGTGTGCATGCCAGGGGAACCCAATGCCTACTATCTCGGTTGTCATACGATATGGGCAGTAAACCGATTACTTCGTACCATTCTCTGACAATACCGTCCCTCCGCCTTGCCTATTTACACGTTCTGATGTTGCGGCTAGATTTAAAACGGCCCACCTAAAAGCGACATTGATCTCCTCACTTGGGAAATGTGAGGACATCTTTCATAGTCAACTTTTAAACTTCTGCGTCCTCATGGATGGCCCAGTGTGGCAAGATCCCGCCAGCATCCAACCTGATATGCGCGGCGTGGTATGTAGCTGCGAACTCCAGCTGAGAGCGAGTTAGCAGACGCACGTGAGCTTTCTCCGAAGACCTTGTGTTCTCATCTGGCAGCGTGGCCTGCATCCATCTAATCGTTCTATAGGCTCGGGCTAATATATCATAACTCACAAGGCGTCTGACCACTGAAATCGAAATCGAAGGGAAATAAATGCATGGCGGGTCCGAACCTACCTTTTCATCGTACATATTCGAAGAAAGCATAGGGCGGGACAATCTTGCTACGATACTTCAACGAATCTCCTGCCCAAGCGCAGAGTATTCTATGCAAGGAGCCTGAAAGTCACCCGGTCTGAGGCCGCTAAGTACTCGTAATTAGATCAAATATTGTAAGTGGAGAGAATATACCCCTACTGCCTGAGCATAGTCCACTTCCGGTACAGGTCATATCTCCGTTGGTGTAGACCTAGTGTCTACAACATCCAGCTAATGGTGAACATGATAAATCAGTAGGGCGTTTTAGCTACTGGGGCAGCCAATCTCGTGCTGAACGGTTACTGAACCGGTAGTACAAAGATGTCATGTTGACAGACAGTATCAGAAGCATTATGGCGCTGTGTAGCATCGGAAAGCATCTGTTGCACGAAATTACGCCAATCAGCAAGCCATCCCTTTTGCTGACTGGTTACACATTACCCCAAAGCCTCGACATGGCATATCATGCAGGCGTGATGGGTTCAAAAGGGCGTCACATTGTAAGGCCGAATTGTAATTACCTGAGGCATCCATCGCCAAATACATAGATGGAAGCCGCTTTGACCAGTAGGGACTCGCCTTAAAAACGCGAAAAAGAAAACTACGATGCTCGAGCCTCTACTGAAGTTTCTAAGGACGTGGTGTCTTCGTATTGTACAGTTGAAATGATGTTCTTTGCAAGAAACACTTTCAGTAGACGTTAGGGTGGGATATTCCCTATTGGCTTGCTTTCAGTCCGCCTCGTTTAAGCCCATGATATCGATGTTACTCTTTGAGGACTAGAGTCTTTGTACTGCAAGCGGGTGATATAGAAATGCATCAAAACACGTCCCTATGTGTACCAAGGGATGACTCTAACACGAGGGCGTGGATGCTGCAGTCTACTTGGACACCTATCATCAGTCTCGATGATGACCATGGATGTCACCTCTTGCTAAAAATTTGTTCCTTAATATGGCCGCCTGAACGTTCAGGACTTATTGAGCTCCTTTATCATACTCGTGTCAGCGCTTACTCTCATTGCACTAATCTTCGTCTGGTAGCTAGCTCCTGAACTGAATACCAGTCACAGCCGGCTTTGTGAATGGCTATATGATCATTCAGGAATCCTGTGATTTGACACTGAAATTAGGTCAAAGATTTATAGTCATCCAACTAGAGGCAAATTGATCTATCTGTGTCTACTGCATGCGGTCATCACAGTAGTTGCCTTATCTATCATTTTATCCATGTGCTTACAGCATCATTCGCTCATAAATGATGATAGCAACTTACACAGGTAGATGGAACACAGTCCCGACTACTCGCTAATGTGGGGTAAGAGGACCTTGATGGGCTATGGTGTCTCAACCCCAGTGGCTAATTCCTCGAGTCTTCCTGCTGTAGTATGCCTCTGACTCACTTGAATAGATAAATTGGCTCAACCAGCTCAACTGCTCGATTTTAGGCCTCGAGAGAATGGGGAGAGAGCGTTGACAGCACAGATGCCGAGTTGGACCCCGGAGTCGCTTAATCCCGTGGGTGAGATTGGAGTCCATGGTGGGGCACCGTGGGTCTGGACTGGAAGAGGTTCATTTGTCTATCAGTGAAGCCAGCCAGGTCAAGGCTCAAGCGGTCAATTGCAATCCGTATTTGACTAGTCTTTTCTTTCTCCCCTCGGCCTGCCTCCCCATCACCTCTGCCCCTTTGTCAACTTCCTAAATAATCCTAAATCATCAGGTAACTGTGCATTTTGGCCGGTATATCCTCCCATATAACACTCTACGTTGTAAATAGCAACAATCGGACACAATGGTGCGATTACACAAACCCCCACGATACGTTCTCGCCAGTATATTATGCTCGTGCGGGGGGCTGCTATTTGGGTAAGAGCCTGGCTGTCACCCAGTCACCTTGTCTTGTACAACATTGACGGCAGTTTATAGGATGGACACTGGTATCATTGGTCCCGTAACAGTCATGGATAGCTTCGTTTCACGGTTCGGTAGCGAATCTTCCGCCATCCACGGGTTGATCGTATCCTCTATCTTGATCCCGGCCGCAGTTTCTTCGTTCTTTGCGGGGTACTTGGCGGACAAACTAGGCAGACCCAAGGGTATCAGCATCGGTGTCCTCATCTTTGGGATTGGAGCAGCTCTGGAGGCGGCAGCTGTCCACATTGCAATGTTCGTCATCGGACGTTGCATTGAGGGTATAGGCGAAGGCTTATATCTGGGCACGCTTGTAGTGTATGTGGCAAATCTGCCAATAGGGGTGCTTCGTGTCTCGATTTCTGACACAAAAGCAGCTACATCTGCGAGATATCTCCTCCACGGGTTAGGGGCGCCTTGACGACCGGTCCCCAGTTGCTGATCACCATGGGATTGACGATCGGATTCTTTACCTGCTACGGTACTTCTCGCCTGGATTCCTCTTTCTCATGGCGCACGCCGTTCATAATTTTGGCTTGTCTCGCATTCACCTTCTCTGCGGCTTCCTTCCTGTGGTTGACTCCCTCGCCAAGATGGTTGACACTTCACGGCCGCAAATCGGAAGCTACTGCAGTTTGGGATTACCTCGGTGTTAGCCAGGCGGAACGTGAGAAGGTTGAAATCGAACAGGACAGCGCCCAGATTATTGCGACCATCCCAAGCAGGGAACGTGCTCCATCCGTTTCACAAAGTCAGGACAGATCAATGAAGCACAAGCTGTTCGACCTATTTTCCAAAGATGTACGGACACGCACTGCCTTGGCTGTATTCCTCATGGGGATGCAGCAGCTCAGTGGAATTGATGGTGTGCTCTATGTAGGTTTTCCTGCCATGACTGTTGATCATATCTTACTGAGATTATCATAGTATGCCCCTTTGCTCTTCGAGCAAGCAGGACTAGCCTCTTCAGACGCAAGTTTCTTCGCCTCTGGCATCTCTGCAATCGTTATTTTCACCGTAACCATCCCCGCGCTCATCTGGGCGGACAAGTGGGGCCGGCGACACAGCATCATCTATGGCGGCATCGGGCTCAGCGTCACAATGTTCTTGATTGGAGGACTTTATGCAGGAAATGCCGTACATAGCTCGACTGGCGCAGGCCGGTGGGTGGTTATTGTCTGCATCTATATCTTTGCAGTCATTTACTCTCTCAGTTGGGCAGTCGGCATCAAGATCTATGCAGCAGAGATCCAACCGCAGAGGACTCGCGCATCGGCAACCAGTTTGGCACATGGCAGCAATTGGGCCACCAATTTCCTGGTGGCACTGACAACACCAATTCTGCTGTCGAAAAGCAGCTTCGGGGCATACTTCCTCTTTGGTGGGTGTGCTCTGATCACAGCTTGTATCTGCGCATTCTTCATGCCCGAAACTAAGGGACGGTCACTGGACGAGATCGAGGAGGCATTCAAGTCCAAGTCATTAGGGTCAAAGACCTTATTGAAGGCTTTGTGTCCCATTACAAGGTCAGCTTCGTGAGGCGGAAGTGAAGAGGAAGTAGAAAGATTCCTTCAGAATATGATGTTCCATGAACATGTCAGACTCCGGACAGGAATAGTTACTTTGCAGCCATGGCTGATAAGATAAGACCCATCTTCCAACCATATCCGGTTAGAAGAAGCATTTGTAAGCTAGAGAGCAATCTAACTGTTCTAGGATAGCTCTTTATTACCTAAGCGCTATTCTGCCGAATTGGAATTTAGCCCGGATATTTCCCCTCGCTGATAAAGAAGAAATTGTGCCGTCACCCCAGGATGCCGTGAAATTGCCCTACACGTTGACATCGGCACACGGCAGTATCTAATTCCTCTTGGTGGAGACCATCCTCGTCTGAATCGCGATGCCGCCTCGTAGGAGAGCGCCGATCTCTGCGGCCAACTTGCGATCTGCGCAACCTTCAGAGGCAAGTATCATTATGTTCCGCATCGTCCTCGGCGGACCGCTATGCTAACGGCTCTCGATAACTTAGGCCGCAGCATCTTCGAAGGCAGGAGCCACGGATTCTTCTTCGAAACGCCGACGCCCCTCTCAAACCACGCAGCCTTCCAAACCCGAACAGCCGCCGCCGCCACCAAGTGCCGAGGAACAACAGCAGGAGCCGACAGAGGAGCATTCGCACTCGGCATACCGTCACCGCGATCCATTCGATGCGCTGCTGCAGCCCTTCTACTACAACAAGTCTCTCACTGATCCAATCAACACTGCGAAGGACAAATGGAACCTCCTGCCGGCGTTCCTCAAGGTCAAAGGATTGGTGAAACAGCACATTGACTCGTACAACTATCTCGTCGAAGTCCAGTTAAAGAAGATCGTTGAATCCAGCTCCACCATTCGCAGCGATGTTGACCACACCTTTTACATTAAGTTTACCAACATCTACCTTGGTTTCCCGCGCCGTGCGGATGAGCCGCAGGATGCCCGGGCGGACTTTACGTATTCGACCGTATCCCCGCAAGAGTGTCGTTTGCGTGATACGACGTACGCGGCCCCCATCCAGGTTGATTTCGAGTATGTTCGTGGTCGTCAAAGGGTCATGAGGAAGGGTGTTGCCATTGGCCGAATGCCGGTTATGCTTCGGAGTTCCAAATGTGTGTTGGCCAACAAGACGCCGGCGGAGATGACCGTGTTGAACGAGTGTCCTTTGGATCCCGGTGGTTACTTCATTGTGAACGGAACGGAAAAGGTCATTCTTGTTCAGGAACAGTTGAGCAAGAACAGAATTATCGTGGAAACAGACCCTAAGAAGGAGATCGTGCAGGCGTCCGTTACCAGGTGAGAAGTCATGCGATTCCGGTTGGAGGACTATTATTCTGATATTTGCGTACAGTTCCTCCAACGAGCGAAAGTCGAAGAGTTATATCGTCCTGAAGAAGGATAAGCTCTACGTGAAACACAACGTGCTTAGCGAGGATATTCCCATTGTCATCCTCCTCAAGGCGATGGGCATTCACACAGACAAGGAGATGCTGCTACTCGTCGCGGGTGTCGACAAGGTCTACCAGGAGGATTTCGCGATCAACTTCGAAGAAGCGATCAATTTGGGCATCTACACGCAGCAACAGGCCCTGGATTGGATCGGTTCACGAATTAAAATCAACCGCAAGCAGTCGCCGACCTACCGCCGTACCCATGTCCAGGAAGCTGTCGAGGCCATCGCTTCAGTCATCATTTCTCACATCGAAGTGAAGAACATGAACTTCCGGCCCAAGGCTGTCTACGTTGCGCACATGGCGCGTCGTGTCCTCATGGCCAAGAATGATGCCACCCTGGTTGATGACCGCGATTACCTCGGAAACAAGCGTCTGGAATTGGCCGGCCAACTGCTGGCTTTGCTTTTTGAGGATCTGTTCAAGAAATTCTGCTTCGATATCAAGATGAACATTGACAAGGTCCTGAACAAGCGCAACCGTGCGGAGGCTTTCGATGCATACAGTGTCATCACCATGCACAGCAACCACATCACACAGGGTATGAACCGTGCTATCTCGACAGGAAATTGGAGTCTGAAGCGTTTCCGCATGGAACGTGCTGGTGTGACACACGTGCTTAGTCGCCTGAGTTATATTGCGGCGCTGGGTATGATGACGCGTATTAGCAGTCAGTTTGAGAAGACGAGAAAAGTCAGTGGTCCTCGTGCATTGCAGCCATCACAGTTTGGTATGCTTTGTCCAGCAGATACTCCGGAAGGTGAGGCCTGTGGTCTCGTCAAGAACTTGGCACTGATGACCCACATCACCACCAACGACGAAGAGGGCCCCATCAGAAACTTGATCTTCATGCTGGGCGCCGAAGACATCCAGACCGTCGGCGGAAAGGAGCTCTATGGACCCGGATGTTACACCATCTCGATCAACGGTACCCCAACCGCGCTCACTCGTCGGCCGAAATATTTCCTTGACGCGTTCCGCCGATTGCGTCGGATGGGTCGGATTTCCGAGTTTGTCAGCATTTACATCAATCATCACCAACGCGCTGTCCACATTGCAACCGACGATGGCCGTATTTGTAGACCTCTTATCGTGGTCGAGAACGGCAAGTCTCGTGTCAATACTCAGCACCTCGAGAAGTTGCGGGATGGCACGATGGAGTTCGATGACTTCCTTGCCCAAGGGTTGGTCGAGTACCTGGACGTCAACGAAGAAAACGACTCGTTGATTGCGATCTACGAGAAAGATATCACCGATACGACAACTCACCTGGAGATCGAGCCGTTCACGGTTCTCGGTGCCGTCGCCGGTCTGATTCCTTACCCTCACCACAACCAGTCGCCCCGTAACACTTACCAGTGTGCCATGGGTAAACAAGCTATTGGCGCGATTGCCTCCAACCAGTTCCTACGTATCGATTCGATTCTGTATCTCATGGTGTACCCTCAGAAGCCCATGGTCAAGTCCCGCACGATCGAGCTGGTCAAGTATGATCAGCTTCCTGCCGGACAGAACGCCATTGTTGCCGTCATGAGCTACTCCGGGTACGATATTGAGGATGCCCTGGTGTTGAACAAAGGATCGGTCGACCGTGGCTTCGGACGGTGCCAGGTATTCCGCAAGTACGTCACCAACCTCAAGAGTTACTCCAACGGCACCAAGGACCGGTTGAGCGGACCGCAGTACGAGAACGATGCGCCGATCCGGAAGCATGCTCTCCTGGAGAGCGATGGTCTCGCTGCAGTTGGTGAGCAGGTCAATGCCGGCGAAGTCTACATCAACAAGTCTACCCCTGACCAGTCGATGGCCTCTGGTTTCCCGAGCTCCGACGCTGGTCGGCCGGTGTCGTACATGCCGACGCCCATGACCTATAAGCTCCCCGACCCTGCCTACATCGACAAGGTCATGGTCTCCGTGACCGAGAATGAGAACCAGCTTGTCAAGGTTCTCACTCGTCAAACGCGCCGTCCCGAAGTGGGCGACAAATTCTCGTCGCGTCACGGACAGAAGGGTGTCGTCGGAATTATCGCCGACCAGATGGACATGCCTTTTACCGACATGGGAATCAACCCCGACATCATCATGAACCCCCACGGTTTCCCGTCTCGAATGACCGTCGGAAAGATGCTGGAGCTTGTCGCCGGTAAGGCCGGTGTGTTGGCCGGCCAGCACGGCTATGGAACCTGTTTCGGCGGCAGTCCCGTCCAGGAAATGTCCCAGATCCTCATCGACAACGGCTTCAGCTACGGTGGCAAAGACTACCTCACGTCCGGCATCACGGGTGAAGCCCTGCCCTTCTACGTCTTCACCGGCCCCATCTACTACCAGAAACTGAAGCACATGGTCCAGGATAAGATGCACTCGCGTGCGCGCGGTCCCCGCGCCATCCTCACCCGTCAGCCGACCGAAGGTCGTTCGCGTGACGGTGGTCTCCGTCTGGGAGAGATGGAACGTGATTGTCTGATTGCCTACGGTACCAGTCAGCTGCTCCTGGAGCGACTGATGATCTCCTCGGATCGACACGAGATCGACGTCTGCGAGCAGTGCGGTTTCATGGGCTACCTGAACTGGTGTCAGCGCTGCAAGTCGTCCCGGAGTGTCGTCAAGATGGCGATCCCGTATGCGGCGAAGCTTCTCATCCAGGAGTTGATGAGTATGAACGTGACGGCGCGCCTGAAGCTTGATGACGAGTTTCCTGAACTGAAGGGCCGGTGATCATCTGTCGGTGTATGGGCGAAGAGCAATGAATATGTGAAATGGCAACAAATCCTTACAGGTCGGATGAGAGAAAAGTTGGGCGTTCCCAGGGTCTTGTTTGATGTACATATCGGTTTGCATGCATAGCGCTCGGCGATCCGGTCGACTTTTGCTATACTATCTTCTTTATCAACTCTATCAACCTGTATCAGATTGGTCTACTTGTCGTTGCCCGAGAAGCCCGATTTTTCAATCCTGCTCCTACGCCAGGTGATGCATTGAGCCTGACTGGCTGAGGATTGGCACTAGTCACATAGGTCGGTAGCTCATCTGAACGGAATGTAGCAGCGGTTGTTCCTATCCAGTAGCGAACAGGATCAAAATTCGGGATGATACTAAGTAACCAGTTCTTCTATATCTTCTGGGAATGTGGGCCTCCCATCTGATATCAACGTAAGCAACTCCAATACTTGTTTGATGACTGATTGGCTTATGCTTTAACTGAAGTACTAGATCTATCTTTTTCCCGAGTAAAAGTACACAACATATTCCTAACTAAGAAAGCACCGACACCTCCTACCCTTCCCCCACAGATCCCACGAATCCTCTACCACCCCGCCATACCACTCCCATCACCATCACCATCCCACCTCACTCAGTCACACCCCTCCCCTCCACCACCTCCCTCACCACACGCCAATACCTCTCCTCATCGCCCCTCATATGCGCGACATGCTTCGAGCCCACAAACCTCTCCCTCCGCACGACCTCCAGCCCCAACTCCCCCTTCAACCCCTCCGCCTCCCGCGCATGCTCCTCCACATCCCTCCAATCCACCAACCCATCTTCCTTCGAATACACATAACATCTCCTCCCCAACCTCCCATCCTTACCACTAATACCACCCACTAAACCCCCCTCATTAACCCTCCTCCTCCCCAACCTCACCGCATCCTCCACCCCCAACACCCAAAACCCCCCAAACATAACCCCCAACAACACCCCCAGCACGACCTGCCCGAGCACCCGAAGGAGGAAATTCGCCGGCAGGATGAAGGAAAATGCCCGGAAGGCTCCCGCGAGGGTAGGCTTGCCGGGGGCACTGTCGATGATCATGGAGGAGATGGGGAGGGGGTGGCCGGTGGTGTGTTTGTAGGCGGAGAGGAGGGTGGTGGTGGTGAAGATGCCGCCGTTGGAGAAGAGGTGGATGTGGATGGTGGTGGTGTTTTCTTTGTTCTCGGCTTGGGGTTGGGGCTGGGATTGGGGTTGGATGAGGAGGTAGTCGACGGCAGGTTGGAGGAGACGTTGTTGGGTGGTGGGGGACGGGGGGAAGAGGAAGTCGCGGGTCGTGCTGTGCAGGGTGAGGATGCGGGCGCTGGGATAGAGGGTTTGGTAGCGTTGGATGTATTTGGTCAGGGCGCGCGGGGGCGCGTTCATCCAGAAGGCGAGGAGGATGGTGTGGGGGGTTGGTGTGGTGGTGGTTGTGGGTGGTGTGGTGGTGGTGAGGGGGGCGTAGGTGTAGATTGTTGGGGAGAGTTTGGTGAGTTTGGAAACGGTGGTGGTCTCTTGGTTGGTGGTGGTGGTGGTGGTTGGGGATGACATGGTGATGGTGGTGTGGACTAGACCAGTGCAGTAGTAGAAGTAGAAGTAGGAGAAGTAGAAGTTGTGTTGTTTTGCGGATGAACAGATGCAGATGGATAGAGTGGGATTGGAGGTGGAAGACCAGGTATTTATGTGTTCGTGGCTGGCATAAGCCTCAAGGTAAGCTCAAGTCATTGCATGGAGCGCTAACATTCATTATCTACTGGGACGGAACGGTTCCTGGGGTGTATCTCCAAGCCCGTCCACATCGCCGTGGAGCCTCTAGTGCCGCTAGTGCTACGACCGTTTCCCGGCCACCAGGATCGGCTAGGACATGGCTCAGACGGGAGGACCTATCATGTCGGGTTGGCATTGGATATGGATCAAGCCAGATGATTGAATCAGCCTCGTTAACGCCTGTCCCCGCTATGCTCTAAATTCCCCATCCTGCGGTGTCATGTTGCTTCTATAACCCATCTGAAGACATATTAAACCGTATGGGCCGCTGTCAGATAGGCCCTTGAGCTGCGAGTCCCTCGCGTGGCTTGCGCTCTCATTCGCTAGTCAGCGTCCTTTCAGCCTTCGCCATCATCGGCTTAGGTAGGGGTCGCGGAGCCACTGGTGTCTTTCTTCTTGCCTCGAAGCGTCTGACCCGCCCCTTGGAAGCGAGGCTTGTCGCCCTCCACGACTTGTCCACTCTCATCGCGCTTTTTCACCGGCTTGATTGCATATCCAAAGAACAGTTGGTTGGCCGGCAGTCGCAGAGGCTGGGGTCCGTTCGCCTTTCGCACGGGAGGGGGATGCTGAGGGTTCGTAGTTCCCGGGGTCGGAGTAGATGCCTTCGGAGTAGGTGTTTTGCTTCCTTTCTTAGCGTTCAGACGCTGACCGCCCGTGAGGAAGTTCGATGACACGGCCCGGGCGCCAGTGGCAGCGTCAGTTGACTCCGGAGCAATGGCAGCATAATTAATCGCCTGCGCCATGGTACCGTGGGGATGAAGGAGCCCGCCAGCTGGCAGTTTTCCACTGATCCCGCTGCGAGGCGTGCTGGTGCCACTGGGGCGTTGGGGTTCTTCGTAGCCCACCGGGGGTGCGAAGTCGACTTCCAAATCGGTTTCGAGGACGGAGATGGCATTTGTGTTGTTGGATGGTTTGGTTTCCAGCACTGCCATCTCGTAAACCTGGTCATTGTAGGCAAATGTGAAGACATCGCCCTTGGTGAGACAGGAGAAGTTCCGGAAAGCATTCTCCAAGACGGCCTTTGGGTCGCTTATGTCGAGGAACGAGGTGGATTGTGCTTGGATCTTGATGAATTGACCGGGGGGCAGGTCAGTCGACTTGACCTGCACGAGATCGCCGGGTTCCAGAAGGAGAGTCTGCATGAGCTGTGGGGAGAACAACCTGTCAGTACACTATATGACATCTTGAGTGGCAAGACCTTACCCAGAAAGGCAGATAGATCTTCCCCTCTTCCGCGATGAATTCCAACACACCGGCGTGTGTCAACCTCTCTCGCGCCCCGTTGTGAAGCTCGAACAGCATCGGATACGTAATATGGAGTCGGGTTAGCTTGTCCAGAGCGCTGGGTGGCATGATGACTTTGCCGCCGTGGTTAACGTTTTCTCGCTCGGGGCCGGGCATCATGGCGACGGGATAGCAGCGGTAGTATTCATCGAAGCGACGAGTAGCTCCATGACGAAACATAGAGCCACCCATGACTCCGTTCATGGGATCGTCGTCCCAGTAGCCAGACCGGAACTGCGATGGTCAGCATATCTCAAGCGATGTACACGGCGGAGCCTAAGCGGGGAACGCACCATGATCGACTTGGAGTGGTGGCCTCTGGACTTCGTAGATAGAACCGACAAGCTTGGTAGTCGATCGATACCGTCTGGGTCTAGATCTGAGTGAGTGATATGCAATCCGCTTGTATGGCGAGAAAGCAGGCGAGCTTGGGAGAGAGCTGAGCTGGAGGTCAGGAACGGTCGGAGCGATCAGATTGCGGCGGCAGGTAACGACAGTGACGCAAGAGCCTCCGCGTGATTTTCCGAGCCGACCCCAGACAGCTCGGATCCTCCTCCTCTCCTGCAAAGCCCAAGATCTGGCGACGTCCGATGCAGGTGACTGGAAACAGCTTGGATACTCCTCAATAGCCTGGGTTTACCGCGCAGACTCATGTCCGCTTCTCAACCGCGCCCCAAGCGGGCTGGTGAAGACTTCACCCGCACCCACCACCTCGAAGATGACGACCCCGATGGTGCTTCCTCCAAGAAGCCTCGCTTTGACCTACGGAATCCTTCCGCGCTCGCCCCCGATGCGCTGGAAGACGACGCAGTTCTAGACGCAGACGAGATCGGGCGGCGTGGGCAACAAGTCCGCCGCAAAGCCGTCAACCTTGATGGTTACGACTCGGACAGTGAAAATGAAGGGTTTTCGGCGCGCATCGAGGCCAAGTCAAAAGCGAGCAAAGAGAAGCACGACGCTGACGATGACGATATGTTTGCCGAGCTACAGGAGGATTTTGGTGCCGAAGATATCGATGCTGATGAAGCCCTGCGGGAAAACAAGAAAATGGTGCGATTCCTACGAGATGACGAGATTGAGGGACAAGTCGCTTCGTCTAAAGGTGGCGGCACTGTGCGCGCTGATCTCAGGCAAGGCGGCGACGCCGATAATGATGATGAAGAGAGTGAAAGTGATGTGGGGGATGAGGAGCGTGCAAGACTTGACGAGGGGTTGGACGAAGAGCTGGGCGCTGGGGCAAAGAAAAAGCACGCGCCGGTGCTAGACGCTTTCAATATGCGCACGGAACAGGAGGAGGGCAGGTTCGATGACCAGGGGAACTACGTAAGGAAAGCAGCAGATCCGGATGCAGTCTATGACAGCTGGCTGGAGGGCGTGTCCAAGAAAGATATTCGTCGCGCCAAGGAGGCCGCCGAAAAGCGGGAGGAAGAAAGGAAGGAGAAGGACAGGCAAAATGACAGTGTACTGACCGGGGACGCCTTGAAGATCATTATCACTCACCTAGAACGAGGTGAGACGGTCTTAGAAGCACTAGCACGGATTGGCAAGGGAGCCCCGAGGAAACCGAAATGGCAGGCGAATCGCAACAAGAATCGGAAGAAGCAAGCTGAATCGGCGGCCGAGGATACCGAAATGACCGAAGAGGATCCCAAGGCAGTAGCTCGAAAGCAAGCCATCGATGCCATCACAGGTGCGGCCGATATCCTCATGACGAGAGGGCAGGCGGAGATCTACGATACCGAGCGGGAGATGCTCACCAGGCAATATCGTCGCGAGACCGGCGAGAACTGGGTTGATCCCCCTTCAGAGGATTCAGGACCGAATGAAGCAGCTCCTGCGATGTGGGAATTCCGTTGGTCTGACGCTCGTGACGGAGGTATCATACATGGGCCATATGACAGCGCGACAATGGAGTCATGGAAGAATGCGGGCTACTTCGGCGAAGGGGTCGAGTTTCGAAGAACGACAGACCCCGGCCAGTGGGGGAGCGAAGCAACATTCACATGACGATCATCCGGAGTACAGCAGGCGGCTATACGTGTATACTAGCATCTACAAATACCACGTTGGGAAACATCAATCGCATCATTATCATTCGAGCCTAGGCTCTTTCTTCAAAGTGAGACCCAAATATCGCAGCACCCACAACAGGTGAGTTTTGAACAAGCGCCAGTATTATCATACATCAAGCAATCCATTTGGTAAACAAAAACCGAATAATGTGAAGAGAAACGGACGGTCGTTCCCGCAGGCCTCGTACTCCATTCCGCCTCTGCTGCCAGGACGATACCGTCTGATGGCAGATGCCTTTTACCGCACCAGGATCCTTCAGGAGCCCATGGGTGGATTAGACTATGACAGCTCCATCATGTCTCCGTTCGTAGGCGCAGAGAAGCTGACGGTGCCTTGATCGCCGATAAAGCGCTGTTCGTAGTCGTTGACGAAGTTAACGCTGCGTGCGGGGTCGTAGAACAATTTGTAGCTGCGCTGGACGTCGTCAATGCTGACCTCCTTCGCCTTACGCTTCTGGCTGAGCAGATGAGAGGTGGTGATGATGTTGCTGGCATAGCGAAGGTTAGACTCCTGGCCAATCTTCGTGAGCAATGCCAGAGCGTCTGGAGAAAGGTCGATTTCTTCCTCCTGAGCGCGAATCGCCAGAATCTGCCGGATCTCATCGGCAGAGTAGGGCTGTGTGCTGACAATCACCACCCGGTCGAGGAAATCCAGAGGCAGGCCGTGCGGCGAGCTGTATGTTGTGCCCCGAATCCGGGCGTGGCCGCGATTGCTAGCCATGATGACGATGGGTGCAAGCTCCGCCTCCAGAGCGCGATTGATATAAGAGAAACACTCAATGTCAAGCATGTGCACTTCATCAATGAAAAGGACGCCCGGAATAATTTCGGCCTTTCCTTCTTCCTTCCATTCCGCAACCTTGGTGTTAATCTGATCCCTCACTTCACTTCTGATTTCGCCGGTATCGCCGGAGAAGAGGGCCAGGAATCCTTGTGACCGCGAGTTGATAACGTCAATCTCGTGAAGACTCACAGTGTGTACGATTTCCTTGCGAACCTGGAGTTCACCCTCCGGGCATTGCACAAATTTGGTATCGGCTCCCATCGCATCATAGTCGCGGGACCGAGCGTAAGAGCGTCCCAACTTGGTGATCTTTCCCGAGGACTTGTCAATGGAAATAATGTCTCCAGCCATCACTCGCTCCTTGGTCATCGAATCGATCATTTTGGTTCCCATGTCGTAGATCGTCTCCATATCGGTCGTCTTGATGGTGAGCTTGCCTTGTTTGTTTCCCTAGCAGCAGAGTAAAGTCAGAAGCGTTCACCATGAGCAGCGCATCCACATGATCACTTACACCAGTAACACTCCGATCGATCTGGATCTCGACCACTTCACCCTCGATGATCTCACTCTCTTCCTTGATCCGAACGCCGATCGATTTCCGGAAGGCTTGTGTGAGCGCTTCCGTCTTCGACATCTCCATGGAGAAGATCTCCGAGGAAGCAAGCATTGTGAAAGGAACATCCGACCCGAGAGACTGCGCCATACCCATGGCGATTGCCGTTTTACCTGTGCTGGGGGGACCGGCAATCAACAAGGCGCGGCCGGCGATTTTGCCCTCCTTGACCATCTGTAAAATCACCGCGGCAGCCTTTCGCGCCTTCTCTTGGCCCACCAGCCCCTGCGAGGAAGCTCTGGGCTGGAGAGTGTCGGCATCGACCCCGAGTCCCCGAATGTGCGAATGGGCAGCGATGAGGTTCAGGCCCCGGAGCTCCTTGGTCTCCGCGACGGTAGAAATTGGCTGTCGGGGGGGGGTCAGCGGTGAAACCACGACGCATTCCATCAGGTCCAACTTACAACAGCCATCGCGACGACTTGCAAATTATGAAAGCTTGGTCAGTTCGGGCAAGCAGCAAGTAGATCAGCAGGAGCAGCCAAAATGGAATGATGGCCTGCCTGGGAGAGAGCGGATTGATTGCAGATCAAGGCGAAAGAGCTGCTGGCCGCGAAGCCGCCCGAGTGGCCGCCCGGCAGAATGGACGCTTCTCCTCTTTTCTGCCCCTGGCGCTTGGCGCGTTTTTTGGCTGCTGCGCCGTTTGTCGCTCGTTTACTCGATTCATATTCACTATCTGGAGCATAGATGAGAGTGATATACATCGCTACCCTCACTGCAATCCCCATATTCCCTGTTACCCGGTCGATGCTGCCATCGCATCGTCCGTGGCTGCATATTGCTTTGCATTCCCCCACGGGCGACAGGTCAATGGAGGCAATTTCCCTTTCGGGCCTGTCTCAATCACTTTTACCTTTCCTCCATCGTGTATTTTGTCTCACCTCGACCTTTCCTTGCCCCTCTTGACAGTTCTTCTTGAACTACTTAATTTACGTTACGCAAGGCACATGGGATGTTGTCAAATAACTGGATTTCACCGCCTAACCCACTGAAATTGTGACATCGTGAGATGGATCCAGACGCCGGTACTACGCGCGACCCCCGTCTCGCCAGTCGCTCGTCCAGACCGCCCCTGAACCGACAGTTCTCCCTCAACACCATCTCGACAGGCTCGCCGATTCGCTTCAGATCGGGCTCTCAACCGTCTGGGAACGTCTCGCCAGTTGACATCCAGAATGCCACGACCGATCAATTTATACGCGGGGTCTCCGATTTGGTACAGGCAGCCGTAATCGCCGCCAACAGTCAGTCCGAGAAGGAGAGGCTTCAGAAGCGGAGGGAGACGACAGAGAACCTTCTAAAGAAAGCCAAATCCCATGCCAGCTTCCCTTCTACCGCTGCCTTTTTCCAGCAATCGCAGAAGGAGGAAGATGTTGATCTCACCCGGGTGGACGATGCCCTCAAAAAACATGCCGCCCACTACAAGCAGCTGGAGAATGCTCTACGAGCCAAATTCAGTTCCATCATCTCTCTGGATACTCCCAGAAATGAAGACAGGCTCAATCAATTGCAACGCGATCTACAATATGCGAGAAACGGCATGGGCAATACTCAGAGCGAAATTGCGAAGCTTCGCGATTACAATATCAACCTGGAAAGCAAGATGAAGGCTATCCAAGATAAAATGAGCGCGCTCGACAAAACCGCAACAAGCCATGCGAGCACACTCAGCACGCATACCAGACTCACCAAAGAGACCTCTGAGCGTATTACTAAGATAACTTCGGAGTTGGAGACTGCGTCTGTCGCTAAGGAGACACAAAACGAGTCGGCCGTGCTCAAGATGCATATTGACGAGTTAAGGACACAGGCTTCAGACTTGGGCGTGAAAATCGAGTCTCTGCAGCAGTCCCAGCGGGAATCGGCTGGGCAGTTTGATAAGCTCACTACGAGCATAGATGATTATCGGAAGCAGCATGACACTCAGAGTAGTGAAAACACCCGATCTCTAGCGGCGCTTAACGCGCGTTTAAGTTCGGTCGAACAGAAGAGGATGCAACCCTCTCCACCTGCGGAGGGCACGACTACTGTCCCGTCAGTCATCTTCAAAGAACTGGAATCACGACTACACAAGCTGGAAAGCGATTTCTCTGGGCAGTATAAGCCTGACCCAACGTTGGGGACCCAAGTTCAAGAGATGAAGGATCGGCATTATGAAATGCAAAAAATTCAGGAGATGAAGGATGACCTTCAATGCTCTCAGATGGAGGATTTGAAAAGAGTATGGGAAACGGGTGCCCGGGAATTGGAGAAGATCCAGGCCAATCATGCGCGACTCAAAGAGGAGATGAAGGGCTTGAGCCAAAACCAAACGAATTCCGCTATGGTTCAGGAGCAGATCGCTGGACTTTCGACCGGTCTCCGCAACACACAACATGTAGTTGACACTGTGAAGGTCGGGCTGCAATCCTTCGAAGCAAGGTACAACAGTCTCTCAACGGATGCCATTGTCAAGAACATGGTTGTGGCCATGCAAGAGATGTACCCCTCGACAACGCAGTTGACGGAGCAGATCTCCATCATGAAGGGCTGGTTTGAACGAGAGGTACCCGCCATGAAAGCGGCAGTGAATCGCCTGCATTATGATTGCCTGAGCCTGCGGGAAGATCTACAGAAAGAAACGGCTTTGCGCGTGGAGGAAGTGGCCCGCTTAAGAAGAGATCACACGAATTTGACACAGTCCCTCGCCCCTGTGTGGGAGCGGCTCACAGCACAGAGTCAGAATCGGTGGCTCACCGCAGATGATTTGCGACAACTACACGGTGACCTGCACTCTTTGGAGGCCAAATTGAATGAGCATACGAGCAAAGTTGACGGATACATGACGTCAAGAATTGAAGAAGAGAAATCACTAGTCCAGAACCTGAACCTTGACCGGGCTGATTTGCACAGGCAGGTCAAAGCCCTAGCTGACGAACAAGTGGCCCTGGCGAAGCGAATATCTGGTGCTCGAAAGGACGATGATCTGCAGGGTCGAGTCAGCGCCTTAGCTGATAAGCAAGAAGATCTAGTGGAAAAAATCACTCGTTTGCAGAACGACAACTGGCGAAATCAATTTCAAGTTCTCTCTGACGAGCAGAAAGACTTGGCGAAAAGATTTTCCGATTCCCAGAAAGGTAACTTGCCAGGTCGAGTCAAGGCCCTGGCAGACGAGCAGCAAACGCTGGCAAAATCATTCTCCTCTTTCCAAAAAGATGAATTGCGAACAGAGGTCAAAGCTTTGGCCGATGAGCAGCAGGCACTGGTGAAAAGATTCATCAATTCTCAGAGGAATGAAGATCTACATGGACAGCTCAAATCCCTAGCTGGAAAGCTAGAGATCCTCACGGCAAGATTTTCCGAGTACCAGAAAGAGAATCTGCAGGATCAAGTCAAAGCTTTAGCTGAGAAGCAGGGAATCTTAGCAGAGAGATTCGCCGAATCCCAAAAAAGCAACCTGCAGAGTCAAGTCAAAGCCGTACTTGATGAACAGAAAACCTTGGTCGAGAGATTTGCCGATGCTCGGAAGGATCACAACCAACTTAAAGCTCTTGTTGAGGCGCAAGATAATCTGGTAAAGATGTTGTCTGGGGCCCAAGCAAGTAACGACAGCGATTTGAAAAAGTTACGGTCTTGCCCAGATGAACTCAAGTCAATGCTTGATCGTGTTTGTCAGCTAGAAGACGCCGCTCTGGACAAGTATCAGGGCTTGCTTGAAAAGAATAGGCTGCTCGAAGACTCCACGTCAAAAAACCATAAGTCGTTGGAGCAAAGCCTCGATGACCTGTGGCGGACTGTTGAGCGCCGTGAACCTCCACGACAAACTGAAGCACCGCTTCCCCAACCCGACAACACCAGCATATTAAAGTGTGAGGATGAGGAGAATGCGCAGGAAGAGGAAGTCAAGCAAATAATGAGCATAGCCGAAACAACCCCAGGGCCTGCTCAATCGCAGAAAAAGAGAAAGCGAACGCGTCCTAATACCTTATCTGACGAAGAACGTTCGAGTTTATCCCGACATGGATCCCCGAAATCCAATGCTCTGGCCTCCCCGGTGGGAACGGACGCAACGCCATCAACCGACAACAGAAAAAACCGCAACAAGAGAAAAAAGAAGAATCGGAGGGGCCAGGCCGGAGAACACAGGATGCAGCCGACAGGCCCAATAATTGTTGACTAAGGGGGTAAGGCTTACCCCGGGAAACCGGCTTTTTGGAGCCCTTGGCATTACGAGGTTACGAATGTTATGAATCCATCGCTAGTCAAAAGTTGGATTTCTGCTGGATATCCATGTGTTGCAAATGCTTATTTACTTTTCTTCTTCTGCCTTGTGGTTTCAGGTGACACGATCCCGGGCCTTTTTCTGTTTGATACTATCCAAAAGTTTTGCACATATGCAATAATGTACATGCTCGGTGTCCTGTATCTATGTCTGTATGCGCGTTCATTATAGTAAAGCACTACGGAGCATCCTGAAGGAACTTGACCACCGCTAGAAGAGCAACTCGTCAGTAAACCATCATCTCATATCAACCCTCACGAACCAGAGCAAATACAACCCACCTTGTCTAAAAGCCTCGGGGTTCTCCGAGATCAACCAATGCCCAGCCTCGACATCCGCTATTTGAGCATTCGGGAAGAACTTCTTAATCGCCGGCACCGTTTCATCGCTCACGTACTTACTCTTCGTGCCCCGAACAAACAGCGTAGGTCCCTCATACGAGACAGCGCCCGGTTCCCGGTACGGGAAATCAGACATCGCAGACATAGAATTACCCAGAACCGCGAGCGGAACGCGGAATTTCATCGTCTGGTCCTCTTGCGAACGGACCAAATTGGTGAGGAGAAATTGGCGGATGGGCAGAGACTACATGGGACATGTTATGACTAGCCCAGGGAGAACACAGACTACTTACCTCCTCATAGCCCTTCAGGATCTCATCAGCCTCGGACTGCTTCGTCACGTTCGCAGCTTCGATATGCTGCATGCCACGAACGTAGAGGCCGAAATCACTCTTCAAGGGAGCATTGACGGGGGCGTTGTCGACGGGGACAAGAGCTGAGACGAGCTTGGGTGAGTCGAGGGCGACGGTCATGGCGGCTTTGGCGCCCCTGTGTGGGGTTAATCCGATGCATGAGAGTTGGATGGAATGACGTACATTGAATGGCCGATCAAGACACACTTGTCCAGCTTCAATTGCTGGAGGAACTTGACGACGTCTTCGGCCATGGCGGTGTAGTTGTGTTCTTCGGAGTGGAAGGACTGGCCATGGTTTCGAAGATCCTGGGCGGAAATGGATGTCAATTGATGTGCTTGAGACTGAATTCGAATACTCCTTGGATCAATCACACACCAGCGTGAAGATCTCACGGTTGAGATCACGTGCCAACGCTCTAGGGAGCGGTTAATTTCTGGATTCAATCCACGCGGGGGTTTCTCTAGAGGACTGAATAGAAGAATTGACAGGACACGCACTTGCTAATACCCCGATTGTTCTGCTTAGAGCCGAACAGCCCATGCAGAAAGATGATGGGACTCTGAGTGACTTCCGCTTTCTCCGGGCCAAAGACCTGGTAGGACAGGTCGGCGCGGAGGCCTCGTGTTGTGGAGAAGAGGCGCACGCCGGAGGTGCTGCGGAGGGTTGCACGGATTGGAAGCATGGTCTCTAGGGCCTGGAATGAGGTTATCTGGTACAAGTAGTACAACTTAAAGGTTGGGTCGCGGGCCTTATCTTGAGTTTGGTTTATTTAAGCATCGAGGATCAGCGATTGGGGTAATGACTAAGCAGTGGTTTTGCCGTTGTCCCGTCGGCTTAATGGGATTCTCCTGCTTTATCCGGGGGCTTGGCTGACAGGGATATAGAGGAGGGGATTTGTTTAGTGCTTGTGTCGGATGTTTTGCTCTGAGGGGTTGTTGTCGGAAGCGTTACGAAAGATGTGGCCTGACAGCTCTTGAATAGACAACAAAAGGGCAAGGTGATGTGGAGAAGAGTACAGTACATGGGCTAAATATATACAGACCATCTCTAGGAAAACCATTGACAGGAATCCCCCAAATATAGCCCAGTAATTTGTGAACAAGCAATGAAAGGTCACTGGGAGAGATGTAGAGAAGATACCCACTAAATAGGTTAAGCAAATACAGGCCACTCCTACAAGAGTCATCGACAGGATCACCACAGGTATACTGACTTAGCAACCTGTGATTAACTAAGCAACAGGACAGAATCCATAGCAAGAGCATAAGCATTGAGCACATGTGGTGTCCAGAACTTTTCAAATCGTTTATGGTCCTTCACATCACCGTTGCCCTCTCCCCCACGTTCTTACACCCAACCACACAGATCATTGTATATATACTGAATTCACATAGTCCAATATCGTAAATCGTCTATTCTCCGGAGCTTCATCGAAGTAAATGTATATACAAGACATAGATATCGTCGTCAAATCCACAATGAAACCCCCGCGTGGTTCTAAGGTTGGTACACGAATGTTTCACGTTTAGGCGTCCAAAAGAGGGGGAACCTTCTCCACCAGGTATTCGACAATGGCGTCAGGGCCGCGCTCGACCTGGAGACCCTCGGGGATAGCGTGCAGCTTGATGTCGGGCTTGATCGACCGAGCGATGGAGTGGATCTCGTTGGCTTGCTCCGCGGTCCACATGGAGGCACTGAACTGCAGAGGAGGTTAGACACAAGTCGTTGAGACAGTAGTCACATTACCCCGCAATGGAAGGTAGCCGTGATTCTGAAAGGAGGACGTACCAGGACATCGGGCAGGTGCTGCTGCACCTTGGGCTCGACTTCCTCGATCTCTGTGCGCGTTCCGTTAGTACCACCCGATACACAGATTCACAGCCATATTTTGGAGTAGACCACATACTCTCGCAGTTATCAACGTGGACGATGGTGTAACGGTCCTTGAGGGCTTCGACCATCCGTCCGATGAGGCGCTTGGCTCTCTCGGGGGCGGTGTTGACCGTGACGAGGGTGAAAGGTCCCTTGGGGGCAGACATTGTAACAGATTTTGCAGCGAAGATGCTGGACAATTCGAAACGAGCGTTGTGACTGCGGAGCTGTTGCTTTTAAACGGAGAACATGCGATCTCGCAGTTCAACCGGCACGAGCTGCCGCGGGCGACATCCCCACGTTTACGTGGGGAAGTGGGCTGTTTAGCGTTCTCGCCGCCGGCCTTCGTCCGAGGCTCGGAGATGGCAGGTTGAACTCTGAAGGTATGGAGGGGAAGACAGGAACGGATCGGTTCCCACCGGCAAGTGACAATGGCGGTGCCCCTCCCACTTTCCCCCACCCCGCGCCGGAGAGCTGGCCGGCCACCAGAAATGCACCCCGCGACGATATCGGGGTAGAAATAGCCCGTGGACGGACTTCAAAAGGAGCTCCTCTCAATTGACCCCGTGCACAGCTTTGAAATCCGGTTATTCATCGGTTTACGTCCCCCTCTACCAAACACATCATGTCTAAAGTCGCTTCCACCTTTTCGCGTACGTGTCCACGACCTTGCCGCTGCCGCTGTTGCTAACGCAAACCAGGCCTTGTGCGCTTCATCCCCAAGTCGAACCCTTCCAAGGTCCTGATCGGTGAGCCCGTCGATGCCTCGGTAGACGTTGGATTGGCTGTTTACCAGGGCAAGGATGTCGCTGTGCGCCCCTTCTCTGGAAACTCCGTCCTCAGCCCTGGCCAGAAGACCGACGCGACCGAGACCATTGAGCGCATTCTTTCGCCTCTGGCGCAAACCGAAGTTGGATCGATCAGATGCATTGGATTGAACGTGAGCTCGCCTGCCCACAGTATCAACGTATTCTTTTCACTAGAGACCTAACCGAAGGCGCACAGTATGTATCGCACGCTGCGGAGATGAAGCTCGATATTCCCGATGTTCCCACTCTCTTCATGAAGCCCTCGACTGCTCTCTCAGACCCCTGGCCCGCCCCTACCGTTCTGCCCAAGCTTACGCAGGTCGATAACACGGGCGACTATGAGTCGGAGATGGTCATCGTGATCGGCCGCGATGCGAAGGATGTTAGCGAGGCTGATGCTCTGGACTACGTACTCGGATACACGGCCGCCAACGATGTCTCTAGCCGGACCTACCAGATGAACCAGAGCCAATGGTGCTTTTCCAAGGGATTTGATACCTCCTGCCCTAACGGTATGCACCCTCTGTCCTCAACCCTCATATCATGTGCTGACGAATGACTTCAGGCCCCGTCCTTGTCTCTGCTGCCCAGGTCCCCGATGCCAGCAAGTTCCACATTCGCGGATCAAAGAACGGAAAGGTCCTTCAGGACTGCCCCCTGACGTATGAACCATGCCCATCCCTCATCTGACATCACGAACCAGAACTGACCAGCAATGCGACACAGTGACCTGATCTTCAGCGTGCCCAAGCTTGTCAGCTTCCTGTCTCAGGGAACCACCCTGCCTGCCGGCACCATCATCTTGACCGGTACTCCCCCGGGTGTTGGCGCTGCGAAGAACCCCAAGGAGTTCCTCAAGCACGGCGACGAGTTCGCCATCGAGCTGCAGCCACACGTCGGTACCTTGATCACGAAGGTGGAGAACCAGGCATGAACATGATATTGGCGGGATTTACGGACTGTGATGAGACATACACTGCATGAGGCAAGAATAGCATAGAGCTGTATATACTACACGGGATACCAATGAACAGGTTCATTGATCCAACACTTACTCCGTACTCACATACGTAACCTGCAAGCCACCCATAAGCCAGCTGACAAGTCCAAACCAATGATGCAAGGAGACATCACATTGTCGCAATGCTCCGGCCTCCGAAGATCAGACTGAAAGAGGGGAGGCAGCACCCACACCCACACCCCACGCTGACTCAGGTCCCCACAAACCAACCTGCCTTAGTGCCTTAACAGTAGTGCCTAGCGCGTAGCTGCGTACATATGCAACGCCAACTGCAACCGCAAGCAGCGCCAGTCGAAAATCAAATCGACATCACTTCAAGTCCAACACCAACACCAATTCAAGAAAGACGGACCAAAAAGCTTACTAACAACAAACCAAACACCCGTATCCCATCCCAGCCATGTAACATTTATCCCCATCCCATCCTATCCCATTCCCCCTCCCAGCCAACCTGGATAAACGAAACCGAAAAATCCCACCGCCCCTGACTCGACACAACCGACCGTTCCATCCCAAATTGCCGATCCCAGAAACCCAAATCAGTCGATACCTGCATACGGGTAAAAAACTTATCCTGGACGGAATAGATCTACTCCGGTAATGCCGAGCGAGTGACGTGACGCAACGCAGTGCCGCGAACCGGGAAACTCTCGTGCGTGCGTGCTTAGTTAGTTACTAAACTTCCGGGAGGAACCTTCGATGAAAGGCTTACTTGGGCGAGGTGTGCCATGCTAGTAGTGGCTATGTGTGGTGTAACGCGCTGTCATCCTTATCATTGCCTACATAGTTATATTTTGGAACGATTACTGTTTGTATAGGACTTCCAAATTGCATTAATGGTTCTCAGGATCTGTAGTATGAATAATATCCAACCCGGAGAAAGAAGGAACCCGGTACTTCAGCCGTAATCCTTCCCGAGCCAGTTCATTTCGGGCGGCCGATCGGGCAGCCGCCGTCCCAGCACTAGACAATGTAAGCGTGGTCTGACACTTCGCTTTCCCGATGGTTTGATGATATCGGATGGTATGGGCCCTGTCCGGCTTGTCGGGGGTAATCGTTGGCACCGGACGGTGTCTCCATTCGCATGGAATAATTAAATTTTCTTCCCTACTGAATCGCGGTGGAGTGAGTATATAACTCCTAGGGCCTGGCAGGGATAAAGTCTTTCTCCCTCTCTTCTGTTTGGTTTGGCTTGGCTTCGTTTCTTTTTTCCCCTTCTCTTGCCTTTGCTATACTTTGTTGTCTTGATTGCTGCAATTGAGTGACATGAATTTATTTGCATCGCGTCGCTTTCAATTCGTTATGCGTCTATATACATGGTCGCTATCGCTATGGCTGTCGGGTCATGCCCGATCTATATCTAATGTCTAGGATTCTATGCTCGATGATTCGCCTTCTCCGATGCAGCACACAACCCGTCGCAACAAATGTGATTCAAGAAAACAGAACAAGAATGGAAGGAGATTCGGGTGGTCAGCTTATTCCTCGATTGGCGGACGCCAGGCCCGCCCCTGCCAGTGCAGGATGAGAATCGGGATAACACTGGCACCGGCAATGAGTCCCGCGCAGACTCCAGCACTAGGCGCTATGCCAACACTATCAAACATGGATGGAAACCTGGATAATCCTCATCAGCAATTGCAGAACGAAGGAGTGCATTGACGCAGTCTCGACTCACCAGAATGGACCCAGGAAACCCCATATTTGCCGGACAAATGTGATGTACACACCAAAGCTGCCTGCTTCCTTGTGGTAACAGTCCACGGCATACGTGATGAGGACCGTGGTTACGATTTGGTTGCCTGCAGCACAGATGGCGATGCCCACGATAGGGGTTACGTTCCAGTGGCCTTCTTTTGAGTTCTGGGTGCAAACCAAAAATACGATCAAGCCCACAATGCAGAGGGTGAAGCCGATATAGCTGAGCCAGAGTCGGAACTCGGGCTGGGGCTTCCGCTGGATTTTCTTTGCACGCATATTCATCCAGCGATCCGACAACAAGCCTCCGAGCTGTTCGCCCAGAACGGATCCGATGATGGGGCCAATAAACTGGAGTCCCAGCTGTTCGGCGTTCAGGCCAAATTTGGATTGCAGCAAATTTGGCACTTCAACTGTGGTCATTACGTTGCCCAAGCAGAACACCATGGCGTAAGCGGCAGTGGGGATAGCAACGCAAGGGTGCGTGACCATGCCTAGTGGCCTGAAGAAATCCCTAAACGATAGAGGAGTGGGGTCAATGCGTCGAAGCTGAGCATACTCTCGCACCCAAGCGGGTTGATCAGAGTCATGATCGCCCCCGATATACCGGGTCTCCGGCCCCAGAAAGAGATACAGGATGAACTGGACACCGTTAATCTGATAGAGAAAATCGGTCAGCCTCCGACTATACATTGCACTGGTGAGTTGTTCGCGAGCCTGGAGACACTCACGATTGCCAGGATCCAGTAAATCCATTGGTAGCCCAACCGATATGTAACGAAGCCGAAAATAAAGGGTCCGCTAGGAATACCCAGCGAAAGCAGCAGTGTCCATATCCCCATGTACCGCGCTCGGTCTTTCTTGAACGTCGTCTCCATTACCACCGCACTTCCAATCGCTTCCGCAGATATTAGTCCTTATTCTGACAACTAGAAAATTGTGTCTTACCCGAGGCAGGAGATATGAAGAAAGCCTGCAAAGCCCGACAAACAGCAGTGGACGCATAGCTAGTGCTTTCCGCACATCCTACGTTACAGACGAGGCTGCAAATTAAGGAAAGAAGGAATATAGGGCGACGTCCCCAGCGGTTCGACAACGGCTTCCAAAATACCGGCGCTATACCCAGGACTGCAATCTGAATGGAGGTCAAATAACTCGCATCGTTAACCGTAACGCCAAAATCGGTCGCTATCCTGGTGAAAGAGTCAGTAAGTGAGAGCAAGCTGAAGGCTCGACGGGAACTCACGTTTCGTACGCGGGGATAATACCTGCCGCCGCGAAAGTACCCATGCAGGCATGGAATGCTACTAAGAGAAGGTTTGCAACTTTCTAAGACACGTTGGAAGAAGCCGTCAGCACAGTTCCATCAACCATGACAGCGTTGCTGCTAGCCAGGGCGGCCCTCCAAGACCACTCACCTTCCACGACGGCCAGTTGTAAGGGTCCGCAGGATCCATGCTAGGAATGGGATCGAGCTCCAGCGTTCCATGACGTTCCATCAGATAGTCACGGTGTGCCTTAGAAAGGCGAGAGGACACTATATCGGCATACGTCGATGGGATGCCTGATTCGGTGCTCTCTACAAAGTCGACATCCTCTTTTGAGGGCGTCTGGGCGTTCATCTCCGGCCGAGACGGGTGCATCTCCATGGACCCAGACATATCGTGAAACGAAGCCCTAGATTGAGGGGTTGTGGGAAAAGGGTAGGGGTGATGTCCCTGTGTCACGCAACACACTTGATATGTTTATGAATGGCAGGCCCTTCCAAAAGTCTGAAAAAGGGAGTGTAGGGTGGCAGAGAGGAGGAGGGATGGGGAACCCAATCTGATACCTGAGAGGGAACCGCCGTGTCTTCCTCTGCAACTGGTTCACAACGTCCTAGCCGGAGGGATGAGGAAGGGTTCCACGCTCACCAGAGGGATTGACCTATCATCGGGGCGCTGAGGGTACCCTTCTGGGGGATGTTCGAATGAGTGACGAGTCCCGCGAGACCCGCGTCTTGTTGGGGCGACTCGTGGGGAAGATGCGGAGGGATTCCTACAGCACAATCCAGTCACAGAAACCACGATTGTCACCGAGTTCTGTCATCTGGGATAGCGCTGGATTCGCTCATTGGCCGGGCCAAGCCAGCGCGCTCCCATCGCCGCCAGCAACAACATAACCGAGGGGCCCGGCTCCGGAGGGCCCGGGGAACCCAAAATCCAGAATGGTTCTAGCAGTAGCAGCGACCCATCATTAGGTCACACCGGGGCGGGATAAGTCTTTGGAGTGGATGCGCCCCTTCCGGGGGGGAGGAGACATGGCACACCAATGTTTCGCCTCCTAATCTCGGTTATTCCGCTGACTAGATTTGGGTTCAGCTTTGCCGAGTCACGGCTCAGCCATCGGCAGACGAGGACAGCTCTCGCAGATCCCTGTATGATGATGAGATCCAGGTGTCAACAGACATGGGTTTTTTATGTCTGCCTGAGCGGATCTGGGTACTGGGTATCACCTTGAATCCCCACTGGTAAGTACTACGGAGTAGATACATGCAGTGGCTCTGCGCATGTAAGGGGGGAAAAACAAGGCCGGATCGGTCAGGTTGTGGAATGGATACTGCAGGATCCCCACTAGTCAAGATTAGGTAGGCACTACCTGGGCCCGGTCGTACTTCGTAGACACGGGGTCCGGAGAAGTAATCTGGAGTACGAGGAGGGCCTCCTTTGCGCCGCTGCGGCGTAGCGAGTACCGCCGCATGACAGGTAAGGGTCAATTCTACGCGGGCCATCCCCCTCAATGAGACTAATCTCCCTTGTATCCATACCGTACCGCAACTCACCCCGGTCCACGTGCCAAGGGCCAAGGCAACAGCGTTGCCACCACCTGCCCCACAACTCACTTCCGTCTCCTCTTCCATATTGACACAAAACCACCCGCTTAGATCTTCTCCACGAACAAGCCATTCCCACCCGCCCCTCTGGCCCCTTCTTGTTCGGCCGGTTCTTTTGTTATCACTACAATATTGTGGTGGCTGGCTGTTAGCAGTATCTTGCTCCTGCTGGCTGTGTGCGTCGTGGATGGGTTGTGTGTGTCGTTGTTAGTTGAAAATCTAGATCTATCTATTTATATGCCCCTGTCGTCATGCCACAATCTACAACCACCACCACCCCTCCCACCACATCGGCGGTCAAGACACTGATTTGCCGCGTTTGTGAAAAGGGCTTTTCCAAGGCAGAACATTTGAGGGTAACTTGCCCCTAGTGCCAATCCCACGGTGTGGAGACACTGCTAATGCTGGTGGTAGAGACATGAACGTTGCCGTAAGCATGCCACCATTGTTGATACCCTTTTGCTTGGGCAGACATGATCGCCACTGCATTATGCCTTAAAGAAATGTAGAAAGGAACAAAACAGACACAAGATCTGGGACGCTAAATGCATCCCGCATTAATAATGCAAGACATGATGGCTGACTTGATGGCGCTAAAGATACGGGATCGAAGCCGTTCATCTGCAAAGAATGTCGGCGACCTTTTGCCCGCCAGGACGCTCTTACCCGACATGAGAAGCTGCACGTCCGCGCTGCCAATGCCAAGCAAGCACAAGTACAGCAGTCATCGGTGCATGTTACTCCTCAGGCAACATCTCTAGATGCTCTTCCCTGGGATGCCGGTCGCGCCCCAGCACCGGCCGTTGTCTCTGCCTCTGCACCTAGTCAGGCATGGGAGACTTCTCAAGCCGAACAGCATCCAGGTCTGCAGCATGCAGCTTCCGATCTTGATTTCGCGCTGATCTGGCCTGACTCGGAGAACTTATTTCAAAGTATCATGTCCTCCGATACAACGGATCAATGGCAGATGCCATTAGGTGCACTGCCATTTCCGCCTGTCGTACAAGATGTAAATGGAATGAATTTTGGGTCTCCAAACTCATTCGACGATAGGGGGTCGTCAATAGGTACCATTCCCTCGGGAGGCAGCCATCAGGCTGTGCGAGACGTTACTGAGATGGTGACGAGCTCTGTGAGTTCACCCATCACCCAAGCCTTCTAATTGTATCACCTGTCGCTAATATGCAACGAATTAATAGTCATCCAGTGTCACAGCGGCAATAAAAGCAACCTCGATCACATCAGTCTTCTTGGACGAATGTCTGCATATGTTCTTCGTTCGGTTCATCCCCACATTCCCAGTCCTGCATCGAGCAACCTTCGTTTTCCGCGAGTGTACCCATCCACTCCTTCTCAACGCTATGGCCCTGGGGTCGCTATACTTAGGCCCGAAAGACTCTGTCGCCAAGGGTGAAGCTCTGTGGCGCTTGGCGCATACTGCCATTGCAACATCTGTACGTGCGGCGAAGGCTTGCCTAAGATAACACAATCGTGCTGACACAGGTCTAGTGGCAATCATTGATCACCCATCGCGGTCCGTATGATGTCTGCAAGGGAGTTCAGCTCCTCATTACAGCTCTCCTGGGTCAGATATACGGCGCTCTGTCGAAGGTAGGTTGATGTTGACTGATCGCACCCAGTCTACATGCTGACGGGGTTGAATTACATATAGAACCGAGTTATCCGTACGACAAGCCAGGTCTTCCGTCCGCTTGGCTTTCTGTGGGCTAGACACTGCGGGATGTTGGACTGCGATCCTTATCCAATGGAGAACATACCTTTTCCAACTGCGCCTAGCACGGAAAAGGAGTATAAATGGCGAACATGGGCTGCCCGAGAGATCCAGCAACGTGCATTACTTGCGTACCATATTCTGGATGGCCTTGTTGCCCAGATGTCTGGTGACAGTGCATCTACGCGGCATGTTGCCAACCCTCTACATCTTCCTAGCAGCGAAGCTGCATTTGATGCCGGGAATGTTGATGAATGGATTGCTATCATGCGCACCCAAAAGGCGGAACAACCATCCTTCCGGCTGGTGTTCCGATCACTCTTCCCCCCCATAGGGAGCTTCCGACCCTTAGACTATCAGTTCTCAGCCTTTGCACTACGCGTTGTGCTAGAAGGTCTACAATCTCTCGTTTCGGACTCAGATGAAAGTGATCTTGCTGCCGTGGGTGTTCCTGGTCGCTCAGATGTTCGGAGAGCATTGGCTCAAGTGCATGAGACTATCACCATGAGTATTCATCTATCCGCACCGGAAAGACTCGAGGTGCTTTTGCGCTGGCATACGATATGCCTCGATACTATGATCAACTCCACTGTGCTCTGCAGACATGTGTGTTCCCGTTACGAGATCACTCAGCATGTCTCGGGGGGGTCTCGGATGATACGGTCAGGGTTCGATATGGCGAAATGGGTCAACACCGAGGATGCCCGTCGTGCTTTGTTACATGCTATCGCCATTCAAGATATCGTTGAACAACTTCCCAGAGGGAGAGCCCATGTCATCCACATGCCAAGCTCCCTGTTCTCGGCCACGACGATATACGTGGTCTTCTCGCTTGCTGGTGTGGCAAATATCCATCTTCCACGCACCATCGTCTGGCAGGATGCGCTCCTTTCGCGCGCCGACCTGAATCTTGGGTGCGAGAACATTCGACCTTCCAATGGTTCTGAAACCCGGCGCTTCGTCGAGGAAGGTCGGACCGACTCTCCCCCTGGCATGGGAGCAGTTCGAAATCTGTTGTATGAGATGAACTCGTTGCAGAAGTTGTTCCGCTGCATGTTTTCCCAGTGGGGCATTGCGCATGACATGGAGGAGATCATTGACCAGTGGATTACTCTTTGTCATTAGGCGGCATTCGATGTATCTTGAGCGTGATTCGTATCTTAAGCATTTCTAGCGTCGGGTCCTGGTGATCATCTGGATGCATGGTTAAATATAGGAGTTGGCCTGTGGCCTGGTTATATGACGGCTATCAATGTGTCTCCGTGTTTACATCGAACGGGCTTTAATATATAGCAAACTGGATGTCTAGATATCATAAAACTTCGTGATAGAATTAGAAAGCGTGCATTGGACATGATGACCAGACCATGTTGATGCTGGTAGTGATGCTTGGTCGATACGCCGGCCGCATCCCCACATCCCATCTTGCGGTTGCCTTCTCCACGTCCACTCCCCACAACCCGACTTATTCTCTCGACACCTCTCTGTCGCACCTTGTTTCAAATCAACCCCCCTTTCTCCACGATTTTCCATCATTCAAGATTTTGAGCCAAATTCTGGTTCAATGCTCCAAATTTCCTCGCGGGGACATATACTTGGCATAGCTAAATCATGGGTGGCGCCCTGTGCGGGACTAAAGGGAGCTTGGACTCTGGTTCCTTCCCCTCATTTGCATTACACCAACACAATAAGGTTTCGTTCCCAGACTTCTTCCCAGTCTATCATCTCTAACGCTGTACTGCTCCAGGACAAGATGACCCGAGGGGACCTCGGTTTTGCAACAGTGTTGACAACTCACTGTGCTTGGAACGTCTTGGCTTGCCCGCACTGATGGCCAAGTCTTCGAATCTCCTCATATTTCCACCAACAACGGGTCTGCTGAAAGCTAAGAAACTCGTATCCATTGAAATGCCGTTCGTCCATGTGATATCTTGAGATGCGGCGGAGCGGGAAACACTGAACCTATCAAGAGTAGTGCATCGAGCTACAATCTGCTCTCACATAAGATGATCAACTGCGTGCATAGATCTTTGCACAACGGGTAATCAAAGCGGCAAGGACCCTGGGCCAGACATGATCATCTGGTCTGACGGTTATGCTGATTGTCTTCTTTGGTCCTTTAGGGCCCTAAGGCTGAGATGTTTGCACCTATCAGCATCTCTGCCAGCCATATAATGGATGGGTTTGCGCTGTAGGCTTAGAGAGAGGTCTCGAGGTGGAGGAGGTCCGGCGAGAGACGACGTTGAGAGTCTGATCACCTTCCGTATCAACGCCAATATCGAGTCACTTCCTTTGCTGGAGTTCTGACTTCTGAGATGCAGTGAGCCGAGCTTTTACTCCGCATGGCCATACTTGGCAATAATTCTGATAGGCCTGCAAATTCGCCAATTCCATAAGACTACAGTATCACAAGATCATGATTACAGTGAATTCCGACTAGGCATTCACTGTTGCACCCTGCCGTATAAAGCTACTGAGAAATGGCAACTTGCGACGCGATCTGTACCCCCGCACCCCTCACGCTCATGGCCTGGCCGGCCCACAACTTCTTCAATATCCGCTCTACAACTATCTGTGACGGATAGCAGACTTATCGAGATGCTCACCATGAGGCTTCCGACCTTTCCTAAGGTGTACAATGTCTATTTCGTGGCTGTCATTGCGACAGTTGGAGGGATGTTGTTTGGATTTGACATCTCGTCAATGTCCGCAATCATCGGAACCGAACAATACGTGGACTTTTTCGACAACCCGCATGGGGTACGCCAGGGTGCCATCAACTCTGCACTTGCAGCTGGCTCTGTGGTGGGATCCATCATGGCAGGTCCAATTTCCGATAAAATTGGCCGCAGAGATTCCATTATGTTTGCCTGTCTTTGGTGGCTTGTAGGCACGGCAATCCAAGCAGGAGTGTCTGGATTTGGAACTCTAATGGCTGGTCGGGTCCTAAACGGTGTCTGTGTGGGGATTACCTCGTCCCAAGTACCGGTTTATCTGGCCGAGATCAGCAAGAAAGAAAAGCGTGGTTCAATCATCGTCATCCAGCAGTTGGCCATCGAATGGGGCATCTTTATAATGTTCTTCGTTGGGTACGGTTGTTCATCCATTGCAGGTCCCTCCTCATTTCGTCTCGCATGGGGCTTACAGTTTGTACCATGCGTGTTTTTGATGATGGGCCTGCCCTTTCTCCCCAGATCTCCCCGCTGGCTCGCCAAGGTTGACCGCACAGAAGAAGCCATCACCACCCTAGCCAGGATCCAAGCTAAGGGCAACGTCAATGATCCCCTCGTGGTAGCCGAATGGGATGAAATCACAACGGTCCTCGCTGCCGAGCGCGCAGCAGCCCCAGGGTGGCGCAAATTTGTCCACAACGGCATGTGGCGTCGAACCATGGCCGGGTTCACAGTTCAAGCCTGGCAGCAACTAAGTGGAGCCAATGTCATGACATACTACGTAGTATATGTTTTCCAAATGGCCAAGTAAGTCCCTGCACCATACATGACCAGATAAAAGAACTGACCAACTGCTGCAGTCTAACAGGCAACATTCTCCTCATCTCCTCGGGCATCCAGTATGCCCTCTTCATAGTCTTCACCTCCATAATCTTCTTCTACATTGATAAGACCAGCCGTCGAAGCCTCCTTATGTACGGTGCAATCGGTATGGCCATCTGTCATTTCGTCGTCGGGGGCGTCCTCTCATCCGGCGAATACGTGCCCAACGGCGTAGACGGCAACCTGAACGTCCTCATCCGCGTGCGTGGATCCAAAGCCCACACCGTCATTGCCTTTTCCTATCTGTTGATCATTGTCTATGCCTTAACCCTGGCCCCGGTGGCATGGGTATACGCAGCAGAGGTCTGGTCCCTGGAGACTCGCGCATCGGGCATGGTACGTCATACGATACTGCTACAGGACCTGAGCTAGATTAACATCTCAATTAGGCAATCGCAGCTACCGGAAACTGGCTATTCAACTTTGCACTCGGGTTATTCGTGCCGCCTGGGTTCGCGAATATCACCTGGAAGCTCTTCATCACGTTTGGGGTTTTGTGCATTGGAGCCGCAGTTCAGGTGTTTTTCACGTACGTCAATTCCTTTGTCTACTTGCTTTATGGCACCGGTTCAATTTTCTGACGAAATACAGATACCCCGAGACATGCGGCAAGACCATCGAGGAAGTGGAGGAATTGTTCAGCAAGGGAGGACCAAAAGCATGGCACACTAAACCCGGACACTCGAAGCTGGATGGTCGTATTGAGGAAGCTAGGGGAAAGAAGCTGGGACTGAAGGTGGACGAGACAAAGGTGGAGGCTGCTGCTCCGGAAGTCCCCACTACTGTAGGGTGAGCGTGTCAAGCCAGCAATCAAAAGGGGGGCAAAACCATCGACTACAGGGAACTCTAGTGCTGGATCATACGATGAGGAGTCGTATGAGATGTACTGGGTTCAAGGGCGCCTTGGCAGTTACGAATCGAATAGATCCGTGGGAACAGGTGTCAGCCAAATAAAGCCAAATTTGTCCATTCTATTCATTCTATGCATGCTATATATGCGAGGATGCGAAAATCCAAAATTTCCAAACTAGGTATATCAAATAGTGACCAACATAAGACATAACTTCCGAGCTCCAATGCAAAGGGTATCTCTAGGGCAATCTGATGCTCATGAGAACGACGACAGTACACAAGCAACCCAATCAGACGGAGTAGACGTTCCAAACAACGTAAGTTCAGATAGAAGAGAAGGGCGTAAGACTAGAAATGAGTAAACGAAAATTGACAGAACCACCCAATGAAATAGACGCTGGAATCGCTAAACGGTTAATATGTGCTCAATTATGCATTATTTGTTCTTGATTCGTGGGTTCGTCCATTCTGATCAAGGCCTTGGCAACGGCCACCCCGACGTCCTTGAACAGATCGCGCATGATGGCTTCGCAGCTCCCAGGGGAGTCCTGCTGCTTTGCGCCCTGACTCCGGAAGCGAGCCGACAGTCGGTCAATAAGTTTGCCGAATGTGCTTTCGAAGTAGGTCTCAACGAGCTTTCTCTTAAGATGGGCGTTGTCCACATATTCCTCGGCAGGGGGACTGCCAGAAGGGTGGCTCGCAGGATCCATCCGGAGACGCCGAGCGGGACGCTCGGCAAGATGATCATCTGCTTCACGAGGCCTCTTATTCCCCGTGGAGAAATCCTGTAGTGCAGGAGACGGTTGAGGTGAAAGAACCTGGGCGATAATGGGCTTTTCGCCTGCGCCAGCATCTGGCTGTTGTTCACCGGGCTTCATCTTCTGAGACAATCGAAGTCGCCGACGTTTCAAGAGGAGTAATGCCTCATCCACAGGGTTGATAACCGGGTTCGTCGCCTCTCCCGCCCATGCTACCATGCGTTCCATCTCCTCCGAGTGCGGAAGACTTCTGAGCCAGACCCAGACACGTTCCAGCTTCGTTGACTGCTGCACCAAGCCCTGCTCGGGTAAGATTCGGACAGGTTCCGGGATCTTTTGGGGCTCTACCCTCGCCACCAGAGCGGCCGATGCCTGAGGGGCGTAATGCTCCCCAGTAAGCGGCAGCCCCGAGCGACGCTTGGCCTTGTTCTTTTCCAGCCATATGTTTAGCTCTTGGAAGACATCGTCGTGGATATCGATGCTCGGACAGGTCCGACCGTCATCATATGCAGTCCAGTAGGCGTTCCATTTGGTCACGTAGGTTTGAATGCGGCGGCGACATGACTGCCATGAATAGCGACGACCGGTCCGCAACTCGAGTTTATTGGCGATTTTGATCCAGAAGCTTTTGGGATGGGCGTGGGCATCATCATCAATCATGGAAGCGGCACACAGGTTGACCAGACACAGTTGCTCGGGGATATTGAGTTGTTTGCCACGACCAGTGGAGGGGACAACCTCCATTGGGGTGGACTGATTCAGCGAGACGGACGTTTGGTGAGGTTCCTTGGAGGGGAAGATGACGGGCTTCGAGAGGGACAGGGAGGGGTCAAGCTGAGATTGCGGTGTGCTTCGTCCCCATGGATCGTGGTCGGGCCGCATGCAGTTGGGGTTCAGACCGTTGGGAAATCCGAGGGGGTTCATGGCTCAATGTGTAGTGCGGAGGGTTCCCGGATCCTCATGGAAACGAAGCCACAAGGTTGCAGGGCCCAGCGAGGCCTCGCGTGGAAGAAAAAGGGGAGGGGAGGAGGGGGGGGAGGGAGAGGGGAGGGAGAGGGAGAAAGAGGGAGAAAGAGGCAAAAGGGCAAAAGGATCCAAGAGGCAAAGAGCGAAAAGAAAGCGGAAAGGAAAAGGAAAGGAAGGAAGGCCCGCCCGCGCCGCGTCCGCGACGGCCCACGTGATCGGGGTTGGGTACAAGCAATGGGCACGCATGGCACGATTCCATGAACCCCCCCATCATCATACGAGATGCCTTCGAGATGATGCCACTACCAGGAAAGCTAGGCAAGGAGCCTCGCAGAAGATATTGAATGAGCCCTCCTCATTGATCGGACCCTCGTTCTGGAGTACTTTCGATCGGCCGCGTATCATATTACCCGATCGGGCGATCGGCTCGTGATTTGGCACTCGCTGTGCAGCCGGGCTGTCGTTACTTGTTTCTCCTCCTCCCTCTCCCCCCTCTCTCTTTGTCTCTCCATTATCACCTTTTCACCTGCTGCTTCTGCCTCGGTTCCCCCCATGTCATCCCTGCTCCCCAGACCATGATCTCCCTCGGAAGGCACACCCGCCCGTTCCGTGGAGAGATCCGTTCAGCCGATGCGATGCAACATTCCGCGCATCGCGGTTGAGCTATGCTGGGCTCCCCCTTCCTGGCATTCAGCTGTCGTGAATCCTCGGCTCGGGCGGGCAGAGCTACATCTACCTTGCCCCTGCAATGGGCTAGTGGTTTAGTTCAGGGCGATTATTGAGGCCCAGCCTGTGATCGTCGCTAGTGAATCGAGCCAACCTATGGCTGCCTCTCCGCCGTCGGACATGATTTGTCAAACCCCGGGGTGGTCAAGGTGGTACATCTGGTACGTGTGAACCTACCATGAGTCTTTCTTCCATGTCATTCGCCATCTGGGGTAATCCAGACTCTTCTGATCCCTTACGTGGAGCAACGTCAGGTCTAAAAGGATCTCCCACCCATGCATTGACATCCCTCCCCTTTCCACCTCTGATCAACCCCAAGCATCAGGCAGCTTGACTTCCGCTCGATCAAGCATGTCATCACGAGTACATCCAAGTCTGTTGGAGGTGGTTTCCTCCGTGTCCTCTGTACCGGGGACCCGGAATCAATACACCGTGAAGATCACCCGTGACTGGTGCACCCAACAGTACGTCTGTCTGACAGCCGTATCCTTGTCCATCACTCGACCGGCTGAATTGACCAGAGCAGTTCTGTCCTGGGGGGCTTTTTGACCGCGGTCATGCTGGCTGCCGGCCAACGATTCCTCGACCAGGAACTTGGCGCAGCCCGGTACCCCGACCCCGTTCATGCTTTCGTACAGTTTCTACACATGGCCCATCCCGGCCCGTCGATCATTACCTGCACGCTGCTACGAGTGTCATCTAAGCACTGCGTCGTCCAAGTCGAACTAGCCCGTGCTCCGGCTGCTTCGGAGGATCTTGACTCCCTCCCAGTCGCTACCCTTGGTATTTTCACGTACGGCGACATCCGAAAGGAGAAGGGGCTATCACAAGAATCCCGGTCGGCCATCGGAAGACCACCTCCAGACCGGAGATCCGAGTGCGTTACGATCGACAACCCCATCGTTAATGCGACACCCGTCACCGCAAAGATGAACTGGGTCGCACCGCGATCGCCAGATGGACTCTGGGGGCATCGTCTCGGGGGACACAATCGCGAGCTTTGGCTATCTTTCCGTGATGGCTCGAGAATATCGGACATTTTGCATCTGGCATATGTCTCAGACCTGGTGAGTGCACCCGCCCCCCTAGCATGTCCACCCAGACAAAAATCATGCTAACCCTCTTCGTGCGGTAGCCACTCCAGCCACCGGCGACTCATATCCCCGACTTCTACGCTAAATATGCCATCTCCACTCTCTGTTTGTCGATCGAGTTCAAGAGACGGCCCGACCCGTCGACGGAATGGGTGATGATCCGCTCCAACTCGAACAAGGTCTCCAACGGTCGGTATGATGCGGCCCTCCAGATCTTCGACGAGAAGAACAATCTTTTAGCCTTGAGCCATCATGTCGTGTTTACATCCGACTTGAAGCCGAGGCCGGCTCGGATGTGAGATGCGTCCTCCGTAGTTCTAGTAGTTGCATTCCCCAGTTTGGGGCACCAGCGTTACATATGATAGTCAGATATTTCCGAATACACAGTAAAATGACACAAAATTATTACCACCAAGCCTCGAACACCAAAATCCACCTTCAAAAAACGAGATTCCTCTTCTGTAGGAACAGACATACCCAATGCACATGACATAGGGCTCAGGGCTCAGGGCTAGGGCTTTCCCCGGCACTGGATATGATGCCCCTACGTATCTCCATCTTTTTTATCCCCTTATACTGCTCCACAATATACCCGACTATATAAAGTACCCAAAATACCAATCAATTTATTGATTATATTCCCAGTTGGATGCTAATATGCATGCACTGCCCCGTCCTTATGTACAACCCCTGTATGTGCATGTAAGAGGCAGGTCCGTCCCGAGCGATCGATATATCACATAATGATACAAAACCCCACTTCAAGCTGAAACATCTTCGGTGCTTTTGTGATCGCCCGGGGGGATGTGGTTGTGGATCGGATCGATCGAATCGAATTGAATCCGAGGAAAGGGTTGGTCGATTTGTTGTTGATCCGGTTGATGTATCAGATTGCGGTTATGGACAGCGGGAAAACCCCGGAGGATGAGGAGGGACGGGAATGATATGTGAAAGGATAAGCGGAGTAAAGCATACCCAGGGAGAAAAGTTGAAAAGGGGGGAATTATAGATGGAAATGTAGAAGGATATAATAAGAACCCAGAGAAGAAAGACAATTCCAGAACCGATACCAAGGAGAACCAGATAGGATGAAGAAGCCCAGAAACCGAAAGCAAGGCAGGGAAAGAACCAATTCATGCAACTCCCCCATAGATATCATCCATGTCGTATTCTGGATTGTCAAAAAAGCCGCCCAGACTTGTACTGAACGGATCGTTGCTCAAGGTGTTCGATGGAATGGGAATGGGGGCGACTGTTTCGGTGCGTTCCGGCTCGTTGGCGCTCGGAATGACTTTCACGATCTCTGCCTGTTCGGGTTCGCCGCCATAGCCGTTCACGTTGTTGAAACCAGTATACGGAAGGAAACTGGTCGGAGGCTGATGAAACAACGATTCAGCTTTATTGATTCGAGGGGCAGGTGTAGGGGCAGATGCAGGTGCAGAGTGATGGATAATCTCAATATCTTCTTCGGAAGACGTATCCGCAATGGGGAGGACACTCTGGGGTCCGGTTTTGATCACATCTACGAACTCGTCATCGATCAGGATTACCTCCATTGCGGATCCTGGGTTTCGGGCCGTCGGTCCGCTCCTTGTCGGTGTCACTAGGCTCGAGGAAGTTCGGAAGAAGGGCTTTGCCCGGGAGGAGGACGATGAAGCTTTCTGGATTCCGTTGCGGGGCCCTCGTGGTGTTCGAGGGGTGGAGGTAGTGCTGATGGCGAATTTTCGGCCCTTGGGGAGGTCCGGGAGGCCACCACGTTCTTGAGTCTCTTTTTGAAGCTCTTCGGCTAGGATGTGACATCTGCGCAGACGACCGTGCATTGTATCGTAGGTCGCTCCGTGGCCGAAGTAGATGGCCATGGTCTGGTAGTCAATCTAGGAGGTCAGTTCGGGAGCTCTGTGCACTGTGCAGCCTGTGGCGCTGGGTGAATACCTTGAGGCCTGGGTGGGCCGCAATGAGGGCCGCAATCAGCCGGTCGGTGGACTCGGGTAGTTTCCAGTTCACCATGTTGCTGTCCTCGAGGGGGGTTGTGTTGAGATGAGGTGAGGTAGCCGGAGAGCAACAGACAGAAAACAGTCAAAGTCCGGTATCTGCTTGTCAAGGCCAAGAGAGGCAGGACAGAGATGAAGCCTATAGTGTATAAAGAAGACAAGAATCTCAGGCATCCAGTAAAGGTCAAGAATATGCTTGTGGGTTTTTAACGCACAGCTCCGAGGCCGAGTGGAAAGTCAGGTCCGACGTAGGCCCGACGCAGGCCAGGTCGTCCGTAGAGGTCTCCAGAACGCAAGAGTTAGCTACTTGACTTTTATTGAGGTGACCACAGAGACGCCTTGGACTGAAGAGACAGGGAAGTACCTTACTCTCCTCAGCGGTGAAAGCCTGCGCAGGAGGACACTGAGTCTGTGAACCGGGGAACTAGGCTGGCAGGTGGGGAAAGTTGATGTGTAGACTCGATGTGAGCCGAGGGGCATCAACGCCAGGTCCAGTCAACGCATCAGTGCAGGACTGCATATCCGACTGATCCCTAGGACAGAGTAGATGAGTATGAAACAACTCCTGCATGATCCCCGCCACTGGCAGGGCCGGGGAAGCACATCCTCCATCCGGTGTCGTAAGGGCCACAGGCCATCGGCCAGCAATGCAGGAACCAGCCCATAGCCATCCGTCCAGCACCATCACCCGGAGCAGCTCAGTGAGATGCGTCACGGGATCAAAAACAGCCCGGATCTCCCTCTCAGCCAAGCAGACAGCATGACCAATGGCCGGCCAGCGTGCGGCGCCCAATCCCCAAGGCTGGTACCTCCACTGCGTTGCTCGGAGACCGTTTCTCACTGGTAAACACCAGCATTCACTGTGGTACAAGACTTGCTGGGCTGAAGTATTTTTTACTCCCGTGGCTCGCCCTTTCATTCCCTCCTTTTCCCTCGTCCCCAGACTTTCTCTCTCTTGCAAGTCTCAGTTCTGTCTTGTTCTTACTCATTAGTCCACGCTCTTTACTCTCTCTGACTGAACTGTGATTGACTATCATTCTCTACTTGGACCTTCTTTTACTTCTACAATAGTTTTTCAAGACCAACAGAACGGAATCCTTGACCATGCGCTGGACGTCGGACAACGACCAGCTAGTACGTCCCATCTACCCCAACCCCCAACCATACTAACCTCCGCCCTCTACAGCTGCTGCTTATGATAATCGAAACTCACGACCTCCGCATCGACACCAAGCGTGTCGCCGCCGCCTGGCGTAAGCCCTACCCTCCCTCCCCCATTCCCCCTCCCCCAAACCAACCAACCCCCTAACCTACCCCCCAGCCACCGCCGAAGGCACCACGGGTCCCACCCCCCGCGCCATAACCGAGCGCCTGGTCAAGCTGCGCCAGACAGCCCGCGAATCCGGTGTCGCAGAAGGCAGCTTTTCCATTGGAAAAGGTGTTAAAAATCCCACTCCGGCTTCTACGCCCCGCAAGTCACGCAAGGGTGCTGCGTCAGCGACGCCGAAGACCCCGAGTTCGGGGAAACGTAAGCGGGTGTTGAAGAAGGATGATTCTGAGGAAGAGCAAGAAAAGGGGATGGTTGTGTCGTCGGGCATGCCATCGTCCTTGTCTTCGCCTGCGGGCAATGACCCTGTGCTGACCCCGACTAAGGGCAAGGGGAAGGGCCGGAAGAAGCTTTCGGTGAGAAGCTCAGCTCCGGGTAGTAGTGAACCGGTGGGGGCGGCTGGAGAGGAGCGAGATGTTTTTGTTGTTGGGGAGAGGATGCACCTAAAGTTGAAGATGAAGGGGGAGGGGGAGGGGGAGGGGGAAGGGGAGGAGGCTGGCTCGCCGGCCAAGCGGGTGAGGAAGGCGAGTGTCCTTCCCCCCGGAATGATCAATTGGCAGGGTGACGGCGGGCCGGAATCGGAGGAGCTCGAGAGCTTGACTTCGGAGTATCTCCCTGACCCTGACATGCAGGTCAAGGGTGAGGGGGACGAGATGGAGTATGCTTAATATGTGTAAACTTTCAGATTTGCAGGTTGGTGGATCTTTGAACACCTGGGAGGCGTGGGTATTTCACGGACTGATGAAATTGGTTGCCCATTGTATATTTTACGAGACTTGATTATGGGCTGGAGTTGATCGAATTTCTGGGCCTACTGTCTGTACTTAGTTCATAAATTGAAGACATTGCGCAAGTACACGTTTGTAAAGTAAGAGATAAATCTGCTTCATTGCAGAGAGCTGGATACTAACGAGTATGAAACGACATGTCCCCTCAAAGGTACATCCTATCCCCAGTCTTAGCCCTCACCTTCCACCATGTATCCAGCTAATTCATCCCCGGAATTCAACGTATCCCTAATCAACCCCAGCATTCAAAGTATCCCTTATCATCCAAGCAGCTACAGGTCCAATCAACCAATGAAATGACCAACTCATTCGCACCTGAGGTGAATACAAGTGGACTAAGATCAGCCAGCCAAATCAGCCACGTCGGTCTCAGACTTGACCGGAGTCTCCTGGACCTCATCGCCACCAACCGACCCGTGCTCGCCACGGCCAGCAGCAAGAGCCTCAGCGTGAGTAACGTCAGGCAAAACATCCTCCGGACTGTCCTCTCTCTCGGTAGTTTCGGACTTCTTGGCCTTTCTGGCCCGAGTCTTCTTGGGGGTAGGAGCGGCCACATTCTCGCTGTCCTCGACAGTGTCGGCAGTCGTCGTCTTCTTAGGGCGACCTCTCTTTCGTTTCTCCGGAGTGGGAACCACAGACGCAGGTCCGGGGCCATTGGCTGGGGCGGTCATGGTGGCAGTTCCATCGCCGGGAGTGCCAGGGGCAGAGCTGGCGGCAGCAGCAGTGGAAGCACCGACCTTTTCCTTGAGGCGCTGGATGCGATGCTGCACGGCACTCACGGTGCACCCTGGGAGAGGATTGTTAGCTCAGCATTAATCTATAGGTGGATTTGGGGCTTGGGGACAGATGGGATTTAGATACCGGGACCCATGTAACTAGCCAGGGCGGGCATGTCCAACTTGACATTGGTAGTTGCCAAGATGCCGACCAGCAACTGAGGTCCAAGATGTTAGCCTGGGCTGGTATGAGCTTGGGAGGGTACGGATGGACATACCTTGGCATCAGCAGTGTCATTCCAATTCATGGGCATCTTGACGATCAGTCTGGTTGTGCTGCTCTTTGGTTTGAGGGTGGATAAAGTTGGAGCGAGTTACAACGAGGAGGCTGAATGCTTCACAGGAGAGACGGTAGGACGGAGAAGAGACGGTGGAGAGGAGATGAAGAGAGGCAACATGGGGTGGAAGGGGATGAAGGAGGGAATTTGGAGAGAGTAGAGTGAGTGTTCCTTTTCACAGGTGTCTGGGTTGAAGCGGGGATGAGCCCACCCTGGCATTAACATTCACTCAAAAGTATTTCTCGTGGTCAAAGAAAAGGTGTTATTACTGGGGTGGGGACGAATACAAGCTGAGTCTTTGTGGGATCTGAGCTCTGGATTATTCGAGTGGTTGCTTTCATATACTAGGCACACTGGGGGGAGGCGTGGCGCTGTGGTATCATTCAAAGGCTAAGGGGGAGGAAACGTAGAAAAGCATGCAAGGCAAGGCATATAAGGCGATCAGCCTGCCCGCTCAAAGACAAAGTGGGTGTGCCCCTTCAGATGGTAGGAGGAGAAGTAGTCGTCGTACCTCAGCTCCTCGCGGCTCTTCCGGGCCGTCTTCAGGTCGTCATACTGTCGGAATACTCGGCCGAGGGTTACATACAGCTCACAGTACGCAAGTCTACCGTGCCAGCGGTTAGGGCAGCTCGAAATGACAGGGAGTAAACCTACGGCATCCCAATACACTGCCGGGACCCCTTGCCAAAGGAGAAGAGATACCTCTCCAGAGTCTTGCTCTTGGCCGGATCGGTCCATCGGCTTGGATCAAATATCTCCGATTGCGGGAACAGGTCTTCGTTATGGTGCATTGTCCACGAGCTCATGCTAACCACAGTCTAAGATTACTGTTAGCATCACAGGGCCAGAGTTGCATTTCCATGTCTCGATCCATACCCCAGCAGGAACATGATAGCCATTAAAGTCGGCGCCGGACTCGGGTACGACTCGAGGGAGCCTGCCGGGAACTCCACATGACAATCTGAAATGAAATGAAGTGAGCGGGCCGTTCTCCAAACACTGCATCAGATCAGCAGGGTACATACCGGAGGGCTTCCTTGATAACAGCGGTCTTTCAACGTTAGCGGAGGTCCGGAACGGAAGCAACTCCAAACTTACCAAGTAAGGCAGTTTCTCCAAGGCCACAAAATCCATGGGCCCGTCCAGGTCAGGGAACGCCTGCTGCAGCTCCTTCGTTAGCTGCTTGTAGATCTCCGGACTGCGCACAACGTTGTAGGTAGCGATCGTCAGCGCATTCCCGGTCGTGTCCGCAGCTGCGGCCAACATGATGTAGGCCTCATCCTTGAGCTCCTCTACCGTGGGCACTACATGACCCTCCGCAGCCTCTGGGTGAAGAAGCTGATGGAAGATGGTCGTCCGAGTCCCTTTCTCGCCCAGATCGACGGCGTCCTTCACTTTGGATATTTGACGGCGAGACCCCTGAGCTCTCGTCAGCCTGTGCAAAAGGGGTTTGACACACAACCAACCTCGTGGTGCAACATCATCCTTGACAAGGGCTCACTGATCAGCTTAGCTAACCAGAACGGCGTACTGAGTGCAAGCCCCTGGATAGCAGGAAATTGCTGGAAGAACCAAAACGCCGGGCCAAAGCCTCGGATCATTTCAAAAAACGCAACTCCAAAGTCCTTTTGGCCGAGGAATCCATAGCAGTCGTCAAACGCATAATCGGTGATGACATCGACAGAGATGGCCCGAAAGCCATGGTGCAGGTCAATCTGACCTGTCGACCTGAAAGCCTCCTTCATGCGGTTGACCAGTGTTTCCGCCTTCTCCTGCACAATGTCCTCCAGCTCCAGCACCCTTTTGCGTGAGAAGAAGGGGTTCAAGGCCGACCGCTTCACTCGGTGTACGTCGGGGCTCGGCGTGGTGAATGTCGCCTTCTTGGTGCCGAACGCACCGTAGAAGTCAGGATCCTTGCCATACCGGGATCCTATATAGTAGATCTTCTCGCAGTTCTCGGGATCGCTCAGGTGGATCTCGTCTGGCGTGATACGGACAACGGGGCCTAAGCGGTTAATTACTGCTGCCAATAGGGAGATACAGTACATCTAAGGAGACGATGAACATACCATATTGCTCATGCAGCTGCTGGACATGCAGATAGAATGATCCATGCATATTGTACCAAAAGGCATACAAATGGGTGGCTCGTGCAACAAGTGGGCCGGGTACATTGGCTAAGGGATGGAAGAACAGTCGATATACGGCCACCCAAATGCATCGCAGAATGGACACAATGGACAGAACGGCTGTCACAAACACAAGTATGTGGACAGAGTACATGTCGGGCAGACGGACTGAGTTGAGGCTATCACCGGAGGATCGAGGGAGAAACCTGGATGTCGCCAGGATCACCCGACTGCTTTAAGAGAAGGGCGCTGAGACACGGCTCGCCAATTGACCGCCAGGGAAAAGGAACTGATAGCCATCGACCTCTGCCTAGGTAAGCAGAGGGTATTGCCTCTTAGGGGAAGCGAGCAGACCCCGCAAGGGACTAGTCGTGACAGGATTGGGCGAACCGTCTAGCAGTCATGATCAAAAGACTGTCTTCACGGCATGGGCCGTTTAGGCCAAGCAGAAAGTTCTCTGCAGCAGGCCCAAGCATCCTGGGTCGCCTCGGCATCCCATCTGCTGGGAGCAATTGGATGATACCTGCCGGTTTCCATTCCCGTATACGTTCGGCAATCATCAGATACGGAGGATGGGTCTGGTCTATCAGTTGCCTTATGCAGTGCCAACAAAAGCAACGGACCCAGTGGTTTGGGCCGAAGTGCCGGCTGCAGAAAGTCCCCCGGGGGGAAGGGTCAGTCAATGTTATTGGCGAGAGATTGGCAACCCTCAGACCTGTCATTGGCAGGGAGGCCGGAGAGCCATCTAGAACCCTTCTGCAGAAGTCCCGGCAATTCATTCGTGGGCCCTTCGACCGGCCGTTGCTGCTAACGGCCAAGTTGAGGAGGCGAGCCATCAGCGCAGAGGAAGTCAAGTGCCCACGGCACTGTCCAGGTGGCCGGATCTGACCCATGACGATCGAGGAATCGAATGAGGAAAGCACAGTGGACGGGGAAGCTACTTACTGAACTTAGCAGGAGTACTCCGTCGGCATCATTGGAACGGGACCCGGCCGGGCGGGTCTGACCCTCTGAGCCGGGCCCTGACTGGTCAATGGGCCCCTACGATGTATTTTAGGGTGGAGCTGACCCCCCGACCGGAACAATACTAATGAATACCTGTGGAGGGGGAAACTGGACAGCTTGGGGTCCTCGATTTTTGAAGTCTCCTCGGACTCAGAGAACTGAGAAGGGTCCAGCGACAGGATAACTTATCCTCAGACCAGTTCCATAAACCCTTGGGACCGTGTCAGCTATCTACAGTGCATGGAAATAGGTGAGGGATGACCGGTGGCCAAGAGCCACGGCGACCGAACCCCCCAGCCAAGGACTGCCCTCCTCGGACGCAATGGTACGATGTGGATGACGATGATGATGATATGGATGATGGTATCCGCATTTCCGTGACTCAACGTACACGCTCCGTGCATGATCTTCGTGGACCGTGTTATGCCTCCAGCTGCTCCTCCGTCCACCGGGCGGCCGTCATCCTCGGTCGCCTCCACTCCCTTCTGCACCAGACGGCCAATCGCAGGCGCGTGCCACGCATCTGCACCACCCGGCCTAACCCAAAGCCCAAATTAAACCCAAGGCCTCCCGGCCTCCCCGACTCTTCATGACGGGAAGGTTGAGCCCCGGTTGGCACCCCTCTGCCAGGCTAGTCATGTCTGCTTGCAGTAGTCTCCTGCATGGTGCATTTGATCGGTCCCCCATCTCTGCCAGCGGTGCCGCGGTACGCTGCGTCCCCAAAGTTTAATAAGCACTCGTAGGCTTTTGGCCGTACACCCCGACGCTGTTGTGACACGTAAGAAAGGAGTCTGCGGTTAGCTTCGTGCTCTGACAGCCCACAAGGTTAAACACCACGATGTCTTACACATTGAAGTAGGCGTGCGTGTTCGGGTCCCGGAGCCCTTTACGCATCTGGACCAGGAAGACTTGCACCTCGGGATAGCTCCACTAGATGCAGCAAGGATTAGCAGGTCAGCCCGTGTCTGACTGGCTGCGGCCGAGAGGCATGCTGCGCAATACAACAAATACGAGGCTTAAGACTCGCAGACCCCCAAAGAAGAAAGCATGATCGACTGCAGGATCATCCAGTCGTAAGCAAGAAAAGGTGGACTTACCCCCATGACTCTCGTCAGCAACGCCATGGCCCATCCCTCAATTCCCTGCTCACAGTGGACCAAGTTCCACATGCCTAGTTTCTTCAGCTTTTTGTCCTTGCTCCACTGGCCGACGGGGATCTTGAATCGTTCTTCGGTCACGTTCTGAAAGCCAGCGTCCTGCATATACCCTTTCGCAAGATCGGCAATGCGGAAGGTCTTACCAAACCTCTCGCCGGCCTCGATGAAGGTCTTGGACCAGATCGCCAGGATATGGTCATCGGTCACGGTGCCATCGTCCGATGTAAATTGGATGGACATCTCGAGTTGGTCAAACCAGCCTCCGGGCCGCAGACGGCTAGCATACAATTAGACTCTGGTGTCCAACGATGGAAAGTCACAAGGCAGCTTACTCGAGAGCACTGCGATAGAACGCGGGCCAATTTGCGATAGCCCCATACATGGCACGTACGTGGACCAAGTCAAAATGGTTCTCTGGGTACATCCACTCTTCCGTCGCGTCGTCGATCTCGAACTGGAGATTGGGTGGAACGAAACCAGGTTGTATGGGCGAGAGGTCAGTACCAATCACTTGTGCCGAGGGATACTCGTCCGCAAAGTCGCTGTATATGAGCTAGTTAGATGTCCACCACCTTGATCCAACCTAGAATGACCGTGTTCACTTACATGGCCCAAATCCCCGTACCGGTGCCAACGTCCAGCGCCCTCTGCCGGTCACGCCATCAGCATTGGTTCTCAGCATACGTACAACATTTGCGCCGAAGGTTACTCACCTGAATATTGTCACTGATCGGTGCGAGTAGCAGCCTGCCATCGAGTAGCAGCGTAAACATGTGGTGACTGAATGTAAGGTTAGCGTGTCACACGAGGGGCCAATCTAGACCGCGTACGCAATATCCAATTGCTCATTTTGCTTCTCGTCATTGGGGCCCCTGGACAGTAATTAGCACGGTGCACCCAGCCTACGCCACCGAACAACATGACAATACCAGTAAGCCCCGTCCTTGTAGGCGTGGTAGCGGCGACCATTCTCGAACCGGTATGCGGTGATTTCAGAGTTCAACGACGTTGTATCGCTCGCACTAAGTACCGTAAGTATGACAGCTTATCTGGAGCGACGGCTGTCACGGCTAACTCACAAGTCCTCTGCATAATCCGAGAAGTCTTCGTCGCCTTCTGCCTCGTCCTGGTGAGGCCCAAGTCAGCCGACAACTGGAAAGATTTGGAAGAAAAACCCGGCCGGTACAGGAGATCGGCGCATGGAGCCAAGGAGCATACTGAGTCCGAAAAGTCACCACCATGGGCCGGTACCAAAGGGGTGGTGCTCTGAGTTGCAAGTTGTGGAGCGGACATCAAGGGTGCCGTGGACGGTGGGGGATCATTAGCGGCGGCCCCTTCCAAGTCGGCTCTGGAAACAGTTTCCGCCATGGTTCCAAATTTTTCTCTTGGAGGCGTCGTGAAGGGGACAGAGAGCGAGACCGGGCACGATGGTCCCTGGGGTTAATATGGAGCCTGTGTATATCGAGGGATGGATGACGTTGATCGTGGAGGATGGATTGTCTCCCTGGACTTTATTTTCTTTTTGGTTGGTGTCCCTCCCGCTTCCCGATTCGATCGCGAGCTGCAACTAGTCGGTTAGTAGCGATGGACGTTGAGACTTGAGAGGCAAAATGAGGTGAGGACCAGAGGAATTTCCGTCACTCCCGTATAGCCACCGCACTAGACGCCTAGTCCCGTAGCAGCGCTCCGGCCCAGATCCTATCCAAGTACTCCGTAGTCTCTAGTACTTTTTTCGCGAGGACGGCCAAATCCGGCCCCGTGTCTGTGCAGATAAGATGCAGATGGCAGACGGAGTCTAGAGCCTTCGCGCGTCAGATGAATGGTTATCAGTGATCGCAGCCACGCATGGGTGGAACCCCCGTCCCCAGTGGGATGGAGGATAGGACTTGGACGGCCGATTCGGTGGGCTTCCATGGCCGCCGGACGATGCGGTCAACAAAGAGCAACTCGCTTAGCTGGGAAGGCCAACCCCCACCAAATGGACGCGAGTCAGCGCAGGGAACCATCATGGCCATTCAAATCCAGCGCTCTGGGATGCAGCCCGGATTGGATGTTGTTTTCACCACCTTACTCCGTATAGTTATACAGACTACAGAGTAGCGACCGTATCTACTCCGTACCATCTAGTACTTTAGGACCAGTCGATCCAAAGCCACCCGCCCGCTGCTACTAAGGAGCGGGTTCTCGGCCACCAACCAGGGCCACAATCCCGTTATCTGACAGGTCGCATTCCCCGGAAAGCGTTTCCAGGCTACCTGGTCGAAAGCAATCATTGGCTGTCGGTCGGGGCGTCTGAAAGCCGTGCCTTGAACCGCAGGACAAACACCGGCACTGCACCCCCTGCAACGCAACTCCGGGAGCGAAAAGGTAGATACGTGGAACATTTGACCAGGGGATGGGCCCTCCAGCAGTGGTTCAAATACCTTCCGATGGCCTGCCTGATATCGGTCGGCATATCTTGACTGCGAGACCTCTAGTATTGTTTGACCTTCCTGATTTACCACTCTCGCAAATACAGCGAGAATCACCAATGCGAGACTAAGACAGACTTATAACCATTCAGCACGCCTAAAGAGGTAGAGACTGCGAGACTGAGGTGGCCGCTGACATGATCGATAGCTGCCCTTTGTCTTTTTTCTGGATCACGGAACTCTCGTTGTGGGTTGAGCAGGGATGTTCGGGGAAATATAGCAGCGGTAGTCACGCCACGCTTCACGACAAGTGGACCAGGCCGCCAACCAGGGAACAGCCGTTAAGCTTCGGCGTTCTGAATTTTGCTGGTCATCATAAGCGGTTTAGAGGCCGTTCTCTCGGCTCCTGGACCAGGAGTCCCGAGGCTGCCAACTGGCCGTTGAAACTGCACCGCAAACCCCAGTGAAGTTATTGTAGGTGTCTATGCCTGATGACGCTAGAATCCCAGCTAACAGAATTCCGTATCCGGGCCATGATTGAGTCAGATGCTTCGTATATCTGGAAATGTGGAAGAAAAAAAAAATTGGACACAACATGATAACCCGAAGGCATGAACTGCGTATGGAAGCCAATTCGCGACACCTCCCGAGTTCGTCAGTAACGACAACGCATGTTTAAGTCCAAACATGCAAGCCTCGGTGGTTCATTCGAACTCTGTTCTTTCGGGTCAGATGATATCTCGAATGGAAGTCACCTCGCTGACAGCAGTCAGCTGGAAGGATAGACATAGTAGATGCCGATACAACATTGCCATGTGCATCGCTGGAAAACCAGATCCTTTAGAGTGACCTTCGACCTGTATATGTGGGGACTTGTGTGGTTGTGCCGACTGTCCTCTCTTGGACCGTGCCGGTATTCCAGGAGACACTCACTCGTTGGTTGTGAAAAGCCCTCAACGTCAGGAGGGGCAGTCTCAAGCTTGTGGTGCGATCGTTTTAGGTTTCAATAGCCTCCTCCCTGATTCCCAAGGCGAACTATCCCCTCAGAGATCGTAGCCAGACCAAAGATTCAAGTATCACGAAGAGGACGGGGCTTTCTGACTGCTCCAATAACTTCCTCATTCGAACATTTCATTCATCATGGAAGGAGCGACCGAGTGAAAGCAACCAAGACAGCCTGTCAGACGAGGCATGGATGACTTCCGCCCGGATAAGTTAGCTCCCGCAACGATAAGCGATGTTGCTGGAAATGGAAGGAAACAGGAACCAACAAAGGATACAGAGATCGAGCAAGCAATCGACTAATTCCCTGGTTACGCATACAGAGTGCACGTTGAGTCACGTCAGCGCAGTTCAATGGGGACAGTCTTCTGCTGGCGAGGTATAGTCAAAGACTCCAGCGATATGGACCGTTTTAATGTGATTTTCCCCTGGCACCTTTCCGCCCGCGATCATCAAACATTCCGCCCCCATTAACACCATGTCAAGAAGCCATAATATGTTACAAGTTGGTCGCCTCTTCAAATGAATGGGGTTCGACCTGCCACGTCACCAATGTTCCCACCCTGCCACCCAATGGCTCACGGGCGTTGCAATGTTGTCCCCTGTCCCCTGTCCCAAGTTCCCCTCCCCCGCTATCGCTGCCTGAGGCACTCAGCCCTGCCAGGGGCCAGGACCCAATCGGAGCGCGCCAACCTGGCGGTTCCGTGGTGTTCCAGTTGAGAATCAAATGAGCTCCAGTCAATCAGCCTTATTGTATGACACTGCCAGCTGCCAAGGGAGCATCTCTTGGGGCCATTGCGCCCAGCCAAGGTCAGCTATCTGCGCCTAGCCGGATCCAGCCCCAACGGCAATGCTCATGGAGGACAAGCATGTCGCCATTTGTGCGGACGTACGCCAACCATACCGCACCCCTAAGCGCTACACCAAGACTGCTGCCTAGGGCCAGATGGAAACTGGCGATTCAAACTCGAGAACTGAGCCCTGTGTGTGGCGGAGATGAAAGATGAGGACCCTTTCAGGGTCCACCGGTGACCTGGCTGCCAAGGAGATCAGAGTACGCGGAGTGGGGGAGGCTGGCCCCAGAGACCACCATGAAACAATAATTGACGCTTCACTGGGGGTTCATCAGCCACAATAGTGGGATTATGGCGGCTGCCTGGGGCTAAGAAGGGGAGCCCGCCATATGAGCGGTCAAATCATCGTTCACAGCCCTGCTCAGCCTGCTCCAACAGTGGCTGCAGTGCACCCATTCTCCTATCCAGGGGCTCCCCGAAATAGCCACCAGGGACTATCAATCAACCCACGAGACGGTGGCAAATGATCGGAGGCCAAGTGAGCATCTTGGGGAATGGAGGGGCTCCACTGAAGGACGGCGGGGTATAAAGTCTCCCTTCTTTCAGCCCTCAACCCAGTTCTTCTTCTCCTCCATCTACTCACAACCACAAGACCTCAAGCACAGCACTCTTCTCTCTTCTACAACCAACTCTTCCTACCCTTCTCTCAAAATGAGCTTCTACCGCACCGCCCAGGAGATCCGCGTCGTCGACGGCCACATCCTCGTTGCCGTCGTGGAACAGGAGGGCGGCAACTGGGACGAGTCTACCTTCGACCTCAACGAGTGCATTGGAAACGACGAGGGTATGTCATAATCTTCTGACGTGTAGCTCATCGTGGAAAGCTAATCGTACCCAACAGGTCGTTTCCTGTGGGGCGGCCGCGACTTCGCCGGAAGTGCCCAGGACATCAGCTTTGCTATTGAGGGTGCCGACAGCGTGCCCGTTCTGAGAGCCCGCCTCGCCAACTCCGAGGGCGAATGGTTCGATGCCGATGTCAACCTGGCCGAGCACATCACCAACCGCAACGGTGTCCTCGAGTACCAGGAGGAGTCTCTTCTTTAAGTCTTTCAAGAATTTTAAGCGTGCATCAATGACGACACCATCCTGAGAGCTGGATCAACAGGATGTATGGACGGAATTGGGCAGATTGACTTTCGGATATAACTTAGCAATGTCATTATTAAGGTTTTGTGCTACACCATATGCAAGTCCATCGTGTTTGACAAGTAGCATTATCACATTAGGGGGGTAAATTATTAATGGTCTTATCAATGGCCGAACTGATCAACGACCGAAGTAATAGCTAACGCGAAGCCCACTATCCACGCAACAAATAACTCCCCATGGCCCGGCAATCCCAAACATCCTGACGCAAATACTCCAATCTACCCGGAGTGTATCATGAAAGATCAAAGAAACAAACAGAAGAGAACACCCCGCGCCAGTGGGTCAGTAAAATCAAAGGAACATCATGAGGGGTGAGGAGCAAACATATGCCACTACCATGCATGTCTCCCATGAGTGACATCCAGGTCATTCCCATTCCAATCTTCATCTCCACTAAGCTCCTCGTCCAGGAAGTCTTCCTCGTTGAACTGTGTCTCCGTCGGGCGTTGGTTGTCAATCCGCACCATGACAACATCGCACATGCCTTGTATCGCACCCAATAGGGAGTCGTTAGCCTCCTGAGATCCGCGCTTCGCGGCCTTCATCGCTTCGTCGTCCTCGATCTCGGAGAACTTCCTCTGAGCGAGGCGTGCACTCTTCCGTTTGGATGGCGTTGACAGCCCGCTCTGCTGAGTATCGGAATGCGTATGGTTCTCGTCTGAAAGTATGTTTTGAGCCCGGTGGAAAGGATCTGGTTGTGGCAAGGCGCGCGGGATGGAACGAAGATTTGGATTCGGGGGGTTGCTTCGTCGTAAAAAGGTTTTCTCTAGCTTTCCGATCCATTTCTCTCGGAAGGTCGCACGATCACGCCATCCAATTTTGAGGATCGCGCTAATCACAAGTCGCCGCAAGTTCCGTAGTTCAGGCGCCGCGTCAATGAGGGACCCAAAGAAGATCTCCGCCATCGTATCATCCCATTTGCGCAACTGAATCAACTCAATTTCCCGCAGCGTGGGGGGCCAGGTGGGAACACCTGCCGATGGGTCAAGAAGGTCCTGGAAGTGCGGCTCGACATCATGATAGCTAGAGCCGTCATGCATCGAAATGTCCATTCTGAATCTTTCGAGCATCTGGCATGACTTAGCCAGGCTGGCGATGAAAGACAAGCTCAAGTGGCGGTTATGGCTTAGATCCAAAGCTTTCAGATTATGACCGTGCGAAGCGAGAAAGGAGCTGAGGTTCACCGCAGTCACCTCATCACAGTTGTTGAGGGTAAGCGAGGTGAGTCCCGTTGGTAGGTTCGGCAGGAGGTACTCGTTTACGATCGAGCATTCCACGAACTCCAAGCGACGTAGCTCGGGAAGCTCCCGGAGAGCTGTCGCAAGAACCACTTCGTTTTCGTCAGAACACTGCGCCACTTCGTTGACCTCCGCATCCTCTGATGTTATCTGGAACAATTGGAGCTCATGGAGCCCGTGAAAAGCAGGCTGCAGGTGCTTTTCTAGCATCAAAGGCAGAAGCTTTCTAGTCTCTATGAAGCGACTGTTCCACTGCCAGCAGCGGAGCTGTATTGAACTAGACACCAGTGAGGTAAAAAGGGAATCGGGGTACACCCATTTTGAGCGTGGCTTTAGCCAGGGGGGAACACCCATGATGTAGTCATCTTTGTGGTAGAGACGCAGCGTTTTCACCTGAGGGGTTCGTTCAATCAGCCTGGGTAATTCAAAGTATCCCAAGGTCGGTCCGCTTTTGTAGAACAGAAGATTTTCCACGTCGACGTGTAGTTCCTTGACCTTGCTCGCATAGTTAGTGGAGAGAGTGTCCTGGGGCTTGGCCAACAACTGTAGCAAACCATGGGACTTGGAGGCTGGTATCAAGGGAGGACAATGATAAAGGGCCGCCAAGGCCGGCTCGTGAAAAGCACGACAGAGTAAAGCAACATTCACCAGCCACTGGACAGAGCTATGTCTGTTGGCAGTTTTCTCGTCAATCAATGGATTCGAAGCGCGAACGAATATATCCAGGAGTATATGGTAAGGAAGGGTTTGCCACGGGGGAATAACACCCGACCCAGCAAAGGGTGTCTTCTCCTCCTCCACCTTTCTACGTTTGTGGAGCGGTCGGCCTAGCTCCATACGCTTTCGCCCTGTTCGCTTTTCGGACTTCTTTGTCTGCGATCGTGTTCTCACGGTTCGATTACGCGGGGCTCGCGATGGCGCGGTGCGACTGTTCGCTTCAGGAAACGAGTAAGTAAAGCGGTTAGGGGCTTCGGTGGGGACTACAGCCTCCAGATCATCATTGGTAGGATCAAAGTCATCGTCAGTGGAATCCTCACGGTACGATGTGGGCATGCGTCCTGAATTGCGGGGGCGCAACGAGAGCGACAGGCGCCTCGACTGCTCCTCGTCGGACTGGGTGTCTTCATCCAGGCGCCCTTCCGAGCTGCTGTCTTCGTGGTAGGATTGGATGTGCGTGCGACTCGAGCGGATGGGCCGAGACGGTCCTGATGCTTGCTGACGGGAGGATCGTTGCGAGGGAGCCATGGCGAGACGGCTGGTTCGCTTTTCGACTTGGTAATGTGAGTGACCCCGGGAAGAGGTAGATGGCACATGAGTTGCTAAGCTCCAGGTGGTGTGAGGCAGGCGACTGGCACAGGAGTTGATCGCATTTCCTCTGGGATGGGGCGCAAGATCGCGATGCTGAGAGAGGTCAGTGGGAAGATGGAGGAGGTAGAGGAAGGAGGATGAAAGAGGTGCGAGAGAAAGCGAGGTATGATGTCGACCGGGTCGTCACTCTCCTCCCATCGAGGCTTCCCGGTTGGGGGGGAACGCGGGAGGCTATCGATAAGGCGCGGCGAGCGGAAAGGGAAGGGGCGCCGGGTGCTGACTCAGCGGGGCTAGGCCCCAGGGGGGCTAGGGGGCATGTTGATGGGGGACGAGAGGGCGTGACCGGGTGACAGGCCAGGCATCGCAGGCATCGAGGTCTCCCCGCCCTGAGGCCGCCACGCTAGGCCGGGACAGGCATCGAGGAAGCGCCCGAAATAGAAACGACGGGCAGGTCCCAATCAGGCCAAATCTATCACCGGCCTTCTTTAAAGCGCCGCCGTCGGCCAGCCACAGCCCTCTCCTCTTTTCTCCCCCTTCCATTTGGCGCCTGCGACCATGGTCTGTCGGTCGAACCATCGTGGTCGCCAGCGTGGATTGACGCCTTCCAATCCCCAGCCGGTGTCTTTTTTTGATTGTTGATTGATATTGATTGCGTTCGCAGACCTGCTTCTCATTGCCCATTTTCCATGCGCATCACTTCTTATTGGGCTGGTCCCTAATTTACCCCGGGCTCGTCGCAATCTGATAGGGTCCCTCGACTTCGGCGCGTGCTGAAATTGATCTGCCCTATCTCGATCCATCTTCCATACTACTATCTATGCTTCTCCACCTCCCCCCAGATTACACCTCGTTTCTCTGTTTCTATATAGGATCTGCCCCCGACCCGGCGGTGTCTTCATAATTGAACTATTCTGTTGTTGTTCTTCCATCATGGATCCTTCCTTCTCCAACGTGATGAACCAGCCTGTCCCGCCGGATCGGACGGACTTAGGGCCTCCACCCAACATGGTCATCCAGCAGTACGCAAGATATCCTCCGGCTCTGGAGCCTGGTTTACATAGCGCTTCTTCCATAGGCAGTGCTCCCACTCGCATAGGCCCCTCCAAATCCCCTCCTCTCGCTCGCAAAGCTACCCCGCGCAGTCTGCAGGCATCGCCCACCGGCCCACGCCCGGTTGTGCCTCCCCCGCCAGTGGCGCGCTCGGGGCCCTCGATCTCGCCTCCAATGTATGATTCAATCCGGCCGCTGCCTCCCCGCGAGTCAATGGACCAGCTGGAAACTCGGGCTCTGCCGTCGCGCGACCTGACCGATGGCACCATCGACGATGCTTATATCATGTTCATCTTCTACTGCAATCCGAATGTCCCTCTGTCGGTGGACACGTCAGAACTCCGCAAGAACTTTCGCTGCCCTCCTCGAAGCGATGGCAAAAGCTTCAGTATCTTTGCCTTATGGGAGCTCATTCGAAGGCTGGACAGCAAGGAGCTCAAGACGTGGATACAGCTGGCGATTGAACTGGGGGTGGAGCCACCATCGATGGAGAAGAAACAGAGCACGCAAAAGGTCCAGCAATATGCCGTTCGGCTCAAGGTGGGTTGCCAGTGCCATTCTGTTGAATCACCGGCCTGGCTGGAAGACTGACCTCTCTCTAGCGCTGGATGCGCGCCATGCATGTCGATGCGTTTTTCGAATATTGCCTCGGACATCCCCATCCCTATTACACTCGCCTTCCGCCCTCCACCGTGATCAGCGACACCCGAGATGGCGTCCCCCTCGAAGAAGACCTTGCATTGCGGGCTCTGGTTCCTCAGTGGAGACCGAAACGAGGGCGAAAGCGGGCTGAGGAGGAGAATGACAAGCTGGCATTGGTAAAACGGCCTCATCTCGATCCCTCGGTGGGCGTTATGCAGCCAGTCCCATACCAAGGGCCCTCGCCATTCCCCCCAGGCGCTCTCCCGTTCACCACTTTCCCTGATGAGATGGAGTCGAATGATCCGTGGATGGGCAGCGGCCCTCCCTTCCCGCCCGACGCTTCCTCAGATACCCAAACGGCCCAGTCGAATCCCGATCTGCGGTGGCGGCCGATGGAACGGGATGCATCCCCGGCCGGTTATTCCGCTATTGCCCCTCGAAGCCAGCACCCGTCTGAGGTCTTCATTCAGCCTGCCGAGCCACGCTCGGCCGTGTCACTATCCTCGGGAGAAAAGACCCGGCCCAAGCGGCGCCATGGTCCCGCGGTCTCCTCGGCGTGGCCCAGCAACAACGGGAGTAATGGAAAGACCCGAGGCCGGCCACCCAACCGGGGGACCGTGTCGGGACCTTTCTCCTCGTTTCCGGTCAATCCTAACCGCACCGACTCATCTCACCTGCCGGGCCCTGGGCTTCGGACCTCTCCTGCGATGATGCTTGACCAGGATCCTTCCAATCGCTTTCATAACTCTCCGTTCCAGCAATCACCCACCCCCTTCTCCTTTGCCCCCAAACCACATAAGCTGCAACTGCAAGGTCCACCGCCCACCGGCACGCCGGTCCGTCTTGCGACCCCTCCCACCCTGCTGGTTAACGGCGTCAACAACGGCTCCGGTTCGTTGATGAAGATGGAGGGAGGCCAACGGAACGGGACTCTGGCCCCTCTGAACGACTTTATCAGCAATGTCGGTGTCACCAACCCGTCCTCGTATGCCAACCGCAACAGCGTCCCCAATGCGGACATCTCGTCCGATGAGGTTGTGCGCGTGCTGTCGAGCGAGCTCCTTCGCGGGAAAACCACCGGTCGGCCGACCCCTCTCACCACGGACGAGGCCCGGGGTCTCGCAGTGTCTGTTGTGTCCAGCCTGACAACCACATATGCCAAGCTTCCGTCCGGATTGGCGGCTCTCATGTCCGCCTTGCATCTGGGCCTTGGACAGCAATTCGGGTATCCGGGGGTGACCGACAGTGCCATGACGGTGAATGTCGAGCCTGGGCCTGTCGTCACCTCGGACACACCCAGCACCGACGGCAGCCCCAACTTGGTGTACACCATCTCGCACGAATACAAACACGGACTTCGGTTTTCGACCAAGGTCACGTACGGCGACCTCAGCATCAGCACCCCGGATGGCCTCAAGCCGGATATCACGCCGGGGGCCACCGAGGAGCCCGACACCAGCATTGCCGAAGCGGACAGTCTGACGGATGCGGAATACGAAGTGGATGGGGAAAGCTCCAACAGCGAAACCACGTGGAAGCAACGGTACCTGAAGCTCCGCGGGCAGATGCAGCGCAAGGAGCGAATGTTGTCGCAGTACAAACGCAAGATCCTCGAGTCGGTGATGGCCGATATCTAGGCGGCTTGCTCTCCCCCAACTTTGTTGTGATACCCCTGATTCTCTGTAAATTGTCGACTTTGCCTTGGTCTATATTCATCGTGCTTACAATTCTGGCTGTCTGATGGTGGGGGCCGAAGGGCGCCTCGCCGGTTATTGGTTTCGGTTCGATCTTGTTACAGATACCCCTTGAGCGAACTTGTTCGATCTACTTCAGAGCCTGCTAGGTAGTATAGAGCGCTGTCGATACCAATCTGTCTACCTGTGATTCCGATATGTGCCTTGTTGCAGTTAATAGTATGCCGTGGACCCATAAGCCTCCATACCTTCAAGAGGCAACCCAGCAAGGAACCCCGGTTCCCCTTGTCCATTCCATATCCATCTGCACGCCATCAATCCAATCTAACCCATAACCCCCTCCCCTCTGCACCTATCCTTAAAGCACATCATCAGATAACCAACACCACGCAGCACCAACCCAATCAACAAATTCAAGGCTTATACTCCTCCTCTGACTCCTCCACCTCCTCTTCCTCATCCACCTCCTCCTCATCTACCTCGTCTTCCTCCTCCCCATCCTCAACCTTAACCTGCGCCATCTCGTCCTCTTCTTCGTCCTCCTCCTCCTTAACACCCCCCTCTCCCTCTCCCTCCTCATCTTCTAAATCATCATCATCATCATCATCTTCGTCATCATCCTCCCTCTTAACCTTCCCCACCAACCTCTCCGCCCTCTCCACCGCCATCCTCTTCTTCTTCAACCCCCGAGGTTCATTCTTCGTTGCTTTGCCTCGCGTGGTTGCAGTAGTCGTAGCCGTAGTCGCCTTCCGCTTCCGGCCTTTAGTCGAGGAGCTTTCTGCATCTGTGCCGGTGGTACTGGCATTGGTGTTTGTATTGGTGGTATTGTTGCCGGTGGTGGCGGCGGGGTTGGTGGTACTGGTAGTGGAGGTGAGAGATCCGCCCGCGGGATTGATATTGTTCGCCTTGAGGAGGTGCTCGTAGCGTTTTGCTCTGTGTTTTGTATATCAGATGGTATGGTTAGTTTGGATGGATGTTGGTTTGGTGGGGTGTGGGTTGAGAAGATGGAGGTTGTATGCAGTGGAGTGGGTGGGGTGGTTTGGGAGGAGGGAGGAGGAGGGAGGAGGGAGGACGTACGCAGCTGCCTTGGTGACGATGTTGCATTCTGTGGCGACGGCGGAGAAGTCGATCTGTGTGATGGTGGATTCATATTAGGTTATGTTTGTTTCTAGTAGGTGGGGGGAAGGGGAAGGGGACTACCTTTCCGTTGTTAGAGTAGCGAATGCAACTGAGTAGGAACTGGATCTGTTCTTCGGGGGTGATGCGGGAGGGCTTGCCGGGGGATTGCTTGGTGGCCATTCTTTTTGTTGGATGTGAATGTGTATTGTGTGGAGGAATAGTTGGTGGTAAAGTTGAAGGACGTCGTGGGTGAGGTTCTGCGCGTGAGGTAGACGTGACTGGGTTGTGAGGAGAGGATGGAAGAAAGGAAAGGATTGAATAGAAGAGAGAGAAAATAACACGGAGAGAAGCTCATGTCTGTAGTGTGTTGCTGGTGACAACGGATGTTGGTCTGGTGAATGGAAGTTACCGGTGGAGCAGGGTTGCTTACTGGAGGTCGCTATTTATGTGAAGTCAAGGTGCAGGGAAATGAAGCTGGCTTGGTCGTTGGCTACGCAGCTACAACGATGGAGATAATCGAGGTAATGGGCTATCGTATCTCATTAAGCAAGTCATCCAGGCGCTATACTAGCTACAAAGTCCATCCCGACCAATCCGGCTGTTCAGAATCTGCTAAGCAGGCAGTAGACATGGAATATCATCGCCAACGACAGTAATCATCAAGCCCTCCATGTGGGGTAAATAGCATAGAAATGTATGGGTTGGAATCTCCCTAGATGGAGTTCCCGATCAGCTCAGGCTTTGCGCTGATGAACAATCCATGTCAAGTAAAGCCAACGCAAGAAAACGAGGATAGGAGCATCTATAATAAGGCTCAGTTAGCCACATGTTGCTAAGTCGACTGGATGGCAACTTACGGTCGAAAATCACGCTGCAGCAATATCCATCCCGCTGCTCGAGGTATTACCATTGTCTTCCATGGAGACATCTGCATCATCCTCCTCCTTAACACGACTCTTAGCAAGAGGCTTGGCCGTCGACTTAGCACCGCGCTTGCGGCTCTTGGCCGGAGAATCAGTGGCAGGAACAGGTTTCGAAGTGGTCTTCGCCCCCTTACGAGGAGCAGCCTGCTTCGCCTTGGGCTTGACGGGAGTAGGCAACTCGGACTCGGAGTCTTCCTTCGTGTCGACACCGTCAGCACCGTTGGCCTCCGTCTCGTTACCGTCGGGCTGCTTGGTCGCATCGGTCACGTTATCAGTCGGCTTAACGCCCTTGGGAGCCCCCGACCCGGCCTTTGCCTCCAGATGATTCATAGCGTAGCGCTTTCTGAGAGCGCGGAATCGGTTGCCCACCGACGCAACGTTGGTGTAACCAAGCGCATCAGCCACTTTGGTTAGGTCGATCTAGAACACGATTAGCGTGGAACCAGATAGCTCTTTTGGGTTGTTGTGTTCAAGTACCTGTTTATCCTCTCCGAAGTTCTGAAGGCAAGCCAGGAAGAACTGGGCATCAGGCTGTGAGATTTCGACAGCCGAGTTGGATTTCGCCACCGTTGCTTTAGTCGGGGTAGCCATGATGGGGTTTGAAAGGGTCAGTTGTCGATCTGATAGAGTCAATAGTTGTAAATTGCTTGTTGGTTTGGTTATGGAAGTTGAGTGAGGGTAGGATGGTCCACTGGGGAGAAGCAGGAGATGGAAGGGAGACGTACAGATGAGAAAAAGAAACAGAGGGGAATGTGAGTAACAGAGGTTTAATGGAATAAGGTGTCAAAGTGTGATGGTGTTCTCTGGACAGTATCTTTAAAACCAAATCATGTAGAGGGGCAGTTTCTACTTAGCTCGTGCAATGAGCTGAAGGAACTGAGAGTGTGGTAGGGTAATGGAAGTGAAGCAGGCATGGAGGTTACTATAACACAGAACCCAAAAAGAAGACCCAAGAAGATATCTTGTGGAATTGCTCACTACCTAAACGCCCCGTGACATCATTGCTATGACAATTTGATGGAAATAGAAGTAAACAATTGCGATCCCAGTTCATACAATCAAGCGCATACAATTTGTACCAAATCCTATCACGGTCCTAACATCAACTCCTCCTTCTACACCGTATTGCGAGGCAATCGCTTAATCATCGATGAGGACTACCTTGGATTCCTCCTGGGCTTCCTCCTCCACTGCCTCCTCTGGTTCATCCTGTGGTTCCGCCTTCACTTCCGGCTGCTGTTCCTCCTTGATGGCCTTGTCGATAGTGCCGTCTTCTTCCACAGGTTCGGACTTGAAGGGTTCCCAACTCAAGGCGCCTGGCTCGTTGAGAAGCCCAGCCACCATGTTCATCGGCGAATAGTAGTACGGGTCTCCCGGGGCGAAGTTCATCGGGTAATAGGGCATCCCATCCCTGGTCGGGGGTGCAGCAATAGTAATGTTCCCCCAATTAGGCATCATATTGACGTGAGGCGACTCCATGGGCGAAGGTGCAGCGAGAGGGATATCTTCCAATCTGGGCATCGTCTGGGTATGAGCCTCGGCCTTGATCTGAGAGCCCAAGCCATAGGGAAGGTAGTCGGGCTCTTGCTTGAGCGTCGGCCGAGGTTGGGGACTGGCCGACTGAGGACTGACAGGTTCCCTCGCCAGTTCTGCCTTCGTGGGGCTTGTTTTGGCCGCTTTCTTCGTGGGCTTCTTGGCACGAGCTGATCGGGGAGTGGGAGCGATACCTTCCATCTGCTGTTTAAACCGTGAATAACGCATCCGAGCGGCGTGGCCATTGGAGATTCCAAGTTCAGTCGCAACTAGACTCCAGTCAATCTACTCGATAGTCAGCTTCCATCCGGGACCGCCAAAAGTCAGTTGTCGGACCGATTTCAGGTCTAGTTGTTTGATGATCGTGTACAAGAACTTGACTGTCGGGCCATCAATCGGCATGGCCCTACTACGTCTGGGGGTGGTCGGGGGAGTCTGGGTTGAGGGAGAGGTGGTCGGCGTAGTCATATGCAGAGCCGACATGTCGGGGGGGTTGGACATGCTATAAACGGAATCGATCGGTGCATACATGTTTGTAATAATGTAAGAATTAAAGATGGAAGACAGTTTCAAATAGAGGAGTGCTCACTGTTTGGTGAGGGTTGAGATTGATGGAGGAAGATGCAGCGAGGCACGGCGGACACGCAGCTTTTATAGCACGCCGAATGGCAAAAACGGTATAGCTTCATTTGGACAAAAAATGGAGTTTCCCTGTAGTTGGGGGCAGTTCCCATCGTCGTTAATCGTCTGTTAACGAAGGCCAGTCGAAGCTATGCTTTGAACGAACGTAACCAAACTGCACGGTTGCGACGGTGTCCTTGCGGCTGGCGGGTGCAGCCTGTGCTTCTCTGAAGTGAAGCGGAAGAGTCCTTGTAAGCGGATCATGTGTGCGAAGAGGTTTCCAGGAGCAGAGGACAGGTACGCTCTCCCACAAATTCGACTTGTTCCTCCAGTGTTGTGGAACAGCGCCGATGGGGATGGCAGGGTCACATGGCGATCCGAAGCCCTGATTTGTTTCGATTGGAGGAAGCCAGTCAGTCTAAGAGCTACCCGCATGTCTTAGTGTTTGGCCTGGAGTCCATGTATCATCTCTCACCGGGGATCTTTCAAACAGTACAGAGTTCTCAATCATATCCAGGTTGGGGAGGCGGGGGACCAAGATTGCTATATACAAAGTAGAAGATTGCTACCTCTCGGTCAACCCCGGCTTCCTGCATGGCAACTCCCTTTTTCACAAGAACATGTCTTGTTTTTGTGATTCACATGAAGCATTCCGCATTCACTGAGTGTGTTTCCGTACTTTTTCCACCCAACGCCTCCGCTCAGCATACTGCTAACTACAGTAAGGCACAGCTCCAGCTCCGGCCCGATGCAGGCCACCATGACACATCACATGGGCGGGTTTCACTTCCCACTCCGATACCCCACCCACCCCCAATTCCAGAAAACACTCCGTCGATCAGAATAGCCTGGGTCATAAGGAAGAGCCCTGTACATCAGATATATCAACTACAGGATTGCTCCATTTCTGCACAGAATCTGCCGACCCGGGCGTCAAGTCGAGGAAAGGCTCGACATCAGACGCGCGACACGATGCAATCCGTCTGAAGCAACGCGCCTTTCCTTACCAGCCCCCCATTAAGCTGACATTTTCCACTACAAATTTACTTACAATGTTGGGTTCTTCTTACGAGCGTCTACTGGAGCGCGCGTTCCACGCGTCTCATAGCAAGCTTCGCTCCCTACTCAGCTGTATAAGAAAGACTCGGTTTCCGACTGCTTCTGTCTTTCAACTATCCTTCTCTATCATCTTTCCATCCTTTTCCATCTGTATTCTTTTTTCGTCATTGGATTTGTTCACATATGGCCAAAAGCCGTCCAGCACGCGAGAACAAGGCACCACGACGGCCGCCACAAGAATCTCAAGCCAAGATAAAACGCCCTTCTTTCAAATGGAACCGACTGCAAGACTGCATATTGCTGCATGGGTTAATCAAGATATTACACCCCAAGGATTTCCCGGGCAGCATTTTCAAGCAACTGGAGAAAGAGCTTGGAGATCAGTATCATTCGAATGATACCCTGAGGTATGAACTTGCTTAGCTTTCCGTTGGACATAAGTCCTACAGACGCTGACTTGAGCCTATTGACATGCAGAAAGCGGTGGTACATCGTGAACGATAAGTGCGAGATCGTCAAAGAGGACCGCAAAAACCGCAGTCCCGAGAACATCGTGTGGGTCACTGAGTCAGAAAGTGAAGCAGAGGACTACAATATGCGAGAGATCGACCACAGAGATCAAGAGTCTGGAGAGCAATACTTTCCCTCTCCGCAATCAACCCCAGGAGTCAAAGATGACTATTCTCCTGTGTCAGAGACTTCTCGGACTTTGAGTCCAAGCCCTCATCATCCCTCCCGTTCAAACCGTTCTCGCGAGGAGCCAGTGACACCGACTCAACCATCCCGCAGGAGTCAAACGAGGTATGCCCAACGACTCAGAGCTGCACCACATCATTCTTCCCGGGAACAACCAGCACGCTCGAACCCTGCCCCACCTCCAGCAAAGACTCCGGGACCTACCCGACGAGGCAACGGCCCTCCTCCGAGACAGCTAACTCCTGGGAATGATCAAACCCCTAGGGGGCCAAGGAGCGATTTCAGACGACGACGGAGGGTAGAACGAGTGGAGGAGTCGGTATCACCCCTTAAGCGTAGCGAGGCTCCCCGCAGACGCTAGATTATCAATTTCCGTGTTTGTTTCTTGCATGACGAAAAGTTCTTACCAGCAGGATGCTACGTTTTCGTTTTCTACGGATTGCTCTGGACTCTTGTCAGCTTTTGTATATAATCACTCTGTCTTGGCTATGTTGGCGTATGCATGGATCAATTTTTAAGAAATTTCCCATACACTATCATACTTGTTATCGATTTCATTTGGGACTCTATCCTTGATGTCTTCGCATAGCCGTAGGCAGCTCGGGCATATAGGACGCTCATGTAGTAACGCCAGTCTGCGCTGTCATAAGAAATCTTAGCTAGCCCTGTACCTGTGGTCAGTAGTAGTTATATTTGACCTATGGGCCCTAAAATAAGCGGCTGAAGATGTTCAAGGATACTTTATCTGCTATCTCAGCGATGATGTCGACGGTGGGTCCTGACTAATCCCACCACCCCATTGCCCCTCGGCATACAAAGCAGCAACAATCTTCTGTACCACCCAGCATATCAATTCTGCAGAATCCATTAAGTGATTTCTTCTACTGGATACAAAATGTCCCTGGTGGCCATAGGCGCATGCTATGTGGACACAATCCTAACGTTGGTTGGCGCCCTCCGATTATAGTTTCCCATCCGCCCAGTATCTCATTCTTCATATCAGAACTCCCCACTATCCAGGAGAAGATGATAAGTTGCGTGCCTCCAAAATCTCTCGTCGGCGAGGGGGCAACTGCCCCAATACTCTAGAGGTTCTTCAGCAACTGATAGCACACGATCCATCAACTGCTGGTGTCTCCCTGGATCTCGTTACAGTCCTGCCTGCAGAATCGTCTGCTGCCTCTCAGCAGATCCAGGCCGCATTCAAGCCTCTTGTTAGTTTGTCTCATAGCATCTATCGAGATGATTTTCAGGAGCCGGCCTCGAGTTATATAATCAAAAGCGAGTCGTCTGGTAGTAGGACGATTGTCAACTATAATGAACTCCCGGAGATGGAGGTCGAGGAGTTTAAGAAGGTTGCAGATCGTCTCTCCAATGCTTCCTGGTTCCACTTTGAGGTTTTTCAATGATTTCCCTGGCTCTGTCGACTTTTCGAAGAGCTAATGATCCCATCATCAGGGCCGTATACCTGCAGTGACTTTGTCCTGCATTCATTATCTTCGTCAGCAGTACCCGTCCGCGACAATCAGCGTTGAGGTAGAAAAGCCAGGCCGTGAGGGGCTGCAGGATCTTGCAGAAGAAGCTGATGTGGTGTTTTACTCGAAGGGCTGGGCTCAGGTATGAATTTCCCAAATGATGAGGCTACTTGATGTACGTTCTGACGCCAGTGACACTTCGCTTCTAGGGGATGGGATATCAAACTCCTGAAGAATGTGTTCAGCAACAAGCCACTTTAACACGGAAAGCGTATGTTTCTTGAGGCGTGCCTCCTGCGAAGGGTGTTGATTGATGGTTCTCCTAGGTCACTTCTCTGCTGCACTTGGGGTCAAAGTGGTGCCGTAGCTTTCGAGACTAGCGCTCAGAGTCTGGCCCATTGCCCTGCATATTCTTCGGCCGATTTCCAAGTTGTCGAGTAAGTCTTTCTGTTCCATCTTGCACTCGATTCTTGTTCTGTATCATTGCTTCAGTCTCGTGTTCTCTTCTCTTGCTTCCTCCTCTTCGATTCTATTTTTACTTGTGTATCAGTCTTGCAGGGTCTAATCAACGTCACTGACTGTGAACAGCCCAATTGGTGCAGGTGACACATTCCTATCTGGGATGCTGTATGCCCTACTCTGCCGGGGTGATGAGTGGAGTCTGTCACAGAAACTGGGTTTCGCAAATCGGCTGGCGGGTATGAAGGTCTCACAGGAGGGCTTTTCGGGACTTGCACGAGCTTTGGAGTCATTTCTATAGAGCTCAATAACGTGATATATCAATTCCTAATTTCTACAGACACCCATGCTTCAAATTTCGAAAAGACTATCCAAAATGGGGTTTCAATCGATGCGGAATATATTATAGGTGTCGTGTGCGTCTACTTGTAACCCAAACATACCCTGCACCACGAGCTAGGATATTTTTGTTAGGCAGTACCCCTCGTAAGCTTCTGGAGCATATTTCCATAAAAGGGGAAGGTCGATAACAGGTCATGATTTGTATGCTAGAACCCATCGCCGGAGGAAAAGAATCACGTGACTAAAAGATAGTAAGGCGGTCACCGCCAAAAATTATTCTGCCCGCAGCTTTTTCTAAATTTGCGGGCGATCAACAGCATCGGAGTCTCCCAATTGCTGCAACCGCATACACCATGGCATCCGTTTACAAGACCGTTTCGAAGAAGGCAGCTCGCCAGCTCGCCAAGGAGGAAGAGTTTGACGAGGAGGATATTGCAATGGACGAACTTCTCTCCGACGCCAACGACACCACCGACAGCGAGGATGATGAAGAAACTACGACCGAATCGGCCAAGAAGCAGCTCGCTGCAGGCTTTATGCCCAAGACCCGTGTGCTTATGCTGACCTCCCGGGGTGTCACATACCGGTATGTTGAATGCGCCTAGTTCTTTAAGTCAAAAATGAAACCATTGCTGATGTTTTCATGTTACAGCCATCGTCACCTGCTCGCCGACCTTGCCTCTTTGCTCCCCCACACCCACAAGGAAACCAAGCTCGACACAAAGAAGAAGACCGCTGGATACAACCTGCTCCTCAACTCCCTCGCCGACCTCCATTCCTGCAACGTGATCTTCTTCCTCGAGGCCAAGAAGCAGGGTCAAGATCTGTACCTCTGGCTGTCTCGCCCCCCCAACGGACCGACGATCAAGTTCCACGTCGCCAACTTGCACACCATGGCCGAATTGAATGCCGGATTCAGCGGTAACTGCCTCAAGGGTGGCCGTGGCCTGGTGGTGTTCGATCGCTCGTTCGACGAGCAGGGCCCGCTCATGAGCCAGCCCGGCCAGGAATACCGGGGTCTGATCCGGGAGATGCTGCGCGGTGTCTTCTGTGTCCCCAAGCGTGGTGTCAAGGGTATGAAGCCGTTCATCGACCGCATCATTGGTATCTTCGGAGTGGATGGCAAGATCTGGATCCGAGTCTACGAGATCCGCGAGTCTGAGCCCGGCAAGAAGGATGGTGAGGATGCCAAGGCCGGTCCCAAGAGCAAGGATGGTCAGCCTGAGGTGTCTCTCGTCGAGATCGGCCCCCGCTTTGTCCTTACGCCCATTGTCATCCTGGAGGGTAGCTTTGGCGGTCCCGTCATCTACGAGAACAAGGAGTACGTCAGCCCCAACCAGGTTCGTCGTGAGGTCCGCATGGGCAAGGCGGCTCGCTACGCGCACCGCCGAGATGTGCAGACCGACCGATTCGCCAAGCGGTCGACGCTGGGACTGGGTGATGGCGAGAAGAAGCCGGATGCGCTCGACACGAGGCAGCTGTTCAAGTGATGGATTTCCGTTTTGTTCGTTCTCTATGCTGTTTTACGCCCTATTAGACTTTGATATCCTCAAGGGATGTATATGTATTGATGCGAGGGGTACATGCATGGTCCTGCTGGCGTCTGGTGTGAAATCATAATAAAAGTTTTGATGCTACGGTTCAATGTTGGATTCCACGACTCACGTAGGGCTCTTCAAGACATGCCGTTCGCGTAGTATCTAGAGACAGGTCTCTTCTATTTAGAGATCGCAGGCTCCCTCACAGCGTGATGCGACATGCGGCAAGGGCGTACGGAATTAAAAGCGAGAGGGGTATGGAATATGGCGTGCTGCTATTCTGGAGTCCGACCCAATCGGGATAGGGCCAAATGGGGAATGTCAAGTGATCTGGCGGCGGGTCTCTTTTTGGCTGCCCCGGATTTCTTCCCAGCAACTGCACCCTTCCGTCCGTCGTCATGGCCCCCCTTTCGCAATCCAGCCCGGAGTGGCTGCTGGGTGCTTCTGCGCCTTCTTCCACGATGACCTCGAGCCTACTTTGTATTCCCTGTGTTTTCACTATCCCCAAGGGCGGGGTTGCGACTTAGGTCCAGCTCGTGATCGCGACAGCCCGTTGACTCACTGCAGCGGCGAGACTATCCCCGTGTTTAGTACCGACGATTGAACCACACCTGCTTTCATACACCCAGCCTCAGTATCCTACTGTAATAAGTGCGCGTCACGGGTTCATCTGCTTGCCGCTGTCAGATTGACGTCCCTAGATCCCCAATCCACCGAGCCATGCCATTCCATCAGCTTGCCACGGAGCTTCTGCTCCATATCTATCGTTCATGCGACTCGGTCTCCGATGTGATGAATCTGACAATGACCTGTCGGCGACTGCATACCGTTTTTCACCGGTCCAATAAGCTGCAGATCCTGGTTGATGTTGCGGAGTCCGAGCTCGGCCCTTTAGATGATATCATCCAGATTGTCACGCAGAATACCAGCCAACGCGCCCATCTTTTCCGTACCGCACCCATATCCGACTCCCTCCTAAAGCAGATCGTACAAATCGGGCATGTGGCTCAGAAGTGGGAAGTCATATACCCGGTCAAGAAATGGAAGGTTGACTACGAGAACCGCCGCTCGCTGGATGATGACGAGCGGTTCCGGCTTCGTCGTGCAATCTATCGTCTGTGGCTGTATCACCGGGCATTCCACACAGACATCTATGGTCGGCTCAGCCGCACCATTCCACACATCGTCACCGAACGGGCGCAACTTCTGCATAACTGGTCCACGGCTGAGCTGGCCGAGATTGAGGACGTGCGTTTGATAATCGGTGATATCGTGCAGAACCACATTTGTCCCAGCAACGGGACCATCCAACGCAAGTTCCGAAAGCGATACCCGGAGAGTAACCACCAGTTGACGTTCAATATTCATTTGAATTACCCTACGAGCAGTAATCCCGCTGGTCCGCCCAGCCTGTTCGAGAAAGACCCCAACCCGGCCGAGCAGTATTTCCACACAGCGCACCCCAGTAACTTTACCGAGTCTCCGGCAAAGTACAAGTCGCGGTTTCGCAATGATTACTTTCATGACCCTGGGTTCGAGGGTTGGGGTGACGAGATCCCACATTATTATGTTGTGCAGGACATGTTGAAGCTTGATCCCGGCCAGGTGCTGTGGCTGCGAGAACACGCGCCTCTCAAAGAGCAAGTGGAAGTGTACATCCGGTCCTTGGGGGACTGGTTCCGAGACAACGGAGAAACCTTTGGCGACACGCTGGAGTGGGTGATGAAAGAGCGGGGCGACGATATTGATGAGTTCCGAGCTGCTATCTCAGACCGGGAGATTGGTGTGGTGTGGGATTGATTTGATGAATCCAGCCCGTTTATGCATAGCATATTTATGAGATGGACATTACTACGGCGTTGAGCAATGAGCTAGAATTATCTACAGCAATCAAGACTGTCTCTTCACGGTTTCAGCAACCTTCATACACTACTCCACGTATCTGAACATCTGCAAGTAGGTCAAAGTCAGAATTCTCCCATATCCCCCAAGCAAACCCACACTCTCAACATCTCAGCTCCAACTAGAGAAATTCTGATCTCTCCATTACCGACACCCAAATCTAGCCATAAAACGGTCCACTGTCATCCTACCTGCCTCAAGGTTCGACCCGGAAGCCGCTCCGAGTGTACTCCGTTAGCCCGCCTTTCATGTCACCCACGTGTCCAGAAGCTTAGAGCCAAACCCCATTTCCTACACCGTACTACTAAATTCCATATTCCCCTATGCCAAACGGAAGTCTATTCCGCTCATCTTTTCCCATGTAGCCAGTTGTACCCTAGTCACGCAGACAGATAAATCCTACCGCGCATGTCTATCCTCTACGGGGTTCCGTACGGAGTGCTAAATATACTACTAACTACATAGTATTACTTATTGTGCATTTCCATTCTATTATTATCGACAGAGCTACGGAGGATCCATACATGACTCGCAACCCACCGCCCCCTACCTAGACCATACCTACCTACCTCGCCCCGAGTCCCGACTCCCGACAGTCCAAAAGCCAAAGAAAATAGGACAGGATAAGTAGCGCCCCCTGATCAACCCGATCTAAACCGCACGGGGAATAAATTCAGCCGCGGCGGCTAACAGTGGGCTTGTGGGGTGGGGGGAGACCGCCAATGTTGAAACGTGAAACATGGTCTAGCCAGGCTAGTTCTAGCGGGTGGTTCTTCCTTTCGCGAATCTGACAGCTGGGCGTCAGCAGTAAGCACCAAGGGATTTTTTTTTATTGAGGTCTTTGTTGGTTGGGTGTTCTTTTTATCTGTGGGTGGTAGTTGTGCTGTATATTGCTGGGATTGGGGATTGGGGATTGATGGGCTGATGGAATGAAAGTGGATGTGGCTTCGTGGGGCTCCCGGTCGAGAGGTGGGCCGGGGGTTTATGCCCGCATGGGGTTATTAACTTCTCATAAATGCTAAGGTCTAACGGGCGGCGGTCTCCATCCGAGGCGAGGCGAGGCCAGGCCGGATTCCAGACGGGGGCGATCGCTGGGCGCTTTTTTGTGGTAGTATTTGTATGGCGGAACTGACAACGGTGTACCTAAACTGAACGGACGCCAGGGGAAAACAACCAATTCAAACTCGGGTTCGGTAAACCAACAGGGATGGGATCGGTCATTAGGCAGATATCATGGGAAAACGAAACAAGACGTTAATAAGATCAATTTCATCAGTTTAGAACATGGGGAAAGGAGAAAGGAAATCCATAGGGAAAAGAAAAGAAAAAGAAAAAGACAAGGCAACAGAAGATATAAAGGCAAAGCGAAGGTGTCGGGAAATGTGATGTCCAACAAACACCGCCGTACAATGTCCATGACCCCAGGTGCCATTCCTAACAACGTCCCTCTTGTGTATCATCTCCAGGAGGCTAAGTAACAGACAAAATAAGAGTTCAAGACCGTTCAATTATCACATCACAAAAATAAAAGTCGTTGCGGTTGACGTGTCACACATTCCCCGATCTCGTGGCCTCTTAACAGCATCCCTGCTTGGTCTTCGGGTCCTCCGACTCGTCGATCCTCACCATGTCGCGGCGGTCGCCCAGGACGGTCTGTCCGGCATCACCACCATCCAGAGCCTTGCTGGACACGATGCGGTAGATTTCTAAGCGGAGACAAACATCAGTATGATAAAGCGCGCCCGGAGACCCAAGATAAACAAGCCTAACCTGTCAGGATGTTCTGGAAAGCAAGCTCGACGTTGCTGGCGTCAAGGGCAGATGTCTCAATGAACGACAGGTTGTTCTCGCCTAGTGGCAGGTCAGTATAGCACTCTCGGTCAGGGAGATGTCAGCAATAAGGCCCCCACGTACTGGCAAATTGCTTGGCCTCTTCCGTGGGCACAGCCCGCAGGTGGCGCAAATCACTCTTGTTACCGACCAACATGATCACGATGTTGGAGTCGGCATGGTCGCGAAGTTCTTTCAACCACCGGTTGACATTGTCGTAGGTCTGGTGCTTGCTAATATCGTAGACGAGGAGAGCACCGACGGCACCACGGTAGTAAGCGGAGGTGATGGCACGGTAGCGTTCCTGACCAGCAGTATCCCAAATCTGCGCCTTGATCGTCTTAGAGTCGACCTGGATCGAGCGGGTAGCGAACTCGACGCCGATGGTGGACTTGGAGTCCAAGTTGAACTCGTTGCGGGTGAAACGACTCAAGAGGTTGGACTTTCCAACACCGGAGTCTCCGATCAGGACAACTGTTCAGGAGAATCCACGGGTGGTTAGTCGTGCATCGCGGAAATGCGACCGACACCGGGGGAGAGGAGAACGAGCGGCGACGGCGCAGAGGAGGGAAGTGGCAACTTTACCTTTGAAGAGAAACTACCAGGTCACCCGTTAGTTATTCGGAGCTTGGCAAAGGGGGTGGGAACCGGCAGAAAGAGGATACTCACATCGTACTCGTCGTTAGCCATGAGGGGTGGTTGTGAGAGCTCGCTTGGCTTTATTACAGGTAAGATTGGGTGGACTGAGAAGGGAGTCGACGTGGCCGAGCTGGGAGGTTGGAGGCGCTGGACAGAGTTGAGTCTGACTTTCGGGGAGGGAGGGGCGCAACGATGTCAGTCGGGTTTCAAGAACACGGATCCGAGAGAGAGAGAGAGAGGCACCGGGGGGAGGTGGAAGCGGACCGGGGGACTTTAAATGCACCGACTGGGAGGGGGTGGAGATGGGAAGCTTACCGTGGAGAGTGTAGGGGAGGCAGGCACCGGGGCAGGGAGATTAGGAGGTTATCCAGACTGACTTTCTCCCCTACCGATTCCCGTCCGTCGTCGCAGTGCCGAGTGCTCTGCCTCCCCTTCCGGCCTAGCGCGAAATCACGTGGCTCCACTGCAGGTCGGCGGCGCGAGGTTCCAGTCCCTTCCAGTCGCCCATTTATTGATCAATAATTTAAGGTGTCCTGCTGGGGAGAGATTGATCTCAACCCGGTCAACTTCGTCGGGGGCCCTGTGTGCGTGTGCGTGTGCACAAGTCCTTGTTGGCCCTGCAGCTCTTTCACCGGGTTTGCCGCCGTTTGCCTGTGGATCTACCGTGTACTCGCTTGCGCTTGCATGAGCAACTGTGCTTCCGGCGAATACATACCTGTCGGCTTGATTTCCTCGACTTACGGCTCATCATGCTATGCTAGGCGGTTATCCTGTAGCTTGATTGCCATCGTTGGCCTTGGCATCCAGTCCTGTTTGCTCTGAAGTTCCGCCCTGCATTCCTCTGGTTCCACCGATCCGACGAACCAATTCTCACCCGCGCCTCATCTTCGCGTCTTGCCCTTGAACCTGGCAATGACTGAGAGACAAGATGAGGATGACGATGACATCTCCGTCACTTCGACTGTGCCCAGCCCGCAAGACTCCGAGTATGAGGTGGAGGCTATCCTAGCCGAGTTTCAATTCCCAGATTCGTTGAGGTATCTGGTCAAATGGGCTAACTACCCGGAATGGAGAAATTCTTGGGAGCCCGCGGAAGCCTTCTCGACGGATGAGACCCTTGCCGAGTGGGAGCAAAGGAAACGAGAGATTGCCCAAGGGAAGCGCGAAAAGTATGACGTAGCCAAATGGGAGCAGATGATGATCAACGTCGAAGACGAGAAGGACGAGAGACAACGCAGAAGAAAAGCCAAAAGAACAAGACTCGGCTTATTGGCCGACGACGGAACATCGCAGACCTCAAGTGATGGAAGCAAACTTCCAACTTCTCGGGACAGCTCCCGGGTGAGTGCAAGTAAAGGGACTGCGCAGACAACGCCCTCGGATCCCACGCCCGGCTCTCAGCCGTTACTCCTGGGAAAGCCGGTCCTGACAACTAACCGCATTATATCGAAACCGCCCCTGGTAATGTTTGGAAGTGGTCCAAAGCCGGCGCCAGCTGTACCGCGTGCTACGAAGACGGCCCACGATTCGGACAATAAGTGGTTTTCGAACCTGTCCACCAGGAGGAAACATGAAAAAGCTAAATATAGAGAGCCAACCCCCGATATAAGTCAGCTACAGCTCGTTCGTCCATCGGAGTGGCCGTCCAGAACTCCTCTGCCTCCGATAAGGCCTGGTTTTCGCTATGCCAGCCCGTCTCCTGATCAAGAATCGAACCAGACTGGGCCGGACCAGTCTGCTTCACACATGGAAACGGAGACCGCTCATGAAGCTGCTCGCTTACCTGCCATTGATGGACCCAGTCCATCCATGATTCCAGAATCATCTCGTAGAGACCGCCATCCTAGTCGTCTCAACACATCGAATGAAGACCTTATCCCCATTCTACCTCGGAGGGAGCCGGGTCCTCAGGCCAAATCCGTATCCGGCCGTTTCTGTAATCCTCACGAGGTGCTGGTCGATATGTACTATGGTCCAGACAAACAACGGATTGGCCTCTCCAGACTATGTGGACTTAATGCCATGTCTGCGAAAAACCTTATCTACGCCAAGGCCGGTCCCTATATTGAGGTCTGGTTTCAGCATCTTTGCACCATGGAGGATTATGAAATCCTCTGCCATAATGCGGTACGTGCCTTGCTTTGTGATTCACAATCCGGTCACAGTGGTTAACCCCACCAAACATGTTAGATCCGAAATCGCGTGTTTTGTACTGGGTGGATTGAGGGATATAATGATACGGAGCCCAATGTTTACCGCATGGCACAAGAACTCGAGCGAAGCAACCTTATGGCAGTATTTCCGGGCCAGAAGACAAAGAACGTGTTGATTGCCTTTCCATCTAATTCACCGAGATTTGCGTCACTTGGATACATTCCCAGAGCCCGTCCAGATACCTTCCTAAAGGTCATTGTGAGGGCTCCTTTGGAGTCTTTGGGGTCCATTGATCGACTTCACTCCAGGTTAGTAGTCGACGACTGGAAATCAGACTCTCACAGTCCGGATACTCCAGTAACGGATTCCCCTCGCCGCAAAGACTTTGAGGGTGAACCCGATGCAATAGAGGACAAGGCCGATTCTTCTTCTATGTCAATATCGCCAGTTAGGCAAGAGCCAGAATCGAAAGAAGACCATTCGATGGAGTTAGCTGATACCGCGAAGCGAGAGACTTCACAGAAGCCCTTGGAGCTTGACCTGACTGAAGAAAAAGATTTGCCTGACGATCCTCAAGCACCAGTCGACCCCATGGAGATCGACCAACGACCTAACACCGCTTCAGCGGTAGGCGACCAGCAATTGATATCCGCCCTAGCCACAGCCGATCTCAAGACCCTATTTAAAGATACGTTTGGGGTGTCATATGGGGAGCTGGTGAAAGTTAACGCCGCAGAAAAGGTACAAGTTGCAGAAGCGTTCTATCTCATGTTCGATTCCGAGACTCTTCACCAAGAGTTCCTAACCCTCGAAGCATTTTTGAACGGACACAACCCAGTCATATACTCCTCTCGTCAGGAAGGAGACTGGGAGAAGTTCGCACGGACCGTTAGCGTAGGGGTTGTCTTGGTGTGTCCCCTTCCCTACAGACACTCGGACGTACTGAAATGCTAACAAAAGTAGTTCCACGAGAGCTTTGTTGATTTTCACACGCTACCCTTTTTCAAGAATCTCATCTGCAAGCCATTCAACTTCTGGAGCGTATCTCTGAACAAGCCTCTTGAATACGCCGAGCGGCCCTCACATTTCCAGCGCATTTTCCCACATGGCGGGGTTATTCTGATAACGGAAGATTTCATGCTTGGGGAGCCAGATGGAACCATCATCATCCTGGCATGGTTCAATGACTGGATCAAGAAAAAGTTCCCCGGCAACTGGAAGATCATGTTTCGCCCCGCAGTCATGGACTGGCTCCTGAACCTACCAGAACCGGCAGACGAGTCCAAGCACGGAATGTACGTTATCCCCTCCGAGGAAATACCACCAACTCCAGACCTAAAAATCTCTAACCAAGCATCCTGTCTCTAGATGGCTCACAATGTACCGTCTCATCCTGCAAATCTGCAGCCCGTCCGCCTACGACACTCCACCTGGTGAGATCTTGACCGGTGCCACCGACGAATACTTCGAAAGCAACGCCATATCCCCACCCAACCTCCCTAGCTACGGCTCTCGCACCGAAGACGACAATCCCGACATCCCCAAAGGGCTGACCCAAGACCATCGCAACACGGATCACCTAGTGGAATTCTTCGCGGGCTGGGGCCTGGTCCATCGCCACCGGTACCGGCGGTTCGTCGTTCTGACACGACTGAAGCCACTTCCGAGATGGGAAGCATGGCAACATCTCGAGCTCAAATGGGGCGCGAAAGACTTCATGAAGACCTTCAAGGTGGATTACCGACATTACTGGTCCAAACTGAACTCTTCCTCCTCAACCAGGCCAAGCACACCCGGAGAACCAAAAGCGCAACCCGACCCCTTCACCCCTCATACACCCCGGGCTTCTGCTCCTACTCCTGCTCCTGCTCCAGTTCCTGCTCCAGGCCTCAGCAATGAAATGGATGGGTCGAGATATGGTCGACTGCCTGGTTCCAGCTGGCCTTCGTATCCAGAACCATATCACTGAATCTACGGGAACATGTGGTTGATGATCTAGTTTTGTAGAAACAATCATTTGATGTGCTTTCGGTATTGGCGGCAAGATACTACTAGTCTTTGGCGGCTTATTTTGGTTTCTGTTTCAATGCCCAATGGTGTGGCTCTGTTACATGGTGTATATATCACTCCTTGTGGGTTACCAGTTACTATTGTGCCGTACACGATGAAAAGAAGACCGTAATATTGACAAATGGGACTCGGTATGTGGATGAGTTTATCATATTAACAAAAAAACAAAACCAACGTAAGTACTGCCGAGCATGATGAGTAAACGAGGTTAGGTATCAACACCGCTAACGCCAGGACCAATCGCTCGATGAGATAACGACACAAAAAGACTAAGGAGCCCACTACTATGCGTCAGGCATTCCATATTTACAGCAACAGCGAAACCCCGATCTTCATACTTAGAAGCCCGCCGACTGGGTACGATATTCCCGGAAACTGGCGATCGGGGGAAGTTCATCCGATGGCGGTGGTTTGGGGCTCTTGTCTTTTCCCTTCTCTGCCTTTTCGCGACGGACCTTCTCTTCCCATTTGCTTTCTTCGGCGGCGATCATGGAGTGGAAGCGACCGCCTTGGCCGCGGGCGAGATAGATGGGCTTTTCGTTGCGCTCGGCGACGGATTCGGTGACGAGGACGAATTTTACGCTGGAGCCGGGGGTCTCGAACATGGCGTCGCTGAGGATGGTTTCTAGCTCGCTGCGGAGGGCACGGGCCCCGGTGCCCATGGTGAAGGCGTTGGCAGCGATTTTGTGCAGGGCTGGAGTCGTGAAGCGGAGCTCGATGCCGGAGAGATTAAATAGAGTCGTGTACTGTGCTAGGAGCGAGTTGCGGGGTTCGGTCAGGATCCGGACGAGGAGAGGGGTGGTTAATGTGGAGAGCGCGGCGGTCACCGGCACACGGCCGACTAACTCGGGGATAAAGCCGTAGTTTTGTAGGTCTGTGGGGTTGAGAAGATCTAAGGCGTTGAAATAGGTTGGTTCGCCGTCAGGTGACCCAGACGAAGCAGAAGTGAAGAAGGGGAGATGTTTTTTGTATAATGCCTCTTCTTCGGATCCTGGGAGTATGGGGATGGGCTGATTGCTTCCGGGGCTGGATGCTCTGGATCGGTCGTTCGTGATAGCTGAGCCCCGAACGGGCTGGCCAAAGCCGATCGAACCGCGAGAGATTCTATCCATGATTACTTTGTGCAGACCGACGAAGGCGCCAGAGAAGATGAAGAGGATGTTGTCCGTGCGCACATTATAAACCTCGCCTTTTTGAGGCATGTTCCCGCCATTGGGAGTGTACGGAGAGTTTCCAAGGGGGCTGTTGGATGGGAATGAATTGGGTGGACTGCCGGTGCGAGGTGCGCTTCTTTCTTGTTTCGCTTGGATTTGCACGGTTGTGCCCTCGATGAGCTTCAAGAGAGCCTGCTGCACTCCTTCACCGCTGACATCCTTCCCGTGACTGACCTTTGCTGCCGCAATCTTGTCCACCTCATCCAAGACGATTATGCCGCGCTCCGCCTGTTCAACGTCGTAGTTCGCAGCAGCTAAAAGCCTGTGAACGCATACTTCGGCATCCTCCCCAATGTAGCCGGCCTGCGTGAACGGGGTACAATCGGAAATGCTGAATGGCACAGAGAGTATTCTCGCCAGTGTCTTTGCCATCAGCGTCTTTCCAACACCGGATGGTCCCAAAAGAAGAATATTGGATTTCTCCAGCTGCAGTGCTGATGAGTCGTCGAGTTCCGGCTGCGCCGACGGGAGAGGCAATGTGTCTACTTCGGAGGGTATATGGACGGTTCGTTGCTGACCTGGGAATTCGTCTGATCCGATCTTAGCGGAGTTCGGGGGATGTGACAGGCGTGAGAATTAAAATCACTTACCCTCGACCGGGTGATGTTCAATTGCTTCCTTACGCGCACGCTTCGCCAGCAACTCTGCATTTTCATCTTCGCGTCTTTGTAGCTCTTGTACTCGTTGATAATGATTGAACACGGCGACACTAAGGATCTTTTTCGCGCGGTCCTGGCCAACAACAAACTGGTCTAGGTATTGCTTCAACGTTCTGGGGGTTACCCGGGGTGCTCCGAAAGCCGGAGCAGACGCCAGAGGGCCAGCGGTGGGGAGACCCGGTTCATAGCTGCCAGTCCATGGCTGACTCGTGAAATCAGAACGATCGAACTGAGACAGTGTAGGGAACGTGGCTGATGAGCTGGTGAATCCACGGCGGACAGGGCGGATATGCGGCTTCGGCGCACGCCGATAGCGGACGAGGGAGTTGCGGTGCGCCCTGAGGGGGCCACGGGCCTGGATAGGCAACCGTAGCATGACCAAGGACGATGATACCTGAGGAAGGGGGTGCTGGACGTGGCCGGGGCAGATCGAGGAAGAGACGAGTCCGCAAGGGAGGAGAGAGGAAGACGAAGGTGAGGAGGCAGTCAGAAGACCGCCAACTCCGATGGCAGCAGATAAGATGCAATACAATCAAATCGGTCGATAGCTTTCCCCGCAGCACGTGATGCTTATCACCGACGATACCCGCGCGTGACGTGGTCTGGAAGGGATCAACTGCCACGGTAATATGGCGCAGCCGGACTCGTAGAAAAGAAACTCTGTGGACGACGTTTCTGACTTCCTTTGTGCTTCGGAAATGATGATTGTCAGGCAGCGAGGTCTGAGGTCGTGTTTCGTCATCCGGATACTCCAATTGCGTCGCACGGTGGCGGTCCTTGCGGGCCCCGATCGTCATTCCGTCTCTCTCTGTCCCCGACCTCGCTCATGGGCCCTCGATCAACTCCGGTAAGACAGCGTGCATCCTAAATACCTATTCAGGTCGAGTACTACAGGTAATGATTTCGAAGGACAAAGGACCTAAGTTCGTCAAGCATTTATAAGTAAAAACTTTCGTATGCTTCTCCGTCGTTGCTGTCGTTCGGGCAAGCGAGGGAGCAAGCCAGTCTACCAAAAGGAAGCATTGAAACTAGTAACAACCATAACGATGCCCATTGGCTTAGATTCCTAAATTCTTCCTGTAAGCCGTCTTTCGCGCGGCAAATGCGGAAGATCCGGATCGTACATGTAGCTCTAGCCAGTCGAGCGGTGCCGTCCCTATAACCCACCAAGGGCTTGTGAACCCGGCTGCCGCCTTTCCGAGTGAGGCGTACCTTGTTATCCGATCATTGGAACATCATGTATATGTCGGGAAGCAATAGCCCTAGGGCGCTTGATGAGCAATAACCTGGGGCGCCGACTGGTTGAAGACCAGTAGCATTGACTCTAGCCATGGGATCCAGCATGGTAGCGGGTTGCGCCAGCAAATGGCCGCAAGTCGAGACAACCTCTTTCCAGATAGAGAAAAGGATTGAGCGGGCTGCCCTCGAAGCACTCCATACTTTGGTAGTCCACCAGGCTAGCTGCTTGTTTTGAATGCGGGTTGTTGCTCCATCGTCTGGGATATGAAATTCCGCAATGCTGCCCAACGGTTGGAAGATGAGCTTGTATCTGTATTCGATTCGGCGATGGTTGGCACTGTTGCCTGCATGCTGGACATCTGGGCCATATTTTTGGCGAACCGATCGCGCTCCACCCGTTCCAGCTTCTCTCTACGCTTCATTGCACCGGGTCTATGCTGCAAAGTCTTCTGCTTGATGATATTGACCTGTTTGCTAGGGTCGTTGACTTCATCCTCGGCGTCCGGAAGGGCATCGGCCAACGAGTCGAGGGTGGCAAGTTTTTTGGAGGCACGCCGACGCTTTGACTTCTGAGAGCTCTTTTCTATTCTGGATACGAAACTGGCGTGCTTGATCAGGCGCTTGTCCTTCTTTGTTGTGCGAAACTCATCGTCGAAGAAGCTTGACTTGGTGGAGGGGAGAGCGCCTTTGCCACTTGCGGGCTTTTTGACAGATCTAATCGGAGCCTGCTCAGGGAAGCAGATGTGGTGAGAGGGGATTCTCACATGCGAAGGAGTGGGACGACTTACCATGATAATTTGCGCGGCTTCGTGGTCAGGCAAGACGAAAAGACTTGCATGTGCTCGCGGGACTGATTCTGCGTCGATTCCGATAGTTTTGCCGACTAGTCCGGATCCGCCCTAGTCCCAAACCGAGGTTGGCGCTGGGCGCTAAAACAAGAAGACCCCCCGGCTCACCGCCCAGGTGACATGCGACTCAGCGACTGGGCTGGCCTGGGTTGGGTGGTTGGGGCCCTTAGGCGGCGGTCGACGTCGTCAGAGGACCCTGGCAGAGGCCGTCTTCAGTCACAGATCCCTCGGGCTTTGTCTCAACGCTGACCATTCGGGTGCTATCCTGGGTTGCTCCCAAGGCCGATAAGAACCTCAACACTAACGGTGGGACCCAGCAGGGCACTAGTCCAGGCTAGGCCAGCGTAGTGCAAGGCCACCGAACTTGATCGTCATATTTCCATCAGAGTCTTTCCCCCTGCTCCTGGTCCAGATTTTCTCGGGAGGCAAAGATCCACATTCACGGGTACCGAACCCGCCTTTTTATCTTGCACTGGCCTGGCACTTACATCAGGGAACCACCGCCTGACTCCGGGTTGAAGAAGATTGCCATCTAATTTGCGACATTGCATGTGGATGCGGTCCCCAGCGCGCCTTTTATCTCGCCGGACGTGCCCTCCCACCTTGAGGACAACTGTGACTCTACCTCGGCCCCAGACCCCCTATCACCTCCCCTCTACCCCATTGAGTCGGGAATTCTCGCCGCGTCTATCAGTTTCGACCATACTTAAGCCCCGAGGCTCCCTCGCAGTCCGCTACTTTTCGTATAGTCGTTTCCGACCTTCAAGCAATCCCGCCAACAACGAAGCAACAATGGGTTCCCTTGGACCGTACCAGCGCAAGCACAAGGTTACTGTGGTCGGCTCGGGAAATTGGTATGTGCAAGATGGCGGTCCGTGACTTTGCCCAATGCCACAGCGCTGATGAATGTAAAGGGGATGCGCAATTGCCAAAATCGTCGCGGAGAATGCCGCCAGCAACCCTGCGATCTTCGAGGAGAAGGTAGAGATGTGGGTTTTTGAGGAGAAGGTTGAGATCGCGAAATCGTCTCGGCACTATGATCCCTCTTCGCCACTCTGCCAAGGCCCGCAGAACTTGACGGAGGTGATTAACCAAACTCACGAGAATATCAAATATTTGCCAGGAATCAGTCTTCCCCCCAACTTGCATGCTAATCCCTCGTTGGTGGACGCAGTCAAGGACAGTACTATCCTGGTCTTTAACCTCCCTCACCAGTTCATCATCAAGACCTGCGAGCAGATCAAGGGTAAGATCCTGCCGTATGCGCGGGGAATCTCCTGCATCAAGGGTGTCGATGTGAATGAGGAGGGTATTCATCTTTTCTCTGAGACAATTGGCAAAATCTTGGGTATTTACTGCGGTGCCTTGTCTGGCGCAAACATCGCGAGCGAGGTTGCCCTAGAAAAATGGTCCGAGTCAAGCATTGCCTATGATCCTCCGCACATGGATTCCAAGGCCCCGTCTCCCAATCGCTCTCCTTCCGAGTCGACTGAGAACCTCGTTCAGTTCGAACACAAGGATGTTTCGGGTCAACTTTCGAGAGTGAAGCTGCAAGCGTTGCCGTCTGATTACCCCCCTGTTGACCACGCCGTCCTGAAGTCGCTTTTCCATCGCCCGTACTTCCATATCCGTGTGGTGAGTGATGTTGCTGGCGTTTCCCTAGGAGGCGCCCTCAAGAACGTCGTCGCTCTCGCTGCCGGCTGGGTTGATGGCATGGGGTGGGGTGACAACGCCAAGGCTGCTATCATGCGAGTTGGCCTCCTGGAGATGGTCAAATTCGGTGAAAAGTTCTTCGGGGCCACTATTAATACTCGAACATTCACCGAGGAGAGTGCAGGCGTCGCCGACCTGATCACCAGCTGCAGTGGTGGCCGTAACTTCCGATGCGCCAAGCTCAGCGTCGAGAGAAAACAGCCCATCGAGAAAGTCGAGGAGACCGAACTCAATGGCCAAAAGCTTCAGGGCACCTTGACTGCGGTTGAAGTGAACAACTTCCTGAAGAAGCAAGGCCTTGAGGACGAGTTCCCCTTGCTTACTGCTGTCTACCGTGAGTAACCCAGCTCTTCGCTGATTTAAATCCATCCCATTACTGACCCTGAACAGGTGTTCTCGAGGGCACTATGTCTGTTGAGGATATTCCTTCATACATTGAGCGGTAAATGAGACCTGATGAGTTCTTCCCTTTGTCTTATGTTCGGGTTATTAATTTACGGGATTTGGTTCCTTTCGATTTTTAACAGAAAGCCGGAGTCTATATCGTACTTAGGAACCGGGCGGGTGACCAGCAGTGGCACCAGCCAGGCCGTTCTGAGCGCGCGGTTGTGATGGGGGTACAATTCATGCATACCCCTCTTTTGTTTTCTTTCCGTTTCTTTCTCCGGCCACCTTGTTTTAATTTTGATGACGATGATTTCGGGGAGGGGACCCTGTTGGTAGGTATACTTTGTCAAGATTTCTCATGCACATAGACCGATGACTATAGACGCAATGACACCGAATGGCTGAACCTTTTCCTTGTGTGCTCTAATCCCACTCAGTAACAACCACTAATTGCGCCTCTCCCCTACTCTGTGTGAGGATCATCATGGCCTGACAGGGCGTGAGGGGGAGCCGTGCGGAGGCCCGAGTCCGTGACCGGGCCGTTCCAGCCCGCTCGGCGGTTCGCTGGCTTTCATGATGTCAGTATTCCCGCGGGGTTGCGTTGCCCTGACCCCCAGGAACAACAAATCTTGTTCGGGCTCTTTCTTTTCTCTTTCTCTTAAATCCTCCCATCGTCTCTCGCTATCACTACATTCTCTTTCTAGGTCTTCGACGACACTCACTACTTTTACTGTCATTGCTTGGTCGGTCTAGCCAGCAACATCCCAAGGAACAAAGCCGCCAGACTCGCCATCGAGAAGCCACCCCTCAGTCTGATCACTTTGGTGGCTGAATCATCTCGAGCAGGGCTATCGAAATCATCGAACTCCGCAATGTCGTCTTCACGGCAGGTTTATCTGCTGCCTCTGAAAGACGATGGCTCGCCTGATGTGCCAGGGGGGTATCTCTACCTCCCCCCTCCGACCGACCTGCCGTACTTGCTTCGGTTTGTCATCGAGGGCAGCAGCTCGATTTGCAGAGAGGGTAAACTTTGGGTTAACATCCCTGAAAAAGGCGAGCCTTTCAGTCGTTCTGCTTTTCGGAGCTTCAGGTAAGAGTCATGAATAGCCGCGCTCTTATCAGCAGCTGACACTTTGAGGCGATCTCAGCCTGTCTCCTGACTTCAACAAGAACATTCAGATCGATGTACCCATCCCCTGTGCTGGCTCCTTTGCCTTCTATGTGACGTTTTCTCCTCTTCCTGAGTTCTCAGTCCTATCGACCCCTGCATCGGAACCGACACGTACTCCCACGCATTATATCGATGTCTCACCGAGGTTGACCCTTCGCGGCCAAGACCTGCCCCTCAATGCGCTTTCTATATTTTCCGTCATTTCCAAATTTATGGGCCAGTACCCAACAGACTGGGACAAGCATCTTAACGGTATTAGCCAGCGTAATTATAATATGGTACACTTCACGCCCTTGATGAAACGCGGAGCTTCCAATTCACCCTACAGTATTTTCGACCAGCTACATTTCGACGATGCGATTTTCCCAAACGGTGAAGACGATGTTTCTCATTTGATCTCAAAGATGGAAAATGAATATGGACTCCTATCGCTTACGGACGTTGTGTGGAACCACACTGCTAATAACAGCAAATGGCTGGAAGAACACCCAGAAGCTGGCTACAGTGTCAAAACTGCTCCATGGCTTGAGGCCGCACTCGAACTGGACACTGCATTGCTGAAGTTTGGACAGGATCTTCAGAGTCTTGGCCTGCCCACCGAGTTCCAAACGGTGGAAGACCTCATCACCGTCATGACCGCCATGCGCGACCATGTTGTCTCTGGCATTCGACTATGGGAGTTCTATGTCGTTGATGTTAGCGCTGACACACGAAGAATAGTCGATCAATGGAGGTTTTCCAATAACATAAATTTGACAGACGAAAAATGGTCACAGTTCGACCTTCAAGACTTCAAAAACCGGACCTTGAAACAGCAAGCGAGTCTCATCCGAGACCACGCCATTCCAACCTCGAAACAAGTTCTGGGAAGGTTTAGCAGAGCAATCGACCCCCAATTTGGAGCAGTCATACTGACGGCACTTTTTGGTCCTTATGATTCCACGGCTTCTGATACAAGTGTAGCCGAGAAAGACCTATCCAAGATACTCGACGAGGTCAATCTTCCATTCTACAAAGAGTACGATGCAGACGTCTCGGAAATCATGAATCAAATCTTCAACCGGATCAAATATCTCCGGATCGACGACCATGGACCCAAGCTCGGATCTGTATCAGAACGGAGTCCTTTGATCGAAACATACTTCACGCGGCTACCTCTGAACGATGTCACCAAGAAGCATGACGAAAGGGCATTAGCACTGGTGAACAACGGCTGGATATGGAACGCTGATGCTCTGCGGGACAATGCTGGACCTGACTCTAGGGCTTATCTGCGGCGTGAGGTAATTGTCTGGGGCGATTGTGTTAAGCTGAGGTACGGTAGCTGCCGTGACGATAACCCTTTCCTCTGGGACTTTATGACGGACTATACCCGTCTCATGGCCAAGTACTTCTCTGGATTCCGCATCGATAATTGCCACTCGACGCCGTTGGTAGTCGCGGAGTACCTGCTAGACGAGGCACGGAAAGTGCGACCTAACCTCACCGTTTTCGCCGAACTCTTCACTGGCTCAGAGGAAGCTGATTATATCTTTGTCAAACGCCTCGGCATTAATGCACTCATTCGTGAAGCCATGCAAGCTTGGAGTACCGGGGAGCTCAGCCGTCTTGTTCATCGTCACGGAGGCCGCCCGATCGGTAGTTTCGATCTAGACTTGCCATCTTCGGGCAGCAGCCACGCAATAGCCTCTTCCGGCATTGACACTGGCAAAGAAAAAGTTACCCACATCCGCCCTACGCCAGTGCAGGCATTGTTCATGGATTGTACTCACGACAACGAGATGCCTGCGCAGAAGAGGACTGCAAAAGATACACTACCGAATGCCGCTTTGGTGGCTATGTGTGCTTCAGCCATCGGAAGCGTCATCGGTTATGATGAAATCTATCCTCGGCTTGTGGATCTCGTCCACGAGCATCGGCTGTATTTCTCGGATTTTTCAGAATCCCCCAAGGTCGGGTTAGACACGCTCGAGGGAGGTATAGGCGGCATTAAAAAGCTACTCAATGACCTTCACACCAAAATGGGCGTTGAAGGCTATGACGAGACGCATATTCACCATGACGGCGAGTATATCACTGTTCACAGGGTTCATCCCCGAACACGGAAAGGTGTCTTCTTGATCGCGCATACAGCATTTCCTGGCCAGGACAGCAAAGCCATACTGCCGCCTACACATCTTGTTGGAACTCGTGCCAAGCATGTCGGGACATGGACCTTGGAGGTAGATGCGAGTGAAACAACCAAAGACAGGGTACTAGCGGATAAGTCCCTCCTACGGGGGCTGCCTAGCCGTGTCAGTGCCATTGAAGGCACCACACTGGAGGAGCGTGGTAAAGATACCACCATCTCTGTACTGGAGTCGTTTGTTGCCGGGTCTATCGCCTTGTTCGAAACATCTATGCCAAGTGTTGAACATGCGACTGGATTGGACAGCCATATCACCGAAGGCGTGGATCAAGCGTTCTCGGATCTCAGCTTGGTGGACCTGAACTTTGTCCTTTACCGCTGCGAGGCGGAAGAGAGAGACTCGAGTAATGGCCAGGACGGGGTATACAGTATCCCCAACCATGGCCCCTTGGTTTACGCCGGCTTGCAGGGTTGGTGGAGTGTGCTTGAGACCATCATTAAGTACAATGAACTAGGCCACCCGTTATGCGAGCACCTGCGCAACGGTCAGTGGGCCCTGGATTTTATCGTTGGTCGTTTGGAAAAGCTGGCACAGAAGGAAGAACACTCTGCTCTCGACAAGGCAGCTACATGGCTGCGGGAGAAGTTCCAAGCTGTCCGCGAGCTACCAAGCTTTCTTCTACCCCGGTATTTTGCCATCATCGTCCAAATTGCCTACAATTCTGCCTGGAAACGCGGAATTCAACTCTTGGGACCGCGTATACAAAACGGCCAAGAATTCATACATCAACTTGGTATGGTGAGTGTCCAACAAACAGGATATGTGAACTCCGCGTCGTTGTGGCCTACAAAAATAGTGCCGAGTCTCGCGGCTGGCCTCCCGCATTTTGCGGTAGACTGGGCAAGATGCTGGGGCCGCGATGTGTTTATATCGCTTAGAGGTCTTCTTCTCTGCACAGGTCGATTCGATGATGCTAAGGAGCATATATCTGCATTTGCAAGTGTTCTCAAGCATGGCATGATTCCGAATCTCCTCAGCAGTGGAAAACTTCCGCGCTATAATTCTCGGGATTCTGTATGGTTTTTCTTGCAATCGATCCAGGATTACACCGAAATGGCCCCGGATGGGCTGAAGATTTTAGACCACAAGGTTCCCAGGAGGTTCCTTCCATACGATGACCTGTGGTTCCCATTCGATGACCCAAGGGCCTACTCGCAGCATTCGACAATATCCGAAGTGATACAGGAGGTATTCCAGCGACATGCACATGGACTTTCCTTCCGAGAGTACAACGCAGGGAGTGATCTTGATATGCAAATGAAGCCTGAGGGTTTCCAGATCGATGTTAAAGTTGATTGGGAAACAGGATTCATCTTCGGTGGCAGTCAATTCAATTGCGGGACATGGCAAGACAAAATGGGCGAGAGCGAGAAAGCTGGGAACAAAGGAGTGCCTGGGACACCACGAGATGGGGCAGCCATCGAGATTACCGGGCTGGTTTATAGCGCTTTGACTTGGGTTGCAAAGCTGCACGAACGTGGAATTTACCAGCACGATGGGGTCGAAATCGGAAATGGAAAGTCCATCTTGTTCAAGGATTGGGCATCGAAGATTCGAGCCAACTTTGAGCGCTGCTACTATGTTCCCCTACACCCGAGGGAAGACGTTCAACACGATGTCGATGCAAACGTGGTCAACAGAAGAGGGATATACAAGGACCTTTATAGGTCTGGCAAGCCATACGAGGATTATCAGCTTCGATCTAACTTCCCTATTGCTATGACTGTCTCTCCGGACCTGTTTACTCCTTCCAAAGCGCTTGCTGCTCTTGCTCTAGCAGACGAGGTTCTGGCTGGTCCGGTAGGCATGGCCACCCTTGATCCATCAGATCTCAATTACCGCCCTGACTACAACAACTCAGAGGACTCTACCGATTTTGCCACGGCCAAAGGCAGGAATTACCACCAGGGTCCTGAGTGGGTTTGGCAACGCGGGTACTTCCTCCGCGCATTTTTGCACTTTGATCTCGCTCGCAGGACGACGCTGGCGGAACGGACAGAGGCTTACCAACAAGTAACTCGGCGCTTGGAGGGTTGCAAGCGAGCTTTGCGAGAAAGCCCATGGAAGGGCCTGACAGAGCTAACGAATAAGAACGGTGCTCACTGTGCGGACTCGGTACGTCCCCCCGCAACACGAACCCCCATTCCCCCTCTGGTATTACTAGGTCAATCGACTATTGCTAACCTGCGCAACTCTATAGTCACCTACACAGTCATGGTCAGCTGGATGCCTGCTTGATCTGTACTATGATGCATCAAGGCATTCACAGGCATAAAGAGGATATTGTTGCTAGGCGCCCTACCGCCCTTTGGTTATATTTCATCATGTATGTAGGGTACATGTTGCTCAGGCTCTAGATAATGAAGATAGTTTCTTGCTTTGGAATGGTTGTGAATTGCCGATTGTATGCATAAATCGGATCGTATGACAGCGGACGGATTCCGGCGACTTCGCGTCGGTCGGCATAAAAGAGCCGCTGAGTCAGCTGCGTGCACAACTCATCGCCAACTGACTAGACGAGACGAGACTAGGTGCTTTTGAGTTTGGGTTCGTCAACATGAGTTTTACAACGATGCCCGACGCGGGCCAAATTTGCCGTGCTTAGCGCGAAGATTGCGGTGTAGAGCGCTTGCACTGGGGTCGCCTGACCCTGAAGTTTTGTTTTCCCTCGTCAAACCAACATCCTCCAGGTCGCAAGCCCGTCAACTACGTGACCCTAGCCCCTGACGTCAGTTGTATTTGACCGACGCATCCTTCCCAGCACAAAGGGCCGCGGTTCCATATGCATTGACAACCCGCCCACCATCCACCACCGTCCGGCGCCGAATAGCTGCTTTTCGAGCGTCATGTCTCTCACGGAATCCGCTGCGGCCGCCATGCTGACGGTCGCAGCCGTGGTAGACAGTCCCATTGACGTGCATGAACCTCGCTGGGATGATCAAACGAGGGGCCGCGATCTATACACTCAACTAGTGATTAGTTTGATGGTTGGCCTAGGTGCCTTTCTCTCCTTCTGTGTGAGTCTCCACGGTTCGCAATGGATAGTCGACGCTCTAACAATGTCTCTGCATAGGTTTTGCGACCGAAATGGACCGAACTATACGCCGCACGGCGGCAACAACGCTGCGCCGCGTCATACTTACCCGAACTGCCTGATAGTTTCTTTGGTTGGATACCCGTGCTGTATCGGATCACAGATGAGCAGGTGCTAGAATCTGCGGGTCTAGATGCTTTTGTCGTAAGTTGGATGGGTTGTGCCAAAATTGAGCTTTGTCTGACATGAACCGTGTCCACTAGTTCCTCACCTTCTTGAAATTCGCGATCCGGTTCCTCTCCACCGTCTTCTTCTTCGCCCTGGTTATTATATTGCCGACACACTACAAGAACACGGGTAAATCTGGGGTTCCGGGTTGGGATGATGACGACGACGAGACTCTGGGCGGGGACAAGAAGAAGATCATATCGGATCCAAGCTACTTGTGGATGTATGTCATTTTTACATACATCTTCACTGGACTCGCTGTCTACATGCTTATCCAAGATACGAATAAGGTTATCCGCACGAGGCAGAAGTACCTTGGAAGCCAGACCAGCACCACCGATCGAACCATTCGCCTGTCCGGGGTTCCCCCAGACCTGGGAACCGAGGAGAAGATTAGGGAGTTCATGGAAGGCCTCCGAGTTGGCAAGGTCGAGAGCGTTACACTGTGTCGTGACTGGCGTGAATTAGACCGTCTGATCGACGACCGACTTCAACTTCTACGCAACCTTGAGTGGGCTTGGACCAAGCATCTAGGCTACAAACGCGTAAAGGCGAATGCGAATGCGCTACCACTAATTCACCATCAGCCGCGTGGGTCCAGTATTATCTCGGAGGATAGCGAGCGCATCCAGCTTCTTTCAGAACATGGACGCGACCATGTGACGGACTATGCGCACAAGCGGCCGACAATTCGCTTGTGGTATGGGCCATTCAAGCTACGCTACAAGAATGTCGATGCGATAGACTATTATGAGGAAAAGCTGCGTCGCCTTGATGAAGAAATTCATGTCGCTCGTCAAAAGGAGTACCCGCCTACTGAGGTTGCCTTCGTCACGATGGAGTCGATTGCCGCCTCGCAAATGGTTGTCCAGGCCATTCTTGATCCCCATCCTATGCAACTGCTTGCTAGACTGGCGCCCGCCCCAGCTGATGTCGTCTGGAAAAATACCTATCTCCCGCGCTCCAGACGGATGATGCAATCCTGGTTCATCACCGTGGTCATTGGGTTTTTGACCGTCTTCTGGTCGGTGCTTTTGATTCCAGTTGCCTATCTGCTTGAGTACGAGACTCTGCACAAGGTGTTCCCTCAATTGGCCGACGCCCTAGTCCGAAACCCGCTTGCAAAGTCGCTTGTTCAGACTGGTCTGCCGACCTTGGTTCTCTCGCTGTTGACTGTTGCTGTTCCTTACATCTACAACTGTAAGATACTTTCTCGCATGACTCGTTATTTGATATCAGCACTAACCGATTGATAGGGCTTTCAAATCAGCAAGGCATGATGTCCCGGGGCGATATTGAGCTTTCCGTCATCTCGAAAACCTTCTTCTTCTCCTTTTTCAACCTCTTTCTTGTCTTCACTGTGTTTGGAACCGCAACGACTTTCTACGGGTTCTGGGAGAATCTTCGGGACGCCTTCAAAGATGCCACAACCATTGCGTTTGCACTGGCCAAGACGCTGGAAAACTTCGCACCTTTCTACATCAACTTCCTATGTCTTCAAGGAATAGGATTATTCCCGTTCAGACTATTGGAGTTCGGAAGTGTGGCGATGTATCCTATCAACTTCCTTGCTGCTAAAACCCCTCGGGACTATGCTGAACTATCCACGCCCCCTATATTCAGTTACGGGTATTCCATTCCGCAGACGGTTTTGAGTTTGATTATCTGTGTGGTCTACAGTGTTTTCCCAAGCTCGTGGCTGATTTGCCTTTTTGGATTGATATACTTCACCATCGGCAAGTTCATCTACAAATACCAGCTCCTGTACGCGATGGATCATCAGCAGCACTCGACAGGACGAGCATGGCCGATGATCTGCAGCCGAGTCCTCATGGGATTGATGGTCTTTCAGCTGGCGATGATTGGAGTGTTGGCCTTGCGCCGAGCCATTACACGCTCCTTGCTCATTGTCCCTCTCCTGATGGCAACAGTGTGGTTCAGCTACTTCTTTGCGCGGACCTACGAGCCTCTCATGAAATTCATCGCGTTGAAGAGCATTGACCGCGAGCGGCCCGGTGGAGGCGATATCTCCCCTTCGCCATCATCGACATTCTCTCCCCCATCCGGCCTCGATCGTGATTCTTTTCCGATCCGGATCGGCGGACAAGAATTGGGACTAAGGCTGAAGAAGTACGTCAATCCAAGCCTGATCCTGCCTCTCCATGATGCATGGCTTCCCGGGCGCACTACGGTTCCCGATCTTCAGGCAGAATTCGGGGCTAGCGATACTCCCAACCACGCGGCTGGTGAATCTGTCTGAACCCCGGTCCAGCGTACCAAGCGGACCGGCTCTACAAATTTGCAGTCGATAGATCTTACCGATTGCACATAGATCTATGAATCTCTAATAACTCTTGTTTATGTATTGCTTCTTATCATCATGATCTACGATGCTATGCCTTTGATGTCATAGATGGCCATGTTCACCCCCGGACTTTCACATCACAGTGTCAGCCGAGGCTATGAGTTGCATCCTCACCTGTTACATCTCTGTGTCCCAATGTGTTTAAATAATGGTTTCCTTTCTCTCGTTTAATGATACCAGACACCTTCGCACTGGAGGTTTCATTTGAATCATTTATGTCAGTATCTGCATGTACTATCACTTCATGTAATATAGGGAGGCTGTCCCCATGTTCCAGACAATGAATCACTTTTCAAAACTATTTCGAGAACTTAGTACCTGACCCCGCGACCAAATGCCAACGCAGGACATTTCAAATTCCCTAGTATCTAAGCCTGCACAATCTACGACCCATCACTTTTCGGGCCCCCTTCTCGGGGCAGGCCAGATTAGTTGAGAGACGCGGCTGTCATCTAGAACAGCCCAATTATGGTCACGCTGTCCGATGGGTCCCACACCAGGATGTCACATTGCCAGCCACCACACTCAGTTGAAGGACGTCCTTGCCGGGTGATTTCCTTCTAGGGTAGATGAGCCGAGTCGAAGGCTGGATCGGAAGATATCTTCGGCCCAAGAGGGGTGGGTTCCTAGACTCTGTGGCTTCTTGATATGAGAATTTACCCGAGAGTGTCGTCTGGCAACAATCCTCTCAGCCAGCACAGGGATATCGGAGAGGTGGCCGCCGAGCAGGCTCTTTGGGTCAGCAGATGTGATATTTAGTGACCCCATACGGAGTACCTGGAATGAATGTTCGAGAACACATCTGCGCTCAGACCTCGCCTTAGCGCCAGTGGGAATTAACCATTCTGTTGTTGGACTGATTGCCAATGGAGAATCAGAATGCCAGGGGCTTCGACGAAAAATGATTTCTGATAGCACGGACACATCCACCCCTGACAGCGTACACTGCGAGTGGTGACAAGTCAGCTACTGCCCATCGCCAGATTGCATTAGTGGATACTGCGTATTTGTCTTTGATGGTGTAAAGGTGGAGGAGACACCTAGGTGACAGTCTCGGATAAGAAGTCCAGTCAATGGGAGAAGAGACCAAAGACGGGGTGGGGGGGTAGCTGATGGCTGAAGATGATGGATGGTTCTAGGCTGTGATCTGTATTATGCAGTACACTCTGCCTGAGGGATGTGGCAGCCCTGCTGGCTGAGGAATGCCGCGATCATCTGACCGACCCCCGCCATCCTCCCGGCCCTCCACCACAATCAATCCTGCCAACAACAATGATCTGGAACATCATCGGCCTGCCATGCTATCAATCTTTGAGTATAGCTCCGCATTTAGCTCCTTTCCCCTCCACAGCGGAGACACTTTCGTCTCCGGGAGCTGCCGATGAACGGGGGTTATTCTTGGAATGATCCAGAATTTTGCTGAGGGGGTATCTGCGCGATTGGATGACATGAAGTATGAGATTGGGCTTCATGATTGCCGAGCTATCATTGCCTCCGCAGTTCGGAGAGCCGATCACTCTTATTTGCCTCCTCTCATGAATTATCCCCTCTCACTCGTCCGCTTGGCCCCACCGAGCCCATCATCGACCTTGACTCAACCTCGTCGTTTCCGTGGACGATGGCAAAATCTCGAAGCCAAACCACCACGGAATCCGCATCTCTTCCCCACCCGTCCCCCCGGTCGACAGCCGCCGTCCTACCTGATGGGGATCATCGCCGCGATGACTCCACTCTTCGGCGCTGGCTCGCCCTTACGATGCACGCTCCCTGCCGGGGGGGGCGATTAGCTTTCTGCCCTCACGACGTCAGAACGGTTATCACGGCTATACCAGGTCCGGGGAGGCGAATACGATGGAACTTTATCCGCACCAGATGTTCACATGGCTGCGTCGAAGAGATATATTTACCGTCAAGTATCGGGTACCTTTTCGATCTCTGCCCCTGAACCTTCTGATTTACTCTTCTAGCTTGCTTGACACAGTTGCTGTGTCGGATCTTCGCCACATTCACTATATATTTCTGGTGAAGAGCTTCTATATGCCCTGTGTCAGCAATTCTGTTTGGCACAAGTCGAACACACAAGAGAAGAACGGCTTACTACGGTAATGAGGCTACCTAGACTGTGACAGGCTTCAATCAGCACTACATCATTAGTAGCCGCACTGGGCATGAGAAGCAAGCTTTGATAAACCAGTTGTGACCTTGTTCGCTTCAGGACGAAGTACACATCTGGTCTTTTGGCAGGTCGGTCTATCTGCCAGGTCACAGTAATCCGAACAGCGTCATCTGCGCCATATACTTATCTTCAGCTTATTCCAATCACCGAATTCTGAGCTCCTATTGCGTTATTCCTTGATGCAGTCGACATACGCCGTGCAAAAACTACTCCTCCGATTCATACCTGGTGCGATCGCGCATCTGTGCCGCAAGCGTGTCTTTCTGTGATACCTGGGTCTTACAGAGGAAGCTTGAATCTATCTACCTGCTTCACTACGACCAAAAACAATTCACAATGCCTTCTTTCTCAACTCCTTCGGATTCTGAGCCCAATATGGCGGGCACTCGTGACATGGACTGGCAGAGCAGTCACGGAATTCCACTGGCGGTGGTGGATAGGCTTCTCCACTACATTCCTCACGACTCTCGGTCTGCTTTACGCTTGACGTGCAAGCCATGGTGCAGAGCAATCGACAAAGTTACGCCGCTTCGACGCCCAGTGGCTAATACCTTGCCTGCGGAGATATTGCTACAAATATTTCACCGACTAGCACCTCGAGACTTCGACAATGCCAGGAGGACTTGCTCCCAGTGGATGCGTGTTAGTCTAGACCGAGATCTCCTGCAACGTATGCTCAAACGAGCGGGTTGGTGGGACTCCTGGCTACGGGACTGTCAAAGTTCGAGCCTTGTAGTGGGCGAGGAAGAGAGTTCGGTCTGGAAAATGAGCAAACGTTTTGCCACAGAGTGTCTACTGTCTGGCCGGAAAGTCAATGTGGAAAGACCAGGGTTCCTTACAACCGCTGTTGTCGACTTCTCTCAACTATCTCAGAGGCAGCGTGCCGCCGAGTTCCGGCGTCCATCTCAGCCTGTCATTACAGAAATTGAACCCCAGACGCATGTCGACGGAACACCCCTGTTTCATGTCAGCGATTGTGGAAGATATTTGCTTGTGGCATCGAATCGCATAATCTCTGTTTATCGTCTGCTTTCCATGAGGGCTGATTTCAGTACCAGCCCTGACGCAGACGTCGCTCTTGTGGCAAGGATCACTTGTCCTGCTGAAGTTATGGCAACCACAATTGATACTAGCAGTTTGAAGTTGACTGTCGCTGCATTGCTGCACAGTCGGCTAGGCATGGTATGCGACCTTGTTCCGGCTACTGATGGTCCATGTGCCGACCTACGCCGTACAAAGTATGCCATGGAGCTGGTTTCTCGACACTTCATATACAATGTATGCTCCGCCAACGACCCACCCCAGAGCGTTTCAATCTGTCCGGGACGTCGTTGCGTCGCTTTCGGGTCGGGAACCGGGTTCGAGCTGCGCTGGATTAACGGACAGACCAATCAAGACTGTCGTAAACAGTTCCCTATGTCGCAGCCATCCGAGGTTCTCCATTTCTTCCCAAGTCGGCCTAATGCGCCAAGAGAGCTTCGCATTATCTCGTCATTAGCCGGTCCAGGTCTGCCTGGATGCAGCTGCCACGGTGTGCACGATGGTGGCAAGCGACCAAAATGCCCATTCCATCTCTCCGCTGACGTCCAATCCCTTACTCGGTGGGATCCACAACATAACGGAGATCCCGACTTAGTGAGGGCCACGCATTGCCATAATTATCATGCCATTCCCATCAATGATGGTCTGCATGTCCTCTACGTCGAGCCCCGCACAGGCCATCTCTGCATTGGGTCTGATGCTCCCATCGGCGGGCCAACAAGTCTCACAAAGACATTCGTTTGCGTTCCTCCATTCGACAACAGTGCATCCGAGGGTATAAGTGAGGGTATGGCCCCGACTGTCTTCGCAGCGGGGTCGGATCTGAGCTGGGGCTTGCGTGTAGTCGCTGCCTATCAGGACAGACTCGTCCTATACTCCGTGCCACTAGACGTCTTCAATGTCATCCGAAAGGAGCGTGAGAGACAAGGGGACGGAGTCATGGGCGACAGCGACCTGGCCAGGGACTGGTTCCTTGACAACCAGAGGTCGCGAAAGCGCCGAGACAGTCTCGTCCAGAACCAGAATGGCGACTGGGAGTTCCTTCTCAGCGTCAGTTACCGCCCCACAGCCATGATGTGGCCGTTCCAGATTTACGGCAAGGAGATCGGACGAGTAAATGATGTAGTAGAGCTAGCTCTCCAGTCATCCAACGGTGGTGCCCGCATCTGGGCGTTTGATGCATCGGGTAAAACCAATGTCATCGACGTGGATACCTTCACCTCGACTGCCCAGCCAGCCGCAGACATTCCTTGCAAGTCAGTATCTGTTGACACCGATGGCACTGTTTCGCCTGCCCAACTCGTTGACCGGAGCGTGCTCGAAGCTGCACCACAACTTACGCGCAAGCGGAAGCATTACGACCAAGAGAACTTTAGCAGCCAACACACGAATGCTCATTGGCTCGATGCTCCTATGCTAAGAGAGGAAGAGCCGTCGGAGCTCTCGCAACTCGTCACTGCAGCGGCAACGAAACGGCGTTATTCTTTCGCTGCTTGCATTGTTGATCTCAACATCCCCGAGTTGAATGCTCGAGAGGGACCATGGGTGGAGGATGTCAGCGTGATGTAAGCCCCAGTGGGGCATTGATTTTTGGCATACAGAGCGTGGCGCATCGGGCTGTTTTCGGTATCCTTATACATACAGACTCCGTACATACATTCTAGATTTATGATAGCGTGCTAATACTTTTTTCATGTCTATGTCAATGTCTATTCCCCAATCTCATTCTTTCCCAATTAGGATCGTAACATTGATTATATATTGGTGCCTAAATATCACTCTTCTGGCAGGCCCAAGACGTTGACAACTGCAGCGTGACATCAAACTCGCAGCTCACAATGGGATGAAATCATGATTCGACGCAAAATTCTAAAACGTGTACTGCAATCAAGATAGATATCACTTTTATCGAAAGAAACAACCGCTAGAAAACCCAGTCCCTAAATCCATGCGTCAAGAAGTGGTATGGCTGACATAACGTGTTGACATCTCATTAACGGAGAGACAAGCCCAGTGCGACTCACTGGGAGCTGGCAGCCAGCTTCTCCCGCCGGGCGCGCACAGCCTGTGCAAGGTTTTCCAGCACAAGCTCGGTATCCTCCCAGTGGATGCAGGCGTCAGTGATACTGACACCGTACTTGAGACCGGCCTTGCCCTCAGGAGGAACCTTCTGAGTGCCTGTATATGAAGGTTAGCGAATATTCATAGGTTGGAGTTTGACGTAAGACATACCCTCGTTGATGTTGCTCTCAATCATGACACCCATGATGGCTGTCTCACCAGCAGCAATCTGCTCGGCCAGGACAGCGGCCACCTTGGGCTGGTTCTTGTGGTTCTTCTGCGAGTTGCCGTGGCTGCAGTCGACCATGAGACGGGCGGGCATGCCCTTAGCGGTCAGCTTGGTCTTGGCCTCTGCAATGCTCTCCGCATCAAAGTTGGGTCCCTTCTTGCCACCGCGAAGGATGACGAAGCAATCGGGGTTGCCTACGGTGCCGACAATAGCAGCGACACCGGGCTTGGTGACGGAGAGGAAGTGATGGGGGTGCTTGACGGAACCAATGGCATCGACAGCCACGTCCAGGGAGCCGTCCGTGCCGTTCTTGAAGCCGACAGGGAACGACAGACCCGACGCCAGCTCTCGGTGGACCTGAGACTCGGTGGTGCGAGCGCCGACCGCGCCGACGGAGAGACAGTCAGCGAGGAACTGGGGGGTGATGGTATCGAGCATCTCGCTGGCAATGGGCATGCCCTTGTTGGTGAGGTCAACGAAGAGTTGACGGGAGGTGCGCAGACCCTTGTTGATCTTGAAGCTGTTGTCGATGTCGGGGTCGTTGATGAGACCCTTCCAGCCGACAGTGGTGCGGGGCTTCTCGAGGTAGGAGCGCATAACAATCAGCAACTCGTCCTGGTACTTCTCCTTCATCTTCAAGAGGCGATCGCAGTATTCGAGAGCCATCTCGGGGTCGTGGATGGAGCAGGGTCCGATGACAACCAGCAAACGGTGACGGTCGGTGTCTGTGCCGTGGACGATGGCAATGGCCTCGTCACGTCCTTCCAGGACCGTTTTCCGGGACTTTTCTGTCAAGGCGATCTCATGTTGGAGGAGGTTGGGGGGGGTGAGGGGATTGTAACCGCGAACTGTAAACGATCACGAAGACCATACGTTAACGGGGGAGAATTCCACTGCGATGAGTCACGGGCGCACTTACTTCTCGAGTCTTCCAGGGAGCATCTGTCCCCGACATTGGGGTTTTCAATGAAGAACTAAAGGGGAAATAAGCCTGAGAAATGCAATTGAGAGGGTGAACAATGAGCAACCGAATGACTTACCGACATGATGTGTGGCGGGGCAGGAAGGAAAACGGAGGGGCAGAGGCGAAGAGATAGCGAGATAGGTAGATAGTATGCCCGACGGGTAGGAGGTGATCACCCTGCTGCACTGTATGCAATGAAGGGGGCGGGGGAGGGGGAGGAGTGGAATCTGAGATTGAGAGTTCCGATCAGGCCCGGTCAGGACAATATATATCCTGCAGCTGTACTCCGTAGTGCGTAGTGCGTAGTAGTATGAAATCCGAGTCGATTCTCCGTTGTTCTTAATTTTTCTTGCTGGGGGGCCCTTGCAGAACGCAGCGAGCAGCAGCTCCGTCGATCGGGGCCCGTCGCGTCGAGTCATTCTTGCCCCATTGGGCCTTCCGCACGTGATTTCGGTGAATGCACGAATGGCAGCCGGCCCAAAAGCGTCTCGCCCGCGGTATCGCTTGCCAATGGCTGTGTGTCCCCTTGGCCGCCGTGCCTCCCATCCTGCTCGCATTTGGCTTGGGAGAGATACTCCGTACTCCGCGGCGCCGCGGTGCACTCCGTAAGCTGCAGGCTGTCAGCCCTAGGAGGGGTAGAATGGTCGAGATACGACTGCGACCCGGAATGGGCGCGGAACCTACTATATAGTCTCGCGTTATCCGGTCATGCTGGCGTGCGGGATCGGACTTGTGACTACACCTGTCAAGACTACTACACTCCAATCTCGCATGTGCGGCATTTGATCTGGATTGCGCCCCTTGGGTCTTGCAGATACGAGTTGCAGATACGGCCAGTCCTTGCTTGTAATGAGTGAGTGCATAGCTATATCTCGAGAAATGACACCTGGAGCAAACACTGTCTGCTTCCGAGACCGGACTGGAAACGCCACGGAGCCGGAGCTTCAGATATTAGGAGACGCTTCATTTTGTTTCCTTAGCATTTCGGGAATGCATCCTATCCTGGAGCTGTTGCTCGTTTCTTTCCAGGCGGTGCACTAGTTCCTGGCATACCTCAGTATGGTGGTTGCGGATGGAGTTCATCTGCTGCTGGCATAGTCTGATCCGTTCTTCTTGTGCTTCAAAGAGCCGATCCAACACCCGGTGACAATCTTGCCGATACATCTCCAAAACTTCATTTATCGTGTCCTTCTCGCTCTCGATTTCGCGACTAATATGCTTGCAATCAGTTCAGTATGTTACCCCCAGTTCCCAGGGGTTCGAGCGTACCTCGCTGGTTGCCACAAGCATGCCTTGTGCTCTTTGATGAAGCGCCTGCAGGGACGTCTGCCAGGTTGTTTGCTGGGCAGCGGCGTCCGCGCTAGTGCTGAACTTCATGGGATTTGAGCTCGACAGAGCAGGTGATCGTATTCGTGAGGGGCTCGGCCGAGGTACCAGGTTACATGTCTCTATGGGCTTATTCTCCTTGTTAGATGCGAAATGTGCGTCAATGTCTGTTTGCGCGGCATTTTTGGGCTGGACCCCCCTAGATACGTGTCTATCTGCGTATGCCATGAGGCGGTCTTGGAAGGTCAGTGCTCCCTTTGCTTTGATTTGTCTCATGCGGGTCTCATCCTCGGAATGTTCCGACTTCTTCGTGACATGGGGCGACAGACGCACGTCCATTTCGGACAGAAGCGCGTTCCTTTCACATGATGCTGTTTGATCGCGCTCACCTTCGGCACCAGTATCTGCACCGTCTGTCGCCTCGCTTTGCTGATTTGCTAGCGGGTCCTCCTCTTCTGCGTCTGACGTTTCTTGAGATCTCCCATCTGACCTTATGTCATCGATCATATATCTATTTCTACCACGCGGCAGAAGGCGCGGGCTTCCATCGAGATCAACGATAGTTGATCTGGGGGTGCGTTTGAAACGCTTTGCCGGATAAAAGTTTTCTTTGCGCACATTGAGTATAGGCTCTGCTGGGGTTTTCGAGTCGTGATTTCCGGTGTCTGCCCCAATTCGTATATGATCCGGGCTGGGTATACCTATCTTTCTCTTCTCACTTTTCGTACTTGAATTTTCTCCCACTTCTGATCCTCTCCCGGGTTGGCCGAAGTTGCAAGTATCTTGCTCATCCCGTAAATTCACATTATACGACTGCAAGGAAGCTTCTTCGGGTGGACTCTTGCACAGAATATCCGATGCAGCGGAATTATCTGGTTGAACTTCCTTTTCTTGCTCCTTGTAATCGCTTTTCCTACTCCAAGCACCACTCCTGGGGCTCTGAGTCGAATATTCTGTATCAAGATCGTCAAGTTGGTCCATGATGGATCCATGTGGCGTTCTTTCGGACGAATGTCCATCAAGGATGATATAGTCTTTGTTAGCGGGACCTGCAACCCCCACATTTTCGTGAACACTACCTTGGTTCACTAGGGAATATATACTGCCCGACAGAACAGATTCGTTCGGGCAATCCAGTTCGTTTTGGCTCTCTGGATACTCCAATCTTTTCTTTCGGGATTCGCAGTGGCCTGGTGAAGGATCACCTTGCTGAAAAGCAGCAGTCAGCCTGTTCCCAACAGCACGGCCCCTGCCATGAAGCCCTTGTATATGAACCACGATCTTAGCAGTAGACGATTTCTGGGCGTCTGAGTTTATCTCATCTGTATGTTCCTGGTGTAGTTCCATAATATTGCCGTATTCGCTTTGGGTAGCTTGTAATAAGAGTGATTCGTTGTGATCGCCGTCAGGATGTAACGGAAGAGAGTCGCCCATTTTAATGACCTTAGCAGAGTTGCTATCGAGCTCAGCATCATTGCATCTGTTTTCTGAACATGCGTCTTCACCATGCATGTCATTGTCTCGGTGGTTATTCCTAGTACCAGCACCTGGGTTTCCCTGTGTGCCATCAGCCGGTGGATTGTGCTCCAGCTCTTGATTAAGGTTTTCGACATCTGTCTTTCCTGTATCTGCTGGTGGTGCTGCTCCTCTCTTGGGTTGTTTCCTCGTCTTTCCTCTAGGACGTAACTGTGTATTTTGGCGCTTTGTAGCTAACCTCCTTCCTCTTTTTGCCACCCTTGTCTTACCCAGCGCGTTGAAACTCTTAGTAAAGATACAAGTTCCGCCAGCCAAGGGGGAAGAAATTGAAGTAACTTCTGTTTCATTTTGTTCCGAGTTGTCTTCTTCATCGCTAGGTCGAAGATCTTCGTCCCAGTCAACAGCAGCCTTCGAATTTGCTGTGTACACCGTCCGCTTGGAATGTCGTGCGTAAATAATCATGGACTCCTGGGTATTCGATAGTTGAAGTTTCGCTTTATTTAAAGTCAATTGGTTTTTCGTTGTTTGTGGTCTATCGGTTTGCTCTCTGGGTGCAAATCTACCATTGGGTTGCCTCGGTCTCTTTGATGATTGTTTGCCGTGCAGTTTGTTCCCTGAACAAGCGTCAATGGCAATATCGATGCCACCCTTAAGTTCAGTCTCCTTTGTGTTTCCTCTTTCTTCTATATGACCTAGAGGATGGCCGTGCAAGTCTTTCAATAGTCCAGCCTGTGGCATGTTTGGTGTGAGCATGAACGAGTTGCATACATGGTGAACTTGTTCGTGATCTTGCAGAGCGCTGCTGTGACTAAATTCACCTTCTTTCAGATGCTCTGGATTCTCACTCATGGGCAGTTCTTCCCGAATACTGCCTGGAGCTTTATCCATAATATTTCCAGTTTTTTGTTTGGTTGGTGAACTTTCAGAAGGCCCTGCTTGCGTCTGGGAATCAGTGTATGAGAAGTCAAAAGACTTCCTTGTGACTTCTTCACCCGTATCCAACTCCATCATGAGTGACGAGGATCTCCGAAGGATAGGGTCTATCCTCGAAGAGCCCCGATTATCTCTTTTGAGCATCCCGATGGTCTTCTGCAACTCATTCGAATCGTCACTGGAAACTATGCTGAGCTCTCGGCCATTGATGTCCTGCCGTCTGCCATTTTTAAAGATTAGTTTCGACGGAGAAAGGCCCCAAGTCAGACGATATGCCTTATTATCATCTATTTCCGTGCGTACGGGCTGGCAAATATCTCGGGCGCGGACGTCGACGTATTCGAGACACACCCTCGATGTACTAGCTCGATGATTCATAAAGACGAGGTCATATTCATCAGCTATTGTGAGGACAATGCCACGGAGCAAGGGACTTCCGTTGATTTCAATTGACTGGACAAGGAAACACCCTCGTGGTTTGAGATTTCTCCTGAGACTTTTCGCTGGCTGCCCTTTTGTAGCACTCGATGAGTCCACCTCATTGATGAAGGTATAAAAGAGCTGGAGCGGGCTGTCTTCATATATCACCAGGTGTCTAAAGAAAGTTCCTCTATCTTTGGTGCCGTCGGCAGGCCAGAGGATCTCTTTGCTCACGCCAGAGTCATATAATGCATGGAAGACGACAGCTGCGAAAGCTTTCAGACTTGCATCGGCATGGTAGAGTAGGATGGATAGGAGCCTGAAGATTTCCTACGTCAGTATAAGCAACCTAGTCTCAGCTAACACGCTTAGTACCCGGACATATCTGCATCTTGCGATTCAAGGAGGAAGGTATAGTTATGCTTTGACTCTGACAATATCTCCACAAGTAGTTTGCCAGCCTGCTTAAAGTAAGCATGAGAAGACCCAGAAGCTGCTTCAGACCCACCAATTTCCGTGTCTGGATAACTTGCTCCTCCGTTGAAAACAGATGGTATAGCTTATGGATCAACTTGCCCTGCAGCAACCGCGACTGATCACCGGTCTGTGGACTTGCAACCTGATAAAGCATGCTTCCAGAGTCCCTTATGTATTGCGGTTCATCCTAGTGAAAGCATTAGGTATTTGGGATGAGTGCACGGATGTAAACCCAGACCAGCAGGAGATAAAGCCCATTTTCCAGCCCGGATTCGACTTCTGAATTAAGCAGTGTGTATGCCAGACAACGCAGAGAAGAATGATCAAGCGCATGTGCAATCTTATTGGACTCTCTCTTGAGGATGGAAAGTATTTGGCGTATGTTGCAGTCATCGACTCTAGACTCGTTATGTAGCAGGGCTCCGACGAGGTGGCTCGAGAGGGTGTAAAGTCGCGGATCCCGCAGAATACAGGTGTAATAAGGCTTTGAAACCGGTGCTATATTCTCAGAATCACTGCCCCTGGCTCTTACACAGGCCAGCTGCGAGGCTAGCTCTGTGATGCAAGCCCATTGTGATTCTTCCTGGACTATATCTGAAAACAGAGAGGCCATTTGTGTTCTGTGGGATAAGACCTCGTAGAAGAGTATGAAAGCTGAGATCGGGGCGAAAGCGAGCTACTTTCGAAACCAGAGAGCAAGAGGTGTGAGAGTCTATCACATGATGGTGCGCTTGCACTTGGCCAGAACGAGCTCTTCTACAGCCTCTGTCACAATTAGTCAACAGAGTGACATGCCATGTGCTTACTCTGATGTCATTTGTCTTATCCAGCCTAATTTTGCCCTACACAATCTAAAAACCAAGAGTAGTCCCTGGAGAGACGTCCACTTGGTATAGACACGGTCTACTGCCAGCAGACAGTCTTCGATGCATGCGCTCAATCTTCTTGGGTTAGTATGCCATGAATTACCAAAGACAGCCATCTCCAAGCTTCTTCCCAAAGCAGTGCTTTTAAAGATATCAAGGCTCGGTCATGGCTAATGAGCGTGTTTCGCAGGTCTGGTCATGCCCTCTCGCACACAAGAGCCGGATCAACACAGAATGGGCAAAGTAGCTTAACAGTGATGATAATTAGGGAGAATATTTGATATATAAGGAGCATAACTCGCATATAATCTCTTTTCCAGAGGCATGATTTGAAACGGTTTCTGTTTCAAATTGAGGCTGGTCGGAAAAAGACATTCTTGGTTGGGGAAAGCCGGGGAAGCACAGCATAAGGTTCCCAGCATAAGCATTACACATGTGCTCCGCATCTGCCAGGATCCTCAAACGCCTTAGAATGATTAGCTGAATATGGCGCGATAGCACGCTAACGAGCTTAATGCGCCCACTGGATATATCAACAACAAATACCCCGGATACTCTCAGAAGCCATAAAACCACAATTAAAACTGCTAAAGCATCGATGGAGGAAATTCCATGAGAATCCATGGACATTGGTCAGCCGGCTGTTGGAGTACCCGTCCCGAGACCACTCGGCTCCGGTTACGACAGGGAGAAGCAACGGGAATCCCTGCCCTGCCATGCGGTGCACAAGCAGCTAGTCGGCTCAACCATGGAGTATATCATGGACAAATACTCTTGCTCATTTTCTCTTCATCCAGACTAAACCATTAGCAGAGCTCTCTCCAAAAAGCACTATTGGTCGACTGACCCAACCTATCTGAAAGATGGCAACAGTAAATCGAGACGAGGAGGGAGGCCACCGGGTCCCTCGCACACGTCGCTCGAGCATGATCGAGACATATGAGCGACTCGGGGAACTAAGTCCTTTGTCCGGCCACACGTATCCCTCCCCACAAGAAACGAGCCATTCTCTGCCCGAGACGACTCCCGAGAGACAGCGAGTGTCGACGACCGATCGGTCCCTCGATAAAGACGCCAGCCTTGCGGACAAAGTCACAGATCATCAGTTCGAGATACTCGGAGACGGAAACCCACCATCCGAAGAAACCGTCCTATACCTTGCCTACGGTTCGAACCTATGCTCGGAGACCTTCCTGGGAAAGCGAGGCATCAAGCCGCTTTCCCAAATCAACGTCATCGTCCCAGGCTTATGGCTTACATTCGATCTCCCGGGGATACCATACATAGAGCCTTGTTTTGCAGCAACTCGATTGCGCAAGCCCCCAAGCGAAAAGGAAAATTCAAGCAAGATTGCAAACAATGAATCGGATGGAAAGGCTGCATTGGAAACCTCGCATCTCATCCAAAAGACCCCAGATTACAACTCAAACATGCCCCTTATCGGCGTCGTCTACGAGGTGACTCTTACAGACTACGCGCGCATAATAGCAACCGAAGGTGGTGGACGCGGATATGAAGACAAGGTCGTCGACTGCTATCCATTCCCCAAGTCGTACAGCCCAGCGGACCCTCTCCCTGAACATCCGAGTACCAAGCCGTTCAAAGCCCACACCCTTCTATCTCCTGCCGTCGCGGAGGACTTACTGAAAACCAGCGGACAAGCTTCCACAACCCCAAAGAAACGCTCCTTTGTCTCGCGCTTTAGCCCTGTGGTCCGCCCGAACCCATTCTACGCCCAGCCTTCGGCTCGCTACCTCAACCTGATCACCACGGGCGCAGCTGAACACGACTTGCCAATCACCTACCGGAATTATCTTGCCGGGATCCAGCCATATCGTATAACTACCTTGCGTCAAAAGATTGGCAGAGCGGTGTTCGTGGGATGCTGGGGACCACCGGTATTTCTTGTTCTGGTACTTCAAAGAATGTGTGCGAACTCGGATGGTCGCAGTCCCGCGTGGCTGGTGAAATTCGCAGATGCTGTCTTCTTTGCTCTCTGGCAGTCTTATGACAATGTATTCCGGGGACTCTTTGGTGATGGTGAAAGGACCATTGGTGACAACACTAGACGCTAAGAATATCTTGATCTAGATAGTAAACTACTTTGAACCCACCGGTCAAATTGACAAAGTTTAGTGCATTGCACCTGTAATAAAAATGGACTATTCTAGCGAATCTATGAGGTTTGCTGCCGAGGCCGGACAGCCCTAGACCAAAGCCCACATTTGAAGCTGACAAAGGAAATTGTGACATTGGAGCAACATTTTCAACGGAGAATAAATATCTAGGGTACAGATACAAGTGTCCTGAGTAACATCTAACGAAACATGCAGAGACCATCGAATAGAGTGACAGGTTGAAGGAAATGGCGACGTGCGACCAACATGCGTTGGACTATGGATTATATCAAGGCTCACTAGTCGCCTGCATTCTTCCTCCACGGTGTGCAATTCATACAGTCCGCTGCAACATTCAGCGCCGGGAAACGGGGGGGCTGTACACAATCTTTCTCGTCTTGATCGGGGCCCACTTGTAACGCTTGACCCAGACGCTGACGGCGAAGAGACCGGTGAGGAGGGCGATGGCCTTGACACCCATCTTCTTGCGGTCGTCCATCTCAGGCTCGGCAGCCCAGTTGAGGAACTCAACAACGTCCTTGGCCATCTGGGAGGTGGTGGCGGGAGTGCCATCCTCGTACTCGACAACGCCATCGAAGAGAACACGACCCATGGCAATACCTATATCGTGTTAGATCCGAACACGGGCAAATCGACGTCATCAATAAGCGGTGGACCTACCGGTACCGGGGAAGTAGGGGTTGAAGTTCATGCCCTCTCCGACAACAGCACCAGCCGGGGGCTCATCGGGGTAACCAGTCAGCAGACTGAAGATGTAGTTGCAGCCACCGTGACGGCCCTTGACGATCAAGCTGAGATCCGGGGGCAGAGCACCACCGTTGGCAGCACGGGCAGCCTCCTCGTTCTTGTAGGGAGCGGGGATGTAGTCGGACAGCTTTCCGGGGCGCTTCTCGATCTCGCCCTGGTCGTTGGGCTCGGTGTCGTACTCGTTCTCCTCAGCCATGGCCTTCATCTCATCGACGGTGTGCATAACACCGACGAACGAGCGCCAAGGCACACGGGTCAGGGAGTGGCAGCTGGCACAGACTTCACGGTAGACCTGGAAACCACGACGGAGGCTGAAGTGCAAAAGATGAGTAAGACGGCCGGGGGTCGGGGACGGCGAGGGTAGTATCCGCCCGGAATTGAATTGGGAGACTCACGCCTGGTGATCGAAGGTCTTGTTCCACTTGGCGTGCTCCCAAGGGTATGCGGTAGGGTGCAATCTTGAAATCGATGTGTTAGTCTTGATCCACAGTCGAAGCCGATAACGGGATGCCTCGGTCGGAGCAACGGAGCAGCCACACAATGGCCATCCCTCGAGCATCACAAAGAATCCACTCACCCCTCCTCAGCAGGTGTCATGGCAAAAGCTTCCTGGCCATAGAGATACGCAGCGGATCCGAGGGCGACGGCGGTTGCGGCGGACGCAGTGAGTGTGAGGTGGAAGGGGGAGCTGGCGGATTCGGCACCGGCGGCGGAGGAAGACGCACGCTGGGTGTTTGGTTAGTGGAAAACCAATTCAGAAGCTTTTGAGGTCGATAGGGGAGCGATTGTCCTCGTCCATTGGGTCCAATGGGCGTCGATGTCGGGGAAGTGCGTACCGTGGAGGTCTTGTTCAAGGACTGACGTGCGACACCCCGGAAGGGCACGCTGCGCAAAACAGTACGTGCCAGCATACTGACGATGTGAAAGACCCTCCGGACAATGGGTATTCAGGAAGGCACAATAGCCACAGAAGGGGAGAGGGGAGGGGGAGGGGGCAAGGCTGAGCGCGCAGGAGAATGTGCTTTTGGAGGTGAAGTCGAGGTTGGTCGAACGGGTCAAGTTTCTCTTGGGTTTGGAATTGCCTAAACCCTCGTTCTGATTGGCTGCCGCCCCGGTCCTAACTGCCTTCGGTGAAAACCGCGACTTTTCGGAACAACAATTTTCGAGGGCCACCTGATGATGATGCTCACAACATGCGACTACAATGGAACAACAACCTTACAGACTAGCTTGCAGGAAGCTTCAAGGTCTCAATGCCTCTTGGTTTATCCTCACGGACCATCACTGTTCCCTCCCCATCTCTCAACCCCGTTCCTCCACCCAGAACCGAGTCCCAGTAATCAATCCTCCCGCTCTCATTGGCCATTGGGCGCTGCTGTTCCCGAGTGCTCATCGGCCATCGTCGCCTCCGCCATAGCCTGACATTCCGACGCTATGCCCATCCGCAGCGCCTGAATAGCCGTCCGGATATCACATCGGGCACGGTTGCTATACAAGACCAGAGAGAGAGCGGGTAGTCGTCGCACGGTGCGGCCGCTAAGCCCCTAATGTTCTCGTCAGTACGGAGCTATAGAGTACTGTCATCGTTTCCCATCCACATCAACATCAACATCAACATTCACAGGAAAGGATAGTGTTACTGACGATACTCTCCAAAACGGCATCGGCAAGCAGTTTGGGTATGGCATCCGGGAACATCTTATAATGCAGCAACATATCGTCGAATGTCGGTAAGATGAGCTGTTCTGCGGGCTGCTCCACATACTGTAAAGCCGTCTGGGGATCGGTCGGAGCAACTTGGACCACGTCAAATGAGGTACCCTCGATGATGCCATGTCGACCCAATTCCTCTAGGCACTCCTTATAAATCTTGTAGATCGGTCTGCTGGACAATTGAGGTATGTATTGCTTAATATCCACGCGATCGAGGAAAGCTTGATCCTATGCGCGAGTTCAGAGTCAGTTCCACTGCTCATCACTACTTATAAGGTCTTACCAGCGCTGTGACCAAATTGCTGGTACAGACAACAATAACGTTTGGGTGCTCTTTCAGCTTGTCTAGGCCTGTTAGTAGAGCGTCCACCGCCCGAATTGCATCGAAGGGCTCATTGCTGCTCAAAGCTCTGTCTCTCCGAGCAGCTAAGGTTTCTATCTCGTCCATGAACATGCAGACGAATGTGTCCTCTTCCGCCTCGAGAAGAAGCTCTATGCTCTCTAACACTCTGTTCACCAGCTTGCCGCTCTCACCAAAAAACTTGCTTCCTAGAGAATGTGCGTTAATCTCGATCAACTTGCTCTGGGGATAATGCTTCCCAAGGCGTATGGAAAGCTTCTGGGCAAGACCGCGACTAGATCAGTTAGCAGTCAGAAGCAGAACATATAAGCATTGACACACCAGAAGCTTGTTTTTCCGGTTCCTGGTGGTCCCCAAATGAGGATTAACCTGTTCCAATTGATGGTCCATTTATCGAGCCTTCGAGCAGAAAACGAGACTGCTCACAACGTCAGAAGCCTCCAGATACAGCCCAAAGCTAAATAGGTTACCCATTCGGCTTATAGCAGAAAGTATCGTCGACTGTATTGGCTGATCGAACTCCAATCTGTGCCAATGATGAGTTACTTTTACCTTGTGAAAGAACTTATAGGTCTGAACAGCCGTACGACTCCCATAGTCCATCCAGATCTTTGTTCGGTAGTGCCAGAGTCCTTGCTCTGGGTACATCATCCCCATTTCCTGATTCGTCGAATATCTGAGTGTTTGGGGGGCTTTGTTGGTCGGATTGCGTGCGGAGTTGATACGCTTGTACATCCAACTGAACCTGCTGGAGTCGATATGCTCCGGAATCCAGATTACCTCCACTACACTCGGCAACAAGTATAGAGTCCAGGACTTGGGCATGTGGCTCGCTTAAGCCTCCTATACCTTTATTAGAACGCCTGCAAGGAGTTTAGCTCTAAGGGGTCTGACCGAATGAAGAAATCGTCTGTCCAAGAGATAAGACGACGAAATTGTCAATAAGCCATTGTGTAACTTCGTCTCTTACCTGCTTCCTAGTCAGAAGTTGAAGTGCATGAAATGAGGTCACCTACCAGATCAGTTCGGACGATGATTCCATCACTGTTGTTTTTAACCCGGGCTTCGACATGTAGGATCGGCTGTTGTGAAACATCTACTGGACATGAAATGCAGTTGGTGACGCTCATTTCGGTATGCACCAGAGAAAATGTAAATTGGAATAGGAGAGATTGGAATGCACGTCATGGATTCCGTGACCAGTGTGGGAAGTGGTCGTGAGTGTAAATTGAACATTGAGCCTGGAGTAAAGTGGTAAGGTACTGATACCAACATCGAACGGCCGTTCTACATTTCTACTATTACAGCCTCCAGTCTCATGGCCGCCTGCTTTACAGCCTACCTACTTACATTTACATACTTGAATACTCAGCTAGTGTAGGTATATCATACAATCAGGTCTATGGGTGTTTTGTCTCGGACCTCTATGGTCTACGAGCATGCAGTGGGTACTAGAGACAGAATAATATATGTCTTACGTCACAGCCAGACTGCCAGAAAATCGATTGATTATCATATTCTCATTTAACCACCCACACATGATCGCGCGAACCAAACTACAATAAACAAAACAAAATTTCTTACAACCAAAAATTCCCGACTGCACTGGAGGGAACATCGACCTGGTTGAGTGCAGTCGGTTGGTGCCATCCACCGGAAAGGAAGTCAGCCGGCCGATCCAACCGTGGATTTTCTGGGGTCTTCCGCCCACAGTGACGAACTGCCAACCAACCGATGTAATTGCTCGGAGCCGTGGATGGTCCCGTTTCTCAGAATTAGGGGCTATGATTCCACCATGCGACCATATGTTTCATGATCGACCATATTTGCCAACGACTCCGGCGCCGCTCGATTCCTCGGTTTTTCCGTTCGACTAATTGGGGCAGCCCCGCGGAGCGAACTACTAGTCGGTGGGAACTCTGGGACCCTGACCGGCTTGTCCGCGCTGAGCCTCTGGAGCGTTCAACAGAGGAGCCCGACGTCCTCCCGATGCCGACTCTGACACTACAAGATGCAGCAAGCGAGGACTGGGCCAGGTGCTGGCGCAAAGCCGCGCAAGGATGTTCTGGCCTCACTCAAAATGGCCTCCATGGAGGAAATCTCCAGGGCCTCACTCCCAGCCGGTACGTCAGGCTATGGCAACAGGATGGACCAAGGGAAGCGATCACTGCAGCACACAATATTCTAACGAGAACTAGAGATCATGTCCTCGATCCTTGATTACCTTTCCCCCGTCGATCTCATACGAGTCGCCCGGTCGTCTAAACTCATGCGCGAGATGGCATACGATGATACGAGATGGGTGCAGAAGTTAAAACGGATGGGCTGCTGGGACGAGGTGGAAGCGAGAAAGCACGCGGAAGAAGCATTTGGTACTATTGCTGATGTGCAAAGTGTCGAGCACCAGGAGGGCGTGGATACACAACAGACAAGTGAGCCTGGAAGCGGCGTTTCGCAGACTGCCGAGGCGGATTTGCAAGCGATCTCTGACGGATTCGATCAAATCAAATTGTCTACTTCCGCTGCCATTGATATGCTAAATGTATCGGAGAATGATCCGGTATTGGGCGCATTAAAGCAAGTGAGGTCGGTGCGCGGAGAAGCGCGCCAGGAGTATGGGAAAGTCCACGCAGCACTGGCGCCATACTACAATGATATCGTCACCTCCGGCGCTTCGCCCGATAACCTGCTTTTCAAAAATTTTACCGACCCACAACACCAAGCGCAGATTTTGTCGCAATTGCAGTATTTTTCCGAATGCGATACGTCCGAGGGCTGGTATGAACGAACCGAACAGTTACAGACCGCGGTGTCGATGTTCGAAACGGCTGCTATCAAGGAGTTCAGACATGGATATGAGACCGAGGATATCGATGATCGGATGCGAAAATATGCCCATGTGCTGTACACGTTGAACGGAGGAAACGCGGCCGTGGAGCTCTTCATTCACCACAACCACCTTGTTACGAGAAGATCAGAGCTCGGCAAAGTATCGGACTGCATTGACCCCCTGACACAGCGGATCAAGCTCGAACATACACAGGCTTTCTTCACTCGACTAAGTGTGGCGTACAATGAGGAGGTCTCGATAATCAATCGTGCTTTCCCCTCGTCCGTGAAGGTTTCGACACCGTTCATTGAGAAAGTTGGGCAGGATGTTCTGTACCCTCTTCTGACCGCCATATTTGATGAGCTTCATCGCGCAAATACCGAGTCATACTTGACCGCCGTCTCAGGAACATTTGCTCAGTGTCTCAATTTGTCGGATACGTTGCTACCCATTCAGAACGTCGACGACAGCTTCGACGAGTTCTTAGATCACGTCGTTGCTAAAGCCTACGAGCCGCATTTGGACCTGTATCTTGCAGAGGAACTAGACCATTTCCGCAAATTGTCTGAGGCAGCGGTAGGGGATTGGGATAGACAGCTGTCCGAACAAGCAGCCTCAACCGAGTCATTCTTAATGTCAAATATCAATAGACAGGCCGATAAGCGTGATTTCTTGACCTCGTTCAAGAAGGTGATCATGGCGCCTGTCAATATTCTTCCTAGCTTTTCGGGCAACAAAGCGAACGAGCCAAAGCCGGATCCTGCCCCCAGTGACTCGTCATTGAAGAGTCCCAATCGTTTCTCGACAATTGCATCGCCCACGACACCGCCTATCATGGAGGCTCCAACCAATGAACTTGCAGCCAAGGCTGCAGTGATGAAATCCAAATTAGAGGGCATTCGGTCTCTGTTCAGCATCGAAGTCGCTCTCAGCCTAGTGCACGCGGCCAAGTCGAGCTTGGAGCGAGCCGCGCAGTTTATGCAAATCAAAGGCGAATACGGGGCCGCAGTGAAACGGCAGTGCGAGGCCATCTTTGTGGCCCTCGTGCGCATCCTGGGGAACCGCCACCTCATCGGTGGGTTTAACAATGCTGTCGACCACCTGTCGAATTACCGGCCCCGCGAACAAGGGGAACGCGACCAATCCGGCGTTGAGCCGCTGGTCACATTCTTGGAGTTGGTAAACGTTGGCGACCTGATTCTTCAAATGATCGATGTGTTCTACGAGCAGGAACTCGTCGGCAACAAGCTCACGGATCGAAACGATTTTCTTGACCCGGCCGTCAAGGAGAAGAAAAAGTTCGAGCAGAGTCTCGATGAGCGGGTGGCTGCCGGACTCAACAAAGGTATTGACGTCCTTATGGAAGAAGTGGACTATATTCTTGCGACGAGACAGCTGGCGACCGACTTCAACCCCAGTGTGTCTACCGATCCGTACCGGAAGACGATGGATGTAAGCATCACCGAGGCCGCGGCGGCTGTGGTTGATGTGGTGTCCTCGCATACGCAGATGCTGGTCGGGAGCACGGACAAGAGTATGCTGGACGTCTTCAACCAGGAGGTTGGGCTACGTCTGTTTGCGGCACTGTGCAAGCATCTCAAACGACAAAGGATCAGCATTGAGGGGTCCTTGAAGCTCATCAGGTAGGCTCATCTCATTGTATGCTGATGGAGTGGACGAGGCTGACCTTATAGTGACATGAACCACTACTTCAAATTCATTCAGACGTTCAAGAACAACGATCTGCTCCTCTACTTCAAGGCGTTCCGCGAGCTGTCGCAGATCTACCTGATCGACCCGTCCGACGCTAAGGAGCTGGCCACGATCATCGCGGACGCGGACCGGTTCAACGGGATCTGGCGAGTGGAGGAGGTGTATGAATTCGCCGAGCGACGGGCGGACTGGTACCAGGTGAAACGCGACGTTGAGCGCGCCATGTATGGGATTGGGTGTAATGTTATGTGAATTATGTCCCGGACTACGATTATACGGTGTATATAGACGAATACCCCCGACTGCCATATGTCATAGGTAGATTAGACGAGTGATGAGGTGATGAGACAATAGGAACTGAATATACCTATTTCCCCCTAAGCTATAAGACAGCGACTCCGTCCGAACACTCATCCAAAAGTCCATTCTCACCGTCTGGGCAGTGCACCCAATGACCACAATCAACAAAATAAAGTTACGATAACTCACCCGAACCTCCCCGCCACGACTCACTCTGTGCCCTCGGGTAACCTGACCTACAGCTCTCCCTACCCCAACGTATCCTCTCTGGAGCGCGCTTCCAGGTTCTCTAGATGCAGCGCTTTATACCCTACAGCTTCTAAAGAGACCTTCCCAAGGTACACGTTCTTCTTAGCGTGGCTTATGGCCTCCCTTCGACCGTCCATTGCGTGTTGGTGAGTGATGGATTGATTTATGGGATATGGATGGTAGTTCGGTTATGGTGGGATCATGTATATGAATTGGGTGTTGGGAGGGTGGGAAGTCTATGAGGTATCCATTGTATCCTCAATCTTTCATGTTCAATTATGATCGAAACAGTCCTGCATCAAATATATTTTGTTGGGCCATGGAACTATAAGTGGCTGGCTACCATCAATAGTTATAGTACTAGTTGAGTCACCAGACATATTCTGAAGAACTGTTCTATAAATACCATCATGCATGTGCAACATCCCTGCAATAAAAAAGCCCATAAATCTGCTCCTGTTTACTTCTACCAAGTATAAAGTATAAAGTAAGAGCTGACACAATCTGCATAGTATTGAGTTCTTACTAAGGCCCCCCCCGTTGCATCATGCATCTCACTCTCCACCCACCCACCCAGCCATCAGGTGGAGGATGATTCTATCGACGGATCACATCTCCAGAAAGTTTAAGTGCCGGCGGACTGATTCCATACTTCCGTCCTGACATCAGCTAGTCAGTTCCCTGGCAGACAATGAGTATTAATAGAGAGATCGAGAACCGTCCGGGCAAAAGAAATAAAGTCATGTTTCATCATGGACCGCATTGGCGCTACTACCAGCCCATTGTTTTAATATAAAAGAAGCATCGCTGATATTTATACTACATTCACAACCTCCCTCCAACCAAGCCAATGCCAAAGTCAAAGTCAAAGAATTGAATTCGAACTGAAAAGACCATGACCTCACACTCAACATGCCCTTCCACCCACTACCCAAAATCCTACTTAAAATCCTACCCAACCTCCTCACCATCACCATAATAACCACCCTCCTAAGCGCTCTCGTCACAGCACAACAACAACAACACACAACAATAATCATAACCGTAACCGCCACGCCGACCACCCCTCCCAACCCCCCCTCCTACACCTCCCCAGCCCTCTTCCAAAACTCCATCCTAAACGTCACCAACACCTACCGCAACGCCCACAACGCATCAAACCTCACCTGGAACACCACCCTCACCGAATACGCCCAATCCTGGGCTGAACAATGTAAATGGCAGCATTCGGTACGTTACCCCCCACCCTTCAACCTCCGTACACTAGATGCATACTAAATGAAATATGGAATAAAGAACGGCCCCTACGGCGAAAACCTCGCCTTCGGATACCCCAACACGACAACCTCAATCTGCGCATGGGGCGACGAAAGCCAACATTACGATTTCAAGCTCCCTACGGGCTTTAGTGAAGAGACGGGCCATTTCACGCAACTCGTGTGGCGGGCGACGCGACAGGTGGGATGTGCGGCCGTGGATTGTGGGTTGAATGGGACGCGGAATGCCTCGACGGGGGAGTTTGTGCATCCGCAGGGGTGGTTTTTGGTGTGTGAGTATGCGCCGCGGGGGAATGTGATGGGCGGGGATCGGAGGTGGGGCGATAAGGAGTTTTTTAGGATTAATGTTCAGGAGGGGAGGGAGTATAATGGGCCGGATGTGACGGGGAGTGAGAGTTCGGCGGATGGGGGGTGGAGGGGGAGGAGAAGGGGGTGGTTGATGTTGTGGTTGTGGTGGTGGGTTGGGGTTGGGGTTGGGATTGGGGTGTTGTAGATGGTATTGAAGTAGTTGCTGTCATTGTCTGTCATCTCTCATCTACCACATCACGCAAATATGCAAACAGATCTATTCACTTTTGAATGTTCCACCCCCATGGAACGAATCCAATTGGATCTCAGGAAGCTCACAGGTGGCAGGTGTGACGGCTTCCGAGAAGATAAGAAAAGCGAGGATATCGACAGACAAGATGCAAGAAGGATAAGGAAAGGGAAATAGATGCACTGGAACACATTAGATACGACCGGCCCCCAATCAGCCAATGATCTCCTCGCTCTCCTCGATGATCTCTTCCACCAGCTCCTCCACCACCGTCTCGCCCTGGTCCTCCGACACGGCCGGGGCGTCCTTGGCCTGCTTGGCCGAGTCCACGTCCTCGGGCACGCCGTACGCGTCCTTGTCCTCCGCCAGGAGCTCCTTCTCCCGCCGCATCCAGGCGGTCCACTCGTTGAGCACCCGCTTGCGCTTCTCCACCACCGCCGTGTTGGCAATGTCCACCGCGTACTTGTCCTCCTCCTCGAACTCCTTCGAGTATTCGCGGAGGTTCTTGCGCACCTGCTTCTGCTCCTCCTTGCTGAGAAGGGTGGGGGGACGAGGGCGCCAGATGAACTGCTTGAACTTGTCCGTGGGCTGTTCCGCGAGCGTCTGACCGGCGAAGGTGTGGATGTTGTAACCGTTTTCCATCTACTCGAGTCAGTAAAATCATTAAAACATGTAAGGAAATAACATACCGAGTGAGTCCACACGCTAGCACTGCTGACAACGTAGCGACCCGTGGGATCCCAGTCAATATCCGTGACACCGTAGTGCTCCACGGTCTTCATTAATTGGAGGTTGGCGGCCAGATCCTTCTCACCCTCGGGCTTCTCACCCTCAAAGTCCATATCCCAGAAGTCGATGTCGAAGTTCGTTTGCGAGTGCACCGTGGCCACAACGACGAAACGTCCCTTGGGCGACCAGTAGATGGCGTTGCTGGTCTTCTTCTCGATGGTGCGCACCAGCTTGAAGTTACCGGCCGACACACCCTTCTTCTCGGGCGCGAAGAAAGACACGGCGGTCTTGGGGAGAACACCGGCGCCGCCGGTAGCCTCGCCGGTCGTGATGAGGACGAAACGTCCTCCGTTGGGCTCCCAGGCAAAGTTGATGACCGTGTCCTTGAGACTGTCGACCACCTCCACGGGCACTCCCTTCTCGCGCACGCGGAAAATTTCCAGGTTGGTGGCCATCGACTTCTTGGACTTGGAGTGACGATCCACCTTCACACAGACGTAGGTACCTTGCGATTGCCAGTGCAGCTTGACATCCGACACGTTGAACAGGTTACGCGTACGGACGATCTCCTTCGAGGGAACGCTCATCAGGGCGACACGGGCCGGGTTGCTGCCGATTTCGGGGGTCCAGAAGCAGAGCAGCTGCTCGTACTGCTTCACACCTTCGCGGGCCACGGTGGCGGGCGACCATTCGAAATCCATCACGCCATCAATCTTGACGGAAGTCTTGCCCAGCAAGTTCATCCGGGGAAGCTCGTAGATCGAGATCGACTGGTGCTGCTGCATTCTGGCCACGTACTTCTCATCAGCAGACCACTTGAAAGCGGGCCACTGAACCTTCTTCTTGGGCTGGGCATCACCCTCAGCACCGGGACCGGCGGTCAGGTCGTTGGACACGAACGAACGGAGGGGCTTGCCCGTGACGATGTCCCAAATGATGATGTTCTTTCCGTCCTCCTCGTAGGTCAGAATCGGGTGGCCCTCCTCCACCTGGATGGGGCGAGCGGACCAGGTGGTCAGGTAGCTCTCACCGGGCGAGAACTCGACCAGCTGGACAAAAGGATGGGGGAACTGCTTTTGCTTCGAGAAGCCGGAGCCACCCCACAGCTGGACACCCTGGGGGTGGACGGAGGCGAGGTAGGTACCCTTGGGGGACCACTGGACAAAAAGCTGAGTCCAGTGGGCGCGGTCGACAACGTTCTCCGGGGGGTTGCTCTTGTTGTTCCAGAACACACCGACTTTATCGCCGCGGTAGAGGGCGAACTGGTCGCGGGCGTTGGCGTCGCCGAGCCATGAGCGGAGGTGCTCCTTCTCCTTGAAAGGTTCGATGGTGGGGGGCTTGTATTCCTCGTCGATGCGTCCTTCGCGGCCGTAGCGGTCGATATCCATCAGCTTGTTGACGGCGAGAGTGTGCTTCTTATCGAGGGGGACACCGTGCAGCTGCTTGACCGCGGCAACGGCCTGTTCGGGAGTCTCGTATTCAACAAAGGCGAAACTGCAAAAAAGCCCAGTGTTAATGCTTCCACAACCTTCCCACTCGAGTTCCCAATACATACCCTTCGGACATGTTCTTATCGTTAATGGGCATGAAGACGGCATCCTCCGAGGTGTGGCCGACCGTGTTGAGCTTCCTCAACAAGAACTTGATGAGCTTTTGCCGGCTCTCCTCCGGGACGATCGGGAGTCCATCGATGACGACGAATGTGTCCAAACCCTCCTCGAGCTTCACTTCGTATTGTTCCTTGAGGTCTAGATGGGAAACACGGGCCGGCGTCAGCGACGAGGGGTACAGCCCAAGGCCGATGGGAAACAACGCGAGGCGCACTCACCGGAGAAATCAATCTCCTCCTCCTCCTCTTCGTGGAGGTCCTGCTCAGACAGGGTGTCGAAACTGGGCGCCATGGTTGCAGTCGCAAGGAGCGGCGATAAGGGGGGGGGGTGGGCGGAGAGGGTTGATACTGAAGATGAAAGATCCTGTTCTGGATTTTCTGCTGGTCGACCCCGTTTTGGCTGATTTTAGGGCAAAAGAGCAAATCCCAAACCACAAGCGCCTTCTGTGTGCGATGCGGCTGAGTCAGGGGTGAGTCAGCTGGCAATCCATCACCTGACGGAATGTTCACCTGGTAAGATTACGGTTAGCCGCCCGTAAGATAACCCGCACCCCAGCTGGGGTCCACGTGACGCTTATGTCAGCCACCCGCCCCCAGCTTCTCGCCCGGCTGATTATGTCTCTGTAACCGACTTGTACAATCGGCTTGGCTGGACACCATAACAGTCGCGATCCTACGCATCATCCCGCTTTCCTGTGCTGTTCCGGGTGATAGCTGCTGGTCGTTGTGGGCCGGCCTTCACTATCTTCCCCTTGACACCCTCTGCCTCTCTCTCAATCCCTCATCTCCGTCTCCTATCCCGGCCGAGTTCCCTCACGGTCTCATGCCCCGCCGGTCCTAAGCGCCAGCGCTACGCCCAGATCTAGACGATCCTCGCCAGTGCACGACCGCCGCGAGCTGAATCCAGCTGTTGATAGCCTCACGGACCTCCAGGCTGGATCCGGTCAGCAATTGACAATATTTAATTCCCCCCTCCCGTGTCGTTTTTCGCAGAAGGGCCGGAAAGCCAAGCTACTGGGTCAAGATGTCGCGTAAGTTCGGAACTCTGATGTTCCCGGTCTCCACGCCGAGGTCGCTCTCAACTGACATCATGTCGTTTTGTTTTCTGCAGTCTCCCCAGATAACCGCGATCAATACATCCCGATCATTGATTCGATCCTGTCCAAGAGTGACCTGAACACGATCTCTACCAAGCGCATTCGCAAAGGTCTTGAGGATGAAATCGGCTATGACCTTACCCCGCAGAAGGTCGGCGCCCCGGCCGTTCGCTCTTGTCGCGAACTGCTCCTTCACCCACCGCAAAAGACACCGAATATGATGCTGACGTTGAATTTGTTGTTCAGGCTGCGATCAAGCAGCTCATCATGGAGCGGTTCGACATTTTTGCGGAGAAAGGGGGCGAAGAAGCCACACCCGAGACAGCCGCGACAACTACAACCTCCACCAATGGCCACGGGCAAGATCATGATTCGGTAACCCCTGTAGAGCCATTGTCTCCTGCCCAATCTTCGGTGTCCCAGAAACGCCAAGCCGACAGTGAAGAACACTCCGACACGTCGACCAAGACCCCTCCCGCCAAGAAGCCAAAGCCCGACAACGACATCGATGCAGATGCTTTGTTTGCTGCCAGACTGCAGGCCGAGGAGAATATGCGTGCTCGCCAGACCCGTGGGGCTAGTACTCGCAGGTCCCAGCCGGTGAAGAAGAAGCAGCCCACCAAAGCGAAGACATCGAAGAAAGTCAAAGCCGAGGACGATTCGGACCTTGAGTCGGGCTCGGAATCCGGGAAGAAGGTGAACCGATCGGGCGGTTTCCATGTAGGTTGATTCCTTCCTGTAGCGGAGACTGGCGCTCACGGCTGTTAGAAACCTCTTACTCTCTCCCCGGCACTTTCGGCTTTGTTGGATGGCGAGGTGACGGTATGGCTGCCCCTCTCACCGTTGGCCCCAGCAGATGAACTTGCTGACATTTGATAGCTCTCACGGCCTCAGACCGTCAAAAGGCTTTGGCAATACATCCACGAGCATGATCTCCAGGACCCCAGTGACCGGCGTCAGATTCGCTGCGACGATGCAATGCGAGCTGTGTTCAAGCAAGATCGGATACACATGTTTACGATGACCAAGATTCTAAGCCAGAATTTGTACAGTCCCGATGAATAACTTGGGTATCTAGAAGCGATTTTTAGCCTTCAGGACAAGGCAGTCGCAGCGACTTGGTTGCTGCTTTACGATTCTCCGATTTCTACTCATTACACAGCATTTGGAACCCAGGCGCTATTGTCTTTCTTTTCATTCCATCATTATCTATTTTTACCCATATTGGTGACCCTGCACTTATTGCTACTCTCATTGGCGAAATGACTGCCCTATCTTTCCTTGTGTTGACCTGCTTTTCTCTCCAGCGGGAGTTGGTGCTGCCCTGTGAACAGGCGCGATGAATCTTGTTACCTAGAGATCGTATTGATTATCGAGTTCGACCCATACAGGCATCGTGTCATTGCATGATGCAATTCTGTCATGGCGCGGGTAGCCTTGCAGCGTAGCCGAAGACGGGACTAAGACGGATCTCGTGGCTAAGCCACACATTGGGCCAGCCGTAGAGTTGCTCTCCGAAGCAATTATGAGCCATAATGAGCCATAATGAGTCATGGGACGATCGAGGCCTAGTAAATAGCCAGCAGTAATTCCCTGTCGCGCCTGTCGCAATGCGAAACGGGGGAATGGATTGGATGCTCACTAAGCATGCCGCCAAACCAACTTTTTTGCCCGCCGCTCTTACTTGAAAGCTGGTCCCTCCACAGCAACGCCGGCTTATCACCCCTCCGCTGAAATCGCCGTCTGGTCGCACAGGCTCTCAAGAGCGCAAAGCTCTTCTCGTCCCAGAGAACTTATTTGGGCACTTGCCCCCACCCCCGTCCCTTCGTCAAATCGTCCTCCATCTTCTACGTTCCCAATGTCCGATTCCCAGCCCGCCCAAGCCCCCGGAGCGCAAGGCCAAGGCCGCGGTGGTGGTCGTCGCCGGGGTCGCGGTGGAGGCTTTGGAGCTGCTCGCCAACCTGGACAACCCGAGGGCCAACAACAATCCCACGATGGCTCTGGAAGAGGTGCAAGGTCCAGGGGCCAAGGACCCCGCCGTGGGGGGGCCGGAGGACGTGACAAGCAGACTCGTACAGGGAACAAGCCGGAAGCCTCTACTGAGAAATCGGCGGATGCTCCTGCAGGACCCGAGGGCAAGGGGAAGCAGCCCGTCACAGAAGAGTCAGACGATGCGGATGACGGCGAGGTTTGCTTCATCTGTGCCTCGAAGGTCGATCATACGTCCATCTCGCCGTGTAACCATCGGACCTGCCATATCTGTGCGCTTAGATTGAGAGCCTTGTATAAGAATAAAGCCTGTGCTCATTGTCGGGTATGTGTTGTGTCCATCGCGTCTGTCGACTTGGTCCCGGCCATGCGCTAACGGATGCTTTGCTGTAGACGGAATCAAACTATGTGATCTTCACGGACGACCATGGCAAGCGCTTCGAGGATTTCACGGATGCCGATTTCTCGCAGAAGGATGAGAACCTCGGGATCAAGTACGAGAATAACGACATCTTTGAGGATACGGTGCTGCTGCTGCGGTATAACTGCCCGGACCGAGGCTGTGATGTCGCCTGCTTGGGATGGCCTGACCTGCACCGTCACGTCAAGAGCAAGCACGGCAGGGTGATGTGGTATGTGTTCTCTGCTGGTGGAAGTGGGAGACTGCGTAGGGACTGATACTGACTCGTTCTGTTCCAGTGATCTGTGTACACGGAACAAGAAGGTGTTCACCCACGAGCACGAGCTGTTCACGAATGCAGAGTTGCGCAAACACGAGAAGCATGGAGATGATGTGCCAGGAGCGATTGATCAGAGTGGATTTAAGGGACATCCTGAGTGTGGCTTCTGCCGGCAGCGGTTTTACGGCGACGACGAATTATACGCTCACTGCCGAGACCGTCACGAAAGATGCCACATTTGTGACCGTCGCTCGGCGACTCGCCAGCAACAGTATTACATCGACTACAACGCCCTCGAGGACCACTTCCAGAAGGACCACTTCCTCTGCCTTGACCAGGAGTGTCTCGAGAAGAAGTTCGTGGTTTTCGAATCCCAAATGGATCTCAAGGCGCACCAGCTCGAGAGCCATCCCAACGGCCTGTCCAAGGACGCCAGACGTGACGCACGCACTGTAGACTTGTCTACCTTCGACTACAGAGCCCCGTACCAGCCTCAACAACGTCAACGTCGTGGAGCTGGCCGTGGACGCGATCCCAACGCGGAGCCGCTGCCTGTCTCCAGCGCTCAGCCCTTGCGACGAGACGAGATCGCCTACCAGCGCCAGATGGCTATCCAAAGTGCACAGTCGGTGTCGACCCGCAGCTTTGGAGGCCAACTAACACGCAACGACACCCAGCCAGTGCGCGCTCCTGCTCGTCCCACCCCCACTCAAACCCCTCCTGCTCGTCCCACCCCCACTCAAACCCCTCCTGCTGCTACCCCTCCAGTCGTTGAGATGGAGAGTCTCAGTCTCGCTGCAGACTCGGGCTCAGCGACCCCTCAAGAACAGGCACGCCGTCTTCGCCATGCGGCCGTTGTCGAAAGGGCCTCGAACCTCCTGGGCAATGATCAGAACAAGCTCAAGGAATTCCGCACTCGTGTGTCCAGCTACCGCACCTCCTCCATCTCCGCCACCGAACTCATTGACGCCTTCTTCTCTCTTTTTGATACCTCGAGTTCCGAGCTGGGCAAACTAGTCAAGGAGCTTGCTGAGATCTACGAGGACGATGGCAAGCGTACTGCACTGCTCAAGTCCTGGAACGACTGGCGTGCGATCAACGAAGACTACCCTGCTCTCCCCGGCCCCGGCGGTATCCTCCCCGGCATGTCCCCGGGCACTGTGAGCGGTGGAGGAGTCGGAGGGAAGCGCGTTCTGCGTCTGAAATCCTCAACCGCCCAGTCCTCTCGTTCCGCTGTTGGCAGAAGCGGCGCTATGCCTTCATCATCCTCCTCCACCACCGCCTTCCCCCCCCTCTCTTCCGCCCGCTCTACTCCTCGCTCTTCCACCCCCGCCACTACCCCCTGGGGTGCGGCTGCCGCCGCCGCCCCTACCTCAGCTCCTACTTCTACCTTCAGCAGCGCCACCTCCTCTCGATCCGCCTCCCGCGCTCCTTCTCGCCCCGTCAACACGAACAACGCTGACGCTTTCCCCGCCCTCCCTGCCGCCCCGAAACCCAATGTCCTCATGGCCGGTCTGACCCGTGGAACCGTCCGCTGGGACGACCGTCGCCAGCCCACCGTGAATGCGTGGTCATCGTCTTCCCGTAACGACAGCTCCACCGCCGAGGAAGACTTTCCTGAGTTCCCCGCCGGAGGCAAAAAGGGTAAAGGAAAGAAGGGCAAACAGACTCTCTTCCACTTTGGATGAACATAACCACCCACACATGGACTGCACACACACATGCGTACATATGCTGTGATTCAAGGTGTTTCATCCTAGGACATACGAAGAAGAACATGTAGCTCCTTGTCTCTGCATGCGTCCGTCCGGTCCAGCTTTGTTGATTGTTGTTCAGCTTGTATTTGAGCGAGATCTTGTTTTTATACTTAAGAGTTGCGTGGGGTGAGAAAAAAAAGCTTGTGGGACTGGGTTTATTTTATGGATGCAGGAGACTTATGTATTTAGAAAAGTCAATAAAAATGAAATAATTTCAATTTCAATGACAATCTCGATCTTGGTTTCTTGAGATAGGTGTTGTTTGTACTACATACATTGTATGTAGATGCATACTACTATAGGTAATGATTGGTTGTTGGTGTTTACGATTTGATTACTCATGAAGGGACAACTCAGTCCATAGAGGAAACGGTATCGCACTCCTCGTCGGTGGAATACTCACTGGCTGAACGTGTCTGGAAACGCTCACCTATCTTGGTCCCCTCGGATACTTCAGAGGAGGGACCAAGTGGTCGTGATCTGTGTGTGGAATTATCGAGCGGATAACCTAGATCAGTATCACTCTGGGCTTCTGTAGACCGAGTCGAAGATCCGCCCAGCTCGGAACTCTCATGAATCTCAGCGAGACCATCGTGAAGGGTCCCAATAGAGCTGTTATTCTCTTCCGTTGTTTCCGCAACGGATATGTCTCCATCGCTGATGCAAGCCACGTCCTCGTCGATAGCTGCCATGTTCAAGGCGAAGTCGTCTTGGAGTCGTTTTAGCCATTTTCGGAGGGCCTCGCCTTCCATGGTTCCGTTGCGGGCGAGGAGGAGTTGTTCTTTGAGGGAAAGAATCAGGTTCCGTCTGCGTGTCACGGCCAGTGCTTTGGATTTGCTGTGGCGGCGTTTCGCGAGTTGGGTGAGTTTCTGCGACACTTGTTGGGCCGTTTCAAGGACTCCTGGAGGGAAATCGACTAGCTTGGCTAGGGCGAGGCCGTAGAACTGGTTTGTATCGGGACCTTCCGCTATCTTGTAGAGCATGGTCATCTTTGAAGCGTCGGGGGATATTTCCGCAGCGAGATGCAGACTCACGACGCCGTTGCGCTCGCCCATGATCAGGGCGAGATCCCGGAAGTGGGTTACGAACCAGACCAAGGCGTGGCTTTCTACAAGAGCTTCTGAGATGGCAATGGCGATGGCGAGGCCGTCAGTAGTGCTAGTGCCTCGGCCTAGTTCGTCGACGATGACCATGCTGCGTGGTTCGATGTTTCGGAGGATGAATGCCATTTCGCGCATTTCGGCGGCGAAGGTGGATACGCTGGCTTCGAGGTCATCGGAAGTGGAGACCCGTGCAAATAGTTGATGGACGATAGGGAACGATGCGTATTCTGCTGGGATGAAACAGCCGATCTGTGCCATCACCGTCATCAGCGCTAGGGAGCGAATGTAAGTGGATTTTCCGCTCATGTTGCAGCCGGTTATGATCTGGAATCTGGATTGTTGCGTGGCATAGGCATCATTGGGGATAAATTTCTTCGTGTGTATCTTCTCGCGGATCGGATGGCGTCCAGATTTGATCGCCAGAGTGTCGGTCAGTTCAGGCCGGATGTAATCATGCGATGTAGCCAGTTGGGCAAATGCTGCCAGCATGTCGAGCATGGCAATAGCTTCGCTTACTTTGAAGAGACCCGAGATCTCCGAGCAGATGTCTTGGATCAATTCCTGCACGGTTTCGTCGCTCATGTTGATGACTTCGTTATGCGCATCTGTTATCTTCTGATTTAGTTTGACGAGATCGAGCGTTTGGCACTCTATACGGTTCTTTTTGCGATAGACGTTGATGAAAACTTCGGGCAGGGACTCGATTTCTGTAGCTGAGAGACTAATGTAGTACTGGCGAGCTCTGTCGAACTTGAGGTCTAGGGCAACGTTATGTGTTTCTGCAATGATTAGATGCGAATATAATATCAGCACTTAAAATACGCACCGGCTAGTTCTGCTACCAGATCAGCGGCATCGGTGTTAGCTTCCTTATAAGTCTGTCTCGCGACGTCAAGGAGACTGTTCACTCCAGTCTAGAAGTATCAGGACCCAATTAGCAGGGGGTGTGGGTAGGTGGCTCACTCGAACACAGTAAATACGCTGGTTCCTAAGATCGAGTGGCCTCGTCTGATATGTGACATGTTCGTTGAGAGTTTCTTCAATCATCTGCTGGACAGTCCGGTGCCCTGCCGGGGCACATAGCTGAAACGTATGTTAGCTTCGTCTACATAACGCTCGCTATGCCCACTTCTCGTATAGTTGTCAAAAGGCTACTCTGAGCTGTGGTTAGTGCCTTATATATTGACTTGATTGAAGACACATATGTCTTGATCATGATGACATTATTGACGGACTGCTCGACGTATTGAAAAGCTCGTTTGTTAGGAACAAGAATAAGCTGGGATGTCAGTCAGGCTCTCCAGGAACAATTTCAACAGACGTACAGATGTCAAAACTTTGTCTGCATCAATTAAACCTTTGAGAGCTACCACACAGGAATCAGTGATCAGCTGTAGATGGGAGCCTAGAAGCCGACCTTGTCTGACCGACACAAACATGTCTTCTTTTGTAGACAGGTCCTCAACAGCGTCGTAACGGGCCTGCAGTTTCGACTCTTCGGTCGAGGGCTGAAGGATGTTGGCTCTGAGAAGTCTTGCTCCCATAGGGGTCAAGGTCTCATTGAGAAGTCCATACAGACTGTCCTTAGATTTCACATTGTGGATATTCTGGATCAACTCTAGGGAGACGATGGTTGACAGATCAATGGACATGGATCCTTGTGAGGGCTCGAATCTGATGCGAAGCGAGTGGCAGGTGAAGGTTCTGTTAAGCTCTAACCCAACGTACTTTAGGACCTGTAGAGGTTAGCGAAGATTGTCAGATAGCCGTGATGCTTACCGCAGCAAAGCAACAAGCAGCAAAATAGTTTCCTCCCAAGATAATCTTGATGGGCTCAACGTCTTCAGCAAACGCGAGTCGGTCCACATATTCATGACCAGACTTCTCAGACCAGAATTTGCGGTCTAGGAAGGTGAAAGTAGTGTCCGGAATATTCTCCTGGATGATGTAGAACAGCTTAGATTCTTTGGCAGAGTTCGCGAAAAGGATCTCCGTCGGCTCGAACACTCCGATCTTCGTGACGGTTTTGACATACGTCTGGCTGTCACAGATCTGACACAGAACCGCCTCCGCAGTCGATAGATTGACAAAAGCAAGACCAACTGTCGAAGAGACACCCCTAGACTCACTGACTGCGCAGATGATGTCTTGAGAAGCCACGCTTGTTGCTGTGGTCGTCGGCCTTGGGGTTGTCCTCGGAAACGTACTGATTCTAGAAAGAGGAGCAAAGGAGCTGGCAGCTCCGACGGACGAAGCTCTAGAGAAAACCGACATGATGCGTCAATGACCAAGTTCAATGAAGGAGAAAAATAAGAGAGAAAGATGAGGATATAGTACAGCGGGCATCCGAAAGCGGGCTAGCGCGATGGGTCACCCCGCGATACGGGTTGCTATCTTTTATCTTTTTTTCTGCGGAAAATCTTCGACGACCAAAACCACCCAATTGAAGAGCAACACAATGGCGACTCTTCTTCCTCCCCCGACCAAGCGTCAGAAGACGGAGGCGGCCGAGAGGGCCCGTCAGCAGCAGGAGATCCAGAGTATCCCCGAGAACCTGGGCAGTGTTCGTGTGCAGTTCTTTGACCAGGCAACGGGATCCGCGACCGGGCCGGCAGTGTCCGTTCCTGTGGCCGATGCCAGTGTCAAGAACCTCGAGACTCTGCTGAATACGTTACAAGGCAATGTAGGTACGCAGTAGAGGCGAGCAGCCCCCATTCACCAGGTACTAATTGTTTCGTTTTGCACCACAGGAAGAAGATGAGCGAGTACCATATCGGTTCACATACCAGTCCGACGGCAAAGACAAAGATAACCAGACAATCGACATCCTATCCGACCTGTACCACTCCCTCCTGAAGCCTGGTCTGAAGACGACCGAAGATACCGTCCACCTCTACTTCACCCCACAGGCTGTTTTCCGCGTTAAGGCCGTCTCGCGATGCTCTGCCTCCATCGCCGGACACGGCGAGGCCATTCTTGCGACCAGCTTCTCCCCCGTCAACTCTTCTACAATGGTCACCGGCAGCGGTGATTCTACCGCCCGCGTCTGGGACTGCAACACCGGAACTCCCCTGCACACCCTGAAAGGACATACCAGCTGGGTGCTGGCTGTCAGCTTCTCGCCTAACGGCGCTATGATCGCGACCGGAAGCATGGACAACACTGTGCGTGTCTGGGATGCGAAGAAGGGAACGCCGCTGGGAGCACCCATGAAGGGACATGCCAAATGGATCACCAGTCTGGCCTGGGAGCCGTATCACCTCCAACAGCCCGGCAGGCCGCGTCTGGCCTCCGCATCCAAGGACTCGACAGTTCGCATATGGGACGTGGTTTCGAAACGGATCGACATTGTCCTTACCGGTCACAAGGGCTCAGTGACCTGCGTTCGCTGGGGTGGAACCGGAAACATCTACACTTCTTCTCACGATAAGACCATCAAGGTGTGGAACGCTCAGAACGGCACCCTGGTCCAGACCCTCTCGGCACACGTCCACCGAGTGAACCACCTGGCCCTGTCGACCGACTTCGTTCTCCGGACTGCGTACCACGATCACACCGGCCAGGTTCCGCAGGCGGATTCCGAGAAAGTGGCCGTGGCCAAGAAGCGGTTTGAGCAGGCCGCCACCATCAACAACAAGATCGTCGAGAAGCTCGTGTCTGCGAGTGACGACTTCACCATGTACCTGTGGGAACCGGGTAACTCCAGCAAGCCGATTTCCCGAATGCTGGGCCACCAGAAGGAAGTCAACCATGTTACGTTCTCGCCGGACATGGCCTACATCGCATCCGCGGGATTCGATAACCACGTCAAGCTGTGGAACGCCCGTGACGGAAAGTAAGTTCACATGCACCATACTCCCCCCCTACACCTATAAATACTAACCACACCAGGTTCATCACCACACTCCGAGGCCACGTCGGCGCCGTCTACCAATGCTGCTTCTCCGCCGACTCACGACTCCTAGTGTCCTCATCCAAGGACACCACCCTGAAGGTCTGGAACGTACGGACGGGCAAACTGTCCGAAGATCTGCCCGGACACAAGGACGAGGTATTTGCCGTGGACTGGAGTCCGGATGGACAAAAGGTGGCCAGTGGAGGCAAGGACAAGGCGGTGCGGATATGGAGACACTAATAATATCTAAACTACCCTACACTATACTACACATATGATACTGTTATGAACCAACCCTGCCACCACCACGATACTCACGACCTATCCAATACCTTCCCGTTTAAGTAACATAGATCCCGAGCCTAGATTTCACCAAGCATCCAAACATCCTGATTCAAGAAAACATAAACACACACTCACATCGACTCATGCGACTCTACCTACAATGGTACGGTGCGAAAAGGTGCGTAGGTTGGCTTTATCCGAATTCTGCCCGTCCACTTGGACCACCAGGTGCTGCTATTTGCCCAGCGCTGCTGCTGAATAATCTCTATCATTAACTACTTTGAGAGAAAGCGGTAGGACTCCGTACCTGGGATATCTTTGGCGTCGGTGGATCAACGGATTTGTTTACGGGGTTTTCGCTCCGTGGTATATAGCGGTGGTGGTGGTGGTAGTAGTAGTAAATACGCGACTCCAAATTAGAGCGGCTGAAGCAGACCCAGTGACCTAGTTGCAGGAGCTGGAAACATACAATGCCACTTACTTAATTCCTACGGCGGATATAGTCTCTACCCTACAGTAAATTAAACAGTCTCCGTAAGAATCACGTGACCAACTACCCAACGTAAACAAAACCAAATGATTCATCGTTGTATATACACCAACTCAACCCATAAATTATTAAACAGGCTAAACTATGAACAGATCTCATCCCCCAAATTCCACTAATATCTAGAATTGTAGGTTTAGATGTACTCCCAAGCAGCAACGGAACCGTTACCGGCAACAGCGAGCGCATCAAAGCCAATGCAGTCGCCAACGTTACCCGAGGGGACGGTAGCGTTCTGGGAAGCAGCAAAGACCTGCCACTTGCTATCCTCGTCGCGGCAGGCCATGAAGCCCTTGCCGAAGGACCAGGAGCCGAGGGCGCCGTTCTTGCCGGGGGTGTAGGTGAAGGGGCCGGTGGAGGAGCCGGTAGGGATGTAGGCGGAGTGGGGCACGGTGAAGCTCAGGGCGCCCGAGGGGTTGACGTAGACTTGCTGGCCACCGGGGACTTCGACGTCCTGGAGTAAGGTTGTTAGTATGGGGACAGGGTGGGAAAGGCGGGTAAAGGGAGGAGGGCTTGGCGTACCAGGGAGGAACCGTCACCGGCGAAGACGGTCTCGGTGCCGGCAGGGCAGCCGGAGTCAAGAGGGCAGTAGGAGGAGGTCTCTCCGCCAAGGTAGAAAGCACCGCCGGCGGCGTTGAGAGGGAGGAGGTGGATGGGAGAGCCGGAGCGGGCGGACATGATGCCGAAGGTGGTGGTGCCGCGGGCCTTGTGCTGGGAGGAGGGGGCGGCGGCGGCCAGGAGGGGGAGGAGAGAGGCGGCGATAGTGAACTTCATGGTGGTGGATTGGAGAAGAAGAGATTGAGGAGATTGAGGAGGATTGTAGTGTATGAGATGAGGGGTTTGGAGGGTAGATTGGATTGATCTGGGAATGAATGACTGGGAGAGATGGGATGCATGACCCCGTATTTATATCCTGAACGACCCGACCATGAGGTCAGGCAGGGAACGAGAGTGGAGAGGTTGGAGGAGCAAGGGTCCCGAGGTTGTGGTGGAATGCTGTATACACAGTAGAGGCAACTCGCCTCCAGCATCATTCGGTGCAACTGCAAGATGCAGCAATGCCCGGCGGCACGAGCCGTCAGAACAGAATCTAAATCCTGGCCTATCAGGACGAGCAGCCGAGAACAACGTGGATGGAGCGATTCCACTTGGCAGCAGCACTAAAGTGAGACCGCATGGAGACGAAACAGGCGACGGCCATGGAGAGTGGCTCTCCAGCAGCTTCGATGGAGAACAGAGAGGTTATGACGTGCCGATTAAACGATTTGTCTCACATTTCTCCGAGACACGGCAGGAAAAATGATGCTGTTGAGGGAAGGATAATTATAGAACGACGATCTCCAAGCCAGGAGCCGTTCCGAGGATCCGATGGCCGTTCCCCCCAGTCTCCAGTCGGACATGCCGATCCGCCCCCGAGTCTGAAGAATGAGATTAGGATGGACGGAGGAGAAACAATCCCTTTTTCCAAGGGATTCCCTGAGCCTCCTCCGATGAACGTCATTGCCGCATGCGCACCGCCACTGGAAATACGAGCCCTGCATCGCCGCATTCCTCGGTTGAACAGCGGTTCCCCCGGGGCGAGTCCTACGGATTTCCTGCCAGAACTCTAATCTAGAGCCGGAGCCAGCCAGTTCATTCATTCTTCTGGCGCAGTGCATACAGTACAGGTTCTCCAAAAAATGCAGTGTTCGATGGGTTGATCATTTTGTCCTCTAACCGTGCGTGCGCGGGACCGTGAAACCAGACGCGAACCTTCACACCGTACAAGGCAAGTTACAGGAAGGGGAAAGCAAGACAGGATTAAGTAGACATCAAGAAGAGGAAAGCCCACCAAGAGAAGCAAAAGATGCCAGAAAAAGCCAGAAGAACCAGACGAACCCTGCGACACCAGTCCAGATAGTAACACAGTACACCCACCCAATTTGAAAGAACCCATCACCAACACCACAGAACCGAACCCGCATCCTACCGTTAACCCGGAGCAGAAAAAAGCGCGAAGGAGGAATCAAAACCAGTAAAACAGATCGCCCATAGGTATCCCAAACTAGCAAACGCCCCTGGCTCAGGCTCAGTCGTAGTCGTCTCCACCGTCATCGCCGTCGCTGTGACGCCCGCGGGATCCCTTGACCCCGTCCTTCCGAATGGGTATCTTGATCCCCTGGAGGGCGAAACATTTGCTCAGCGGCGTACTCTCAATGACCCCGGGGAACTTTTTGGCTGAAAACACGTGGAATGGCTCCGAGAAGACGGAGGCCAGCACCGGCGCCGATCCATGGTTGATCACAGATACCCCGTTGGGGGAATCGGTGGACTGGTTGCCGACATTCACAAAGCTCATCTTGAGACTGTCGAGATATCAGCATCGGTCACGACGCGACCAGCCCGCGCGGTTGAACTTACCGGAACGACCCCTCTGTGCGGACACTCAGGTCCTGCAGGATGAACCATACTCCGATCTTATTTTCAGGGTCGGTCAATCGAAAGGCACTGGCGCTGAGGCTGCCAATGAGGTTCCGTGTGAACATGCCGCCAGGCCCGGAGGTAACAGGCTGCGCCGGGGAGATGTTGGTGGGCGGCATGTGGCCGCCGGTGTAATAAGGTTGGTAGTACGGCCCCTGAGGGCTCGCCCCGTAGGGGTTCTGGTACTGCATCTGGGGGTTGCCACCATAGTAACTGTTCACCTGAGGGTATGGGACAGGCTGGCCGTACGCATTCTGTGCGTAAGGCGGATAGGAGGGAGAAACACTATGCGGCGGAGGGGGGTAGGAGGAGGACATGGCGGTGGATATCGACGGAGAGGTGGCCGAGTGCTTGACCAGGTTCACCTCGCTGGTCCCTTCGGCGTTCCACAGGTCGACCATGAGCACGTAAAACGACGTGTCGATCTCACTATGATGGCTAGTCAATGACTATTCTCGGCAGAGGGGACACGCGACACCGCCATACTTGATATCGATCTCTTTCTCAGTCTGCGCATCTCGCACAATCAGGCGAATACAAGGCGGAGGTGTAATAGGCCGCCGATCCTGAGCTCTAGTCAGCTACCAATGGGACCAAGGGAACCATCCAACGACATCGAAGCACGACCGACCTTATCTCCGAAGCCACACATCCGAGCGCGAACAGGCTGCTGCACCACCTGCAGAGACCAAACGCGACCATCGTGAACGGTGGAAAGCGGCGCCAGATGACTCGACGGAGGTAGCCCTCCGGCGGACGCGACGCCTGCGGAGCCAGGCGTGGGATATGATGAGGACGGAGGCGGAATACGATCCATCGAGAGCGGAGGGGGTGGAGGCGGAGCGGTATGTGTCCGGTCGTCCAGAGCGTACATAGTGCTCATCGCGTTGACGAGGATGAAGGTGACGAAGTGGCGGGAGGAGGGGTGAATACCTAAAACAGCAATGAGTTCGCGACGGACAAACCCAATCTACCACGAGCTGGAGTTAGACGAGGGCACGCGCCTGCTAGGGGGGGTACAGCCAAAGGATCTGGAAGAACCACACGTACGTTCGGTTAGAACACAATGCACAGCGTCGGTCGGCAAGAAGCTCGCAAGGCGACGATTAGGTGTGGGTGAGCCGGAGCGACGAGGCGTCAAAATGCGGGAGATTCGTTGAGGCTTCCACGGATCGGCCACAAGACCACAGGTTCCCCAACGGCGTCCACTTTTTGATCCTGGGGGTAGCACAAGGACAGGAACCTGCAGCGATGAACGATTGGCGGATCACGATGCTGCACACCAACCCCAAGCCGTGTAAGATAAACCAGAGGGAGGACAGGCAGGGAAAAGGCGGGGTCGCGCAGAGTGGCAGGCAGGCAGGCGAGATGGACGTTGAAGAGAAAAGACGGAGAGTTCGTTGGTGCGGACAGCAGAAAAGATTGGAGCAGCCGAGGAGGGGACGAATGCAGAGCTGGAAGTCACGGGCAGCTGTCGAGGTCCAGAACCCAAACTTTGGGGGGGAAGGAGGGGAATGAGCTCATTTCGGCGTGGTGACGGAGGGTTTGGCGATGGGGGTCGGGTTTGACTTCAAGTGCTACTCAATACCCTCTAGACTACGCGGAGTCAAGAAATGAGTCTCTTGGAATTTACAGGCAGTACATAATCCAAGGTATCGATCTAGATCGTACCTCTCTTTCTATGGGAACGATCCGAATGTCCAGCAGCCGGCCGCCGCTGGAGAATTAATTTTGTGATCCAGAAACGCGGGTTGGGGGGAGGGGGGGGAGAGGAGACAGGCTACGGGTCCCGGGGCACCGGCCAGCAAGCAGCGGCGGTGTTGGGGGGCCAGCAGGATGGGCTAAGCGGGCTAACCTCAGGCCTTGACCTGCCCTTGCCTTCCTTCGGTCGTAGCGTCACGGATCAGGACGGCGATCAACCCGGCGCAGGAACCTCGCGACCCAGACGGTCGGGTTCAATCTGCTGCCCACCACCAGTGAAGAATCGCCTGCCTGGCCCCATCGCCGAAGCAATTCCCGCCTGTTTTGATTTCCCCCGTCCGTTGTTTGTTTTTCTATTTGCTGATTTTTAGGTTTCCCGGCTAAATTCTTCTTTTCGACTCTATTTTTCGGCCTTCTGCCCTGTCAGTCTATTAATAGCGTGCATGGATACCTAGTCAGTTACCTACCCAATCTTTTATCTTGACTCCATCTCATCGGGTTCATCTGTCCCTCCATTACCATTTTCGTCACCTGGCCTTGCTGTCACCACAGTGGGGCGGCCAGATGTAACGAAAGAGGAGAACGCGACTGTGCGAGTCGACCTAACCTGGCCAACCGCGGCAAGACCCCGGCCAAGTGAGGGTGTGCACCGTGTGGGGCACCCGGTCTTGTTCCAACCAATCCGGGCCATGGCTGCTTCTCGTTGGTGCAATGGATCCTCAGCATTGGGTCGGACTGAACCTGCTGCTCGCCGTTCTGGGTTAGGCCACAAACTCCACTGTCCGTTTTCGGTGACGGAACTCCATCCCAAGCAAAAATTTCCTCCACCTAGGGCCGCTGGAATTGTCCTGTAAGAATCCCGATCTTATTTTCACCCCGGCGGCTTCACATTGACCAATGATGGATAATCATAAAATGCCAGTGCTTTTGATCGCTTACAGGGGAGGTGGGATTTTGATTGGAGGTGAAAGCGGACCAATCGCCCTAGCCGGAAGATCTCCCTCAATTTGCACCAATACAAACTTGACTGGGAGAGCGGTGCGGCCCCGCTGGATCGGTAAGCGGGCTGCACTGCTACCCGGCCACTTTCCCTCCGGGGATGCGGTTGGTTTATCCGCCATGCTACCGGCCGGACTTTTCCGTCCAGCCTGCATCGTCGGTATCTCATGCTTGAGTGATCAGAAATGCTTTTGTTGAAGCCAACGGTGTGTGGAATGCCTAAAGCTACGATGCGGTGAGAAAACCGAGTTCCACAGAACCCCGGGGATCGTAGAAAAGTAGTCTGTGGACAGATTCCGGTAGTTAGCAAAGCTCCATCAATTGGTCTCTGACGGCGCATCGGGCTAACACTCGGTGGAGGCCATTGTTCCCAAGGACAATGACTGAGAAAATCCACAGGGACAATCGATTTACTGTAGATATCTCAGTCGTCTGACGCATTGAAGCCCCGAAAGGTACGGATCAATAGCCACTCTTCTCACCAGCTGCAGGCAAAGCCGCCTGAAATGAATTCCCAGTGGCGTCATGAAGATCAGGGCCTTTTCCACTGGACAACAACCAATAGAGGTGGCACAGTGACTAAGAATGAAGTCACTGACATCTGCAGCCCGATAAACTAGGCCATGAGCAAAGCTTATCCAAGCCTGCAGCTATCCGGGGGCTTAGTGAGGGCTAGACCAGGGTATGGTATGTCCATTGGATGCTTCATTCGAATACCTAGCCTGTGTACCATTTTTGGTGGCACCAACAGTAAGGGGCATGTATGTGTTCGGGACAGGGGATGGATTCGCCCTGCGATTTACAATGGGACCCTGCATCGTACAAGGCTGACAGTGTCATTATTGCCACAATGAAACAGTTCCATGGTGGCAAGCAATCTCTCGATCACTAGTCCCGTGGTGTTCGTTGCATTTGTATGGATGGAAGGGGTTGACAGAGGCAATGTCGACATTCAAATGGAAGCCGGGCGACCGAAGCTAGGAGAACAAGCTTTGGTAACCGTGAGTCTGCAGGGATACTGTGCCCCGAGTAAGCAGAACATTCCATAATCCACGTGCGCTCGTCTTTGTGCAGAAGACAAGGCTTCCCTGTCAAAAGGACCTTGGCAGAATCCCCCCACTGCACGGCTCCTCAACAGGCCCGTCAGACCGATCCTACTATGTATCTTGCCTTGATGGCTTCCCATGGTCCGGTAGCCACGTCCCGCCAGCCTTTTCCGACGGGTGGGTAGATCGTTGGGATCGGGGACGAGATCTTGGGCCCATCGGGGTGCACTAACCAAGAGCCCCACGGTTAGCCATGGGTACTATCTACTGTGGTCCAAGGGGCTTCACAGAGGGAGGGAGGCAGAGGGATGAAGTATGCGCCAAATGAACTTGCCTGGAAGCAGGTTTCAGGGTGTTGTGAACATCAGGAATGCGGGGAGGAGGCCTGGATTCAGAAGGGCAAAAGTCACGGGGATGACCTCACACAAACCGAGGACGGGGTCGGGGGTTTCTTGCGATCTGAAAGATGCAATCTGCCCGGGCCCGTCTGGGATCTGCCGAGGAGTTCAAGAATGAGATTCATGAACCAGAGGTACGTCTGCCACTTGGTGAACCTGATTGGCCCACCCGGGGCGGCGCTGCTTTTGCACGCAGAACTATGGACGGGAACGAGTTGGGCCTCCGCATACTTCCCCCATCTTTGCTCCAACACTCGCTTCTTGGCTCCTTCATATCGGCGGCAAATGCCTAGACCCACTGTTTCCCACAAAAGCATGTCGCTGGATCGCATTGTGTTGCAGGCGAAGATGAAGATGAGGGGGTACTTGAATGCTGGCCCCCCAGGGAGGGACACTCTGATGCCAGACAGGTGAGAGCCGGCTTTCTCTTAAACAAAAATTCCTGTCTCTTTTGCTTTGTCTCTCGCAAACGATGAGGTGCTTCAAGGGACTTTGTTCTCAGTGGATCTGGGGATGGGCTCTTCTAGAGATTGTCGCGGCTGCCTCCTTCACTCCCCTTCTCCCTCCCTCATATCCACTCGCTGTTCGCAGCCCTTACCTATCTTGTTCGTCTCACCCCCTGGTAGCTTTACAGTAGGCTTATCTATGGCACTGTCTGAGCAGACTCATTGTTTACTGACCACTATGTACAGCTTGGCTTCCAGGAAACCAGGCAGCAAACCTTCCTTCCAGTTCGCCTCAGTTTTGGTACGGAAATAATCTTACGTGGTCGGTCATTGCTCGCGTCGATGGCCAGGCATACAGTCTTTTTGGAGTCCCGGATTCGCTCGAGGGCATCCAGGCTGCTACTGTCACAGGTGGCAACTATACGTCGACGCACAGCATCTTCACGTTGACTGCGGGATCGAAGAGTTTCACGCTGGACTTTCTGTCGCCTGTCTCCCCGACCAACCTCGTGCGCCAATCTCTGCCATTTTCTTATCTCACAGTGTCAGTTAACGGGGGATCGCGCAATGAATCTGTCCAAATTTATTCGGATATCGATTCCTCCTGGACTGGCCGGCCGGATAGCGCAGCTTGGGAGTTCTCAAAAATCAACACTACCTCCGTGTTTCAGCTGAACCCTGTTGGAGAAGCCATATTTTCGGAAAATGCCCAAGAACAAGCGCTCTGGGGTGAAACAGTCTATGCCACCCGCGCTTCACATGGAGACACCCTCTCCTCTGCTTCTGGCCCATTGTCTGCTATCCGATCACAATTTATTGCCAAGGGGTCTCTGGCTGATACCCATGCAAATTGGACATCGGATGGTGTCGTAGCATTTACGCATGAACTGGGAACAGTTGCAGGGGATACCTCGGTTACATTTGCCATTGGGCATGTGCGTGAGCAGGCCATCAACTACCTTGGAAATGCGCAGACTGCGTACTACCGAGCGATCTATCCCAATACCACATCAGCCGTCTCCCATTTCCTCGACGACTATGTGGAAGCGGCAGATGAGGCGACCAAGATGGATACTTTGATACAAAAAGGCGGAGAGTCATCGTACGGTACTAATTACTCCGATATACTTGCACTCTCTCTTCGACAAATCTACGGTGGAATGGAGCTCACTATTCCCGATGACACCCTAGACACCCAAGATGCGAGGGCCTTCATCAAAGAGATCTCTAGTGACGGTAATATCAACACCGTCGATGTCATCTACGCATCCTTCCCAATCTTCTATGCCTTGAGCCCCGACTACATCAGACTCCTGCTACGACCCATCTTCGAGTACATGGATAACAAAAACTACACCGAAGACTACGCAGTCCACGATATAGGTACCCATTATCCAAACGCCACGGGCCACAATCCTAAGGGCGAGATCATGCCGGTCGAGGAAAGCGGGAACATCTTGATCATGGCCTATGCCTACGAATTAGCGACCAACAAAACCGATATCTCAAGCACGTACTCATCCCTTCTGACCAAAAGCGCCCAGTATCTGGAAGCACACGGGAAATACCCCGAGGCGCAGCTATCCCTCAACGACGCACTCGGCAAGATAGCCAACCAAACCAATCTGGCCATGAAAGCTGCCAGCGGACTTGCTTCCTACGGACAAATGACCTCGCAAGCCAACTACACGAATGCCGGGAAATCTCTCGCCGATGCACTCTACAACGGTCGACTGGGCACAGATCCTAATGGGACCTACTTTACCATCCAGTACGGTAGCAACTCATGGTTCCTTGTATACAACCACTATGCGGACGTCCTGTTCTCCCTCGACCTCTTCCCCGAAGAAGCATACAACGCCACCACAGCCTTCTACCCTACCGTGCGCAAACCCGCGGGGGTAGCACTGGATGCCGATATCAACTGGGGGCAAACGAACTGGCAGGGGTTTGTGGCTGCAACTGTCACGGGAGAAGCCAGAGACATGTTCATCGCAGATATGCATGCCTACATTGCGAATGGGCTCAACGGGGTACCGTTTTCGGACCGCTACTGGGTCAAAAGCAATACCGCCGGGACGGCTGGGGAGTTCTTCTCGTTCCGGGCTCGACCCGCCCTGGGAAGCCACTATGCGTTGATGGCACTGCAAGGTGCGAACCAGTGGTCATTGGCTATATAGGTGAAGCGTTGTATGCTGTACATAATAACATAATAATAAGAGTGATATACAACCCCCAGCCCCCCAATTCCACATAGGTCATACAAGCCTTACCTTGGATATACCAAACTGAATTCCCAATCAAACCGAATACTCAAAAGATCCTAGTATCTAACTGAGTACCTCACACAAGTGAATATCATAAGAAAATCAAATCCATACCGGATATACTATGCGTAAAGGCATGCATACAGGATCTTGTCGAACAATGCTACCTAACTTACACGCTCTGGAAGCTATAAAGAAGGAATAAGAATCTTCTTTCTCTGACGTGGGTATCAATATTCAGCGATGGTTTAGCTAGTTTATCGCTGATTTATCCTCTCTGTTTGTACTTTGTTGTTCATCACACATTGCAAACTCATCCGAATTCATGCTTGTCTTATGTTCTCAGCACCTGTGGTCTTCATGGGGCTCCGCTGCCTCTTCTTTCTGGAGGTTGTTTTCTGTTCCGTAAGATTGCCCGACAACAGGGAAAGACTGCTAACGGAGAGAAGTTCTCTAACCCTCGTGCTGCCATCCGAAGCAAGGCCGCCACCCATGCCCAGAATCAGATCCCCTTTCAGCTCTTCCATCTTTTTTTTCTACGACCATTGAGGTGCAGGATATTGCCAACCGCCGCATGCACGGCCAGCAAAGCCGGGCTGGGAAGGCAATACCTTCCATCGTGACAGACAAATGTCACAAGTCGATTCGGGGGTAAATGGGCAAGATGATAACGAGCCATGTTCGGAAAAAGGTTCAATCGATATTGGTTCGGCGTGGAGGTCGATTCCAAGATAAAGTGGAAGTTGTCGAACTGAGTGTGGATACCTTCAGCGAGCATCATCACGTTATCTTCTGTATTGATGTCGTCCGAGGAGAATCCTACACGTGCCCGGAGGTCCGGGAAATACCGGTTGATATTGGTCCAAATAGCCGCATGTCTGTACCGGTCATCGGACGAGTTCTCTCGAAGGACACCCCCAAAAAAAGGGGGATGATGTGGCAGGCAGGAAGGGGTACACCGATGGCCTTTGTGGGTCGCTCATTTTATGATGAACTCCAGGCCCCGGTTACAACGCATTTGTTGCCGTCCCGAGCAAGGCAACTTTCTCGGAAGAGACGCTGTTCGTCTCTGCGGACTGACTGGAGATTGCTGGAGAGCAGATTCTCTAATGAGTCTTCTAGGCCAAACCGGGGAGATGGAGTAATCATCGAATATGCCAGACGACCCGGTGGGGCGTAGGCTGGGGGACGTCATTGGATATATGCAGACAGGAGCACTGATCTTGTGTCCGAGGTTCGGTCCTTGAAAAGCATTGGTCGTCTTCCCTAGATGCCGCTTTCTCAGTCAGACTATTTCCATTTATTGGGCTGTGATATTCACCTCCGGTATAGGTGAATGTTGCTGGCTTATATACCAACGCTGCGATGGGTTCACTGGAACAGTGAATCCCAAGTAGCCTCTTTGGCCTAGCGGTGATGGTGCTTAAGAACCATTGTCGCAAGAACCAGTTACTGTGAAGCGGCTGCCCAGTAATGCGACTGCCGGATTGGGTTAGGGGCGCACCTTCCTAGAGCGACAAAAAGGGCCTTGTGTAGGTCGGCTGGAGAACATCCATAGGCTTTGCCAGAACCTCACGCGGTCATACCTTCTAAATCGGTATAGGTCTTGCATGGTATATGAAGCAGGCTGAGTATCCTATAATTAGGAGCGGTCTAGTAATTGAAGGTGGATGTCTCCTGGATCCTGTGGTTGTAGCCACTCCCTAACCTAAGTATTCGTATAGCTAACACATTGTTCAATTACAATCGGTCGAGGATTCATCCTCGACAGTCGGTTTATGGATGGCTATGTGCATGTGAACATTTAATCCTGGCCTTTTCAAGAGGATGGGGCAAAACGCTGAGTCTTCTAGTTGTATTAACAATGGAACCAGCTTGATAGTAAACGCAGCGGACTACGTAGCAGGCCATCATTGTACACCCGGAGGAGTGTACTTTTCTCTCGAGAACGGGCTTGTCGTCCTCGGACTTCTTTCTAGCCCCAACAGTCAGACTCATCAAGCCCGGACCTGTAATCAAAGCTACACCGTAGGTCGTGCCAAGCGAGAGGGTACCTCTCGCCCCTCCTCGGCTCGGTGTATCTTGGCCCCAACCAACTCAAGGAGCAAGCAAACTGTCTGACCAGGTTTCCACACGTCCTCTTTCTAGGTTGGGTATTTCCAGTATCGTCGGCGATTCATTCGGCTGCTGCTGCCTAGCCAAGCGCCCCAAGGATATAGAGCCATGCGCAGTGGTCGTGGACTTGACAAGTCAGTCAGTCAACCAACGCGGAAGGAGAAACTGTGCCCTATGGCACCATGCCTGGGGCCATTCGTCCGAAGATGAGAGGTGAGATTGTTGATTATCGAGTGGCCAGGATGACAGGAACATGCGGGCTGGAGGCCCATTCATATAAACGCAAGACCTGCATTTTCCCAGTCAGGAATGACGCTGACGTATGTGAGGAGAAGCAGGATTTACGGAGCCCAAGTGTCCAATGTGCTGGCTCATCCGCAGACGGATTGTGCCGAAATGGTCCAATCCCATGTGCCACGAACCCGACTGTTGCTGACGCCATTCCTATTCGAGTCAAGGCGGCGGCCCCCAAGCGCACCTGGGTGCATCGAGAATCGCACCAGAAGATCCTGCGAACGGTGACGAGGTCTGTGACCTCAGGATCTGAAATCGACTGGCCTGGCCTTGGCCCAGGCCCGCTGCGGCGATTAGGGTAATTCGGAGCTCCCGGCGAGGGTCAGGTGGACCCACCGAGCGCCATTGATCGTGGCACCACAACTCAACCCTGAGGCCGGTATACGTCCGCCGGCCGAGATGTAGATGGCACTACTCCGTACCGAGCATGGAGATACTCTTAGCCATCTGAGCACAAGCACGACCCGCATGCGACATTGCGCACAGTCCCGGCCGGAACGGTCGGGTTTAGCCCGGAGTATGGCTGGCTGGCTGTAAGATGCATGCACCATGGACTGTGGGCGGAGCTTGACCATTGAGTGCTCGGTAGCGCAACGTTGCGGGCCATTGGCGGGGTCCGACGGTTGCTGCTGGAGCTTGGAGGCGTGGGAGGCGTAAGAGAGGCTGCGGGAGAGGCTTTGTCGCAGCGGGGGCCCATTGTCTTCCGAAACGATGCAGCAGTGCCCGTTACATCGAATCTCTCAAGCCGGTCCGAAGAAGCCATGACAGGCGGATTCACCCCCCTGCGGGCGAATTGTTTGGTCCTTTCACATAGGCGAAGGATAGCATGGTCATGGAACCGTGGAAGGGAACGGAAGCTTTGGTTGACATCACCCAAGGAGCCACCACAAAGACATCGAGGCCGGGTACACCGTCTTGTGCACCCGACGGAAACATGTTGGATGGAGAGGAAGGAAGTTGAAACAGGCGGAGAAGGCGTCGAGGAACCCACGATCGAATCAAGCCTGAGGCAGACGAGGCGGCGGGAGAGTCCCGAACCGCACCCCTTATGCCTGATCGGGCAAGGCGGGTGAGCCAAGGGCCAATAGGAGACTGACTGGGCTCCCAAGAATCTTGGTTACCCGAAACGGCAAAAGCAGGGTTCATGGAAGCCTAGCACTAGGCCACGATAGGCAAAGGGTAGGAGCGAGGATGGGGATTTGACTTTTAGGTTTGGGCTGCAAGTGGACGCGGTGGACCCCGGCTTTGTCCCAAGACGGCATGACGAGGAGGCCCCGGGGGCCATCTTCACTGATGCTGGCCAAGGGTCAACAAATAGATCCTCGGCCACAGGCAGAACCTGGCCTAGCTCGTTTACATCGGACCTTTGGAGCGTCCGTCCCGAAGGTTCCGTCTTTTTGGGTTCGGGGGGGAGGGGAGCACAGCAGATCCTGGATAAGCTACGATAGTCTAGTGAGTACTTTGTACTCCGTAGTGCCGTCGTCCTCGTCGCCGTCCGCTCAGGGGGGGTGTGGATCTCACCTGATTGGGCAACTTCGGTGGATGGTGGGGTGGGGCATGTCAAGGATGGGGGAGCAGATTGTTGCTCGATAACCTCAGTCGGGATATCCTCAGCGACCGATCCTTCAAATTGGGGGGGCAGATCCCAACGAGAGCAGTAAGTCCTCAGCGAGCAGGGCTGGGCGATGATCCAGGGTTCAGACCCGAGAGGGAAGGCGACCTAGAAGGCCAGCTGCAGGATGCCTCGTAGCGCTGCAGCCCGCATTTACTGGTTTCGTCGGGGCTTGGCCAGGTTGTCCCAGGCCGGCAGGAGCCCAGAGCCCTTGTACTGTGTAAGTTGGTGCACACTTGCCTACTCCGTGTATTGCTGGCCCAGCCCCACTGCCGCAACGATCTATCAGCTAGTAGTTCGCCCATGGGTTGTGATTTGTTGTATGGCGGGCGGGTGGATTTGGAACCTTCCCTCCGCCGGACTGAAGGGCCCATTCTGAATATTAAATCTCGGGGTCTCCAGCACCCCGATGGTCTCGAGGGTGAGTTGGAAGTTCAACCCGATCAACTGAATCAAAGTCGGAGGGGGCCGCAGACTCTCTGCATTGCAGCAACCACACCTTGCGCCAGTTGCAACCCTCCATCCTTTCCCTAGAGGCCAAAAAGTCCCAGCCATGCCTGCACGGCGCACATACAGAGCCCCGGCGCGGAATGGCTGTTTTGAGTGCAGGAACCGGCGAATCAAGGTAGGTGTCCTTGGGCTTAGTCCCGGCGAAGCTTAACTTAAGTTGCCTGGGCCGGCCTGCTGTTTGCTGTTTTCTTGGTTGTCCTTTTGGTTTCAGTCCATTTCTGTCTGCCTTTTGTTCCCCTGCGGGATGCCTGAGTGCCTGGGTGCCTGAATGATGCAGTGATCCCCTGGATATGCTCCGCCTGGTCGATGTCTACGGGCTTGTTTGATTGCTGCTGTGAACCGGGCCCTCGCTGTTCTTCTGCTTGCACCTCCGCTCTCTTCCCCTTGGCACTGGTGGGCCAGTTTCTTCCCAATATATACTGATTGGCCGGGATGCAGTGTCCGAACGAACACCCCCAGTGCTCCCATTGCACCAGCGACAATATAATATGCCAATACCTCTCCTCGTCCACTTTCGCCTGGCCGAGGGTCAAGTCTCGCTCCACCACCCCGACCATTCCCCCGTCCCGCACAGCGTCGCCATCCCACGTAAATTCTAGGGTCTTCGCAGAGTATCGAGTCGTCATGGATCCCGTCGCTTCCTCGAGCCCCGCGGACGAGCTCAACATCCAGGACCTGGAATTGATGATGCAATGGTGTACCACGACCTACCGGTCTGTCTCGCGGAATAGCTCAGTGGAGGGGATCTGGCAGGGCGTGGTTCCGCGGGAAGCTATGCGCCACCCATTCTTGATGCACGGTATCTTGGCCCTCTCCGCCCTGGATCTGGGCTTCAGCTCTCCTCCCGGCCCTCCGAAAGACTACTACACCCGAACCGCCCAGACCCATCAGTCCCGCGCCGTGACCGGTCTCAGTAAGGTCGCGGGAAACCTCGACAAATCGAACTGCAACGCCGCATTTGCGCTTTCCAGCATCATGGTTGTTTTCTCCTTTGCCTTCCCTCGAACGACGAACAAGCGCGGGGATGTATTGGACGAGCTTCTGGAGATATTCCGGTTCACGCGCGGGTCGGTGGATGTACAAGGAGGGATCATCGAATGGGTAGCAGCTGGGGAGTTCAGTCCGCTGCTCGAGTACGACAATTCGCAGCCAACAATGCCCGATACATCGCGATTGGCGATCATGTCGCTGACGCGAATGAATGCGAGCCTGGCGAGCAGCGACCCCGCGCACGAGAAGGACACGTATGATACCACGATCCGGTACCTGAGCTACTCGCTGGACAAGCTTGCTCGGGGCGGCGAGACGATGATCATTGCGTTTCAGTGGATCTTCCAGATTCCGCCGCGATACATGGAATTGCTCCGAGAGAGGCAGCCATTTGCGATGGCGATTCTGGCACATTACGCGGTGATTATCCACTCGCTGCGAGGGCATTGGTGGATGGGCGAGTGGGGGGCGCGACTGATCCGGGAGATCGGCCAGCACCTGGGTGCCGACTGGCGAGACTCTATCAGCTGGGTGGTAGACGCGACGGGCTGCTATATTCCTCCGGTCTGAGACGGCGCGGAATCATTTGCTCTTCACCAATTTTTGGAGCAATGATGCACACAGAAGCACATGGCGATCGTTGTGGCCATTCTTGAAACGGGTGCAGCGCGTCCACTGCCAGTGGGATCATGGCCACGGCAGGCGACCCCCGCCGCCACGACACGAGTCACCGTGAAACTCACCGTCAAGGAATAGAGCCGTGCGATCGGCTGCCATAAGAAACGACTAACGAGGGTCTGGACGTCTGGGGAGGCCGACCGGGGCAAGCGCTAGGGGTGAACACAACGAAGACGGTGAGCTAGAAAGGACCAGTTCGGATTATCGATCGCCAATCCGCCGCGAGACGAGGTGCTGGCCATCTGACCGACGGACTGGCCTGATCGATAGGTCCCAGTGACCATGCAGCTTGGCATGAAGATACCTGGCACGAGCAGTAGTTATAGTACCGCCAACATAAATTACAAACCAACATCAATTCTTACTCCTTCTATTGTAATACCTTCCACTGCCTAGATCCCTACCAGTATCAGTAGGCAAAAAAGCAATATGCAACCATCCCACTAAGGCAACGTGGTAGTGTACCCGATAAGCCTGGGCCATTTCATTGGAGCCATAGATAATTAGTGCGCAGCCGCAGCCGCAACAATCAACAACAGCCAGCATACAAAAGCAGGCGATATACCCGGAACAAGAGCGAAAAGAAAGAGGATTAGATATAATTGAACCCCAGCCATTATGAAACGAACAAACAAAAAACCACCAGACAGGATCCGATAAGAAGTGACAAAGGGAAACAAAACAGATATGAAGATAAAGATGAACAAAACCGTGCCTTCGCGCCTTGTTCCATGTCCGGCTTCCACTGGGTATTCATAAACGTTGCGGTGATAAAACAGGGTAGAAGGGAAGAAAGTATATGGAAGGAGGCAAGGAAAGGATGGGGAAGGTATGGAGATTAGAGAGAAGTGTTGGTTCACTTCTGATGGAGGGTGGAGGGTGGGGAAGGATGAAAAAGGTAGGTGGGGAGGAAGGTAGGTAGGTAGCGTCAAACACTACCTGCGCACTGCCTGTTTGGTATAGAAGAGGCAGTGTAAGTCAGTCGGTCGGTGAGTCAATCAATCAGTCGAGATGTGGATGGGTGGGGTAATTCACCCTATCCATCCTGTCCAGTTCGGGGTCGAGTCCAGTCCAGTCTAGTCCACCTCTTGACAGAGGGGTCCAGAAACACAAGCGCAACGCGCATATACACACGTTTGGAGAAAAGTCCAAGCCAGAGAGGCATACACCAGGTCAGAGCAAGGTAAGCGGAGCAAGCAAGAGGAACAGCATCCCTACCTGCCCACTCACTCATACCTAATCTCACCCAGTCCATGCCATACCATGCCGTGCCATGTCCACCAGCAGCCAAAGCTAACAGGAAGACAAACAGCAAACACACCGACTTATCCTCAACTCCAAACATGTGCTAGTCAACTGGACGGATTTCGTTCCTCGCCGCCCTCAGCAGCAGCACCGGACACGCTCGACGTCTCGATATCCTTCCTCCGGTTCTCCGACTGAGTGCGCACCCGACGCAACTGCTCCTCTTCCTGTTCGCGCACGCGTTTCTCTTCTTCGGGAGTGGGGATATAAGCGTTTGCGGCGCCGCCTGGATCATGACAAGCGGTGTGAGCCATTGTGCCGTGAAAGAGTGATTCAAGAGGGAGGAATGGAAGATGGCATACCTCGACCCATGAAATGCGGCGCTTCTTCCATGCGCAACGGGGGCGAGTCCACATCCTGCATTTCCCGAGCTATCTCGGGGTGTTCCGGGTCGTTGTGCATCATGTTGCCGGAGCCGCCCCGACCGGTGGTGAAGACATCTTGTTTGATGGTGGGGGTGACGAGGTCTTTGGGCGTGGTGCGGGATTCCTTGCCGGAGAAGATGTTGCCTGGTGGGAGGGGTTGTTGTTAGGGAAGAGGAGGTCCGTTGGGCATGGGACAGTGCTGGACATACCTGCGCCGCCGCGGCCGTGGGAGATGTTTCTGGCTCCGCCCATTGTTGTCGAACAAGGGGAGGGAGGATGCGATCGGAGGGGCGTTCGATCGGGATGCGATTCGAGTGGTCGAGGGGTTGTCAAGTTCGTCTCTCACTTCAGAAGAGAAGAGGAGACCAAGAGAAGGGGGAGCAAGAACCCACGATGACGATCAACAAGTCAACAAGGCTGGCTGGCTGGCTTGGCTGCTGGAGTGCAAGTGGCGAAAGAAAAGAAGCGACGCAGAAAGGCGGCCGCGAGTGGCTCTTGCGGGCGACCCTGATCAAATGACGTCCTGCTTGGCGACCGCATTTTTTTTCCTCGTCCGGCTGGTTCTTTGGGTCATGCTTCCCATTCTTCCACTTCTTCCACTTCCTCTTCTCCTTCTTTTCCGTCTTGGGGATTCTCTTACCTCACCTGGCACCCGGGAACTGAATAATCACGAGGACCCGGTGGCTCCTAGCTCCACTAGGATGACGGAGGAATGGATGCTACTAAATCTCCTAGAAACCCACTGGAAATTTCTTCCTGGCCCGAGAAAGTCTAGTGTCGACTGCCTTCCGACTAGTCAGGCTCTTCCCCGCAATGCTATATTGGCAGATTGACTGCAGATTACCGATTCAAATCAGAATAAACAATGCTCATCTCGTTAACTGGTGGAAACAAAATCAATATAGAAACAATACCAAGCAGAACCCCTACACGGCGTACACCATGTACAGCGCCCGAAATCATCGGGTTCAGAAAATCACCTCATTTCCCCCTGCATCCCACCATCCCATCAATACCCCTCACCATACCCATACCCATACCCACACACAAAGTACTCACCCATATAGGCCACAACTGACCTCAATCACCACACTACCGTATCTCCTTCTTTAGACAAAATATACACCCCAACCCAACCCATACCACCAACCCATGACCTCCTCACGCTCCACTAGACCATGTCCGGAGTGAAACAGGATCATACAAACATAGGCGGGACCTATACAAGGATGACCACTAATAGGCGGACATGGTTGACGTAGTAAGACCAATCACATATTACTGTTAATGAAGATGTTCCATCATTGATTCTTACATCTTCTGTGAAAAAAACCAAAAAACTTAGCCATCTACTACTAATCTCTCGAGAAGTAACGAGTATATTCTGAATTTCCTCATTGATCGTAGCAGTGCATTCAGTACCTTCTATGTAAGAGTAGAAGGAAAAGGATTGATGGTATATATAGTACGAGTTGTGCTAGGACGATGTGGGACATAGCCGCAGTTGGATGCGCGTGATGAGTGGACTGGGATATGGATACCCGGGCTACTTTTCAATTGGGCGGTTGGGGATGGATCGGGATGCCGAGGGTAGTTTCTGTCTATTGGTAGTGGTAATTATCTACTATGTATGTGTGCAGGGATGTTGTCGATCAAGGGATCCTAATAGCTAGGGTGTTTGTTGATCGTTGACGTATGATGGGATGAGGGTAGATGCTGATCTATCAGGTTGAAAGGTTACTTACTCTATGGTAAGGTGGATGGATGATACAAGAATAATGACATTGGTATATACACAAACCCAAAACATCAAAGTCATGCACGCGTTTCATTACCTCCATTAATCCTTCGTGCGGGGAACCATTGCTGCATACAGCATCATGCCAAAAACGCCCGCTATGCTGGACTTCCAAGGTCGAACCATCTATCGGAATGTATCCCGTACGCCTGCTCAAATCCCATGCTCCAGACCCCGTGAGCACCCTTGACCCGATATGGCCCCTCCCATTTCCACGTCTTCTTCTTCTCCTTGTAGGAGACTGCTCCGACGTGCTGCATCTGGGACGGGGAGATGGCCAGCCGGTCTAGTTCGGCTCGCCCCGCCTGCATCTCGATCACACTGTCCACGGCCTTGGTGGGAACTACGTCCTCCATGTGCTCAAAGTACTCTAGGAGCGGCGGGATGTTCTCGCGGTTGAAGAGGAGGGCTTGCGAGCAGCAGCCGTGCGCGTTCATCACATGCACTCCGTCTTGCAGGGGGTACCAGGTGACCCGGCCGGCCAGGAAGAAAAGGCCGATTAACAGCGGCACGCAGACGAAGCAGATCACCAGCAGGAACGAGTTGGTGAGGACCCCCTGCGTGGAGCGAATGGTCCGCCGGGTGTAAATGCCTGCGGTGGCGCAGAGCGAGACGATCAGCACACTCCAGGACAGGTAGGTGGGCCAGTGCTCCGAGTTCCAGCCGAGGAACTTCTCCGTGTAGAAGAGCCGGAGGTAGAGCCAGTCCTTGATGGTCTCCTGCCGACGCCAGTCTTCAACCTGCTGGACGCTGCGCATGGTCTGCTCATACCAGTTGCGCTGGGCCACCACATCGTCTTCCAGCATGATGATCCACGGCGCGTCGGTCATTTCATAGCACGATTGTAACCCGAGCCGGTAATCAATCAGAGACTTCTTCTTGATGTTGTTCTTCTTCTCCAGGTTGCGGATGATATACCCGGGCGCGTCAACATCGTCGTAGGTGAGCACATGGTCCACGACATTCGTCACCCAGGTTTGGTTATAGTCAGGATGATCGGAAGGATTGCTCAGTGCAAAGAGCACTTGGACTGTCAGCGCTGCTCGCTGTTCTGGCGAGAGGGTATCAAGGATCGAGGCCACGGTCGTGTCGAGGTCCTGCTGCAGGGGACGCTTGACGGTGACGATGCCGACGCAGGCGGTTTTCTCCCGTGGGGGACTGACAACGGGCACCGAGTGGTGGGTGCTAGCATCGGACCGATTGAAGGTCGATAGCCATTCTAAAGACTCGTTGATGCGTTGAAGACTGTATCCTGGGCGATAGCCTTCGGTAGGCTGGAAGAACCACGAGCCGGGGTCACGGGCGGAGCGAAAGTGACAGAAGACGAACAGGGAAAAAAAGAGAATAGCGAAAGACGACAGAAGCAGCCTCTGCTTCCGATTGTAGTGATAGAGAGCCATGGGTCACATACTGAGTGGATGGCGATCCAGAGATTTCGGGGGGGAGGGAGGGGAGGGAGAGTGACAGACCGAAGGGGAGGAGGAAAAGAAAATAAAGAGGGCCGGTTGCGACTGACTGCAGATAAGCAGAGCATTGGACTAGCAGTGCTAGGCTAGAGCCATAAATTAAACCAGAGTCCTGCCCTGCTGCTGCCCAGTGCCCGCGGCTGCGCTGACCCTCAGGGTCTGCCCATCGCTTAGTCTGTTTTAGTGGTGACTGGGCTGGTGATAGTCTGGGTGGCCTTCGTTTATCGGCCCAGTGGAGCGGTGGCCAGCACTTCAATGGGACATGCAAGACCCACGGCCCGGAGCCAAGTTTTGGATCGCGAGGGCCCATTGGCCCAGTCGGCCAGGGCGCCAGGGCTGACCAGAAACTGGACGATAGAGGATCGTAGCAGGATACGATACGGCCCAGAATCACGAAGGGCGCAGCAGTAGCTCCGTCGGGGTCAATTGGAGGTCTGTCTGACAATGATGATAAGAATAGCGCCGATGGGGTGATTTCAGGCTGGGATGTCTCACTGTCGTGAGTCGGAGCGATTGCGCACCGGCTAAAAAAAGGCCGCCGCCCAGAAAAGCTTAGCCCCGAAGCCGTCCTCGGGTCGGTCCCGCCACTCACGACTTAGCAGTTTTAGCCCTCTGTGGAAAACTGCCTCATTCGGAAACTCCTCTCGGACGGCTCAACCCAGACATGCGATGGATCATGTCTCTACTCCTCCGTAGTACTGTTTATCTTCATCCTCACTCCGCCACAGTCCAAGACTTCAAGGATCAATGTCCCCAGTGCGGTCACACCGGTGCCACCCAACTCGTCAATAATGCTCGAGGTTTGCTGCAGACTCGGTCATCGTCCTATCGATCGGTCAGGTGGCCGGTGGAATGGCTAGCCTTTTTTCTGCATCGGGAAGTCAATGCAGTGTGTCGGCCTCGGCATTCAGTTGCCTCGATGGCACCTGCCAGTTCTGTAGAAACGAGCCTCGCCACTGCAGAAAAGTTTCGACGATCCTCCCGGGTCCGCGGGGAACAACCCTCAATCAGCACTTGCAAGTTTAGTTTAGAGCAGAATGATAGATAACACGATACTGCCCTATCTATGCCCTCCCCGCAAAAGCCATCTGACTACTAACATCAGTGTTCGCTCACTCATTACTTCACCCTCGCCATTCCACTCTAGAATCCCATTTCACAGACCACATTAAATACTCTTACCACCTAGCCAAAATCCTACACTGGGAGGATATAGTCATGCAGGAAGTCAATAGCCAAAGCCCCCCCAACAAGCGGTGGACGAGTCGCCCCAGCCATCCGATTCGTCCCGTTCAGCCAAGATGACAATGCGGGATCGCCGCCACATTGTGTTAGCCATTTTGCGAAGACATCCCGCAGAAGACGGGTGAGGAGGATACTCCGGTGAACTATCGTGCGTGGTCCGAGGTGAACGGGAGGAAGTTGCAAGTCACATCGTGATCAGACGAAACATCCTTGCCAAAAGCAAAACAACTTATTCAAGAATCCATTTTGAATCGCTCACCGATATGAATATTCGTACAAACAGGGAATCCAGCACAACTCTCGAGAATGCCACAAAGAAGAAAAGCAGGCATCCCAATGCTAAACAACCTGACAGCTTAAACAATAAAATGACGTCTCTTGCGGTTGTATGCCCGCTGGTCCTTCAGCCACTGCCGATATCCCTGCACGCTACCGATCTTCTCGCCATAGTAATCGGGGACCGGGTTGGAGATGGAGTTGGACGATGGGTCGACACGGAACCGTCTGATACGGTCGAAGAATTCCTTCTCTTTCTATCAACCAACATCTGTTAGCACCCCACCCTTTCCAAGACTAAAGACACGCTCGTAAGGAATAAACTCACCACCATGACAGAAGGCTTATATCTCCGGTAAACCAACCCCCACACGGCATTGCCAACGAACGGTCCAATGAGCCACCCCGCCGCGCCGCACGCCGCAGTCGCCATGCCCAGGACAATGAACGGGTCGAGACCCATGACCTGAGCACCGAGGGACTCCAAGTCCTGCGTCGAGAGAACCTGCACACCGATGATCGTGGTGGCCATGGAGCTCAAAATCGACGAGGCAAGAGAGTACCGGCGACGGCTGGCGCGGAGCTTGAAGAACGAGTTCCAGTCCAGACGGACGGTTTCATTGGTGGCAGCGGCAGTCGAGTTGCCGCGGCGAAGGATCGGCGAAATAGGGAGCTGCGTCGACGGTCGCACGGCTGTGGTCTTCAGGGCGTGTGTGCTGCGGACTCGCATCGTGGAGGTGCTTGCTGCCCGGGCCTGAGAGAGCGCATGATACAACGGGTTGGTGCAGCTGCTGGAATGGGCAAAGGGGCCCAGCGCCGTGGAAGTAAAGCGTCCGCTGAGCATGGCGGTACGCATCCCGCTGATCGAAGGGGCGTGCATGGTAGATGGAGGATTGCTGTTGAGGTAGGATGTTGTGGTGATGGTGGATTGGTTCAGGTTCGGCGGGTGAAGCTGTAGGGATTATGTAAGCGGTGGCTGGGGGCATGACCTCATTGGGGGATTTCCAGTAAACAGCCACCTCAGCGCTCTTTGTCCTGAGGGGTACTGTGTGCTGCTGATACACACGGTCAATGATATGCTCAATTGGTCTCTTGATGAATACATGTCCGCTTTTTGAGTACTGTCGTCGTAATTCCCAATGAGCTCTTCTGAGATCCCTCGGGTATCATTCTTTCTCGCAAGTATTGATATTGAGCGAGATAAGACCTTCCCAGGTGCTCCGATTCGTCCTCTCATCAAAACTGGAGGCCTTGAATGAACTAGCAAGACCTACAGTCCCTTACTCCAAAGCTCTTATTACAGATAAAATCTAGCTGTAATCATAAATAAACTACAAATCCATACCATCCCCTTCAGTTCCACCCTTTCGTTCTTCCCATGTTTCCATATTCCAATTCCCCGGGTACTGTTACAAACCGCCCATCATATGTAAACCTGCGGCAGTGACCTCCATACGGCCAGATTATCTATCCAATGGCGCACAATGCTGAATCGGGTGTGGCTGAGGCGTTACTGGGTGAGTGGGACGGCAGTTATTCAAAGGGTCTTGGAGAAGAGGAATTGCTACTGATGACGGAGAGTTAGGTGGATGTTGGAAGAAGAGAGATCCGGGCGCGGTGGACGAAGAATTTTTACGTAAATAGGGCACTCCATCCATAGTTTGGATGTGTTGAGGACTTGCTGTAGAGCCTTGGTTGAGTTTTGTTTTCGGTACTATGTAGTATACTCCGTACAGTGATGGATGGATGATTCTCGGGGACGCAAAGCATCCCCGCTTTGCGGGGTATTGTATCTCGTGACCGAGTGGTAAGGTCATATTTAGAATTGGAGTCACGATCGTGCATATATGGTCTTCATTAGCTCAGATGCTATCTATGGGTAGTATCTATTGTCTTATCTATCGGTCAGATGATGAATAGATCTCTCTAGTTGAGGCAGATACCACAGTGCCTTATAGGCCAGAAACATATGGTTAGATATTTCCGTTGCTCTTAATATGTCCAGGGCGAGACTGCGCTTTGGTGCCTGTCCCGTAGCCATTCACGCGGCCGTAGAGCCACTTGAGGGTCCCCGTGCTTAGCGCCATGACAATGGCGCTCACGGCGAAGATTCCAATGCGACCTTCAAAGCTGGCCGCATCAAGAAGGGGATAGGGGTACCTGAGGATGTTCGTAAGAGATCTTGTCTTATACGATAGGTTGCATGGCTTACCATCCATTGTACTGGAAGCACCGTTCGATCCAAAACCAGTATCCAAAGGCGATGGTGCTGGATAACCCCAGGGCAGGGAGAACGGAGATCGTCCACGGAGGGGAGAGAAAAAGAAGGTCAATGAGTAGCACAATCGATGGCACAGCGTGGAAGCCGATGTCTTGGCCGAGATATCAGCAACAGGATATGGAGCTGGTGTAATTCATTGAGCTTACCGGCGTGCAGTGGAATCACCGCCCATTCGGGGACAACCAAATGCGGATCGATCTATAGTGTGTTAAACAAAAATAGAGCAGCAAATGAGAAGGGAAGTTACCACGCGAATCCCCCAGTACAGGATGCTGATCAGCACTTCCATCGGAGCGCTGCATATAGAGAGGAGGTTCTTGGCAAGGAATAGCCGAGGCGATAACGTCATATCCGCCAGCAGCCCGACGGCAAAGGTGAGCGTGGCCAGCGCCAGCCCAATGACGGTCAGGTACTGGAAATGCCAACCATATGCTTCATTACTGCCAGAAAGTTCTATCAGCATCCCCAGTTACCCCAGGACCATGGTCTTGGGAAGCTTACGCCCGATTGGGGTTCTCGTGCATGCTGAAATAGAATTAGCGGCACTGGAGCACGAGCTGTATCTAGATAACGGAAACCCAACGTACAACTTGAAGGAGCCTAGAAAGCTGGCTAGACCCAGTAGCTGCCGTGGTAAGAGGAACGTTCGTCAGCCCAAGGAACAAACCACCAATACGGTACCTAGTACTCACATGAACCAAGGCCGAGAAGCCTCTGGACGGGCTGGACAATCGCTGCAGGGGATGCTGCCGCTGAAGCGACTGGACCGTCGTGGCAGACGCCATACTGTGAGAGGGATAGAGGTGGGATGTGAAGTTTCCGATAGATAGTGAAAATGGACTCCGTTGGGTTCGGAAATTGCAATCAGAGCCGCGTGGGCATGAATAACAGAGATAGGGATCTCACTAATGAGATGATCTAAACGAGGCTGGAATGACCGGCTATCCCGGAGCTGTCTTAGTAACCCGATGCCGCTACGCCGGATGGGGGCAAGTGCCGTTGGATCAGACCGCCGCGAACCGGAGAAACCACCCGCCGGCCCCAGCTGGTCCTTGGCTTATCAGGTCGATCTGATTGATGGAGACGGCCGATGGGGTCCCCCACCCGGTGGTTATCGGGCAGCTTCTGGGGGTGTGACTGGCCTGTCTTCTCCGCCCGTCTCTGTAGTATCTGGTGCCGGTGATTTCATCCAGTCTTCCCCTTCTTCTCTTTCGCTCCGACAGTCTGAAACCTGCTGGCTCTGGTCTTACCCTGGACATCACCTCTCCAAGCTCTTGGATAGACTCCAATTCATTCAAGTCGATCGACCGGTGGGGTTGCTGTCACCAACATAGAACACAATCCATCACTTCCCCCCACACCCCGATGAGTACGAACAACGGGTGTGGGTGTCTTGTCGATTATCGTTTCTTATCGTCTTGGGTAAAACGCCCTACACGCCGGAAAAAAGCGGCCTCGAGGACCCTGTCTAGACCGTGGTCACCTCGCTCTTTCGGTCTGTATGGCGATCTTACTCTGCAAGGTAGATCGGAACCATCTTAGATTCCGGACCATTAGTCTGTGTGGTCGCGATTTCTGTTTGCTGGATTTATTCCCTCAGGTAGTTCGGGTCTGAACTTCCATGCCTCGCCCCAGAAGACCCGGCGCGCCAGAGCCGAAGCGGAGATCACGTAAGGGCTGCTGGTGAGTCTTCCAGGTGCAGTCGACCATCGCCTGCAATTAACTAGTCTTAGGCCATGCAAAGCCCGAAAGGTGAAATGGTTTGTCTAACGTCCCTGGTTCTTCTTTTCTGCCACCAAGGGTATCCTGGGATGGAATCCATCATGCCCTTATCTCTCTTATCAACGAGGCTAATGTTTCTCATGCAGTGGTGAGGAGAAGCCGTCGTGTCTTAACTGCCGACGGCAAAATGAACCGTGTGACTATAGCATCAGGCTGAACTGGGGCGGGAGGACGCGGAGAACATCTTCAGTAGACTCCCCGAGCTCGCAGTCAAGTAGTCCATCGGGCCATTATTCTGCCTTCAGCCTGTCACCGTCGAATCCACCCCAACCCGATCCCCTGAGCCCAGCTCCGCGCTTTACGCCTTATCCCATCCGAGATGGAACAACGACACAGGATCGAATCGCAGGGGATTTGCTATGGGGTGCTGGACTTGCAGAGGAGATGGCAATAGGAACATCCACTTCCAGTCCTAAACGATTACATGATTTCCACCATGAATCTCCGACTGCCTTTGGCCAGTCTCTTAATGAAACCAACCGTACAAATGGCAAGACCTCTGTAGACATGGGGGCTCTGTCGCAAGGGCAAGATGCGACAACCCCATGGCCAGACCTGTCCTCCCAAATAGCGACGCCATCATCGAGCGAGACCCTGTTGGCCTTTCCCTCGTCCGTCTCCCACTCGTTGGACACTGTCTCCTACCCATCACCTGCGGATACGAATTCAAGCGTCGGCACTTTTGCGACTTTCAACTTCTCGCCTGCCACGATTTCAGGTCCCATTTCGTTCCTTCGACATACCTCGGATCTCCATCACTCCCCGCCCGAGTGCGGTCAAGTGCCCGATCATGGCACCGACTTCTCTAGCTACTCATCGTCTGCAGACATGATGAGCGTGTATGCAGACTTTAATTCTCATGTGTCGGCCCCTGCTCACGATGCTACATCCCCAAGCTCGGCGGAAGTAAGCTTGCTTTCGTCGGGGATGTCCCAGGAGGCCCCGGCGCTGCAGGCCGGTCCGACCGTCCATACGGAAAGCTTCTTCAGCAAGATCATGAACGGACCTTCAGCCTCGGACGACCAATCCGAAGGCTCCCAGTCGAGTGCCACATGCATGTTCGCCCATCCTGATTATGCGGCTCGAGACCTATCAGGATCGGTGGACGTGTCCATGTCGGAACGGAGGTGGCGGGCTTACCTGACCAGGGTCACGGACAATTACGGGTTGGATTGCGGCCGCCCAGATCTGGACCTGAACAAGAACGACGACCATTCCGCCATCGATATCAATTATGCTCTGGACCTGATCAACTCCGACAATAAATCTTCCGCCTCTACCCCGGAAGATTCGCATACGGGAAATACAAAGGACAGCATCGTTGACCGCAGCAAACACATCTACTATGCATCACCAGTACCAATCAATATTCCGCGGTATCTATCTCCATTGCCACCATCCCTGGTGAAAACTCCTATCAACCTGATGTATTTCCATCACTTTCTTAATCATACAGCCCGGATGTTGGTCCCACATGACTGCGAGGATAATCCATTTGTCTCGGTGCTACCGACCAGTAAGTGCCTTGTCATCTCCAATCCATCGCTGTTACTCTAAACTGACGAAAATAGTGGCCATCGGCGACTCCAATCTCTTAAATTTGATGCTAGCATATTCAGCTAGTCACCGGGCCCGGTATCTGGGCCATCCAGAGCCCGCCACGCGGATTGCGCATTGGGTGAGCAACGTATTTCCTGCTTTGCGTCTAGCGCTGGAGGATCCCCATGAGAAGGTGACCGACAGTCACCTTGCGACTGCGATTATGCTTCTTTCTTTGAAGATCATCTCTCCCACCACGTTCGAAGTGCCAATTCCATGGCAGAGCCATTTGAAGCTCGCTCGTGATCTGTTTCTGGCACGGAAAAAGCAAATGTCATTTCCTGGAAATCGTGTCGGCTCATTTCTCACGCGCTGGCTTGGGTATATCGATCTCATGGGCACGCTATCATGCCGACAGAGTGGGCCACCATTGCTAGCATATAATTCAGTCATGAGTGCCTGTTCTGATACTGGACTGTTTGACGAATACTGTGTGGATTGTTTCACTGGATTTACACCTAGGACCGGTGTATTCCTCACGCAACTGGGAATATTAACCCATCAATGCGACAACGAACGGTTTGACGAAGCGGGAGTCTTTGTCTCTGACTGGGAGCCGTCGCCGGACGCTGTTTTCGAGGCTGAGGCATTGATCGCAGATTTGGGTGACTTGGATACTCGTGCGTATGCAGATGCAGCGCACTTCCAAGATGTGGGCTCGACCAATTTTCTAGCCATTGATCGGGCGTTTCGCTATGCGGGACTATTGCATCTCCATCGTCGTGTGTTGAATGCATCGCCTTGTTCGCAGGCAGTCAAAGGGGCGACGAACGAGCTTCTCCGGGCAATGGTCGGCATCAGGCAGGGCGCATCCGCAGAGGTGGGAGCTCTGTTCCCGTTGTTCACTGCGGGCTGTGAGACTCGGGATCCCCAACAACGAGCCGAAATTCAAGAACGGTTTGAGATGCTCGAAAGAACGGGAATGAAACAGGTGAGTCTGGTAGCAGTACATACAGAAGCACGTCTGACCCGTTTTCGTAGATGCAAAATGCTCGCACGCTGATGCAGCGATGCTGGACCGAAGACTTGCCCTGGATCGCCTTGGCGCAAGGGGAATTCCTAGGGTAGTTCATATCTCGCTTGATTTCTCTGCTGCTGGGCCATAGGATGATTGATCCTTGGTTGCAGAAGGCATGCTTGGCTGACAGCTACCGCTCTATATATATGGGGAGAGCCGTTACAGGCAGTGGTAGGCCTGGACTGTCACTGAAGATACATGTTGTCAGGCTACTTTGCGAAGTTCCTGAATTAACCATTGAGGGCTTGAAGCGCTCATGCCCACGATACCAGATACTTCCATAAACAATGAATATCATAATGCTCATCGATCTTAGGTTCGTGGGCTAGCCCACAACATCTGCTGATCCTCGGGTAGATTGATCCGCGTGACGTCTGGGATATGGCAAAGTGCCTAATAATTCATGCTTGATCATTCAAATATGAGCATTATCCGTAGTGAGACAAACCTGGGATAAGTCCCCTTGTGGATAATCGCGCAAATGGCGCGCAGTGAAGACATGTGTACGAGCGGACCAAAACAGTTGTGACCGGTAACTACTAACGTTGGTGATTACCAGGCATGCTAGTGTTCCCACTGACTGTTTTGTAGCATGCTACGAGATGTTGTGGAAAGTTGGTAGTGTGCGCTTGACTTACCATAGTGGCTGGCATAAGGCAGTCACCTGGCGCATGCACCAAGAGCCTTCAACGTTGCCTTGTCAGTTACTAGTTCCAGGCAACACGCCCTGTGAGCAAGTGAAACAAACCTAAAGCAAACAACGCAAGTATTATCCACCTACCACGTGTTACATCTGATCGGGTTTGAAGAAACTGGCAACTCTCTATTCCCCCTTCAACCATCTAGTTGCGCCGATGATATCATCGTTCAATCACTTTGACTCAGACCTCTCTCCTGTCGTGCTTCTACTTGTCTAGGCAAAGGTCTCACTTCTTTCTGCTCCCTTCTTTCTGTTTGCACATCTCAGAGCCCCACGATGGAATCTGCCTCTGATCTCATCGCAAGACCTCTCCCTCCCATCAACAAATTAAACGGGACCAACCATCCCTCCGTCTCACGTGAAAGTATTTCAGCTCGCTTCCTCCACGAATGGGAGGGGTTTGAAACAGATGTCCGCCAGGCCTGCAATGAACTGGATTTAAGCCAGATGATACTTGCGACCGATGAATCTGAAGAATGGCGCACAGGCACTGAACTGGGCCTGACAGGTCGCTTTGCTAAGCACGTTGGTGATGCCGTCATGAAAGCCTTATCTGTCACCGATCTTTCAGATGTAAAATTTGGCGATTATCAGACTATCACCCCGCACGATCCGGACAATATACCTGATGTTATATTGCTAGAGCTGCCTGACACGGCTTTGCTTGTGGGTGAGATTGAAACGTTTTGGACTTTATCGCTTGAACGGCACCCTGTACGGCGAGGTTTCTCCACTCTAGTACCTTTGCAATCTCACTTCGGTAGGTTCTCATACACTTCAAACCAAGCTATAAGAGGGTTACTAACGCTCTATAGGCCAGCTAGTGTCTTACATGCGTTGCCAAGATTTAAAATATGGATTTCTTTCCACTTATAAGTCCACCGTTTTCATGAGGAGAGTTGCACCCTACCGATTCGAGATCTCCATGCCGATACTCGCGAGCTCCACCAACCCATCAGTTCGCCAATGCTTCGTAGCGATAGCGAAAATGGCTTCTCAAGACCCGGACTTTTTTGAGTCACCGGACTTTGCCCCCGAACTTGTAAGTTGCTCAGACACATAACCATTAACTGGAGGGGAAGCAATACCATGGGCCGTTCTAGTGGGCAGGATAATTACAGAAAGCCATTGTCCTTGATAGCACATCACGCTAATTCAACCTGCGATAGTTAAAAGTCTCGTCTCGTGATAGTTTCCAGGCGTCCACGCGGCCATCACCGCTCAGAAATCAAGTGGTTCCTAAGGAAGCAACCGGTGAAAAGATTGGATGCTCCTCGATATTCTTTGGAAGGGACGCTAGTGAGGCACAATCCTGGATTAACTGCAAACGGCTCCTCCATGGCTCCAAGCAGAAAGCCATCTACGAAGTTACCTGGAATGGTGAGCCCGCCGTGGCTAAATGTTGGTCGCCCTCGTACGAACAATTTTATGTGCACGAATCCATCACATATGAGAACATTCACGCTAAGAGGGAGCTGGGCTATGAATTCTTTCCCAAATTGCTGAACCACGGTGCCATAGCTTGCTCATCGATCTTCCCAAAGGGTTACGTCCTAGTCATGACCAAAGTACCAGGCAAAATTTTGGCTGACCTCTGGGATACGCTGTCCGGCTCCGACAAGGAGCATGTGCGTAAAGAAATACGCAAGGCCGTGGTGGTCCTTAGAAGCATTTCAGCCATTGTTGTCGATTCCGGCAAACACAACGTCCTCTTTGACCCAGCCACTCGGGCTGTGACGATGCTTGACTTTGAACTCATGCAAGCGTGCGAACCGGACACTCAAAGTCCAGACTGGCCAGAGATGCCTACGATATTCGGGGATTTGGCTCGTCCCGCCCGCGTGCGGCATGGTGGTTAGCTAGGTTGTCTTTATAGATAGATGGCCAGATTATCTTGCTGATTAAGAAGTGAACTTTACTCCTCGATGAATATCACTACTTTCGTCACCATGGTAGTCCATTTAATCAGACTCATAGCTACTACCCCTTGCGTGGGCTCACGGCGATCTCTCCCCCACGGAACCTTGCACGGGGAGAGATAGCTGACTCACAGTCAATAACTAGTCCTTGCTTGATCCTCTACAGGGTTCCACCCCCCGCGCGGGGAATAAACCAAACATTTGGCTTTGACTAACTTTTAGTCCACTGCCCTCGAGCTCGCGCCCCCAGATGGGCCGCTCTGATTGGTACCGCTCTGGATCCGTCAACGCTGATCACTTTCTGTCTCCCCGCGTATTAACCCTCCGCATCTTTCGCGAAGGCCATCGTCATCCAGTCACCGGGCGACAACCACAATGTGATTACCAATACCGGAGATCCCACCTTTAAATGACCCTCTTCCCTGCTTCCTGGCGTCCTGTGATTTTGGTCCCTCATCGACCACACAGACAAGCTCAACATGGCACAGGTGGTTGACGAGAAACCAGTGAAGAACGATGCCTCTAGGGGTTTCGATGCCGAAAAAGCCACTTCACTTCATGGCATTCCGCGTGAGTCACAGCTGGAGTTCATCGAAGATCCGGACGAAGGCCTGAGTGGGGAGGAAAAGGCGAAGATCGTGAGCCATCTACCCTGGTCGCATCGATCTCGAACAGGGATAATGAGGCGGCTAATGCAACAGCCAGGATCGTGCCTTAGTGTGGAAACTTGATCTGCGACTCATTCCGTGGCTCAGTCTGCTCTATCTCGTTTCCTTCTTGGATAGGTATGCTCTCGATCCAACAACTAGAATGCGGCATTAACAATTCCTTTTGCAGAACCAATGTCGGCAACGCAAAGCTCGCGGGCCTCCAGCAGGATCTCCACATGACCAACTCGCAATATAATGCCGCACTGACCATTTTCTTCGTTTCGTATTCCGTCTTCGAACCGATGACCAACGTGCTTCTCAAGCGCATGCGGCCCAGTGTGTTTATCCCCATAATAATGGCATCATGGGTACGGTTATACCTGGGATGACCCAACTTAGCGCTGACGGTATCTTGCATAGGGCATTTGCATGACATGTATGGGTCTTGTGCATAATTTCTCTGGGCTTATGGCGGTAAGGTCCGCTTCTTGCAGGCAAATGCATCGTTCTCATGTGTCTAATCACAAGTTGTAGGTACGATGGTTCCTAGGCCTGGCTGAAGCAGGACTCTTTCCTGGTGTCGGATACTTCCTTTCCTGTTGGTATAAGCGATCTGAATTCGGCGTCCGCATGGCCATCTTCTTTTCGGCCGCTGCTCTTGCAGGGTCTTTCGGCGGATTGCTCGCGGCTGCGATCGCCCTGATGGACGGTGTGGGAGGCAAGGCGGGCTGGTCCTGGATCTTCATCCTCGAGGGGCTGGCTACGATCATCATCGGTGTACTGTCTTTCTGGATGGTCTACGATTTCCCGGACGAGGCCACATTCCTGTCCGAGGCGGATCGCAAGCGCGTCCTACGGCGTTTGGTGGCTGACAAGCAGGCCAGTTCCGGGCACGAGAAGTTCCAAATGGCGTATTTCTGGAGCAGTCTGAAGGACTGGAAGACCTACACCGGGGCCATCATCTATATGGGTGCAGACGGGGCATTGTACGCCTTTTCTCTGTTTACACCCACAATCATCAATGAACTAGTAGGTTATTGCCGCAAGGCCAGCATATGCAGCTACTAACGCTACCTAGGGTATGTCTTGCAGGCGCCACCGCTGATCGATCTAACACGATGCAGGTTACACGGCGATCCAGGCGCAACTGCTCAGCGTCCCACCCTATGCAGCAGCAGCCATTGTAACCGTGGCGGTTGGTTTTATCGCGGACCGGACCCGCCAGCGTGGCATCTGCAATATTATCGTGTCTCTCGTGGGTATTGCTGGGTTCTCCTTGCTTCTGGGAGCCAAGTCAGCGGGAGCGCGATATGCCGGGACGTTCCTGGGTGCGATGGGCATCTACCCTGCGATAGCCAACACGATCTCCTGGGCCAGTAACAATACAGAGGGTATGCATTCTTTTCCCCTTGACACAGCATAACTGACTGTTCAACAGGCGTGTACAAGCGCGGTGTCACACTGGGCATTGTGATCGGCTGGGGTAACTTGAACGGGATCGTATCGTCGAACATCTACCGTGGCAACGATGCGCCTCAGTTCTATCCAGGTCACGGCACCGTGCTGGCGTATCTGGTGGTGTTCCTGCTCGGAGGCTCGGTGGTGCAATACCTTCTGCTCCGACGGGAGAACGCGAAGCGGCGACGGGGAGAGCGCGACCACTGGGTGAGGGGGCTCGAGGCGAGCGAGATCGCAGTGCTTGGGGACAAGCGGCCTGATTTTATGTACACGCTGTGATACTTCCACTCCACAAGAGTATCCATCTTCTAGCCCATCTTCAACCCTATCCCACCAGAAACCCTAATCCCAATCCCAATCCCCACCCTCCTAGATATCTAACCCAATCTATTCCCACATATACACCCTACACCGAATAATAATTCACAATATCCTGATCCTTCTTCGGCCCCTTCACCACATGCCGACTCGCCCAACTCACCACCTCCCCATCTCCCTCCCGAACCCGAAACGCATACGCCGTGCGATACATATCATTAATACACAAATGATTCCCCTTCGCCGTCACCACCACCGTGCCCTCCCCCTCCTCCTCTCCCTTTCCTGCTGGCGGTGGCACCGGCGCACTCACAAACTCCTCCCCCGTACCCGTACCCGTATCCGCATCCCCAATCCCCAACCCCCCCAATGACGACGATGATGAATGTGCACTCTGTATAAACTCCATCCCATGAAACAAATAATCCGCTACCTCCGGCTCCGCAACCTTGACAAACCACACGCTCAGTTCATTCCCGGGGATAGTTAACCGCCAAATGTACGACTTCTTCCATTGCAGGTTTTGGCCTAGGGTTGTGGGGAGTGTGCCGGTTTCGGTGTAGAGGATTTGGTTCCAGTGCTCGTTGTTGTTGTTTGGGTCGGTTGAGGGGGGTGGTTGTTGGGTGGAGGAGGGGCTGGAGGAGGAGGGTGTGGTGGAAGGGAGAAGAGTAAAAGATGCGGTGCCGTGGAGGGGTCCTTGGATGTCATGCGGGTTGGCGCTTTTGAGGACTCGGAGGAGGGTCCAGGGGTGGCGGGTGAGGGAGGTGAAGAGGGTGGGGATGTTGAGCATTGTTGTTGTGGTGATGGTGGGGGTGGTCATTGTTGCATTTCTGGTGGTCTGTGAGGGTGGGAGAGAGGGTGGGTTGTGGTGGAAGAGTGGTGGTGAGTGAGGTGGAGGGGATGAAGGAGATGGAGATGGGAGGGGAGGAAAGGTGGAGCCGCGCTCGGAGGGTCGGGGCGGTGGATCGAACCGACCCACTGGATGGGTTAGCGGGACTTCTTTATTCTTGCAACTATCCCGCTATCAGTTTTCTTTCTTGAGGGCTTTTGGAGTTGACGATCTTGCTTCCATTAGAATGGTGTTCTTCAGCTAAATAATACTGATGATGCAAGATTAATCTATAGTTCTGCTTTGCTTCAGTCAGAGCATGGATGAGCTTGCAGCAGTTCCACACTTCGTCACCCATTGCAGTGCAACGATCTAGTCGTGACGAATTTTTAGAAATTGACACGTATATTTCATAGGCTATGAGGCTTGAAAGCACTACTATATCTACCTCTTTTTTCCAGATCTCTAGATGTTCACTGCTGACCTTTACTCTCTACAAATAACAGGGTATTCCCCACTCTGCTTCAATAAATAGTTGTTCAAGCAAACCCTACTAAACCAATCACCCACTCAAGAACCAGTATAATAACAAATTCCAATTCAAACTGCATTACACTATAACAAAAAGACAAATTGAAACACCCAGACCCTGCTGGAAATCAAAGATACAAAATGGCTTGCCTCAAGCAGCCTTCCACATCCATCCCCAGCATTTTCACTTAACACATTCACTTCTCCAGAATTCTGACTCCTCAATTCAGTTGTGCTTAGGGGGATCCTGGGGCTTGTCGTCTTTGGGAGCAGGTGCCTTCTGGTGAGGCTTCGGCTGGGGCTTGGGCGAGTCGTCAGGCTTGGGGCCATTCTTGGGAGGACCGTCCTTGTGAGGTTGAGGCTTGGGGTCGTTCTTGGGCGGCTTGGGTCCGTCACGCTTGTGAGGACCGTCGTCATGAGGCTTGGGGTCCTTAGGAGCCGGAGCGTCCTTGTGAGGCTGAGGCTTGGGTCCGTCGCGCTTATGATGACCATTGTAGTGTGGCTTGGGGTCCTTCGGAGCAGGGTCCTCAGGCTTGGGCTTGGCCGAATCGTGAGGCTTAGGGTCGTTCTTCTTAGGCTTCGGTGCATTGTCAGGCTTGTGACCGTCCTCGTCAGGCTTCGGCCCGTCATCCCGCCTGTGAGGACCGTTGTCGTCGGGCTTGGGAGCAGGAGCATCAGGGGGAGAACCGGGGTGGGGATGAATCTGGAGGTCCGTAGGACCTAAAAGTGAGTCAGCTTCGGTTGTTGATCGAGTTGGATCGTACACATCACATACGAGGAGCAGGAGGAGCCGCAGCAACCAGGCCAGCGACCATCAAGGTCGAAAGAACGGAGGAAAGCTTCATTTTAAGGGAGATTGAAGGAAGTGTTGGAGAGGTCAGGAAGATTGAAGATGTTTTTGATGTTGCTGATGGGTTGATAGCTGGTCGTTGAGGTCCCTTTTATACCTTTCTGACTGGCAAATTCTGATCCATCGACCAGTCCAGGCATAGATCACGACAGACAACAATGCCTTCGGCATTTTCATCCGATGTCCTTGTCGACGCGCTAAACCTTGCTATAGTGAACCACGGGACTGGTGTATCAACCTCCCGCGTTTCAACCTCGTATCAAGTTCTCATCCAACATGATGTTCAACTGGCATGGACGATCTCGGAGCACAAACCAGGGAAACACAAACTTTGGGAATGGTCCGATCTGTAACGACCGGCTAGTTTCATCTCCATGAGACTACTTCAGGGTACAAAATTCTTGGGGAAGGCAACCGGCCCTGAAAATTGGGTACTGAGCAATAGGACCCCGATGCTTATTGGCTGTGGGAGGTTTGCACATCCTAAATTCCTCGGGCCGGCCGCTGATCGCCCCAGAAGCTTAGCGTATTAGGGGTCGATCATTGGCAACCTGGCGAGATGCACGCTGAACATCTTTCCAGGTAAGATACCTGGCAAGTCTGAATCTTGAAGAAGCTGTTTATGCAGGTGAGTTACTCCGTACAATGCTTGCATCACACATATCTAGAACAAGGCCAAACTTTCGCGTCCCCACATATTCAAGACGTGAACCATACCGAGCCTGAAGGGTTTGTTTGATCCGCTTTTGATCCGTGGACTCTTGAGTTTCTGCACCCGCTGATCCCCAAGTTGATGACACCAATCTGGTAATCGTCCCCGACTTTCGAATCACCTTGCCTTCTTCCAGAAAGTACAGGTTTCTCTTTCCGCTTACTAAAGCAGCTGAAACTTCCCAATGCAGACCACCCTAAGTCAAAATGGATCGTATGTCTGGGCATGTCCCCAAGCTGGGAATGTCCGTGTCCCGGGACCCCGTTTTATATCTGGTCTGTGCGAAGGTACAGAGCTATGATAATTTTATATGGAGGTATCTAATATCTCTCCCTAACGAAGAATAATTCTCTATATTCACTAACACAAGCAGCTGATATGATGTACTAGCTTGCATCCACACCTTATTTTCCTATAGTGCAAAATAAGCTCAATGTCCGAACCCGAGACATAAAAAAAGAAACCAAGCTCCAGGCCCTGACACAAACTGAAAAAGTTAAACCCAACTCCCGGCAAAATCTTTCTCCCCAATCACACAATAACTTGTCTATGAATGGCCAGGCCCTATCCCAACAGCCCAGAACCAAGCTTCTCAATAGCAAGGATTTACTGATCGTCGCTCTCGTGCCGTGCCCGACCGACCCGGGAGTAGAAATCGAACTTGGCTTTAACTAGTGATGTCTAAAGCGCTTACTCGGGAATGTCCCATACCCAATCAGATTGACTTAGGGAAACGAAGGAAATAGAGAGCGGGAAACGAATGGCATGGAGTATAATGGTGATACCCGAGTGGTTTGGTTGAGTTAGAAATGAAGCGCATTGTAATACTGGGATTGAACCTATTTTCTGGGATGTTTTCATTCGACTCTTGCGCGTCATATCGTGGTTTAATGGTCTCATATAGGAATGACGTATCCTGCGTACTGGACGCGGGAAATACCATTTTCAGGATCTCAGTCGGCTCGAGAGAGGTTCTTTGTCGTGCCATGGTTATCATGCTGGGCAACGATTACATATCAGTTGCGCGAAGAGGCATCCTAGATCCAGTCCCATTGATTATCTACTGGAGACCAAAGAAGGCAGGTGCTGTCGGAGTCAAAGGTGTTGGGTAAAATAAGCTTGATCTTTAGACACATCTGTACCGCAAGGTCATATGTACTATACTACTTGGTGAGGTGAGGGCAGCACCGTTTGGAGATCATTCAGATCAGGTTTACTCCATCTCACGGAGGATAGATCTCCCAATCCTCTGTTTCTTTTCTCTTACTCTACATCAATCTCTCTTCATAAACATCTCCAACTTAGTACTGTCCAAGGAATCAACCCCCCAGAACGTAGCATTTCCCAAGATGGAAGGTTGCCCCTCAGGACTCCGGAGCGGCCCGGACGCCCTTCTGCTTCTGCTCCTTCCGATGGTTGGGTTTGTTTGTATTCTCCTCTACAGTATTGAGTCCCATCTCTTTCTGCTCCTTCAGGAGCGTCGACAGAGAGAGGCCATTCACCGGGCGGGACCGATGGCTGCTCGTGCTCCCCCCAGTCTCCCTCACGTCTCCAGTCTTATGGACAGCGGGCTGGATGACATCAAAGTCCCCAGTTTACAGCCCCTGTCACCCACCAAGGGCCCCTCGCCCGCCCTTCCCAGCATCAAGAAGACCCAGGTGGCAGGGACGGTGACTAGCATGCTCATGGATCAGGGCGTGGACAACCTGCCCATCCCCGTATTGGAACCACAGCGAGTGAGTACTCGTTTCAGTGCCCCCCCTACTACCACTCAGGTTGAATGTCCGAGGTTAACCCGCCGCGTGCAATTTAAGAACCAACCTTTTGAGAACATGAATACTCCTCAACCGGTGCCCTGGGACGGGAAGGTCAGATGGGCCTTGAGAGGCTGCAGTGTCTTTGATAACCCTGACGACGAGATGGAAGCGTTGCTGTACCGCCCAAACATAGTCGCTAAAGAGTCCCCGGTAGAGCTTTGGGTGTTTCAGTATGGCCTACGCTATATCCCCGCCAAGCACGAACGGGATGTGTATCGGGCTATCACCATTGAGAAACTGCCGTCGGACGTGACCATGAAGCAAATCTTGCCTCTTATCGACGGCGAAATCTACTCAGCTCATCTCCTTGATACCGTGCCCATTACTGGATATAGCACCGCGCTCGTGACGTTTGTGAGCCAGACGGATACCCTTCGCTTTTTACAGTCCTCAGGAGGCAAGCTCACGGTGGGGGCGGCACAGGCCAAAGTCACTCTGGTTCCGACTCCTACTTATCCCATGAGCGCGGGGATGGCACGGCTGGTCCGGGACGGGGGCAATACACGATGCATCTGTGTTTCGGGTCTTCGAGAGACTTTGAAGGGGGAACTCCACCGTGTCTTGGGCAAATCGCCCTACATCAATTATCTCGAGTGTATGGAAGACGGAGGGGTAGCAGGCGAGGTGAACATTCAGTTCCATTCGATTAAGATGGCGATTGCAGCACATGCGATGCTAAAGTGTCATCCCAACTTTTCGGGCTGTAAGTTCCGGTTTCTGGAGGGGGTGAGACCGACGGCGCAGCGGCCTTGTATTGGGATCTGGGATTGAATATCCGGCAATCTCCGTCTCTCCATGATCACGGCTTCTAGCTAGTTACCTACTTGTACCTTTTCTTTAAAATGCTCACTGCTGGATTAAACAGTCAGGTGATTATCCAGCCATTCGACTTTTCCCAGATCTGACGTACTCATGGTGCATACACTATAGACAGTCCCCGCAAAGACCTAACAATATCGACCTGGTCATTCAAACAATCGTTGCATTTGTATGGGGTCATTATCAGAAACTGAATGGCAGTCTTCAAGTCTAATTCGTAATCAGGACTTAAATAGTTATCATATTTGTATCCGTACTATTGTGAATATATCTCTCCCCTCTAGAACCGAAAAGATGTCTTCTATTTTGAGTGTATTGTCAAAAGTAGTGGAAGTTGCATAGTTAGGAGAGTATTACAAAGGGCATAGTAGTTCTAACGAATGAAATAGTCCACTATGTGTGTAGAAAATACGTGGCGAAAGAACCTCATCTCGGTGTGTCGGTACCTTATCCCCCTCTGGGAAGATGAAACACAGAACCTTGTATTGTTTGAACCCGGGCTAATCTTCAAATCTGATACAAGAGTGGAAGGGTTTGTGTGATGGTGATGGGATTAAAGAGAGTTCTATAAATCGTTTGAGATATTGATGATAGGTTGGTATGGTCGTGCTACTACTTGTCACAGTAGAAGGTAGGTAGAGGGGCCACCTCTGCTTTAGGTGGAACAGATACTACTTGGTGTAGTAATCCAGGATGTTACTGGGAGGGGATCATAATACTATCCTGTGCTGGATTCCGGATGCGAGCGAGCAGAGATTATAAGAATTTTCTGTACGACCTGCTATTCAGGTTTCGATGGATGGATTGATAAAGGTGCAGAGTTATGGTGTAGTATGGATGGCTTCTCATGGATTACAGCACTGCATACATGCAATAATTGTAGTAAATTGTGGGACAATACAGTTTGGCTGGGGCGGATATATTTTGACGGTCTTGGGTTTGGTGGAAGATGCCGCAGGCCAGGTACTGACTGTTCTTGAAATCATCCATTTAGTATGGTTGAATCCATGGGATCAGTTAATCACGTAGAACGCCTACGACGGCAGGGATGAGATCAAGAGCGAGGAATGCTGAAGCCATTGAGTTTAAAACAAGCTGAAGCTCCTGTTCAGTATGTCCGGTGAGGCAACCCAGCTCACACGCGATGGAGGCGCCGGTTGGCGTGCGCGAAGAACCCCGCATGCCGCCGTCGTCAATCCCCGTTCCAGGAACCATCCTTATCAATCTAACATTCATCACAAAACCCGAGCCATGCCGACACAGCACGTTTATCTCGACCATTTGCTTCTCCAATTCAGCGGAGAGGAGTTTGAATCTCCTTCCACGTGGCTAACGGATCACTTTACCATCATCAATGGTGGCACTCACGCCGGTAAGTCGTTCGTGTCTGTCACTACCCTGTCTACACGAATACCAATGACCTGCAGGAGGCTTGAGCCGCAACCAGTTGATCATCTTCCCCGATGGAACCTACCTGGAGCTCCTAAACTGGATCAAAAAGCCGGAGGACTGGAGAGACCGACCGGGTGATTTCGCGCTTACTTCTTTGGCGCCTGTCTCGGCCGAAGACAACCATGACCGGATAGTCAAAGCGCTGGATACGATATCTGAAGGCAGTCTAGGTGTGACGTACTCACAGCCGATTGATGGAGGCCGCCAAACACCCAGTGGTGATAATATCCGTTGGAAGATACTGAAGGCACTCTACCCCGATGCGGAGTCAACTACGCCAGGAGAGTTCCATCCTCGAGGCCGCACGGATGCTCCCTTCTTCTGTCACGATGTCACCGACAGAGTCCTTCGCGTACCGTATAACCTGCCATCTGCCGTTCAACACCCGTCAGGAGCGACCGGAATAGCGGGTGTTGAGGTGCTCGTGCCTAAAGATAAGCTGCAATCCTACATAACCCTTTATACCTGCATCGTGGGAGCATCTCCACGCTTGTCCGAGGGTGGCCAAGCGGAGTTTGAGCTCAATGCACCGGGCGGCCTAGATGTGTCAGGAGTCATTCGCATTCGGGCTGCCACATCGGAGAATGACGAGCGGTTCCTGCGGGAGAAAGGGATTGGTCTTTCATCTCTGATCATCCGATCGAGCGCCGGAGATTTTCTGTTTCCTGTATCCGACTATCTGCATTGACTCGTGCTGAGTGACTAACTATGCAGGATGGAGATTTCGATCTGCCAAAGAGAGTTAGAACAGCTATAATAGAAATCAACTTGCTGTCCGGACCCCATCCGCTGTACGGAGAGTTCTATTCCTTAGTCTAATTCCTCTTGTGAGTGTCAGCAGGAACCATGATTCTGGAAAGTAGCACCATCCCAGATGTCTGCTTCACATGAACAGTCGGCATAAACGAGCAAGGATTTGTCACTGCTGAACTCTCCGTCCGGTATCGTCTTTTTATAGCTCGCAGGCGGAACATGCTAAAACCACCCTTGCTTATCATCCCCTTGATATCTCCTCTGGCTTGCTGAACCTCTGCCGTGGTACTTCCTGCTCCAAGTAATTTGTGCCGCTCACCGCTTCATGAACGCGCGCTGCTCAACTGCTCGAGACCTGCCATTGAGGGCAACTTAGAATGGTACAGGGATCAGACAAAGGACCGGACAGGTCCGTGTGGCGTCATCGAACATTCCTGCCCCTGCCCCTGGAATGACCGATCAACCGGGGATACGGATCGGATCCCTTTTAGATCGATCCGTGGATCGTTATCGGTTCCAACCCAAAACTGGAATGTGTCAACTGGAGATTAGCATAGATAACGGGCAGCGAGGACTGTGAAGAGTTCATCCAGGCCAGAGTTGAGGAGTAACTGGCTGAGCACCTCCGGATCCACCCCCGCAACATCGCTCAATGCGATGGTATCAGAGCACCGTTGCATTGTACCTTTGGCCCTGGCGGAGTGGACCCCGGCGTCCCAGATTATTGGGAATAGTGTGCTGCAGCCCACCCACAGGTCACTCTGACAGGGCAACAGCCACGGATCCGGGCGACGCATGCGGCGAGGGTCAAACCAAGGGTGACTGCACTTACTGGAGCCCGACAAGGGCAATGGCGGTGGATCGGGGGTGCAGGGTGAGATTTGAGGGTGGAAGACGATGATGGTGGTGATGGTGGAGGAGGAGGATGACGACGGGAGGGGAGCCAAAGGCGTTCAGGGTCCAGACTTGCGTGGCCGTGATTAAAATAACCGGCGACTACACCGGGAGGGGAATAGTTGTTGGGTCCGCCTGCTTCGGCGCAAATGAATTTTCGACGCAAATTCGACGCTACTGTGGGAACTAATCTCAAGGCAGTAAGCATCGGCCGCCCGCCAGTCGCCCGGCCGCAACCGGCCAAGCCATCCTCTCCTTTCATCTTCTGACCTGACCTTATCCCGTCCTCCTTTCCTTTCCTCGCCAACCACCGTCGCCGTTGAGGGCTCCGTTCGCCCTCCTCCCGATCCATCGCCCGTCCGTCTCTTCGTCACTCGTTCGACTTATTCCGCCCACGCCTACCACTCTCCCTCCCTCCCTCACCACCACCACCACCACCACCGTCGCCGCCGCCCCGACAAATATATCTCTCCCCGCCGCACTCATCTTCGATTAGATCACCGTCATACCATGGTGGGCTCTCCTCAGTGAGCGACTCTCCCCCCCCCCGACGGTCCCCACCGCCTTCCTTCAGCCTCAAGAGTCGTCGTCATGGCACGTTGGCCCAGCCATGTTGCCAGGTCGACCTCGCGATCCGTGTCCTCCATGGTCTTCTATCTCTCTTTGATGTCCCTCGTTCTTTCCACCGTCGCTCGCGCTCACAGTGTCGCCCTCCTACCATCCGCGGCTTCGTCCTCGTTTCCCTCGTGTGGCTTGACCTGCTCCGTCCTAAAGGAGGCCCAGGACCACTGCCTGCCACCCGTCGCCCCCGAGACCGATTCTGCGACCTACCTCTCGTGTTTTTGCCAGTCGAACCTGCTCACCCAAATTCATTCCCCGACCGGTGTCTGCACGGAGAGTTGCACCAGCGCGTCCGACCGTTCGTTAATACGGACATGGTATGACGAACTCTGCTCGTCCGAGAGCACCCTCTCGGAGCGAGACATGTCCGCATCCATTTTCCCGAGGGATTCGCGCTCCCAGGCCTGGTAGGTAGCCACCGGTGACCACCTAGACGGCTTCACATATTGACATGCTCAGGTGGACGACGCACTACCAGTGGGTGATCATGATCATCGTCCTTGTGGTCGCATTTTCCGTCATCACCGTCGTGGGCATCTGGCTTAAACGCCGCCACGATCGGAAATACCCGGGTCTCTACCATGCCGCCGGAACTGCTGGGACGGACAGCGCACTGTTGGCAGCCCGTCAGCAGGACGCTAGTCCCTCCCCTGGACCGGGGCCTCCCGCGCAGGGCGCGTTCAGGCCTGGTCGGTACGATACTGCGACCAACTCCGAGTCCATCGCCAGCAGTTCCCGCACGAATGTCGCGGCGCCCACGACCCGACCCGGCCGGACGCCATCGCGTTTACAAAAGACTCAGCCCGTCCCGGAAGGCGATATCGAAATTCGCGAAGTTGCCCGATGATCTCGTGCATGATAACGTTTCTTTCTTTTTGTCGAGATTCAATCCTTTTACCAAAGCGCGACGACTGGCAGTGTTTCTACCGTTGACCAACCGATAATGTCCGGGTAGGGTCAGTCGGGAAACAAATGCGCCCCGCGCAACAATCTTGCATATACCTGGCGTTCACGTGTCTGTGGGGTTATTGAAAATCTCACGTACAGTTCCCGTCCGATTCCGTACAAAGTCCTTTCTTCTATTTCTTCGACACTCTATGTGCCTTTGCCTGCTCCGAATGACTGTGCATAACTATGGTTCAGGTTTCTATTTGGCTATGTTTACCACTGACTTTTGATCGAATATACTCATTTTCCTTCGTCCTATACTATATTCCAGCATGACCAGGATGGAATATATATGATGACTATTCTGGTTGGACGCCAAGATAGGTTACACAGGATGTAGGTAGAACCGTCCGTAACCACCTCTCAATCAAACATGTGTACTATATCGTACTATCAAAACAATCCAGTAATTTACAGACAAAAACCGGATGAGTAAGATAAATAACTATGAACCGCTGAACCTGATATCCAAGAAACCAAACCAAACAAACACACAACCCACCAACCCCTCAAGCCACCGTAATACTCACAATCTTAATATCCTGCTCGGGCTTCTCCTTATGCGTCTTAGTATTCTCAATCTTATGCACAACATCCAATCCCTGCACCGCACGCCCAAACACCGTATGTTTCCCATCCAACCACGGCGTCTTCTCCGTGGTAATAAAGAACTGACTTCCATTGGTATTCGGTCCCGCGTTGGCCATGGACAACGTATACGGTTTATCGTGCTTCAGAGTAGAGAATTCGTCCTCGAATTCACCGCCCCAGATGGATTCGCCGCCGGTGCCGTCGCCGAGGGGGTCACCGCCTTGGATCATGAATTTGCGGATGACGCGGTGGAAGATGGTGTTGTTGTAGTAGCCGGCGCGGGCGTGGGTGGTGAAGTTCTCGACGGCTTTGGGGGCCGCGGAGGGGTAGAGGCGGAGGTGGATGTCGCCCATGGTGGTGTGGAGGATGGCGGAGGTGCCGAGGTCGGCAGGTTTTTGGGCGGTGGAGTCGCGACCGGAGGCGGATTCGCGGGGACGTTCGTTTTGGATGTCGCGGGTGGATTTGGAGATGTCGGTGGTGTTGGTGAAGAGGTAGAAGCGGACTTTGGCGAAGCCGGTGCTGATGAGGATGGGGTCGCGTTCTTCGGCTTCTTGGAGGAGGGGATTGGAACTGGCGGCCATGGAGACGGTCATAATGCCCTTCTTTTGGGGTTGGCCTTGGTACATGGCTAGGTTGAGGGCGCGGAAGGGTTCCTCTTTGGCGTAGACGCGGACGACGCGGTTGGTGTAGGTGTTGAGGCATTTGACGCCGTGGAGGGAGCCGTAGAGGATGAAGTGTCCGGATTCGTCGAAGAGGACGTTGATTTTGGGCTTGGTGAAGGGGTTTTCGAGTTCGCGTTCGACGGCGAGGCGGCGACCGAATTCGAGCTCGTCGAGTTGGTAGATGGCAGTGCCGGCTTGTTGCATGTCGGTGATGGTGGTGAGCGATTCGTCGTATTTGCGGTAGAGCTTGCCTGTGGCGAAGTCGAAGACACGGACTTGACGGTCTGGGAAGGAGACGGCGGCGAATTGTTGGCCGGACGGGGAGATGGATAATGATGCCGGGACTGACTTGGCCTTGCGGAACTCGAAGAGGTTGGTGGAGGATTTGAGCTCGAAGACGTTGTCGGGCTTCTCGAAGGAGCCATCGCCCGCGCGCCAGTACTCGATCATGCCGGCCTCGTCGGCGGAGATGACGCAGTCGTAGGCGTCGTTGAAGGCGATGGCGGCCACGGGGCTGCGATGGATCGACTTGACGGTGTGTAATGGGGTTGGGTTCTCACCACGGCCGTCGAAGACTTGGATCATGCTGCTTTCTTCGTCGGTCACGGCCAGGAGAGGTAACGAGGCGCCGCGGCGATGGACCCAGCATACACAACGGGGGTTGAAGTCGAGGGTAAGCATGGCGAGGAGGTCTGTCAGGAGTTAGTTTGAGAGATGCATAGAGAAGATATGGGAGCTATACCGAAAGTGATAACATCAAAGATCTTGACTGTTTTGTCTGCTCCGGTCGTCGCAAAGCTTCTTCCATCGGCGCTGACGCTGACGCTCTTGATCTCCGCCGTGTGGGCGCGGAACTCCTTCACGAACTCGACCCCCACTGCCATCTTCTTCCAGAACTTAACAAAGCCATCTATGGATGAGGTGATGAGGAAATCGGTATGCGGAGTTACGGTGACGAAGGACAATTGGTCCTTGTGCATGAGGGACTTGGAGTACCGCGGCGAGGCAGGCAGCGCATTCACGTAGACCTTCTCGAAGGGGAGCTTGCGACGCTTCTTTTTCGGTGCGTCAGCGGAGGGAAGAGCCGGACCAAAGTCATCGTCGGACGAGGAATCGTCGCCTATGAGAGCGAGTTAGTAGCTATTCAGGACGCATGCGAGCTCATGGGTGGTGGCAGGAGCTGTCCGACGACATCGGACGTACCATTCTCTTCGCTACCATCCACGGCGGAATGGGGGCGCTTGTTTGACGCCAGCTTCTGTTCCTCCTCGGCAGGCATGTTGGACAATAGGTGACAATGCTTCAATTGCAACAGGGCGAGCAGTAACCAGCGCTGGAGGAAGCGCCAGAGAAAGGGCGGCGGGCGGTCTGCGGGCGCTGCTGGAGCTCGGGCCACATCGCGAACTTTTCTGGTTGTCCCGCATTGGTCGACTCGCCGTTCTCTCAGTCCTCACCGTCCAGGAGTCCCCCCTGAGCTGCCAGTCTTTCCCCCCGACGGTAGCCCATTCTTCCAACCACTCATAGTCACCATGGTATGTCGTCTCCGATGCTGCCTCCTCCTCATGTTGCTCCTTTCTCAAATACTGACCGCCCCTCAAGGCGTCCTTCGCCAATCCCACGCAGATCTTTGCGGAAGATGTCATCGAAGAGAAGGGTGAGAATGCTCGTCTGTCCGCCTTCGTCGGTGCTATCGCCGTCGGTGACCTCGTGAAGAGCACCCTTGGTCCCAAGGGAATGGACAAGATCCTCCAGTCAGCGTACGTGGGATGAACATATTTGGCTAAGCGGGGTTGCCATCCTGAGCACCGCACTGATGACACGGATGTTCTAGGTCGACCGGAGACATCCTCGTTACGAATGACGGTGCTACGATCCTGAAATCTATCGCTCTCGATAACGCCGCGGCTAAGGTCTTGGTCAACATCTCCAAGGTCCAGGATGACGAAGTCGGTGACGGTACCACCTCCGTCACTGTGTTGGCGGCGGAGTTGCTGCGGGAGGCCGAGAAGTTGGTGAACCGCAAGATCCACCCTCAGACCATCATCGAAGGTTACCGGATAGCTAGCAAGGCCGCTCTGGAGGCCCTCGAGAAGGCCGCTGTCGACCGTAGTGCCGACATGGAGTCGTTCCGCAAAGACCTCCACTCCATCGCTCGTACAACCCTCAGCTCGAAGGTCCTGGCCCAGGACCGTGACCAGTTCGCCACCCTCGCCTGTGACGCTGTTCTCCGTCTCCGCGGCTCGACCGACCTGAGCCACATCCAGATCATCAAGAAGGCCGGTGGCAAGCTCAGCGACTCCTACCTCGATGAGGGTTTCATCCTTGACAAGAAGATCGGTGTGAACCAGCCCAAGCGCTTGGAGAACGTCAAGATTCTGGTTGCCAACACTGCCATGGACACGGACAAGGTGAAGATCTTCGGTGCACGGGTCAAGGTCGAGTCGACCGGCAAGCTTGCGGAGCTTGAGAAGGCGGAGCGCGAGAAGATGAAGGCCAAGGTCGAGCGGATCAAGTCTCACGGCATCAACTGCTTCGTCAACCGTCAGCTGATCTACAACTGGCCCGAGCAGCTGTTCACGGAGGCCGGTATCATGTCCATCGAGCACGCCGACTTCGACGGTGTCGAGCGTTTGGCCCTGGTCACCGGTGGTGAGATCGCCTCGACGTTTGATCACCCCGATCAGGTTAAGCTGGGTCACTGCGATGTCATCGAGGAGGTCATCATCGGTGAGGATACCCTCATCAAGTTCTCGGGCGTGGCTGCCGGTCAGGCATGCACCATCGTTCTCCGTGGTGCCACGGAGCAGCTGCTCGATGAAGCCGAGCGCTCTCTCCACGACGCCCTGGCTGTCCTGTCTCAGACCGTCAAGGACCCCCGGGTCACCCTGGGTGGTGGCTGTGCCGAGATGGTCATGTCCAAGGCCGTTGAGCAGGCCGCACAGAACACGACCGGCAAGAAGCAGCTGGCCGTGGATGCGTTTGCGTACGCTCTGAAGCAGCTCCCTACCATTCTGGCCGACAATGCTGGTCTGGACTCCAGCGATCTGGTTACGCGTCTACGACAGGCGATCAACAACGGCATGACCAGCTCCGGACTGGACCTGCTCACCCCTGGCGGTGGCATTGCTGACATGCGCGAGTTGGGCGTTGTGGAGAGCTACAAGCTGAAGAAGGCGGTGGTGTCTTCCGCGTCGGAGGCTGCAGAGGTAAGACTGACTCGTTGCCCTCATGATTCTGGAAACCAATTAACTCTCATCTAGCTTCTCCTGCGTGTCGACAACATTATCCGGGCCGCCCCCCGGAGACGCGAGCGTATGTAAGGGACGAGGGAGATGTCAAGTAAATATCCAATATTATGCGAGCGTGGAAAATAATGTGAACTCGGTTCGAGCCAAAATGGTCAGGGAGGTGGATATCCACCGGGTGCTATACGGAGCGTAATCACCATGTTATAGATCTTTATGACAAACCATCTGACGATCTCTGGAACTTGTGGGAATTCATCTGTTGCCTTTTTGCTCCAGTATGCCATTGGTTGGGGCTGTGTAAGAAGGCCGGTGCTCCACGCCGAACAGTAGCTTGAGCATGAGGATCGTCCTAGACACGGGAGCATTCAATTTGAAGAACGTGGGTCGACGATTCCTGCTGCTATTGATCGCGGGATCCCTCAACGTCGTACAACATCTGCTTCAGGTTCGACGAAATGATGTTCATCCCAGGCCCTTTTGGGGAAGAACTTGGTAACACATAATCTTATAGCAGGCTGAAACCATAACAAAACACGGTAGTGAGATACACGCTGATAGAGTTATACACCTAGACAGAAGAATTGCCCCTATATATGATACTTATAAGATTGCACCTTCACTGCTAGCTAGCACATCGGTGTACCATTTTTACCCGCGCCAAGGGTGATATGCATAGGCTGGTCCAACGTACAGGATAACAGCCATTGGCACCAAAACTTTCCGTGGACGATCACCCCAGCAGCCAAGACAAACACGGGCGTTTCCTATATTTAGCGGGCGTGCGTGTGGGGGAATTACTCCGAACGGGCGGGTCGGTGTGCCTTGTTCCTGAACAGTCCATTTATCCTTCATAGTTTATCATCGCGGTAATATCTCTTCCTTTGTTCTCTGCTCTCTCAAACTTGACTGCAATTTGCGATGCCAGGATGGAGTTCAGTCGTGGTACTGCGGGCTGGGCAGGTTGGCTGGGGCGATCGATGGAGCGGCCCCCGCAATGGACAGCCAGTCAGGACGGCGACCAGCCAGCCATTGCGCGTTCGGCGGCACACAAGCACTAAGGCAGCCCGAGACCCATGGACCCTGAGCTAGGATGGGGTGCCTCAGGGTCCAGCGACAGGCACCGGACTAAGCTAGTTCCTAGTAGGACTCAAAGTGTAGTTCCGTCACTCCATCATCCTTCCTCCTCCCTTGGCACCGCAATGCGACCCCCTGGCTCGTACTCGGAAGGGGTCCCAGTGGCAGCGATCCACTGCGACCTTGTCTGGTGCCTACCACCCTACATGGTCCGCTTGGTACCACCCCAGCGATCTGATGCCGTCACTGCAGTCTCACACCCTGCAAAATCCCTTCTTGACCTGCCTCGGGGATCCAGTCTCGGTCCATATCCAGCCACTCCCCGGCTGCTTTTCCTCCTGTCGCTTGTCATGTCGACCACCGTAACTTGACTGGTTAACCATTCCTCTGCCACTTCCTGGCTCCTGCTGGAGTCTCTGCACTTGTTGAATCCCAGCGCAAGGTCGGACGTGATTGATCCCCTCATTCTTTTCCCTTCCCCTCCCTTCCGCATTCCGCCCATCGCTGTCCGCCTTCGTCGACAGACCCTCCACCCACTTCTTCACGCGCATCGATGCTGCTGTCTCTTCTGTCCCTCGCTTAATACTCACATTCGTGTCCATCACGATGATCTCGCCCGGCTGGATATGGGCGGTCGTCCTGACCATCCTGGTCCCTTTCCAGGGAACTGTGCCTGCTCTGCAACTGGATATCAACGATGAGCGTAAGCGCCCAGTCCCGCGCGGAGTGACGCGCCCAGAAACTGATCTTTGGCGATCATAGAATCCATCAAAAATGCCGCCAGGACGACAGCCTACAACATGATGAGCTACTACCACGGCAATGAATCGGGTCAAACACCAGGGAAGCTTCCCGACACCTGGTGGGAGGGGGGTGCTATGTTCATGACGTTAATCCAGTACTGGTACTGGACCGGAGACACCTCGTACAATGAGGTTACAACACAGGGAATGCTCTGGCAGAAGGGCCAAAACGACTACTTCCCGGCCAACGACAGCAACTACTTGGGCAATGATGATCAGGTCTTTTGGGGCCTGGCTGCCATGACGGCTGCAGAACTCAACTACCCGGAAGATGATGGCCAGCCGTCTTGGTTGTCGCTCGCTCAGGGTGTCTTCAACACCCAGGTCCCTCGATGGGATACCTCCAGCTGCCAGGGAGGGCTGCGATGGCAGATCTGGCCCTACCAAGCTGGCTATACCACCAAGAACGCCATCTCCAACGGCGGTCTATTTCAACTGGCGGCTCGTCTTGGACGCTACACCAATAATGAAACATATAGTAACTGGGCGGAGAAAATTTGGGACTGGAGTGCGACAACCCCGCTGCTGCAGACGAATGCATGGTATATTGCCGACACCACTACCACCGAGGCACAGTGCAAAGATCACGGTGACATACAGTGGACGTACAACTATGGGACCTACATCAGTGGAGCCGCGTACATGTATAATCTTGTAAGTCACCCTTCTTGATGCGTTTATCTTGTCTCTGTACTCATGGTTTAGACCAACGGTGCCGACAAATGGAAGAAAGGCCTCGATGGATTACTTGGAAGTGCCTTCCAGAAATTCTTCCCGCAACAATACGGCAGTAATGTAATGTCGGAAATCTCCTGTGAGCCAAACATGATGTGCGATCGAAATCAGGATTGCTTCAAGGGGTTCTTGGCATCCTGGTTGACCTTTACGACGACCATTGCACCCTACACTGCTGGCGAAATTATTCCCAAGATCCAGCAGTCAGCTCTGGCAGCGGCGAAGCAATGCTCCGGGGGCGATTCCGGCACTCAGTGCGGACGGCGGTGGTACCAACCGCAGTGGGACGGCGAGACATCGCTTGAGACAGATATGAGTGCCCTGAGCGTCTTTTCATCCAACATGATCACCCATCAGCAACATGGCTCAAGCCAGGGTCCGCTGACATCGGACACCGGCGGCACCAGCAAGAGCGACCCAAATGCGGGCACCGCTCCAAAGAACTCTCCCGACAAGCTGCCTGATATCACGACCGGCGACCGTGCAGGCGCCTCGGTTCTTACTGTAGCCTTTGTCAGCGGCTGGGTTGCTTCCATTGCCTGGTTGGTCTATGGAGGTTGAAGTGATACTTGAGATTTGGGTTACTTGACGTTGTTCTGTACATATATGACCTGAAGGGCTACAAGCGGCTCTATGGCTATTGTGCTTTTTTTTTTTTTTTCTGCTTATTTATGGCTTGGCTTTGCGCTGATTTCTCGTGTTGATCACACTATCGGACAGTGTATTTCATTCTGCATTAATACCAGCCGGGAGTTGCTTTGGATGCGGAAAACTTGGTGTTGAGGTGCCCGGAGCGCTTTCAGACTCCACGACCGGAGATAATCAGCTTTATTGTTATAATGAGTGATCCCAACATTTTGGTTATACCATGTCATAATTGGCTTCACAGCTGTGATCACGCTTGATATGTGGCTTGAAAGGACCCCGTAACGTCATTCGATGTGTACTAGTTATGTAAAAGATGTGTTCTACACAGGATGACTGATAGGATTAGCGCATCACGCCGTCCCGGCTGGGCAGGCGGTAAGACGCGCGGGATCCACGTCGAGCGGACCAATTAGGCGGTGAGAAGCCGACAATATTCATCAGATAGAGAGATTCACTTCTTCGCGCAGCAGGGAAGGGACCAAACACCAGTCAATTCCGTGGCCCCTGGTCCTAGGTCGGTGTTACTACCTGCAACTTACTGACCTGTCACCTAGTCCTGTCATTTCCCCCAGAGCCTCCCCGGTCACCTACTTTCCCTTCTCAACCACCCACCCATCCCGCCGTCCAAATACGATCCGTCACAAACTCACTGGTCTCATCGTATCATGCCCATTTCAGCTTTGCATACTGCTTCAAGTGTTTGATCGAGTCGCCCTCCTGCGCCCGTCCTCCGCCATGGTTTTCCTACGTTTGAGGGTTAAGGTGTACCCCCGCGAGCAGGTTGCGCCTACTCCGTCTTTCTCGCTCCGTTCCATTCTCGGTGATCGCGACCGCGATGACGCCAGTCGCAGTACAAATGGCTCGACTACCGGGAAACCGGCCACCTTCTTGCTGGTGCTGGAGAAGCCGGAGGAGATCACCCTGGGTGGGCTGGCGGGCTTGATCCAAGAAAAGTGGAAGAAGCTGAGACCTAAGGCGGAGTAAGTGCGATGCTTGGTTGGCTACTGTATCCTTGAATTGCACATGCTTGTTGGACTGTACTGCTACGGGCTGGACTCTGTACGCTGACTATTCATGTCAAATTAGTCCGTTGGACATTAAGAAGCTCCTCGATGACAATCATGAATCCGACGACCTCGATGCCGATATGACCGTTGCCGAGGTGTTCGTGGATAACGGCAGAGCACGCCAGGACGGCTCTGATCAGCGAGCTACGGTCCGTGTGATACAAAAGCCTGGCCAGTATGCTCCCGTGCGGTTCCCCTCCGTCACCCAAGACTGGGACGCTGCCGCGCAAAGCTTTGAGCGTCAGATACAGATCAAAAAGGAGGCAGTCAAAGCGGCGATGGATCAGATTCCGACCATCACTGAGGAGGAGACCACCGATTTCTCGCACTCGGAATCGGCAAGTAGACCATCGTCGGCGTGGGGCTCTTATGAGAACCGCCGGTCAGAAATCCCCGTTTCGTCTGTGGAAAAGGACGAAGTTCCGGTATCGCCCGCGCCTTGGGATAAGAAGTCACACGTGCATGAAGAGGATTCTCAGGACCAGACGGGCAGCACGATTGCGGCCACACCACTGCAGAAGCGCATGGTGAGTCAGGAGCTGGGTGATTCTCCCTCTCACTCTCCGACGCCCAAAGCGCACGCCGCGTCCTCGAGACATGGCTCATCGCAGGGTTCTGCAAGGCGGCCGATCGTCAAGGATGTCACAGAAGCGAAGGCCGCTGCGCCACGCGAAGTGGGGAGCCCTGATAGTTCGCTATCACCTTTGAGTACGCGGAAACCACTCAAGCGCCGGCAAGTGCCCGAACCGCAGGCGCCAATTCCGGTCGTTGACAGCGAGAGCGAGGAGAGTGACGAGAATGACGAGAATGTGGAACCCCAACCCGTTGCAGAGAATCAACCCCAGAATGGTGATGTTCTCATGCACGACGCTGGCGCGACAGCTACGCAGGAACCCCAACCATCGAACAACAGCAGCTCGCGCAAGAGAAAGTTGACCCCGGACATTTTCGAACCGAGCAAAGAGCCCCGTCTTGCCGAGCCGGCCAGTACTCAGAATGGCGACCAGGCCGCTGAGAAGAGCATTGTGACATCTGAGGTGAGTCCATCAACTCCACGCAAACGCGCCAGGGCCCCATCGTTTGCATTTGGTCGCCGCCTGAACTTTTCAGGGCGTGCACCGTCCGAGCCCCCTAAGCCTGGCCTGGGGCTGGGTATTACGAAGAGTCCGCCTAACAAACGGCATATGCATTGGACCCAGGTCTCGGCCATCCCCGCGCCACCCAACTTCCTGCCCCCCAATGGCACCCCGGAAATCCCCAGTAGTAGCGCCCCTACGCTCCGCCGTGGTTCCGTCTCGCTGGCCCAATTCTCCACGCCCTCGAAACTTCAAACGCCCATTGACAAAGTCAAGGTCTTGCACTCGGCCTTGCGCAAGAGTTCCCCGGCCGAGCGACCATCGGAACGCCGGTCTGTGTCATTCGCCGACGAAGACGAGGTTCTGTGCACCGGTTCTCAGCCCGCGCCAAAGTCGAATCCTCAAAGTGCCTCGAAGGTCCGGACCAAGGCGACGGGCCCCAACCGGAGAACGTCGGACTCGAGCTCTATGGTTTTTCCTGCTTCTGTGCCCCAAGAGCGGCTGGACCAGCTCTTGGCAGAGGCCAACCGGAAGGTGGAGCAGGATCGGCGATTCGAGGAAGAATTAAAGGCTAAGATCAAGGCCGCTCGCGAACAGAAGGCTGACCCTCAGTATATCCGCAAACTGACCAGTATGTCGGACGCATGGACTGCTTACAAGAAGGCTGAAAAGGAGGGCCGTCAAGCGAAGCTGGAGACACAACGTAACAAGTTTGAATCTCAGCGAAGGGAGGTTGAGAAGTTCGAAGCCTCTCTGAAGACCAAATCAGCCCCTGTTTCGCCAAAGCCCAAGCCCTCGATTAACGGTCAAGGGTCGCAAAAGTCAACGCCACGCTCCCATTCCGATGAGGTCTCCATTGTCGTCCCGACTCCGCAGTCCGCGAAAGCTGCCAGGTCAACACCCGCTTCGAGTGCGAAGACCGCCCAAGTGCAAGCGCAGACCCGGCCGACCAGCAAGACGACAACGTCCCCGAAGCCTGTCGCAAACGAACCTCCTCAAAGTTCCCTTGCCTCAGACGGCCTTGACCTGCCGCCCATGGGCAGGACCGTATACAGAGCCGGCTCTGCCAAACCGAATGGGACCCCTGTCCGACCCATTCCGGTCAAGTCGCCCCAGCAGGCCAAGCCGGCCACTCAAGCACAGCCGACCCCTCCGGCACCCGTTGAGGTATCGTCTGATTCTGAAGAGTCCAGCTCCGAGTCGGAGTCGGAGTCGGAATCCGAGTCCGAGTCTGGCTCAGGATCTGAGGGCGAGCCCATCAGCAAACCCTCCCCCCGCAAGACGGCATCTTCGCCTACGAAACCCAATTCTACCACACCGGCTGAACTTCCCGCATCGCAACCTGCCCCGCAGGCGTGGGCGCGGCCGTCCAGCGCGACCCGGACTACGCGGACCACGCTGAAGTCGCTGATCCAACACCAGAAGAAGGAGCTGGAGGCAAAGACGCAGCCACGACGGGCGGCCAACAGTCAGCCTCGCAAGCGCAACATGTTTTCGCCGCCGTCGGACAGTGAGGATGAGAGCGAGAGCGAGAGCAGCAGCAGCAGCAGCAGCAGCAGCGACAGCGATAGTGATAGCGATTAAGCCGGCAGCATTGTATCTTTTATTCGGCTGGGTCAGTATTTACTTAATGCGGTGGGTGTATCATGTGTTCGCCTGTGCGTTGGGCCTGTTTCGGTTTTCTTCCATGCCAGGATTGCATGAGATGTAGCGTGCAATACATTTGTCTTGGAAGCCAGTTGTACTCTAGTGCATTTCGGCATGTGCTTATACCATTGGAAGTTTCCTCCAGTTTCATTCCCGCCTACCTAAAATGATTATCTTCCGTAGTCTACCACAGACTTTACGACAGAACATAAGAAACTAAACTAAGGCACATTGACCCCGTTCAACTCCTTATCCTCCCGATCCTTCTCCTTCTCCTGTTCTCCCTCTCCGTCCAATTCCGGCCTCGTCACCACCCAATTCCACCCAAACACATCCTCCACCTCACCCGTCTGAATCCCAGACAACATCTTCAACAACTTGACACACACTTCGCCCCCTCCCCCCTCGGCCCCTCCACACTCAAACTCCCACCGATGCCCCCTCGACCGCATGGTAATACTCCTCACGGGGACCAACGCCGCGGCCGTCCCCGCCGCAATGACCTCCCTAAACTCGCCAATCTCCTCATACCGCACAGTCCTCTTCTCCACCTTATATCCCAACATCTTCTCCCCAATCTCCAACACCGACGCCGCAGTCACTGAATCAATAACATTCGGACTATCCGGCTGCACGAGGATCACACCCCCCTCCGGATCCCTCTTCACACCAATAAACGCACTCGTCGAAAACTCATCCACCATCGTCCGCGTCTTACTATCCAAATGTAACGTAATCCCAAACCCCTCCCGATACGCCGTCGCGCTGTGTCGTAACACCGGCGCGTAATTCCCGCCCACTTTGGCACTCCCTGTCCCCGCTGGCGCAGTCCGGTCATATTCCTCCAGAATCAAAGCATCCACGGCATGAACACCATGATATACCCCCGTCGGGGTGACAAACACCGCGAAGGTATATTCCTCCGGCGCCGTAAGACTCAGCTGCGGACTGGACCCGAAGACAAGAGGCCGGATGTATAATGATGCTTTGGTGTTGTGGGGGGGTACGTATTCGGCGTTGGTGGCGACGGCGAGGTTTACGCTTTCGAGAAATAATGGTTCGGGGATCGGGGGGATGGAGATGTAGCTTGTGCTGTGGGTGAGGCGGGTGGCGTTGCGGTGCGGGCGGAAGATGGTGATCTTGCCGGAGGCGTGGCGGAAGGCTTTCAGGCCTTCGTAGGCTTGTTGCCCATAGTTGAGGGCGGGGGACATTCCGTGGAGTGGGATGTAGGGGGATTTGATGAGTTGAGGGGGGGTCCAGGTGCTGGTGCTGGTGGTGTAGGTGCTTTGGATGTGGAAGTTTACTATTGTTTGTTTTTGGTTAGTGGTGGGTGGTTAGTGGTGGTTTGGTGGGTGATGTGATAGGAGGGGGAGGGGAGGAATTGAGAAGGGATGGGATAGGGACGTACCATCGCGCACTTTGAAGCCCACGTTGGTCCAGTCGATGGATGTGACCGGGGGTGGGGGGAAGGGGGTTGTCATGTTGGGTTTGTCAGTGGACATGAACGGTGATGAGTTGATGAGTAGAAGTAAAGGGTAGAGGTAGAAGAAGAGTCAAGTAAAGTAGGAAGGATGAGAGGTGGTAGAAGTAGAAGTGAAGTAAGGGAGTAGTGGGGTAAAGGCAATTAAGGTCGGGTCTACATGCAGACCAGCCAGGGAACGGCCTATGGAATGCCCAAAGTTTCGTATGTCTAGCCATTGGCCAATCGTCTAATGTTACGGTCTTGGAGTGTGGTTCCTGCTGGTTGCAGCTGAGCTGACAGCCTGAGTGACAGAACCTGGGGTTCTGCTCCACTGCTCTCCGCATTGGATCCCCGCCTTATTATTCGTATTATATCCATCCTTCCTTCAGCATATATCATTGATGGGCTCGGCTCGGTGTCTCTTTTGAGGTCCTCTCATCAGTACAAAGGATTCTCTTCAAAAATGATGGCAGTCTAGACCACTATCGTGCATCCCGCTAACCCAAAACTGATGATGCCAACCTTCACCATAGATATATACCCGCAACCTTGCACAGTGAGCTGCCCAGTTGGTAACCCAACATCAAACCACCAATGTTACACAAAAAAGCCACCAGCGTGGGCTACGGCGGCTTACTGCATTTCACTCACCAATCTTTAGGGAGAAATGCTATTTCATCAATTCCACCAAGGAGAATGGCAATTGGCTTCATCCCACGCTCATGTTGCGGGAAGTTAATACCCTGTATATGCCAAATTCGGATTAGGTCTGCTCAAATACTATCTCACGGCAATTAACTAGATACGTGTATGCTGTAGACATGCTGGTACCCACTGTTAACTAACTATCGATCTATGTGAGTCAGAAGTTCACCGTAGAGGCATGTCTGGCATCACGTGACCGGCCCCACGGTGACTCATTGATACACGTGATTCGGCGGCCTGCTGCCCATGGGGCCCTATGATTGGACCGAGCGCGTTATCTGGAAGCAGCCTAGCGCCCCGATGTTCGGCGGGTGTGATTCAGACTTGCCTAATCCAGCCGGCACCACTCCCCCGTCTTCCCCTCTTAATAGCTTTCTCTCCCTTCTTTCTTCTCTTCCTTTCATACACAATCACACAATCAAAATGAGCGGTTCCAAAGCTGTTGCCGAAAATATGCTCTGGGGTGGTCGATTCACCCGTAAGTCCCCTGTTTCTGCCTCAATGCCTTTGGCATACTAATCACGTCTGCTGTAGAGGGCCTCGACCCCCTGATGGTGCAGTACAACATGTCCTTGCCCTACGATCGCATCTTCTGGAAGCAGGATATTGCGGGCTCCATTGCCTTTGCCCGGGCCAACACCAAGTCCGGCATTCTGTCCGCCCACGAGTTCGCCGAGATCGAGCGCGGCTTCAAGCAGATCGCCGAGGAATGGAGCACCAACACCTTTGTTGCCAAGGAGAACGACGAGGATATCCACACCGCCAACGAGCGCCGTCTGTCTGAGATCATCGGCAAGGAGATTGGTGGCAAGCTGCACACCGGCCGGTCCCGTAATGAGCAGATTGCCACGGACATGCGCCTGTGGCTGCGGGATGAGCTGCGCAAGCTGGACAGCTTCCTGTGCGATCTCATCAAGGTGTCCATTGCCCGTGCCGAGTCCGAGATTGACTACATCATGCCCGGTTACACCCACTTGCAGAAGGCCCAGCCGGTCCGCTGGAGCCACTGGATCCTGTCGCACGCGACCGCCTTTGCCAGCGAGCTGCAGCGTCTGCGTGAGGTCACCAAGCGTGTCAACCGCAGTCCTCTCGGTACCGGTGCTCTTGCCGGCAACCCCTTCCAGATTGACCGTGAGGCCATGGCTCAGGAGCTCGGCTTCGATGGTCTGCTGTACAACTCGATGAACGCCGTGGCCGATCGTGATTTCGCCATGGAGACGATGCAATGGGGCAGCTCCTTCATGCTCAAGATCTCCCGCTGGGCGGAGGATCTGATCATCTACAGCAGTTCGGAGTTTGGATTCGTCCGGTTGTCCGATGCCTACTCGACCGGTTCATCGTTGATGCCTCAGAAGAAGAACGCAGGTCAGTTTCCCGCTTGCTTGACACAGACGCCGTACTCACTCTTCACAGACAGCCTGGAGCTTTTGCGTGGAAAGGCCGGTCGTGCCTTTGGCCAGATGGCCGGACTGATGTGCACCATCAAGGGTCTTCCGACCACCTACAACAAGGATCTGCAGGAGAGTGTGGAGCCTCTGCTTGACCACATCAAGACTGTTGGCGACAGTATCCAGATCGCCACGGGTGTCCTGTCCACCCTGACTGTTATCCCGGAGAAGATGATCGCTGCGTTGGCGCCGGAAATGCTGGCCACCGAGTTCGCCGACTACCTGGTCCGCAAGGGCGTGCCTTTCCGCGAGGGTCACCACATCTCCGGCCGGGTCGTGGCTCTGGCCGAGAAGAACGGGGTGCCTATGGATACCCTGACGCAAGAGCAACTCCAGACGGTTGATGCTCGGTTTGACAACGACGTTCAGGCCTGTTTGGACTACGAGCGTGCGGTGGAGCTGAAGGATGCGGTGGGCGGTACTAGCCGTCGGGCCGTGTTGGAGCAGACTGGCGTTCTTCGCGGATTGTTGTAGGCGTTTGGATTGGTCAAAAGTTAGCGTGCGTGTATAGAGATTTGTATGATATATGACAATTGGTTATTCCTGATCCTAATGACTATCCATCTTCCTCGATTATTATGCGATCACCCACAGCAATACGTACCCCTCAAGGTCCAGCCAGTACTGTACGGGTGTATCGATGACACACTGGTTAAACGATGCTCTGGGAGAAATGTAGGATGAGCGATCGCCGCCGCAGGGGGCGGGCCATCCGGTGGTCATTCTCTTCACCTATGTGACTTGACTGGATATCTCCCGATGGCACATGATAGATTTTGACCTAGACTATCCACGTACACCTCTGCCTGAGGTTTTGGTCCCCATTGACCCAAATTCCATATGCATCAAAATACCCCAATATCCCAAGAGATCTAACACTCCACATCAAAAAGTCCAGAAGCAGGCAACTGATGTCACAACTGCTTTGGCAGGATATTCCGACTGATGCCATCCGTGTGGGGAGTATTGCCTAATCCAATGCGATCCAAGAGTCCAGAACTGTCATTGTATGGGGTCGTCGTTAGGCATCTTCCCGCTTCTTCTTGGTTTCTTTCCGCTGGATGCGACGGATGGTATGATCATACAAGGGTCATCGGACCTTTCGTCGACAATGATTGTGTATCCCTGGCAACCTGCTTTTCCGCGAACTTGCGGATTGTGAATATCCAAAGACATTAAGATCATCAAAGATAGATTATACCCCTGGTATATTCCACATGGCCAGAAGATCCTCCGGAACCCCCTTATGACCTGGATTTGCATCCTGATATACCTTCAAGATGTTGTCGCCTTCATGAACCAACGCACACTTATGCGGCACACACCTCACAATCTCAAAGATCTTTTCCATCAGACAGACCAGCTTTTGAATCTTCTCCTTGTTATCCTCTTCCCACTTAGCCAGCCTCCCCTCCTTCTCCATATTCCTCTCCTCAGCGGGAAGAAACGTCCCATCCTCCTGATAATTCCATGTACACAAGATCGGGGTCTGCGAGAACCACATCTGCGACAGCGTCTGGGTACTATCCAACCTCTTCCCCACAGGCCCCGTCTTAATCTCCACGATGCGCGGCGGCCCTACCAAGGTCCCTTCCTTCACCACCTCAATGCCCGTCGGCGCTTTGGTCCGAGGGCTTTCCCCATTGCTGTTATGTTTCTTGCCCGGTTTGCACGCATCCACTTCAAAGCGCAGCAGGATCTTGATGCCCCCGAGGGTATAACTCACCGCCCGGGCATGGATGATGCTCTTTTGGATATAGCGTGGCTTCCACGTCGAAACGCGCTCGAATTCATGTCCGTATCCCTGGAACTGGCTGATGAAGTTGATCTTGCTGGTTGTCCAGGTGGAGAGTAAGACCGTTGACTCGACCACCTCCACATCGATCCGGAATTCCTTTTTGCTACCGCTTGCGAAGGCTAATAGGAGTCGGAGATTGCGTCGGTCACTGATCAGATCGATATCGTTGAGTTTCATCCGGGGTTGCGTGACCGGGATGGCTCTGAGGAGCGGCTCCAGGACGCACTTGGGGAAGACGAGAGCATTTGGATCTAGGATGTATTTCCCGGCGTCGGGGTTGAGTTTGCGGGGTGTGGTGGCTGGTTTCCAGATTGCGGGGGTGCCTGAGATAATACTTAGAAAAATAAAGTCTCATGGAAAGCTTGGGGGAGTCCGTACCAGGAACAACCATAGTATTCTCGCGCTTCGGGAGGAGATTATACGACGTGACCGTTTTGAGTTCCTTCTTGGATATGGAGATGGTCGGATCGGGATGGATTGAATCCGCCGGGATCTCCCCGACGGGGAGGAGTAAACCCTTGCGCAGTGGAGCTTTGGGCATTGTGTTGGACGTGGCGTGGATGGATCGATCTGGATACAAGGTTGAGGCGTTTGAAGAGCAAGCAGGGCAGGCAAGGCTGGGCAGGCAAGGCTGGGCAGGTTGGTTGCCCCGCAGCTTAGGTTGACGAGGGGTGGACAGTGGTACACAGCCGACGGAACATATACGTAGTGGATATGGCTGTGGTTGAGCCAGCTCACCTACCAAAGGTAGAATGCAGGTCGCTCAGGTGGACTGATCGTAGAATGACGATTTGGCAAGGTGTACAAAGTACTGCCCCTTTTCTCCACTGGCGAGGGGCCACATACCCACCGTCAGATGAGACGCAGATGACCTTACTCTTCGAGATCTAGATCCATCGCTCAAGTATCTTGACAGCGAGCGCAATCTTCTATCTAGTGAATGTAAATGTGGGTTAAGTTGTAGCCTGGTGCTGCTCCTTTACTTTGAGAGCAGAAGATGGCCTGATACTTAAGCCAGAAGATGGCTACCCTACATGATAATATTGCATCTAGGTATTGTGGATAAGATGCAAATAGTAGGGGAAATGATTATTCTTCAACGATAGTATTCTTTGAATCAGAATGTGAGAATCGAGAATATTGTGTAAGTTCAAGTGGAGTGAGCAGTAGATTTGGATCTGTAGGTAAACCGACTGTAGGAATATAATGCCACAAAAAACAGCAGCCACCATGAACAGGGACGATGGCGCATCTGGGAGCGCGTCAGACTGAAGATCTGGAGGTGGCCGGTTCAAGCCCGGCTCGTCCCATTCATATTCTTTTTCCTTTTTTCGGCCCTTCCGGCTTCCCTTTTTGGTCTCGCCATCACTAGTCAGCTTAGCTTCTCACCTCCTTTTCGTGGATTTTCCGCCGCAGTAAATTCTCATCGGCTTGACCGAATTTCAAATCCTGCGACCCTGTCAGCAGGATGAAACCACGACGAACGATGGATATTGATCTTCTATTGCGCCGTACCATCAGTCCTGCAAGGAGATTTGATCGGTTGCGCCTGTCGGAATGCTTATCTTAGGTTAACTGTCAGGATGATCAGCGCTCGATTATCAACTGCGGCGACCCATACTGGTTGGGGCCGCGGGTACCTACGGCCTTCAGGGATAATTCATTGTAAAGGCATTGTCATAGTATCTACAGAGTACTATATAAAATTGTTCATACACTCTGCTCCACTGTAATCCTCCACTGTAATCACTGCAATCACTGCAATTTTCACCCACTCATACTTGGCATGGCACACGGTGAGCCGATCGAGCTAAAATTAGCTAGCCCCCAGGGTCCATTCAAGGCAACGGGTGAATCCATTGACACGCTTGGCACCTGCACTCCTCCGGGCGCTGTCAGGCTTATATCCTGCGTAACCACGCCGCTCACTTCCCCCACGTCCACTTGCTCGTCTGTTCGCTCGCTAGAGACGACATGTCACATAGCACTCTGGCCTCCGTCGCTACCATCAACTGCTAGCTGCTGCCCCTATACCTTCGTTATTCCATGAGATTGAGATGCGCTGGTCAACGTATTTTATCAGTGGCCTGCTCACCTGCACGGCACCGCTGGTGGCGGCAACCCGGCTGATTGAATCCAACGCGTTGAACATTTGCCAGAACAGTCCTAATTTCACCGCCACTTACTTCAGCGTTCGGTTCACGCCTGGGAACAAGTCCCTGGTGCTGAGTTTCGATGGCGTCGCTGCGATTTCCGGCAAAGTCACAGCCGATCTGTTAGTCGATGTTTATGGCTACCAACTCACCGGTGAGACCCTGGATCCCTGCAAGATGGATCTGCAGGGTCTCTGTCCGATGAGCGCGGGGGCGATCAACGTTCAAAATACCGTGATCCAGATCCCGGATGATGTGGTGCACCGGATTCCGGGTCAGTTTGCTGATGGTGGAAACGATCCCTACTGACGATTACAGGTATCGCATACAGCGTGCCCGACCTCGATGCCACCGTCCGTGTCTACATCAACTCTACGGACACCGGAGAGAGTATCACCTGTCTCGAAGCGACGTTGTCGAATGGAAAGACGGTCTACCAGAAAGGGGTCGGATGGACGACAGCGGTGATTTCAGGCGTTGGGCTGATCGCGTCCGCTGTGGCGGCGGGTCTGGGCAATTCCAATACGGCGGCCCATGTCGCTGCTAATGTGCTGGCGTTTTTCAGCTTCATGCAGTCTCAGGCCATGTTCGGGATGATCTCGGTGCATATGCCTCCGATCGTGGAAGCTTGGACCCAGAATTTGCAGTGGAGCATGGGCATCATTCATGTTCACTTTTTGGATACCATTTGCACCTGGTACCAACGATCCACCGGGGGGAAGCCATCGACTGTCTTATCCGAGCTGTCTACGACGTCTGTGGAAGTGCTTAAACGGAAGCGGTCTTTGGATGGAGTCGATCTGTTCAAACGGGCCTATGCGCAATCTGAGACAGCCAACGCTAGGACCTCAGTGGTGCGGGGCATTAGCCGCGTGGGGTTCAAGGCTCATATCGAGGGCACCAACATCTTCCTGAATGGGTTCATCTTTTTCGTCTTCTTTGTGGCCGTGGTGATGATTCTCGTCGCGGCGCTCAAGGCCGGTAGTTATTTCCTTGCGAAGAAGGGCACGGTCAAGTCGGACAAATTCGGAGATTTTCATGTGTCCAAAGGGATCCTTTACCGATTGATCTTTATCGGATTTCCCCAGATGTGTGTGCTTTGTCTGTGGGAGTTTACCCAGCATGATTCGGCGGCCGAGGTCGTCTTGGCGGTGATTATGCTCGTTTCGATGATCTGTACGCTGGGATGGGCTGCATGTCGAGTCATCATTCTTGCGAGACGGTCTGTGACGTTGCACCGAAACCCGGCATACATTCTGTACTCGGATGAAGCATGCCTGAACAAACTGGGGTTCTTGTATGTGCATTACCGAGCCACTGCCTATTACTTTCTGGTGTTTGCCCTGGTATACATCTTCATCAAAGCGATGTTTATCAGTCTGAGCCAATCGGCCCCGATCGTACAGACGGTGGCGTTGATTATTATCGAGACGTCTGCGCTGATTGGGATCAGCATTGTGCGCCCGTGGATGGACAAAAAGACCAACGGGTATAACATCGCCATCGCGGCCATCAACTTTGTGAATGCTATTTTCCTGCTGTTCTTTTCTCAGGTTTTCGACCAGCCTGGCATTGTGACGGGCGTGATGGGGGTCATTTTCTTCGTGTATAATGCCGCTTTCGTGCTGATTCTTCTGGTTCTTGTGTTGCTTACTTCGGCCTATGCGATCTTCTCCAAGAACCCTGATCTGCGCTACCAGCCGATGCGGGACGACCGGGGATCATTTGTCAAATCGCAGAGCCAATTGGTCACGGAGCTGGACGCCCTGGCCTCGACTGCCCGAGGGGAGGGCAGTAAGGAATGGAACAAAGCGAGTCTGCTGGATGATAATGGGTCCGTGGCCAGCGACGCCGTTCATCGCAGCCAGCAGGATCTGCCTGTTCGCGAAATGACCGAGTCGCCCATGAACCGGATGAGTTTGGGGTCGATCAGCCGGGGAAATAGTCCGGTCCAACGAACCACCTCACCAGCAGCAGAGGGCTTGAATCAGAGTTTACTGGGTGACAGCGATACTGCATCCGGTCACAGACATTGATACCGATCGTAGCCAGTGATAGGATTTGTATGTAATCATTTTTATCTTCATTGATTGTTGTATTGTATGCTTGATTCCATGTCGGCTAGCTTGTCGTATCTGAAAAGTCTTTTTCTCATCTTGAATCTTGGGGAGAGACTCCTCAGGTGGTAGACCATAACTATTCGGCCATCTCAGAGTAGTGGGACCAGCGACCTCAACAACAAGATCAACCCCAACAACCCCCCGTGAGTCTCTTCGCCACGGCACCCCACTCCGGCGTCTCCCGATAATCAATAACATGATCAGCCCCAAGCATCTCAAGAACCTTCACTTCGCCTTAGCCACACTACTCGTCGTAGCAATAACACGAGCCCCAACAGCCTTACCAAACTGCACCGCAAAAAGACTCACCCCCCCCCCGGTACCCTGCGTAAGCAACCACTGTTCCGCCAAGAGCCGTTTCCCCGGAAGTCCAAAAAGCGCATTCCACGCCGTCAGCCCCGCGCAGCTGAGCGTCGAAGCCTCCACGAAGCTCAGTCCCTTGGGCATACGCACAAGACCCTGCTCGTTGAACGCTGCAATGGAACGAAACGTCCCGTCGAGGGAACCGCCGAGGCCGGATTTGGCGGTGATTTCATCGTTCGCGCCTGCGAGGAGGTGCTGTTGGATGATTGGTCACGACGTGGTCGCCGGGCTGGAAGCGGGTGACTTTGCTGCCGATGGCTAGGACGGTCCCGGCGCTGTCGGATCCGGGGATGATGTTGGGGGTTTAGGTCGAAGGGGTATTTGTATTTGCCCTTGTGTGATGAGGATGTCGCGGTACTGTTGGTGTAGTTAAACTATATGTATATATGAGGTGTTGTGTGAAGGAGGCGCACGTTGAGGGAAGCTCCTTGGACTGTTTTCTGTCAATATTCTTATGATTTTCAAGGAAAGAAGAGGGATTACTTTTTACTAGGACTTCATTCTCGCCCAGCGCGGGAATCGCCTGCTCCGTGAAGACCAACGAATCGACGCCGTCAGTGCCGATGACATTCCACCGCTTTGTGGTTTTAGGGAGGGCCATGATAGAGTGTGGAGTCAGGATTAGGCAGTGGTTGACTATTCAAATGCTGCTTCGCATCTATACAGTGATATACGATGATGACAAATGCTGATTTCTCAGCGGAGTGGATAGATTTCTCAGCAGACGAGACACATCTGCTACAATAGTGCATAGACCATGTCTATGCTGTAGGAATCAACGAATCGTTGGATTCATCTCATGGTACTGTTTATGAGATGATTACTTATTGCCCTGTATCAGCATGTCATCGCCTACAGCGCCAATAGCTGATCGACCGGGTTCACTGCGGTGCTATTGCCTCAGTATAACACTGCAACCCGGGAACACACGAAGAGAATCGGCAAACGACCAAGTGATGCTCCGTTCTGATATATTCAACGGTAAAATTATTGTTACTAAGTGTCTTGAAGGAACTGCGGATATTATATGACATGAGATTGTTGGGTATGATACCCGTATGCTCTCTTCTAATTGAATAAACCATGTAAATAAACACGTATCACTCGCATAATCACCAATCCATACATCCATTACAATCCAAATACCCAGTCTCATCAGCAGTCCAGTAGTCCCGCCATACTGGGCAAACCAACCCCCAGGATCCAATCCAGCATGGTGACTTGAACCCCTATGCCCAGGGCAGCCAAGACATCGTCCGTCCTCTATTGCGACACCTTATCGAGAATCGAATGCTGATGTCTTTTTCAGCCGGGGTCTTTTGCCACTCGCAGTTGTGTTCCGGATGTTTCTTACTGCACAGTCCGCTCCGTACCTCCATGAGCTGCCAAACCTGTCGAGATCCATATCCTCCATGGCCAGGTCTATCAGCAACGCTATCTGCCGCCAGCGTTGGTTCTTGCTTTAGATAAAGAAATCGAGTGAGAGGACTCTTTCGGTGATGTGGTCGTTTAGCTGGAATGGCTAGACACACACATCACATTCTGTGTATGATCCGACTGTCTATCTTTGAGTCGGAGGATGGTTTGGTTGGGCTTTGGACTGATATAGACTTCGTTATGTCCTTTTGCTATAATTTGTATTTGTCCCTCTGTTCAGATGGAAGCTTTAAATAAGGGGCGCAATATCTGGGCGATATATCGGATCTTGCTTTTTTAACTCGGGGCCTTATGTATCAATATGTGTATTGTCGGACGAGTTCGTTTATTGATACTTATGACGTCTGCAGTTTGGCTGGTCTGTAAGAATATGGGTATCTTGGGTAGGGTTGGTGGAGGTATGTGTATGATGTTTTGCCGGGTATGAGTTTGATTGATTAGGATTTAGAGGTAGGGAACTGAACGGTAAGTGGGTTTAGGCTGGGGTATCGATGTAAATTGACTTAGATTGCATAGGTAGTAGAGTACTATTGTAGATGAGATATAGAGCCTTGGATGTGGGAGAAGATGGCTTTATAGCCTTATGTCTAGAGGATGAGCTAAGGGAATCTTATTAGGGAATATAGGAGGGACTGGAATTGGAGTAGGGATGTGATGAAGTCTGTGAATCATGGTAGTATATTCCACGAGCAAATTCATACCGTACAGCATGGTATTCACGATATTCATGTAAATCATATTGCCTAGTCACTTATCTCAAGGGATCGATGAATATAAATTTGTCTGCTTTAGACAATAGGTTAGTCTAGGGCAAGTGCCTCCTCACAATCAAGAAACCACTTGAGAAAGGCACCACACAGCATGACTCTCGACAAGGATAATCAGTACTCCCAATAGCTTCCTCCATGCATCTATACCAATGCAAACGATCAGATCAAATACCCATCTTCAGCACACCTGCAACTCCGTCAACCGTAGCGACTGCTCCTCCGCATCCCTGAGATAATTCCTCTTCAACAAACCACTCAACAACGGCGTATAATCAAACACCCAATCGCGCAAGTACGCCAACGGCCTCGGCACCGAATGAAACAGGTGTCCCGAAAACCGCGCAAACTCCATATGATGGTTCACATAGTCGACGCGTAACTTCTCATACAGCTCGAATCCGGCACTCACGGCCCGGACATCACGCAGATCCACGCCGTCGAGCTCTCGGGCGAGAAAGTAGCCGTCTTCGATGGCTATTCCCATGCCGTATGCGGCGTACGGGGAGACAGGGTGCATGGTATTCCTGACGCAGACGACTCGTCCGCTGGACCAGGTCTTCATGGAGGGTCGGTTGTATATCTCCCAGCGGTAGACGTGGGTGGTGAAGTTGGTAACTTCTAGAAAGCGAGGTATCGGTTGGGCCCAGTCTTTGAGAATGGAGGTGAGATAGGCTTTTAGATTGTCTGGGACGGGCTTCCCCTTCCAGGAGGGCTTGACCACCCACTACTCGAACCCGGGCTTACCGTCGTGTAGCATGGGGAAGAAACTCGCTTGATATTACCAGTCATGGGAGATGTAGCTATAGTTCTCAGGAATATCGGGGATATAATCACACCAGGCTAGCCAGAGCTGGATATTAGCGTGGAATAAGCCCGGCTCACCAAACACTTAACAAAATACTTTGGAGCGAATTCCATCGGTGCTAATGAGGATGTCAGCTGTGACGCGGTGGCTGTTTTTGAAGAATAGCTCGATGTAGTCGTCGTGCTTGATGTAGGATGTGAATTTGTGGTCCGCGTGAATTACCCCCTCAAAAACCAGGTCCAGCATTTTCTGGAAGATGGAGGAGCGGAGAACACCATAGTGCCAGCCTTTGATGCCCATTCGTCGTTCCACTTCGGTGTTGAAGGGCAGCTTGACTCGGTCGGTCCCTGCCTTGTTCTTGAAGTAGGTCACTGTAGGGGCGCCCACGTTGGTTAGGTCCAAGCCGTAGGATCGAAGAATGGCCAGTACGGGGGTGGAGAGAAGGACTGCGCCGCCAATGGCTTTGCAGACTGGCTGTAGCTCGTAGATGGACACATCGTAGCCACGCTGGAGAAATGCCAGGCCGGTGGAAATTGCTCCAGGGCCGCCGCCCACGATGGCGACTCGTTTGCCGGGACGGGATGTCATGGTGGTTAGATGAATGCTTTTTGGAAGAGCCACGTAGAGGGATAAGAAAGTGAATAGTCTATGTCGACCGTGGGTGGTACAGCATTCCTCATAATATACATCTAGATCGAGAATCTATCCTCCGTTCAGCACTGCTCCCTTCTAGGGCTGTTTCGGACTACGATGGCCCGACCCCACTGCCCGGCTGATCTCAAAACCCGTTCCGCTGACTCAGCCTGGCAGCTTCGCTTCGAAATACGGCTGATTCCCATGATGGATGGTGGATTTGAAAATCTACACATGGCATTGCTTAATGCTCTGTTGGATATAATAGAGATTAGTGCAGAGTATCATCTAGCAGCGATGGTGGATTCATAGTGTGTGCTTGATACAGTGTGAGGATGTTCAAGAGTATACTGCAACCGTACCGATCTCTATGTCTAGACTCGCGCTGCAAGGCATCCCTTACATTCTATCCCGCGTGGGGATTCAGATCCCGACTGCTTCATGTCGGGCAGCTGCATCCGAGGCAGTCTCGTATACTATATTTCATTGGTAACTGACCTTGTTGCGAAGACTAAATGGTCCCTGAGGGACGAGAGAAAGGATTCTAAATTGGCTTAGTTGAGACTGGAGCGAATACTGGGTCAACATGCCCATTGCTTGGGATTGCAGACGAGTAATTTGGAGAAACCAGCTACTTGAGCATGCTGGCTTTATCCGGGGATTATTACGAGAGCAGTGAACGCGCGTGGGGTCGGTTTAGAACGAGTCAGAGGCTGAGAAAAGCGTATGAACTGTGTAGTGGACAGATGTACGCCAGTTGGCCGGGCAAGATAGCAAGGTCAATGGGATATGATCTAGTCCTCACGTCCGATACCAGTACCTCCCTGAGGCACCTATTGGTTCAGTCTCATCGTTTCAACACATGGTATCGGATAGAACCAAGTGATGGCGGAGAGGGCCGGATCCCCCCTGGTAACGCATGGCTTTGCAATCTGTATGTCATATCTTGCTAAATAACCAAGCCACCTCAAAGAAGATCAACATGTATACAAGATTCGTCACCAAGTATTAACATACATTCGTCCATATGTACCCAACGCCGACTCCAGAATCCATACATCCATGTTCATGCGCCGCCATTCTGCTTCTGCTTCTTCTTCTCCTTGGCCTCCGCATCCGCTTCCTTCCACGACCCTGCATAATGATGCGTAACCAGCGCATTGCCTTGGTCTTGCGGGTATCCATTCTGCGCGGCTGCAAACGCCACCCCCGGCATGATGAGAACGTCGCCGATCAGCTTGGGTTTCTTGATAGCATGGAAATCGCGATCATCCACCGTCCGACCCAGCAACTGGTGCAGACTGTCGAGGACCGCGATGGTCATAATCTTCGGCCCCGTCACATCCACCACATCGATGGGCAGCATCTCCAGGGTCAGATCCTGAATCGGCACGCGATTCAACGCTGCAATCTCCTTAATCTTGGCCACGACGGCGTCGACCACCACCTGGAGCACCCGGGATGACGGCGGGGCGGCAAAGACCCAGTTGCAAAACTGCGATGCAACCTGGGTGCCTTCCCCGCGCCATTCGAAATCGAATTCGAGTCCCACGATCATCTCAATCTTATCATCTTTGTATTCCGCCGGCACCCAGTCGGCCACCGGGGTATCGCACGTCACGTCCAGGTCACTCCAGATCCCCCCCTCGGCGAGCACGAGCAGGTAGCGCAAAAGATCGGCCCGCAGGATCGGGATCGGCAGGGTCTCGAACACCTCGATGATATCCGGTCGCATGGCATAATGGGTGCGAACAAAGGTGACGGCGGAGGTATCGGTGAGGAGTTCATAGCGGAAGGAGGGGTTCTTTGCGAGCCAGCTGTCGATCCAGTCGTGTTGGTCGTCGGAGAGATGGGTGGTCTTGGCGGACTGCCAAACCTTGTCACTGATGCCGGAGATTGCCCCACCCACGACATCGCCCGAGGGCGCCGAACTCACTGGCCGGCTGGTTGGGATGGTGTTTTGGGAGGCTTTTGAATCAGCCTTGGGTGCTGGGACAGCGTCCGGTGTTGGTTGTGGTGTCGGCTGACGGGGCAAGGACCTTCCTGGCTGTGGGTCCCACGTGAAGAAGAACAGACAGACCAACACGAACAAAGGCACCGCCAGGGCAGCCACGCGCCCATAGCGTGAGGATTTGAGGTTGGATAATAACATGGCCGACGGTCAAGTCTGAGAACATGGAGTGGGGAGATGAGGAACCCCCTCGAGCTCCAAGGCTCTCATTTAAAATGGACGGAGGTGTGATGGTCAGGGTTCGGGGTCCTGCCAGGCTGACTGGCGGGGCGCTACGGACGCCCCATGATATATTTCCCTTCAGGGGCTTCTCTCGCCTGAAATCCTGAAATGACAGGGCCCACTCGGTGCATGCTTAGGGCTTAACAGGACTTATATACCCTCGGGCTGGAGGATCACTTAGTCCGTGAAGATTTGATGGCGCTACGACCGATGCAATATGGTATATAAGAAAGTCTTCGCACTAGGATGACATCCATCCAGTCTTCTGTCTTTTCTAGTATCAGTTGACATGATGCGGCTCTCTTTGCTCTTTTCAACATGGCTGGCACTGTGGACGGGCTGCCGGGGAGAGGCCACCCTTAATACCTCCATCCAGGACAGTCCACATTTTATGGGATGGTATCTCGGAACCACCAGTCAGTCGCCTGCTCTGAGATTCTGGAACCCACACTCATTAGCATAGCCCAAGCTCTGACGGATGGGGGCACTTGGTCCACGTCCGGACAATATGCAGCCGGCTGCACCGCATCCATGACTTGCTCCTGGGCCACCGCCTGCAATGATGGCATTCTCTACTATAATATCGAGAATAAGACCTTGGACTGGTAGGTGACATGCACGACCCCAGACTGATGCTGATGTGTCATACGACAGTGCCGCCGATTCCATGCAGTGCCAAACCATGACCATCTATCAATCCGAACCCTATGCCACCCCGTCCGCCTCCAACCTTTTCTGCGCGAATTTCTGGTCGGCCAACACGATTTATCGGGAACTGCCCGCCACGACGACCTCCTCAGCCACCTCAGGTAATCACATCAATCCCGTCCCGACGAAGCTGACTCCGTAGGTTCCACGCCGAGTGTCACCACTGCATCGATCACCTCCGCTCCGTCGTCCACACAAACCGCGACTGCGTCTCCGTCAGCCACCAGCAGTCCGTCCGCGAAAAAGAGCCGCGCATGGATCGCGGGTGCAGTCATCGGAGCGGTGGCGGGCGTCGTGGCCATTATCGCAGCGACGATCTTCTTCCTCCGGCACCGGATCACTCGACGCCCCGAGGCCATCCAGTACGAAAATGTGTCCGTCCGACCAGTCTCCGAATTACCCTCAGACACCTCTACAGAGATGGCGCATGAACTGCCCCACAACAACCCAGCCCCGGCATCCCGTGGGGGCGTCTATGAATTGAGCTGATTACAGCTGCGAGGCTGAATATGCCGGATAAAGTGCAGCAGACAGACCACCGTGACCCTTTTAATATCCGGCTTGATAAAATTTTAATGACCACGAGCGCGAAGAAATGAATACGAACGCACTAATCATCATCCCACCTATCATTTTCCTCACCGCCAGAGCTAGTAGCCACTAGTGCTGACGCCTCGGATCCTGGCCGCCCACCTCCTATCCTGATACCACCACCAGTTTTCACAGCCTTGCGTGCATACACAGCCCAGGCAGAGCCGTTACATTTCCTCCAACCCAAATGTCAACCTCGTATTTGACACGGCTGCAGCTGTATTTATATCTGAGAGTTCATCACCCGCCATCCCCTCCGGGAGTAACCAGTAGACACGATCGGCCCAACCCGCCTCGAGACCCGAAGCGGCCAGTTCGTAATTCCGGGTTCCAACTGGCAAGCTGCAACGTGGGTCCCGTGGCTTGCCCGTGAGGCTGTTAGCACAGAGCAGTCCAGATCATCTACCTAATTTAAGATCAGCGAAGCCGGTGTTTCGAGCTCCACTTTCCGTGGCCCCCAAATATTAATTGGAGAGGTGAGACTCGAGTCGAGGTCGGGGCTTCAGACTTTCAGAGATGAGAGATCTATGCTTGGAGCAATTGAATTAATGGATGGACTATCTTATCCGGCGAATGGGATCGGTGAGATGTGAAATGTGCAGGGATGGAAGTTGTCACAGCATAGTGCAATGGTTATCAGTACCCCCACGCTGTTTCTGTCATTGCTGACTAACCAATCGGATGCCCATTTATATCTTTTCTAGTTACTTTGTAGAGATCCTTAGTTTCTTATAGTACTTTATTACATATGAACATTTAAGATATATCAGGGAAGATGATACAGTTCAGTATATCTAGATTCTGGGTTGATATAAAATAATTGATGAACTTAAGCACGCATCAATCTTATAGTAACATCTCATTTAAAACAAGTACTCTCTGTATCTGGACACAGTTGATACACATGCATGGCACTGTACCGGGTAGTGTCATGAAAAGCCGTGCCGTAGAGGTAGCACATATTAAGGAGGAAAACCAGCTAGAGGGAGAAAAAGGCTCCCCCCCACGCTAATGAGGAATGGTTTAGGGAGATACATGGTGATATAATTAAAGAATAAAATAAAGAATGTCACGGTGCAACCTCCCGAGCCGGGAAGAGAGAAATACTGCTGAGCCTTACCATCCAGCACGTGACCCCAGACACAGTTCAAAGCCACCCATCTCCTGGACCTCGTTCGTAGCCTCGAGCTACGTCTTATCTATCAATCTGTATATAGCTTGACCAGTAGCCAGCTCAGCATCCAGTTAGAATCCCAGTCATTATCATCACGCGAACCCTGTCCGCCCGCCAGAATCCGCTATCCTACCCCCCCCTGCCTGCCCGCACCTTGACAAAGAAGATATATTAAGGGAAGAGACCCAGGGGCTTAAGATTATAAGAGTTATGTCCGGAGTATATGTGACATGATCCTAAATAGAGCCCCCATCACAGATCCTGCTAGTAAGCAACCCCCAATCCTAAATCAATCAATCACTCACTCTTATTGTTCTACACTACATCAAAGACAACCCCGCACTATAACTGCCTCCGCAACTCAAGCAAACCCGCGTTCCGCTTATTAACTGGCGACCTCCTGATTGTCAGATCCACAGTGGGTCTGGCCAGACCCTGGTTTTTATACGGAGTATTGCTGCGCAGATGAAACTTGGCAGAGCTGGTCTTGTTCCTATGGTGTCTATAGAGGTATAGGGATTGATGAACTGATGGAGAATATAAATCACTGAATCACAACTGGTAATATGCTTCCTATCAGAACAATATTCCCTGAACAAGTAAGCCCAAACATCCCATACTCATCGACCAAGAGGGGTTCATCACCGCGTCGCATCCACCAAATCTCCTCCTTCAACAGCTGCTGGATGAACGGTATAATCTACTACTACGGTGGTTACTAACTCGGGTACATCCCCCCCCCTTATCCCCGATCTATCTGCCAGTCTGGGAATCTTTTTTCTCCTCTATTACCCTCCTCCCCCGCCTGCACACCCTAATTACTAATATTATCCCCACCGTGCCCCCCCATCCCCATCCCCAAACCCAGGTCTCAGGGTCGGATTCACCCCACGTCGCATTCCCCCTCTCTTTCCTGGCCCCGTTCACGGCAATAAAACTCCATCGCTCCAACAGCTAGGAACTCATCGCGGGTTAAGCCCATGGCTCGGCCCTGGAGAGTGATTTCCTCGGTGAGATTGGTGCGGGTGATTTCTTGGGCCCGGGTGAGGAGTTTTAGGGGTTAGGGTTGGAGGTTGTGGGTGTGTAGATGTGGTGGTATTTGGGGAGGGTGGGGCGGTGGATTGTTAGGGTGGTGAAGATGGATGGGGGGCGGTGATGAACCTGGCAGATGGCTGAAGTTTAATCAGGTATAGAGTGCCTTATATTAAGGACCTACCTACCCTTCAAGGTATACACTGATAGAATTATGTACTTTGCTTTATTGGCAGACATGAGTCTCCAAGGCCACTACTCACCGCAGTCACAGATCCAAGCGAGGCTCATGATCTCCTCCAGCAGCATCACCCTCGATAATACTATCGGTGATTTTCTCGGCAACCATATCTAGCATCGTTAGTCAAGCCGTGATGAACATAGGTAACTTACAAGCCGTGCCCAGCGGAAACCCCGGGGGCAAAAACGGAAACGCAGAGGGATCGACAATGCGCACTACAAGGTTAGTTCTATACCAAACTGAGTAGAAGCAACATACGCTGGTTCACTCCCATCACTCTACCCGATGAATCCACCACTGCCATTGGATCATCCGACCGGCCCATCCGGCACGAGGCCGATTGATGGTTCAGAGTTCGGTAAGATTTCTTGACGAGATCGGCGAGGTCATCCCAGGTGGCTTCTTCCACGCCTGGGGCACTCGATGACGGACCCAGGATATACGACATGGTGGTGGTATTGAACAAACGGAAGAGATACTGCAAGGAGGCAACGGCGACCTCAAGGTCCGTTTGACTACTGAGCCATTTAGGATCGAGGACGGGATTGTCAGCCATGGACCCCCCCTGGAGGGAGATGGAGCCCCGGGACATAGGGGTCATCGGGACAGCCATGATCTCAGCGTAATTCTCACCAGGACCTTCGCTGATCCCGCTGGGGTAAGAGATGATGCCAACGTCGGGCCAGTCGGAGGGAAAGGTAGCCAGGTCGGCGATGGTCTGCTTGGAAAAGTTCAAGCGGAGGTCCGTGGGAAAGTCAGTGAAAGCGACAAAGTCCGGGCCTGGGCTGGATAGGATGCCCTCGGCGTTGGATTGGAATTTGTCGCATGCCTCCCGGAGACGGGTCTCGTTGAGGAGGGCAGTGGTGGTTTCGACCTCCACGGTGTGGGTGAGTCCGAAGAGAATGTGGTCGTAATAGTCCTGGCCGACGCCGGGCTTGTCCAGGATGATGGAGATGTTTTGGGAGGTGAGAATGTCTTTCGGACCGACGCCGGAGACCATGAGGAGCTGTGGGGTGAGAATTGGTCCTCCGGCCAGGATAACTTCCTTGTCGGCGGTAATATCGAATGAGCTGCCATTCCGGGAGACGTGCACGCTGCTAGCAGTTGGGCTGTCACCAGTGGAAAAATTGATCAGTTCAGCCTGCGTGCCGTTGAAAACATCAATCTTGTCCTGGACGTCCTCAGCCGCCCGCAAGTACGAGGTATAGGTCGTCGCTCGTTTCCCGTCAGTGGTGTTGATCATATTGACCACCCAGCTGCCCCCTTTGATATCCCCACCGGAGAAACCATAGTTGGATCCGACGAGTAACTCCTTGAGACCCATCTTCACCCAGCTGCTAAATGCCTGTGCGTATTTCGGAAAGGTGAGCTCGATGGGTCCCGGGGTATCCCCGACCAGATTGGAGAGGTCGTATTCCGGCGTGGCATTGTTACCTCGCAGGGTGCTATTCGGGGGAGTGAAATACACTGAACGCTGGTAGTAGGGAAGCACATTATCCCAGGTCCAGGAGTCGTCGCCAACTTGCTCGGCCCAATTCATGAACGCCCCTTTAGTGGTGCGGAAATAATCAACGAACGTAAATGCCTGGCTGCCACCCATCTATGCAGGATTAGTAGGATGGTTGAACACAGAGAGTACTCACCATCTTTCCCATCATATGGGTCCTCGTAGTCTCATTATCGTCACCCTGAGGAGGTCAGCCAGGAAGCCGTCAGAGGAGGGGGGAACGTACAACCTGTGGCACGGTAGGCCACGTCCATACGATATCCTTCGAATCCGGTGGATTCGGGCTGAACCACTTTTCATTGTATCCGGGAACCTCACTCAAGTTCCCACTGGGGTAATCGCCGCGTTCGATAACAGCTACAGTGTATCCCTTGTTGGCCAAGCGGTTGGCGGCAATCAAACCGGTGGTGCCGCCGCCGACCACCACGTAGTCGTATGGCTGCGTGGGGTCGGGAGGGTCGGCACGAGCAGTCTCGGCTGCAAAGCCCATGTACGCTTGAAAATGGGGATAGCCGGCATGGTTGGGCAAAGCGGATACCAGACCGCCAAGGGATGATAGAAAGAGTGCTACCTGGAGGGAGATCATTGTGTTTGCAGTTGGCCTGGAAGATGGATGCTCCCTGGGCCAAGAGAGAGTTATATTGTCATACTGCGGTTGCAAAAGGTGATTGATGTCATGAGTTGAGTGCTGGTGATCATGTTGTTGTAATGGCATCTCGTAGATGATCAGCTATACGGTTGCAGGAGCATGAAATCACAAGCGGAGAGAGCATGACATTGATCGATCCATGGAACCCTGCCAGCTGGATGCAACCTAGAGAGTTTCCGCGTGGTCGTCTATATGATCAACACACTAGTCAGTACCCTGATTATTATTATTAATGTACACAATATCACATAAACGAGACTGCTGAAAGGGTATAAAATGGGAATATTTAGAGAATCCGCACAGTGAAGGTCCGGTAGGTCTCGAATGGAATTAAAGAATGTATTAGATGGATAAGCTTTCGGATATTTAATCCCTGGTGGAGCAACTTCAAACTCAATTGTTAAAATTATAATGTCATTGTTGATGCTTCCGTCGAATAATCCCCGCAATGTTTTGCATCTTTTCTAGGAATGCCCGTAGTCTTTCAAGAATAAGCATTGCGTGCTTGCAGAAGGAAAGAAAATCGAAACAAAGCAAGATGCAACAAAAGGCTACCACCAATCAATAACCTGCTAGGGAAAAAGGAAGTTATACCTGAAGGATGAAGAAGCTTCTGGTGATTAATCTCTACTGATGACAAAATCGTGTAATGTTTGTGTAACACTGTGCCAGCAACCAATAACCGCCACCCATGGAAAAGTGTATGATATCTTTCGTTGACATCGACTGTTACACAAGAATCAAGATCCGGATTACTAACCAACGAGCACCTCAACTTCCCTCTACCGGACGCGGCGTGATTACCCAGAGAGATAGATATTCATGGCTCAATGAAGGTCTAAACCGATATGACCCCTGCATACAGGTGGCAGTCAGGATCAGTATCCCCATAGTTCTCAATTTAGGGTGTGAAAGTCATCAGGTAGCGTTATTCAGAGTAGACCATGATTTTTATAATTATTTTAATATATTATTCTAAACTCTGGACCTTGACCAGATGGTAGTATACTATGAAACAAACCTATCTTATCCTTCATTAGCTCGACAATAGTGCCTGGAGGGAATTTCAGTATATTTATATGATTTTAAATAGATTTTTAAAAATATGGTCTCCTCTTATAGTTCTCTGCTATATACTCTTTAAATATGAGCTAAAGTGCCTGGAGGGAATTTCAGTATATTTATATGATTTTAAATAGATTTTTAAAAATATGGTCTCCTCTTATAGTTCTCTGCTATATACTCTTTAAATATGAGCTAAATGTTACTTAGACACTACTATTTTATATGAGGTATTTGATGTCGAGGGATATCTTCTCTTGAAGAAGCGAATCAATGTGTGGGAAAGTCTGGATTCTTGGGACATGTATAGACTCTATCACTGTCATGGTCTTAAATATGGGTATAGATATAGGTTGCTATACTTTAATTCCGTCGAAGTATTAGTCTAATTTCTATTTTTCTATTAATATCTAAGTTACCAAGTACACCTGTACTGGTGGGAGGACTATATGCTATATTATTAAATATGGCCTTGATACTAGAACTAAATCTGACACTATCCTAGCCTGTATAATAGAGATAATTAGCCTGTATCATCCTAAGTTGGAATTAGCTTGCCACTGCTCCTCGAAACTTCTTCTTCTACATCGGCCAGGGAATGGTAAATTCGCTATCTATTCATCCAGCGATACAACGCATTCATCATCACCACCAGACTTAAGTATCTGTCGAGTCAGCGACCCTGCTTAGCACTAGTTAGAATATTAATCCAATTTACCTTCCATCTTTAAACTAAATTCAACACCGGCATCTTTCTCAACCGAGTCACAAACATAACGCTAATAGCAACAACCGAGCCAGACTATCTGAATGGATGCGATTCTGCGATGTTCGACCGAGTTCTAGTAGAAGCTTATTCTTATCTGAATACACTGACCGGGGTATATTCTGTAAGAGTGGATTGTAATACCCGTACAGACCCTACGTACAGCCTCCTCTGGACCCTACATTAAATTTCAGGTAGGGCTTGGATACATGGGAGTATGCGAGAAATTGAATCTCGCCGGCTCTGAAATGGTGAACCAGAAACTGAAGATGGTATTCTAGTCCAATTGGTGTCACTGTACCTGGAGTAGGGGTAGGCTACAGTGTTGGCCCGTGAGTTACTAGTATAATACGTTGGACCTAGAATCCCACTAAACATGGAGAAATTCCGCTGAAAGCTAATATAATATACATCTGTACCACCCGAACCACCCAAAAAAGCTTAAACAAAACATCAGGTAATCTGCAAATCACCTCAACGACACCATCGAATGCTTATCAAAATCCTCCGTCACCGGCCAAGGTAACCTCGCAGCCGCAGTCCGGCACCGATGTCGCATCCCCACGAGAAACAAGCCCCCGGCCACCAGCCACTCAGCCCAAAGGATCGGCAGCGCGCGATACAGAAATGGATTGCAACCATTCGTCCAGATCTGCAGGAGCACGTCGTATAATTCCCTGGACGGAAGGACATAGCCCAGACGGTAGAATCCCGCGGACAGTTCAAACGGCGCGATGCTGCTGGATACGTTGAGGATGATCCACGTCAACATGAAGAAGGGGAGGAATTGCGGGGGAATGAACGCTGTCGCGCAGTCAATCAGAAGAAAGTGTAGATGCATGACCAGCCAGATAGCCATCCACGTAAGAGCGAATTGGGCGCCCGTGACGGACCAAGATTCGCGAAACGCCCAGATGTAGCCGGTCATAACGAGGGCGGCGGTGAAGGTGTAGAGGAGGGAGATGGCGACGCGGAGAAGCAGGTTTTGGCGCGGGGTGAGGCGGGCGAAGATGTGGAATTGGGTGGAGATGCCGTTGAGGGCCATCAGGAAGAAGAATTGAGGCAAGATGGTCATCACCATGGACACGGTGTTGTAGTAGAATCGGACGCCTTGGTCCATGGGGGCGAGGTCGGTGCCGGTGCCGCTGATGGGGAGGAGGAGGGTGGCGGCGATGGCGGGGTCGGTGAGGTTGCTGGCGCTGGAGAGCAGGGTCGTGCCGTGGGTGTGGGCGTAGATGGCGGCGGTGGTCTGGACGAGCTCGGCGAGCTGCGAGTATACGCCGGTGGCGTAGGCTGCGTATCGCGCGCCTTTCCAGTAGTATTGGAGGGCTTGTGTCCGGTCGTATGTCTGGGCTGCATCTGAGGAGGTTACGGCGGCTGTCAAATGGGCTGAGGCATTGGCGCGGGCGTAGATGGCGCCCCAGTACTGGCCTTTGCATACTGCTTGCTGGATGTCGGCATCGGTTGGGTATTCGCTGACGGAGTGTTGCTCCAGGGTGACGAGTGAGGGGCCTTGCAGGATGTTGTAGGCTCCGAGAACGGACTCGCCAATTGGACCCTGGTCATAGTCCACATACAGCACATGCATGGCACTGTACCGGGTGGTGTCATGAAAAGCCGTGCCGTAGAGGTAGCACATGTTGAGGAGAAAAACCAGCTGGAGGGAGAGAAAGGCTCCCCCGACGCCAATGAGGAATGGTTTAGGGAGATGCATGGTGATGTGATTAAGGAATAAAACGAAGAAGACATACTAAGGGAAGAGACCCAGGGGCTCGAGGGTATAAGGGTTATGTACGGAGTATATCGGCAACCGCCAAGACGGAGGGGATTAGCTAATTACTTCCGAGCCATGGAACCGCCCAGCCCTAAGTGATCTGCAGATAACTTAACAGGTCCACTCCCCTGGTTAGGAGGCAATTAACTCATCACCATGCAAGAACCCCCCTCGGTCAAGCACACGGCTTGTGACACATGCTATACCCGGAAGGTCGGATGCTTTTTCTCTCCGAAGCTCCGTGCTAATGCTGCCTTAGATCAAATGTGATAGCACGCGCCCTCGCTGTGGCTGGTGTCGTCAGCACAATCGGGATTGTTCTTATGCCCGAGTCCGGCCCCGACGGCAAGCAAAGCCGCAACGAGTCAGTCTGATTGATCGCCTCCGCCGCTTGGAAGAACGGATGCAACGGGGAACGGATGGCAAAGGGCCTCGGACTGGGCCTCCAGATCAGGCTACTCTGCAGCCATCCCCGAGGATCATTCCTTTGCCTAGTAGCCATGCACCATGGGAAAAGCCTTCGGTCTACACAGGCCGTAGCATCGCACCGCGGGCCGAGTTGCCAATGAGATCAGTGCTGCAGCAATACCTCGATGTGTATCATTCATCAACCATACGGATGATCTTTCCGGTGTTGTGCCACCGCATGCATCTTTGCCTTGATGGCCTTGGTCTCCAGCATGGACCACGATGCCATCTGCTGCACTGCTCCACGTCCTCCTCCTATCCCTCGACTGGCATACATCGACCATGCACGAGCTCTACTGCCATCTCTCGTGCAGAACTCGCTGAGCCTGGATGCAATCCAGACCGCGATCCTGCTAGTAAGCAACCCCCAATCCTGAATCAATCACTCACCCTGATTGTTCTAGGCAATCAGCGGTACGATGATCGGCGAACTCCAAACCGCCATGAATTTCACCTCGATCGCCGCGCGACAGATCATGGCCGTCGGCGCTCACACTTGGAGCGAGCCCCCCGGGGATGAGTCGGCCCTAAGCACCCCCAAACACCTCCGCACTCTCTTCTGGATCTGCTATGCCCTAGACAAAGACCTTGCATTACGGACCGGACAGCCCCATTGCCTTCGCAACGACGACTGCAATCTGCAACTGCCTACCGCATACATCGAGCAACTCGACTCCCGCATGAGCTATGCCCCACAGTCCCACCGCTACGAGGGGGCTCTATTCCCCGTCGACCTCCGACTCAGCATGATCAAATCCCGCATCTTCACAGCCCTATACTCCTACAGTGGTCTTCGCAAAACGGACGTCGAAATCATCCGCTCCATCCGCGAACTCGACGACGAGCTCGAACAATGGCGCACTTCCATTCCCGCTCTCCTCCGTCCGCAACTCTCGTTTGCCCACCAGCCTGATGCCACCACCCCCAAGAACATGTCCCTGGTGCTCACCCATCTAGATTACTACTCCTGCGTCAACCTGATCCATCTTGCCGGCGGTCGCTGCCAAGCATGGCGATCGACCACCACGCCCGCGGGGCTGATGGATGGTCTTCGACTGTCTCTCAACTTCTCCGTCGAGGCCAGTCGCTCGCTGTTGCTATTCCTGTCTGACTCTGAAGCATATGTTAGTCCTGGAGGCTTTTGGTATACTCCCATCCCTATTCACTAGACATATCTAACGCATCTAGGACATTACTCTTCTACCCCATGTCTGCCATCCTCACCATATTCTGCAACATTCTCGAGAACCCACATGCCGACACAGCGAACCGCGATATCCAGCTCTTGGAAGCGGCGGAACATACCACGGAAAAGTTATTCCTAAGGCAGAGTTTGAAGGCGGGGGAGTTGCAGCCCGTCACGGGGTTTATTTCTATATTGAAGGAGATTGCGTGCCGGGGGGTGGGTGAGCCTGATTCCTGACCAAGCACGTAAAATTGCTTTGCTATAGACTTCTCTATCTATCTGTTTCTTCTGGATATATCTCATCTTCATAATCACGAGCAGACCACCAATACATAAAGCAGACCTCATCTCTAGTAATTCAAACGAAACACAAGTAAATCTCGATTACATAGCACCGACAACCATCCCAATATGAAAATAGATTAATTTATCACGGCATCAAAGACAACCCCGCGCTAACTGCCTGTCGGAACTCATGCAAATCCGCGTTCCGCTTACTAACTGGCGATCTCCTGATCGTCAGATCCACAGTGGGTCTGGCCAGACCCTGTTCGATTTGCTGCGTCCAGGTCGATATGGCGGATAAAGTTGGATTGCTGGTAATTCAGCACGAAGAGGATTTGCTTTGTATGATTGATTAGTCTATTCGGGTAATGTGGGTTTCGTATGTCTTTATGGCAAAAGTGTTCTAGAAGCTCTAGTTCACATGGTTCATCTGTACTCGGTCGGCGTGTACCGATTGATTAACAGATCGAAAGAGTATCCTCAGCGATGATTGAATTTAGACCGGGTGGGACAATTATGAGCGTGCTGAATATGGGGGAATTGCTTAGTGTCTGGATCTATCTTTGTTTATAATGACATTATATTTGAAAGGAGTAAAGATATTCCCTGTGTGAAGTCATGGTTAATACGTAGATACAACACAAGATAATGAATCAGTCGTTGTGTGCGTGTCTTATCTTTCACGGGAAGTGCGATATAGCTGAATGATCTAGTACCTAAACATTATCCTCTCGGAATCATATCTCTCTGAACATGGAAGACCTTCCATCTCTCAATACTCAAGTGGATGAGGGTTCTCCGACAGTACTATTCACTGGGAGAATCTCACCATTTTAGTCTACTGGAAAATATATATCCCACCGCTAATCGGATAATCGCGTGATGGGGCACCCGTCTTGAGAGGCATGCTCGTCAGCAGATGTATAAGCGGTGCATCTCCGTTATGTCCTCTGCAGATGTTTGAAGGGCTGGGGGCTGAGATATGCCTCGCTTGACACCTATACTCTAGACTTTGGATCTAGGCACTGCGTACTCGGCAGGTCAGACGAGACCCCTCAGTGTCATTCCTAAAACCGCAATGATTACAACCTGCATCCAAAAGTATTCAGCATGACCACCATCCCATCCAATCTCCCTGGTATATACTCAGCGCCGAAACACGAACCGAGTAGCATCAATGAGAATGGCCGGGGTCAGATCGATGTCCCGCTCCGGCGGCACGGGGGGTCGCCCAATCACTCTTTCAAACTCCAAGATGACCCGATCCCCCTCCACCGTGGGGGGACTAACCCCATGATCCACCGTGGTGATGGAGACACGGTCAGGGACATAAACCGGGGGAAGGGCAGCGCGCGCGCGAGTTCTGGGATAGACCGCCTGTTTGGGGATGTACTTTTCGAGGACAACCGTCTTGGTGGTCCTAGTCACCTTAATCACAAGGACGATATGGACTTGACCACCCGAATGGGAGATCCACCAGGCAAAATCTTGTCGCAACCGAGGCATCGACTCGGAGACCCCGGCCTCAATCACCAGAAGGGGCCAGTCAAACTGTGGTCGTAAGGTGGGATTGATCCACGACGCATCGGCTTCTTTTGCCGACGCCGTGGGGCCTACGTACTTAGTGGCTCCGAGGGACAGGAACTCGTCGCGAGTGATGCGCATACTCCGGCATTGGAGGTTGACTTCTTCCGCGACGTTGGTGTGGACGGATTCGTGCTCTGGAGTCGGGACTTTGACGAGCATGGTGGAGATGTCCGGGAAGTATGTTAAGGCCACTTTTCCGCCGAGCGCATCCCGGTGCGTCTCGATGTAGCTGAAGGTTTCCGCCGAGACATGCTTGTACGATAGGTACTGGGTAACATCGCGGGTCTGCAGCTGTTCGGCTTTGGCGAGGATGGCTGTCTTCAGGTCCGCGAATTTGGTATAGGTCTTGGGAGGGCGCAGCCCGGTCATGGCCAGCTGCGATGAAGGGAGAACGGTAAACTTGGGGACAGGCATGGTGGATGGGGAACGATGTGATGAAAGCGCTGTAAGCGGCGTTGATTCATCGCCGGTTCGGGTAGAAGGGGTCGCCATTTTCCTGATTGGTGAGTAAGCGGTGAAGCAGCCCGTGCCATGGACCGACTATTGATGAATGTTCGTGTGGTCTGAGACATTGGCAGTGATCATGGAACCCCAGTATCGTCACTAGCCTATATGCCAAATTATTTATTCATTTCTTTCCTGCAGTTGCTGCATGCTGGCCGAGTTAGGTAGTGTACGGAGTGCCTACTCCAGAAGCATACAGCGTCCCTCACTGTCGGGATCTCTCGATAAGTGAAGAATGCTTAGTGCGCTCAGGAATATGGATACCGACCAGGAGGCTTGGACTCTAAGTTACTGTTCGCTACTCCGTATATGATAGATCCTTCAAGCATATATCCGTATGACAGGACAGAATCTATGACCATATATACACCACCGGCTGAATCCATTACATACAAGTACATCTTCGAATGATCTAGATCCTTTTCTCACCCGACTTGCCTATTAGAGTTACCGCTGCCCCAAGTGCCCCACAACCCACCTAGTCTACCCACCATACACACTCCCGTACCTTGTATAGCATCACGTATTTTACACAAAATAAATCCAATCCCTCACATTCCTCCCACTGAATATAAAATTCCCCTATCTTCAATGTATCTCCCTCAGAACCAAATCCCTCTGTCCCTCATTCACCTATCCCATAACCATCACCATGTCCGCTCCAACGACTGTAACCTCATCATCCACCATCCTCGGCACCATCGGCACCATCTTCTGGTGCATCCAACTCATCCCCCAAATCTGGTATAACTGGCGAAGAAAGAAAACCGAGGGTCTCCCTGCCGCGATGGGGTTTTTATGGGCTATTTGTATGCCCCCCCCCCCCCTTTACATCAAACAGATATAGGGATACTATGCTAATATGTATCTGTAGGTGCGGTGCCGATGGGTGTATATCTAATTTTACAGGTATACCCCCTTCTCCACAGACTTATTTTTGATATTCGGTTTGGGAATGGGGTACTGATGGTGGTAGGAAGTCAACCTCCCTATGCAAATCCAGCCGCAGATCTTTGGGACGTTTTCGGCGGTCATTTGGGCGCAGATTTTGATCAGTTAGTCCTATCCCTCTGGTATTACCATGGTGGGTAATGTATTGATATGGAACAGCAAGTATACCACCCTTAAAGCTACAGGTGCTTGTATTGGGTTGTTGGCGGTCATGGGGGGCGTGGAAGTACTTCTTGTTTTGACCTTACGGGTATACTATCTACCTTATTCCCCTGTCAGCTGGTATAAGCTAATTGGTGGTAGATCCCGTATAATAAAGGTATCACGTGGCCGGATATTCTCGTCGGGGCGATTGCTACGGTTCTGTTGGCGGCGGGCGTGTTGCCGATTTATGTTGAGTTGTGGAAGAGACGGGGGCGGGTGGTTGGGATTAGTATGTTTTCATGGTTTTAGTTGGTGAGTGGTGCTGACGGTGGGTGTAGATTGGGTCTTTTTGGGTATTGATACCATGGGAGGATTGTTTTCGCTGTTTGCGCTGGGTAAGATACAATCCAAGAAAGATTTGCAGGAATCCTAACGAGAGCAGTAGCGCAAGGATCGTTTGATATTCTCGGTGGCATCATGTATCTTGTCGTGTAAGTTGTCTTTGGTGGGAGAGGTGGGTCTCTGCTAATGAACAGTGTGATCCTCGAAATGGGCATCTACACGAGCCACATCATCTGGCGCATCCGGTTTCGTCCAGTCCGAAAAGAAGCCAAGCGTTCTGGCAGAACGGTGGAAGATATGCTCGAGACATCCGGCGTGGTATGATCACAGAATCAGCATCCGCCGCTCCGACCGTCTCATCAGTTGGATCCATGTGCCGCTGCTTTCCGACCAATATTGCCGCAGAAACGACAACACGTTGCGTCGGTCCAATGTGCCACTGATTTCCATCACCAATTCGAGTTCGTGGGCGACCAATTCCTGTTTCTCCGGGCATTCCCGGCACTCAGTACCCGCGATAAACAGCGGCCACACCAGATCTTGCGCAAACGCGCGTTTGTCAGGAATCAGGGCCAGGTGGGTCAAGATCGAATCTCTCCAACACGGAAGGGGATACGAGCTGGCCAACACGTGATAGACATAGATTAGACAAGCGTAGTAGAAAATCCACACCAGGTGCTGGAAACTGATCCGCGCATCCTCCGTCTGCCAGCAGAGCACGAGGTCCCGTTCATGCATGCGAGTCTTGGCGGCCTCCACGTCTTGCACCATCGTATCGAGTAATGAAGAATCACTGGCATAGGGCTGATTATATTGCCTTCGCTCAATGCGCGTCACCTGGTTGATGATGTCGACAAAGTCGCCGAAGAGAGCGTTGCTGTCGGCATACGTCTCACACTCATTCAGTGTATTAAACGTCGTAAGTCCGGCGAAAACACTTGCGTAGTACTGCTCGTAGACAAGAAAAGCATCAATCTCCGAGCGCCCGTGTGATGCATGCTCCTTCCATTGACGGATCACACGCGCCGCCTCCAGATGCATCCACCACTTGGCGGACGCGGCGCCGAGTAATTCCACATTATACAGAATCAGGGTTGCGGCGAGTGCACACTGTGCCTCGCTGGAGGAGCCCTCCCTCATGCGACGAATCAGCTGCGCCACCGAGGCCAATGCCTGATTCCGGCGACGCACGGAGACGGCTTGGAGTAGTTGACGGCGCGGATGCTCCGGCGGGAATCTAGCCGCCAGGTCTTCCGACGACAGCGCCAGAACGGCATGTAGGACCGTTGGCGATGTCCCGGCCAGCGGGATGATGACAAGTCTCCATGGGTTGGTCGGGCCGTCCACCCAAGCCAGCCTCGTGGACACGTTCCGATGGTAATGATGCATGAGTTCGGATGTTGTCACAGATGCATCCGATGCCACCGTCGATGCCACCGCCAGATGAGGAGGTATAGGCAGCTGCCTACCCGCCAGTCGGCCTCGACTGGCGACCCCTTGAATCCATTTCAGGATGCGGCTGTAGCCAGGACAGGAATATCCCCGTGAAGTGCATTTCCGACAAGCGGGCATCGACCGGTCGCATTTGATGCGACGAGTTCGGCACTTGGGGCAGTCTTTATCTGCAGTGCTGGCTCGCGTGGACATGATGCCACGACGGCGGAGATAAGTTTCATCAGACTATGCGGTGCTCAGATGGCTACGAATGGTTGAAAATTAAGTGGGGTAGCGATTAGTTACAGTTTGGGGTTCTCGGAAAGAATCGGATATCCCTGCTGAGCCCATCCCTGCAACACCCGATCCCGCAATGCCTGCTGCGCGGGGGGAGCTCTGCCCAGTTTTCCGCGCCGCCGGCGGGATTCCAGGGTCTCCTGCAGTTGTATTTCCGCGGTGAACTGGTATGTACGGAGTTCAGCATTATGCCAGCCGGTTCCTGTCAGAATTAGCACACGAAACAAAACTGTAGGTGCAAACTCACCCTCAAACGTGCATCCATCCTCCCAGTCCTCGGTCAAGAAATGCAACAACCCGCCGTGTGAGACCACCACGATTTCTTTCTCCGGCCGTGCATGCAGCCACTGTCGCAGATCGTCACAGCGCGCGGAAATCTTTTCTCGCGTGGGTGCAAACCGTCCCATCTACCAGTTCAGATTAGCCCCATAACAACACAATACACATAGTCATACCTTTTCCCTCCATGTCTCACCCACCAAGCTCAGATCCACCGGCAATCCCTTTCCCTCCATCTCGACTCGTAGATCATCCACACTGCTCCCAATATCACAAGGAAAGCTACTGAGTTCCTGCAGATCCGGCAAGGCAAGTATCTTCGCCCTCGACTCGTCCAAGTCAGAATAGAACGCCTCCAGCCCGGTATAAATCGCCCGACGCAGTGGCGAAGTAACCACCAACTCCACGGACAACTTCCCAGCAAATCTCTGCCGAAGCTCTAAGCACTGCTGCTTCCCATGCTCCGTCAACAGCGGGTCGGGAATATTCCAGTACTCGCTGCCGAGGTTATGGTAACCCTGGTTGGTTAGTTGGGAAAAGAGGAAGGGCTGGAATCACCCCACCTGTGCGTGCCGGACGAGATGTATTCTGGGAGGCATTTTGGTTTCAATGCATCGGATTCCAAAGACCTGTTGCCGGATGAGGGACTGTATATACTCACCGATTTGGAGGACATGCCCGTGGTCCGTGGGGGCCCACCCGAAACTTTATTCTTACATACAGCCTGCCTGATTGGGACTAGCCTGTGTACTAGTGTTAGTTGATTTGAACGGCGCTAGCGTTGAGGAAAATCCCCACACGACAATATCGGTATACCTTCGGTCTCCTAGTTTGCGGTACTAGTCTGCAGTTGCAAATTTTATTATCGAGTTTTTTTACATATGGTTTCTACCTGATGTATTCAATTCTGTATCTCTGAGTTGTTGTCGTGGTCTTAAGCATGGATTTAGCCTGGCTAACGCATGTAAATGATGAAATCTAATCACGACTCTGCGTAGAGAAAGCATCATCACTGAATTTATCAGGATTCATACTAACTGAATTAGCAGAGTGACTTTCTTTAGTCTTGTGGTCCGGGTGCTGAGTGTGCGTGCAGTGGTTTTGTTTTAGTCCTGTCGGATAGTGCCTGATGGCCGATACTGTCCAGTACTTATCATTTCTACGGTTTTGGTACTAGTTCGTTCCCTGTTATTGATGATAATATAGTGTCACGTCATAGTACATTCCCGGTAGTTGCTTGAGAAAACTAAATAGATGATGAGGATAATAGAAATGAATCAATAGAACCAGATCAGCAACATCATCACACCACCCAGCAGGAATATTCCAGTCTATTTCCCCTCCCCAATGACTCTCCTCTTCACGTTCCCACCCACCATCACGACCTTCCACGCACTCATCTCAGCGACCTGCACGGTCACTCGTACCCGCTCCTCCGCAAATACTGTCACATAATTATCCGTCCAATACACCGGCACCACCTCATCCTGCGTTACCGAATCCAAGAGCATCAGATGCACGAAGAATGCCGGTGTTCTCGATCGATTCTCCAACGTAACTTCAATCGTTAACCCTGATTTGGATTTCTCTTGCATTGTCACTGTGGTGACCAGCTCTACCGAACCGAGACTGCTCAATCCAGTGAAATTCGCATACTCCGTAACCGGGGTCGTGTACCAGTTCGACTTTCCCCAGTCGAGTTTATCAGTGGCTGAGAGCCAGTACACATTGCGACTGAGCGTCGTCTTTGTGTCTGGATCTTGGAGGATAAGACGGAGGAAGCCCATCTCAGGGACGGTCTTCAGACGGGCGATTGGTTTAGACGTGTTGGGAAGTGTATCTGTTGAGACTTCTTCAGTGGAGATTTGCTGCCCCTGTTGGTCTATCCGATCGATTGTCACTACTCGCTTCCCCCGCTGATCCAGCGAGTGGTTGATTAGGTGCACTTCATGGCTCTCCGGATCATATACGACATGCTCCATCCGCAGTCCCACCTTGGCGCCAAAGTATGCCCCCGCTGGATGCAGATAGTAGTCGAATAGCTGCCAGTGGAGATTAGGCCATGCGCTGTTTAACATCCAGTAGATGACCCCTGTGGCCGGGCGGGGGGCGCTCTGGCGGACGGCGAAAGCTTCGAATTCGGCACGCGTGGCCTCGTAGTCCATTATCTGTGCTTTCCATAGGTAGTCACTCAAAGATGAAGGCGCGCCGTATCGTGCAGTGAGTGCAGCGTTGTAGATCGACCGGGTATAGAACTGCGAGTCGGATCGCGACATGTGGAAGAGACCCGCGTCGGGCCGTTTCCAGAGCGCATCGAGATCTTGCGAAGGGAGAAACCGTCGCAGACTGCTGAGCTCCGGCGTGCCGACGCCTGCTCCTTGCTCGGATCCAAATCCGAAGGCGGCTCCCCGCTGACTTCCGTACCAGTAGTTTGGAGGCACCCAGTCATATGGACCGAGCATTTTCATGCCTGACGGTCCAAGTTTGGACGGGTATCCGCGTTGCGCGGCGGAGGAGACAATCGGGTTCGGCCAGTCCATGCGTCGTAGAGCGGAGGTGTAGATGGCCGTGGCGCGGTCGTTGGGCCAGTAGTCGGAGCCGACGAGAAAGGCGAGGACTGATGGATGGGGCTGCAGCTGTTCGGCTTCATGGAGCATAGATGCCTCGGCTGTCTTGTAGTCGGCATCATCCCATTTGATACCACCGGCCTCGTCATTGTACTATCCAACTGTGAGCTTACTTCTGGTAGGCAGAAGGATGAACGCACCTCCCAACCCTCCCATTTATCGCAACACTCCCACCCTGCCATCACCATCACTCCCATTCGATCAGCGAGGTCGTACAGCTCTGGCTGCTCTAGTTTCCCCTCCAGACGGATCGTGTTGAGACCCATGTCCAAGACATACTGAAGAATATTGCGGACACGCTCCGCATCGAAGCGGAGAAAGATATCCGGTGCATAGCCAGCACCTCGAACCCGAAACGGAGACCCATTAACTGTAAAAGAAATGTCACTCTCGCGACTCAGCGCGGATGTCACCGAGCGAATCCCAAAAGTGGTGTTTGCCCGATCAGCAACTTGATCTTGGATCGTGACGTTGGCGTGGACAGTATACAGGGGCTGCAGACCCCATCCAGCAGGCCACCAGATACGAGGATTCTTCACGGCAACAGAAACGGAGACAGTCGTGCTCTCGCCCCCGCGCAGACTAATGGGACTGGAAAAAGGTATAGACCCATCTTCAGATTGCACCGCTCCCTGAACCACCCCGGTCACCGGCCCATTTCCCCGATTAGTCACATCAGCCCTCACCGACACCGTAACTTGCTCCATATCCGTGCCATTATAATCCGTCAAAACACGCAACGGAGCCAACGACACCATCCCCGTATGCTTAATCTCCACATTCCTCCAAACCCCAGTCCCGTTATCCGGCGGATACGGATTCCAATCCGCAAATCCCTGACCAAAATCCGCCATGTAATCCGTCGGATACGCCTGCACGAGAATGGCATTCAATCCGGATCGAATATGAGGGGTAATGTCGTACGAATGACCGCCGTAACACCCTTGTTGGGATGCGCTCGAGGCGATCTGTGCGCCGTTGAGGAAGAGGTCCGCTCGTGATGTGACACCGTGCGTGACGAGAAGGATGTGTTCGCCGCGGGGCGGGGGGTGGAGGGTCACTTCTGAACGGTAGATCCAGGGGGATTGGAAGCGGGAGGGATCGATGGAGTTGAGACGGTCGCCGTAGAAGAGGTCAGTCTCGTTGTAGATGCTGTTTTGGAGTAGCCCGGCCATGACGGTTCCTCGTGAGCCGACTCGGTGCCATGAGGAGGTGTCGGCGTTGGGCTGGGAGAGCTTGCTGAGACTGGCTGTCACTTGGAGCGATGACTGGAGGTGCCATCCCGGGATGATGGCGGTATCACCAGGCGATGGAACTAAGGCTGCAAGAGCGGAAGGAAGAAATAGCGAAAGCAATAGTGGATGCATGTTGAATATGACAGCTGGAGGGTACAGAAGCGGAACCACCGACTATAAATCACACACAAGCACCGGTCACGGTGACGTCGGGCACACAAATTTTGATTCACCGCTAACAAGAACATACATTACAAATCCTCAAATGCTTTCCAACTTCCATTTCCCTCCCTGCAATTCGCTAGCCTTCCCCCCGACTAACCGCACAGTCACCCCCTGATCCGATACAAGCTTACCGCTGACATTGCCAAGTTCCACTGACCCGGAGGTCCCATTCGGTGTGGTAAAGGTAAGGTCCTGATATTCCCCGGTGGAGGATCTGCTAATGATCGACTGGAATGCCCCCAAACGAGTTTCGAAGCCCGCCTCCACCTGGGTCAAATTGCCCGGCTGCGGTTTGAACAACCAAGTCACCCCCGCCGGCCCTGTGAGATGCAACCCCGCTGCATAGATCGTCAGTGCGGACGTCGGTCCCGTGGACCAGCCGTGTGCGTGCGACACCCGCGGGGTATTGCGGTAGGGCGCGTAGACCAATGATCCATCGGTGGAGTACCCCTCAATAAAGCTCGAATTGGTCATACGTGGGTCATCAAGCATAAATCCCCATTGCAGGCGCAAAAGGTCGAGCGCTACATCTGGCTGACCGGCCAAGTAATGAGCCTGCAGCTCGAACCCGCCGATAAAAGGGGACACAGTCGTACCGGCCTCAGGCGCGGGTGCGCCGTACGGTCCCCAGCGGGCGGCCAGTGCAGATGAGATGACGGCGCTTTGGTTGGCCGAAAGGGTCAGGTTGGCCTTGACGGCCCACGAGTTGCCATCCTGGGGATGGAGGGTGGTGGTCTCGTTGTCGGTATAGAGGCCACTTGACTCATCCCAGAGCAGGGCGTTCGCAGCCGACTTGATCCCTGCCGCAGTCGTGCTCCAATTCCGGATGTTGGAGGAGTCATTGAGGGTTTGGGCGAGGCTGATGGCATCATTGAGGACGTAGTATAAGATCGCGTTCGCTTCAATGTTCTGTCTTCATTAGTCTCCACCCATCCATGGTAGGTGACACCAGGGGATCTTACATGCGCACCCATGCCAAATCTCAACCAATCAGCACTGGCTGTGATGTTGGCCAGGCCAGTCTGGTCCACACTCGACAACGCCCACTGAACACCTTTCTTGTATTGTCCCCAGTATCGGGACAACCACGCACGGTCTCCGGTGTACTCATAGTACGATGCCGCTCCAATCAGACTGTGGAGGTGGTAGGTATAACTGACGATATCGGTGAACGGCTTCCCGGCATAGGGAAGACGGCCATCGGCTTTCTGAAGAGCATACAACGACTCTAGCGCCGTGCGAATACTGTACAGGTCTGCAGTGCTGACAGCCACGCTCTCCAGAGCAATAGACATGTCACCCGGCCAGACGAGCCGATCCCGCTTGGCTCCATCAACCAACGTACTACTACCATTGGTAATGGTGTAGTTGGACCACCAGGTGTCCGTCTGCGGGAGCGTGATGTTGTCGGACGAGGTGATGACTCCCAACCACACCAAGGCGTCACCGGAAGTGGGGTCAATACTGCAAAGCTGCAGGGTATAAGCACCTGCATACCAGATGCGGTTGATGAGCTCGTCATTGCTATGGAAGTATCCCTTGTATGCCCGAAGGTCTTGCGTGGGGGCGGCAGTGTAGTTGATGTGAAGGCTGTTGAGGGAAACCGTGGCCGTGGTGTTGCTGATGACCGTCAGGTAACGGAATGCACCACGATTATATTTCTTGTCCACCGTATACACTCCGGCACCCTGCCCGACCGGAAACCAGAGTGGTGTGTCAAGACCAGCATCCTGGGTAGCATCACAAGCCTCGTTGCTGATCCACAAACTAGACTCTGTGAATGCTACCCCGATGAAGGCGGATTCCGCGGATGCCGACGCGACATCCACGGAGACGATGCCAGCGATATTCAGACCAAAATCATAAGTCACCGAGGAAACTCCGTTAAAGGTGGTTTCCCCGGCCGAGCTGGTCAAAGCGGCCGCATTGGTGACGGAACCGTTCACTTGTCGAACCGAGGCGGGAATCAGGTCGCGAGAGCTCGGAGCAAGGATATACTCTTCATAGGGCACAGCCAGGGCCTCGATGGCCAAGGCTGGCAGCAAAAGCCAGGAAGACCGCATGTTGGTGGTGTGTTCGGTCTCGTTTGTTGCCTGCAGCCAGCATGTTATATACGGCTAAACGTCGGCAGGATCATTCCATCCATTGACGATCGGACCATTGGCGACCGATGACAGTTGAGGCCACGAGAGTGATCGGTAGATCATCCTTCCGAACAACTGACGAGTATCCACTTTGTTCCTCCACTGCCGCCCAGGGTTCCCGGTTGTGGTGAAGAACCCCGCTGGGTTAGCAGACGCAAGGGCGTGGCATTGCTTAGCGGGGCTGGCCCGGGTGAGGGGACGAATGGAGTTCATTCGGGGTGGCGTGGTAGGAGAGGGGACTGAGAAGTGAGGGGAAAGCAAGGGGACGAAATGGAGGAAGATCGGGAAAGGCGAGGGACCGGATAAGCCGAGCGGTGCCGGGGTGCAGCCTTGCTGCCTAGCCAGGGTCCTTCCCCACGGGGCTCGGATGAGCCCGATTACCGAGGATAAGCCGGATGGAATTATATCCACTGTATGTAGGAAACCAAGTTTATTGCTCAACGACAATGATCTAGTAAAACTTACTAGCCTGACATTCCGGTCGCTTTTTCCTGACCGTTCGGTAATATCGATGTGCCGCCTCGCTCTATCTTGCGAAGGATTATGGATGCCTTCTCCCGCTTCTTGAAATGTCCTCTTGCCGGTATTTAAGCCACTATTCGCCAAGTATTGCGCATGTCGGGATTTTCGAAATGACAGTACTCACAAGAACAATAGGTTCGCGCGTTGGAGGACTCTATAAGCCCGGCTGAATGGATCCAATATATCAAACGCAGCTAGCGTGCGGGATTTCTTGCAGCATACCCAGTAACAACCAGTGGCCAGCTCAGAATGTTGTGGGAGGGTAAGTTCGAAGAGAGTTGTTGTAGGTTATCGATGAAATCTTCCACCAGCGTCTGAACCGTGCTATCTCCATCGAGTCGAGATGGAGCCAAAGGTTTCCTAATGTAGATGCGACATGATAGTCCGGACAGGTTGGATACAATGGCATCATGGGGATGTTGCAGGTCTGTTTTATCCATGAGGTTGGACTCTATTTGGCCAATAGCATGTTCTTGGTCCAATAGCAGGAGTTCCCTTCTCGCTATCGAGTCCTCATCAGGCTTGCTAGACATCAGACTGTGACCCAACAGAGCAATGCGATAAATGGCGATGAATAGAGACTGAGACGCTCCCATGATATGGCCATACTGCACACGTTCAATGACCAGCCGGGAGGCGCAGATGTGTTTGGCCCGGGTAAAGAAATGACTTATGGCACATCGGAAGATCAGCGCAAATTAAACCCGTTCCTACACGGCCACTCTATCCCACAGCGCGACTTCCAGATATTCGCCAATCTCGGTTCCTCCGTCCGGGCGCAGCATGCCCCCCGCGCTTTCCTTCAGATCTTCCCAGCGACGCCAGTGCTCGTCGATCACCTCGGCCATTCCGGACGCATTAAGTATCTCGGCAAGACGATAGTGGCAGTCCAGCAACGCGGCGCTAGGCAGCTCCAAGTCTTCCGCGCCGGGGGCTTGCTTTAATTCGATCATGTTGCTTGCAGGCAGAGCCCGCCGCTCACTACTCGGATACCTTCTGAAGAAAACACGTTCGTATAGGTTGGGAGTGTCCTATGCAGACACTAGTCAGTCCAAAAAGCTCTGTCGATGCACATGGTCCTCGGAGTTACTCACGGTTGGCTTTAGGGCAATCGAAAAGGCACCAAATGCCATATGGACAGGGCTGCGCATTGTGAGGCCGTTGGTCAAGCTATTGATTGTTTCGACCGCTATACCTTCATGACGGACACCGGGAAAGCAGCGCCACAAGACTTCCCAGGCGGTTGAGGTCTCGGATGGCGGTTCCTTTTCGGTCCGTATGAATGGACTGGCATGATCGCAGGGGGGTCCTACTGAAGAATACGGCCAGGAGGCGTAGGAAAAGGGGATAATATGCCCCGCCTCCACGGGCCCGAAATCCACGTCCGTCGGGAGCCCTCTCGCCTCCCAAGTATTTATGTCGAGCTCTCCGCTAATTACGCAGCGGTAGCCATCCCTCCTTAAGCAATCATTACGGAAGCTCCTCTGGCGTTCGGTGGGCTGGTCCAGGGTGGTGGCAACAGCCTCCACAGATTGCAATCTGCGGGTGTGCGGGGAGCTGGTGACGGTGCCCGGTCGGGAGCGGGTTTTCACTTGTCTGGTTAGTAATGCTGGTATATGCTAGTATTTCGAATGACTTACTGGGCATGGCGAGGGCAGATAGGAGGTTAGAAAAACCTTCGTGGAGCTTGTCGTCCGTTGAGGCACCCACGATATCCCGGGCGATAGACTCCCTTCCGCCCTCTGGGAGCCACTGTAAGAAAGCATTTAAGGAAGCTTGCAGCTTGTCTTCATTGGGTCTTTTCTGATGGGTGTAGTTCGCAATCCGAGCCTCCGCCTCCTTCCGAAGGCTCGGCCAGGTTTCTTCGGTTTCCACGTCTGTCGAGAAGATGGAGAGCTCTCTTTGGAGCGTGGGACGGGGGGGCAGGCCACTCGATGCACTCTCCTGCTGGGTTCTCAGGCGTGCGGAGCGTTGCGGGGGCGCAGGGGACATATCGCGCTTTCTCTTTGATGCCATGATGACCTGTGTTGATGGCAGACAGACGACAGATTGGATGCAGATCTACAATTATTATTAGTTATCCAGGAACTGCCGGCAGATCTCTTATCATGACGCGATTGTTGACGAGAATTTCCACCGCTGTAGGTACCGCCCTTGCCACCGCCCCCACACTGCAACACCGTATGGATTCTAGGAGATTCTTATTCTTTCATCCCTACGTAGAAGTACTATTCAAATTTCGTCACATGAATGCCTTCTGCTCTCCGTTGCTTTCCTTTTTGGATTCATGTCAAGAAGTATCTATTCGACACCTTGTGTAGTATCGCACGAAAAGCCTAATTCTCCAAAGTAACACCACGACATGAATGAGACGAAGAAGACAACTGACAGACACGAAGCAAGCTGGGGAATTGACTCGCTTGATACAACATTCCTTATGGCCAGCCATAACACTACGCTAATTACAATACACACACATACACAATTAGAACTGCTTCACCACCCTCTGAAACCTCGGCGGCTTCCTCGTAAACTTCTCCGGCTCATCGCGGGCACCCTTCTTCCAATAATCGAACTCCATCCACGCATTCTCCGGCATCTGGGCCTCCGTGGCCTCCAGAAACTCTCCCAAGTCTGGATTCAACGGAATTACACCCGTCTCAATAACATACTGGTCCCAGAGTTTGAGCAGCTGCTTCAATCGCTCAGGTTCCTGCTCCGCCAGATCGTGGATCTCCCCGGGGTCCTTGGCCAGGTTGTATAACTGCCAGCGCTCTGGGCCCTTGGGCTTGGGGATATAGACGATCTTCCAGTCGCCGAAGCGCAGTGCCGCCCGGCCGCAGGTTTCCCAGCCTTGAATAAAGTCTTTTTCGTGGATGCGGGGGTTATCGCCGGCTGCCCATGGGTAGAAGGATTTCCCGCGCATCGGGACGATCTCGCGGCCCTGGTAGGACGGGGCTGGGTGGGAGACGCCGGCCATGTCGAGGATGGAGGGGGCAAGGTCCATAACCGTGGCGAATTGGTCGGTGATAGAGCCGGAATGGACGTGAGAGGCGGTGTTGAGGGAGGTGGGGAAACGGGCGAGGAAGGGCACGCGGACGCCGCCTTCGGTGGTGTAGGCTTTGTAGAGGCGAGACGGGGCGGTGGCGGCTTGGGCCCAGCGTGGACCGTACCAGATGAAGGAGTTGTAGTTGCCCAGGTTCTCGAGAGAGTTGTCGTAGTATTTCTGGAGATGCGGCATGACGCCGCTTTGGACCATGGGGTAGGCTTCGTAGGCGGCGCCTTCAGCGCCGTTGTCGGACATGAAGCAGACAAAGGTGTTGTCGAGTTCGTCGATGGAGGCAAGGTAATCGACGACCTTTCCGACGTTGGCGTCGATGCATTCGACCATGCCTGCGAAGACTTCCATGGCTGTGCAAGAGAGTTTCTTTTCCTCCGGGGTGAACTCGTCCCAGGGCTTGGATTCGTCCTCGTCAGCGACCACGGGGTGCGGTTCGACGTCGGGGCTGATCATTCCCAGCGCCTTGAGGCGCTCAAGCCGCTTTTGGCGGAGAGCATCTGGTCCATCGTCATATACGCCGCGGTAGTGGTCAATATATTCGCGGGGAGCTTGCAGAGGCCAATGCGGGGCTGTGAAGGGGAGGTAGGCAAAGAAAGGGCGGTCATCGCCGCGGTCATGCCAGTCTTGAATGTACTCGCGCATTTTGTCACCGTAGCCATCGGAGGAATACCAGTCATCGGGCAGCTTCTTGACGTATTTGTCGTCTTCCATGTGCAGGGCAATATAGCTGGCCTCGAGGAAGGTGGGGGTTTCGTCGGTGCCTTGGAGCTGGGGCTCGTAGGCGTAATGGTTGGAGCAGGCCGGGAGATGAGCGAGGGAGCGGTCGAAGCCACGGCGGAAGGGTGAGCGCTCTGGGGTCAGACCCAGATGCCACTTGCCAGACATGAGGGTGTGGTAACCAGCGTCGCGGAGGACTTCAGGCAGGGCAACAACGCGCTCGTTGAGGTAACCCTCATAGCCCGGCATACCACGTTGGGGAGCAGTGCTCATCTGGGCACCTTTGGGACCGTTCTGGCCGGAGATGTTGGTCCATTCCACAAGGTTGCCGAGACCAGCGATGTGGTGGTCAGTTCCGGTCATGATCATGGCGCGGGTGGGACTGGTTGAGTTAGAGAGGATTTCAACATGGGTAGAAGGAAGCACATACGAGCATGCTGCTGCTGCATGAAAGTCGGTGAACCGAACACCCTCCTGGGCCAGACGGTTGAGGTTGGGCGTGCGGATCTCTCCTCCATAGCAGCCTATGTCGGAGAAACCCAAGTCATCAGCGACGACCACGAGGAAATTGGGGCGTTTGGGGGCCATGATAAGAGTAACACAGAGATGAAAGACAAACAGGCACGAGGCTCGTAACCTGATTGAGAGAGACCAGGGAGGGGTATTTGAATGCTTGGGAGAGCTTACCCCGTACTATGGCCATCGGCAATCGGCTGGTGGCACGCGGCATTGGCACCGATGGAGAGGGGCAGCCCCGCCCGATTGGCTTGATCTGATAGTCGCGGTGGAGCGGCGGTTCATCCGCGGGCGCAAGGCCAATCAGCAGATCACGCCATGGACCCCGCTTCTTACGCACTCGGCTCTCGGCTGCTTTGCCTCTTCCGATCACTGAGTGGGATGATCGGTCCCTGTCTGTCTCCGGCGTGATCGGTGGCAAAGAGACAATTTTTGGGAATGGAGGCAAGATGGCGGTGGATGCGGCTCGTTTTTGAGCTGCTGAGAAGTGCGCCTTCCAATGAGGCTGAATCAGTAGGCTTGCTGCGGAGAAGGCAGCCATGTAGACCATTCAGTTCCTCGGTGGCTCAGATGTGATCTCCATGAGTGATCAGATGATATCCAATAGTCAGTACCGTTACGTATTGGCAGACTAACACGAACGCGGATTTTGCGTGAGAGATTGGCATATCAATTATTCTCTATTCGAGTAGCCGGACACAACTAGAAGTCATTACATCTATCCAATTATTCATCCCATACCACGCTGCTCAGACCCGTGGACGTACCAACCTCGCCGGGTTCCCCAACCTGCAGACTAGCCACTGCTTCTCCCAGCTTGCCAGTTTGAGGGTCTCGCGTCACGATGGCAACGTTCGATGAGGATTGATCACCAATTGCGACCAAGTCTCCGGCCTTGTTAATCACAAACGTCCGGGGAACGGTGCCGTACGAAGAGGTCAACTCGTCAAAGGTGACAATACCATTTGAGGAGGGATCCAGATTAGCCATGGAGTCGTTGGGCGGGAAACCTTGATCACTCCGAATCGACACATACAGAGAGCTACCTGCTTGTCGGATTTCAGATGGGGTAGCTCCCTCTGGCAGCTCGCCATCTGGGTAGGGCACGAAGGACTGGATCTCGTCGAAGTCAAGACAGCCATCGGACGAGTACGTGACTGTGAATGCCTTCAGATGACCGTCCAGCTCATTGACAATATACAGGATGACACTGTCCTGCTGCCGGGTCTTCAATTGGCTGGTGAGTATGGAGTGCTCAGTCGTCCAGAAAATGCCATGTCGGGGTCCACTGCCAGCTGGGTATGTGATATCGGCGCAGCGACTGTCCAATTGACCGGTGGATTTGTCGATAGCGTACACGCGGACGAGGTCGGCCCCGAGGTCTGGAGCAAGGACGAATGACCCAGTTGGGTCCAAGAAAACCTGATGCGGATGAGGCGAGTCTTGTTGTGGGTTTTCCTTTGGCTCAGAGAGGTTGTAGCGAAAGACCTGAAGCGGCTGCGCTCCTGAAGTCAAGGGCAGAGAAAATGTCGACACGGCGGATCCAGAACTGAACTTATTAGAGGCATACTGCGGCTTATCATGATGGTAACATACTAATGCGCGATGGCTAGGTATTGTGCCCCGTCATCATCAATATAGATAACATTATTCACCCCACCGCCAGGTGCCACAGCAGTCGCTATCTCCGTCAGAGTGCCGTCTTGGTCGGCAGAGAGAGTCGTCAAGGATCCATTGACAGACGCATCACCGGTTTCATCGGAGCAGTATAGAATACGCGAGTCCAAGTCAAAGGTCAGCCAGCTAGGCATAGAGCCACAGGTCTTCAACGAGGAGGCGAGAGAGAGCGAATAGGTGTCATTGTCGCCACGATCCAAAGAAAGGGTGTAGACATTGCCGTCATAGTGAGTAGCGTAGAGGTTGGTCGCCGTCGCCAAAGACAGCCATGATAGCCAGGCTAGCAAGCGAGGAGGAGAACACATGTTGAAATCGTGGAGAGATCTGGCAGTCTCGTTGAGCGATGGGCTAGGTAAATAAATAGTCAGTCACCGACCCGGCCAGCGGAATGGATCTGCATTCTGCGGATGAGTTGTTCCAGGGACGGCAAGTGCGTGCAGGTCCCTGCATATGAGGTCAGTAGATGCGTCGATGCTCTGCAGGCGAGGTTGCCTACCTCTTCTTGTCACAGACCAAAGCCTAGCCAGCCATAGTGTATCGAATTTGACCAATCATCTTCGATTAGCGCTGTATCAGTACTGGTACGCCTTGGAGTCCCTTGCGTAATGTTCTAGACGGTGTAGCATAGTCTAGCTCAGTCTCTACGCCAGAAGGCAGCTGAAGCAGTAGTCGTACTCTTCATGAAGAAACCGACCACGAGCAAAATAAAGCGGAAGAAGAGATGGAAGGTGTCCCCGGCGGCATCACCTGACTGACGCTTCCCAATCAGGCACTCTGCTTATCGCCGGGAGCAAACGGTGCAAACCACGGCTATTGGCGGGCGGGATAAGGCCGACCGACGTCAGGGCCGAGGCCAGCCGCGCCCTCCGCATTCCCCAGCATCCCTCGACGCGGTTATCACCTCGCTGCAGCCCATCTGGCGAGGTGCCGCTCTTGGACTCTCGGGGCTGGTACTCTTTGCAAATCTACCTCAAAATGCTGGCTCTCCGGTCGGCACGTTTATTGCGTGCTTCGCAACCGCTCACCAAGGTTCCTCGGCGATGGAGCAACTCTATATCACAACGCCCTGGATCGGACCGGTAAGACCATTCCAGCTGAACGGGACAAATGTGACAGAGCTGACCAGAACAGTGTCCGCTTTCCAGGTGCGATCAATAGCAAGTTTACCACCGACATGGCCTTCATCAACCCCGCCGAGATGTCGAATATCCCTACCTACCGAGTCATGGATTCCGACGGTGTCCTGGTCGACAAGTCACGGAAGTCTATCGATGTGCCAAAGGAGGAAATACTGTCGTGGTATAAGAATATGTTGACTGGTTCGTGGACTCAAAGCTCGAACGACAGCTCGATCTGACATAGCCAGTGAGTGTCATGGACGTAATAATGTTCGAGGCGCAACGACAGGGTCGGCTGAGCTTCTACATGGTATGCACTGGCAGTGATTTCCCACTCTACCAGTCAGCAGAAATTAACTACCTCAGGTATCCGCCGGTGAAGAAGGAATCAGCGTCGGCTCCGCCGCAGCCCTGACGCCAGACGATGTGGTATTCGCCCAGTACCGCGAAGCAGGCGTCTTCCAGCAACGAGGCTTCACTCTCAAAGACTTCATGAGCCAACTCTTCGCCAACCGCTACGACAACAGCAAAGGCCGCAACATGCCCGTCCACTATGGATGTAACTACCCCCGAACCGTTAGTCCCACCTTCCCACCCCCTCCACCCCCATCTAACCATCCCAGCACACCATCTCCTCCCCTCTCGCAACCCAAATCCCCCAAGCCTCCGGAGCCGCCTACGCCTTGAAACTCCAAGCCCTCCAAAACCCCAACACCCCACCGCGCATCGTAGCCTGCTACTTCGGCGAAGGCGCCGCCAGCGAAGGCGACTTCCACGCGGGTCTCAACATCGCCGCGACCCGATCCTGCCCCGTCGTCTTCATCTGCCGCAACAACGGCTACGCCATCTCCACACCCACCCTGGAACAATACCGCGGTGACGGAATCGCCAGCCGCGGCATCGGCTACGGCATCGACACCATCCGCGTCGACGGCAACGACATCTTCGCCGTCTACGAAGCCATGCGCGAAGCGCGCCGCATTGCCCTCCGAGACGGCGGCAAGCCCGTTCTCATCGAAGCAATGAGCTACCGCGTCTCTCACCACAGTACCAGTGACGATAGCTTCGCGTACCGAGCCCGCGTCGAAGTCGAGGACTGGAAACGTCGCGATAACCCTATCATCCGGCTCCGGAAATGGTTGGAAAACGAAGGCCACTGGAACGAGGATCTCGAGCGGGACACGCGGGATCAGCTCCGGAAAGCCGTCCTCAAGGAATTTGGGGAAGCGGAGCGGGAGAAGAAACCTCCTTTGCGGGAGGCGTTTGAGGGCGTATACGAGGAATTGACGGAGGAGGCGGAGGCACAGAAGAAAGAGCTGAAACGCATTCTGGAGACGTATCCGGATGAATACGATCTGCATCAGTTTGAGGATGGTGTGAATGGGCTATAAATAGATTCCAACCGTGGTTGAAGATACTTGGGTGTAAGTAGAGCTCACAGCCCGATGGCTGATGGTTTGTCATGAGTTATTGCGGTACTGGGTAGCCTCTGGTATAAACGGATATAATATTTATAAATTTGCACGAGACTGCATGGGACAATACGCTATCGCACAGTATGGATAATGGCAGTCTCAAATGCTAGACTCGGACAAGGATGCCTCACAGCCTTGTATTTGAGCAACCGTCATACAAATCTCTGGTGATGCACCTATACCCAGCGCTGTTATAATGGATGTATACTATGAACCTATTTCCAAGTCCAAAAGTCCAATACGATATGCACCCGCTAGCAGTACTGTTCAGAGATGCGAGCGTATCCAATCATGCCAAATCACAAGATTTATGCAATTAATCCGACATCAGCCACTCTGGAATGGCATCCTCGTCTTCAGGGTCTTGCGACAATAAAGAGGTTTCCTCATCGCTGTGCGTGTCCTGGCTGGTGATGCCAGGAGTGGGCGACCGTGATTCGGCTTGTGAAGAGGTCTGGTGGGTTTCCAAAATTTTCGGAGTGGCTTTGACAAAAGATGTGTCTAATGTGTGGTTTGTAACCTGTGATGGATACCCTAGGTCCTCTGGTTGGGTTTCTGTTAAAAGCCCAGTATCCCTAGGAGCACCCGTGAAAGCTTGGATCGAAGGTGCCTGATCCGGAGTCTCGATTTTGGGCACAACAACGAGACTGTATTGTGGAGGGTCTGCTGGGCGGTTCGTATGGCCCCTTCTTGGATTGTTGCTTTGGGGTAAAGGAGTCTCATCCGCACTTGCTTCTGGGATGAACCCTCCACCGAGCTCATCATCGGGTGCGGCAGACATCGACACGTCTCTGTCCGTAGGTTCCTGGGTTTTGGATGGGACCATGTTATCCAACGTTGCCTCTTCTGGCTCAGGGAGAAACCCGCCGCCAAATTCTTCTGGATCAAGAGCCTGAGAGTTTTCGTCCGCTGCCTCAGTTTCTCGCTCTCCTTCGACGGTGTAGCCTTTGACCCTTTCTGCAATGCGCAACCTAAGAAGGAAGTGCTTCCACAGTCGCAGTGCCTCGGCCGACTTTCTTTCTAGTTCAGCTTGCATCTTCTCACTCTCCAGACACTCAATCACTTCTTCAAGTGCCTCCCGGTATTCGCTGGCAATGACTACTCCCTGGAGTATCGCAGTTCCGTGCCGTCCTTTGAAGTTGAATCCGGTAACAGCGTCTGCGTAGTCAATAGCAAGTATTCTGGCAGCGTGTGCAGCATCCGGACGAGTAATGTGGACACCACCAGGAGGTACCATGCTGGGTACAAAGACATCCAAGTTACCATAGATATTTTTTGGTATTTTCCCTCGAACCACTGGCGGGGGTACGTATATCTGTGTCTGGTAGTAAGCATACAGAGGTGTTTCGGCAACAGACTCATCCTCGTCATCAAATGGCTCCTGTGGCTTCCTCGACGCAACACGCTTTAGCGGTTGCTCGCCAGTCTTGATGTCCCGTCCTAAGCGGTACCATCGATCCGCACTCCGGAGGGCATGCACATCAGACCGGCGATACACCGGTTCCAGGATCTGATTCTTCGACCCTGATTTGCCAAGGCTAACCTGTCCAATCACCCGTTTTGGAAAGACGACTTCATTCCGACGAAGATGTCGTTCAAGGGCGTAGAAGGGATGACCCTTGAAATCTTGAATGTTCCGAGGCATCGGCTCAGCAGCCGTCTTCGAAGTCAGCTCGCTGATCTCCAACTCATCCCGATCTTCCAAAAATGGCTTCTCGTAGAAGCGCAGCGCCCTGTTCCACCAATTCACATGGTTCTTGACTGACTCAATGCGCAACTTGCGGGTTTTTGCATTGAACGCCTTTACGTAGCGCCGCGTGACATCCCTAGCGGAAGCATCATCTTCAAAAGCTACCACGTAGCTCATAAGGTTGTACGGATCGCTTGCTGGGGGCTCAAATTTGGATGGCTTCGCGAGGGACTTGGTAACCAAAGTATCAATGGGTATCCATTTGTTCACCGCCTCATTCAAGGCTTCAACCCAGAAGATCGGATGTGACGATTCCCGGATAGGGTTGGGCGAACCTTGCATCTTGCTCAGCTTCATACTAGTATCAAATGCATGCAGCGCTTACTTCTGGTAGGGGTTCCTGGTCGAGATGGCGCAAACTGTGGTCGGGCAAGCCTTCGTGTATTGGAACGCCGTGACAACTGTGATTCTGCGCCGCCCGACCTATCAGGGCTGTCTGGTGTAGGAACAGCATTTCCAGGGATCCCAGGTGGCATATCCTTGGTGGTGCCCGAAAATGGCAATGGCTGCAGAGAGCAGACAAGCCTTGCCTCCACTCCCACAGACCGTAGTAAAGCACAAAACAATTGAGCGCCAAAGTCTCGCGAGCCTTGCATTGTTCTTGCTTGTTTGAGAAAGTCTTCCCGCGACAGGAAGACCTCGGCGTCACTTATAATGTGTTCCTAATAAAGTCAGATAGCTCTCTGCAATGTATGGTGGTGACATACCGCTCGTTGCTTCAAGGAGTCAGGATAATCTATCCAGAAAGGGCGTCTCAGCCCGGGCGCTGTCACCCTAAACCTTCTGTTGAAGGCATCACTCGCTTGGTTTAGTCCATCAACGAAGGTTGTTGACCTGGTCTGCTGTGGCCTCTTCTCAGAGGGATGCAATAGTGAGATGATTTGTTTGGACAGCATTCGTTTAAGGAAGCCCTATTTATCAAGTCAGATGATGATCGGCTTTCTATAGTAATCTACATTTGCTGCTTCCTCCAGCTGTTCACTCCATCTCAAGCACGTGCCATCACCAGACAAGACAGCTAGTGGGTAACGCACCTGTACTTCCTCATCGTTGCACCAAAGGTTACGTATCTGCACGTGGCGCAAAAGACATAGCAAATGGACCTTATGTATGTTTAATCTCAGCTGCTTCTCTGCAGCTGTAACCACCCTTCGCCTTGAGACTACTTTGCGCTTTCGATCCTCGGGCCGGTCCAGAGTGACCTGGATCGACGTATCATCCGATTGATTATTATATGATGTCTGGTTGATATCAACCTCTTCCCACTCCATGTCTGACTCATCAGATGATGATGGAGAATCATACACCGTCTGGACATGGGGAACGGCAGGTTGGTTGTCTTGTGGAGTGACTTCTCGACTCAAGGGTCGAGGGCTGGATACGGATTTCTGACCAGCAAGCCTCCTTCTCTTGAGGGGTTGGCCATCTTCTGGCCTAGAAGGCTCTCGGGCTTCAGCCTCGGCCAGCATCTCCCGGTAGACAGCCGGGATTTCATGTTCTTGATCGTCGTGCCGCCTCCGCAGACGGCTCGAAGCTCCGCCTCTTGCGGAGCGAGTTGTGGGAGTACGCCTCGCCATCACGAACAGTTGGGTGTAGCAAACGGATTCCACGTTCAGCCTCTGGCCCGAGCATCTTGGGTTCCTTGGCAGGAGTGTGCTCAGTTCTCACTCGGCAGGTGCGTTGATGACGCTTATCCCACACGTGACGCTTTGTTTATCCTGTTTGCAGGTCCGGACCCTGCATTGTTCCGCACCGTGCGGCTGAAGTGGGCTGGCGGGGCCCCACCGAATCAGCCTCCACAGGAATCATGCAGAGACTTGGGCATATTTTATTGACAAAGCCATAGGATTAGGAGTAGTACGAGGTGGATCTGGGTATGCGATTGCCTGAACTTAATGATAAATAATGAATGAACCAATCATTCTCATCTTGACCATCAGCAAGAATATATACTGTTTGCTTCACTTGCTACAACACTCAGTGAAATTTGAAAACGGACAAAAGGAAACAACGAAACACATAGGTCACTTGAGTGGTATATTGAGCTTGGTGTCTGAATGGTGTCACTAACATGAGATGTTTTCAATGTTGATCTAATGAGATTCGAGTGCTATGTACATGTAGATCTCTTGTAGAACTAATGACTTCACCCAACCATCGTAAAATGCTGTGGCTGCAGATCATGCGGGCTAGACATCGCCAGCAATAGATCGATAAGCTAGCTATACATTCATATCTCAAACCAACCTCATATATTCAATCTTGAGGCATTACAAATACCAAGTGCGGAGTGGCGTGCATAACAATGACTAAGCAAGGAATTTACCCAAAATAGAATAGCGCACGTGACAGTGTCACACGGCTTTGGCTCTCAGGCTCACAGTTCAACTCTCCTCATCTCCCATCCTTAGATTGTATATCCAGCATGGGCTGGGTAGGGGTCGCAACCCTTATTGCAACAGCATGCGTCTTTCTGTATTATCACCCTCCCGGGACCTGGGGACCTGAGGCCCCAGCATCTGAGCCACCAAAGGCTGCCCCCCCTGCCCCTCGCGCAACAGAGGCGAAAGCCAACGGCGAAGCAAAGGCTGCGCAGAATGAAGATGACCTCGCCAAAGACTCCGAGACAACTCCCAAGGCATCTGCCACTGCGCCTGCACTCGAGGTGCCCTCCTTTCAACTAGACAACCCCGCCGACCGAGAAACCCCCTCCCTGTCTGCCGACATAAGTCAAAATGCGATGAAGCCCCCTTCTGCGCCCCTCAATCCGCCAAAGATGGGAGACAACATCCTCATGCCTCCGCCGCCGCCGCCGCCACCACAGCAACCGACTGCAACGAAGAGCTCCTCCCTGATGCCTCCTCCTGCGCCACCTCGACTTCGTCCCATCGCATCCCAGCAACCGCCACGCCCGAACACAACCAGTTCGCTGCGCCCGCCACCCTCCGCTGCTGCTTCATTGCGCGCCCCACCCAGTCGTCTGTCCAGCAGCACGTTGGCGCCGACAAAGGTGACGGCAAAACCATCCAGTTCCACGAAACGCGCGGTTCTCGAACCAGGCTACTCGCCGCTGGATTGGGCCGCGCTGACATCCAACCCGAACAACAAACTCCGGGGCGAGAATCTCCCTCCCACCTTGATCCGGGTGACGCCATCGATGCTCAAGGCACAGAACGGACGGAAGGGGGCAGATGCATGGACATCATACCAGGGGAAGGTCTACAACATCACACCATATATACCGTTCCACCCCGGTGGCAAGGGGGAATTGCTTCGCGGTGCCGGCAAGGACTCGGGGAAGTTGTTCTTCGAGATCCATCCCTGGGTAAACTGGGACGCCATTCTGGGTGAATGTCTCGTTGGGATCCTCGTGTCGGAAGCCGAGGAATTAAATGAGAACAAGCTGGACGCGATGGATTGAGTTCATTCTGCTTGCTTCATTCTGGCTGACTTGCGATGGCCAGTGTAATCTATATAGATGATACCCTTAGATACATACATAGACCTACAGTCCTTCTTCCACCCCTCACATCCCATTCCAAACAAGGAACAAGACAAAATTACAACTCATCCTTATCCACCCCATCAATCCCCACCAACTCCGTCTCAAAAATCAACGTCGCACCCCCGGGAATCGGTCCCACCCCACGATCCCCATATCCATACTCAGGCGGAATCGTCAACTTGCGCTTCTCCCCAATGCACATGTCAAGTAATCCTTGATCCCACCTGCACCATTTCCCCATTAGCATAATCCTTTTACCCCATCCCCATCCCCCCAACAAATCCCCTAAGGAAAAAAAAAAGGGATAAACATACCCCTTAATAACCCTCCCCGACCCCAACTTAAACTTCAACGGCTGACCGCGATTATAGCTCGCATCGAACTCAGATCCATCCGAGGCGAGAGTTCCCCGGTAGTGCATGGCAACGTTATCCCCGTTTTTGGTTTTGCGGGTGCAGGTCACGGATTCGGTGACTTCGATGAGGAGGGGGGTGGCGGTTGTGAGGGTCGTGAGGGTGAGGGTTAGGAGGGCGAGGAATTTCATCGTGATTGATTGTTGAGTGGAAGGGAGGGATTGGTGGTGGTAGATTGGAGAAGGTGGTGGGTTGAAGGAGGATACGTATACCGGAGGAGGTGGTGCGGAGGTGGTAGGCCGCGGAGGTAACTAGGATGGACGGACGCGGTTGCGGTGCGGGCGGGTGTGGCGTGGCTGGTAATTGGATGAGGGAGGGGGGGAGGGTGGATGGCCGTCGGTGGTCCGGTGCGGGTACGGCGGGTTACTACTAGCACCTATGGTGATTGCTGAGGCGCTATCAGGAATGTATTCTTTGATTTTACTATGATCGATTTGGATTTGATCCCTGCTATCTTCTAATTGAGAATAAAGAACCGCGTTAGGGAAGATGATTTCTGTGTAACTAACTTTGCATGATGACTCAGATTGGCAGCAGGTGACCAAAAAGCATATTCTTTCTTTGTACGGAGTACTTTAAGTAAATAGATGAACCGTGTCTACCGCGATGTGAAAGATCATCCATCTACCCTACTCTTTATCTACATTGACTACGGAGTACTTATCTCCCGTATATTTATCTCACAGCAAAATGGTAACCTGCACAACCATCCCCGTCTCTATCCCCAAAGACGGCCCACTCCCCAAGACGACAATCAAAGAAATCATCAGCACGTTCCTCCCCACCGAATGGCCATACGTGGACCCCGAATCTCTCACCGTGATATACACAACCGGCTACGCCAACACAAACTGCATAGTATCCCGTCCCATTCCAGGCAACACCGCCCATTCCGAACCCCTGAAGGTATTCTTCAAAATCCATGGCCCACTGGATAGAGAACTCGAGGTACTCAAACACTTGGTTCCCACTAAACAGGAAGAATCCCAGCTCTGCTACGAGTACGGCCAATCTGGTCTCGGTGCCAAGGTGTACGGGTTCTTCCAGCTACCCGATGGCACGTTTGGAAGGGTTGATGAGTTTTTGGATGCGCATCCTCTGCAGCCAGAGAATGTGGAAAATGAAGATATTCGCGCCGAGGTTGCGAGAGCGCATGCTGTTTTCCATGCTATGGAGATGACACAATTGAGAAAGAATCCGATTCGGGAGTATTTTGATGCGGTGACGCCGCAGCTGGGACGGTATCATAAGATGGAGAAGTTGAAGAGGCTGGCGAAGGAAGGAGGGCTGAATCTGGACCAGCTGATTGATTATGACTTGGTGTCCAGACTCCAAGAAGTCGTGGACCGACTGGACGCTATTGGGGCAAAAGGGGGCTGGTGTATCCACGATGTCCAACTAAGGAACGTGATGGTGAAGAACCGCCCCAGACCAGATGAAAGTAAAGTCGTGCTCATAGACTTCGAATTCGTCTTTCAGAACTATCGAGCATTCGATATCGGGGGACACTTTGTGCAGAAGATGTTCCAGTGGTTTGATGAAGAGAGCCATATTGCCAGCTGTCGACCGTATACAGATGAAGAGAAGAGGCATTTTTGTGAGGAATATGCGAAGCAGTGGAATAAGACGACGGGGGATGAGGATACAGGGGAACAGGTGTTTATGGAAGCTGAGCTGGGGATCATGCTGGCCATCTCTTTTGAAATTCATAACATGCTTTGTTTTATGGATCAGGATGATGATAATGATCCGTTGAATTTGTTGGCGCTGAACAAGCTGTTTGGGGAGTTTGTCAGTCAGTACGAGAAGCTTGGCTTAGGAACTGAGTTTGATAGGACGAAATCGGCGTGAGGCCGTTTCCTCAGTCTTTGCGTGTATGGCGGCTACTTGTGGCTGTACCAAGTCATGATGTCGATCAGTTTACTACAGGAATAGAACATTGCATAGTGTCTGGGACTATACTAACCTCAAGTAATAGCCTCTCTCAAGGTTTTATATGGAAAGCAGGTTCTATAAATCAAAATTGACGTATATCGCCTAGCTGGGTCACAATATGGCATTTCTGAACCAAAGCTGCCGAACAGAACATATACAACACGTGAATACGTGCTTGCCGAGCGGGGTTGCCTCTTTCTTTCTGAGGTCCCCTTCACTGTCTTCTTTTGACGCACTTCTTCCCGGCTTGATTGCATTAGCCAGGATTAATCGCTCAAGCCCAAATCTTTAGCGCCGGCTCTACGGTATCAAATAAGTTTGTTAGGTGAAAGTGGTTCTGGAAGTGTCAAACAGGCTCCAATGAAGCATTGCCACGTAATCACGGCACAGGAAAGGAATGACGTGGATGCTCAGAGCTACTTGACCTCCCAGAATAATCTCCATTCCTCTTTATCGGCTTTGCTTTTCATACCTTACTATTGGAAAGATTTCGTCTTCTGGTTTATTCCGCCACCATTATGACCCCACCAACTCATATCATTGATCCAGATGGCGAAGTGATCATAATACTGCGAAATGCGAATGCTCCTTTTGCACAGCCTGATGAAGATATTATTGCTGGCGTGGCCTCTGACCCTCTTAAAGCAAGCGATAGTGTCCAGAGCCTCGCTGCAGAGGCCGGAAGGCCAGGAGCCGAGGGAATATCATCAACGGCAACTCATGCTCCATCGCCAATAGAAGAATCTTCCTCTGCATCTACTGAAGAGCCACCTGCGGAAGAACAACCTGTCGAAGAGCAAGCCGAAACTGGCTCTTCTCCTGAATCGCCGGACGAGGATTGCATCCGCATCCAAGTCTCCGCAAAGCATCTGATATTTGCCTCCTCCGTATTCAAGAAAACGCTGACCGGAGGTTGGAAAGAAAGCGTTACATATTTGCAAAAGGGCTCCGTTGAAATAACTGCCGAGGGCTGGGATCTCGTAGCGCTCCTGATATTACTCCGTGCGATTCATGGTCAATACTACTCTGTGCCACGAAAGCTCACCCTCGAGAGGCTCGCCAAAGTGGCTGTCCTAATCGACTACTATAAGTGCAAGGAGACAATGTATCCTTTGACAGATATCTGGCTCAAGGCCCTTGAAGAACCGATTCCCACGACGTGTTCTCGAGATTTGATTTTGTGGTTGTGGGTTTCCTGGTTCTTCCAGCTCCCAGCCCAATTCAAAAAATCTACATCGACTGCCATGTCATGCAGTACTGGTTGGATTAGCAGTCTGGGGCTTCCGATCTCCTACTCAGTCCTTAGTAAGTGAAGAAAAATTTGAAAGACGCATAGTTTCTAATGGAATCTTAGAATCAATGAATGACCGTAGACAGGAGGCTATCAACAATCTGGTCGTCCTTGTCCATGAAACCCGCGAGGCCCTCCTCAGCGGTAGTCAAGGGTGTGGCTTCGAATGCAGCTCAATGATGTACGGAGCTCTTTCAAAGCAGATGCACTCAAGTAATCTGCTCTCACCAAGACCGGCGGCTCCTTTTCCGAACTTGATTTACAAAGATCTTGTGCAGCAGCTATTGGCATTCAAATCACCACGATGGTATGGTTATGATTCGTCCTCGTATTATGACAGCTATAGCCACCAGTGCAGCGCCTCATCCTTCAAATCTATATTTAGAAATTTGGATAGCACTGTCCACGGCCTTGACTTGGAAAGCTCGACTGTATAATGACTGGGGTATTTCCTGGCTTCTTCGCATTTCCAAGTTCTTCCGGTCATTGAATGGAATGGTCTCCGTCGATCAGTCACTGACTGTCAGCTAAAGAACAAAAAAAAATCGAACTGTTTCTTCTACATAGAAAGAAGTCAAATGTAGACAACCCAAACATTTCCCAAATCTCATCACAAGACTTGTCACCACAATATACATACCATACCCGAGTCAATTCACACTGCAACATCAAAATCAATACATATCCTACTTACCCGCCAGAACAATGACAATCTATCCAGCCCAGTATACGTACTCCAGATACTTTACATATCCAATAAAGCATCCGTAGCCATTAATTAGGGTTTCTTCTTAGTAACTTGCAAACTCGGCGCCTTTAGTCCAACGGATCATTTGGTAATCACAGCAACCGGTAGTATATGGAAGCAGTCACACGACGTACCAACTAGACCAAAATGACACCTAGGCGATGCTCAATGTTTTTATGTCAACAGTATACCAACTGCAATGTTTCGTCGATTCTAACACTGGCGTTCGGTTTATATATTCCGTACATATGCTCGATTGAACGCATGGCCGAAACACACCATCATAGGGTCAGGTCAGGACGCTAACACAGTTTATTTCGGAACGTCAAATGTACATTATTCAAAGCGCTCACTGCTTATCATTGTTGTTAGGTGTCAATGACTCGATTGAGGGGGAAGAAAAAAGGAAACATAAAAAGTGACTAGACTGGGGCTCGATCCCAGGACCTTATGCGTGTGAAGCATACGTGATAACCAACTACACCATCCAGCCGCTTGTGTGATTTTCTTGGAAAGGAAATGGTATCTATACGAAGTGTGAGCTTGTTGTTTTGATAGAGGTTACCCCGGCCAATGGCCAATGTAACGTCACTTATGCTCAATCTAAGAATGGAAAAAGTATGTCATATGTATGCATGATGGTATCTATATATATATACAAGAAATGAATCCGCGCGAGCATCAAGCCCATTTCCCCAGCAAAGCCATCAACAACGCCCCGAGACAGAGGAGGCCGAAGGCGGCCAAGACAATGTGAATCGGGGCTTTACGCATCGAGGTACTAAACATGAACTCATGCGCTAGAAGCTCCACCAAGGCGGTGTAGATGAGGATACCGGCGGAGATGGAATCAAAGACACCGCTGACGATCAACGTCGTGGCGCCGTTCGAGGCGTAGGAGTTACGCACGCCTAGACCGATCGCAATGGCGATCGGGGTGGAGATACCGTACCCCAGACCCAGAAAGTAGGGGGTCCAGCGCTTGGAGTGTGGCCAGGGGACTGTCGCGAGACGGGAACCCAGACCGAGACCTTCGAAGGTTTGGTGGAAGACGAGGACGACGTAGAGGGTTACGAATTCCGAGCCGGTGGTGGCGAGGGTCAAGCCGATGAAGATGGAGTGGAAGATGATTCCGAATTCCAGGATGAAGATGGAGGTTAATTGGGCCATGTATTCCTCTAGATCGGAATGTTGCTTGCCGAGCTCCACGTCATGGTGTTCGCGGGAGTGGCCGAGGTGGTCCTCGCCGGGCATATGGCCTTTCAGGTCGACGGACTCAGCTGGGGACGGGGAAACGGCATGTTCCATTTCCACGTGGTGGTGGTGGTGGTCATCGTCATCGTCGTCGTGAGCGTGGCCGTGTCCGAACCGTGCGAATCGCATCACCATCAGCTCGACGAAGAACAGGACCACAATGGTCATGAGGACGATGCCCTCGACCCAGGAGTACTCGGTGATTGGGCCCGTCAGACAGGAGTCGGTTAGCGCCTCCTCTGCCGGTGCCAGTAGGTGGATGAACGCCGTGGCAATAATGACCCCGGAGCCAAAGTATTTGGCAACGAAAAAGGCACATTTGGCAATTTTAGAGTCCTTGAACCCCCGGGCCATGACGGGGAAGAGAGCCCCGCATGCTGAACCAATGAGGATGACAAAGATGGAAGAGATACGCAGGCCCATGCGGCTGTCGAAGTCATTTCCAGACTCGCAAGAGTCTCTTGCGACCAGGGTATGAACGGACTCCATTATTTCCACCAGATTCTATATTCCACCGACTATGTCCGACCGGAGAATGGCACGGGCGGCCCGAAGAGGTAGGGATGTTCGAACGATGTCTCTGACAGGGTTCCGACCCAATGATCGTACCGGAGAGGTGTGACAGGAGGATGGCGGAAGCGCAAGGCACGTGGAGGAGGAATGTCAAGTGCAGTGGTCGAGATTGCTGAAGAGTGTCGTCTGCAAGGTCCTCCGGTCTTAAATTGGATTCCTCTGTGCGTCGGGTCGTTCAGTGACACTCGATCGTCCCCAAGGTCCTTCAGGCTGGTCCACGTCAAAGGACGCCGGCGATGGTTGGCGCTGACCCGGTGGTGAGGACCTTGGTGGCACGCCGTGGGGGTTCAGATAACGATCGCTAAGCTGTCAATTCAATCCCTGCAAAGTCGCACGCAACCATCCAACTTGCTATCCACTCAAACACATATAAAAGGAAAACTGAACAGCACAACGAAAAGGAGGAACCGGACTAGAATCGAGAAGGCCCTCCATGGTGGCAGACAACTGAGACTTGGGTCCGTTCCGGGTAAGGCGCGAGGTTGCATCGGATGGGGACCTTGGAGGAAAGCGGCGGTTCATCTCAAGAGTTTTCGGCGCCGTGAGGACCTTGGGGACGATGCCCCTCCTTTGCCGACCCTGTCATTGGTTCGGGTCGATAGGGGGCGGGGCGCTTGACGTGATTGATTCGGGCCGGAACCCTGTTGATCCGGCACCTTGGATTTCCTCGGCCTCACATTGGTTCCTCGGAGGCGGTGAGGCGGGCGGAGGGAAGGAAGTCTGGCAGGAAACCGATGGCCTGCTCTATCTACATGATGACACTTCTTCTTTCGCTGGCGATAGAGCAGGAAACAAAACATATTGCAACAGGACATGATGCTTCATCAATAGCAAATTGACTCGGAATACAATGTGACATCGCATTCAATCCAAATACAACTTCGCAGTCTAGACTGATGAACTCCAAGGGAGGAAGTGTGAGCCAGCGGATCGATGACGCCTACAATAGCCAGATGTTCCCGTCAAAGTGTTACCATGGCTGGGAAATAATATTCTCACTGATACTACTAACATATAGGATTCGTTTGATCCACCGAACCGGATCCGCTGTCATCGCTTGGCTCAAATTGACATGTCGTTATCGCCGGAGGTCGTATATGGAGGTAGATAACTTGATGTCATTCGGCATCAGAGCTGCGATACGCTGTGCAGCTTCAAACCGCCTGATTCGACTTGGCGATTGGATGCATCGCACTGCGGTGAGCCGCTTGCTCTCCGGTGATGATTACGTGGTGGAACACACATCAAGGATGAATGTGGCGTTCTGCAGGGCTATTTGCTTCACCAACAACACGCAAAGTTGTTGCGGTCATAGAATCCAAAAACTGTGCTATGTGTCTCTTAACAACCACGCCGTGGGCACATCGGCCTCGCTGAAGCCAGGGTGATGGGTTGACTAAGACACCAATTGTGAAATGCCAGGACCAGTGCGGCACGTTGGTTCCTTCAACTTATGGACGCGAAAGATCGATAATAATCCCGTGCCAAAGGCAACAGAGAGGAGAGCATTAGAAGGCTATCAAGAACGCCATAACACCTACGGTTGCCTCTCTCACAAGGCTGATTGATTCTTCAATCTCAGGCTAAGCTCAGTTCTTATCGACATCCACCTGGACCATTGCACACGCTAGTTCATACCTGGATGACGATCTACTGAACGTTGAGCTTTACATATTGCCGACTAATATTTCTTCATGGGACAGTGTCATTAACTACAACAAGTACCGAACATCGCCCGTTAGGCTGGCGCTTAAGCAGGATGGGCGATGAGCGGGGTATCAACACGACGAGCCGCCCAAATTATAAGCGCCGAGTGAGATCATAAGGCTGTCCAGATCAAGAGCTGCCTCATCACCACTTCATTTCACCTTCTCTGCTTTCATCAATTCCACCCACTACATTGAGTGTGAAGCTGACAGATACCCATCACTGGGATAATCCCCAATACCGCCATGCAATAGCCCCTACACCCAATGTTCCATCGAAAACCAACCATCAAAGAAATCCCCCCGGAGTCAATAACCGTAGCAATCTTCTGCACCCTAGCATTCGAAGCCGTGGCAGTGAGATACATCTTCGACGAAGAACTCACCTGCCATCCTACCTCCCCCGGCCCCAAGAACTACATCTACACCTTCGGGCGCATCGCAAACCACAACATCCTCCTCGCCCGACCCCACCACATCGGCCCCGTCCAGTCCGCCCACTGCGCCGCAACAGTCAGACACCACTTCCCCAACCTCCAATTCGCCCTATCAATCGGCACCGCAGGCGGCATCCCACGCCCCCACAAACGCGACATCCGTCTCGGCGACATCGCCATCGGCCTCCCCGGCGACAATCACCCCGGAGTCCTCGAACACGACTTCGGCAAATACGAACAAGATCGCTTCGTGCTGAAAGGCTGCGCCAATAAACCTCCAGGCATTCTCATCAGTGCGGATGGATCGCTCGAAGAGGACGAAATCATGGATAGAAGTCCGGTGAATACTATCTTGGAATCTATAACATCCGCACAGCCGAAATACGCGCGCCCTGCCGATGAGGATATTCTCTACGATTCGGACTTCCACCACCTCAATCCGGGAGACGACTGCAGTGCGTGCGAAGCATCTACGAAGAAAAAACATGTCGCTCGGCCGGTTCGTCCTCACACGCAGCCTCTCGTACACCGCGGCCTCATACTCTCCGGAAACGAGGTAGTCAAGAACCCGCGCGACCGGGATCAATTACGGCGAGGATACGACGATGCGCTATGTTTCGAGATGGAAGCCGCCGGGATCGTGGATGAGATTCCTTGTTTGGTGGTACGGGGAATATGTAATTATGCTGATACGCATAAGCAGGATACCTGGCGGTATTATGCTGCGGCGGCGGCGGCGGCTTATGGGAGGGCGGTTCTGGGGAAGATTGATGGGGTGGATGGGGGCTGGATTGGCAGTTGGTTTAGGGGGGTGAGAGGGTTGTTTGGTGGGTTATGGTGAGGTACTTTAAAATGTTGTGTTGGGAGGGCTGGGAGCTAACTGTGTGAGGGTCTCTGTCGGGGTTGATGATGTAGTGCAGTGGGATGGTTCGGGTTGAGTGGTAGGTTCTGGAAGTTGCTTTGGCTATCTTTAGTGATGTATATAAATATATTAGGGTGTACGGCCTAGGACTCCTCACCGTTCATTGAGTCCCAGTGGAAGTGTCGTGGAGATATGCGCACTGTATAAAATCAAAATCTCATGAGTATATAAATGCCATATGGCTACTATCATACAAAACCACAATATACCAAACAACGCTAGAAAAATCAAATCTATATCTTAGCCGACCTCGCAGGAGCAAAGTTCGATCCCATCCCCTCACTAATCGTCTCCACGATATCATCCACGCTATTTATAATCCACGTGTTACCCTCATCACTAGCCAACCACTTGGCCCCCTCCTCACTCTCCACATCATTAACCCACGTACCGTCCTCGATAGCCTTCCGCAGTCCGAACACATGCGACGTCACCTGGGGACCGACACCCGTCTGCGCACGAAGACAAGACACAGCCACAATTGACGTCGCGAGTCTGCCCACATTCGCGCCGGTGGTCCGCGCAGGGTCCGAGAGCAGAGCTCCGTAATTGCAGTTCAGGATATGAACCGGCAGGTCGGGATGCGAGTCCGCAAGCTTGTTGTAGAGTTTCGTCTCGAAGGGGCGGTAGATCGAGTCCCAGAGATTTTGGCCGCGGGTGCAGATCTCCTGGATGTTGTCTTGGGTGGGGGTGCGGGTTGGGGTTTGCGATAGTTGGGAGCTGATGGATTCAGGGAGACTGGCTTTGAAGGCGTTGAGGCAGTTGATGGTTCGTGGGATGCCGTTGAAGCTGATGCATTTGAGACCGACTTCGCGCATGAATTCGGCGGTTGCGACGCTTTCCTTGGGTGATTGGGAGGTGCTGGCTAGTTGGAAGAGTTCGGAGAGGGATTCGGGAGAGTTCATGGTCATTGTGGTTGCTGTCTACTGAGGCATTCAAGTTAGATGATGATATCATTCGGTTATGTGGGACACTGACCGATAGAGCGAGCCATGATGGTTGGGAGAGGTTCTGGGATTTTGCGCTTTGTTGGATCTTCTTGTACACGGACTGGATGTTGCGCGGCGCGGGCACAGTATTGGGGCGTGCTGCCGGGGCGTTGATCAGCGCCTTGAGTTGATGAGATAACTTGGACATCTTTCTTCGCTTGCTTCTGTATGCTTGGGATTTCATGGGTCGTGAGGAATGGAGGCGGACCGGATGCTGGATGCCGATGAGCTTGTCTTATCTACTGCCTCGGCTTCCAGAACTGGCCCCGAATGCTGCCGGCAAGGCCCGCAGAGATGCTGATTGGTCGTCACTGCCTGGCGGGGTCGGATCGGAACAACCATCGTCCAGAGTATGAGGAGACAATGTGACTTGCAGGCAGCATTTGTTGCTGTTGACTGCCTATCAAGCCTCGGATTGGATCTCCTCAAGTGCAAAAAAGCGATACGTTCAGTATCTGCAGGCATCGTGAGAAGCGGCGACAAGATTGACCGGCTAAAAGTCGATCTCACAACACGGGCCTGTTGACTTCGTCGAGCTTTCATCTGGGTCCTGATAAAGCAAGACTCACTAAAGTTATCGTTCATTTTCTTCAGTTCTTCTATTGCATATGACTGTTGATCAATCAGATATATGTCGCCTCCATCTCGCAGCATATATCTGACAGAGGCATACTGCATGCAGGTGATACACTTCTCCGACACTGATCGCGCATGATTTGATTATCACTTGTGGGTCTGGAAAACCACTGCTTACCTGGGTTGCATATTGCTTGCCGGAAACACTACCGCAGATGTCAAACAACTCAATGCGCTAGCCTGCTTCGGGGATAGTTGTGAATCTTGCATGCATCCAATCTGTGGGCCATCCGTTGCCTAAGGTAGAGAGGGCCTTCTATTGCCAACATATCTACATCTGCGGGTAGGCCAACAGTTAAAGCGAGGGGCGTCGTATTCTTGATGTCTCGATCATCGAGCATCGACTGTGGACCGCACAACGCGGCGATGCATTTGAGCTTGCAGCAGAGCAAAGCACATTAAGGATCTCATCATCAATTGGTGGCAATCAGCACTAGTGTCCACAGAAACGGACCGCTGAAACTAAAAGGCCATGTCTCGGGGAAGCTTGGACGCGATCGGGAATCAACATTCGTCTCGTTTCTATGGCCCGATCATTTATCATTTTCTCAGTGATGATACGATGGAAGTGCGCGATTGAGTGAGAGAGCATGGTACAGTCGTGGATCGGTGATGGCGCTTGTTCAGCGGGAAGAACATCTCACGGCTTTATCGATATGCCCTCCGAAATTGTCCACCGAGCACACTCTTACACAGATCGAATCGTGTATCTGCGGCGATGAAGTACACCAGTCCGAAAATGATCGCGCAGCATGTGGTACTGCAGGATCTCCTAGCTTAATAATGGAAGGTAATTGAGGATGATCTCGATCCGACGACTCCGTCAGGCAACGGCGGAGCTCACGGCAACTGTTGGGCCTTATTATCGAGGCTGACCATACTGCGCCGACATTGGGCTCATACTGGCACCTGTTTGTTTCGATATTTCATCGGCGACCGTCGGGTATTCACTAAATGGGGACACATGTTACACAAGCGTCGCGTTGCTGGATGTGGCATACAATTCATCGGATGAATGGACTCATGAAACACCCGATCGAGTATGTTGAACCTAGAACGTTACTGCCTAGGCATTTGTGTGAGCGCCATTGTGGCAGTCCTGTATCACAAGCACTGACTTGAGCAAAGTGAGGCTGCTTCTAAATTCAGACAGTTCTTCAATTGGTGGGCCCGAGGTAGCGATCATCCGGATCCGCTGTTCCAATCAACGGGCGACAGGGTCCAGTAGCGTTAGGCAGGGTGGGTTCGAGTTGCGCCACGAGCACGTCCACGTATATGGACAAAAGCCATGTCCAATGGGGCGACCGCAAGTCCGTCGGATGTTTTTTGGGGCAATGATGGCTCGGATGAGGTGGCTAGTTACGACCAGACCGCCCTTTGACCACGACACGCCCAAACACCCACACGCGTCCACCCTCCGCTTTAATTCTCATGATCGAGAGTCCCGGCCGGTGCTCAAAGGGGAGGGTGGTCAGTTGGTCGTTTGTGGACGTGCGCCGTAATGATGCCATTCATTCCACTGCTGTTCGTCCTGGCGAGTCTGACTTTGCTTTTTTCACGACGTAAACACAAGGCCATCGAAAGCGCAGAGCCCCGGGTGGTCGTCAAGGGTCACACATATTCCGATAGTGTGGAAGAGACTGAGCTTCAGCCTATACAGAAGAAGAAAGTTGAGAATGTTCGAAATGCTTGTATCATCGGGGCCGGACATGTGGGTAAGAACGGGTCTTATCTGTAGGGCCGAAGAGGAATGCTAACTGTCGGTCAGGTGCATTGACAGCAGCTGTGCTTGCTTCTCAAAATCCTCACGTCCAGTTCTGCGTGGTTGACAATGATGCGGGCCTCATCGCGGCCTGGAACTCTGATCGCCTCCCGGTGTTCGAGCCAGGGCTGGATGAGATGTTATTTGAAGAGGCACCAGGGCTTGATCTGGAGGCGTCGGCTGTTCCAGAGCAGTCTATCGCTTCGAGTAGCCAACCTCGAAAGAGGAAATTGGCAAACCTGACATTTTCGACAAACATCCACGCGGGCGTGGTCGCAGCAGATTTGATATTTCTTTGTGCAGAAACATCGTCAACCACAACGGTAGGAATGGTATCCGATAGATGAAGACTGTCGCTAATAATATTGCAGATAGATGAGAAGGAGCGTCTGGACCTGTCGCAATTGGAGTCCGCCATTCGAGCCATTGCCCAAGTATCAACTGGCCACAAGATCATTGTGCAAAAGAGTACAGCACCTTGTGGTGTCGTCCAACGGATGAAGAAAATTGTGAGCAATTATGCCGTTGGGTCAGTATGTATACTAACAGCCGCAGTTGCGCAAATCCGCATCGCCATCCGCCTCCTTTGATGTATTATCGAACCCCGACTTTCTTGTCCCGGGTACAGCCCTTCACGACCTTCTTTATCCACCGCGAGTCATCATCGGTCACATCTTCTCCGAAGACATGTCTCCTGAAGCTTTGAAAGCACTGAAGCAGCTATACATTCCTTGGATCCCCGAAGAGCGCATCATCACCATGGATGCATGGTCTTCCGAACTCGGCAAAATTGCCGCAAACGCATTCCTTGCCCAGCAAATCAGCAGTCTTCACTCATTAAGCGCCATCTGCGAGTCCACCAACGCCAACATCAACCACATCACGCAGACCCTTGGACTACCGCAACGAGTCGGCTTCGGCTTTGGCAGCTCACACCTGCAGACAGAGGTTCTCTGCCTGGTTTATCTCGCTCGAGAACTAGGATTGCAGCAAGTCGCAGAGTACTGGCGAGCCGTCCTCCGCATGAATGATTCCCATAATCGACGCATCGCTCAGCGAGTCTTGTCGCAGCTATCTGGCGATCTCACAGAGCAGAAGATTGCGATTCTGGGATTCACCCCGAAGGAGAACAACAGCCAGTACTCCGTGGCACTGGGTCTGATCCGGGACTTGACGAGCAACGGGGTGCAAGTGAGCATCCATGATCCGTTCATCCCCGCCGACCAGCTACAGAACACGCTGCGTGTGAGCAATGCGTCTTTGGAGGCTGTCACTGTCGCTGAGTCAGTGGAGGCAGCATGTACTGGATGCAGTGCTGTTGTCCTTCACACGGACTGGGAGACATTTGGACATGAAAAGGTCCGATGGCAGGGCATTGCGAGTCAGATGAAGAGCCCGAAGGTGTTTTTGGATCCGTATGGCGTCTTTGATCAGTTCAAGATGCAGCAGTGGGGATTCAAGATGTTGCAGGTGGGTGTGAGACAGGTGGAAACGCAGTGATGACCGTGATGATTGTAATTCCATACGATGATGGTCTTTGTCCTCTTTGTTCATTTTGGTTATTTTGGCGGGTGGCGCAGGTGAGCGGTTCTAGGTGTTTCTTATGATCAAGCACATCCGTGGTTTTGTTAGGCTGCATTTGAGTGTTATTGTGAGCCATGTAGCGATGTTACTGATATCTTACTGTTTCAATAATTGAGCGTTCTATTCCAAGCGTTCCCATCGTGCATAAAGTCGCATAGCACAGTAAGCAACGTAGCTTTGGTAAAGCTCGTAGCATCTGGGCCGAAGATATCCCTTGAGGCGTCACCTAGTAGAGTATCTGATGTCTGGTTGTCCTGGAGGACAGTGCGTGCCCCTGGAGGGCGTCACAAACCGTGGTTTGAACTCGGGAAGGCCCGCGGTGGCTTCCATGATGGCCTCTCGATATCCGCAAAACAGTGGAGATAATCTCCATAGCCTGTTGTTCATCGATAGATGCTAAACGCTTGTAGGTCAGTAGGGATACATAAAGATCCATAACTTCGTAGACCTCCAGTTGCAAGTCCACCATCGATGGAACGTATCAGCCAGAGGTGAAAGATAATCCTCAGATATTGTGATACAAGTATCAAACTTTGTCGTAAACGTTATCTCCCAGTAGTCACTGACGAAGGTGTTGAAACGGATTGATTGTTGACTCACAGAGTATAGTACTTCCACAGGACTGCAACTGGCGCTAAGCTGCTGACCTCTTTGGAGAGAGTGAATGGATTTGTTTCCCCCTAGATAGGAAAGTCATAGTATTGTACTTGTGTTATCCCAGAACTTATGCCACCTAAAAGATAAAATAAGACTTGACGATCAGAGACATTTCCTTGCTCAAGTCTCTCGAATTGACCGGGAGACTGTAGAACATACCTGAACCTGCTTGGAATTCGACCGAACAGCGGTACATCATACCCTGGCCCATATTTCAGGTTGCCATTACTCTCAGTTTCTTCAACATTGTACTGAAGTTTGTGAAGAGGTCACTGTTCAAGACATGAAATAGTAAAAGTGAGATTGCATCGACTGAACGCCTGTTTTTCTGTCAATTGTCAAAGAAACACTTATTCGAATACCAGTTCTTCGGCAACTCATGATAAAAAGATGCAAATCCAGCATATGCGGCTATTTGGATGTTGAAGACCTAAACTGAAGATATGGAGAAGGAGGAGAAGGACTGAGGTGAGTTCCTTGTCTGGCGGCCCCGGGGAATCTGCGTTCCACGTGATGTACACATAGGCCTTGATGTCAATTATTCTTGACAAGAGCCTTGTTGTGCTCTTCGTTCATTGTTATTACTCATTGATCGAAAAACAGTGCCAAACTTTCACTAGACTCAGTCATCTTAAAACGGAATGAGACCTTGAAGAGGTTCGGCAATTCAACTTGGTAGTTCTTAAGTCTTTCAACCTAGATATTGCTCTATGGGAAGATCCGGCATATACAGTTTAATTCGGAACACACGTGGAACAGATGAAACCAAAGCAATGCCTCTTCCCGTCAAAGCGGGGTAATCAAAGATAACCAACATACCACCTACCCCATTTTCCTCACTTCACTAATCACTACCTCCAACCATACCTCCCCACAAACCCAACCCACCATGTCCACCAAAACCATCTGCATAATCGGCATAACCGGCAACCAAGGCCACTCCATCGCGCAACGCTTCCTCCACGACCCAACCTACCACATCCGGGGCCTAACGCGCAACCCGTCCTCCCCCATCGCCCAATCCCTCTCCGCCCAAGGCATCGAACTCATCCCCGCCGACCTCAACAACCCCCAAACCCTCATCCCCGCACTCCGCGGCGCAAACCTCATATTCAGCGTCACGAACTACTGGGAACCGTTCTTCCGCGCTGACTGTCGTCAACAGGCCTCCAAACGGGGTATCTCGTGCCGAAGATACGCCTTCGATGTGGAACTTCAACAGGGGAAGAATATCGCTGATGCGGTGGCAATGACGGTTGATTCGCTGGACGAGAATGGGTTTATTGTGTCGACGTTGAGTCATGCGGGGCGGTGTAGTGGGGGACGGTTGAAGGAGGTGTTTCATTTTGATGCGAAGGCGGAGGTGTTTCCTCATTATGTGAGGGAGAGATATCCAGCGTTGGCGGGGAAGATGTCGTGTGTGCAGACGGGGTATTTTGTGGGGAGTTATAGGTTGGTTCCGGGGGCTTATTTTGCTAAGGTAGGGTTTGGTTGTGGTGATTTTGTCAAGTGTGGAGCTGACGTGTTTTAGATTGCGATGGACGATGGTGAGGATGGATTTGAGATGACGTTCACGACGGCACCGACTGCAGTGGTTCCCCATTTGGATGTTCGGGCTGATATGGGGAATTTTGTGTATGCGGTGGCGAAAATGCCCCCCGGGAAGAGTTACATGGCGTGTGGGACGAAGTGTAGTTGGTCGGAGTATATGAGGATGTGGGGGGAGGTGAACTCGGTGCCTGCGAGATACCGACAGATCACGCTGGAGGAGTTGATGGAGCGGACCCCGGATCGGGAGTTTGGGCGAGAGGTCGGGGATATGTTTACTTATTCGACGGATCCGGGTTATGATGGTGGTGATGGGGAATTGTTGACGGCGGTGGATATAGAGAAGGTGAGTGAACTACAGTATGGGCCGATGCAAAAATGATATATTGACTGAATTGATAGGCTAGAATTGACTGTCCTATGACTAGTTTGGAGGAGTGGATGAAAAAGGAAGATTGGTCGTCTGTTTTAGGGCAATGATGGATGGCTTGGAGCCGGGTGCTCATTCTCCATGCTTGAACGAATTATTCTGAAACAAAGGAGTAGTAGAAAAGATAACATTCTATATTAATCATCTGTCGTAGAGCCCGATTAGATGCCTAGGATCTTGCAGAAGGTTTCATAGGGTAGTAAACCCATAGTCCTGCGTTGTAGCGGATTGCGGGTATATAACTTCAACTTCCGGACGGCCCGTCAGATGATTCTAGGCTTCAGGAAACATATCAAACCAAAGATTGGGTCTTCTATATTGGTGACCAGGAAACCTCTACCCACCCTATATCCCGTCCCTATTGCACGTCCTTGATATTATGCAGACCATTAATAGGCCGCTGACTCAGCTCACGTCATCCATCATAGTTAACCTCGCAAGCACACCCAAATCGAGCCAAGTGATCACCCAGTACGTGGATCTGGCCACTCCAGCAATAGATTCCTGATTGGAGCCCTACTCCTCTTAATTAATAACAAGTTAGTTGGGATCAGTGTTATAGAAGCCCCGGTAAAACCACCCCTGCAGATCGCGATCAGACCCAGACCGGGTAGTGACAGGGATCATCGGGAAACCGTCGGATCCGATACGGTGGGGCCATAATTCTGCCGTTGACAGTATATATTAATAGCTGGCAAGCTGCAGGATGCGGGAGTCGGCTTGTTGATACCTAACCCACTTGGGCTAGCAGGTGGGAGCTTGCTTTATAAATCCCGGATGCCCGCGTCACGTCCTTGTAAATAGCAGTTCTGTACCTCTTAGGTGATTTCAAGATGAATTCACACAGCCCATTCTGGGGACCGACGACATCGAATGCTAAGTCAGTATCAATATCTTATGAATTGTTTGTATGGGCTAATTTGTTCAAGCTTTTGTGAGGAGGTAGGTAAACAACTGAACTGAATCATTGTCATGGGTTCTAAGCGGCTTTGCATATAGGATTACTTGGTGACGCGATATATTGCCGAGTTTGTCAATACCTTAACCAATCTTGTTTATGGTGCGCTGCGATACTGTGTTTTTGGTAGAAGGAACTGACAGGAAGCTAGTATTCTATGCAATCTACGGCATCAGCCATCTCCGACGCAGAGCGAACACGGATGTCTCCCACGTCCTCCCTTACTGGGGTTTGATGGGTGTTGGAATAGCGTCGGCGGCTTTTCATATGAATCTCAAGTACCATACCCAGATGAGTGAGTCTCTTCCGTGGCATCCGGTTTGGGTTTCTCTGATAGTCGGGATTGATAGTGGACGACGTATCTATGCTCCTCACCACAACGCCCGTCCTCCACCGCGTCATGACAGTCAATGCTTCTCGCACGACATCAGTCGTCGTGGGAGTACTGCTTAGTTCAGCGCTGTTCGGCCTCGTAGTCCTTCATGTGGTAACTGACGAGTTTATTTTGCATGCTGTGGCTTTTGTAGTCAGTATAACAGTTATTGGGGTCCGTACCATGCAGCTCATCGCTACACGGACGCCGAAGGATTCAGCTGCCCGAAGGCAGATCTGGGGGATGGTTCGGTTTGGAGCAGGTAAGAATCCTTTGCTATAGACTTAGGATTGATGATGACTCGATTAGTCATCTTTGAATTGGGATTCGCCGTGTGGCTGGTCGATGGGTGGATATGTGGGTTGTTGAGAAGCTCGCGGCACGCAATTGGTCTGCCGTGGGCTTTTCTGTTGGAGCTCCATGGATGGTATGTTGATTTTCTTCGTTTGATTTATCCCTCACGCTAATGCTTGAATGAAGGTGGCATATTTTCACTGGAATCGGCGCGTACATCTTCATCGCGGTGATAGATCATCTGCTGTGCAGTGAGGACCCTGAAAGTATACAAGGGTCATTCGCTTGGCCTGCACCCTGTGCAGCGCGGTCGATCTTCGCAGGAAAGGAATCTCCGCCAACCGCCAAGTCAAGATCCAAATCAGAGTGAAGGAGACTGTGCTTTCGGGTCATGTAATGCGGGCTCATGTATGCAATATCGAACCCACGTGGATGACGTGGGGAAGAATTTTCTTCCACTTTTTGGGAAACAGGGACCCTACAATTGGCTTTCGGTAGTTGCAGTCCCCACAGCAGCACCAATTACCGATGCACCCCACAGCATAGCTCCCAAATCCGAGAACTCTCGCCTTCCAGGGGGCTCCCGATTCAAAATTGCTTTTGCTACACACGGAACCGTCCATACTAAATATCATGGCTAACCAGCTGCTGAGTGCTCCGCCCTTCAGGGCCGAACATATGGGCTCCTTGCTCCGTCCCGAGAGCCTGCTTGCCGTACGTGAGAAGATCCGTGACACCGGCATTTCCGAAGAAGCTGCCGGTCTGCATGCCGTAGAGAAGGAGACCGTCCGTGATGTGGTCAAGTTGCAGCAGGAGTTGGGCTACAAAGCCGTCACCTCCGGAGAGTACAATCGGACCCGTTTTTGGGGACAGATGTGGGATGAGTTCGAGGGTATGATGTCATTTTCCGGATACCTTGCCATTGGCAAACATCGCTAAGATAGCATCAGGAACGATCCGTCTGCAAGATGCCGAGGCCTCGATGTTCCGACTTTACCACCCCGATGTGGTCAGCCTGATTGAAAAGGACCGCAAGGTCATGCCTGGCGACTCGGTGATCGCCGGGTCCAAGCTCTCTTGGAGCCCCGAGAAGTCGCTGTCGAACCTGCACGAATTGAAGCTGGTTCAGGAGGCCTTGCCTGAGAGTGAATAGAAAAACATCAAGTTGACCATGATCACTCCCGCATGGTTCCACATGCGCTACAAACAGGGCAAGGCCTACACGTCTGAGGCGTACGCCAACGACGCGGAGTATTTCCAGGATGTGGCTAACGTGTACCAGGCCGAGCTGGATGCACTGTACAAAGCTGGGCTGAGGAACGTTCAGTTCGACGACCCCGGCATGGCGTACTTCTGCTCCAAGGCGTTCCGCCAGGGCTGGGAAGAAGACAAGGACAACATCGGTACCGTTGAGGATCTGCTGGACGCCTACATCCAGCTGTACAATGACTCTCTGAGCAAGATCCCCGCAGACATGCACACGGGTATTCACCTGTGCCGGGGCAATTTCATTGGGGGTAGACACTTTGCCGAGGGATCGTACGACATCATCGCGAAGAAGCTATTCGAGAATCTGAACGTGAACACGTTCTACCTCGAGTACGACACGGAGCGGGCGGGTGGTTTCGAGCCGCTCAAGTTCCTGCCCAAGAACAAATATGTCGTTGTTGGTGTCATCAGCACGAAGCTTCGGGAGCTGGAGGACAAGGAGGCGATGAAGGAGCGGATCTACAAGGCTGCCGATTTTGTCAGCGCTGGCAGTGGGGAGACACGTGAGGAGGCACTGAAGCGGATCTGCATCAGTCCTCAGTGTGGATTCAGCACCCACGAGAGCGGATATCCTCTCAGTGTGGAGGATGAGAAGAACAAACTGGCTTTGACCCGGCAGATTGCCGATGAGGTCTGGGAACAGCCCTGAGCTCGGGAATGAGATGAGATGTGATGTATTCCGGTGTTTCAACAGAACGGAAATGTGATGATGTGAAATGAGATATGTATTCAACAGACGTACCAAATAAACTGGACGAAGATGACTATAGGTGTTGTGGGAGTTGGAAGGTAGAGAATATTTACAAAGAGCGCAAAGGAAGGTGAAAAGAGAAGTCTGGCCGGCTTCAACTTGCATGACGCCCGGCTCAAACACCCAATCGGGGGTGGACGCGCACCGCGACCCCGCTAGTCCCTAGTCTCCGTCCATTCCACGGCCACACTCTGACGAGAGTTGGCATGTACCATTCCACCGATAAGCTTAAATTATCATTTCTGTATCCCAACTCTAGTGGAAAGCTTCGCTAGCCATGCTGTCTGCAGTAACAGCCCGTTTGGTGGCCTGGAGTAGCCCCAAGTTTGACGTGCACGGAAAAGTATCGTATCGCGCGCGCTGTCACCGTCTGCAGGTGGAGACTAATGCATCACAGTACGTCCTAGTGGCAGGCGGCTCCAAAGGACTCGGGAGAGAACTGTCCCTGGCACTTGTGGCACGAGGTACATGACCGAATTCTGGCTAACACGATACGCATTAACCACCTATCGTTAGGCGCACACGTGGTAGTAATTGCGCGCTCCCATGATGCTTTGGATAAGGTCAAGACGGACATGGAAGCGGCTAGAATACACGAGCAACAAGTCCTCGATACCCAGAGCTTAGATTTGACAAACAGCGAAGAGGTGGGTGCTCGAATAATTTGGAGATAAGGGCCTCGGCTAACGGTTCCATGGAATAGGTATCGAATTTTGTCAATGGGTTTGAAAAGCAAATATCCACTCTCTTTTGCACTGCAGGTGGTACAGATGAGGAGATTGGATACTTTACCGACATTCCTGCGGCATCTATTCAGAGCTGCATGGAAAAGAACTATCTCACCACGGCATACATAACGTACGCGGTCATGAGGCTATGGAGGGCTGAGCTTGAGCTGGAGGGGGAAAGCAGTGTTCAGCAATCCCGTCATATCGTCTTCACTGCGTCCACCGCCGCGTTGGTTGCGATTCCGGGGTACGCAGCGTATTCACCATCCAAGGCGGCAATCAGAGCATTGGCCGATACCCTGAGACAGGAGAGTCTCATGTATTCCTCTGGAGCCGTACAAATCCACTGTAGCTTTCCAGGGACATTTTACACAGACAGCTTTTACAGAGAGCAAACCCGGAAACCGGACTTGTGCAAAGAGCTCGAGGGTACGGTCAATGATGAGGGTGGACTGACCACTAAAGAGGTTGCCGGGCGGATCCTTGCGGGACTGGATGCGGGGTGCTACTTTATTCCGACTGATTTGCAGACCCGGTTGCTCCTGAATAATATGCGAGGGCCAAGTCCGCGGGACTCTCCTTTGATAGACTGGTGCATGGGCCTGGTTGCTTCGCTTATTTGGCCCATTGTCGGTACTTACTTCGACTGGAAGGTGACAAGGTATCGTCAGCAAGCGCGATAGGATTGTCTCCCAATTGTGAGGTCTAACGCCTTTCATTTTGCAGTGTACTTTGACTTGCTGCAAAGGAGTAGGGTGATTTTCAACCCTTGAACGCTTCTAAAAATGCATTTCTTGTGTTCAAACGTTGTCTTTGCCGATGCGGTGATGAAGCCAACATCTCATCTTTTAGAGACATAGTAGCTTGTTACCCGTTCCTTGTATCCTCTTACAAAGTTTCTTGGAAGTAGTCAGATTCCCGAAACAGCCGTCTTACCTTTCATCCACTGCAAGTGCCTAGCGAAGGCAAAATGAGTAGGTTGCAGGGGTCTACCATCAATATCGACTACGAGATTTTAGATAAAGATAGACAGTATAAATTTAATTAATTATTGTGAAAGACCCTTGTCTATCACATCTGGCGGGTCCGGTGTGGGGACTCCACCTGTTCCCAGAAGGCGCATCGCTTACTTTTCCTTCTCCATTCTTCACTCCGAGTCAGCTTTTTCCTCTTTCCACCCCGTCACCATCATGTCGAGCACTGCCACTATCACCACCACGGAGAGCAGCTCGCTCCATCTCTCCGCTGAGAATGTTCGACTCCCCACGCCTCAGGAGGCTCCTCGATCCCTCCTGCAACAGGTTCTGGTGATCAGCCAGCTCTTCGCGGTGACTCTCACTGCGAGTGTAATCCATGGCCTCGTCATTGCCGGACTTCCCACTATCACCAAAGATCTGCAGCTGCCTGCTTCTCTCTCCCTGTGGCCCTCCTCGGTGTGCAGTCTCGCAACAGCCTCAACTCTTCTCCTGAGCGGCTCCCTCGATGGGTGGAACTCGTCGGATCTCTCGCCAGCGGCGCCTTGATGATCGGGCAAGGACTGGCCCAAAATGGCATCGAGCTGGTGATTATGCGAGCCCTGCAAGGTGTCGGTCTCTCGCTCCATCTGGCGTCCTCCGTTTCCATCGTCACCCAGCTGATGCCTCATGGCCGAGGCCGTAACCTGGCCTTCTCCTGCATAGGTCTCAGCCAGCCGCTGGGCTTCTCGCTCGGACTGGTTGTGGGCGGCATTCTCATCGACACCATCGGCTGGCGCGCAGGCTGGTACATCTCCGGAGGCATTACTCTCTTCTTCACCGTCATTGGGCTGTGGTCATTGCCCAAGAGCCCGGCTCATCAATCCGCAGACGTTCTCCGCAACGTCCGGACCAAGATTGACTGGGTCGGTGCCGGTCTGGCTTCTGCATTCATGGCCTTGCTGTGCTACCTGCTCGCGTAAGTGGCCCCCCAGTCATACAATCTCAAAACTTACACGACCAGTATTCTAAGCGCCGATACCTCCCGCATCAAAACTGCCGAGAGCATTATCATTCTATGTCTAGCTGCAGTCGCCCTCCTATCTTTTGTCGCATGGGTCCACTACCAAAGCAAACGCAACAAGCCCGCCTTGATCCCCAACGCGCTCTGGCGCAACACTTCTTTTACCAGCATCTGCGCAACTGTGGCTCTCTCCAACGGCGTTTTGAACTCTATGGAACTTTTTGCCAGTTTATTGTACCCCCTCCTTCTTTCCCCTCCCATATTGTCTACAACTAACCCAACTGCCAGCTTCCAAGAAGTCCAATCCCTCTCCGCACTTTCAGCCTCAATCCGGATCCTCCCCTCCCTAATAATCGGCATCCTCATTAACCTGATCATCGGCTTCTTCGTCCACCGCATCCCGGCCTCCTACATCGTATTCGTCACCTCGCTCCTCGGCGCCGGCGCTCCGCTCCTCATGGCCATCATCCACCCCTCCACCACTTACTGGGCCAACGCCTTCGTCGCTCAACTCCTCCAACCCATCAACGCCGATGCCCTCTTTACCGTGGGGCTAATCGTCATCACGAACGTGTTTCCGGACGATACGCAGGCGTTAGCGGGTGCAGTATTCAATACTTCCGCGCATTTTGGAACGGCATTAGGACTGGCTGTTTTGCAGGTGATTTCGACGGTGATTACGGAGAGGGAGGAGGGGAGGGGAAAGGCAGAGGTGAAAGCCCTGATGGATGGGTATCAGGCGAGCTTTTGGATCATGTTTGGGATTATGGTGCTTTGTACGGGGGTGGGGGTGTGGGGACTAAGGGGGACGGGGAGGGTGGGATTGAAGAGGGATTAATCATTTCTTCTACCCATTCACTCATTTATCTATTTCTCCTATATTTTCTCGTCCTTGAGAGACCTATGACGATATGACCGCCAGAACTACGTACTAGAAGATGAAAGGTGATTGATCTATTCTATGGATATTCTCCTACTGATACATGAAATGTCATCGGATCTGTAGCAGCCCTGCAACATCCGGTAAGGGATAATTCTCTGGGTACACAAATCCACTCACTCGACAAATTAGACAAATGCACGTAATTTAGAGCAAAGATACCCTTTATTGTACCTAGATAGGGCAGTTTACTCCGCTTGATTCTTTAGTGTAACATGGTCCTTTTTCCAATGATTGGAGGGTGCTGGAACTAACAAGCTAGATAAGCAGTATGTCACGATTCAGTGCATATGACTCATTATGCTTAATACACATACAGACATAGAACATAAAGCAACCCCATACTCCATACACAATAATCACAAATACGCCATGACCGGCCCATACACCCACCCACCCCATCATCAACACCACAACCCACATCGAAAACACATCCGCCTTTATGCCCCATAGTTCACTCACCCCCCACAAACCTTCAAACTCAACAAAAAAAAAAAAAAAAGACCAGATAGGAATAAATTAGAACCCCATCTCCCTCAACCGCACCTTCCTCTCCCCCAACCAAACCCTATACGCCTCCTTCGCCACCCTCTTCCCATCCCCTCCGATCCCCCAAATCTGATACCCCGTATCCTCCCACACCTTCAATTGCCGCAGAAACCCCTCCTTAGGCTTAATCTTCTGCTTGGCCTGCACGAACCGCAATGCCTCGTCGACGCCAATCCGAAACTTCCGCATCAGGTATGCGATGATGATCGTGGGGGAGCGAGAGCGGCCGAGGTCGCAGTGTACGAGGACGTTTCCGGTCCCGGCCTCGCCATGGCTGGGTTCAGGATCGATGGGGGGTTGTGTGGTGGGGTCGGTGGGAGTTGGGAGGGAGGTAGCGGATTGAAGAACAGGCGGCGCCATACGGTCAATGAAGTCGCAGATGTCAGTCATGAAGATGAGGAGGTCTTGGACGGAGGAGTCGATGACGAGGGCCCATTGGTGGCGTGAGCGAGGGATGCCGGCGGCGAGGGTGGCGGGGTGGTTTTGCACGTTGGGGACGGTGGTGAGCGAGACGATGGCGGTGATGTGGTGGGTTTGGAGGAGGGAGGTGGTTTGGGAGCCGGGGAGGTTGCCGAGGTACAGGCCTGGGATGATGGGGGTGATTCGGGGGAGATAGCAGGCTTTGGGTTTCGGTTTGGGGAGGTCTTGGGGGTTGGGAGAGGATGGTATCTCCTCGGTGGGTTTGGGATTGATTTTTGAAGTGGTCTTTGGGTCGGTGGAGGAGCTCATGGTGATGTTTGTGTGGTTGGTATTTGGAGCGAAGGGAAGAAGACGAGATGAGATGATAGGAAACGAGATGAAATGAGGTGAGGTGAGAAGAGAGAGGAGATGATGAAATACGGCGAAATCAGGACGAGAGTCACACCGTGAGCATCACGTGGGCGGAAATCTCAGACCACAGTGAATGGCTGTGATGGGGAGTGAGCATGAAATTGTTGAGGGACGGAATGTGATGTAGGAGGTATACATGCTGAATGGACAGGTTGGCTGCAGTGTCGGTGATATCCGTCAGTGTCAGTCATGGCGCCAAGATTGTAGATGGCGATGGATGGTTCCATAAAAGGTAAGGCAGCACCATATCTAACTATGTCTATACTTGTGTATAGGGGAGACCACTGGCGGTTTCAAAGTGTCTCCTATGCTACCAAGGCAGGTCGTGGTAGTATATGTTGCTGGATAAGATGCTGGGGACTGTAGAGCACCATCAACATGAGGAAGTGCTGTTAGAACCGATATACTAGGTAGACTCACTAATCAAGACAATCAATTCAAGTGCAGGAACCCTGGAGGCAAAGACCAATACCTGGTCAGTCTATGCCGAGAACCGCATTCATTATAGTTTGCTTGCAAGTTTTCTACACGATCTGAATGCTTTGTAACTAGTATCAAGATGGTGGAATTTCCTAATAATCTGCCAATCCTTGCTGAATTTTGTATCAGGTTTCTACTTAATCCCCTCGGCACCCTTGAGAATAAGTTGAAGCTTTCTCTTCTCCTAATGGTTCACATTAAGTGCAAAGATCGTCTTGGTCACCCTTCCAACCCAGTGACTGGAGAGCTTGTTCCGCCAGTGCCTTAAACGTCACCTCAGGCCTCGTGAAAGTATGAAAGCTCAATTTCAGCCCAAACTCCGCAAGTAGCCACTGTTGCAGCTCCACGCTGATCATGCTGTCCAGACCATACGAGGCCACCGACCGTTGATCAAACGCGATGTCGCCCGGGTCAAGCGCCAGCATGTCGGCGCATTTTTGCACGATCCGCCCCCCGATAGACATGAGCAAGGTTTCATGGTCGTTTGAGTCTCCGTTGGATAGCAACCCACCCAGGTGGCTCTCCTTCATGGATGGCGATGATGTCCCCAAGAGGTTCAGGTATCGTTGCATCCCCGCGCAGACGAGCATCCCCATACCAAAACATGCGCGTGCCAGTAGCAGTCTGGTGCAGCCGGATGGGGTCAAGCCCCAGCACAAGGTGGCTGGGACCGTTAGGAGACATGGCGAGTTCAAGCCCATCTAGCATCTCAATCTCGTCGATCCCATAGATCCCCAGTCGAAGGAGAGATTCTTCGATACTCTCGTTCTCTGCCACGACTCCAACATCCAGAATCATGGGCAGCGCTATCGAACAGGCGGGTCGCCCGAGGGCCCTACGATACGTCGCGAACGCATCCAGGAAGCTGTTGCCGGCATTGTAATTGGTCTGCCCTGGAGTGCCCAGAACGCCAGAGATCGAGCTAGTCATGACGAAGAAGTCCAAGGGGGCGCTGGCAAGAACCGAGTGAAGGACTTGGGCAATTATAAGCTTGGGTGTGACGGCAGCGTGGTACTGGGCTGGCGTCATTCCCTGCAGCAAGCCGTCCTACCAACGGTCAGTAGGGTGAGCGTGGAGCGGATGGTGTCGCGCTTACCTGCAGTACCATGGCAGCGTGCACCACGCCGCGGATCGGGTGCTCCTGTGCCACCCGGGCGACTATGGCCCTCATATCTGCCTCGTTTCAGGCGTCTGCCTGGGATACTTGGACCGTAGCCCCGGCATTTTCAATCCACGAGACAATTTCGACAGCCTTTGGTCGCGTCATGCCAGAGCGGGACACGAAGACGAAATGTCGACACCCTCGCTCGACCAACCAACGGGCCAAACTGCTTCCAAGTCCACCAAGTCCTCCAATCAGCAAGTAGGCAGCCTCTGGAGAAAAGCGAGGTCGGATGACTGAGGGTTGCATCTGTTTCTATTAGCCATTTGCTGCCAGGCGTTGTGGCCAACCCACTCACCTTAATGACACTTTCGCCATATCGGAATCGCACCACAGCGGCACCTTCTGAAGGCGCCAGTCCACTCGGCTGTTGGCTGCTAGACTGGGAGGGCAATTTATCAATGCTATACACCTGCACATGTGTTGGCCAGGCATCCTTGTTCTCCCGGAGAAAGGTCAGTCCTTCCTGTAAAACCGCAGCCGTCTCCTCCGGTCGGACCGCGAGATAGTTGTGGCCGATAGTTAGGAAAGAAGCACCCCTGCTAAAGGGGGATGGGTCGAGTGTCCCCCCCACTTCTCCATCGCATAGCACAAAGCGCCCCGCCGTGGAGATGTGTTTCCATGCCTCCCGAGCAAGAGGCGACAGAGAATTGGAAATGAGCAATGATGGTTTCCCCCAGGTACCTTTGCCCGGTGGCGTCGTGCTATATACTGATGGGTCTTGGACCGCAAGAATTGAGACAGAGCCAAGTAGCGGGTCTCGATCAAACCGGGTCCTCTCTTCCAGCGTCCTCACAATTACAGTAAGCTGAGCACCCAGTCCTTGGCAGATGAGTGTGGCCATTTGCACAAATGCCAAGGGCATATGCAAGAGCACAATATGGTCTTTCTTTTGGGCTCTACCTAGCCAGACCATGGCGAGAAGAGCCTTGCGTAGAGGTGGAAGAGAAGCGCACAAACCCGCTGGTTCGAGATCATCGCATGCTAGGCACAAGTTCTTCTTCGTCCTCACAATTGTCGAATAACCATTCTGGCTCGCAAAGGTGACTACCTGGCGACCTGCAGCTCCCTCAGTATTACCAAGGATATGACCGACAACAATCGCAGGCTGCTTGACGCTTTTTTCGGGTGACTCCTGCAGTTCTGTCATTTCTACCTGGACACATATTTCATGGGGCCCGACATCTCTCTGGATGTCTTCTATGGTCTTGAAGACCATCTCCCCGTTGATAGACGCGCTTGCCAGCGACGTGTTGGGTGGCAGGTAAACGGTTCGGCCTCGAAATATACCAGGACATGCCCATGGAATCAATCGATTAATGTGCAGGATGTCGCCGTGAAGCCAGAATTCCGTCTCTTGACCAGAACTCAGCGGTGCCGCGGATTTCAAGACCGCCACAAGAGCCTGTTTAATGCTATGAGAACTCTCCTCCCAATCGACATCTAACGATGTAATCTGAGCCCCGGGATGCTCAGATCTGACTCCACGCAAGAAGCCCAAGCTCAACCCGCCTTCCACAGTGCGTCCTTGATGAACCCCAAACGTTGCCCAGACAAGAGCAATTCCCTCGGAGAGGACCAATCTCTTGATCACATCCAATTGTGTCTCATTGGGTCTGGAGAGTATACTCCCATCCACATCAAGCATTACCATGGTACCATGAGGTTCATGGCAGGTCCCGTAGAAATCCATTAGGTTCATCACGCTTGGCTGATCGTCAAATTTCCTGACAAGTTCCCTGAGTAGAAGTTGATCTGTATTCTCTTTGACCACGAAGGTGACTGGTTTCTCCTCCAGCTCTCGGCTCTCTTCGTTGTTTGACTCTCGGGAGAGCAACAGCTCGAAACCGGAGACGGGGAGCTTTAACACAGGCCTGGAGGAGCCGCAAGAACGGTCCAGGCATCCGTCCTCTGGCATTGCATCTTGTAGTATTAACAAACGACCACCGGGTTGGAGCCTAGCCTGTAGGGCTCGGGTCGTCTGCGAACCCCACTGTCCCTTGCAAATGATAAGATCTGGACCGGTTGGCAAGCTGGATGACCACGGAGAAATCTCCCGCGAGACAGGGACTACTTTTACGTTGCTTTTTCTGCCGATCATCAATCTTTCTTCCATCTTGCTTGCGTGTGTCTCCGCTACCGTCAGGCTACCACTGGCGGGGAACTGAGAGGCCACGGTTTCGATAAGATCTTGGTCGTCTTCTGCAAATAGTACCGCTCTTTGAACTGGTCGCTTGTGATCAATCAGCTGAATCAATGTGACCACGGCCTGCTGGACCGATTTGTAGGATGTATGTCTCAAAGTCTCTGCAGCATAATCGATGTCGGGCTTCCATTGGTTTCGCATGTACCGTTGATCTGAGATGACGGCTGTCGACCGACTGCCCAAGCTCATGTCGTGCTCTTTGAATCGAGCCGCCTTACACTCCAAGATGGGGAGACCACCCGAGGTATAGAGTTGTATGTTGGAACTGAAGAAAGGGTTCCGGCACTCGTCCGTCCATGCGAACCCATCTCCCTCTGTTTCTTCGCCGGGAGAGGCAACGGTCATCTCCTCAATTCGTTGCGGAATCGTACTGAACGGCATGATTTTATATCGCCCTCTTTCGAACGAGATGATGGCAAGCTGGAGGCAGGTATCGATGGCCCCCGGGTGCAGGAGGTACCTGGACTCACCATCCATCATGCCACTGTGTGTCTTTAGTTCGATCTTACTAGCGGCTGCGAGGTCCCGCCCGTTGGATCTGACCTCTCCTAGGCACTGAAAGGAGGGACCATATACGACCCCAACTCGGTTGAATGTCTTATACCACCTACTGGGATGAGTGCTGTTGTGGAGAGTCTCGGCGATATGGTCGTACGGATGCGCATTCAGTTGGAGGGTCTTACTGGCCGATACATACCCTCTGCAATGGGTCTTCCAGTGTTTGTCGAGATTGGTCTCGACGGTGAATGAATACCAGCCCGGTTCACTCCCACTCTGAGGCAACAGTCGGGTCACCAGCTCAATCCCGTGATCACTCTCCGGTATCACAAGCCCTTGTTGAAAAGAAAAGTCCTTCAGGGATACACCCTGACTGGGACTGAATGCGGTACCGCTGATTTGCCACAAGGCTTTAATAGCCAGGGCGATGTATGCAGCACCCGGCAGCAAAAGTTCGCTTCCAACCTGCCTTGCCGTTAGGTAATGTCAGAATCATGCGGATGTGCTACGTACGCTATGATCCCTCAGCCATGGCACATCTCGAACTCGTAGGATATTTTTCCAAATATAAGTCTCATTGGAGAGGCCGGCAACTCGTCTCCCCAGCAGATCATGTCTAGGCGCGGATTGCTCACGCTGCTCTTGGCTCACCCTCGGCTCCCGCCAATACTCCTTTGCATAATTCCACTGGTATGGGGGCAAATCAACCAGCAGCCGAGGTCTCGGCTCATTAGATAGATCATCGGTTATGCCCTGCATGCTGACACCGTGGCCGGCGAGGAACAGACGCCCGGTGGTCCGCAGCAAGTCGGTGCACGAATTAGAGTCCCTGACGAAGCCCGGGATATACTTGACGTGTGCTTCCAGCTTGCTGCTCGCGATGATCTGTTTCAGCGGTCCAGCAAGGGCTGAATGGGGTCCAATCTCCACTAGGTGATTCAATCCCTTCAGGTCTTCCAGACTGCACAGCTCCGCTGCCGCTGTATGGAAGCGAACCCGGCTAGTTAGATTCCCTACCCAGTATTGAGGGTTGATATCTGCCTCATGGACTTGATGCCCCGTCACAGAAGAGATCATTGGGACCTTGGAGAGCCGTAGTGAGGTTGCAGACGAACCAGTCTCTGGACTTGCCCCGGTAAGGAGTCGTTCATAGATTGGACCCACGACACTCATTGCAGGTGAGTGATAAGGCTGGCCTGTTTTCAGCTCTCTTACAAATACTTTAGCAGCCGCAAGCTTCATTCGAACCTGCTGAATCGCAGTCGCTGAGCCGCTCAATGTCACGCTCTCGGCAGAGTTTTCGCATGCAATAACGACATCCGTATCGCAAATGTAAGAATCGATCGCCTCGGCCCCGAGTCCCACAGCAAGCATCGATCCTTGGGGGCTTCCCTGTGCCACGGCTAGTCCACGATAGAAAGCCACGGCAAAGGCCTCCGGGCCAGACAACAAGCCGGCTGCATATGCTGCAGCAATCTCCCCCGATGAGTGACCGGCAACAGCGGAGGGAACGATCCCCCACTTTCTCAGCTGGTCAACAATGGCGATCTGAACTGCGGTACATAGTGGCTGTGCAACATCGGGCTCAGCCATACGTTCCGAAACCATGCTCCCTGACAAGGCCTCCTCTAGCGACCAGGCTCCCGATGGCTGCAAGCTCTGCAGGCAATCGTCCAGGGACCTGATGGTCGCGGAAAATGTAGGTAAGGTGCACATGGCATCTTTCCCCATTCCACGCCACTAGGCACCCTGTCCGGTGAGAATGAAGGCAATTGGGGCAGGAGCTTCTGCCGAGCCGTACTCGAAGGCCGATATGTCAAAATCTGCAGAGTCACGGCCATCTTGGGCGATGGTAAATGCTCTGTGTGAAAAGTGCGTCCGGCGACAATTGAGCGTGTAGGCGAGATCGTGCACGTAATAGCGCTCGGCGAGACCAGCGTGCGCTCTGATATTCCTCTCCAATGTATTTCAGTCGTGAGCTGTAAAGCATACCAGAATATCACGAGAAGCCGAGGTCCTATATCCGGCTTTGGACCTTTCCTGTCCGTGGTCAGACCGCGCGGCCTCCAGTATTAGATGGCCGTTGGTGCCACCATATCCGAACGACGATACACCAACCCTCCGAGTCAGTGGGCTCTCGGGCCATGCTATAGTATCCGCATTTATTTTAACATGCCATTCCGCTTCTTTTACTAGAACTAGTCAGCACCCGTTATTTCTCGCAGAGTATATAGACCAGAACGCACTAGCTGGATTGAGAGTCTTGAACCCTGCTATCCCTGGGATGATGGCGGATTCCACAACCAGAGCTGCTTTAATCACGGCGAAGATACCGCTGGCGGCCTCACTATGACCGATATTTGCTTTGACCTGGGTAAGTTAGTATTCTGGACCTGTTCCACGCTCTAGCGATAACGCTTACTGCTCCCAGCCGCAGAGGTGGTTCGCTGCTGCGTCGATCATTCATTCCTTTCGAAACGGCGTGCACTTCGATGGGGTCCCCAATGGGTGTGCCCGTTCCTGTGAAGGGTCAGCTGGTACCGCCATGTCCTAAGCCGATCACTTGTACCATGGCATTCAACATAGAGTGTGTCGATTGGGTCCAGGCCGGCTCTCCTATAAGCGGCCCGAAGCACCCGCTCCTGACCCTCGAGACTTGGGTGAGTAATGCCCTGATCTTTAACCTTTCCATTTCTAGGGTCCAGCTTTAGCATCCTGTTACAGCGTTGAGGCTTCAGGCTGGGATGTCTCACGTATTAACGGCCGAGCCGCGAATGATTGCTCGAATTGGATTACCATCGCGAACCGCATCAGAGAGTCTGCGCAGATAAATAGCACCCGCGCCTTCAGCACGGCCATATCCGTCCGCGGCAGCATCAAACGTGTGACAGGTAGATGTTGGCGACAGGATCCCCAACTTGGCGGTGTTGAGGTGCTGATCGACCGAAATAATTAGATTCACACCTGCCGCAATGGCACCATCGCATTCTCCGCCTTGCAGAGCGTGGCAGGCCTGATTGATCGCAGTGATGGACGACGAACAAGCAGTATTGATGACGGCGCTGGTTCTTTCAGTCGACCATCCGTACAGTGTCGGACACTATCATGGTGCCCATCACTCACTTTGGTCCGTGCAAGTCAAACACATTACAAATCCTTGCACTCATGATGCCGGGATCCATTTCGGTTGCTGAATATTCATGTCGAAAATCCGGCTCTCGATGGAGCAGTTGCTGGTAGTCCGAAGTGAAGCAGCCGACAAACGCTCCGATGTCTTTTCCGGCCACGTCCTCCAGCGTCAGGCCGGCGTTCTCGAGGCATTCATATGCAACCTCCAGGATCCGTCGTTGCTGCGGGTCTAGCCACATGGCTTCAATTGGCGACATGCCGAAGAAACTGGGGTCAAAGTCATGAGGGTTGCCGTCAAGAAAATAGCCTCCGCGAACATTCAAACTCCCCGGTCTATGCAGGTCTTCGTGGTAGAAGGCGTCGATGTTGAACCGACTTTTAGGTACGGACGGGGTTTGGGCAGATTTCTTGTTGATCAGCACATTCCAGAAATCCGCGGGGGATGTGATAGATCCAGGGAGGCGACACGCTACTTGGTCAGCAGGATATCATGGATACTGGCTGATACTCACCCATGCCTACAATAGCAATCGGCTCTAGTGGGGCATGCCCCGCGGGCGGACCATCTGCAGTGTGGTCCATCAGGGCTTCAACCGTGCCAGCGAAGAAGATGGTTGACAAAGTATTGCAGTATAGCTAGATCGTAGGGTAATCTAGAGATTGTAGAGGTACTTAAGGTCTTTGGTTGCTGTTTTCCCACCACTGTCCCATCGCCGGATTGAATGTCCACCTTCTTATACTTTGACTAGATAAAGGATCGATGGCAGTCTGTTTGCTGGAAAACAAGGTGGAGTGAAATTCACACCCCTTACGCATTTCACTCTCAAGGCAGCCCCAATCGCAGGCTATACTATCCCGAGGGCCGGACAACCTTCCGTATCAGATCAAATACATCTGTGCGCGGGCCCAGTCAAAGACAGTCACTGCTCGATTCCTTTGGATGGAGCGTCAGGTCATATGAACCGAAGAAGATACAGCTGACTTTTCTCCTTCCGTTAGTGGCGCAAGGAAACAGGAATCCATGTGCCGCATGGTTCGATTGACTGGACTGTTGCACAAGGGATAGCCGATATGCCGGTGTCTGGAGGACTCTCGAGATTGCCACCACGGAGCGAGATGGTAAGGTTGAGCCCAAAATGCTGCTATCCAGCCTTCCTGCCCGAAAATTCCCGGCTCGTTTTTGAGGGCACGAACGTCTACCCTGATGGTCTTGTAGTATAGGCCCAGAGGTTCGATGTATCACTTGCCGTGTGCATTTCCACCTGTTGATAACAGTGAGGGCGGAAAACGTTTCCGTCTGGCGCCTTGCGTCTTCAGTATGCAGGTATACTTTTGGGGCAATTCAGCTTCGCATGACAGCTGTCTATTGGCGTGTCTATAGACGTGATGAAGTCATTGTTAGCAGGTATTCATGGCAGAGTTCAATGTCACACGAATCAACCTCATGTTGGAAGCTGGAGCACGACATGGCCACGCAAGGGTGACTTCCTGCTGTCTCTCGACACACCGTAGTGCTCTTCCAAGGAATTCACAAAAGATGCAGAGCTCATCGTGCCTGGTGCTAAAAGGTTGAGGTAGTCTATAGTTACACATGTTATAAACATAGAGACTTGCCACTCTGGCGGTGACGACAGCCAGGTCCTTTGAGTCATATGCACTTATGGCTTCTGGGTCAATTGGTGGACATCTTGGGATGTGCGGATAGTAGCACCTCACGTCTTTCAGCATCGACTATGAGAACTGTTGACGATGCCTGTTATAGCCATTCAAGAATCTATACCTATTCAATATCTGAACGGTCCTTTATAAGTTATAACCGATGGCTTTGGCCGACTTATTAGTTGTCAGAAGATGTCTAAGTGATGGAAATATGAGTAGACGGGGGGGTAGCGAAGATGAAGTGAGATGGCACAGGACAACCATCAGAACAGGGGGTCAGGTGACAACATACTGGTCCAGCAGAGTCAACAGACAATTTACACAGCTGCTGAGCATGAGACTAATCCCACAATCTCAACTCCTCTCATCTTACATCAATTCTCTAAACGAGACATCACCAGTAGTGTGAAATCTCCTAGAGTATCTAGCTATCTACGTACCAAGTTACTGGCCTGGAAAATTGTGGCTTTCATTGTAATCCCCAGAGTACAGTTTATGCTGTATCATCTTCTACTTTTTCAATCATACTCTTTCCATACTTATGGCAAAAGGAATTGAATCAACACCAGCGTCACGTAAAGTTCAGTGGTTTCAAATCTTCGCTCAGCAGAGCTATCTTGGACCGGCTATTAAGTTATTGTAAATCATTTCAATTCCTACAAAGCCATAAAACCCCTACCCATACACCCTTCAACTTCCAAATCTCAATTGAGTCAAATGCTCTCCATCCCATCCTCACCAAATAAACCCATGAAAACATGCTCACCCCTCCATCCTCACCCTTCGAACGCTCTAACTCTGCAAGATGCACCACACCCCACACATACTCCATACGTACGGAGTACATCCCAGCCAAGCCAAACCCAACCCTAACAGCCCCAGTCAATACGGAGCTTTACCCCTCTTCCCCTCAACTTACCCCATCCATTCATTTCAGCTCATCCACATCTAATGTAACCCAGCCTAATTTCCAATCCACCAAATCTGCAGCCCCCCCGAACCTGCAGTTTCTTTTCCCGCTCGGGTTCGTTTTCAGCCGAGATACTATACACTGTAATACGGTGTACAGTATACCAATTGAGTTGATTCGAATTCAGTTTACCTTGTTCGGATAGCGGATGCCATTTAGAATCCAACTAATAATACTTAATTCACTTTCCTATTCTGATCTATTCTATCAGTGATTGAACGTGCAACAAATATCTTCAAAGTACCAGGTAAATCTGAAAAAGCCGGAATTCCCATCTCCGAATCCTACATCTATATTACCCATCCCCGACCATGCCTGCACCCATGGCATGTTGAGGCACGGCACTTACCCGATCAGTCGGTCGGCAGCCCCTCCATCCACCCGACCGGAACATTCCGGGACCTGCACATCGGGACCGGAACAGCACTTTGGACGGAGTATGTATTCCGTATCCCGTATGTACTCTTACTCGGCTCCGTCTCATCATCCCGCTAGCCTGAACTACATCCCCGTAGGATATGGAGTCAGTTTATACGAAGGATATCCCTCACGATCGGACCATCCCGCTTAAATACGCCTTCAAGGTCATTGGCTACTGAATCGAAATGAACCTGTCAAGTGAACCTCGGAACGGACGCGCACGAGCAAGAAATTTAAGTTTGTGCGGCGACCGCACGCGGGTGTCATGGCGTCATGACTCGGTACCAGAGTTTCGAGGACCATACTTTGTAGTAACTTAAGTTTTCTTTCTACAATGGTGGGGAGGGGAGGTATACTGAGAACGGCTGAAGAACCAACTGCAACGTGCAGGTCGTGGATTCATGTATGTAACCAAAACTAAAGTCTAAACCCCGAACCGAACCAAGATCCATCTAACCAGCCCAGTGGAAAAGACATGGAATTGTGGAAGAAGAAACAGACGTTGCATGACGCTGCATTGCATTGCATTGCATTGCCTAGCAGTGCATGATTTCACCAAGGAAACAAAGTAAGAAACAAAGTAAAAACCAGTCTAATAAAGCGCAAAAATCGGTCGGCTCGCTGGTAACTTTTTGGCCCAGGAGCGACGATGGATATCAGTAGTCCAAACCCGTAAGCCGTAACATGCAAGGAAATAAAATGTCTAACATCGATCAAGATGCGAACCAGGTGAAAATGGGAAGAAGAAAGGAAGAAGCCACGCGGGGATGCGTTTACTCGACAGCAGAGGCACCGTCGCCGTGGGTGACGGGGTTGACCTTGGGGTTCCACTTGAACTTGAAGTCCTGGCCGAGCTCCTTGCGGAGAGCGGTCTTGACGGCCTCCAAGACGTGGGGGAAGACACCAAAGTTGGCGGGGTTGCTCTCGTCGTTGTCACCGCCCTGGAACACACCGGTGCGCACCAAGCAAGTGTTCCAGCCGTGCATGTTACCACCGCAGATGTCCGAGGCTGGGTTGTCACCAACCATGTAGACGTTCTCGGGCAGACGGGCCTCGTTGTGGAGCTGCTCCATCCAGGCCTTGAGCACCTCGTCGGCGTAGGTGTAGGTGGCGCGCTCGGGCTTGCCGTAGACGACACGCTCCAGATCCACACCGGTGAGGGCCTTGTACTGAGCCTCAATGGAGATACGGAACAGACCCTGGGTCAGACGGGGAGGACCCTTGTGGTCGGTGGGGAAGACCAGGTCACCCTGGGAGAAGTAGACGGGGATGCGGTTGGCAACGGGGTCCACGGAGCGGGTGAGCATCTTGCCGTCGTCGGCCAGCAGCAGATCCATGATGAGCTGCATGTCGGTGGCGTAGTCGCGGGAGTCGGCGAAGACCAGGATGGCATCGAACTTGACCTTGGAGAAGTCGCGGGGCTTGGCCTCGAGGCGGTCCTCCTCGGAGAAGGAGCGCCAGGGGGACACGGTGGGGTCCCAGGCGAGGATATCCTTGGGGTGGACGACGTTCTTGAAGCCGTAGTTCTCGGCGACCTTACGGATCTTCTGACCCTCACCACCGCACACCAGGACCGTGTCGTAGTACTCCGCCAACGCCTGCATTGGGGTGTGAGACTGGATGAACTGGTCGGTGGAGATGGGGCAGCCAAGGACTTCGGTGAGCTGAGCGCAACGCTCCTCCTCGGGCTTACCACCACCGTTGGTCAGGAGGATGTAAGGGATCTTGATGCCCAGCTCGTTGTCGCCGTTGAGGATAGCGAGGGCCTCCTTGGCCTCCTCGATGGCCTCGTTACCGTGGGCCAGGACACCGTCAATGTCGAAGGCAAAGGCCATGTTCTTGGCGGCGGCAGTCTTCTCCTTGTTCACGTCCTGCACCTGAGAGGCCAGGATGTCCCGGGAGACATCCGCATGGACCACAGACGACAGACGAGAAACACGGGGAGATCTGGGGATGGGGAGAGAAGTGCCGAAGGAGTTGCGGGACGCACGACGGTCCCGGGAAGAGGGAGCAAAGCTCAGGTTGTGCATGTACTGGGCAGCATCGCTGATGGAGCTGCGAGTGGCAGGGATCTCAACAGTGTTGCCCGCATCACTGGGGATGGGCAGAGAGCCAGCGGCGCTGCCACGAGCATCCCGGGGAGAACGAGCACCGGGAGCAGGAGCAGCATCCACGGCGAAGTCGGCGTCTTCAAAGCGAGGCATGTTGATAGGAAGATGGGAATTGAGGTCGTCAAGAGGTCAATTGAGAGGAATTGAAAGTCCAAAAGGTGGAGGGCCCGGAATTTAAGGAGAGGGGCGGGAGATGATAAGATAGAGGTGATGATATCACTCAAGGAAACGCTGCACACAAGGTCTCCGGGAAGAGTGGAAAAAGATGGAAGAGGAGGATGAGGATGGAAGGAAGAAAGAAGAGGCAAACGAGGGCACCCGAGGACGATATATAACAAGCTTTCTTCAGTCAACCGTGGCGGTAAGGTCGAACGGACGGAGGACGAGTGCGTACCACAACCAGCAGCAGCAGCAGCAAGCGCAGCGTGTTGTTTCCTCGACCTGCGAGCAGCCATACGGAGCCCGGCTCCACCGAGGGGCGTATCAGCATCCCTAGGAATTCTCGTCGTCATTCACCCGCCAGTGATTAGCTGCCATGGCCCCGTAATCTTTCCACCCCCTGACCGCTGGACCCTGGCTGGTGGTAATTTATGACCGCCCCATACCCCCTTGCCCTTTCCGGTCGGACATGTTTCGGTGGTCTCTGAGGCATTAAACCGATTCCCACTCTTCACACCACTTGCGCATCGTGGCTGCAGATGGCAGCCTGAATTGCCCACCGCGGCGGGGCGGGGAGGCCTGCTGGGGAGTGGCATCACCGGTGAGGAGGGGATTGATTGGCCACGCCCGAAATTTGTTCGCAGGACGAACCACCCAGGACGGATCCTCAGTGGCCGGCACGAGAAGCGGATGCATGCTGAGTGGACAGGAGGGGGGGGGCGGGGCGGATGCGTCTGCCTGATTGGCGGTCAGCTGCATTCCACCATGGACGAGCCAGAGATCGCTGGAGCCGATGACGATCGAGCGGGCGGCGGCGGGTCAAACGCTCGCGCCGTTTCGAACCAACACCCACAGTGATGTCATGGCCAGCAGCGGGTTTGACTGGGAATTTAGGAAAGCCAGAGTGGATGCCCCCGATGGAGTCCTCAGGCCCATGCCGTCATGAGAAGCTCTCCGGTGTCAGCCAGCACGAGCTCAGAGCTCAGCTCGATGTCTCGAGCATCAAGGTAGATACTGAAGTTGGTGATAGCGGTCCAGATGAAAAGGCAATGGCACACCGGGAAAGGCAAAAAACAACCGACCTGCATAGAATTTAGTTGCAACCACCACGGATGCAATAGCATCATACCCCTCTTCAACGCAACACCCCTCCACCCCACTTTCCCAGTCACCTCCCACGCCCACCCTCTATTTGTACTCATCCCTTCTTCCCTACTCTTCATCCCTCCATTATACCCATTATACCCATTTGCCTTCCATCTCTCACACCCCTCGCAATCATGTCTTCCGGACAGACCTTCACTCTCAGCAACGGCGTCAAGATCCCCGGCGTCGGTTTCGGCACCTTCGCCAGCGAGGGCGCCAAGGGTGAGACCTACAAGGCCGTCACCGTCGCTCTGCAGACCGGATACCGTCACCTCGACTGTGCCTGGTACTACCTGAACGAAGATGAGGTCGGTCAGGCCGTCAAGGATTTCCTGGCTGCCACTCCCTCCGTCAAGCGTGAGGACATCTTCATCTGCACCAAGGTCTGGAACCACCTGCACCGTCCCGAGGATGTGCAGTGGTCGGTTGAGAGCTCCCTCAAGAAGCTCCAGGTCGACTACATCGATCTCTTCCTCGTTCACTGGCCCATTGCCGCCGAGAAGGAGACGCAGGAGAAGCCCAAGATCGGCGCCGATGGCAAGGTCAGTTCCTCCTACTCCTCCCCCCGCGATCGCCGCAGCTAACCGACCTCCCGCAGTATGTGATCCTCGAGGATCTCACCAAGAACCCCGAGCCCACCTGGAGGGCCATGGAGAAGATCTACAAGGAGGGCAAGGCCCACGCGATCGGTGTGTCCAACTGGACCATCGAGGGCCTGGATCAGCTCCTCAAGTTCGCCGAGGTCAAGCCTCACGTCAACCAGATCGAAATCCACCCCTTCCTGCCCAACACCGAGCTGGTGCAGTACTGCATCAAGAACGACATTCTCCCCGAGGCGTACTCGCCGCTGGGTTCCCAGAACCAGGTGCCCACCACCGGTGAGCGCGTCAGCGAGAACCAGACCCTCAACGACATCGCCAAGAAGGGCGGCAACACGCTGGCCCAGGTGCTGATCGCCTGGGGTCTGCGTCGCGGCTACGTGGTGCTTCCCAAGAGTTCGAACCCGACTCGGATCGAGTCCAACTTCAAGAGCATCGAGCTGTCGGATGCGGACTACGAGGCGGTCAACAAGGTGGCCGAGGGCCGTCACTTCCGCTTCGTCAACATGAAGGATACTTTTGGATACGATGTGTGGCCCGAGGAGACGGCCAAGAACCTGTCGGCTTAGATAGATTATGCGGGTCATAGATGTCTATGCAAACTGAGCGGATATGAGCGACGTGTGGATGATAGCTAGCAGATACGATAAAACATAGAACCATTCCAGTATGCTACTCGATACATGGTAAAATATGTATGTATGTAACCATACCACAATACCCATCACCCAATAACAAACCTCTCAATACCAATGAAACATCATGCATGTGCTGCACCACCGAGCCGAATAACGCATGCAAGTGCCCGGCCCCAGGGCCTCGGAGGACTGTCCTCCTACCATCCGGTATGACGTCATGCACCCACCAGCCTTCCACAACACCATACCTACATCGTCCCTATGATAGTACTCAGTATCAGAAACATCTAGACCAGTCTATGCAATATCGCATCATTATACCTTCACCACGCCCCTATTTTAGTACCAAAATAGCTAGCTAGGTAGGTAGGGAAAGCAGCCACATATCTCATATGGAATTGACCCAGCCTGAAACGGTTAGATTCAAACTCGGAAAATCCCGGAACAGGTGGCCGTCGGTGGGCTAATCCGGGCAAGCTTGCCCTAACACCGATGCCGTGATGGGAAGGTACCTTCTCCTAGTCTGTAGTACTCTTTACGGAGTACTCTTATGGAGTACGGTGTTGGTGGGGTCAGGGCTTGGCCCTAACCTACTTCCATACTAATTTCGTAACCCTAGCCTACTTGTGTTAACTGTTAGAAAGGTACGGTGCTAAGCACGAATCGGTCTAGTGGGTATTAGTTAATGGGGGTGGCTTGGTGGCTTGAGGGTAGGATAATTTAGTATTAGTGTGTGGGTGCGCTGTGGATTGGACTGTACCTGGATGGGACTTTTATACAAGTACGGAGAAACCACGCATATGGCAAATGGGAATAGGATGTGGTTCTGTGTACTGTGTAGATGTGACGTGGAGGTTATTCCTTCTGTTTGTCTACGTACCTACTACCTAGTATAACTCAATAGGTATCTATCTGTTGAGGTAGTAGGTATTGCGGGATTAATGTTATCAATACTGTACTGTGTACTCCACTTTTACGGCCAACATTCCGAATTACTGGTACATAGTACTTATCAGAATCGAAGATATCATTCGTTGTATTCCCATTTCCTACAAGTATCTATTCCTCAAGTCTCGGGATTAGGTTTGGTAGATATCTAGGGCCGTTGGCGCCTGGGAATCCTACCCAATCAAACTACTCAATTAACATCCATTTCAAATACTACTTGTAGTACTACGTAGGTGGGCAGTGCCTATCCATACTATAGTTTGTAGTGATGCTAAGCTATGTACTCCGTAGATGGTACCAAATATACCCGCCCTATGCGCTGCACTACACTGCACTAGAAACTCGCTTCGAGGAAAGGGAATTCCATCCCGGGCTGATGAACTTTGTTTGTTGGATCTGCGGATTGGCGGTGTTGATTTGGATACTTCAGTTGCTTTACAGGTGGGTTGGATGGGATGGAGCTCGTTTTGATTGAGCGGTGGGTTCATGCTTAGTGGTTGGGTGGTCGTTTTTAGATGGAGATACTACGGAGGAACTAGTAGTAGAAGGAATTGAATTTGGAATTATCGCGTGGGTAGGATAATTATACTACTTCTCCAAATACAAGTAGTAGAGATTTATAAAGCATATTTGAGAGGTTGAGGCATACCAGTACTACTATAAACCTGCAGACACTTATACTTGTCCCAAATATACAGTGTAAACATAGCAAGTCAAACTGTCTTCATTTGTTGATCCTATGATAGAGCAGAGGTGTGTTGGTCGTCGGCTCTTATCGCGATAGAACTTATCTCTCGATAAGAAATTGATTTTCTGCCGAACTTAGGCTATCAAGCACGACACAGGGTAGTAAATCACACCTTCAGTTTGAATTTAGAACTGGTACTATTTGGATGTCTTCTATGTAAATATTAAATCCCTCATATCATACGGAGTACCCTTTTCATATCAGCACTTTTAAGGAAGTAAATAAGATAGAAGGACCATATCCTACCAGGACGGAATATGTATTTATCCCACTCTTATTAGCTAGACCTATCCTACTACATGGCAATCTACAGAACCATCCCTCCATCCTATCCACCCTGATCGACACACATACTCACAGACTGAAACAATATCAACATCCCAAACCATACCTATACCCGTACCCATACAATCATACATATCTCCTAAGCAGTCAAAACTTGAAAACGCACACTACATCATCATGCAGGATCGACATACAGCAGGCGCAGGCTATTAGGGTGATATAACATATCTAGCTACATATCTTCACACATACCACAGTATGGATGGCTGCTACGCAGACGATGATCCTTGCATGTGCTGTGAGGATGTTATATGCAAGGCTGGAATGTGAAATACCGGGTTGGTTCGGTTGAATCCGCAGGTGCAGGGATGTCATCGCTGTGATAAGTACCATATTTATTACAGCTGAACTGCTAAATCTGCTAAGGAATTGATTAAACGGTAATAAACGATAATAACATAGCTCCAGCACATAAACGCCTAGCACCGTATGTACACCGATAATTCCAGAACAATCACCGCGGTCGCATTTTCCGAGGCACTGGCGTCGATCCCGCATGGATTTTCAAAAGGTTCGTCTTCGCGCTACTACTGCGCAGTGATGTCTTGATGCTGTCGGCTGCTTTCGACGGCGTCGCCGGTCCCCGTCTGGGCGACTTGGGGGTCAGCTTCTTGCGGTCACTGCTTTGGCTCTCGCTCAACGGTGACGACAGACTCAGGGTTCCCGCCGAGTCGGCTTGGGCTGCTCCGGGCCCCAGCCGGCGCACGCGCCGCGTCCGAGGCGTTGCAGTAGCGGGTGCAGTAGCCGCTGCGGTAGCTGCATCGGCGCGGTCCTCCCCACCACTCTTCGGCGCCACTTGAGACCGCGTCGTCCGGCTACTGGCTGCCTTTCTTTTCTCGGGGCTTTTGCCCTTGCTTCCGTCGTGGACAACGTCATGCCCGTCGTCCTTTGCACCATCTTCCTCACCCTCAAACTGCACCAGCCGGTCGTCGTTCCAGGACACATGCTTCTTCTTGTGGGATCGTCCCGAGTCGTCTCCCGACCGATCGTCGGTGCAAGGAGACGCTTTCTTGGCTTCGGGCGATTTGCGTGAGAGTCCCTGCAACACGAATTTTGGCATCAAGGCATTTCCCTTGTTGAGTCGCGTGTTCCGCCGCGTTGCGAGGGCTAGCTCCTGCGCTTCGGTGCGCTGCAGAAAGATAAACTCCGTGCCCTTGGCCCGCCGCAGAGAGAGGGTGTTCCGCACCGCAGCCGCGGCGGTGATGGTCGTCAGTAGCGTGGACGAGCGGTTCGTGCGCGGTCGGCTACTCCGACGCGGGCTAGAGGGCTGCGGGCTACCCTCGTCCTGTGGCTTGGTCGGTGACACCTGAGGTTTCTGGGGCGATGGTGAATTCGCGTCGAGATCTTCCAGGGCACGCCGTGACGGTGGGGTCGGAGACGCGACCACGACCGGCAGCTCCTGCTCCGTCTTTTCTGCATCCTTTTCTGCATCCGGGGCGATCATAGCGGCAGCTTTGGCCTCGCGCTTGGCCTTTGCCTTGGATAAAAAGTTGTTCAGCAGTTCGGTGTCTTCGCCGTCCAATGAGCTTCGGAGAGCGGACCGGACCAGCGTCGATTCCTGCTCGGCCGTTAAATCCGGCACGGGGGCGGTGATCGTAGCAGGCACCTGCTCTTCCAGGGCTTCAAGCTCTGGTTCAAGCTCTGGCACAGGGTCGGGCTGATCGCCGATCATTGTAGCAACCGTCTGTTCGTCATGGTCCTCTTCTGGAGTCGTAGGCACGTCTGCACTGTCGGAGAGAGCCAAAACCGGCTGTTCGCTGACCTCGTGGGGGTTTATGTGTGCAGGACTGTCAGTCATCCCACCGAACACTAGCGGCGACTGGCCATGTAGCGTGCGGGGATAGGCTGCGGCGGCCGCCAGTCTGGTGGGGGTTTCCGGCATCCGACTGGAGCATTCGTCCTCTGCTGCAGGGTTCTCCGCGAGAGCTTCCTCCAACGTCGACGTGGGCACCTCCGGCACGTTACTCGCATCGTCACCCGACTCTTGTGGCTGGAGGCTGTCATATTCCACCGGTTCATCGGAGATGTCGAGAAAATCGCTGTAAACGAGGGGTAGTTTGCCTGTAGCTGTTAGCCTCTGATCCGGTCCCCCCGAGTAGATACTCACGTCGTCGCCCAGTAACCTGGGCCTCCCACTTCGTCTCGAGGAATGAGCGCCCGCGCACATCCTCCATATCGTCCGCCTCCAGAGCAAAACATCGGCGCTTGACACCGCGGGCGAGGCCGGGGTTCCGGGACGAGTTGATTTCCAAATACAGGTCATAGTCGATGTGGTGACGCTCCGCCGTCAACTGCTGCAGAGACTTCATGCTGTTGAAGGAGGAGCGAAAGCGCTTCCACACTTTACGCGACTTGCCGCGCGCCCGGAATGCGGTCGACGGCTTGCGCTCCCAGACGCGGGGAGCGGTTTTGGTGGTTTTGACGGGCGTAAATCGGAATCGGGTATCTTCCTGCGCAAAGGTGGTCCGTAGATGAGGTGGACTGTCGAGAGGTGGCGTTAGTGAGGTCAACATGAGCATGGATCAGGTAAGAGAGACGTGATGGCCGAGAAAAGGGGTAGCCACGACAGGCTGTGGCATCTCGAATCTCACACTGCCTCCCAGTACGGAGTATTGAGTATGGATAGGCAGGGACTTCAAGCACAAGCAGGGCAGAACCACGAGAGGCACTCACCACGCCGGGAATGTGTCCGAAGGACAGACAAAGTCGGCCATCTTCATTGTTGAGGCGCGACGGAATGTGGCTGGCGCTGACATCAAGCAGCCCGGAAGAGGCACGAAGAACGAGGCCAAATGGGATAGCGATGTGTGAAGATATCGATGTGAAGTACCGATGCCGTGTAAATAGTTGGTTTATCAATAGGATTCAAGCACACGGAGTTAATGATGGCGAGATGAATGGAGCGGCGAGCGGAGTGGATTTGCTGTTGTGGTCCCCGGCCGGGGTCGTTGCCCTGCCAACCAGCCCTACCTGAGCACCTACGGAGTATTGGGATCTCATTAACTCACGCTGATCAAGGTGACCGTTACATCCAGAGGTGTTGAGGTCTTTGGAAGTCGATAATCAGTCAGAGCCACCAAGTATTGCTTCATGACCTTCCATTATATGTACCCTTCAATGTTCAATATATCCATGGCAGGATCCTCCACCGGACCGTCCTCCGATACTTTTCCCAATCGTCTCCATACTTGGCTGCACACATGGCATCGTCTCTACGCTCGCGGTGCATCAGCAAGATTGCAAAGTATAGCACGTAAAAGTAGGTAAAGATCATCCCCCAGCCGCGGGCTTCACCCTGGATCACCTCCCGCCCGTCCAACATCTGGAAACCGTGAGAGGCAGCCACAATGCTTCCCGCCGGTAGAACCATATACCCAGCCAGACCAGTCGGTAAGCTGAAAGGTAAAGCCTGCATCCAGTCGCCAAAGTAATTGATATGGCGAGACATGCCCCACCACCCGGCCGTTAGCAGTCTGGTTCCCCGCTTCGTTTGGATATACGAGAGTCCCGCCACACTCGGATCATTGGGCTGCGTACGGAAGACGTGTTTCTGATTATTGGCAGCCCGGAAGATGTACAGCCCCAGAGCAAAAACAGCACTCACAGCAGCGATGTTGACCCACCCGAGCTGCAGAGGATAGACCGACAGATACCGGCATTGAGTCGAGTACAAGAACGGCACCCAGACGAGGTCACCAAATGAGAGCATAAAGCCCATACCATCAGTGGTAATATCGATCATGGTCAGAATGCCAGGCTCGTTGTACTGGCCGTTCAGGACATAGAACGCCTGGAAGAAGGCGATGAAGACGATGCTGTCGGAGACATAGCCGTAGCTGCGATACTGCTTGGCAATAAAGGCCAGATCGAGCAGGATCCAGCCAGTCAACCCGGGATAGACCTCACACCAGGTCTTGATGTCGACCTCTCCGAACAAGGGTAGAGTGACACGAGGGTTCAATTCCCGGCCAATATAGAAAGCGTATATAAAATTTCCTGTATTACCGCCGGCAGCGAGTTCACGGAGATTGCCGTTGGGGTAATTGGTGTCCACGCTGAAGCTGTGGATGTACAGATAGGCGGAAAGTGTGTAAGATATCAATACATTAGCAGTTAATATCTGCACATAGTGATCCGTGATATACGTCCAGACAGGGAAGTTGGGGCCATGGAAGTATGTGCCAGCCGCACAGATGGATAAGAGGACGACACTGGTCCAAAACGCTGTCAGGTTGCATCAGCGCAGTTCAACAACAAATATGGGGAGGGATAATCACCATTCATGCGATATTGAAGTGGCCGGCCGTGATGGACAAGCTTAGTGCCGTGGACTTGTTGCGCGGGGAGAACTCTCCATAGGAGTAAGCTGAAGATATAGTATGCTAGCACTATACCAATGACTTTCCAGTCAAAGAGATCCCAGATTCCACCATCCGGCCACCCAGTCTCGGCAGCCCATGTGTCCCAGGTAATAGTACGAGGGCTCAGAAGAGAAGGTACCGGACAGCCGGAGATGTCATTGCAGCTGAAGGCAAAGAAATACAGAAGCACTGGCAGGCCGAAGGTAATCGCGGCGGCTCCTAGGCTATAACAATCAGTCAATGCCAGGATCGGGCAGGAGCATCATTGCTTACGGTCCACCAAATTCGTAGTGATCCACCATAGCTATGAGGCTGTGAGGAATATGTCTTCACAAAGGCGCTTGCTGCCTACGTCCTAGATATAAGAAAGAGAATTAAGTAGCCTGGGGGCCAGGGGTCTACAGTGACTACCCGTTTGGGACTAGTGTCGGGCCGGGGACAAGCAGCCCGGCGTGATATCATCCACTCAGCCCGCCTTCGCTGTCGCAGAAACCAGAGCATCTCGTCGCAGTCATGGCGGAGTACTGGAAGTCAGCGGTAAGCTTGCTTTATCGTATCCTCACCTCTACACTAGTTTTCTCGTGCCGCTAACATCGGCCAGCCCAAATATTGGTGCAAGCAGTGCAAGATCTTTATCCGCGATACTGCCTTCGAAAAGTCTCAACATGAGGCCACGGCCAAGCATCAGGGCAACCTCAAACGATTCCTTCGCGACATTCACCGTAACAATGAGCAACAACAGCGCGAAGCTCAGAGAGCCAAAAGTGAGGTTGAGCGATTGCGACAGACAGTGGCCGGTTCCTCGGGCGGAAAAGACGGCGATGCAGCGCCCTGGAAACGGGCTCCTGCCCCAGCCCCTAAACCTCAGGAGCGACCTGTCTCCATTGAGGAGAGAAAGCGACAGATGGCACAGCTAGCAGAAATGGGCGTTGCTATCCCAGATGAATATCGCAGGGAGATGGCGTTGGCCGGAGAATGGCAGACGGTGGCGGAGAAAGTCGTTCAACCTCAGGATGATGCCAAATCCAGCCAATCACTAGGCGTACGCAAACGAAAACACGAAGAACGTGATGAAGAGGAAGAAGCGGCGAAGCGGGAGGCTGAAAGATTCGTGAGCAAGGGCTGGGGATCGCGGGTTCGCCAGTACCCGGGCGCGCCAGAAGACACTGATCTCGACGCACTTTTGGAGTCTACAAAAGATATCAAGAAGGCCAAGCCTTCGACGACTAAGGATCTGGATCCGAAGCCTGATCCGACGCTCGAGAAGGAGCCGGAGTCTGCCAAGGGACAGTTCTTGCCGGTCAAGTCGGAAGAGGATGTCGCTCCGGAAGCTGGTGAGCCGTCGCAAATCAAGCAGGAAGAAACCGAGGCAGGATCCTCGACCCCTGCGATTAAGGAGGATCCTGATGAAGCGCCGGCTGCAGGCGTTGTTTTCAAAAAGCGCAAGGCTAAGGTGATGAGGAAATAATGACAAGCTTGTTGATAAGCTGTCACGAGCTATGATGGACTGTCCTATACGGACAGTCTGCAATGTGCAGCGTGATTCACGCTACAACAGTAGCAATCGATGCAACTTGCGAAATAGCGCCTGCCACAACACCGCAGGTTGCTGCCTCCGCTGGAGATGGGTAATAGCGATGCGATCAGCACGGTCCATGACATCACCAGGAAAGAGAGGCATATGGATAGCTATTCGGACATGCTATGAATACCTCGTATGACACTAAAAAAAATGTCATATAGAAAGGGCAACCTGATTGTGCATGGACCACCAAGGCTAGTGAAGGCGATGGATTACTTCTCTGGTATCGGGTGCAGACAGGATGTCACGACAATCTGCTTTACGGGCCATATATATTACTGGAACAGGAGACTATGCCCAGATTATACACGTAGATTTAGTGCTAGAAATGACGGACACATTGGTCCATCAGTTGATGCCAAAGGGAGCAAGATGATTGCGGGTGTTAGGACGGGACGAGTGGTGATAATGACATTATCCACTTTTTGTGACATCTCAGAGTAGCGCGATGTCAGAAATGTATACATTTTAAGTTTAGATTAAAATCCCAGGGCACATAGATAGATGCGCTGGGTGTTGCACGATGCCGTCAACATAGTAGGTTTGGCTGGCGCGGCGTTGCCACTGGCTGGCCTGGGACTTTTTTTTTCTGCTTGGGAAATTGGCGCAAAACTGGCAGCGCTGGCAAAGTCCGGGGAGACTCGAGAGTGTCTTCAGCGGGCCCGAAGCTCTCTTCTCTTTCTTTCTCTTTTGCTGGCGCAACAACAAATTTATCGCAATCCCCTTGTCCACCCCCACCCCCGATGCGGAGACTGTCTGGTGCCGAATTGCGTGTTTTGGTGCTATAGTCATTCGGCTCGCTTCTTTTCGCTTATCTGGCCCAGTGCATGGTAAGTAACCCAGAGCTTCTTCCCATTTGCCTGCCCCGATCTTCTGCCTCCCGAACGCGCCCGCCCCCAGCTGGCCTCTCCACTTGCAGTCGGTCGCTCGCACCAAGGATTCTTGTCGGAAAACGCCTGAGGTCGATGGTCTGCGATGGCTCGAATTGGGGACCACGACCTGGGTCGCGCAGAGGTGCCACCCTGGGCAAGAAACTTCCAGACGGTCGCATTCAACGTCACCTGGGCTCCGATTTCAGCATCGCCATCGGATTGACAGAGGTGAGGGATGGTGATATCGCACACTGTTGTCTGAACCTCTGGACCCCGTTTCGCCAATTCACACACCTGGACCTGCTCCGATGCGCGGTCAAATCCTGGAGAACCATCCGCGGTCCATTCCGTCCCCGACCATCGCGATCCAAAGACTTCAACCATCCTCTCCCTAACAACCACAGCCGGATCACACGATTTGCAGTATTGGTGGAGCTGAGAGGGTGCTTAGAATACTTGGGCCGTGGTCTGATCACTAACACGCTGTTTTCAGACTAGAGAAAATAGCACCTCGCGGTCGTTGCATCCCTGCAAGTTCTTCCCTCCGCAGATTTCTCCGTGACCGCCGGCCAGAACTTGTCGTTATTAGAAGTCATCCTTGAAGTACACCCACTTCATTGCATCAACCGCAGTCAAGTCCAATACAATCGAGATGGCCGAAACGATAGAGCCGACGAACACGTCGGGGGAACCGCCCAACCCGGCTCCTGAGGCGACCGATATACCCTCGGCCGATACTACGCAGACTGCCGACAACTCACTTCCACCGATAGACACGTCTCTGCCTCCGATCGATGCCACGATGCCGGCTATGGACGACCACTTGCCTAGTCTAGACCACGCGCTTCCCCCGATAGACACGACGATACCGTCGTTACCGCCCATTGACACTTCGCTGCCACCGCTGGACACTACCTTGCCGGCTACGGACACGAATCTAGCGGGGGACCCCGATTTTTCCTTTGACACCAAGTCGTTAAACAACGACGGCCATGTGTCCGAGGCTACGAATTCGGCGCCCGGGACTAGCTACGACTTTACCGAACCGTCCGGCCAGTCTTCAACTCCGGCTCCTACGTACCAATCTCCCGCGAATGGCACCCAGCTTCAGCCGGCGCAGCAACAGTCGCAGACGCCACAGGGCCAGCCTCAACAGCCACAGCCGCAGTATCATCAACAATATGGGCAGCCAGCGCAGCACTCGCCCTCTCAGCATGCTCCACAGCAGCACCAGCAACATGCGCAGGGACAGCCCCAGCAACAATACCAGCAGCACCAGAGTCCTGATATGTACAGCCATCAGGGGCATTCGACATCGATGAACAACCCTTCGATGCAGACGATGGATCCCCACTCCGTCCCAGGACAGTCCTCGCAGATCCCCCAGGCTCCCATCGGCTCGCCGATGCCATCCAACATGCCCCCGATGGCATCAGTGGGCCAGTACATGACGGGATACCCGACCAATGTCGGACAGATGGGGATGGGCACGAATGCGCAGATGCGCTACCAGTTACCAGGAGACCCGAACAAGCTGCTGTCGGGGGGGAGGCATAAAAAAGAGGTGAAGCGGCGGACGAAGACGGGGTGTCTCACATGTCGCAAGCGACGGATCAAGGTACGTGCCAGGAAAATGTCAGGAAAAATCACCCTTCAAGGGATGGGAGTTGGGATTGGAGAGGGGGGATGCGGTGGAAGGGAGCGGGGAGAAGTCGAGGGCGGGCCACAAAAACATGCTGCGGCGTTCGCTTGCACTCCCGCTTTGTGCAGACCGACCAACCCCGCCTGTCGCTTGTTGTTGTTGCGCCCACTCGCCTATCGCTGCTCCCCGCCCGTGCATACTCGCCTGTTTTTTGTCGCCTCTCTTTGATTCTCCCTTGAGCTGTTTTTGTTCAACACTACTCTCTATTCCCTCGATCCCAAGGCATCTTCTCCCGGTTGAGACTTGCCACTAACCACTTCCAGTGTGACGAAGGGCATCCCGTTTGCCGTAACTGTGTGAAGAGCAAGCGTGAATGCTTGGGCTACGATCCGGTGTTTAAACAACAGCCTACGCCCTCGGCCATCCAGCCGGCTCCCAACCCTCATCCGTCCTTGGTGGTCAATCCTCAGGATCCATCGACGTCCTATCCCGCCGCCCCTCCGGGTTACATGCCAGCAGCTTCCCAACCCTTTGCTCCGTCCGAGTCGCCCGCCCCGCCAAGTGAACAATACAATTACGGCACCGCCATTGATCCGTCGCTGGACGTGAATAACTCGTCGAACATGGCTAGCATCCAGCATGCTGTGGAGGGGGGCTTGCAGCCGACGGTCAATCCGGCCATGACCAACACCAGCGGCACCCCGTCGGAGCCGACCAACATCAGACGTATGTGTCTCAGGTGATGTCCCGGTGTCCATCCACTAACAGGCTGCAGTCAAACAAGTCCAGATCAGCGATCTCCTTGCGCTCCGCGGCATTCCTCCCCCACCTCCTCACCCGATCACCTCCCTCCCCCCCAATCGTCTGGAAGAAATCCAAGCTGTCTTTCTGGCGACATACGCCCCCGCCATTGACAAGTTCTTCGAGACTCGCTGGTTCCAGGAGAAGGCGCTGTCACATCTTCTGGCGAATGCACAACTCATGGCCGAATACTCCGCGCTGATCGATGCGTTCAACGACCCCAACCTGGCTGATCCGAATGTGCTTGCCCGGCTGGAGAGCTTCGAAGCGTCGGTTGTCTGGAGCTCCATGACCCTGTGCCGCCATGTGATGAACGTGTCCTCGAGGGCCCAGCCGGAATATGACCTCCTGGCTGCTGCCAAGCGGTTGGATGTCATCGAGGCGATGATCACTGGGGAATATCTGGACGCGAACCCCCTGGGCCAGTTCCCGGCCCGGGAGCCCGCCGCCAACCCTCCCTCGCTGCCCGACCAGCTCATGCAGCGGTCTTTGGATTTCTGGACCGCGATCGGGCACTTCCTGACGCTCCATGACAACGAAGCCAGCTCTGCCAAGGAGATTGACGACACGCTGGCGCGATGCCGCACGTTGCTGGATACCTTTGAGAACCGGGATGTGATATACTCGATTGCGATTGCGCGCCATCTGGGCCAGCGGTGGGCGGACTTTCCCCGCAGCTTCCCGCAACCGATCCCGACGAACGAAAAGGACGCGGGGGCGAAGCTCTATGTGGCGCAGAAGTTCCTGGAGCAGGAGGCGGGCGGGAAGGGCACGACGCAGGTGATCAAGCGCCTCTGCGGGATGGTGGTCCGGTCCTGGATTGTGTCGCGGGAGTAAACCCGCGGGGCAACACTGACGATACACTTTCGACCTGTAATATGAAAAGCGATTGGCGACTACCGTTTGACGATGTTTAACTAGACCTATTTTCTTTGCTCTTGCTCATTTGTTAGCTTTACCTGTTATCCTTGTGGCCCGACGGCTTGGTTAGTCTGGGTCCATCAGTCGGGGAACGGGGAAGACGTCGCATCACGACTCCGGAGTTGATTGCTCAGGTTTGTCTGCAGCTGGATGGCAGTTCACGGCGTTACGGCTGCATCGTTCGAAAAGGTGGTGATTCTGTTCCTTGCCTAATTCTTGATTTTCTATTCTTTTTTTTTTTTTTTTTTTTTTTTGCCCCTCGCTCCGGATGGTGAGTGGACTTGCAGAGAATGAATTAATGACAAACCCTGTATATATCCCTCGGGACGTCTATCATAGATCTAGCGTATGTACACCTCACCTCTGCTGCCATTTGCTCAGAGATCCGCCTGCTCGGGCACGGGACTCTTCAACTTGCCGGTTTCCAGCGCCATCCGGACATTCTCGATCGCCCATTCCTCCATAGCGGTTTGCGTCTATCAATTAGCATCTCCTTATCATCATGAAGGTGTAATAGAATGACTTACCTCTACCGTCCAAGTCCCCATATGCGGCACCAGCAACACCTTGGGATTGCTCACCAGACCGGGATGCACCTTAGGCTCTTCCTCAAAGACATCCAAACCGGCCGAGTACACCTTCCCACTATCCAGGGCCTGCACCAGCGCCGCCTCATCCATGACCGCCCCGCGCGCGGTATTAACAATCACCACGCCGTCTTTCATCTTCTCGAACTCGGCCGTGCTGATGATATGCCGGGTGTGTTTCTATCCCGTTAGTCGATCCTCCCTTATCCCCCAACCCCATCCCACCCAAAGCAAGGAAACTTACATTCAACGGCAAATTCAAACTAACCACATCACTCTCCGCCAACAACTCCTCAAAGCCCACATACCTCGCCCCATCGGCCAACTCCTCACTCAGTTCCCGTCGATTATGATAAATGACCTTCATCCCAAACGCCTCCGCCTTCCTCTTCAGATTGCGGCCAATACCGCCCATTCCCAAAATGCCCAGGACTTTGCCCTGCGGATCGTGGCCCAGGACGGGCGTCGGGGAACCTCGCCAGTTACCTTCCCGGAGGGCGTGCATTCCGTAGTTGAAGTTGCGGAGCGCACCGAGGATTAGGAACATGTTTACGTCGGCGGTGGCGTCGTCGACGGCGGTGGGCACGTTGGAGATACGGATGGGGGTGGGTGTGCGCAAGCTGCAGGCGTGGGGGTCGATTTGGTCGTAGCCGGCTCCTGTTGGTTATTAGTTTCTGTGTTAGTATTGTAAGAGGTGGAGTTTCTGTAGGTGTTTTGTGGCTTGGAGGATAGTGTATAAATACACTATAATAGAGCATAACTGGTGAAGAACAGGGTAGGGTAGGGTAGGGTAGGGAAGGAGGGGGGGAATACCGCAATGCGCCAAAAATACCAACGACTTCGGCAAGGCATTGACGAGTTCCTCATCAATCAGACCGGTGATTTTGACCGAGTCAAAGGTGCGGTAGGCGGCCACGACGCCGTCGTATTGGCCCGATTGACATTCTTGGATGAAATCGGCGCGGTTGGTGGCCGTGGGACGGATCAGGTCGGCGATGGTGGAGAGGGAGGACCAGGTTGTGTGGGCGCTGTTTTCCTTTCTTAGTATTCTGGGTTCGTAGGGTTGGTTTTTGGGGTGGAATTGGTTGGAGGGGGGGTTGAAAAGAGGAGGGGGAGGGTTGAGGGAGGTGTTTGGTGCGGGGAATGATGATGATGCTGTGTATGGGATTAGGGTGGAGGGTAGGTGACGTACTGGATGATGTCTCCTAGGAGGAGAACCTTGGGTTTGGGGTCGCTGGAGCCCATTGTTTCTTTTCTTTGTTTGGTTTCAGGGAGGGGAGAGTGTCTGAGTGTTTGGGAGAGTTAGATGGAGGAATGGTGGATGTCGTGGGGGCGCCAGGTACCTCGGGGGGTTATATACCGAGTGGGGTAGGGTCGGGACCACCACGGAGTCAAATGGAGGATGTCGTGATTCGTGACTGGTGAAGAACTGACCGGAATTGTATACCGGGATAGGAAGAGCTACTGCAGTGGTATAAGAACAGACTCAGAGGGGGGAAGCAGATAGGAAAAGTGCCCCCACGGCCCCGCTCCCGATATCGTCGTGATATTTCCTCGGCTTCAGCTCCGGTTGGTGCGGGCAACCACATAGTATACAGATTACAGAGGTAATTGAGATATAGTTCCAGAGTGAGTCATAGATACATGCGTGACAGAATCAGGTTATCCCTCCACCAATACCCGTGTCCAGTCGAACTTTCTCCAGCGCTTCTGGAACCCGGGCACCCGCCGATCGCCTCCCCTCTGCCAGCGGCCCTGCCGCTTGATGACATCCGGCGCCAAGTCCAGCATGCCTCCCAGCACTTCTCGGGCGAAAAGATCCCCCCGCGGCCACCGGTTCTCATCCTCCACCACATGGCCCAGTCCCCCGTCCAGCTGGAACCACACGTGGAAGTACGGCATCTCCTTGGCAATCGATCGCCGGAACGCACTCCGACCCATGCCCTTCTTCGAGTTGGCCAATGTGTCGATCAGCTTCCGATGCTGTGACCACTCCGCGTCTGCCGACAGGATGGCCTCCTTGAAGAAGGCCGGCGAGGTCTCTCCAAGGCTGTACGGCAGCGGCACCACCTCCATCGCCGCGTGTCTCTTCCGATGGGGCTGCGCTGCGTTCTCGTAGAAGATGACGTCCCGGCCCTGGTCGTGGTACATCCGAGTCAGACTCTTCATGAAGTTCCGGATCTCCTCCCACTCATCGTCATCACATTCGAGCAGATTCGTGCGGTGCTGGATGGGAACAATGGTGGCACACCCCTCGTTCAGCTCGGGCTCCGTAGGAAGGGACAGGTAGACCCGAGTCGCCAAAGACACCACCGGTGCAATTGGAGGCGTATTCGTGTCTTCGTGGTGGCAAAGAGGACAATTGTCGAGGATGCGGTTCATTTTCTGTAGCTCGTTGATAGTGATGTTCTTGATGTCGATCTCGGATCGGTGCACCCGTTTGGCCAGCTTGGACGCATTGTCGTCCATGTATTCCAGGTCATTCTGGACACGTTAGTATGCATCTTAAGAATCATCGCAGACACTCACCTCGAACTTGGCATCCTTGGCGATTCTCTCTGCCATCCGGCGTCCGTCGCCTCCAAACTGTCCCCGCGTCCGTCGTTCTTCCTGGACCATGTCCTCGATCGTCATGTCATCGTTCTCCTCGACCTTGCCACGCTCGCGGCCACGGCGATTTTCGACCGCCTTCACTTCGTTCCGGGTGCCAGCTAGCATCCGGTTCTCCATCACGCCGAGCACCACCACATCGGATTCCTTCCGGTTGGACATTGCGGCGGCCGCCGCGTTGTAGCGCTCTTCGAGCTCTGCTGCATCTGGTGCACCCCTGAGCTTGGCCTTCATCATCTGGGCCTTGAGTCGGTTGAGAGCCGTCAGGTCTAGATGTTGTGGGGTGTTTTGTGGCGGCACAGTTTCCATCGGTTTGCCCTGGCCTTGGGCATCAAGTTCCTTGCCGGGGCTGCGGACATGCTCGTGGGGATCGCGGTGGACATTCTCCTCAAGCTTCCTCTCCTGGAACAGTTCGCCTGTCGGCTTTTCCTTGCCCACGTAGCCTTCACCGTATCGGTCACGTCGATCCAATTCGGCTTCTTCTTCCCGTGCATCATCGAACGAGCGGAGGTCGCCAAAGCGGTTTAATGCAACCTCCTCGACGGACTTTCCACTCTCCTCTGCTTCTCTGTAGACGGCCTTGAGCCTGGTCATTCTCCACTGCGAACCGGCATCGCCAAAAGTATAATCGACCTCATGCTGTGCTGGCTCCTCCTCAATTTCTTCCAGGACCTTGCCTGCCTTCAAATCATGCAAATGGGTATTGAGCTCCCTGCCGTGGATTTTCAGCTCAAAGTCCGCCTGAAGCATCTTCGGCTTTGGTTCCTCCTCTAGACGCGTCGTATTGCGTCGCTGAACGTAGTCAATATCTAAACCAGATGGTCCCTCCATCCAGGCATCTCTTTTCAAGGGTGTAGGTTCCTCCTGAACGACTTCCTTTGAAGCTGGCGCGTCCTTCTCCTCATCTCTGCTGTCGCGGTGTCGACGCTTGTGTGCATGATCGCGATCATCCCCATGGTCGGTCGAGTGGCGCGATCGCTTATGACGGTGTCCGTTGTCTTCGCTGCGTCGTGACTCCCGGCGTCGCTCGTGGTCACGCTCCCTCGATCGAGACGAACGGTGACGCCGGTGGTGTCTTGAGCGCTCTCGGCTGCGGTCGCGGTCGCGATCTCGGTCCCGATGGCGATGTTTGTCTCTGTCGCTCCTCTCGCGTCGTCGTTCCTGGTCCTCCGCCAGTGATTTCTCGAAATCCTCGAGTGTCATGGTGATGGTTGAGCTGGTATGGGAGGTGGTGAGGAAGCGAGGAAAAGCTGCGGAAGGAATGACGTCTGGGCGGTCCAGACTCCACCCGAGCCGATCTCCTCCCCGCGACGCAGCAATTTTTCGGCTCCCCGCCATCTTCATTGCCGTCCCCTCCATCCTGTCAGAGCTGGGTTGGAACTTTCTACCTCCTTGGATCGCATATATATCACCTCACTATCCGATACCTTTACTCTCGCTTGGATCACCATGGCGCAAGCACCCGTGGCCGTCGTCTGCGTCGGCATGGCCGGTATGCAGATGATACTGTTCATATCTGAAGATCGTTCTGCTCACAAAGCACTCGGTACCTAGGCTCCGGAAAGACCACCTTCATGCAGAGAATCAACTCGCATCTTCATTCAAAGAAGACAGTCCCCTACGTGATCAACCTCGATCCCGCCGTCTACTCCGTTCCCTTCGAGAGCAACATTGACATCCGCGACTCGATCAACTACAGAGAGGTCATGAAGCAATACAACCTCGGCCCCAACGGCGGTATCCTGACTTCCCTCAACCTGTTCGCTACGAAAGTCGATCAAATCATCTCCTTGTTGGAAAAGCGCACCGCCCCGAACCCGAGCAACCCTTCCGCCAAGCCCATCGAGCACATCCTCGTTGACACCCCCGGACAGATTGAGGTCTTCGTGTGGAGCGCGTCTGGAAGCATTCTACTCGAAACCATGGCCTCCTCCTTCCCCACCGTTATCGCCTATGTCATTGATACCCCTCGGACTACCTCCACAAGCACCTTCATGAGCAATATGCTGTACGCCTGCAGTATCTTGTACAAGACCAAGCTACCGATGATCCTCGTATTCAACAAAACCGATGTGCAGGATGCTGAATTCGCCAAGGAGTGGATGTCCGATTTTGATGCGTTCCAGCAGGCGCTTCGGGAAGAAGAGGAGTCGGGTGCGTTTGGCACGGAAGGCGGAGCAGGTGGCTTTGGTGCTGGAAGCGGATACATGGGCTCGCTTCTCAACAGCATGAGTTTGATGCTCGAGGAGTTTTACCGCCATCTGAACGTCGTCGGAGTGAGCTCCATGACGGGTGATGGCATTGATGAATTTTTTGGGGCCGTGGAGGAGAAGCGCCAGGAGTTCGAGCGCGACTACAAGCCTGAGCTGGAGCGCAAGAAGAAGGAGCGCGAAGAGACCAAGGCAGCCCAACGGGAGCTGGAACTGGGCAAGCTGATGAAGGATATGAACGTTTCGGGTTCTAGCCGAAGCAAGCGCACTGAAGCCGAGACTGTCAGCGAGGCCGAGGAAGAGGAGGAAGATGCTGCCCGCAGAGACGATGACGATGACGATTCCGACGATGGATACGGCGCTGTTCCCCCGGCTGGCAGCAACGAAGGGCTCACACAGCGGTACAAGGAGGCGCTGGAAGGCCAGAGCAGTACTCCTTCCGATGCGGACAACAGCTTCGCGAGGTATTTGCGCGCAAGCAGCATCAACCAGTGATGAGCTTCGGAGATATGCATTGATCTTACTTCAAATTGGTGTTTATGAAGGCGTTGAATTGGTCCTCATTGATATATCCCTGAATAAATGATTAGACAAATATAATCGCTGATTCAAGCACAATTTAGTCCTAATCTCGGCGTCAGCTGCACAGGGAGTGCACAATCACTGTGCCTGATGTGCAGCATAGATGACTCAGCATAGATCTTTCCGGAGAGGATGACATCATTGGGCTGAGCTAGCAATGACCTCACCAGGGATCTCGGCCTTTAAAATGGCCCAAACCACCAGGGCTATTGTCCAGGGACACTGCACAATTGGTTGGCTGTGGGAAACTACTTCTCCCTTCGATCGTCTACCTATACTACAAAATCACACTCAGAAATCACCCAGACACCACACACCATGGATGTAAGCACCAATCCCTTGCAGCACCCATCACCTACAATCAGCTGCACGGTAATGCTAACCACGAGCTCAACAGGTCTTCTACGCCTACACCTACTCGACAGCGGGATGGCTCTCTCTCCAGAGTCTCGCCCTCATCGCCGTTCCGGAGATGATGACCACAATGCTCGAGAAGGAAAGCAGACAGCCTACTGGTAAGCGCATTGAGCTTGCACTACGATCACATCTCTAACGCAAATGCCAGATATCGAGACCTACCTATCCCGTTGCCTCGGCTTCGGCCTTCTCACCATCGCCATTTTAACCGTCATGCTGACGGGTTCCATTCCCTTGACGGCCTCCATCACTGATCCCGTCACAACCGACGACTCCGACCCCAAGGCTCCCTATGCCGTACCCACTATGCAAGTGACGACCGTCTTCCACTTTATCTCAGCCGGCTACGCCTATGCCTGGTGGGCGGAGAAGGGACAGTTCGCGTTTGCAATGGGAATGCTGGTCCCGGGTGCGCTTGCTTCGTTGGGAATTTGGTGTGCGCTGTTTGCCAGCAGCAATGGGAAGATCAGTCGGAAGACGGGGGCGGATAAGAGGACGACCGGCTTCCCTTTTGCTAATAAGGAGGCTGCGAAGAAGCATGGGAAGGGTCTGTAAACTTGACTCGGGGGCTAGGTGGACTGTTGACGGGCAGTTGGGTTCATAGTAACAAATAGCGGTTGTGGATAATGATTGACAGTAGAATATACCTGTCTATGCGATATTGCGTGTTAACTGTTGTTTCTGCAATATTGCTGAGGGCCTGAGGCCTCCGCGTCCTTGTCAGCAGGTAGGGTCACCTGACCGTTCTTTTCGTTAGAATGCATTGTCCTGTACGACTCCACCCATCTTCATGATCCACCGGCTAGATACTTGCATAATCTTTTTCTTTGATCCAAATGCCATTCAATTCATCTTCTCTAGAGTATACTACTTCAGCCATTGAAAGCCCGGAAGAGTCCATGACTACTATGACCAGGCCATCAACGACACCCGCTATCCCCATCGACGCATCTCCGTGAGGACGGGACTTCGTATATCAGGGGACCCGTGCAACGAGCTTTGGCCAAGACGCGCTTGCAACCTCACCCCAAACGCGAATCCTCGTCTTCCCATCCTCCTTCCCCAACTCAAATCATTGACTGACCTGAGAAACGAATCCCAGTCACTACCGCCAGCCGTTATCACAATGCAACCGTCATCTTTCAAACCGGGACGCAGCCCGTCAGACAGCCTCCATCCCGCTATCACCAGACATGCCAAGGTAGCTTGACTGACTCTGTTCTGCAGGGGAAGACTGGCAGATGGCATTGACCGTCTGTGCTGCACGGCACGGAGGGACACTGCCAATGGTCATCTGGAACTTACACTCGACCCCGTGATGTTGGACAGATTACCAATGTTGCAAACGCAGGGGATCTGCCTTCGAGTCCCTGCTGCTGCGGCCAGGTTCACTCAATGGTGGACAAGCTGACGTTGCTTGGCACTGCAGACACCTATTTTTGTATAAGGCCCCAGTCGGACCCCGCTGGCATAATTTCCCCGGACCGAGAGAGTAGCAATGAATGCTACTATCTCCTGACCGGATGAAATCTGAATCTTCATGCCAGCTGGTATAGCAACGCTGGCGTAAGCTAGCTCGGATGCATCAGGAGGCCTTCCGAGGCACATGCTACTCTAGGCCACCTTGGTAATACCATACTTTATCGTCGCCTTATGAGTGGATGAAAGATTCATCACAAGAGCACCGGATATCCGTACGTCTTTTGACAAAATGGGCAGGACGGTTAATACGAAGATGGCATACGCAAGTTTATTTGAGGGTATTTTCGTGCTCAAAATGTTGTGCAACTCTGAGTAACCAAGCCCAACTATGCTCAGATGCCCTTCCCATGGTGCAATTTCAAATGTCCCTCATATTCCCTCCAATCATCGAAAGATTCTGGCAGAGATAAATGTTCTGCATAGCAACAAATATCGCGTGAAGATGCCAAGCACTAGAGGGTCACATTGGCAGTCTGAGACAGATGGTTAAGCATCCCCGCCTTTTCAAGGCTCATTGCACGACGTCAACAACTATGGGATACTTCTGCAGCTGGGACCGACCCTCTGGGGCTGGAAAGATATACATTCGTTTCATTAAAGGAACAGGTGGGGGCATACTCATTGGTGATGCCACTAAACGCAGGTCCAGCACGCCGGTTTAGATCTGAATCTCATTGATGGAGCAAGAATACTCGATGCATGGCTGGTTGAGCTACCAGAGCTGAAGAGTGTCTGGCGACACCATCCCTGCATCCTTATCTGCACCCTCCGTTTGCATGGTGCGTTCCCTGACGGGGCACAACCAAGTCGTCCGAAGACGCAATGTCACCCTATGAATTCTAAACACACTTCAGTGCCTTCTGACCCGGTCCCGCTTGGCCTTAAACAAAAGATGGGAGTATGACTGGGCTGGTGAGCCGGGCAACGGGATATAGACCTGAGTCCACAAGAATATAAAAGGGCCTGGTCTTTTACCATCTGCTCCGGTATTCTGTTTGTATTGATATTTCTATCATCGTGTGGCTACCCTTCCCAGATGGCTTCCTTCAAACGTGCTATGTTGCTGCTCGGTACCCTCTTGCCTGCTGTCTTCGGTGTTACTGGACAGGAGCCTCACCAAGAGATCCAGACGATCCCTGGAAAATACATTGTTACCTTCAAACCGGGCCTTGCCGATGCCAGAATTGAATCCCATTCGACATGGGCAGCGGAACTTCACAGGCGCAGCCTAGCAGGCCGTAGTACAGCCGATGAAGATCTCCCCGTCGGAATCGAGAGGACATACAAGATCAATCAATTCGCTGGATATGCCGGCTCTTTTGATGAAGCAACCATCGAGGAGATCCGCAGACACGCTGATGTTTGTTTATTCCCATGTCCATGAGACCGGGGCTGATATGGTGCGCAGGTAGCTTCTGTGGAAGAGGACCAGGTCTGGTACCTCGACACTCTGGTCACAGAAAGGAGAGCCCCTTGGGGCCTCGGTAGCATCTCCCACCGGGGAGCATCTAGCACTGATTACATCTACGATGACAGCGCCGGTGAGGGCACCTATGCCTATGTGGTGGATACAGGTATCCTTGCGACCCATGAGGAGTTTGGTGGCCGTGCCAGCCTGGCATACAATGCCGCCGGTGGTCAGCATGTTGACGGCGTTGGACACGGCACGCATGTTGCAGGGACCATCGGCGGGAGAACATATGGCGTTTCCAAGAATGCCCAGATCTTGTCCGTGAAGGTGTTTGTCGGGGAATCGAGCTCGACGTCGGTCATTCTGGATGGATTCAACTGGGCCGCCAACGATATTGTGAGCAAGAACCGCACCAGCAAGGCTGCCATCAACATGAGTCTTGGTATGTTACGATCCATTACCACCATTTGCATGCTAACGGAAAGTAGGTGGGGGCTACTCCTATGCTTTCAACAACGCCGTCGAGAGTGCGTTTGATGACGGGGTTCTCTCTGTTGTTGCAGCGGGAAATGAGAATGTGAGTTTGCTCGAACCTGCATGTTCGGAAATAGACCACTGACAGCCTGAAGCGCGATGCGTCTCGGACCAGCCCGGCATCTGCCCCTGATGCTGTCACGGTTGCTGCTATCAATCGAAGCAATGCCCGTGCATCTTTCTCGAACTACGGTCCCGTGGTCGACATCTTTGCACCTGGGGAGAATATTCTTTCTGCCTGGATCGGGTCCAACTCTGCGACCAACACCATCTCTGGCACATCGATGTCCACTCCCCATGTGACAGGGCTGGTCATCTATCTGATGGGCTTGGAGGAACTTTCCACTCCCGGGGCCGCGACTGCCCGGCTCAAGGCATTGGCCACGCGGAATGTTGTCACCAATGTTTCCAATAGCCCTAATCTTCTGGCTTACAATGGTAACAGCCGGGCGTCAAGCGACGACGGTGACAGCGATGAAGACGATGCCTAGCAGAGTTATATTAGAGTCAGATTACGCTAGAGATGGAGAAGATGGCGAATCACTAGGCTATGTGCGAATATAAGCGATGTCTAAGAGTACTCTGACCCCGCCTGTAGACCTAAGGTCCTTCTAGCCACGCTGCCAAGGTAATGTGCACCAGACTTTGTCTCATACAGACCAGTCCGTTGAAACAAGCACTCCATTGTAGACATGTGTCTCGCACATGCGAACGCCTCTCCTTTCCTCCCGACGTGGTACCGGAACGAACCCAAATGAAGATCACGGAACGGACAAGCACCTTTCTGGGCACTGTCGTGGCATCTCATCCACGAACCTTCTTCGCCACCGACAATAGCCGGAATCACACTGGATCTAGAGCGAGGATCGACTGCTTCCCCGGACGGGTCAGCCCCATCATATAATGACCCGGCGTCTGTGCAACCTGGATACATGCCGACTGCCAACGGGTGGTCTCTCTGGCTGGAGCGTATGTGCCCTACCTCGGATCTTGTGCTTCATGAAGCTTCAGACGAACACCACACCCATCTATATAGCCATACTTCCTGAGTATCCCCGCATGGTGCTCAGTACCTTGTTACTTCTTCCTCGCCATGAAGCCTGCTGCCCGGATCACCACGGGGCCCGTGGAGAATGAAAAGGAGACCTTATTGACGCTCCTCCCGCAGTATGGCCTGAAGCTGGCCCCAGATGGTCTGCACATCCAGTGGGCGTTGGGGAACCGTCGACACCCCCGGAACTGGAGTCTGAGACGCAAGGTGTACGATACAGCGCTGATTATCTTCCTGGAGTTCTTCACGTAAGCATCTCCCTGGTCTCGGTGTCTGGAGACTGAGAGACTGACCATTCCAGGACTGCCGTCAGCACTGCCGGGGTAGGTGACCTGATCCGTTCGATGGGAACTTACTGAAGGCATAGTCTACGGCGGCTAACCATGCTGTCGATGAATTCAACATCCCCAAGGAGCTCTCCATCTTTCTCTTCGTCTCCATGTCAGTCTCCACCCTTTTTTTTTTCATCCAAGTTATACTGATGTCCTAGATACCTCATCGGCCAAGCCATCGGGGGCGTCGTCTTCCCACCCTACTCGGAGGTCTTTGGACGCAAGAAGCTGTACGTGGCCAGCTCTGCCCTGTACTGCCTCTTCTGCATCGTCATTGCATCCGTTCCATCCCTTATCGGCGTCGTGGTCGGCCGACTGTTCTGCGGCTTCCTCTCCGCCATCCCCACCACCGTGGTTGTCGGCAGCATCGAAGACATCTTCAACTCCCGCGAGCGCGTCTGGGTAGTCTGCATCTGGACCATGTTTGCCAACCTCGGTCTTGTCGTCGGGCCCATCCTCAGCACTTTTGTTGTAGCCGATACCAACTGGTAACCCCCCTCTTCCTCTTCCGACAAAGCAATCGAGATCACTCAAGACCCCACTAACACCCCCCCGCCCAGGAGATGGATGTTCTACCTGGCCGCCATCGTCACCGGAATTCACACCCTCCTCCTGCTCACCCTGCACGAATCGCGCCCCTCCCTCCTCCTCACCACCGAAGTGCACACCCTCCGCAAAGTGACCAAAATCCCGACCCTGGAAGGCCTCAACCCCGACAAAGCTCCCGACCTGCAATCCTTCGTCCGCATCGCCCTCTTCCGCCCCATCCGTCTCCTCTTCACCGAACTCATCGTCTTCATCGTCTCCATCATCAGCGCCATCGCCATCGCCCTCGTCTACCTCTTCACCGAAGCCCTCCCCCCGATCTACCAATCCTTCGGCTTCACCCCTAAACAAGCCTGCCTCCCCTTCATCGCCATCGGCCTCGGTCTCACCCTCGGGCTCATCACCCGCTGTCTCGACCTCCGCATCATATCCCACCACCGGCACCAAGGCCGTCCGCTCCTCCCAGAAGACAAACTCACCGGGTTCTGGATCGGAGCGCCCATTCTCGCCGCCGCACTATGGCTCTTCGCCTGGACCATTCCCCCCGCCGTGACGCATCTCCCCTGGCTAATCTCCGTCGTGGCATTAGTCCTCGTCGGCTACAGCCTCAACGAGATTGACTATGTGCTAGGTGGCTATCTAACCGATAGTTATCTAAGTTATGCGGCGAGTGGCCTCGCAGCGTTGAGTTTGGTTCGGGCGTTGTTGTCCGCTGCGTTGCCGTTGATTTCGGCGCCGATGTTGGGACGGTTGGGGGCCAATTTCACCATCTCGGTGTTGGCGGCCGTGGCGACGGTGTTTTGTGCCGTGCCGCCGTTGTTTTCGAGGTTTGGGAGGGAGATTCGGGCCCGGAGTGCGTTTGCGAGGTTTAGTTTGACGATGTATAGAGAGTTTAGTGTCGATGAGGAGGGGTATTGATGGCTTGGGGGTGGCTGCTTGGGGGGTGGATGGAATTATAGGGGAGAGGGGAGAAGGGTGGAGGGGAAAAGTAGGGCTAGCCAAATTGACACTATGGATTATGCATGGTATTGATTTGGGACGGGCATTATAGTTCAGTTAGTGCATTTAGTCTCGGTTCATAATGCCGAAAAGTTAGTTACTTGCATAACCTACAGCCAGATAGTTATCATATGAGCTATAGTCAAGTCTATGACGCACCTCATGAAACAGTGGATTCTAGTCAATAGCGGATTTCTGGCATAATGCATAATGTTTCAGCGAGCACTGTAGAAGGCGCAGGTGAACGGTGAGAGTCTGTTTGATTGCTGCGTTTATTCGTCTGGTATATCCTAATGGTTCTTGTGTCACATTACTGTAGTAATCTGAATCTTCCTCTCTCGGGGTCTATCACACAGGGCCTAAGTATATCCGTTCCATTCGGATAATGTTGATCATGTTCGAAGACCTGACAAAGGATCACGGCGCACCTGGGATAGGAAGCTGTCATTCCGAACGTGATCAACAAACAAACGTCGATCACGAACCCGCTATACCCAAAACAGCAAGCCACCACCAACAAATCGCCGCCTCAACCCCCGCCTTTTCGCCCTCCACACTTTTAAAGCAGCGTCACCACCAGCATCCAATATCAAACATCCAGTCCACCACCATGGACCACCCAGTGCTCACCTCTGAGGCTGATCCAGCATTACATACGGCCCCCTCAACCCTCCTGCACCCCTCCCTCACATCCGTCGCATCAGACGCGTCCACCCTGGCCGCCCAACACCAAGACCCGCAACTAGATCCAACCCAGGGTCAAGACCAAGTGAGCATTGACGAAGATTCCCTCCACGGGCTACAATGTGCTGTCGGAGGACTGGACTATTCCCGACCAGTTCACCAACAGCAACCACAACATGACTTTCACTCCCAGCAACACCAACCCCAACAACACCTCCAATCCCTCGTCAAACGCCCCGACCAACACATCGACCTCCGCACCATCCTCAACCCCCCCGATCTCGACGCCTGGCGCGAACGCCTCTTCAACGTCGACGAAACAATCATCCTAAGCGAAGAGCAGTACATCCCCCATCCCCAACCAACCCTTGGAAAATCTAACAACCCAGATTCCTAACCTACTTCCCGCACATCGACAACGTCTACTCCCACCGCTCCACCCAACACTACAAACGCAAGCCCCTAATCTCTCACTACTGGGACTGTCGCCTAAAAGGCCGCCCCCCCGGAACACCCAAATCCAACGACCCGAATAAAAAGAAACGCAAGCGCACCGCCCGTCAGCGCGATCTCTGTGACGTGAAGATTAAAATCACGGAGTATTTTCCGGGACATGATGTTATGGGGTCTGTAGATGCGGGCTTTCCTACCATTACTAGTACTGGTACTGGTGTTAGTGTCCTGGGTGTCGGGGTTGGCGCGGGAACTACCGCTACCGCCAGCGGCAGCGCAATGCTGCAATCAACTAGTACGCCCGAAGCTGCTGCACAGAACCAACCGTTTGGATTACTGACGCCGAGTTTGAATCCGCCATTACCGGAGGGTCATCCGGGAGTGAACGGGCAGCGGTTTTTCACCATCCAACGGGTGAATGGGAATGGGGCGAATGGGAAGAATGATGGGGTGAGTGGAGGACATCGACATACCTTGGAGGAGAGTGATCGGGTGAAGAAGAATAGTGTGCAGAGGTTTTTGGTTAAGGAGGTGAGGGAGAAGAAGAGAGAGGTTTCGGTGAGTTGAGTTTATTTTTCCCTTGACTGTATGGAGTAGGTTTGTTGGGATTACTTGTGCTTGTGCTGGATGGTAGTGGGCATTGGCGTGTTACGTCACGCGCGGGTGTGCCTCGCCGGCGGCTGGTATCCGTACTTGTACTTCCCCGCTTATCTGCGACCAACTTCATTCCACTATCATGTTTGGCAGATCTCTCTTGCAGTTCAGGCCGTTGTCAGTTGCTCAAGTGACCAGACATATTCCCTCGATTGCTAGCACCAGATTCATTGGCCGTTCTGATTGTCATATACAGACCAGGGCAATGGCTACGCAGAGCGAGATACAGAAACAATACCACACCAAGGCTACCGGTCTGGCTGCCCGGACTGTCGCGAACCATTCCCAGGATAATGAGCTGAAATTGTATGGCAGTTGCTTTTGGTACGCCAACTCTAATCTTAAATCTTTATATACATCATTTGCAAGGCTGACCATTGCCAGCCCGTTTGTACAGCGTGTTTGGATCGCCTTGGAGGCTAAGGGCATCCCTTATCAGTACATTGAGGTCGATCCATATAAGAAGCCCCAGTCGTTGTTGGATGTGAACCCTAGGGGTCTTGTCCCGGCGTTGCGACACGGGGATTGGGGGTCATATGAAAGCTCCGTATTGCTGGAATACGTAAGTATCTCCCTGAATGAACTAACTGATCCTAACGATTCTAGTTGGAGGATCTGAATATCGGACCACCGTTGCTCCCGCCCGGAGACGCGAAATTGAGGGCGCATTGCCGACTATGGACGGATTTCGTATGTCTCCTGTACCTTGTCATCTCCTACTAACCCTGACAATCCAGATCAACCGACACATCGTTCCCAACTTCTACCGGGTCCTTCAGGAACAAGACACGCAGAAGCAGATCGCCAACGCGCAAGAGCTCCAAGATGCCTTCAACACCCTGGCCTCAGCCGCAGATGCGCAGGGACCGTTCTTTCTGGGCTCTCGTATCTCGTTTGTCGATGTCCAGGTGGCCCCTTGGATCATCCGGTTACGCCGTGCCTTGAAGCCGTACCGCGGCTGGCCAGACCCGAATCCCGACAGTCGCTGGGGTGCCTGGGTATATGCAATCGAGAACAATGAGCACATCCAGGCGACCACCAGCACCGATGAGCTCTATCTGGATAGCTATGAGCGATACGCTCGTAAGTGGATTGCTGATATATGCGATCGCAGCTGACGTCCCTAGAAAACCGGCCCAACACGTCCCAGGTTGCCAATGCAATCAACTCCGGAAGGGGTCTTCCCTAGCTTGTTGCAGGTCACTGTGATGCCATCTAGCAGCTGAATTCAAGTCTTGAACAGCGACCCAAGTCGCATCCCCATTAACACACCCGGTTATACGCCAATATTTGGCGGAGGGATTATTTCGCTGTGACGCTTTTCGTAGTCTAGCCTCCTCGGGCACCCCTGTTGCCCATTCTAAATCCGCCCCTCCCACTGCTGTCGGGGCCGCGAGGACTGCGGATTGGCTGTTTTGGAGACTGGGAGTCTTCCTCCCGTCGGATACCGCTCTGCTTCTCCTTTCGCGGTCCATAAGTCGAGTTCGGTTTCGGAGACCCAGGGTCGTAGAGCTGCTTAGCCTTTCCCGACGCAACAGATGGTTCCCGCTTCTCACGATTGTTGTCTCGCCCGTTTCCACGGCTTCTGCCTTTGCCGCGACCTTCGTGCTGTTTAGGTGGGGTCGCACTGCGTGGTGAGGACGCGCCGGAGGTGGGGGCAGACGGGCTCCCAAATAGTCGTTCGCGTGCTTCCTCATACTTGCGCTGCTTTTCTTCTAGATTGCGCAGGGCAATAGCCTGTCGCTCCTCGGCAGTAGGCTGAGAAGATCTGCCTTCTTCGTCAGAGTCGTCATCTTCGTTCAGCCCCAGTCGTCCAATACCAGCGCTTGCCGCGTCTACCGCGGAGGATGATTGGCGTGTGGCTATTTGAGGATTGCGACTGAGAACCGTGACGGTGGGTTTGAATTCTTGCTTGAGAGGGACACTTGATCGCGCCTCTAGAAAGTGGAAGGTCTGGGGTGAATCACTGATCGCGCACGTCAGACAATGGTCTTCGACAGCATATGGTTGCAATGTACATACGCTTCGGCCCACAGTTGGCGGTTAAACTCGGCCTGTTGGGCTCTGCGCTGAGCTTTGGTGACTTTGGAGGAGACTTTCTTCTCCTGCGGAGGCGGGGCGGGTTCGGCCTCGAGAGTCTGACGAAAAAATGGTCAGACGGCATTGTACGTGGTCGCATTACGCAGGTGTGAAGAAGTGGGCAAATCCCTGCGGCTTACGACATCATACATACATCGGCTTGACTCTCCCAGTCTTGCTCCCAGGCGTCGGGGCCACTTGAGGGCTTTGCGCTCATGGCCAAAGGGATATCGGTGGCTTCTAACAGGGTCTAGAACGAGCGAACAACCAGACTCAAACAGCAGAACTTAATCAAGAATTCCAAAACGGGCGTCCAATATAGCAGCCAGAGGGCCAGGTGGCATAAGCAAAGGAGGGAATGACCGAGGGGTAAGAAAGAGGGGAGAAAAGAGAGAGGAGAAGAAAGGCGGAGGAAAATCACGGTTGCCGCCTTTGGTGCTTAGTTAAGATGCCTGAGCAAACGCCGCACCTCCATCTGATCATCGCCCGACCTCGACCTGCATACATCCGACATTCAGCTCTGCCAGTTCTATTGTTTGTTGTTCTTGACGTGTATTGTTTGTTTCGATTCCTACACCGCCATGGCCACCGGTCTGTATCCCCCGTTCCCCGCCGTTGCATTGAAGTCACCAAGCTCCGAACTCCACCCCGCGATTACCTACGTGCTTATACCACCCAAGCTAACGACCTCAGACCTAGACGGAGATTCTCAAATGGCTTCCTCTCCTGAATCCTCGCGCGCTCCCTCTGAAGACTCTCACCCCGGCACTCGCACCCCCACCAACAAGCTCTCCAGCACCCGTCCCCCGTTCGGGGGCTCGGAACTCTCCCCACCCGGCTCGCAACCCCAGACCAGCACACTAGGAGGGCAGAGCAAGAGCTTTCCACCGGGGCTTGTGGACTCCCCCTTGGCTACGCAGACAAAGCAAGTGGATCAGCAAACGGCTTCGGTCGCGTCATGGATGAATAATCGTGCGGGGGAGGAATATCAGCGCGCCATGGACTATGTGATTGATCAGGACTTTAATCTGGGTATGTTTGTGCAATTGCCTGATGTTACTATTAGGTGATGGATGCTAATAGATGATACCGGTAGATGAATTCGGAGATCCCTTTGATGAGCGGGATGTGGAGGACAATTTGTTCTAGATGGATTCGAATCTAGACTTGGTTTGACCGATGGATTACATCGCGTGGCTACAGCGGTGATGGAGTTGGAGTTTGGTGTTGTTTCATTTTCTAGGGTCAAGCGTGAATGAATGATTTATGAGCATGAGTATGAGATATGAGGTCTATGCAATTTCCAGTGGCTAAATCTTCCTAGAGCAGGACGGTGGAGCTGCCAGAGAAAAGAAAATGATATAAATATCACGATAACTTCCACATTGACCATCAACACGCCTGATTCTAGCCCGATTTACCTTCGGGCTAGCATCCTCGATCTTGCTATCGTATTTCGAAAATCACTAACCATCACTTTAATACTCACAGGAATTAAACTAACAATTCACTGTAACGTTCTCATTATCTATCCAGATAATCCAAATATTGAACAGACAATAATCTACCCCCCCATACTCCCAGATAACGCACTTGACGGAGGCATTTTTGTATAGAATACCCGCAAATGATACCCAAGATAATACCCTTAGCCCGCTGCTCAGCATAAAGCACGGTTATCCATCCGTCCACTATACTTGGATTATACCGCTTCTCTTTTCTTCCTGACATGGATGATCTCTGGCTGGTCTCCACATACTCAAGGATTAGTGTGATTCGTCATGGGTTGCAGTGATGTGTGCATGGAAGGGGATATCCCATCGAGGGGACATATAAAGGACAATGTCACTGTATTAGTATATTGGATGTACGTATTTCGATGTCTGACTAGGTATTAGTAGACTTGTGAGGGTTTCGTTGTTCATCTTGGGAATTTTCATCGTTTGTGGCTTTGGGGAATGAAGGTCAGGTTGGGCCTTTTTGCAGAAAGTCATAGTTTAATAGAGGTTATCTGAACGAAGGATGAGTCGATTAGGGAGCTTTTCTACTAGGGAAGGAAAATCATAGATAGAATGTAGAAGCAGGCAGGTAAGCAATATGATACCAAGAACTGAAGCTATTTAGCATATGATGGGTCGATTAACGAAGTGGAAATGATGGGTGGGGTTTGGAGATAGGAAGCTGGATCCTGGTGGGGTTTCTTGACGAAGGTGTGAGGCTGCCTCATTTTGGAAGATTGAGATTTTGGTGGTTGTGGTAGAAAGATTGGAAAGAATAGGGAAATATGGGCGGAGATCAGTCACGGCATTTTATGCTGTCAGAGGGGAGATTGTTGGCTAGTAAATGAGGCGGTAGGTAATCTTGATCATGGTTCGGATGGAAACCAACTAGTGATTTCTGTCTCATTCTAATAAAACTCAGACCAATGCATATATCAATCTACCATGTATAACAAACACCCTCAACCTATCCCAACAAACATCCCAACAATGCAATCCCAACCCAAACGCCATTATCGTTCCCACATAAAGTAAGCCAAGCCGCATGTCCACTGTACAACCCAACATATAGAAGCACACTTCACACCGGAGGAACCGGAAGCTCATATTTCAGGCCATGGTCTCGTGCCATCCAGTGCAGATCCCGAAGTCGTAGCTGCCGCATGTACACTCTTTGCTCCGGGGGAGGATCCAGGTTTCTCTCAGTGCCATAGAACCCGTTGGTCATGAGGTAGTGGATTGAGTAGCCCGTGATGGTGAATGCAACGCAACCGAGGATGACGAAGAAGATGATGGCTTCACGACCGACGCCCATGGTGGAGGTTGTTTGGCGTTGGTGGGTATTGAAGTTCTATGGGGAGGGCTTAGTTAGTCTGGTAGAGATTCAGTAGTGGGAGGCGTGGACTCACTGTTAGGTGATATAAGTGAAAGGAAAAGTATAAGTTTGTTGTGATGATATTCGTGACTAGTATGAGAGCGAAAGTTGTATAGAGTATAACGAGCGAAGGAAACTCAACGAGCGAAGAGAAGAACAGTAGAAAAGAGAGGAATGTCTGACTGAAATCCCTCCATCTCGAGAAACAGCAGCATTTATAGCTCCAACACCAGCTGCAAATCCTTCCCCTGTCACCTTCCACGCCATTCAAGGCGTGGCTATTCTTGTCACTTTTGCTCGAACGGCCCCGAGATCTAGATATCCGACTAGTCTCGGAATAGCCTAGCACTCAACCCTATGATGTCATTTGCGAGCAGACCAATAGGAGCGCCCGAGCCCTCCGATCCAAAGGGTTTAGCGTCGCCGGTAGGTTATCTCGGCGGGTTCCAGTTCTGCTCCATCCAGCACTGACAGCGAACTGAAACGGATCCGGGCTAATTAGACTACCTGGAAATGGATTGTGATTCGTGCTGCGGTTCCCATCCTACGCGTTTGCTGATTTTATGGTTGAGCCTCGAGCGATCCGCATTTCGGACTTGGCTGGGTTGTTTGGGTGTCAGGGGTTTGCGCGTGAGAGGTCTCGATGATTCGTGGATGGCTCAATCGCTGCGTTCTTGGTCTCAGCTAATAGCCTTGACAGCCAGAGGTTTTGATGTCTCTGCTTCGAACCTGAGGGTCGTTGCAATATCTCATCTTTCAAATCAAGAAGGGAAAGGAAATATCCCGCGACTTCCAAAGAGTCGTGCTCTTCTCATGGCAGTGGCATCTCACTTCGACATCCTTCCGTTTTCTCCCACTTACCATCGGGCAAGCCATTGCGGACATCGGACAGCAGGAATCAGTTCTGCCGGCCAAATCATTGTGCTTTCAAGGCGAATTGAGGATCACTGACGGGCCAAACACACGCGAGCGGAACCCACACAGCACAGAAGGTATATCTTTCATCGGCAGTTACGGGGAAACTAGCTGTGCGCATTAGTACTCCGTACACTCTGTGTAAATTTGAGGCTTATCTTAAGACGCCGTACTAGTCAGAGTGACACTGACAACCGAAAGTATATGATGTATTATATAAATCTAATCTGCTATTTACAAAGATCCATTCTGTGTGGGTAACTTAATGTGAGTGTCTGCGTAATGTCGAGTTGTCTGCGCCATGAGATTTGACGCTGGAGTATATGAGCGGACCATCGGTGGATGACAAGGCGGTGGATGGTCTCGGTGAAAAGGAACCGTACTTGCACGATGGCCGCAATGGCATGCCGTAGTCCTCTCCATCTCGGCCGGAAGATGGGTCTCCCCACCCCCCACCCCCAGATGTCTTGATGATAACACGATCCCCTTTGCACGCCTCGATCGTACTCCTTGGACCAAGATCGATGACTTGATCTTCTTCTCCGTCGGTAGTGGCTTTCTTAACGAACAAGTTGACGCCTGCTTGGCCGTTTTTGCCACCCTGGAGACCATGCTGAATCGGGTGTTGGCGATCTGACAGAAGCTTCACCAAGACTGGCTCTCGAAACTCGATGTCTCTAATGCATCCATCTCCTCCGTGGAACTTGCCCTTCCCACCACTGCCATACCGGAGGCTGAACTCTCGGACAAGACAAGGGTACCGTCGCTCCAAGAGCTCACAGTCAGTGACCCGTGTCTGCGTCATGCCTGCTTGCATGACATCCATCCCATGGGACTCAGATCCAGCCCTGGTGCCACCTGCAATGGTCTCATGGTAGCCATAGCCCGGGATACACGTGCCATCAGAGCTTAGGCGGCTGCTAGCGCTCAGCGACAAACTGTGGACACGTCCCGGGCTCGTCACGCAAGTGTCAAAGCAGTGCAATATCAAATCAATAACGCGCTGGGATGAGACACAGCTCTCGTCAGGCCTTAGAGGGGGCACAGGCTGTGGTGGTAGAATGACGTTGATGGCGTTAAGAAACCCCTGATTCATGGTGATGTCTTTCCCGATCGAACGGTGCAACGCGTACATTATGGCCGAGTAGGCCACAGCCGGAGGAAGATCAGTCCTACCTTTAATGGAATATAGAGTCAGCGGCTCTGCGCAGGAGGGTAGGAGAAGTCAACGGAGACATACCAGTTCCAGTGAAATCAAAGTCGGCTGTTCCCGTGTGACCGTTGATGGTGATTGCCAGACAAATTGGGATACCGTCATTGATAAAGTCATTTGTGATCAGCAGTCTGCCATCATGCGTGACATGCAAGTCTCTCAACAGATGGCGAGCCGTGGCCTCGGCGCTTGACTCCATGGCTTTCACATATGACTGCACCCTTTAGTCAGATGGTGTCAACCACAAATGATTATTCGATTTCGACTTACCATCACTGTTTTCACGTCGTGTTCCTCTAGGATCTTCCTCAGCAAATTCTTGCCTTTCTGGTTTGCACCAATCAAGGCATGAATGTTTGCCAGGTGGTCAGCCAGCTTGGGTGAATCATTGCGCCCAGGTAACTCTGTGAGCTGCAATAAAATATTTTTCCGGATATTCTCTTCATCAATGACGCCGTCGCGCACCAAAATGACTGGTGTAGTCTCTCTGTCTTCCTGCCGAAGCTCCCTCAGGTCTGGTGTTGACAACCCAGCAAAGACACCTGTCGAAGTGCAATAATATACAATATGTCCATTGTGGAAGACAGGGGTTATCACGGTGATTTCTATAAGATGAGTGTCCCCACGGACTTTTGCCCACCGGTCAACCCTGGATACACAAAAGAAAGGAAAGTATCATTGGTGTAGGGCTTACCAGATTGCCTAAGCACAAGGACATCTCCGTCCCGGAGTTTGTGCTTCCAGACCTCACGTTGTGACGGCATGGCACATTGAATGGTGCTCGGAAGAGAAGGGTTCTGGGGCACTAAAGAACATTATGAGAAACAACAGCTGGGCTAACAAGTAGGGAGTCTTACCACTGGCGATCAGTCTTCGATCCTGAGAAAGTATAGCACATGAGAAATGCAAGCGTTCATTCAGCTTGAGATTGACGCATGCCATTTGCAATGATCGGTCCATCTGTGTGGCTATAGACATGAACCGTTGGCCAAAGACTGGCACTTGCAGAGGATCAACAGCAGCCACTGCCTGACTGTCTGGGGTCCAACTTGAAGAAACGATATCAATCACCACGTGATTATCTAGGATCGTTGCTTGCGCATTTGGGGTCACCACAATGGTTTGAGTGTTATCAATGACCAAAGCTGGCCCTTTGATATGATCGGCGGTCGTTAGGCTTTCAAGACGATAGATTGGGGTAAGCTGCCAACCGAGCCCTTCAAAATAGACATCCTTGCGCATCATCATTGTATCCTGTGATGGGGCCCTGACATTTTTCAGACAGGCAAGCTGTTGAGCTGGTGACAAGCTACCAGTGCTTTTCTTCCGTCCGACTGCACGCAATCGAACATTGTCAACAACCACCGTTCGTGGTACTGTGAAACCATATTCCTGTCGATGTCTCTCTGCGAACATTTCTGCAAAGCCCCAACCATCTTGTGGCTTAGGGATCATCAACACAGTATCAGATCCTTCGTAATGCATTTGAAGATAAAGGTCAATCTCAATCTCGTCATGATCCTCAATCCCTCGATCGCGTAGTTCTGATTCCGCATTACCTCGCAATGATGTCGCGATGCTTTGGACTCGAGGAATGATATCCGGGTGGAAAACGCATTCAAGCGGTTCTTGGAGATCCGAAACTTGGTCGGCGAAGGCCATGCCGTACGCAGATAGTATGGAGCTGTGACGGTGCAAAATGACTCGACTCATTCCCAAAGAGGATGCAATGAAGCAAGCATGCTGACCACCAGCACCGCCAAATGCAACGAGGTCATGGTGTTTAGTCTCAGAGGCCCGTGCTTCGGCCAGCGAGCGAATAGGGCGACACACAACATCATTTGCAGCTCGCAAGAACTCCAGTGCTACCTCCTCTGGAGTGGAGTTACTCCTGCCTGGCTCAGTACTGTCATTGATCTTCGAACAAAGCTCGGCGAACATCCTTCTGGTGGTTGTTAAATCAAGTGCTTCATTCCCACTTGGTCCAAATACCTTGGGGAAGCATTCTGGGACCAAACGGCCCAAGAGAAGGTTTGCATCAGTGACTGTTAGGGGGCCCCCTTTTCGATAACAAGCTGGTCCAGGATATGCGCCGGCACTGCTTGGTCCGATTTCAAAGGACTTCTCTGACCAGAATAGTTGAGAGCTTCCGCCCGCTGGGACGCTGGTGATCTTCAGCTGGGGCCTTCCTAGGGTGACCCCGCCAGCTACCGTCTCCGAGACGTGCTCGTATTGTCCGGCGAATCGTGAAATCTCTAGTCCAATATCAGCAGGGGAATACTTTCGGTGCCTGTGGGACTATTTGCTCACTCGTTGATGTGCCACCCATGTCAAAGCCAATGAGTGGCCTGCCAGACGACTGGTCATAACAGGTCGAGGCATATCCCAATACACCACCCGCAGGACCGGACAAGATAGCCTTGTTTCCCTCCAAATTGCCGATGTTGACCACTCCTCCGTCGTTCTGCATGAAATCGCATCGTGGAAAGAATGAACCGCCCAGTTGACTAGTGAAGGTCTTCCTAGAGTACTCGATATGTTTCCAAATGAGAGGTGTCAGGTACGCATCCACGGTAGCCGATTGACCGCGTGCTACCATTCCTATCTATTATGTGTCAGTCCTATTTCAGGGAGCAACTGGCTCAACCTCTGGACGGCAAGGATAGCTGACTTACCTTTGGCTGCATAAGGGAGCTGATTGTCACACTGAAACCCATGCTCCGAGCAATATCTGCCACCATCAACTCGTGGTCCGGATAGGCGTAGCTGTGCATGAAGCAGATGCTGATACTTGTGATTCCATCGTCAAGGAGTGGCTCTAGCTGCTGTCGGACGATACCAAGGTACGGCTTTCGCAGAACCCGTACAGCTTGCTTCGAGACGCCTGTATTGAGTTTTGAATCAAAGTCAACATCGGCCACCATCCTTTCGGGGCCCTCGGGGACGTCTTCCAGAACGACTCGCTCGTCTACCTCAATCACCTTTTCATACAACACCAGTGGCATCGAACCTGTCAACCCGAATATGTCCAGTGATGCACGGTTACCTATCAAGAGTAGATCACGAAATCCCTTGGTGATCACCAACGCAGACCGTTCACCTTTTCGCTCCAACAGGGCATTGGTCGCCACTGTTGTCCCAATGCGGATATTCTTGACTATACTCAGGTCAAGTGGCTGTCTCCGTGGGATCTGGCTCTCGGTCGCGATCTCGAGGACACGACGAATGCCCTCCGTCGGTGCATCATCGTAATTCTGCGGATCGACGGAAAGCAACTTCAGAGCGATGTCCTCTGATATGCCGGGGATGGTTGCGTGGATATCAGTGAAGGTGCCACCGCTGTCGATGGAGATCCCGATGCCTGAGAGAGTCATTTTGATGAGACTGTCTCTGCCCGGATGCTTCTAACTCAGCTCCTGATGAAGCTTCAACTCCTGGGGACATTGTCCCTTTAACGCTATGTACTACTGTGTATATCATTCTATGAGACGTCCGGTGCTCATACCTCCCAGTCCGATGCCAGGGTTACAACCGGGATTACCTGGTTAGGGCTGAATGTACCACGCTTTGTACTGCGGCATACATGCAACCGATAACCATATGTTGGTAGGTGGTGCGGCTTGCATGTAGCCGAAAATGGGCAGGGTGCGAGCTACGATACTGCGGCTTACATGTATCCGACCAAAATCATCGATCCGATGAAAATAGACGGAACTCCCCCCTGCTGAGCGGCAAGGATCGGCTCCGTGATACTACTGCTGTACGATTCAATGGTTATCTCTCCTACCTTCGTTTTTTAATTAACCACGCATAGGGTCGCTTTCACTACGCAATAATTGGCCAATACCTCATGGCGCAGGCAACAGACATAACGACCGGGAAAGCAGGATCAGGTACCATGCACGTTGCTATCGTCGGAGCTGGTATAGGAGGACTGGCTCTAGCGATCGGACTGTCTAATCGGGATGTTTCTTACACCTTGTACGAGTCGGCCGCGCAATTTAGTGCAGTCGGGGCCGGCGTTGGCCTAGGACCCAACGCGCTACGTGCGATGGAGTTGATAGACAGCAGATTTCGACAAAAGTACAATCAAATCTCTTCGGGAAACCTGACACCGAACAAGGAGCATATAGCGATGGAAGTGCTCTACGCCGAAGATGGGTTTGGTGAAAGACGCGGCTGGCAACCCGCACCATTTGGGGCCGAATGTTACACCCGAACTAGTGCCCATCGGCGCGATCTTCTAGAAATTATGACCAGCCTGATCCCGCGAGAGCGCGTACAATTCGGCAAACGGGTCAAGGAAGTCAAACAGACGGATGAGCATAGCAAGGTCATCATTACCTTTGACGACGGCGAGACTGCGGAGGCTGATGCGGTTGTTGGATGTGATGGCGTGAAGGGACCGACGAGGAAAGCCGTCCTAGGAAGCCTCTATCCAGAGCATGTGCAAGCTATCTATAGTGGCAAGTATGTTTACAGAGCGATCGTTCCAATGAAAGATGCCCAGGAGCTACTCGGCGACCACGCCGGGGATGCGAAAGCATTCGTCGGCCACGGCCTCAATATCATGACCTTCCCAATTTCCCGCGGCACCGAGCTTAATGTGGTTGCGATCAAGTTGGTGGATAAACCCTGGACACATCCACAGTGGACCAAAGAGGTCACTAGGGAAGAGATGGTGGCCGACATGGGTGATGGAATTGATCGGCGCATTGTCAAATTATTGGATGTATGCTTTAGGCCCCTACTGCCTTGCCTAGAACAGCTAATAAGCCTTGATAGTGGGCCAGGCCGGTGCAATGGTCTCTATGGCACCACCCTAACACGCCGATTTATTACAACGGACAAATCTGCCTACTCGGCGACTGTGCCCACGGAACTACGCCTCATCAAGCGGCGGGTGCGGGGCAATGTCTAGAGGATGCGCTTATAATGTCTCACCTTTTGGGGCTCGCGACGAATCGTACCGAAATTACCAGGGCGTTCCAGATTTATGACGGGATCCGGCGACCTCGAGCACAAGCAATTGTTACGACCAGCCACGAGGCCGGAAAACTCTATACCTTCACTCATCCCCAAATGGGCACGGACTTGGGCAAGATCGTCGCCAATCTCAATGAGCGCTTTCTGTGGATCTGGGAGCATGACCTGAACGCGGACGTCGAGCTGGCTCGTCAACGATTCTTGTTTGGGGAGCAGAACGCTGAAGGTGCACCGGGGCAGTCGAGATTATGACTACATGGTCCCCACTTTTAATGATCTTTGGGCTGTTCTTAGTTCCTCATTTGAATTCACATGCTATTCAAACCCAAAAAGCCAAAAACTGAACCAAAACAAGAAAACATCATACACGATTCGGAATAAACACAAACGTGAAACTGACTAGTCTGAATTACGCAAGCACTGACTGTGATTTCCAGGAACTTAGTATTGCTTTGAATGGTTTGCAGTGTGAGAAAAGGAGCACTTACGCGTCATTTACTGGCAATAGCCACCATGGCTTCCACAACCCGTCCCCGGTCACAGATTACAGTTCATCGAGGTATTAAGGGCCTCCGTCCCCAGTAACATGGACCCGATGGAATCCCAGGAGAAGAACCCGTTATCGTCGGTCAGAGGCGGCATGCCCAGGACGGGGTTATTGTGGCTGTCGCTAGCAAATACCATGGTCGTACCCATCGGGGACACAATATGCTCCGTGCCCGGGTCCAGCCCCATTGTCATGCCAGGGTAGGGCCCATGCATCTCTCTCATCGGCGGAGCCATCTGGGAAACATTGTGCTCCGTGCCGGGTCCACCCATGCTTGTAAAGGGAGGATTCATGGCTTTCATCGACGAACCAAGTGGGACCAGGGCAGTGGATGGGCCCGTGCCCGGCATGCTATCACTTTCGTGAGGGCAAGGGGCCTGCTGGGAGGGGCTTAGTCTCTCATGGACCAGCAGGTCAATGTCGCGAATCGCCCCGGTCCAGCGAATCATGGTGTCGGGCACCATGGGATTGGCACAGTGGCGAATGAGCATGTCCGCGCAGTTGCGCAGCAGGGACAGAGAACGGTTAGTGGCGGACTCCTCCCTCTGCGGCCGCGCGTGGTCGCACAGGATGCTCAGCGTCAATACCAGCGTCGAGGAGTATACGTAATAGACGTCCCACCAGGTTACAGCGTTGAACTTTCCAATCGTGTCCAGCTGCAACAGCAGCTCGCAGCTCTTCCGCCCCGACTCCCCACAGATCTTGGCTGTTGCCTGGATCTCTCGTTCGTTGGGGTCGCCGGCTGACCCTTGGGAGTAGGCCGCCAGCTGTTGCAACAAGGCGTAGCGAGTGAGCAAGCAGACGATATAATGATACTGGATGTGCAGCAGGAGTACGGGCCGCTTGAAGCCGTCCGGCAAGGTACTAAAGATGCTGAGCGACAGATGCTGCGGTAGGGCACTCTGCCAGCGAGTCAGATCCCGCAGCAACCCCGCCGCGGGCGAGAGAAGCCCAGTGAGGGCTGGCTCATTGGTGGCCGTTGGCAGTACGCGGCATACCAGACCTAGGATGGAGGTCAGCCGCGTCGACCAGACGGTATAGTCTGGGGGCCAATTCGACGAGCCGATCCCCAGGATCCTCTCATGGGGCGAGGTGGTGGAACACATTGAGCCATCGATGGCGCTAGGCCGGTCATGAGAGGAGACCTGTATCTGCTCGAAGCTATAGAGGGTCCACCAGAGGGATTTTCTAATCTCCTTAGCCAGGCGCGGACCGTCGCAGATGATTTCATCCCGATGGAGTCCGATGGCCACCGCAATCCGGGCCGCAGCTCCGGTCAGGGTCCAGCATGCATCACGATGGTTTGTGTTATGGAGATGCAACGCGGCCAGCATCAGGGTCTGGACCGAAAGCATGTTGTTGGTGAAGATTATGGTGGGCAGCCACGACTCCAGGATGGTCCACCATTTCTGCTGCTGGGTCTCGGTCGTCCCCAGGGGGTTGATCCGCCGACTCAGGAGCAAGACACACAACAACGCACACACCCACGCCCCATCGACGGACCCCGGAATGTACCGCCATCTATCATATGTTTCCAGGAAGGAGGCCTCATGCAGGACAGGGAAGTCGATGTTGACATAGTCGAAATACGCCCGGATAAGGCCATCAATTACGGAGCGATCAAGCAAGGGGGTGGGGTAGTGGACGACGGCACTGTCACTGATATCAGTTTCCGAGGGCCTGGCAACTTCTCGGACCTCTGATTCGGTGAGGATCTCGCTAACGGATGGTCTCAAAGTCTCTCCGGTGGGATTGCGACCGAAGAGGAACATTTGACACCTTCGCTCCTGGCGATGGAGGCCTAGGAGGGAGCGGAGCTTCATTTGGAAGAAATAGGAGCTGGCCGGGCCGATGTACTGGTCCTGACCCTGCATATCTTGTACCAGCTCTTCATTCTGCTGCTCCACGCGTGGGGTCCCGCTGGACTGCTTCAGCTCGAGCGGACAGTTCTGATACGTGTCATCCCCCATGTCAGGGAGTTCCACGCCCAACGACCGCCCGAGCTCTCGCATGCTGTCGAGCGAGGACAGGTCCGCATCGGGAAGAACCTTCTTGAGCAGGGCCTCGAGCAGTGTGATGCGATACCGCACGAGGTCGGTGCTGCCATAGAGCCTTTGTTTGCGAGGCTTCGTGGTGGTACAGTCATAGTCGTGGCGCTCGCAATGCTGACAGCGGTCCTCGCCAGGTACCCGATGGCATTTTTGCTTTCTGGACTTGCACCTGTCACAGCTGTGCTCCGTGCGCTTCCGATGCTCCAGTGGAACTCGACGATCAGGTTTTTTGGTTGTTGCATTCATGACTGTTGGGTGATCATCCGGGGTGATCATCCGGGAGGCCCGAACTGAGGAGGAGAAGGGGAGTTGCGGGATGCATGCAACCGGGGTGTCCGGAAGGATGGATTATAAATTCTCGGAGGTTGGTGACCATCGTTCGACTTGACAGGGGTGTCAGGAACGGTGTAGGCTACGTAGGCCACCAAAGTCGAAGATTTATGCAACCAGGGCTCTAGCGCGCGAGCCGGCCCCAGATAGCGCCGCCGCGAGATAAGGCGAGACGATCAGGAGCACAACGGCCAGCGGGCTACATGCACCCCGTCGCTTGCATGTCCCCGCGACGGCAAAATTCGTGCAACCCCAGGATACATACAAAACATCCGGTGCAGACTCTGCCCCCCCTTGAAGCATCGCGGTTTTCTTGCACCCGCCAGGACTGAGGATTGAGACCGTACTTCCGTAGAGAAGAGGATTTATATTCGAACCTTTTTCTTCCTCTCCCTGTCTCCCTCTCCTGGAGTGAATTCGTAAGGCCACTGACGCGGTGCAAACATGGTAGACGTAAAGGAGGTCCAATCCGTGGAGGTTCTCCAGACAAAGTCAATGTCGTCGGGTGGTGACCGGGAGGCCAATTACCGAGTCAAGACGACCGCGCAAGGCATCCCCCTGGTCCCTCAACCCAGTGATGATCCAGAAGACCCGTTGGTGCGTGTCTTCTTTTTCTTCTTCTTCAAACTACTCAGCTATGGTCTTCTGACGGTAATGTGGTTGCCTGCAGAATTGGAGCGCATTCACCAAGCATGCCGCTCTGGTGGTTCTCGCATTCGAATCGTTTCTAGTCAAGTTCGGGGCCACTCTCATCGTATGTTTACTGCTAACCTATCCGATTCGTCGTCGCATCTGTCCCCTCTAATAGCATTCTCACCTAGGCCCCCGATGCACTGGAGCTGGCCGAACAATTCAAGGTCCCCGTGACCACCGCCACATACATCGGATCCGTACCTTCTGTCCTGAATGCCATCACATCCTTCTTCTGGATCCCGTTGAGCCATAGAATTGGCCGACGGCCCGTACTTCTCATTGGCAATCTCATCGCCTTGGTCAGCGCGATCGGAGTGGCTCGGTCCCAGACATATGCGCAAGCTCTCGGCTGTCGCATGGTCATGAATGTAGGTGGCAGCGTCGGGCTGTCCATCGGACCGGCTGCCATTTCCGACATGTTCTTCCTGCACGAAAAGGGATCGCGGATGGGCGTAAATAGCTTCCTGCTGGTCATTAGTCCGTACGTGGGTGGTGTTGCCGGTGGCTCCATTGCCTATAACAAACATCTAGGATGGCGATGGTCGATGTACATCGCCGCCATCCTCTATGCTACCCAATTCGTCGCTCAGTTCTTCCTTGGTGAGTTTCATCCCGGTTCATCGCCTTGTCGACTCATCCTAATCTCGTCCTCCTCTCCAGTCCCCGAAACCATCTATACCCGAGACGAGAATGCCACCGCCGGTTCTCAACCTCCCAAACAGCCCTCCTACCTCTCTCGTCTGGGGTTCCGCAAGCCGGTGGTTCCCAAGAACGAGAGCTGGGGGCAGACCTTCCGCAAACCATACAAGATGTTCGCCTATCCGGCCGTGGTCCTTCCGTCGTTCTGGTTTAGCGTCGCCAACATGACCGAAGTGGGCAACACCGCAGGCTTCGCCCTCAACTTTGGCAGTAAGAGCCATTGGCATTTCAACTTGGCCCAAGTCGGCTTCTGCTACTTCTCTGGTGTCATCGGTGCCGGGATTGGCGAGATCTTCGGGGGACCACTGTGTGATCTGGCCGCCAAGTACTCCTTGCGGCGAGGCTACAAGTGGAAGCCAGAACGGTTACTCCATCTCTCATGGACAGGTCTGATCACAGTCTCGGTGAGCCAATTCGTTACCAAGGATGACCCATCACCATTACTAACCCGCTTAGGCCGGTCTCCTCCTATATGGCCTCGAACTGGAATACGGCGACAGCTGGGCCTCAGCCCTCACCGGAATTGGCCTCTTCACCTTCGGACAGGAAATCCTCGTCACTGTTCTCCTGACCTACATGACAGAGTGCTACCCGGAAGATGCAGCCGAGGTGACCATTGTGTTTCAATTTTTCTTTGCCATTCAGACCTTCCATCCCCCTTTCTACCTTCCCGAGTGGATCAAAGAACGCGGTGGGGCCAAGGTCCCGTACATCGTCTTCGCGGCGCTTCCCGTGGTCTTGTATCCCGTGTGTATCTGGCTGTTCACCTGGAAGGGCGAGCAGATCCGGAAGAGGGGACCATGTTTCAAGCTCTAGTTGCATCAGGCACGACTTATGAATCTTCCATCTTTCCATCTTGCATTTGCACTTGCATCGTCATCATCATCATCATCATCATCATCATCATCATCATCATCATCATCATCATCATCATCATCATCATCATCATCATCATCATCAGCATTGCCCGGTCAGGTCAGGTCCAGGTCCGCATAGGTCAGGTTAGCATACGGTCCAACGAGAAAACAAAGGGGCGCTATTCTCTGTCATTCACCCAATACAACTAGCATTATTATCCCAATTACGATTCCATTGGCATTACTTATCTACCTAGTTTCCCCTTCCCACCTTGGCGCACAGTAATCCCTAAATCATGATTTGTGGACCGGACCGAAGCGAGCGAGCCCTGGAAACCCTCTAGCGTCAGCCACATCCCCGGCAGCCTCCACCTTTCTACTACCTAGTGACCGGTGACCCTGTTAATCTCCCGACTTCCGAGTACGCTACAGAAGAAATTTCCTGACACATGAATATACCACATTGGTCATTGGATAGATATCGTTGTCTCTCCGGAAGACACTTCCGATGGGGCAGAATTACTGGCAGTTTGTGTATATCATACCGCCAGGGTCCCCGGTCTCGGATATATATTATATATTTGTGTGGGGATTGGTCAGCCTCAACACGGTCGAAAATGACATCCCCGAATGTAATTTAAAATGATTACGGGTCTGCAGGCAGTAGCACTGGACAGCAATGTAGTATTCTGTCTGGATTCTGCAAGAAGGAGGAATCCATACTTCTACTCCTCGGACTACCTGAAGGTACAACAATCCTAAATACAAAGGGAGTTAACTCTTCGTGCACATTGGTAGCTAGACATTATGACTACTTACAAAACCACTCATCTAAGCATCATCCAATTCCTTATTTCAATACATCGACCTCTACTCCGTATTTATCCCTAGACCCTACATATACATCTTCAACCCACCGACCGTATCTACACCATTGGGCCCCGATCGACAACAGAATAAGGTTGGTATTTATGCTCGGGATCTCGGGTATGAACTATGGAGAGTCGAGACAAACATGATCGTACGACTACGGAGTAAGCAGTAAATCAAAGCTGGGCCGCGCGTGGCGGGATAGACTTCATCCGGCGATCGGATCGGCACGCGCATGATAGTGGAGTCGGAGCGGGCTTTGCAGGTCATTAGGGGAAGCTTGCTTTTACGACAGGTGTTGGGGTGGACTTGGAGGTATATATTTCTTATAAGGATGGGGGGGGGGGTACGGTGTGTGTTGATTGAGATGGGTAATTCTTTGGTTGGTATTGTTCTTCTCTTGACTAAGTACTAGGTATGGATTGGGGGG